AAACCAGATCAACCATAGTCACCCGGCCCTTGTTTCACCAGGTAGTCAGAGGGGGCGAGGCACACAACCAATCTGTACATGTTTTTTACTAGACTTCATTTACAGTGCACATGTAAGGAAGATACCGGACCTCAAAGTGCAGCATGAGATAATTGTTAAAGAGATTGGTGCGGTGCTGGCTAGGGGAGCTTGGATGTAAGAAGTGAAACTCAGTGAAGTGAGGTCGATTTATGATGAGAGAGCCCCTACCCTAGTCTGTGAAGCATCGCCATAGCTGTGTTGCATGACACCTCAAGAACCAATCATCCCCTAGAATCCCGTACAGCCGCCAGCCTCTATTTTCCAGAGTTCACGCCGCTATGCATCTCGCCTCGACTGCTGCTGGATGAGCGAGGGCCGACACAGCCAGACAGCCGAATATCCGATCGGTATCCCAAAATAATCTCAATCAATGCCGTATCAATGAACCTCACGGCTGCCAGAGATTGCATCATCACTCATGCCAGGCCACATCGCAATTGACAACACACTCGCCAACCACTCAGGCCGTCATCTGTCACCGGATTGATTTTATGCTTGCTTCTCTCCACGCCCAGAATATCGACCCATTGCCCTTATGAAACGCCGTCCATGGACCATGCCATGACGGTTTCCTGCCTGAACGCATTGGCGTCTCGACATACGAAAGGGAAAGTAAGAGCCATCTCCGTTCCAGCTCCTTCTGCACCATCGCGCCATGAACCAAGTAATAGCAATCAGCTGAAGTAAGAGAGATAATGAAACCTGGAAGGCAAGGCAAGGCAAGGCGAGGCAAGGCAAGGCGAGGCAAGGCAAGGCTCAAAGTTGTATCGAAAACAGGAAAATCATGCATGCAAGTAAGCGTACAACCAACCAGTTACCCTTCATCCAACCATGCCCTGCCCTTCCTTTCCCTGTAATATGGACCTGTCCCTGCCGTCCGTTGATAGTCGGCCACGGCTCAGACTCGGAGAACCAGCGCACCTCTATTGAAAGCATGCTCGTTTCTTCCCCTGGTCCGTGAAATCATCAACGACGTATTTCCTATCACCTTCTGCGGGTCTTAGACTGTCGCACCGTGGATTGGGGCAGAAGGATGTAAAGCAAGCCTGACTGTGCTCGGTTTCTAGGGTAATGTCCTCCCATTCCTCAACCGGCGGCGTCAGCAGCTTGATTTCTCAATCACCTCAACCCCAAGATGGACTCCCCGGCCCCCGCCTGCCTCAGAATCATAATCTCGCCCCCCGGCACCCCCCCGTCCAGGCGATCTTCGCAGCCTTGACAGATTGTGGGCCGATCGACCGCGGCTATTGCCTCCTCTGGCAATGCCTTGGCGCTCCTAGTCTCGGAGATGGCCCCAGCGGCCGCCATTTCCCGCAGCCGGGAGAAAAGCCATGCCAGGCACCGGGGTGCCGCCGCCGCCGACGCCTGGCCCGTCCGAGCTGGCAAACGGCGCGGGGCTGGTACCCCTACTACCGGCCCCTCCCACAACACGGTTCGGCCGCGGACTCATGACGCCGGTCCGTGGACTGCGTGGGACACTAGCCTGGCGCGTCTCGCGGCGGCCGTTCTTGAGGAGTCTCAACTCTTCCTTGGCGCGCTCCAGCTCGCGCTCACGGCTCTGGAGCAGTGCTTGGAGTTCGTCGATTTGTTTGCTGACTTCCTTCGCCTCGTTTTGGGCGTGCAGTTGGTGGATCTTGAAGACGTTCTCGCCTGCTCGCGTTTCGAGGTCGGCTACCCTCTTCTTGAGCTCCTGATTCTCCTGGCTGAGTTCCGTGTACGAGTTAGACGCGTCCTGGTACGCCTTGCGGCTGTACTCCACCTCGTTTTGAAGGCTGCGGATTTTCTTCTCGAGCTTCTCGACGCTGGCGATGGTCTCATCCCGCTGCTTCTCGGCTTGGGCGAGCTTTGCGACCTCTGGTATCGTCGAGTTCGCCAGTGCGTCGTTAACTTCGGCGAGCTTGGACTCCAGGACCTTATTCTTCTCTCTCAGGGCCTCTACTTCGGCCCTCTGGGCTTCGAATCGCTCAACAGCCTTCTGGCATTGCTTTTCAAAGGTGCTACGATCGCGAAGGGCCTCCATGTATTTCGGCTGCAGGGTCTGCACGGTGCGCTCATGGGATCGCAGTTGAGACTCGAGAGAAGTGAAACGCTCGCGCAACTTGGCCTCAATGGCGGTTTTTGCTGCGAGCTGGGCTTCCAATTCGGCAATCTAATCCGTCGTAAGCATCAAGTCAAAGCCAGTCTTGCGGGAGCACACTTACTCTGCTCGACATCATCTCGAGCTGCTCCACCGGCACATCAATAATGACCTGGGTGATTGCCTTGGTCTGCACCATGTGGTTAGTCAGCGTCTGTTTCAACAGGTCAGTCATCCGTGCTGGCGTCGCAATTCGAGAGGGTTCCTGAGATCCCTGAAGCCTCGCCCGCTTGGGGGTTCCTTCGTCGACATTGTCCTAAGCATCGCATCGTTAATTGCATCATTTCCTTTTACCGGTCGAGGAGCTGCTTACCAAAGGACGTTTTCGGCCAGGCCCGGTCACCGCATCTGCCGACTGAGCCTGAGGTTCTTGAGAGCTCATCCAAACCTCAAAGATATCGGAAGGTAGAGGATGTGGTTCCCAATCCAAGCCAATCTCTGGGTTCCTCAAGAAGTTGGCGAACGTCTTCGCGGCTTCATGTGGTTCATGGTACTGCTCAGTGTAAAGGTGTTCATGATTGGGCTTCAAATACTCCCTCGCCATCGCAGTTGCAAGATTCAAGGTGTTCCTTCGCTCCAAGGGGTCCAAGTCCAGGTCATGCTGGGCGAGTTGCTCGTCGATGTGATCCAGCGAGAAGGTCGCAACTAAAGAGAGGACGATTGGCGCCATGGACTCGTAGCCCAACGTCGGTGGTAGTTCGATCAACCTCGACGTATGATCAAAGGCTATCACAACGTCAACGCCTCCCTGAACTTTGGCCAAGTCCTGACCCGTCACAGCCAGGACGACTGAGGCGCCTTCCGTGAATTCCTGCCCGCTCAGACCCTCTTGCGCCAGGATCGAGTACGCGCAATCCGTGGCCGAGACAACTGCTTCGAGGTACTCGAAGACTCGGCCTGGCTGGGAGATGATGAGGATGCGGACATTGATATCCCACAAGCAGTTAAGGAATTCGTAAACGAACGAGAACTTGCTGTTGGTATTCGTGGCATGCTTCATCATCTCCTCCTTGCTCAGCTCGGGAAGGTCGTCATCGTATGCGGGCAGGTCGCAGAGGTTGAGCAGCCGCTCAAAGATCTCATCAATCTTGAGCACCAAGGAGGCATCCGGGACGACGTACGACGGGCTGGCAAAGACCTCGCCAAACTCGATCATGGTAGACCTGTTCTCCAGGAGGACTTCGAGGTACTTCGCGCGAGTGCTAGCGGCCATCGGTAATGTAACCGTGAAATGCTGGCTGTCATCCTCCTTCTCTTCATCCGCATTCTCATCCAGCGGAAACTGCTCACTCCCAGAAGCTATGGGGGCGGAATCATCGGCGTTAATGAGGATGTGGTCGCCGGCGATGGGTTCCACAGATGTAGTCAGATCTGATGGAGCTACCGTTGCCGGTGGCTGTTCAAACTCCATGCTCTGTGCATCTATCGACGTATTCTCCGGCCGCATGTTGAAGGCCATGTCAGAGTGCTGGTTAAACTCACTGACGGCTTGCTGCTCGGCTGGGGTGGGATCTGGCGCAGACGAGTCGGCTGGCGCAGCAGAGGCTTCCAATTGCTCGGCAAGATTGCCCATGGCTGGAAGAACCGCCGACAGCGAGACTAAAGCCGGCTCCTGTTTGGGCTCTCCTGGTGGCTTGGTTGGTGTGCCGCTACCGAAGACACTATGCTGCAGCTGACGCAACATCTCAACCGCCGAGGGGGGTTTCCCTTGCCCTGGAGCGTTCATGAGCTTATTATTTGGGGTAAGTGCTAGCGACTGAACTCTGCCGCGTGCCGACGTGGCCGGATGCGAGGGCTCGTTACCCGGGGGGCTGTTCACAGAACCCAGGCTCGCAGGTTGAGAAAGCAATGTTCTTAGAGGCGGTCTCTGGACAGTTTCGGGAACAATATCCTCCGAGGTTGACCCAGCCACCTCCAATACTTGGGTTAGGAGGCCGAGGTTACTAAGAGGCACCGAGACCCGTTGAGCGGCCTGAGAATGCGGTAGGGACTCTGATGTACCTGGAAAAGAGTGCCCTATGGTAGCAGAATCGCGTTGGGACGTCTCGACCTCGAGCAGTGGAATGGGAAGCTCGGGCTGGGTCAACAAACCTTCGCCCCAGGGACTTTCCTGAGAAGGGAGATTCAAGCCTCCGAGCCTTGACTCTGTGGAGGTCGAAGCGGGGCTGAGTTGCTCGTCCTGTGTCTCGAGCAGATTGGAAGAGGGCCCAGAATTGCGATGTGAGCTCTCGGGCTGGCGGGACGGTATATCCAGATCCGAGCGGCTGGTTCGTGCAATATCTTGTGCAGTTGCGCCCTCCAATGCTGGCTGAGAGCCTCGCTGCGACGGGTTGGCCAGCGACTGGGCTGTGGATTGCGTGCGCAAAGAATCGAGCCAGTCCTGGGAGTCCGGAATCGTCCTCTGACTGATGGGGTTTCTGTCGCCCTGCGAAGCCGGGACGTCGGCCGTGAGGGCTTGAGAAGACGGCGCGGACTGAGAGGATATCAGCTGATACTCGGAGGGGTCGAAACCGGGACGCCGCTTGATCTCAAGGACAATGTCGCCTTTTTTCTCAGGGATCGATTGCACGTGTCTCCAGCTGGCCTCGCCGTGGCCGTCGCCGTCGCCGTCGCCGTAAGTGGACGTGTATCCGGAGTCAACTGAATGCCTCGGACGTTTCGATGCGACGTCGCGCTCTTTCGAAACCGACGCCTCCCTGCCGCGCTTTGATCTCGAGTTACGGTCCGGCAAAAGCTGGCTGTCGCTGACGGGGGTGGGAATGGAGCTTTCAGGATCAATTTCTTGTCGACGGCGCTGTTGTCTCTCCCAATCGGCGACTGCAGCCTCGGTCACGTTCTCTGCGGGTTCCTAGATGCATGCGACAGACAATGCGGTTAGCGGAGGGTTGAGGGGGGAGGGTGTCTTTCAAGGGAGTACCAAATACCCAAGTGGGATCGTATTGCTCGCCCGTGGAGGGGTTGTCTGCCCAGTCTACTTGGTAGTACAGTTTACCCTTCACGAACTTCTCGTCTAGGATGTCCCTGATTTCGAACAAGGCGTCGCCGGAGGACGGCTCACGGGTGGTCGCTTTTACTGGTGCCGATTTCCGGCGTTTCGGTTTGGACGACTTCCTGGAAGGGACCTGCTTCGTCATTTGCAGGGTCCTGCTATTGTGCCAGGTCCAGAGTGATGATCCCCGCCCGTCCCGCGCCCTGGGAAGCTACCACCACGCAGAGATTCAATCGTCTCTGCACGGAAATTGCTGTTGCCTCGGACGCGTTCCTGCTTTCAGCGATGTATCGCGGCACGCTCCAAGGCTGGACTTTCCCGATGGAGACAAGAAGCACTGACACGGTTTACCCACGAGTCCGCTCAGCCTCGCATCGGCCCACTCACAGATTCTTTGACTTGTGATTGGTTAGCCTTGTAACATCACGTGGAAATACATTTCTCGAGCTCACGTATCTGCCTCAGTGGCCTCGTTTGCGCGGACTTTCGTCGAACCGGGGTGCAGTGATGCAGTGATGTGGGCCGAGTTTGTGTTGCTGTTCGCGCAAGGTGAGCTCTGAAGGTCGGGTTCGGCAGTTTGAGTAGAAAAGGTTGAAGAAGAAGTTGGAAACGGATGTCGTGCGACCTCTTTGTTTCCCAGCGGCAGTCCGGGCGCAACTGGCAGGAAGTTGAAACTAAGTGAAGGCGCTGAATGCTTCAACGGTGCAATCATCAATTGTCTGCTGCAGCCTCAGTTGTGCCTGTTCCACCTTCCATTGAAGGTTGCAAAACTCCAAGCATGCTTTCCTCTATCGACTTCTAAGTTCCATGGGCTTCAGCTCAACGAATGCACCGTCAAAGAGTTGAGGTCATCCACGACGGGCTCGTCCGGTTTTAAGTTAGCACCCAAGAAGAGGTGGAGTGGTTTTTTCTGTCTTTCCGGCGTCCCCTTTCCATCTAATGCAGCATCATTTCACGATTATAGTTGGAGTTGCTGTCGTTGTTGGTGTCGTTGCCGGCCGTGTAAAAGTCGCCAGGGAGCCGTCCCTTGAAATACAGTCTGAGTCCAGCCCATAAACAGGATCGCCTGCCACCAAGAGGAGTTCAGAACTCCTGTTAGAGCAAGGTATCTGGATGCTTGACATCATGCCCTCTGCGTAACAGAGCCGATGACAGGCACAACAACGAAGAAGGCAGTGGAATGAATGTACCATTTCCGATGATAATAAATGCCACAAATCCCGACGAATAATCCAGCTAATGCCTGCAGTCCCCATGAAGCGGGAGTATTAATCGTCCTCTCCTTATCCTCCCAAAACCAAGCCCTTATTCATGCCAACCTTCCCAAACAGCCTAGTCTCACCCATCCCATCAGCAGCCATTCTCGCCCCCTTACCCATCATATCGTACACTCTCGTCCTTCATGCCCATCTTGCAGTTCCTAGAAATTAGTCATTAGACTATAACACAGGTACGTCCTCGTGCTCCCTAAGTCTTGAGGACGTCACGCTCTTCTTCAGCCGGCAAGGCAGGCGTCTCGCGGACAGGAAAATCCTCGCCCTTTTCGAATGACACTCCAGGGCCCTGATAACTTGGGGAAGCAATCGGGTTCGCCGCGCCCTGCGTTGCTGCGGCAGTCACAGGCGGTTGCTCCTGCGCAGGAACAATCTCAGGCGCAGCCGCCAGGATCTTGGTCACGGGGCTGGCCCCCGTATGCGGCTTGACCGGCTTCGGGCTGACGACGGGCGGCGGTGCCGGCGCGACATACGTCGGCGACCTCACATCCTCCGACCCAAACGGCAGCGGCCGCGACGGTATCTCTTGCTCCTCCTCTCTACCCTGTCCATAACCCCAACCACCACCACCAGCACCGAGCCGCCGAAGCAGCAGCTCCGACTGCTCCTTAGCCAGCTTCTGCAGCTGCGCGACAGGATCCTTGTGGTAACGAAGGATGTTAGTCAGGTCACAGAGGCAGTCTGCAGGACCCCACCAAATTCCATGCACACATACCCAATCAGCCTGACCCGGCACGCCCTCGGCGGCCGGCAGCTGTTCCTCGTCCTCATCCGCACCCCAGCCGACGCTACCACCGCCCCCGCCGGAGACGCTGGAAGCGCCATCACCAGCAGCGGCGCCCCAGTGTCTCGGCCTACGGATCGGCGCGGGTGTGACGGGCAGACTGGGCCGGTCGTCCTCGCTAGGGAAGTCGGTCACTCTGGAACCGCGCCTCCCAGAGCCGAACTCGAGGTCCCCCGATCCCGGTGCCTTGCCGTCGCCGCCAGCCAGCGCAAGTTTCTGACTCCACGTCCGCCGGTGTCTCTGCAGCGTGCGGTCGACGTACCGGTTGATTTCCGGCACATTGTCCCACGCGTTGGTGCGGGGGAACGAGGACCAGATGTCCGTGGGCGCAGAAACGGCAGTGCGGGTCGTCGGGCCTGGCGGGGGCGGCGTCTGCGGCTCGCTCGCGTGCTCCGACGTGGGTGACCACCCTGACGTGGCCGAGTCGACGTGCGTCTGCAAGTCTGGCGGTGGGACGGTCTCCTCTCCGCCGGATCTCGCAGGCGTCGGCTCTGCCACGGGCGGCTCGGGCTCTGGAACCGGGTGCGAGAACACGCGAGTCGGCCGTGGTTGATGTGACTCCCAGGGGAAGACCGGCTTGGGTTTCTCCGTGAGGTGCGCCGGCGGCTCCTTTGGCACTTCGTACCACATGTCCTTGGGCGGGCTTGGATACCGCACCGGCGGGACGAATGGGGCCGGGTCAGAAGACATGGCGTAGTGCGTCTGTGGAAAATTTATTGCTTCCGGCTTCGCGTCGGGCGGAGGAGGTTGTCTGAAGGGTTTCGTTAGCTTTTATTGGTGCAATCCATCATCATGTGCAAAACGACTAACCGTTGAGCATCCCAACTAGGCGCCAGGTCGGGTTGAGGTTGGGGCTCAGGCTTATGCTCCGACTCGATTGGCGGTCGGGGACCCCATTGTTGGCGGTCTGATGCCTGGTCTTCACGAGCCTCAGTATGCGTCCCTTCTTTAAGGGCAGAAGACACGCTCGGTTGAGAAACAAATTGCGAAGACGGCTCAGTTGGATGTGGTGGCGGAGGGTGGTGGTGATGGTGCTGGTGGTGGTCATGGTGCTGATAATAATGATGATGATGAGGACGCTGCTCAAGAAAATATTGCTGATGGGGATCACGCTGATGCTGGGGATACTGAAAATCGATATGCGAAGGGCCCGACTGCGCTTGATGATGCTGACCGTAAAACGTTCCAGATTCGCCGCTTGGAGGCTCGCCAACGGGCACAACATAGCGAACCGTAGGCTGATATTCACCCTTTACGAAATACTGCACGATCTCGGGGACCTCTTTCTCCGGTCGGGATGGCTCGACCTGGGGCGTCTGATCAACCGGTTAGCAGCAGCTCTACACTCGATCTTGGCTTCAAAAACGCACCATTTTGCGGTAATGTCGGTCATAGACGGCCCACCATCTGCCCACCATCTGGTCGAAAGGTGAGCTCCCGGCGGACCGGTCTCTGCCCTGCACCCAAGGTTTTTCGGGTCCAATAAAATGGATCATGTTAATGCTGGACTGGAAGTGCTTGTAGGCGGGCACATATTGGTAGTGGGCCGAGGGCGTGACGTTGTAGGTGAAGCTGAGGCGGTGGAAGCTGTTCTTGAAGTACATGTTCAAGAGACCCTGGTCGGCGCCGTCAAACGAGATGCCCCTCTGGGCCATGGCCATCATGGCGTAATAGTCGCCCATGTTGGGGGTCAAAACCATGAGGCCTGTGTTGAAGAGGTCTGGCCAGCCAATGTCGGGGGCAGCTGAAAAGGCATGCGGAAGGTCAAAGAGCTCATCGGGTGCCCTGTAAGCCACCACATCGGCGTCCACGTAGACAATCTTCCGGAACTGGGTCTGCCTCCAGAGGTTGATCTTGGTAAAGGCTGAATGGAGATCTCGGCGGTTCATGAGATCGAGATTTGCCGGGTGCTCATTCTCGATACGGTTCACGGGAATGACATAGTCGTACACGGCCTGGGCAAAAGGTTAGCCTGTGGTTCATCAAAGAGCTCTGTGATGACCGAGGGAGCTTGCCTTGAGCTGAGTGACGACATCGGCCGACACCGTGTCCAAGGTGACCAAGACGGCCAACTTCTTGGTGGTGCCGGCATCGCGAAGCGAGTGAGCCAACACAAGGGCGCCTGATGAATGAGGCAATATATTAGCGGCAAGTTCACGGTATCTCTTGCAATTGGCTCTCCAGTCTTACCAGGTAGGTATGTGTCCGTCAGAAGAAGCTATTCCGGCATCTGTTTTTAGCATTTCCGTTCAACCCAAAGCTATCTTGAGTGCAGGGCGTGCTCCCCAAAGTGGCATCGCCTTAGATGCATTGACGGGGCATAGTGCGCCGATAGACAGGAGTTGACGATGTCATTGGGAAAGGTGAAGCTGGAACTTACGCTGACATAGACATCCTCTGGCCCTTGCACAGCCATTGCGTGCACAGGCTCCTCCTCACTGGCAATGTCGTGGTGAAAGTTGGGTGGACCGGGGCACAGGGGAAGGAAAACTTCGACCAACAACCTGGAGCAATCCGATGCAATAAAAAGTACGGATTAGTCGATGCAGGAAGAAGATAGTGGAAAAAGAGAAGGGACGGTAAGCTACTGTAGGCGAAATTGGGGCTGCGAAATCAGCGCAAGTGGCCTCGACACGACACCCCGGTCGTAGCCAACTTGAAATGTTTACACCACGCAGGTCGCTATCGCAAAGAGCCGTCCAGCATTTTCGTGCAACAGGCAACGGCAGGCGTGAGCTTGGTTTTGCAGGGATCCATGGCAGGCAAGAAAGAGAGACCTGGGCGCATCACCAGGTCCATTTGCTGGCGGGGCCACCAAGGCTCGGAATGCCATTGTCGGTACGCCCGTCTACTGTGTAGGTACTTCTGGCATCATGCAGGTTACCTTACGTCCTGTGGTAGCCACAGGCCAACAGATGACAGGCAAATAACCGTGTAGACCGGGGAAGCACCGGCAACATATAAGGTACCGTGGCACAGAGTAAAATTCGCCATTTGCGAGTTGGCATTATAGAATCGTCCAGCACGTGTAATGTTAAGTTTGCGTGCCTGCTTGGGAAGATAACAACTGTGTAAGCACCCAAGTCCTGGACGTGCAGATTCGACAATGCATGGGTCTTCAGCAGCAACGTTGCCAAGCTTCGAGAGCTATGAGCTTGCTTCGATGTCGGGCTTGAAGGTTCTGCGTGAGACATGTTCGTGGCCTGCCGCTGCAGAAACCCACAACGGTCAGGTCATTGTCGGAGATTGGATGCCCGTCTCGACTGCCCGGTTCGATGCGGCCCGGCTCGCACAACGCTTTTCAATGACTCAAAGAGAGATCCAGAGAATTGCAAAGAGTCGCGAGCCATCTCTTCACCACCTGACTTCTTGAATCACAGACACATCACGCAGACAGCCAATACCGCAATGGAAACATCCAAACCAGCGATGGAAAAGCGCGCCTGGAGGGTCCACTGCCAGGGCGCCTCGTGTGGTGGTGTGGATCTCGCCAGGCGCGCTCAGAGCGGGGCCATTGCATCATAAACTGGTGGGTTCGGTGCCCCGCTATGCCCCGCGTTGAACAATTGGCTGACCATTTCCAGATGCTCAAGCTTGCATGTCCTCGATGTCGAAGCCGCCCCAACGAGAGAGCGGGAAGCTGGACCCTGAAATCCATTCATCGACGGTCCCTCGATATCAAGGCACAGTACGAGCAAAATCAAAGCATTGTTGCGACATCCACAACACATGATGATGATGATGTTTTGTCCACATGGAATTCAGCAACCCTCTGCTTGATAACCACACAGCTGACGCATAATAGGAGTCTGTCACGTACACTGGTTCACATACAATGGCGAGAATGGCTCAGGTGTGCTTCATGTCTTCCTGTCGTCTCTCAGTTACGGTACCTACAGTAGATACCTCCGACGGCATTACATCACTTCCCGACCCGTCGATCATTACGTCGAGGCCTGGAGACTACCTTAGGTGATCTATCGCCTCGACACCAATACACTCTCCTCCGTTGTGATCATCTGCTTGGTACCATCCAATGTTGGCGAGCATGGTCTGTCTATTAGCGCATCGCATGGCGTGGTCCTGGGGCTACTAAACGCGGGGATACAGAAGAAAAGGAACAAGCCCGAAATAAAGGACTGGATATCGAAGACATCTTGTTTAATACCCTCAAGCCACAAGTAATAACTCACTGGCAGAGATAGACCGTACGGTGGAAACAGTCAAGCCCAAGGAGATAAGAGATTCCTAGCATTGACTGTGATGTATCAAGATTTTCCACATTGGCAACTCTCCAACCATACTCGGAATGCAGCGATTGAGTGACCCTCGGGTTTTTGGCAGTCGTCGCGCTGCTCCTTGCGGCAGGCAACCTCGGCATCCCAATATACAGCCTCATGACACACTGCGCGCTGCCGGGAGATGGTTAGCTTGTAGTTTCTTCACTTTGAAGGAACTTCTTCAGGCGGCCCAGCAGAAGAACCCCTTTCCATTAGAAGGGAATCAGACGATCCAAGGGAATAGGAGCGGAGATACCGCAACCACTGTCAACGAACCTATCATACAAATCACATCGCCCCTGAGCGCCGACTCCATCCCACACACACCCGATCACATCGGACCTCATCCTATATGGATTTCCGAAAAAGAGCGCCTCCCTCACAAATCCTTCTTGAACCCATGCTCAGGCTTATGCGTCGTCTCATAATCCACATGCACATACGCCCTCTCCACGTCCGGCAGCCTCTCCAGTTTAATCTGCAGCTCCTCGGCGATGTCATGCGTCTCCATGAGCGTGGCGTCGGGGTCCATGACGACGTCGACCTCGGCGATGAGCCTGGGGCCGGAGTGGTAGGCGCGCACCGTGTCGATCTGCTTGATGGCGGGCGAGTGGGTGACGCAGACGTACGTGATGAGCTGCTGGATCTCGACGGGCGCGACGACGCCGACGAGCAGCAGGAACTCGGTGAAGGCGGTGCGCAGCCACAGCGACGAGATGACGACCGACAAAAAGATGGCGCCGGCCGGGTCGAGCCACCAGACCAGCTTGCTGCCACCGACCGACGTGAGGATGCCGAAGCCGTTGACGAGCAGGTCATTGCGGTGGTCCTGCCAGAGGATGCGCACCTGCGAGTACTTGTCCTTGATGGACCACGTGTAGAGGAACAGGGAGAACTTGGTGGCGAAGGCGGCGCAAACCGAAACGATGGACGGGAGGAAGAAGGGCTTGAGGCCGTCGTCGTCTTGATGCTCGGCGAGCTCGCGCGCCGCGAAGGCGATGATGATGAGCGAGACGGCCGTCATGAGGAAGCAAAAGACGATGTTGCCGACGGTTTCCAGGCGGGCCTTGCCCGAGGGGAAACGGGCCGGGTCGACGCGGCGGACAGCGCGGTTGGTGAGGATCAGAGTAACGTTGGAGAGCGGGTCGAAGATGGCGTCGGCCATGGTGGTGAAGAGGGAGAGGGAGCCGGACGAGATGGCGGCGTACAGCTGGAGGGCCGACAGGACCACGTTCGCCACGAGAGAGCCCCAGACGGCGATCTTGAATTTCAGGTGATCCTCGCCCTGCTCCTGTCGAGCCTCGGCGCAGTGCTCCTCGACGCTCTTGAGCAATCGCTCGATGGTCTCGTTCTGCGCCTGGTAGAACCCCTCGAGACGCCGCGCCGTGGTCGCTTTGTGACCGAATGGTTTGATGTACCGCGCAAGGTTGCTGGTTGCCGACAGCCTGGATTTACTCGCAGTCCCGGCTGGCTGATGGGCAGCATCGCGCTTCCTAGACGTGTTTGCTTTGATCTCGGCCAGTTCCGAGGCCGTCTTGTATCGCTGGGAGAGGCCGTACGGGTCATTCCCCGCGCCGACAAGTGCAAACCGGCCTGCGCGCTGACTCTCGACTTCGACGTCCGACACCGTTACTGCGGGATGGCGGGCGACTGCCGCGTCGTCACCGCCATCCGTGGCTTCCACGGCAGTGCTTGCACCGCCTCTCGACATAGGCGATGGGGATCGCGCCAGGCGGCTGGCCGAGTCCGACTGAGTTTTGAAAGGATGCGGGTGCAGCGAGATGCTGTTCGAGAGATCTGGCTGGTCCATGGCGAGGATCAACTCGAGGTTGGTGCTTGTGCGCAATTCGGTTGTGTAATAGCGCCTGAGTGTACAGCGTCAACTTGTGTTGTTACATACATGAGATGAGATGAGCTTTAAGGATGGAAATACCCAATGCAGATCTGATTGATAAGATACGTCGAGCGATGGCGTGGAGATTGTGAACGCCTAAAAAAGTGCCGAGATTGTAGCAACCCACCTTTTGAAGTACCTCCTCCATCGACAACCTGTCTCTGAAAACCGAAAAGGAAGGGGTTTTCGCAAAGTGAAACTCGAATTGTGTATCGCACCCTTCAGTGAGGGGTCTCTGCAGTTCCCCGGCCTGCGCGCACTGTCGCACCCGTCTGCAGGAATCCTTCGAGTCTCAAACAGCTAGGAAACCCCCTCCTCACTACGAAACGGGATCAACGGGGGTAGGGGTCGGGGCTTGGTTGCGCTTTGTCACCAACCAAAAAGCTCCAGAAGCCGCAGGCTCGGCGTGGGATGTCTTCCGTAGTCGGCGTCGGGTTCTGAATTGTCTCGGCAGCTGAATCTGACTTCCAAGTCGATTTCCATTTTGGCGGCATATTAGGGAGGTCGATCTTTGTTGTCTAAGGTTATTCGTGTCCGATCCCGAAACGGCGGTAAGGGTGGGGTGGTTGGTGTACGTGGTTGCTGAGCATGAGGCCATATGGCCAAAGCCAACGAGGAATCCATGGCGGCTGACGGCGGCTATGCGAAGTACTGATCGCCCTCTGGAGTTCATGACTTCACTGCTTGAAACTGACACTTAGTGAAGACGCGGGCTGGTGAAATGGCGTTGCTAGGGTGAGACCGGGCTGTGCAGATGGCATTCTCGACATGGCCAGAAAGTCAGAAGCGAGGAAAGAGCCTACTAATAGCAAGTCTCGTGTCGGCGAAGGCTCTATATAGTCATGTACTGGCGGATCATGTTCGATAATTCGGCGACTTCCGGAGCTTTTCTGGGCAGTCCCCGGCATTCAGTTTCTCAAGCCGAGAGGCACCCGAGAACCGCGTCGGCAGGCTTCAGGGGTCCACTTCCCATCACGGCCGGGTATGCCTTCGGCGCCTCCTATCCTCCTACACAGCATCGGGAGGAGCTTGGGAATTATCAAGCGTTCCGCACTGTTGGATCCGTATTAAGAAACAGGGGCCATGTTATTAAGACCGGAAACCAACCTAACCACCAAACGCATAGAACTAACCCCCATACACCCGACCAGTCATCCCTATAGCTTCGCCTCCGGTCTGTCCTCACCACACCTTGCCAGGATCCAATCTGCGACATCCCTATAAAACTGCTCGCTGTCCGGCCCGTCCGCATGCAGCTGGTGATACCATCCCTCATACACCCTGAACTCCTTATCCTTCACTTCGCCCGTGCACTCATCAAAGTATTTCTTACTGGCCTCAAACCAGGTCGTCTTGTCCTGCGTGCCGTGCCCGACCCACAGACTCCTCAGCGCGCCGCCGGGCAACGGCCTCACCTGCCCACTCGCCAGCGCCGCCGTCCGATCCAGCAGCCCCGCCAACCCCTCCAGCGTGCCCGTGTTGTGCATCAGCTCGTCGGCCGCGATACTCTTGACCACCTCCGGGTCCCGACTCAGGTGCTCCGGCCGGATCTCGTGCTTCAGCTGCCGGTGCGGGAATAGCCGGCCCGCGAGCCGGCCCGCAAACACTTTCAGCGCCGACGGCTTCTCCTCGGGCGAGAAGCTGATGAAGGGCGCCTCGAGCAGCCAGCCGCGTACCCGGCGCACCAGGCGGTCCTGGTAGTCTGGGTGGCACGCCAGGGTGAGTACCTGGCCGCCGCCCATGGAGTGGCCCATGACAAAGACCGGGATGTCGGCATCACCATCCTTCGAGGTGGAGGAGAACGAGGGCAAGTGCGAGGTGACGAAGGCAGCCATGTCGGCGAGGACCTGGGACGTCGGGCCCGTGAGGCCCCGGTCGGCGGGCGTGCGGACGGAGCGGCCCCAGCCGCGCTGGTCCAGGCCGTGGACGGCGATGCCGCGGCTGGCGAGGGAGGGGAAGAAGTTGGAATAGCGGCCCAGATGGTCGCTGAAGCCGTGGATGAAGATGAGCTTGGCCTTGGCGGGGCCGTCGGGCTAGGAGGTATCTTAGCGAGATAAATTGTGCTCCACATCTTGTCGAGGTATGGACAATATGGGATGGAAAGGTCAGGCATATGGATGCTCAGTGTGAGTGACGTACCAGCCATGACTTGGCGTAAAGCCTGTGCCCGTCGACCTCGAAGGTATCTTCTTTCTCGATGACCATTTTGCCGACTGATGACAGCTTATGGGTGTGTGATGAGCGCAAAAGCTGGAAGGAGGAGAGAGAAATTGAATGCAATGGATTAGGCCCCCGGATGGTTGCTATTGCCGTTGATCAGTCCAGCATATGGAGTATGAGTGAGCCTCGGTAGACAAAGAATTCAGAACCCTGTCCGACGTGCTCAACACCGAAGCACTCGAACTACTCCGGGAAGACAGTTTATCACTGAAAGAAACGTTTACTGAGCTTGAAATAACAAGGGCAGGCATTTCAAGAACAAAAGGCATGGGTGAAGAGGAGAGCGACATCAGCCTTCGGAGGGCAAGTGGGGCTGTTTGGGTCTCCGACGCCTTCACGTGCCAACGCAAAGAGATCACAAATCACAAGTGTTGATCACCCTAACTGGTAACTACAAGATCTCTCATACATAACTGACACAACTGCCTCGGATTCAGGGGTTGTCTTGACATGCCATCCGCAGTTAAGGTCAATAAAGATATCGCTGCCAAAGTACAGTATCCTCCTGCCTGCGCCTAACCCCAGTGTATGCGCGGCCAAAGTTGCTGGCCAAACCATCCAACAAACGCAGCCAAACCATTTCTTTCACAGGAGACATCCTACATGATTGACAACATAAGTCGACATATCCAACCCCCGTAGCCCTGCTAGTCAAAAGCAATGATACCCGCTAGCTCTGTCATCCCAATCGTCCCATCGTGACAGTGACATCAACGCTGTCTGCCGCCATAACTCCATGCCTAATAAAACACAATCATAGAAACCTCCTTAACACGACCGCGTCCGGGGCAGAGACAATTTAGATATCACCTAGCTCATCCTGCAGCTCTGTGCCGGCAAACAGGTCTTGCGTAGTTGCGGGAGTGAGGCTGAACTTCTCGCCTGGCAACTCCTCGTCCGGCGTCCTGATACCGATCCCACTATCATCATGCGTCGCTTGCTGCGTGTTGGCCGCGGGGCCCGACGGAAACGGCGCGCGATCCGGCTGTGGCTCCGGCATGCGCGCCATGTTGAAGTCGTCGCTGGCGCTGCTGTACCGCGATCCCTGCTGACTCAATTCTCGGTTCGCTGACTGACGCTTTGGGACGGCAGGGTTGTTGCTGGCTGACTTTTGCTGCATGAAGCCGCCTTGCTCCGCCATGAACTGAATCATCTCGTCCACCCAGCATTTGGTAACCCACCACGACCCGAAGCTTTTTCCTTGTCCGATCGTCAGGTCCCTCATCAGCGCCGTGCTTAGCCTCTGGACACACCAGACGAGGTCCGTATCCGAGGCATAGGGAAACCTGCTGGGGAGAGACCGCAGCAAATTGACCCAGCGATCCAGCACGTTAGACGAATCGCTTTCATCAGTAGTGTCCTCCTGTGGTGGCTTGCCGTTCCGCACGGCGATTTCACCCTGTACCGTCAAACACTCTACCTCCCACGGCACGTTGACAGGATTGAGCAAATCCCGCATCTCGTTGAGCAGAAGATGCACGACATCGTCCATGCCCCGGGTTGGGATACTCTCGGCAAGTTTCCGCACATTGATCATGGAGATCCACTCCATGTACATCAGGTCGCGGTTCGCTGGGTTGGAGAGCATGTTAGCAGCGGCGTGCGCTGTCAGGTTGACCCGCAACGCTCTGTCGAGCAATGAAGCGAAGATGGTGGCTGGCGCCTCTTTCGCCCTGATAACGTGGTGAGGCTGCCCGTGGAATGAATCCCGAATATGGGGCACCAGTCGCTCCGAGATGTTGCGAAGCGTGTCCAACACGGGCTTAGGCACGACCTGGAGCGTCAGGCCCGAGACAATGCGCATCATACGCTGGTACAGTATAAAATCGCATTCCTCGATCCAGGAGGCAATGGCCGGGTTGGAGAACAGCTTCTGTACCGGCATGGTGAGGGTGCCCTGAAAAGACGTAAACAGGTGGAAGAACGACTTTTCCTTGCAATACCGGATACATTCGACCAGAGACGTGCAGAAGGAGCGATAAAGAGCCACGAGGGACTTGGCCGCATCGGGGTCCGTGCCGGAAGGAAGGTAAGATTCGATCCGGGGGAGGATGATTGGGTCTGACTGCTTAAACGTCTCCCCAATGTCGGTTGAAAAGCGAAGCTGCTGGGGTGTCTTGCCCATCGTCGACTGCAACTGATCGAAGCTGGCTACCTGTGGTTGGTTGTAGACACTGTGGTGGAATTCGTTCGACCGCATGGCTCTCGAATCCGCTTGGTGTGTGGTTGGAGGCACAGAGAGAGGAGTCCTCTCAGATCGCATGGAGGCAGAGGGGGCGGGAAGGGCGCTGCAGAATATTAGCATGCGTTTGCACAAGACAAACTAACGAGACTGCTTACTTGAAGTTTTGCGACAAAGAAGGATTTTCTCCCAAGGGTGCGGCCGCTTGACTTGGGCTATCCCCAACATCTGGCTGCTCTTCCTTTAACTGGAAATTCACGTAATGATATTTCGATTCTCCACGAACGCCCAACCGCCGTGTCTTCAGCCCCGGGAAGAGCACCCGCACCAGCTTCCCGAAGCTAGCAGGGTTCAACACGGTGATCCTCTCGGTGGCGCATCGGTTGGCATAGTTGGCATATACTCGCCCTCTGGGTACCGATCCCTTGCCGGTTGAGCAAACCTTGCTTATCCTACAGTCCGGTTAGCAGGACGTCATATCAAAGTTGTTGTGGCGACTTGTGGCCTACCAAAGCATAGCAAAAACCTGGCGCGCCCTCTCAGAGTTCGGGCCGCGGTCATTGCCGAGCAGTTCTTGGGCTACCTCCTCGAGAGTACGGTGCTTGTTGGAATTGAATAATTGCCGCATCTCAATTTCATTGTTGGCATTGGAACGCGGGCCAGACTTAGGCGCGGGCATTCCATGAAACGAGTCGCCGTCGTCGTTGACATCCCGATCCAGCATCTGGCTGTCGTCTGCGAAGCTCGCGTTTCCGGTGAAAGACTCGGCAGAAAGAGACTGCCTGCTCATGCTGTGGCTATGATGGTGGAACGAAACACTCTGAATAGGCGCACTCATTTGCGGTTCTGGTCCGAAATCGCGGCTTGCCTGCAGCTGCGACGCGAGCAGCAGGTCCTCCGGCGTCATCTGGGCGGATCCACTGGGAAGCTCTCGGGGTTGGCTGGAGTTGTTGGGCAACCATTGTGAAGGATACACATCGGCGGACTCGGCAAAGCTGGGTTCCACGTTGGCCTGTGTTGTGGCGCTGTGAATGGAAGTAGTCGAGCCGCGCGATCGAGGCCGCTTTCTTGGCTTGGTGAGTGCGAGGACTTCTGTGAAAAAATAAGCATCCGGAAGATATGAAATTTGGAAGGCAGGCTGAGTATGTAGAGTCGATGGTGAATGGGAGCGCAAGGTGGCGGCGATGGTGTGGATGTGGTCTTACCGTGGGTCGAGTCCATTGCCATGGTTGCCATGTGGACAAAACAGTGCCCTCCCTCTCCAAAACAGTGACGACAAGGGGTTGAGACAATAGAGCGAGCTAGCAGCGATACAAAGGGTGCACGGAATTAAAAATGTTGTGTACCAAGCAAATATAGGACGGCGACAGGTATTCAAGTTAAAGATCGCGCAGGGGCACAAGCAAAAGGGTGTTGCGCTGTCTGCCTCTGGACGTGCTCAATGCCGCATATTTTCCACTGACGGAGGAGGAAGAAATCAACAAACATTGCGAGGCGCCGGGGCAATGCGGTGCTGTGGCCACTGGCCAAGCTCCCCGCACGTCCCACGAAGCCCCACCTTGACCTCGTCGTGATTTGATTGGCGTGTTTGGCATGAGTTCATGTGTTCGTGATCAAAGCTTCATTGTTGGAAGACAAAAACACAGCAAGGCAGGTTTGCCCCGAGATGACCCTGCATAGTCGAAAATCCAGTTGCGCGTAGGCTTAGGTTCAAAGTGGGAGCATGGTTCGTGGGTGTCTGCATCCGTACTGTCTTCGGCTGCTGCTCCTCAAAACTGGGTGGACTGCATCTGGTTTCGCCTCTGACACAACGTCTACGTATAAACTGATAGCTGCCATGACTAGTCACTTAAGTTAAAAATGTTTAGATAGGTGGAACATGAGCCCAAATCTCTACTCCGTCAACACACCATTGCACAGTCGTATTGTTAGTTCGAAGGGGAGGAAAAATAGGCGCAAGGAACTTTCAGCAAAAGAAAACGCTGATCCGATCCAGGTTTGAACTGGAGACCTTCAGTGTGTTAGACTGACGTGATAACCAACTACACCATCGGACCTCGGTTATTAGCTTTCAATTTAAACAACCCATAGATACTGAGGTGCAACGCTTGGGAGCCAAGCGACAACTCTTCTGTCACGTGATGCGCCTTGTCTTGTGTATCATACGCTCAAGGAGCTGCCAGGGTTGAGCTTGTGACCGGGGTCTGATGCACACGTAGCAGTCGTCATTCCCTCGCACTCTTGACCAACCTGCCACCCGCACCAAACAAGTATTTCACCAATTCTCAACCACAACCAGATCTTCAACCTCCATACTCCAAGCGCATTTCTTGCCAACACTAGAGCTCAGTAAGTCATTTGAGCACCACGCTCCCTTAGGCTCCCTGTTCATTTCCTACCTTAGCTCAGAAAGCAAAGAGGCACCCCGCCGAAGCTGCCGAGAGCTCTCGACTGCCCTACACACGGATGCCATCATCCCACCATGTCGATTTCTGGAGACAGCCCCTAACCTGTCAACATCTAGGTTGCTTTATTACCTCTACTCTGTTACTCCACGCAAACATGTCTTCTCCCCAGGACCGCTTTCAGCACTGGATTTCGGTGGTCGACAGAGAGGTGTGTCCCGATGGCAACTTGCGGGTCCGATTTCTGTGCCGACCCTAGCTTTATACTGACTGATGCGGTACCTCAGCTCTCGAAATACCCGGTTCTCAACAACCTCGAGAAGCAGACGTCGATCCCCAAGGCCTACGCCGCGATTGGCGTGGCGTCGCTGTACTTCTTCCTGATCGTCTTCAACCTCGGGGCCCAACTCCTGACCAACCTTGCGGGTTTCGTTCTCCCCGGATATTACTCCGTCGCCGCACTCTTCTCGGCGAACAAGGCGGATGACACGCAGTGGCTGACCGTGAGTGTGTCAACACATTGCTGAGTGTGCGGCTTGTACTGACCCATTCACAGTACTGGGTCGTGTTTTCTTTCTTCACGTAAGCCCAATCCACGAATGTGCACCTCCGAACCAAACACTGACTCCATAGCAGCGTGCTTGAGAGCCTTGTTACCCCTGTTTACTGGTTTCCTTTCTACTACACCTTTAAGGTCGTCTTCCTCCTGTGGCTGTCTCTTCCGTTCACTCGGTATGCTGCCCGCTCCAACGCTTGTGCCTCTGCCTCTCACAAAACTAACGGTAGTCTAGGGGTGCCGAGATCATCTTCCGCTCCTTTATGGCCCCTGCTCTGGGCCGTCACTTCCACACCCCTGGCTCGACTGCCAGCGGCCTTCGCGCGAAGGCCGATTCGGTCCATACCGAGTAACCGATACTTTGGTTCTCCCGTCGGGCCCCATCCGGTAAAACAAAGCATGCAGCTTTGAATGTGGCTCAAAGAGGACAAGGGAGAGAGTCGGGTTGCTTGGGAGTTCCCTTTCCATTTCGATGGAGGGTCTGACCTCGCCCGCACGGTTCATGTCAGTTGGTGGGGTGAAGCTCGCGCAGCTGGGCACACCTGGCGGATTTCCTTTAGCACAGGATCAATGGGGAGTGCATACTGGCGCAGATTTCATTCGGTTTCTCGGATAGGTCAGTTTCATTGGAATAGGTAGAAGGGTGGTGTCTGAATCACATGATGTATCTCTGGAAAGGGCTCAAGTGAGGGGAAGCGTGGGCAGTCTCTCATTTCAGTTCCTCAAGACATGCCGCATATGTGCTGCAAATTAAGATGTGTGCCGTCCTGAAGATGCAGTATTACAAAGTGGAAGCGGCCATGGACGAGAACAGGCGATGCAACGGTTTCACAAACTGCCCCATCTACAGTAGCATCTTGGCTTGGCAGGGACGGGACGGCCTGGAAAACGATTCACAGCCCAGTGGCCTCCACCGCGTCATGATCCTTGCAGATCCGGAACAGGGCTGGCTCAGCTGGGTGCTCCTGCGCTTCGGCGCATTCTCCGTCACGGTCACCAACTCCAGACACGAGCATCGTTTTTAGATTGCATTCTGCAGACGACTTCGCAGCACGGCAGCCAAATCCAGCCCACGGACACCTCCAATCCCTACTTCAGCAAGCCTACTTTTAGGGCTCTATCCTGAAAGCGAGCGGGGCCCAGGCTCGCAACCATAATGTTGCTATAAACCGGCGGCCTCTCAGTGCTGTCAGCTACAGGGGGTGAGGCTGTAGGTGATCAACAGGAACAGAGACGGACGAAACGACGAGAACCTCTCCCAACACACGGCCAACAACTTCGTTTCCCGCAAGCACGGCATCGACGACTATCGCTCGAGACCCCTGCGGGGCCATGACAACAAAATGCAGCTCAGTCCTCTACAATCGCGGCTAGCGGCGTCTCTCGTCGCCTCCTGCCTGTTAATTCTGCTCTACCTTTTCCTGTTCCCACCAAACTTCGCCCTTGCCGCCGAGCTAAGGGAAGCGCTGCCCGTCGTCTTCGATCTCGATTTCCCCAACGGCCCGGCCTCGCGCAAATTCCTCGATCCGACATACGAGCCCGAGTTCCCGGCCTTCGACAGGAGTATCATCGGCCGGGCGCCCGCGGAAGTTACGTCGCTCACCAACAATGAGCCCATGCCTATGAACGTCGACATGGGAACGACGCAGCGGTTTGTGTTTGCGTTGCCTGCTGTGTCACGGCGAGGAGTGGAAGAGGACCGGTTAGAAGCAAGGGCGGACCAAAGTTTATCACGAGAGCGGAACGCTGGCGCTGGCGCCACGGAGCACGATGCGGTGAGTGTGAAGCAGGAACCAAGGCAGGCTAGGAGACAAGCCTTACGGACGGTATATATCTCGGCGAATACATGTCTGCAGCCACAGCCGATTGACCCGTCAAAAACATCCGTCGATCCGCCGCAGCTCACACTCATCGTCTCGACATCGGCCGAAAACCTTGTCGCGGACCCTGCAACCCAAGACATGACTGTCTTCAACGAGGGCGCCGTCATGTACAACCTGACGACGGACCGGGAAGTGTACATCGGAATACGCGCGCCGAATGTGTCAGAAGTGTTTTCGGGGACATACAACTTCCGAATCGCAGCGTCGACAGACGGCTTCTACTACAGCTATAACGAGCGGGACGACGCCGACTTGATTTGGGTTGACAGCGACTCACAGGGAGCCTTGCTAGTCACACACAATCTGACCGACAAGGCAGACCCGGTCGCAGAACAGCAAATCATGAGCACACAACCATATGTGATGTTTGCGCACAATCAGAAGGACCGCGCCATTAACGGACTTAAGCACTCATACTGCGGGCTGCTGAACTATGCACAAATAGCGGCGATCAAGGACGGCCGGCGGACGAGTCTGGTCAGGACAGGCATGACAAGGAGAGGGCCAGGAAACCTGCCGAAGCAGCAGTTTTTTTTCAGCGGCCTCAACTCCAGCTCCAAGTACATTGGTATCCTCGCAAAGGCTGGCGCAGATGGCGGCGCGCTGGGCAAGAGACAAAGCGCAGCGTTGAGGGGCACTCAGATATTCAAGGCAACGAACTTCACCACCAAATCAGGTAAGCCAACCCTCTCAAACCCTCATGCAAGAACTTCCCTACTCACCGCGACGATCATCAGACCACGGCAATTGCGCCCTGATTATCGACCTCGCCTTCTGCGACCAGATCGCCTACTCGGTTCCGAGCAACCCCAACTTTGGCAACTCGACGCAGCTGGCCCAGTTCTACGACGGCTACGCGGCGTCCATGTACGTCAACTTCAACAAGTCGCTCGCCCAGATCGCCTGCGAGGCGCCCTCGTCGCAGCGCTACTCGCTCACCCGTAACTGCACCGACTGCGCTGCCGCGTACAAGGACTGGCTGTGCTCCGTCACGATCCCCCGGTGCGAGGACTTCTCCAACCCGGCGCCGTACCTGCAGCCCCGCGCCGTGGGGCAGCCGTTCCCCGACGGCTCGGTCCTCGACGAGCAGGCGCTGGCGGAGGCGAGGGTGCAGAACACGACGGCGTACCGAGACAGCCGCAACCCGAGGATTGATGAGTTTGTCAGGCCCGGGCCGTACAAGGAACTTCTTCCGTGCGATGATTTGTGTTATAAGCTCGTGCAGAGCTGTCCGGCCAAGATGGGGTTCGGGTGTCCCGTGCCGGGACAGATTGGGTTTGAGGGGAACTATGCCAGGCATGATCCCGCGGTGGGGCTGACGTGTAATTTCCCTGGGTCGGCGCATGTCAAGTCTGGAGTGCGGAGAGCGGTCGTGGAGTGGGGGATGATTTATGCAGCGATGATTGTGGGCTTGCTGTTGGTGTTATGATGGTGATGGTGGTGGGCTGCTTATGGAGTTGGCATAGGAACGGGTATTCTGTTGGACGTGGCGTTGTGGTTTTGGTAGGCGATTTCATGTTGGTTTTTTGGGCTGGCCGGCACGATAGATTCTGTGGCTCAAGCGTACATCTCAGGACAGGAAGAGTCGCGGGATGCAACCGGCAACTCGACCAAGTTTGGATCATAGTAGTTTAAATTCTGTTCAAAGCAAGGGCGGTGGCTTCATCCAGAGAGTGAACGAAAACTCTTGTCAGACCATTCAGCAACATGGTGAAATATCTGTGTCGTCCTCCCCTTTCCTTGCCTCCCCTGGTTTGCGAAGAGTGTCTGAAGACTATCAACCCAGCTCTTTACAACCAACCTCCCGTAATAAGCTTATCCTAATTTGGAGGTCTCCTACCTGATATTTGAGTTAGCCTCCATCTTTTCAGCAGCTTTCCGCACTTGATTCCACTTGTTCTCGTCTCGAGACGTTGTCACAGCAATATACCAGTCGTTAGGGGCCTGGAGCAACAGCATGCTTGAGGGGATTATCACAGTGACTCCTGGACTATTGCGGGCCCCCCGCAGGGGAAGACCTTCTGCAGGCCATCTGCCGCAAGGTTCCCCTTTCATCCCAACCCTTCACCACCGGCCGGCCCTTTATAGGCTAGGGCCCACGCTCAGACTAGGACCACCTCCTCCCGATGGGTTTGACACCGAGTTAGCTCAACGACATTGGGAGGAGCTCTGGTTGGAACTTCAGCGACCAAAATTACCGGGTCCGGCTCCCGGTGAGGGAAGCAAAACGTACGGGCTCTTCGTAGCCAACTACGTCTCTTCGACCGGCGCGGGATTAGGGCTAGTTGGTGAGCTTTTGACGGTTCCCCATCGCCTTCTTACGTGCTTTTCTTTCCTTTTGCTTGCATTCCTCACCCCGCGTCTTCTTCCTCCATTTTTTTCATTTGCTTCGGTAACCTCCCTCTCTATTGTCACACCCCTTTACTTGCTCTTACCACGAGTCTTTTCAATGGGTTGTTGGAGGACTGAACAGTAGAGTTGTGTTGAGCACATTATTCTCGAACTTCGACATGTTCATCGTCTTGAAGCTACCGCGATATGAAACCCTTGCCTGCAAGCGCCCACCGTCACTTCGTCCCATGATCCGCCAGAGACTCCGCCCCCTGCCTCTATTTCCAGCGCCACCAAGACCCTCCGCCCTTCCCAGCCTCCTTATCCTCCCCGCCCTGACTCCTACTCAGAGTAGCACTTGCCGTCTCCTGAGCCGCCTGAGCAGCAGCCTGAGCAGCATGCAACGCCCTCGCCTGCGTTTCCAGCCTCCTGACCTCAGCTGTTCCTCCCCGTCATTCAAATCTGATCAGCCAACTGGTTTCGTGAAAAAGGACGGTGAGGACGATGAGCCTGAAATTTCCCTGATGGTGGAAATGATGGAAGTGAACCTGACAGCTGACAAGTCACTCACCCTGCCGCTCTTGCCTGATCTCGTCCGTTTCAAGCTTGGTCCAGCCAAAGTAGACGAGCTGGTAGACGAAGACGGCGAGGAGGGCGCACTTCGCCACGGGGCGGGTGAAGGTCTTGTAGAAGGCACCCTGTCGCGATGTATCAAATGCTATCATTAGTCTAAACATTTCTCGAGGTAGGTAACGAGAGGGTGGATATATGCCGGGTGAGTATGAGGGGCTAAGAGGTGAGATGAGGACGATGCAAGGAGGAATGATCCAGGTCTGGGGCGCAGTACCGTTGCTGACAGTTGCCGTTGTGATGGTTGGGAAGAGTTTAATCTCAACTGGTTTCGAGTGAGGGATAAGGTCGAGCGGGTTGCCCGGCCCAAAGGGGTCCTCTGGGGAGAGAGCATCGTACGAGTCGATTGCGATGGCGTGGGTCGTCAACCAACTTTGTGCTGTAGTGGGATTGATACGGATTCACCATGAATACATGGGCCGGGAACTGAAGCACATGCAATGGAAGTGGACTTTGATGAGCAGCGCCAAGCTTCCAGGTCCGCGATCAGTTCGGAAATGATTGGTCGCGCTTGCCTCTCGTGGCACCCCTGCCGTCGATTAATTGCCGCGCCTCGCCTGCCGGAACCAGCAAGGAACCCACTGCGGGCGACCCACTCCAGCTGCATGGGGTCTGTCAACGACACATGGCCAGAAGTCGATAGCTTGCAATCTGGCCGATTTCAGGGACGAACAGCTCAAACTCTCCTGATTTAAACCACTTCTTAGGGCTAGCGAAACCACAACTGGACGGCACGACCAAGTCACTCCTCAGGACTCCGAATTTTAACGTCACAACCGGCTTCGAATCTTACATTCCTCTTGATCGTCCGCGTCCACCAGGACCCGCCCCTGAACCTTCAATCCCTCCTCCCTCCACCCCCCGTCTACACATCATCACAATGGTACGCATGACGCCGTGACCCGCGCCTGCCGCTCTCCGCTGATAGTCTCGATCGCAGGCCCAGACACCGCAGCAAAGGAGGGCAAACCTCAAGTTCCAAAAGGAGCAAGAGGCGCGCATGGGCAAGTCGGAGGACCAGATCAAGAAGCGGGCCAAGGATGCGCCCAAGTCGCCCATCTCCCCACTCTGGCTCGGTATAACCTCCCTTCTTTCCCTTCTCCACTTAATTCTCGTCGCTGACTCGCTGGTCCTTCTGCTCCCAGTCCTCCTCGCGTTCGTCGTCTTTGGCGGGCTCTTCTTCGAGGTCATCTCACGCATCTTTTTCCGATGATTGCTGGGCTGGGAAAGTGATGGAGGGATAGACAAGGGAGTAAGGTCGTGGAAGAAAGGATTGGAGGAAAGAAACTATGCATGGATTGCCACGTGGCTAAACAGGAGATGGGAGCGCGCCACGAGACGGATGCCGGGTCCCCCTTACACCTGGTTGGATTCGGAAAGGGCGCGATGCCGTTGCATTGGCACACATGTACAATATCACCACCCGGGCCTTGGTTGGTATGAGGGTCTGACTTTTCTAGCGTATACCATTTCCCTCGCCCAACATCTACAGATGGCAGCGAAGCGGGGTTGAAGCTGTGTTTCCAGCTATAAAAATACGGGTATGCTGACTTGATACGGTTGCCATCAAGCTAACACGACAAAGTCTCCTGATTCAAGCGCCCAGGCCCTTCCGCTGACCACCCGCCCCGAACTTCATCTGGATGCCGGCATCGAACTGTTTCTCGAGCTCCTGCGAGACCTTGCCAATGTCGAGCCGCTTGCGTGGGCCGTTTTTGGCTTCGCCAGTGCTGGCAGCGGTGGCGCCGTGCTTCTTGGCCCCCAGGAGTCGCATGAACTTGCTTTGGCGTGAAGCGCCACCACCGAGGTTTTGGACGTTCCACCGCTCAGCGAGATCCGTGTCGGGGGCTTTGCTGGGAGCGGTCGCGGGGGTCTCCTGTTTTGACGTGTCTGTGAATGCGTCCGAAGCTTTGTCCCTCGTCTTTTGGCTGCCCGTTTTCTCCTTCTCTGCCTTCTTTTGCTTCTTCTTGGGTCGTGCTGCCTCTTGCTCGCCGGCGGCCTCGGTAGTTTTAGGCTCGGCCGGAGCGGCACTCACATCAGCTATCCCCACATCTCCATCCTGTTCCTTGTGCTTGCGCTTCTCCTTCTTCTTTTCCTTCTTCTCGGACGGGCGCTCCTCCGCGGCGGGTTTGACAGCTGGTGTCTCAATTGACTCGGCAGCCTCCTGGAGCTTCTTCGCCTTCTTCTTGCTCTTCTTCTCCCCTCCAGCATTGTCGGCGCTCGGCTTCTCCGCCTCCTCGGCTCTGACTCCCTCGTGCGCAACTCGCTCCTCCTCTGGCTCGGCCCCCTTAGCATCCTTCTTTTTCTTCTTGTCCTTGTGCTTCCCTGACTTTCCATCCACATCAGATATGCCCTCCTCCTCCTCCTCCTTCTTCTTCTTAGGGGGCTCGGCTTCATCCAGCTTCCTCACTCCCTCAACCTTGATTGGAGTGTCGGCCTCAGCTGTCACATCGACCGCCTCCCGCTTGCGCTTTCCATCCTCCTTCTTTTCCTTCTTGAGTTTCTTCTCGTCGCTTCCAGGTTGCTCCTCGGTCTTCACCACCGAATCCCCGGCGGCTGGGGCAGCCGAGCCGTCGTCCTCGGACTTTTTGGCCTTCTTCTTCTTCTTCTTCTTCTTCTTCTTGTCCTTAATGCTTGAGCCTGCGGCCATCGTGGCAACAGCAACGTCTTCCTTGGCCTCTTTAGTCTTCTTCTTTGACTTGTCGCCCATGTCGTCGGTGAGCTGTGTGAATCGAGCTGAGAATTGTGGGTGAGATTGATGAGTTGAATGTGCTGAGTGGAAGTGCTAATGGCCGACGGATATACTAGACATTGAAGTTGGGCTTCTTGCTTCAATCGGATTCCAGCCGAGTGAAGTCGAGTGAAGCTACTATGGGAAGGTGCACTCAAGGAGTGACCGCGGAGGCCTTCAAGGTGACCGTATTGAAATGGTTATTTCAGACGAGATATCGGGGTATAATACATACCCTAACCCTTATCTAAGACAAACGCGCCGTGGTGGGTCTGGTGCGCCTTGTCTCAGCTGCACTCGCCTCGAGATTTCCTTGCAGACGTCATTGGGAGTTTCCGATTCGCTTCTTGACTCCAAGGCTTACAATCTTAGGTAACACATCTCACACCACTCACTCACTGAGTTCCCACCACTCACGGCAACCATGGCCGACCGACGTGACGGACAGGCGCGCCGTAGAGGCGATAGATCATACCATGACGGCAAGGACAGACGCCACGATTGGGATGAACCAAGAGACCGCGGCGACAGCAGACGGCACATCGGCGCGCGCGATCACGGTACAGACAGAGATAGAGATCGGGACCACCGACGGTATCGCTCGCGCTCTAGGGACCGAGCCGGCCGCCGGCGTTCTCGTTCACCCGGCCGCGAACGAGGCCACGACCGGCGCGATGCAGACAGGGACAGAGAGAGGGAGAGGGAAAGAGGACATCGGCGGCGGGAGGAGGATAAGGCGGAACCTCAACGAGAACGTGGCGACAGGAGCGCAAGAGGGGAGCCGGCGCGTCCTGAGCGAGGTATTTCTCACTCTACACTACCCGCTACCACAGCCGCTAACATCAGGGATGCGTCAGACAAGCCCAGCCACGGCGTGAACCGAGTCCGGGATGGCCGCACAGCAACAGAATTTCCCCGCCGCTCGGCAAGCCCCAACCGAGTTTTCGAGAGGGACACAGACGATCATCCCCAGCTTCCCACCCGCTCAAAACCGAGCAGCACCATTGCCCCTATTCCACCAGCACCCGTCTCGTTCAAGGTTAAGGGCCGCGACGGCAGCCACGGGCCCGAACCGCGACAGCAGTCCACCTCGAGCCGGGAAGACAGCCAAGAGCAGCAGCAGCGCAGCCTCGACGATGAAGAGCGGCGCCAATCTCGCGGCCGATTTGATTCGGAGCCCATGGACGAAGACGAGGAGGACGTCTTTGTTGAGGACGACGGGCTCAATGATATGGCGGCCATGATGGGATTCGGCGGGTTCGGGACAACAAAGGGAAAGAAGGTGCTAGGGAACAATGTTGGCGCGGCGAGGAAAGAGAAGAAGACAGAGTATCGGCAGTACATGAACCGTGTTGGTGGGTTCAATCGGCCGCTTAGTCCGACTAGGTAGTGAGTGTTCTTGTGGAGTCAGGCAAAAGAGAGGAATGGTGTTGGTATGATACCCGATATGTTATTCCACAATCAAAACTTCCCCAACTTGCTGCAGCTCGTACCGTAAGTTCAAAGCTTGACGGCCTGAGAGCAAGGGGGCCGCAACTCTGACGGGCCGACCCACTAGGGAGATCATATTACACCGAGTCAGCATAACGCAACTGCACTGGCAACCTGTCTGATATAAACTATCGGCCTAGGCCCAACCTCTGGTCCACTGTCTCTAACGAGAAAGGCCGATCTCATGCATTTCGGGATGCCCGAATAACCACACGGGCAAATACCATTTAGTGCTTGACCCATATCTCGATGCGAAGTCTTATGCCGACACTCAAACCTCATCCTCCTCCTCGTCGAAGTCATCCTCCCTGCCCATCTCGTACAGAATCCTGCCCCCTTCCCCGCCCCCAACCTCAACCTGCGCATCGAAGTAAGGCAGCACCACCCCCTCCCGATCCCGCCTCTGCTTCTCCGTCAATCCAAGGTTAAACGTCGCCTCCATCTCTTCACCGTGCTCCTCCCCACCGCCATCCACACCTCCACCCGCCTTCCTAAACGCAGGATGATCCCCCATGACCATCACTACGCCCCCCAAGGCCCCTTTCCCATTTGCCTGCCCCATCCCATTACTCGCAAGCACAAACCGCTCCGCCACGGCCCGCCCACTCCGCCGGCGCATCTCCATGTCCACCACCACCGCCGCATCCTCCTTACCCTCCCATCTACCCTGCCCCTCCTCCGAAACATCACCACCACCACCATCCTTCAACCCGACCAGCACGCCCTCCCTGCCCTCGCGCAAGCCCCATTCGGGCTCGGGCAGGCTGCGCTCCCGCGCGCGGCGGGCCGCGACGGCGTGGCCCAGCGCCGAGACGCGGAAGACGGTCGTGGCCAGGTGGGTTAGCAGCGTCAGCGGGGCCGGGGCGTACAACAACTCGGATGATAATGATGGTGGTGAAAGGGTGGGGACGTCGGTGTGGTAGACCGCCACGAGGGAGGTGAACGGGGTGGTGATGATGGAGGTGAAGAAGGCTGGGAGGAGGGTGGGGGATTGGGAGGCGAGGGTGTTGAGGGTGTCGAGCAGGATGAGTGTTTCTTGGGGAGCGGGGAGGGTTAGTTTTGGGTGATTTTGGTTATGTGAGATGTACCGGGGGGGTTGTGGTGAGAGCTTACTTTGAGGGGAGTCCTTGGTGGTGGTGGTGGTGGTGGCTCGGGAAGGGGTATTGTGTGAGGATATCTCTGCTGCGAGGGCCTTCAGGGATTTGCCTCGAGCTCTGATGAAGGCGTCGGCCGCGTCTGGCTTTTTGATCGTCTCGAAGGAGACGAAGACGATTTTTGCGCGCTCATTCTATGGTGGTGTGTGTGTGTCAGTGCCTGATTGAATTGGAAGCACACAGTAATGAGATTCAACCCACTTTGGCCCTCCTCATGAACTCGTCTGTAAGCGGCCGAGCCCCTTGCTCTAGGCTATCTAGTATAAGAGTGAGCGGGCTGGCGCTGTCCCGCATGTTGAGTAACTTCTCAAAGAGCAGCAAACTGTGAGCCCGCTTATGCGCCTGAGCCGACGGCGCCATGGCTAGGGTGTGATGATTATGGGGCTTCGAAGACGTCAATGTCAAGATGCCTTTCAATGGCGGTTGGTCAGAAGGAAGAAGATTGGGTGTGTGGTCACCACGTTAGATGAGTTGAGTCCCAGTGTTGATGAACAAGAGTGTGCTGGATCAATTCCCAATATTTTGTCGTGGTACGCCTCGATACTGTAATATTCAGCACAACCTCCCCCAGAAAGGCAGGCCATGCTGGAAGTTCAGATTGAACTTAGGGAGCAGACTTGATGCGCTGATTCTTCTAATTTATCTACAGAGTGCTACTAGCTCTAACAATTTTACTTTGTTGTCTCGATTCCTTAAAGAGTTGACGCCAGTTCGCAGCCGTATCGGCAAAAGGGGTATCTCTTACAATATACGCTAACACCAGGCTTGCCAGAATTCCATAACCACCCATCCCGCCAACAAATGCAATAGCCCATTTGCCTTTTGAATGCTCTTCTCAAATCATCCGGACTCGAAGCTCAAGTGACACGGCTTGAAATGAGAGGCCGGCAGAGTCCAGACTTCCGCAGCGCTGTCCCGATAACAATGGCCTCCTAGAGACTCCGCCGCGGTCGACGGCACTGCTCCAACTCGACAACCAGCTCCTTCTTTTTTCCTTCGATGGGATTGGACACCGACCTTGTACCGGAAGTATCCTTTTTCGTCTTTGCCAACCTTCGAAGCAGATACCTGCCGACCTGTGGGCCACGTCCTTTGACCGACTCTTGGCCCTCCGAAGAAGGCTTTTTCGGCGTGTCCGTAGTGGCCAAATCATCTGATTTCTAATCAGGCCGAGAGACAACGACGGACGTGGCTTCTCCTTGATCTCGTGAAGCTATGGACGAATTCATCCGGAGGATGATCGATGAATCGACGGGTTCGGGTCCCTTTGAGTTGCTCTGAGCAGCCTCAGTCGGGGACACTGGTGGGCCGGCCTCATTGTAGCTGTTTCCTTCGTGGATCCCCTTGTCGCCTCTCGCTGCGGGGTGTGCCGCTTGGGAGGATCGTCGAGAAGGGGATTTCGGCGTCGATGTTTTCGACTCGCCATCCTCAGCTTTCTCCTCGCGAGGTAACTCGACCTCCCATTCCTCCTCAAACTGCTCTCGGAGGAACTCGTCGAAACCGCCGCGCTTCTGCTTCTCGTGGGCAGTCCACGCCTGGCGTAGCCACTCTTCATCGTGGCGGCCGAGCTCAATGTTCTCACAGTACCGGGCACAATCATGCCGGAAGTTGTCGTCATTGCGGAGTGATACCGTGTCGGGGCGAGCATTGGCCGTCCCAGCATCCAGGATATGCGTCTCATCGGGAAACTTGGCGAGGACATCCCTCTTCTCCTCCGGAGTTAGGATATCCCAAGCGTCCGGATGCAGGAGGATCGCCTGAACTGAAGTTAGCATGCTGAGACATAGGAAAATGAGCAGAGCATGCATACTCTCAGATCGGCGTTTGCGAGTGGCGCCTTCGGGTCGGTATAGACAAACGGGGCTTCCCACTTCTTCTCATGTGCGGACTTCTTCTGCGCTGGCACGATACGCCGGGCCTTCTTGGCCGGAGCGGACGTGCGAGAAATGCTGGCTTTGCGCTTTTGGGTGCTGGATTGGCCGCCATCGTCAGAGTTGTGACAGGGCAAATCGTCTGCTGTGATATTCCCCTTGGGGCTGGCAGTTGGTTGATTCGCAATTACTTCTCTTGTCTCAGCCCTCAATTCCTGATGGTCGGCCGAGTATGGTACTCTATCACCGCTTTCGGCCGGACTGTGAATAGCCACGTCGATGACGCTCTCCGGAGGTGAGGAGAGCGGGCTGCTCCGCGGCTCGTCCGCCATGTTTGAATGCGGAATCTGTGTTCCAGTGAAGAAATGCTCGAAGATAACGAGTCAACTGAAGATAAATAGATCAAATAAATCCGCAGGCATAGACGACACATCTCACACGCACCACATTGCACACTGCTGCCCGTTGCGGAACCAGGCCAGTGATTGTGAATTGGAGCGAGGAGTCCAAAAGAGAGGAAAGGAGGAAGCTGTGCTTTAAGTATGTGTGTTCCTGTCTGAGCAGCTAATGTGTATTCAGCGTCTGAATAGGAATAGCAAAGCGGAGTATTAGCAATATCAGTGCGACACGAGGATGGGTGAAGCCCGGGTAGTTGCAGGTTGAGAGAACCTTGATGCGATTATAAGGCTGAAAGCATATGGACATTGCGGAGAAGCAGGATCCCTGTGCATCAGACCCTTGCTTACTTAGAATCTCCGAGTCTGGCCCACCCCACATCAACTACCCCCAGCCACACAATCTCTAACATATGGTTAACTAAGATGTCTAATTCGAAATAACAGGCTACCGGCATAATTGCTAGCAATGCAGATACATACAGATTGAAACTCCAGTTCCGGGTTTCAATATTTCGTACACCAACCCCTGGCTTTCTTGGCTGTGGCCAGCCGCCGGGGCATCGAGTCGATAAGCTGGTCGATCTGAGCCTGGTCAATGGCCCACCAACACTCCTTTAGACACCTAACGAATACAGCAATATCCAGTTGATTTTTCTTGAGCTCCCATATGTCAGGGTATTGTTTTTTCATTTTCCGTTTCAACGAGGCCCAAATGTGCTCAATTGGATTGAGATCTGGGCTGTGAACTGGCCAGTCTTCAAGGACCTCGATTACATGGTTGAGGAGCTACTCTGTCGAAGACGCTGAACTGTATACCCGAGCATTGTTCTGCTGAAAATGTCTTATGCCGTTATAAACAGGAAGGAGGCCTTGTCTAGTGCTTGTTGATAGCTCTAAGAGCTGTAACCTCCTTTCTGAGGAGGTTGATAGTCACGTTCCATGACAAGAATGTCGGTCCTCCCTCCTTTCCATATAGTTACCAGCCCAAATTATAATTGCTATGGTACCTTTCCTATAGGTCTTAGGATTGACAAAGTTCTTATCCCATTTTTGAAAAGGAAACCGAAAAACCTAGGTGGTTGGGCTGCTTATATTGTTCTGGCAGGTCGACTCATCCGTGAAGATCGACTTGATGTTGTTAGCCAAGTTCAAGCGTAGACTTCCAAGTCACTTATACGTAACAACACCTCAATATTCTCTAACGAAAGATAAGCAAACCCTTACCGAGTAGCAGCCACCTCTTTTGTCAATGGGATTCTCTACTACGAACGCCATTTACGCATTCGGTAGTGGCGGAGAACTTGGCGTATCGTCGAGCGAGAGATCCGAGTATCAACTGTGTTGGTAAGCAGCTGTGTTGATAGGCGTGGATTCCGCTTTGCCGATTGGATGATGTACCGTTTCTCCCGACGTGTGAGAAGCTCCGGCCTACCAGTTCTAGGTCTAAATTCGACGGTGGCTGAAGAATCGAACCGTTGAATCGCTCGTTGGACTGCCTTCCGGTCGACGCGAAACGCGCGAGCCACAGCCGACTGGCTTGCCCCAGCTGCAACGGCACCTATAATGGCTGCGCGTGCAAAGCCCGAGCGCTCTTCATTTTTAACGTCCGGCCGTCATTTTGAACCCGACTTCATCTAAATTGAGCATGCTGGCGTAGAGCTCTAGGAGTTGGAAGAACGAAGGTGGCGTTCGACGTGTCGCGAAGCGCGTTTGATTGCCGCGGGGTGGGCCAGACTTTTAGACCCCCACTGTACTTAGAATCTCCGACTGCGATGCGTCAGCCTCGCTGGCTGTGAAATCCGACAGGGGAAGCTTTCGTTCATAGAAGACTTGGCATGGCTTGTGCTCCTTAACTGAATCCTGCAACTTCTTATTAGCATTACAGCATCACGACACCAACTGTTCACCTCTTAATTCTCATCCGCATATAATTTGCCAGTACGTCACTGAGTTCAAGTGAACTTCTGCTATATTTGGAGGACACCGCTCTTGGCCAGTCCCCCGGCGGCCGTCTGATGACGATCTCGTTGTCGTTCAAGCCACGTTACGATACAAGTCCCTTTCTAGGAATACCTCTCCACGCCAAGTCCACCATACAAACCGATCCTTAACACCGCCCTGAGATGACTGGTCGCTCCCAAGAACCACAGAACTAGTCGACAACAGCGTAGAGAACGAAAATACATAGGGGTAGCCCCAACTAATCATTATGATCCGCTCAACACAAATTGCCAGGCTAGACGGTTAACCACCCCTCTTTGATTGCCCTTCCACCTTCACAAACACTCTTATGCTAATCTTAACGACCAGGCCTGATGCTATGCGCTTCAGTAGACGACTCCGAGACTGAGCGCACCCTCTCCGAAGTAAAATCCCAAGTCAAGCTCATCCTGCGGCGCCTCAGCCGCAGCTCGGAGCCGCAAGCGTCGATCGAGAGCGGCGCCTACACGCTGCACTACGTGATCACCGCCGACGTCGTCTACGTGGCCATCACGGACCGGACCTACCCGCGCAAGCTGGCCTTCACCTACCTGTCGGACCTGGCGACCGAGTTCTCGACCACGTACCCGCAGCAACAGCTCATGAGCCCCGTGCTGCGGCCGTACGCCTTCATGGAGTTCGACACCTTCATCAGCCGGACCAAGGCGACCTACAGCGACGCGCGTGCGACGCAGAACCTGGACAAGCTGCACGACGAGCTCCGCGACGTAACAAAGTACATGACCAAGAACATCGAGGACCTGCTGTATCGCGGGGACAGCCTGGAGCGCATGGGGGAGCTGAGCAGCAGGCTGAGGGATGACAGCAAAAAGTACAGGAAGGCGGCCGTCAAGATAAATTGGGATTTGCTGCTCAAGCAGTACGGGCCGTTTGGGGCGTTGGGGTTCATTATCTTGGTGTTTCTATGGTGGAGGTTCTTCTGAGGGATCTTGTTTTGACGGACGGTTGTATTACTTGCGCTTGGGGTCAGCATCGGAGTTGGCGGTATGGTATCCAGCGGCTGCTTGGCTGTTGTTTGTGTATTTCTTCACGTGCTTATGCGTGCAGATAGACTGATACGCTTCCCCGGTGGCAAGAGTGACATGTAGTATTGGAACTCGGCATTCCCAACCGTCGATTGATCTGCCAGCAGGCGTAGTATGATGAACTGTGTTAGGTATCATAAACATCTTTGCCCTCCTTGTGAGCCTACCCATCCCGGAACTCCACGCTTCTTAGCTGAAAACCGATGCCTCGGGAAATCAGCCAACACCAAACGCCTCTACATAACCCTACAATTCGATGCCGCAGATGGCAGCGCAGATGCCAAGGCTGATATGGGAGGCACAGGCATCGCTGTGTGGAACCACTCCAGATGTTCCCGAAACGCCTCCAGGTCTGGAAACCCCCTGTCCTCCTGGACATACCTCAGCTCGGAGCTGTCCTCCCCCTCGTCAAGGTATGTGTCCTCCTCGCAGTACGGACAAATCAGCCCAGCCTGCCATTCCCCGGGCTCCGGCGGCATGTGGTTCGCGATCGGGAGCGGCGCAAACACGACCGTCTTGTGTTCGCCCGTCGAAGCGCTCTCCCCTTTCGCCTGCCAGTGCGGATACCCCGTCACGGCCGTTGGCGCCAGCGGCATCCTCTCGGACGGCATGCTCCGCAGATCCGGCCAGACGATATACCCCTCGCAGTAATCGCACACAAACGCTGCGTCGTGCGACTCGTCCCCGCCCATCAGCCGGAACCTCCCCACGGCGTTGCAGCTCGGCACAAGCTCCTCCAGACTGCCCCGCCTGCCGGCCCTCTCTTCCTGCCCGGGACTCGAACTCAACCCCAAACTGGGAGAACTCAACAGATCCTCCCTCGACACCTGCCCCGCCGCCCCACCCATGCCGATCTCCGTCCCTCCTCGCCGCCCATTCTCTTCCCGTTGCTGCTGCTGCCAAGGAAGTACCCCCTCACCCATCCCAACCCCAACCCCAACCGTGACCCCCTCCCTCTCCTTCCATTTCTGGTGGAGATGATGATGTCCTCCACCAGCCGCCACCCCCTTGTCTGCAGGCTCATTACCATGCCGCCTTATCAGCAGCCGATACACCTGGAAGGCGCCCAGACACCTCCCGCCGTCCTGCTCGGCAGCAAAGATGCGGCTGGCGGCGCGGCACTGGGCGCGGTGGAGGGCTCGCCGCAGTTGGGCCGTCTCGCGCGCCCAGGCTGGGTTGATGGGCCCGCCCTGCCGGGCCCAGTCTTTGAAGTTTTGGGTGTGAAATCGGAATCTTGTCAGGAGAGATTGGAGGGTGTGGAGGGATTCAGCTGTGTGTTTGTTTGTCTTTTCGTTAGGTTATTAGTTTCCAACACAAGGGGGCAGGAGGGAACGATGCGGCAGGTGTTGTTGGGGGAAAAGAAGTAAAATAGAAGGATGGTGGGAGGGGGAAGGGTTGACGAACGGGTGCGGTCGTTTTCGTAGTAGAACTGCCCGTGGACGAGGGGTGCCATCTCCTGGAAGTCCTTCTTGGCCTCGTCGAGGGCTTCCTCGAGCACGCGCGTCTGTTCGAACTCGTCGGGCCCCCATTGCCGCTTGTCGGCGAACATGAGGATGCGCAGGGCCTCGGTCATGCATGTTGCGATCGCGGCCAGGAGGGTGCCGACCGTCTGGGGTTCGGTGCTGCTGCCGTCGGGGCCGATCGCGCTGGCGCTGGAGATGGCGCTGGAGCTGCCTAAACTGCCCTTTTGGCTGGCGCGGCGGCGGCCGCTAATCATTGCTTACGTGCTCTTTATGATGCGCGGTCTGGCTTGCCCTGAGCTTGATCCGAGTGGTGGTTGTGTTGAAAGAACCTAGTCCCGTAATTCTTGCAGTGGAGGGTCGCCCCGGGGTTGTCCTCGACGAGCTCGCGATCCCAATGTCCCTCAGACGGAATGCAGCGTTTGATCAAGCTGACCACTCGCAGTTATTCGTCGAAGCTTCGAAGTCGCCTCAGATAAGGTGAAGCGACTCTCCGTTGCCTTTATCAACTGCCTCAAGAGCGCCGAATGCCCGGTTTGTTTGATCTCCGCTGTCATGGTAAGGCAGTTTAACGATCCTGGTTCGGGCTCCGGAACGGGGTGATTGGGGGATGCGGTTGGATTGGCGGGGGCCCCGGACAGGGGAAATTGGGCGGCCTTGGGGCGCTAATATATGCGACAGCAAACCGTTACGATATCACTCGACGGCATGTGGATGCGCTGTGGGGTGATTTCCAACCGGCTATGGAAGCGTCCAGTGTTCTGCTGGTACATTAACTTCCATGTTTCCAGCTCTCGACGTTGGATTGCTCGAGAAAATCACCAGACTGTACAGATCGACTGCACGGAGTAGCCTGGAAGTTCCACGGTTACACCAGGTCCAGCTTGCAGGAAGCCATTGGGTAGAGAACGGGGTGTGGTGGGCTTCGATTCGAGGTTGAGCAGATGCCGAAATGGCAACCCGCTGCACAGACATGGCCTCGCGGCTCATTGCCCAATGGAACGCTGACGTCTCCACGCCTGTCTCTGTGCCGCTCAGCCCTACGAGGCTTTCTGCAGACTCCGAGATTGCAGGGTCCCAAAGTGCTGTGCAACATAGGCTCGTTGGAGGACAGACTGCTGCATCACGCTTCGGTCAGGAGATGGCCACCGATAACCATAAGAGAAGCTCAAACCTTTATCCCGAGACAACTTGTCTGTAACCACTGATTGAAGCAGGAGTTGGTGTCGGGCCAACATCAAAGGAAATCTGTCGTGCTCTGCCATCTGTATCGTACCTTGTTCCCTATTCTCCAAGTTACATACCCAAATCTATATCCTGTGAATAACCGTCCATCTATCCCTATTTCCTCTTGGTCGCCCTGGCGGCATCCGCGCCCGTGGCCTTGACAGCGGTCTTGCTCTCCGCAGTCCCAGTGGGCAAACTCTTAGTCTCCGTCTTCTCCGCCTCCTTCTTGTCCGACTCCTCCTCATCCTCGCCTCCTTGTCCAAATTCATTGACGCGAGTGTAATCCACCTTGTACGCCCAGCGCTGGTATAGATAGATGAAGAAGATGATGTCATCGCGGAACGTCGCCAGGCGGTGCAGGAAGGGCATCTTGATGGTGAAGGCGAAAAGGTCGTCGATGAAGGTATTGAGGAACTTGTACATCATCGCTTTGGCCGGCATGTGCGCCACGCTCTTGAGCCGGTAGTTGATGTAGAGCGACGGCACCATCATGAGGAAGCCGTACGCATACACCGACCCGACCAACGTCGCGATGATATACGAATACCACGACTTGTGTGTCTCGTACACTAGCGAGTAAGTGGCATACGCAATGAGCAGCGGGACGCCGGCCATGTACATGTACTTGAAGGCGATCTCGTCGTATTCCTTGGTCTTCTCCTCTGTCTCGCTGAGCTTGTGCTTGTCCTCGAAGGATATGCGATACGGGATCAGAGATCCTGGAGCGGGGCGCACCCGGACGTTGACCACCGTCGTGATCTTCCACAGCTCAATGACGATACCGACGGCCTGCCCACCCAGAATCATCCAGCTCGTGTTTTGGGACTGGTCAATCAGGTAGAGGAAGATGACTGTCTGCATGAAGACGTTGGCAAGGATTGAGCGCACCGAGATGCCCACGTTGTCCTTCTTTTTGCGGTAGTGCGCAATGTCAGAGCCAAACGCCAGCGTCTCGAGAATCATATGGGCGATGCTGACGACGACGGTGATGCCAAGAAGGATGGGGTTCGTGTCAATGAATATCTCCTTGATCATTTCAATCTCAGTTCCGTCGCCGCCACCCGGCAGCGAGTTTCCATAGGCGGCCTGGCGAGCAGATTCCTTGCTGCTCAAATCGATCGACGCCATGGTCTTGAACTTCCAGTCGGCGAGGTTGTTTAGGTCGATACGGATGGGCATACTCTTGACCGTGTCGTTCAGGAGGGTCATGTGCGATTTGAGCTGCCAGAATGTGTTGACGAAAAGGATCGGGTAGTACCACGAGTTCTGGCCGGTGCCGTCCCGCGCACCAGTTGCCTCGAGGCGCAGGAATTGGCGAACCGCGGGAGGCGCCTGCGGCAACGATATGACACCCGTGTTCGGGATAAATGACAGCGAGACGTTCGGGTGGTAGTAGTTCGCAATGATGGGCCCATACGGCTCCGGCTCGTCCTCGGGAGACTCTTCAGAAGCCTCCTGCGAGTCTCCCAGCAGGTTCCTCGTTTTGGCTGCCTTCTTCTTCGGGATGTACTGGGTGAGGGGATAGACAAAGTGGTAAGCCGAGGCTGGGTCGTAGCCCTGCTGCGTCGGATCCAAGACAGCGCCAGACAATCCGACGTAAAAATGTCCCCACAACGTGCCGTTTTGCTGAACCGGTGTCGGGATGGAAATGGTACCTTCAGCAGTGCGCTTGTCTGTCCAATTGCTTATCCGGAACTGCTTCTCTTCCAGCACGACGGCGTCTTTGGAGTATTCCTTGAGCGGGGTGAGCCCGAAGGACGGCGAGACGGTCACGACGATGTCGACTGCGCTGTTGTCAGGCCAGATCGGGGCAACGAGCTGTGGTACATGGTTGTAGGTGGCGCCTTCGTTCAAGTGTGTCGGCCGTTCGCTGTAGGGTGGTACGGCAACCTGGACGGCGTTGCCGTTGGCGTCACGGGCGGGCGTGGTCTTGGACCCGCCCATGAACTGCTTCAGCACAAACTGCATGGCCATATACATGGCGACGCCTTGGATGATGGTTCTGAAGATGGATTGCTGGTCAGGGTTAGTTAAGTTACCTTAGGTTATTGGCACCGGATGGCCGCTCGAATGTCGACGTACCCCTTGGCCCTCCTGCCGCGCAGGCTGCCCGCCCGACTGCTGGTTTCGCTCAGGCATTTTGGCAAGTGCTAGTGGCCCAAGAAACTGCAGGCAAAATGAAGCAATTCTAGGTGGCCTAGTTCTTCTGCATCAGCTTTCCGCTGACGGTCCTGGGATGGTGTTCAGGACTGATGCACTGCATTGAAAATGTCCCAATCGAAGATAGCGGAAGCTCTAGCCACTGTAACTGCGGGGCGCTGTAATTACACGTGTCTTTCCAGGAGCGTACGAGTGAATGGAGTACTAACACCTGACCGATTAACTGGGTACCTTCTACAAATTCCGTTCAGGCTACCTTACGCTCAGCCGTTGCGCATGTCCCTAGCTCTCCTTTCTTTATTCTACGAACAAACTGAGGCGTCCAACCCAAACTCGACTCGTTGCTAACTTCCAAGCGACGATCTGCTTGCGTAGAGCAAGTAGAGGCTTGGGGGAATTCTGCATCGCACACGTATCTGTGTAACGACTTTGGGCCGCAAGGTTCTTTCGGCTGATTGACCCCGTCGGGGGATCCGATCCGTCCGATCGGATTGCGCCCGACAACCACGAGCCGTGTTGTACCGCATCACTGGTCTTGAGCTTTCCGCCTGGGATCTTGTGACCACCGTGTCACATGCTCCTCGACCTGTCCTCGACCTGTCCTCGACCTGCCCTCGACCTGTCCAACGTGTCCACCGGTTCGCGGATGAGAAGATTGCTCGGGTTGTGCATGTTGCAGATGCCGCCAGGGGCTTGTGATATGCGATTCGCTGATGAGGGGGTCGCATTATGTCATACCAGGCCCAACAAGGGCGGCCGCGGGATGACCCAGGTTCGCGACAGCACGCAGAGCAACAGATTGAAGAATTCCGGACAGTCTGGGTAACGTCGGGTAACAAGGGATAACTGAGGTAGTATAAATTCGCAAGTGTCGCAGCGCCTACACCGCAGTTCGCATTCCATGCCCTGGACAGTTCGTTTTCACACTCATCTCCCCGCCGATCCGCTCAAGACGGACCTCACCGCGCCACCCAATTCGCCAACCTGAAACTCCACAGGCTTCTTGTCCGACAGGTCTTGGTCTAGCCAGCCTGCCATCGTGTCCGGGACCCATTCTCGAGCGCCGAGTGTTACCTCTTTATCTCTAATCAAGTGACTCGGCCGGTGTGAAAACAGAGGCGCGACTATAAAGTCCCTGTTCCCTTCTAACGAGAGAGAACAAACCAGTTACTCCCGATATTGCCATTCGCCCGTCTGCTTGACTCATCGGCCGAGAAACATGGAATCCGGCGGCGCTTCTCCGTTCCCGGAGTCCCGTCTCCCGACTCCTTCGAATGGTGCCACCAAGCGCACCAAGATCTGTGTCTACTGCGGTTCCTCAGCAGGAAATAAGCCAGAATATGTCGAAGCCGCCCGCGCGCTCGCCCGGGCCATGGCTGCCCAGAACATCGCACTGGGTGAGTTCCTTCCGCGCTGATCCACGTACTTTCAGAATCCCTAACTAACGCCGTCCTCTTAGTTTACGGAGGAGGCACCGTCGGACTGATGGGTGAAGTCGCCAAGACGCTCGTCTCACTCTCCGGACCAGACTCGGTGCATGGCATCATCCCGGAAGCCCTCGTGCGGTACGAGCGGGACCCGACGTACACGTCGAAACAGCTCAACGGGGCAAAGGGCACGCACTTGGCTGTCCCAGAAGAGTCGGTATTCGGGCGGACGACCATCGTCAAGGACATGCACACGCGCAAGCGCTTGATGGCGCAGGAGGTCATTGAGGGCGGGCCGGGGAGCGGCTTCATCGCGCTGAGCGGCGGGTACGGCACCCTCGAGGAGCTGTTTGAGACGGCCACGTGGAATCAGTTGGGCATCCACAGCAAGGGCATTTGCGTGCTCAACATCAATGGCTTCTACGATGGGATTCTCTCGTGGATCAACAAGAGCGTCGAGGATGGGTTTATCCACGGGGAAAACAAGCGCATTCTCGTTGAGGCCAAGTCGCCCGAGGAAGCCATCACAGCGCTAAGGGATTACAAGGTTTCGGCCTCAGTATTCAAGCTGTCGTGGAACGAAGACTAGACAAGACTAGACGCTCTGGCGTTGCGGATAGAGGACAAGAAAATGCTTCTCATGTCGAATGTCATTCCGGGCTCGCTCTACTCGGTCCAGCAAGATGCTAATGCCTGAGTCATGCCGGCTACGACTTTACTCTTTTCTGTTACGTTTCCCTGCAACCCTCAAGCATTGTCTGCCTATGAGTCGACCTCCATGGTTCCACCCTCACCCTCGGCCGCACTGGCTCCGCCCTCCTTGTCGTCCGCCACGCTGTCTATCCATGCCGATACCTCCTGCTGGTCATAGACCGTGAACGGCTCGACCTTGGTAGTGCCATCCTGGTCGCTCGCGACCAAGCCCGCAACGCCCACACTCGTGTTATCCACCGTCAGCTCGCGATCCTGCACCAGGCTCTCCTTGAGGGCTCGCAGGCCGTGGCGGATGAGTTCCTCGCGGCCGCAGTCGGCGAACTTGTCGAGGTTCTTTTCCAGGTAGGTCCGGGCCATCTGCGAGCGGGCGCCGATGGCGAAAGCCACCATCTCCTCGGTCATGCCGCTCGGTTGGAACTCAAACAGGTGCGGCCCTTGATCGTCGACGCCCGCCACCAGCAGGCCGACGCCGTACGGCCGCTTGCCGTAGTGCTGCGTGTTGATCTGCGCCTTGGACCCGATCATCTCGACCAGCGTCCGCACGGGCATGCTGCGCCCGTACGTCAGCCGGTGGCCCAGGCACTGCTGCTTCATGAAGTTGGAGAGGACGCGAGCGTCCGATGTGAGTCCCGCGATGGCGATGCCGACGTGCTCGTCGATGGGGAAGAGCTTCTTTTGGTAGGACGAGAGTTCTTCGGCGTTGCGCTGGGGAGGTGGTAAAACAATACGTTAGGAGTACTGCCTCACGGCTTGGGCAGGGACATGGATGGTGATCCGCACCTTGATTGCTACAAGCACGGCATGTGTGTTGCTTGCGATCCCCACCACCACTGAGCCCTGCTTCACTGCCTCTGCTGCATACTCGACCTGGAATATCCGCCCTTGCGGGGAGCTAAGTATGTGTTAGATGGAACTGTAAACCCAGGTCAAGGCTAAGATGGCGGAATCAGCGCTGGAGCTTACAATGTTACCGAATCGTTGTCATAGTTGTTTCTGAACATGATGGCGGCCGACGATAACTCGTATCAAGGTATGGCGGAATGAGTTAATGAATGGATAGCAGTTGCCAGAAACTCGTCGTCGTGCAGCGCAAGTTTGTTGGGCGTATGTCGGGAATTCGCGTTGGTTTGATCTGGGGGGAGCTTCGTTCAATTGACCACACCAGGCAGCTCCAAACTACGTCGCCCAAGCAAGGAGAAGTCCCGGTACCGCGATACCTCGCTTATAAGGATACCAAGCCTGGAGCTACTAGCCTTTTCATGATTAGCGTACCAGCTCTCCAGCTGGACCCGCCAAGGCTGACGAAGGTCTGGGCTGAGAGCGTCACAAGCACAGCTCCCACTCGGCCGTCATCGCCAGCCGCCGACAACGAACACATAGCCGGCTCGACGACCACACAACGCTTCACAGCACAGGACTGGACCGACGCGATAGACACACTATTGCTGCTCTCAAAACCACGCCCCGTCAACATCACCTCCCAAACACCACCGATTGAAGTCCACCCCAAAACGAAACCTTGCAAGCATCGCGCGATTCTCCGCCGCACCTTCAGTCTAGCCGCTACCACCAGCACATTTCACGCACGCTTGCGCAACAACCACAGCCAGCAGGACTCTAAGAAATCGAGAACCCCCACCTCCAAGCGGATTGCCTTGCAACATACATGATATAACTTTCCCAAAATGCCAACAGCAGGCCTCAAAACGATAATCGCCCTCTCCTTCGTGCTGGCTGTCGGCTTCCTGCTCGTCATCCTCTCGTGCGCCCTCTGGCACTCGTACTACCCGTTGCTGGTCGTCGCCACCTATGTAGTGGCCCCCTTGCCCAACTGGATCTGCAGCCATTGCGCGAACCCGGACGACTTTGTCGAGAGCTCGGGCGCCGCCGTGCTGGACCTGGGCCGATTCTGCACGGGGTTCCTCGTCGTCATGGGTATTGGTATGTTTTCCTGTTTACGCTCTACTGCTTGCCAATCTATGATGAGAAGGGTGCGTGGTTTTTCTTTTGCTAATCAAGGTTCCAGCGCTACCCATCGTGCTTGCCCACTCGAATGCCATTACCATCCCCGCCATGGTCATGTCGGTTATTGGCGGCCTCTTGATCTATGGGACGATAATCAGCTTTGCCATGTTCTTCCAGGAAGAGCAGGAGTTTTGAAGTAGGCAGGGCGAGAGTATTGGAGTAAACGATTAGTCGCGGGCGGGGTTCGAATCTTGGAGCATGAAGATGCGAATGGCATGGAACCAATGGGCTTTTAATGGGCGGCATCTCTCGGTGTATAACATGGCGCTTTATTACAGGCAGGGACGGTGGGTTCAGCAAGCGATACTTGGTTGACTCGAGAGGTTGGAAAGGGGCGCGTTGAATGCATGGTGCATCCAGTCGAATTTATCAGCATTTTCCTGGTTGCCGGCTCTTCACTGTCCGGTTCTCGACTATCCTCTGTACAACGCGTTAAAGCCTTGTATCCCCTTTGCGGCCGTTGAGCCCAAGCCTGTCTATAAGTGGCGAGAAACGCCACTGTCCCCGTCATTGTAACCACTGCGGCAGACACGTTGAGTATCCGTTCCCGTCCGTCTATCTTTTTTTGTAACCATGGCAGTTGAGATCCAACCCCCCTACTTCGAAGCCATCGCTACCACCGACACGGCTCCCCCCCAAATATCCGCAGCGGCCCAGCAAGCTTCGTAAACATCTCTTCCCTCTCACCTTCAGGCGTACTCAGAATAGTCACCGCCCCCCCAGCCCCAATCCGCCATACCTCGTGCGTATCTGGCCCCTCGTCCCCATTCACGACAACCTGCTCGTCGTCCCACCGGAACAGGCTTCGAATCGTCACGCTCCAGTCGCCTCGCCCCGTCGCACACATGTACCCAACCACGCCCGAGTACAGCCCGCGCTCCTTATGCCCCTCAATCTCCCTCAAGATCTCACAGCTCCTCTTCTTCGGCGCGCCCGTCATGCTCCCGGGAGGCAGACTCGCAGCCAGCACATCCAAGCCCGTATAACAACACCCCTTTCTCCCCACCGCCCTGTCCCCTTCTCCTTCTTCTTCTTCCCCCCCCTCGTTTCCCCTACCCGGCAGCTGCCCCTCGACAACGGTAATCATCTGGAACACGCTCTGGTACTCCTCCACTTTCAACAGCTCCGGCACCCGCACGTTGCCCGCGCCGCAGACGCCGTGCAGGTCGTGCCGGACGAGGTCGACAATCATGAGGTTCTCGGCCTCCTCCTTGGGCACGTGCAGGATGCGCTCCGCCTGGGCCAGCGTGGCGACGCCCTCTGATTTGCGCACCGTGCCCTTCATTGGCCGCATCGAGCAGCGCCCGGCTCGGTCGTAGGTTAGGAAGCGCTCCGGCGAGGCGCTCACCAGCGTTGCGGGCCCCAGGCGGAGGTACGAGGCGAAGGGGCTTGGTTGGTGTTTGCGGAGGCGTTTGAAAAGAGTCCATGAGGAGGATGTGGGCGGGTGGTGGGGGTAACTGCGGCAATTGTGTTGTTGTTGTTGTTGTTGTTGTTGTTGTTGTTGTTGTTGTTGTTGCTTGCGCAGGGAAGAGGGAAGGGGGTTGGGGTCGGGATGGAGGGAGATGTCGCTCAAAGGCCGGGAGAGGGTAGTTTGGTCGGTGAGGCAGAGTTCGTAGGACTCGCCGGCTGCGATGTATTCTTGGCATACCCGGACTTTGGCTTCGTATTCTTTGGTTTGGGGCGGCTGGATCGATGCGCTCATTGAAGGGCGTCGCATTTTAAGGGGTCCCCAATGCAGCGGGAGCTCGGACGGGTTGAGAGAGGGTCTTCGCTGGGGGTTCCGTAGAGACTGGAGCTTGTTTGCAGTCTTTTCCAGCCAACTGTCTACCTCCATGCGCTTGGAGCTGAGGACCTGGATGTGGATAACTTGCTGCAGATGGTCGACGACGATGCTCTTGGTAACCCAGGCAAGCGAAACGTCAGGTCGGTGATGGGAGCGCGACGGCCCCAGCGAGACGCCAATATCACTGAGGCCCTGCTCGTAGGTGATGTAGCCCATAAAGCCCCCAACAAAAGGGGTATGCGATGGTTCCGTCGCTGGGATGCGCCGGGACTCGTGAAACGCGGCGATAAGGCCCCAAACACTGCCGTACTGTGCAAGCGGTACCTTATCTGAAAGCTTCACCCGCGAACCTCCAAGACATCCGACCTTGACGGTAGCATACGACTCGCCGCTATGGTGCTCGATACGCAACGCCTCATCTAGTCCAGCCGCAATGATGCTGTACCGCCCGCGCACATCAGCCCTGGACGTCGCTGGTGCTGCGTTGGCTGAGTCGAGGATGATACGCTCTGAACTCTCAGCGCCGACAATCTCGACGATGTCTGGCACCTGAACGCCGGATGGCAGCGGCACCGTGAGAAAGCGCAACTCCGGGTTCGTCTCGAGCACCTCCCACCACTGCCGGGTGCTGACCTGGCCAGCGAGCAGCCCAGATAACTGCGAAAGCAGACTCGGCTTCCTTGCAGCCTTTGCCAACCCCTGGCCTCCCAGCACAGGCACTCTCCCTTTCTTCTCGTTCCATCTCTGTGCCGCCCGGAACCAGTTCAGAATGACCTTGTTGCCCTCCTCCTCAGTGCAGACCGATTCCGGGTGGTATTGCAGGCCCCAAAACGGCTTCGTCCTGTGCTTCGTGGCCATGAGTATCCTTTCCATCCCGCAATTCTCTCGCTCCTCCTCCACCCAAGCCAGCGGCACCAGATCTGGACACCTGCCCAACGGCCTCCACCTCGCCGTCTCCCACTCCTCCTCACTACCAATTTCCCCCTGTCCGATATCACCGCACAGGCTGTGGTAGAGCGTAGCCTTGAACCTACCCACCCCACAGAAAATATCACCGTCTTCTCCATGCCCAATACCACCCTCGCGATGCCCGATCTCCCTCACCATCCCATGCAACCCTCTCCTCAACCTGCCCACCCTCCCCCCGTGGGCGCTCACGAGGCTCTGGAAGCCAAGACACACCCCAAGCACAGGCAGCATCTCGCTCTCCCGCAACTCCCACACGATCCTCATCAGCCCAACATCAGCCTCGTTATCGGGGTGTCCCGGCCCCGGGCCGCACACGACGGCATCATAACGAGCAAGTTCGGCGACGAACCTCGCCCGGCAGTCTACCGGGGATAGTAACTGAGTAGGTGGTGTGGTGATGGTGGTGTCAGGGTTGAGGAAGAGAGGATCGTCAATGGGCAGGACAGAGACGTCTGCCTCGAGGAGGGTGGTGAGCAGGGAGGTGATGTTGTTGGAGAAGGAGTCGTGGGCGTCGAGGAAGAGGATGTGCGGGCGGTGCATTCTATGAGATTACCCAGGCGGAAGTTTCCTGGGTGACAACGTCGGGTGGTGATGGGGAAGACACTGGGGATGTACACTGGGGTTATCTCCGACTCTCATATGAATCGCTTGTTGAATTCCATGCACCGGCTTCAGACCAAATGTAAGATGGAAAGGAACAGGAACGGAAAATAAGTAAATCCAAGAAAGCTATAGATCGAATGGGAGCGGTACTCGAATGCTGTGCCATCGAGAGTGACTGGCGAGAGACTGGCGAGAAGTAGGGGCAAGTGGCAAAGGACGCTATGAAGCCTTTCAGACGAACGGAGGGTAGTAGAAAAAGCTGATATTTCGCTCCTTCTGCAATACACAACCCTAACCCACATGCACCCTCTCGGCTCCCCTTGGCTGTCCAGAGCAACGACAAGTGGCTTCATGAACATTTCGGGGAAATGGATGATTGATTATCATATATTCATTCATTACTGCCTCAAATTGAGATACAAACCCCATTCTATGTATACCAAAACCCCCTTCTACAGCCCCCGCTAATCCGGATCCCTGACAACCAACCTACACCGCCTTCTAGCATGCCACACCCTCCTCTCCCTCTTCCCCAGCGCAGCCCCAAGGATCATAACCTGCGCCTCCGCCTCCGACTTGCCGCCCTTCTTCTCCTCCTCCCTTTCCCCCGCCTTTTCCTCCGGATCCACCCAAAGCCTCGCCTCCTCCACACTCCCCAGGATCTCAAACTCGCCGCGGCACAGCGCCGTGACGCCCATGCTCACCTCCACGCTCCTCCCGCCGCCCTCCAGCAGAGGCAGCGCCTGCTGCAGGTTCCCGTTCCATGAAAACTTGGCCATCTTGCGCGTAAAGTCGAGCGACACGTTGAACGGGCGGTGGCACAGCGTCGGCGTGAGCCGGAGGAGCGGGTAGACGGGGCGGGCCGAGCGGTTGGTGATGCGCACGCGCAGCGTCAAAAAGTCGTCGACGGGGACGACATACCTCGCCGATCCACTGCTCCCGTCGTCGCGGCTGGGCAGGGGACGGCCCGTGGAGGGGTCGACGACGGCCATGTCTACGTCGACCTCGTCGATCTTGATGGCCTCGATCATGCGCGCCGTGAAGCGCACGGCGCGGAGCTCGATCTCGCCCCGCAAGCCGCCGCCGCCGTGACCCGGGGAGGAGGCGGTCTGCCAGGAGGCGCGGAGCGTGTCGAGCACCTTTTCGCGGTACCAGAAGGCTTCGCGGTTGGCGCGCTCGACCTCCGGGGAGATCTTTGTGCTGACGACGAACTGGCGCTGGCGGGCCGGATTGAGGGCGGGGATGAAGGCGTGCGGGTCTTCGAGGTAAACGCGCCGGATGGGTAGTACGACGCGCGATGTGTTACCGGGGAGGATGTGCTCTTCAACTTGGACGCCGTCGTCGGGGGAGGAGAGATGGACGGCCATTCGACTAGGCCACGAGTTGCGTAGGTCGAGGAGGAGGAGGCAGTGTGAGTCGGGGGTCAGTTCGGGGGATGTGTCCTGTTGGTTGCTGACGCGAGACCAGAGTGGTGTCGGTATCTTGCTGGTGAGGGGGAGAACGTCGACTCGGGTGACCTCGACGCTGGCATTGACGGTAACGGTGAGTTCCATCGAAACCTGGCGTGTGTAAAACTTCTCCGCTATTTCGTCATGGGGCACGCCGACGTATGCGTAATCGACTTGAATCATCGCGTGGGTGAGGCCCGGCCTTCCGAGCAACTCAAAGTCAAACGTCGCCGTCTGCCCGGGAGCGATGAACCTCTTGCTGTCGTCACGGTTCCTCAATCTAAGAGGCTGCTTCTTGGCCAGCACCAGCTCGTACTCGTACAACTCTGTAGCGGTGGCATCTCGGTTGCTGAGCGCCAACTGTAGAGGCCCTTGCGTCGAGTCCTTGAACGAGAAGAGGAGGAAATCCACCGGGGTCGTCGTCGACAGATTCTGTAAAGTAACGGAAAAGCATTGGCGCTCGCCTTCCAGAATCATAACCGAAGACTGGGGCAGCGTCGACGACTCCACTACGACGACTGGCTGTTGAGCGATGACGTTGAGCTCGATATTATCGGGCTTGAGCCGCTGAAGAGCCGGGGACACGGCCGCAGCATTCACATGAAGGGCACCAAGCCCGATTGCCTTGATCTTGACCTCATCCTCAGGGGCCCATGGATCCGCGAAGATGGGGAACCTCCTCTCCCGGCATCCGCGCACTTTGATCAGCGCGCCGGTCACCTTTACCGTGCCCGCGCTCTTTGGCGTGCCGGATATCCTCATTATCTGTGTGCGATACGGTCCGATGGCGGTGCTCTCTACCGCGGACTCGAACTCGGCCCCTTCCGTGTCGAGCCGGATGCTCTCCAACTCAACCTCAATCTCGTACGGGTTTTGGAGAGTTAGTCTGAATCTTGCCGGCTCACCAGCCACCAATGTGCGATCGACCGTTGCTGTGTCGGGACGCTTCAAGAACGGGTTATAAATGAACGGGTCAACATCCTGCGAGCTCCGCGCCGCGGTTATGCCCGGGAGCACGGTTCTCGCATGGGGGACGGGCATCCTCGGCGGTGGTAATGGCTCCAGCGTGATGCCCCGGACCAGAAACTCATCCCAGTACTCTGCCGTCAAAGATCCAATGCCCAGGCGTTTGGAGAGACTGGACGTCTTGAGAATGTTCGTGACCAGTCGGACTTGCTCCTCCCTGGTTATGGAGGGGTATGCGTTCTCACGCCGCGGCCCAGGGGCTATGCCACTGCCAGCAGTGCGCAGCAGGTCACTTGAGTATTTCAGTACGCCAGCAAAATCTGGCAGCGCCTCCGAGAAGTTTATGCAGAGCCTCAGGATGTTAAGTTTGACGCCTTGTATGCCAAAAAACCTCGCAGCCGACTGCCTCCGGATGCGTGATACAACAGCCGCATCAGAGCCGTCATCTTCTCCCAAGGCGCTGCCCTCGACAACCCCATACGTCTTGAGCAAGAGCCCCAAAAAGGCCTCGATGCCGTGCTCGATGTCGCCTTCTGTGAGCTCCAGGGCACCAGCAACCCCGTCCCGCCCACTGGCGCCGTTGAGCCCGACCAGGCCCGCCGCAGGGTGAATGCCCACATCAGCGGCGCCCCTTGTGCGCGCCTCAACCAGACCACCGACCAGGACCGAAACCAGTTCCCTAACCACCATCGCCTTCTTCCGCTGAAACCCGAGGTGGCCAAGCAGGGACGCTATCCCGCTGAGGATCACGGCACGGTCTGCGGTGGTAAGGAGCTCCGACGAGGACGCCGGAAACGCCTTGAACAGCGTGGCCAAGATCTGTGGCCGCGCAGGTTGGATGGTGAACCGCGGTGACGTGGTCAAAGGTATCTTGGGAGGAACACCAAACACAATCATGTCAAACGACTCCCGGCAGAGCTTGCCATTAGCCGTGTGAACGGCCGAAAGTATCCTGGAAAAGCGGATGACGGCTTCGGAATACGGAAGAGGCGGTAACTCGGCCGATATCCTCGAGTACAGCCCAATGATACGGTCCAACAGGTTGGGCAGGTGCACCTGGAGATTCCGCAGCCAGCGGGGCTGATTCAGGTCCTTCGCTTCGGCATCTTGGATCGCCATAGCGTCGCCAGCTGCCTTTTCGTGCGGCGGGAGCAGGATGCTCGGTACATGAAACTCAATACCCGCCCAGCCGAGCAGCAAGAGGGTGATGAGGATAAGCTCCAGAGCTTTGCCGTGCCAGACATGATCGTTGATCGACTTGGCCACCGCGGCCGCCTCAGTGAGCTCCTTAAGCGCGTTGTTCCACAGGCCAGCTTGGAGATAGAGCGACCCGACCACAATCTGGACACGACACTTGCCCTTGCTTCTCCATCTATCGTTCAGACCGCCGGGCCCGTATCCGTGCACCGAGACTCGGTCTTGGCTTTGGGTTCGAAAACCCTCGGATGTATCGGCCCTTGAAAGGCCCTTCTGCTCGGGGCTTGTGGGCTCCATGGTGCCAATGATGCTGTCAAAGGTCGAAGGCGGCGACGGGAGAGCCTTGTTGCTGCCCACAGGGGTGGACGGCCTGGCAGGGGTGGAACTGCTCGAGCTGAATGCCTGCCCCTTGGAGGGGACGGGCGGCATGGACATGCGCACCCGATTCCTGTCCGGGAGTCCGCTTGTAGAGGTCGACGGATTCACTGGTATCGAAAACTGCGAGTTCCTCCTGGCCAACGCGGCCGGTTCGTCCATGGCATTCATCGGACGCGAAGAAGGATTCCCTGGCGAGTCGATGAACGACATGCCCTCGTACGACTTGGCCAGGGTGGTCATCTCGGCCAGGATCAGGGACGAAATGTCACACATGACGGTCTTGATGGTGGTCCGCTTGAGCTGTTCGGCGGGTGGTATGGTAATGATGCCCTCGGGTATTGGCACGGGATCCTCCTTGGCCGGCAGATAGTCAAAGACGAGCACATGGTGAGCCAGAACCTTGGGATAGCGGTCCCTCAGATCCTCGAGGTCCTGGTAAAGCGCCCGAATGTTTGCCTCCTCGACAGTCCTGCCGCCCGAGAGTCTCTTGCTGAACACAGCCTTGGGCAATTCGGCGCCGTCCGCCACGGCAATGACGGCGAGCGGCTCGCGGAACAGTTCAAACGGTGACAGGGCGAGGTGGGACGGGGGCGGGTGGTGCATCATGAGGTCGTAGAACATGGCGCCGTCGGGGAATGCCAGGGGCGAGAACATGTCTAGACAGCGCCGAGTCAGCAACGATTACTCTGGCGGCACAGTGCGCGCGGTTGCCCTTACTCCTGTGTGGTCGCGCATCGGGCGTCACGTCTCGCAGGAAGACGACATTCTCGTAATTGAGGCGATCAACGAAGGCGGTGAAGCGCTCCCGCTTGATGCGGCCGACGGGCAGTACAAGTGCCTTGACCCTCGCGGGGGCGACGGGCAGGAGAGGATCGAGTGCCATGTTCGCGCCGCGATCATTCCCGGCGGTCATTCCCGACGTATTGAAGCAGCGGTTGTTTAGGTCAGGGGAAGGAGGAACATGTCGAAAGCGGCAGGCAGCGATGCGTGTAGGATGCGCCGCTGCCCGGTTTCGCACCGAGACCAAACGTGTGGCTGTCGCGTGTTCGGGTCAAGGGCGGGTGCAAAGTGGCTTTGTGGAGAATGCCCATGCGCTGGTGATATGTCGAATTCAGAGCGACAGTTATGTTGTCCCGAGCTTGAAATGTGATCTTCGATCGATGACATCCCAAAGCGGACGACCCCCTGCATGGGACGAGAGCGCAACAGCAGGTAAGTCCCTGCCCCGCAGGCCCGAGCGTTGCACAGGAACAGAGTTCTGACCGCTAAAATTTTGGGAGCTGTAAGAGTTCAGGGGTTCCGTCGAATTCTCGATGGGACCTGGAACCAGCCACGCTGGTTTGCACTGCTGTTGTACGGATTACATACCCGACACTTCACATAGCTGGGCAGGTACATCGGTATCATGACTCTACGGATACCTACAATTAATAGGCATCAGTATATGAAAATTGGTATTAACTGTCTCTCCCAACCTGTACTTTTCCGGCTGAATCCTTACACGTAGGATTACAGAGCAACCCAAGTCTCTTGAACGCGAGTTGGGAGTCTCCAAAGCCCCCTGTAAGCAGAGGCTCAACTCGGCCACCAGTAAGCAACATAAAACACTCCCTCATGTTCGTGGCCCCGCAGCCGGCGCAACAGCCTCAATATTTGAACCTCCCTGCCTCGCCTCAGCCTTGAGCTCGCTCTCAAAGATGTCCACAGCCAGGCTGGCCTCGACAAAGTCTTCCAGCTCCTCCGTCACCGTCTTCAGCTTCTCCTGGACGGCCACGGCGCCCTCGAACCCGACGATATGCCGCGCCGGCGGGTTCTCGTGGCCCCCAATGGCCGTCAAGGCGTGCACCGTCTCCATGACCAGCTTATCATAGGCGGTGGGGGGGAGGCGCGGGTACCGGTACTGGATGACCTCCTCGGACTGCTCAATAGCCGTGTCCGGGTTGGCATTAAGCACATTGCCGAGAATTTCGCGCATACTCGGGGCGGGGCTGAATTCAGGGTCGTAGCAGGACAGCTGGGGCGCGAAAACGACCTTGTTGCTCAAGCTCTGGATCTCCTTGTTGGGCTGCACGATGGTGACCTTGATGTTGAAGGGGGCGATCTCGTAGGCCAAAGAGTCGCAGTAGCCCTCGAGCGCCCAGGTGGCGGCCGTGTACATGGGCATCCAGGGCGTGCCGATGTGACCGCCGATGCTGGTCAGGATCATGATGTGACCCGTGTGCTGGGCGCGGAACTGGGGCAGGGCGGCCTTGATAAAGTTGACCTGCGAGAAGAAGATGGTCTCGAACTGGTCGCGGATGAGGTTGCGCGTGGCAGGGGTTGCTGAGAGTTCCTCGACGGTGCCGATGACGGCTACTTGGAATGAGCTCCTTATCTTGAGAGAGGTGAACAATCATTTTCCACCTCACTCACCCTCAAACTTGCAGCACAGCAGAATGTCTATCCGCCCAAACACGTGCACGGCCTCGGCGACGGCGGCGCCGCATTGCCCCATGGCACGGCCATCGCAGCGGATGCCACGAATGCGGTCCTTCCAGCCCTCTCGGTCCTTGCGACTGCTCTTACACTCGTTGATGAGCTCCTTGAACTCGGCGCTCCGCTCCTCGTCCTCAATCTCGGCCGGTGGCAGGCAGGCCACCACGTAGTCGCCGTGTGCCAACAGCAGCCGAATCAGCCGAATGCACAGCGGCGAGAGCGATGAGGTGAGAAACCAGGTCCGAGGCGAGTTGTGTGTCGCTTTCTTGTCCATTAGTCTTACCAGATCTTGGGTTCATGAACAGATTCGCGAGATGCGTTCATTCGTAATGGGAGATTTGGACGTGACATGGGCTGCGAACATAGAGGAACACGAGGAGGAACTGGGCTGCGTACGGAAGGATGCTGCTGGTGTTGGATGTGTGTGTCGAGACGGCCCAGCTTCTGCCGCTCTTTTGTCGGTCATGCTGGTAAGCGATCACACAGACGAAGCTGTGAGAGCGGGCGGCTTCCCGCGCCAGTCAGAGGCGTCGTTGCACGGGATGTGTGCGCCAATCCAAGGATTCCGGGCGCTCCACAGGCTGTGCCGTCATAGCAGTGAGCCCGCCGTAGGGAACGAGAGAGGAAAGAGATTCCGTACCAAATAGACGGAGTTAACAGTTGAAGATGGGCTCAGTGAAAAGTCGTCTCACGGCTATCCAGACGTGATTTGTACAGTGCGCTCGTTGAGGAAAGAATTCCCAGGGGCGGTGGGCACTTATACGTTGAGACCTCGGTCGGCGATAGTTTGACATCCCTGCCGCTAGCGTCCGTGATGCCCAGAGGCCTAGAGTCGGGTCCAAATTCAGCGAGTGGAACGGGAGACGTGATCGACGGCGCCGGAATTGAGGCTCAGGCGGCAGCCACGGGTCCGGAAGGTTGCCGAAATGCAGAAGTTGATGACGTCCGGCTTTGAAGAATCGAGACGGCTGGGCTGCCCTCCCACAGACTGGTTGTCAGGAACTTGTCTCATGCGACCATCGCGCCCTCATCGGCGCTCCGGCGTAAGAGATGTCCATGGGATCCGACCAGGCGAGCAAGGCGTGGAGCTGATTCATCCTTTAGTCAACCGAGCTCCGAGGGAACTTGTTCTTGTCATGAAGTCGATTGCTGTCGGTCAAACAATATAACAAGTCGATCATTCATCATACCTTGGGATGGTCTTGAACGCATGATTCTCCTCAAAATCACACATCAACCCCGCCAAGATTATTCTCGGTGTCAAATGTAACCTCCGAAAGCTCCCGTCGGCGCATCCCATCGCCATTGCGCGGATGTCTTGGCATCCAACAGAGGGAAGGCCAGCCAGCACCGATACCTTGGGTAATCGCAAATTGGTGGAACCTGTACCGCCGGTCCGAGCGAGTTTTTCCTCGGGTTCCATGCCGGGTTCAAACGGACTGGAAGTTGCAGCAAGCTGCCGTCACCGGTTGCACCCCACGCGGCTTCCTAAAGCCCCGCTGGACACTTTTGCGTGAAACCCGGGGAGGGCGTGAATCGTCATTTTCAGTGGCCCAGTCGAACCCGGGAAAGCACCGCCTGCAGCCGCGAGTACTGTATTTCCCACCCCCGTCGCTGCAGGTCGGATTGGGTAGCTTTCACAGGACCTGCGTTACGTTTCAAGAGGTGCGCTTTGTGAGGGGGTTTCTACGTACCTGAGGTAAGGTGATATATGAGGTGAGGAGACCAAGCTGCGATACAGGAGATTTGCCCCGCTACACCAAGTCCGTACACGGCGGGGCTCATTGTCAGAACAGACTCTGGACTTTTGACTACCTTTGGGGGAGTCAGAGGTTCGACTCAACAGCGGAAACAGTCATTCCACTGACTCAGAGATCTTGCGCATTTTTCTTCAAGAAAAGCATAAACATAGGAACTGCTCGTCTTCCTTGAATAAAAGGAAGCCAAAAGGTAAACAAAAGAATAAAAACCCCAGGAAGAGAAAGACATAGGGCGAACCACAAAATGCCCACCCGCGCCGACATCACCTACTTTGGCGCCGGCCCGGCCGCCCTGCCAACCGACGTGCTCGAGACGGCAGCGCAGGCCCTGCTGGACTACAACGGCACCGGGCTGGGCATCGCCGAGCACAGCCACCGCTCGGAGCTGGCCACCAACATCATCAACGAGGCGAAGGCCGACCTGGCCAACTACCTGGACATTCCCGCTGCCGACTACGACGTCATCTTCATGCAGGCCGGCGGCACCGGCGAGTTCGCCGCCTCCGTCTACAACCTGGTCGGCGCCTGGGTAGCACGCCAGCACGCCGAGGTCCTCAAGGAGCCTTGGGACGGCGCCAACGAGGACGCCGTGGTGGCCGCCCTGCGCCACCGCATCCAGCGGGACCTCAAGCTCGACTACATCGTCACGGGCGGCTGGTCGCTCAAGGCCTACCAGGAAGCCGTGCGCCTGCTGGGGCCCGAGTACGTCAACCTGGCCGCCGACGCCCGCACCAACAACGACGGCAAGTTCGGCAAGATTCCCGACCCGAGCACCTGGAAGCTGAGCAAGGACGCCGCGCTGGTCTACTACTGCGACAACGAGACGGTCGACGGCGTCGAGTTCCCCGAGTTCCCCTCGGTGCTGGCCCCGCGCGAGGACGGGTCCGGCCCCATCGTCGTAGCCGACATGTCGAGCAACATCCTCTCGCGGAGAGTGCCGGTCAGCAACTACTCGCTGCTCTTCTTTGGCGCGCAAAAGAATCTGGGCTGCACCGGTGTGACCGTGGCCGTGCTTAAGAAGAGCTTCCTGCCGCCGACGACGACGCAGCCGAGCCCGGCACTGCTGAGGAAGCTCGGCCTGCCCATTCCGCCGATTATGCTGCAGTACGAGACGATCGCCAAGAACAACAGCTTGTACAACACGCTGAGCATCTTTGAGTGGGTGTTCCCGCTTTTGCATTGCTGGCATAGTAGGATGATTGCTGACTTTGGGGGACTAGCGTGTACATTGCCGGCCTGGTGCTCAAGAAGCTCCTGAAGACGTTCCCAGACAAGGTGGACGGCCAGCAGGCCGTGGCCGAGAAGAAGGCCAGCATCATTTATGCCGCCCTGGAGGCGTACCCAGATGTGTACCACATTGTTCCGGACAAGTCTGTCCGGTCGAGAATGAACATTTGCTTCCGCGTGACCAAGGTGGGTTCTGTGGCTGGACCGTTGCTCTTCCTGACGAGAGATGTTAACCTCCAGCAGAACGGCAACGTCGATGAGACGGAGAAGGCCTTCCTCAAGGAGGCCACCAGCCTGGGGTTGACAGGCCTCAAAGGGCACCGCAGCGTTGGTGGCATCCGGGCCAGCAACTACAACTCGATTCCCTTGGAAGGGGCAGAGAAGCTTGCCAGGTTCATTGACGCCTTTGCCAAGGCGTAGTAACTGATGTTTTGAAAAGGCTCAATGAACCGACGGGGGACGGTAGGCTTGCACGAGATGGCCCTGAGGCAAGGTGAAGTCTCAAAGGAGGGACAACATTGGGTTTTCAACAAAGCGGATTCTCAGAATATCATACTTTCACACAGGAACTCGTTCAACGATGAAGCTAAAAATAACAGCACGCCATTTCCTTTTCCATTCCCTTGAATTCGTGAAACATCACATCGATACTCCTCGCCCCTCACTGACCCATCTCCTCCCTCAACCACCCCGGCACCCCAGGAACAGCTTCCCACCCGCTCAGATACTCGTCCCTCTTCACCCCCTCCGCACTCGGCTTGGCATACACGGCCGTCACATACCACACACTCTCCCCCTTGGCGACTGTGCCCTGCAGCGTGGGGATCGTCGTCCGGCTCTCGACCAGATTCGAGTTGGGATCCGCATTCACCAGCATCGCCGTCCGCCCGTTGCCGAGCTCCTTGCCCTCGAGCGCGCGCACGCCGACGGCGCCCTTGGATACCGCAAACGCGCCCTCGCGCCCGTCGGCCCAGCCCTCAGGCGTGACCGTGTCATAGTTGCCAATCAGCTTGGGCCGGGTGCCCTCGCCGGCCGCGGCGTCATACAGGCCCAGGAGCCGGCCGTCGGCGGCGCGCTGGTTGCTGATGGCGAAGCCGCCGTCGGCCGTCATGACGGCCCGGCCCTCGGCGCGGATATGGTGCGCCCGCAGGTGCCAGTTGGGCGTCGACTCGTGCGGCGGGATTAGGTACGTCTTGACGTGCACGTCCGGGAAGGGCGACCACAGCGAGACTAGCACGGGCGTTCCCCCGCGCGTCTGCAGCGAGGACTCGGAGAGCCGCCGCGTCTTCCAGTACTCGCCCCCGTCGTCCGACAGGCCGAGCTGCGACGCCAGCGCGTATTGCTCGAGCGTCAGGAGGCCCGGCGGGACCGAGTACGCGTAGGCCGACGAGTAGGCGAAGGCGCCGTACTTGGCGTGCGTGCCTTTCATGGGGTAGGAGCAGGCTTGGCCTGAGGAGAGAAGCATGCAATGCCCGCCGAGGTTGCTTGGATTGCGTCAGAATATGGGAGGGTTTACTGAGGCAGAGGGGAAGAGGGAAAGTACCTCATGATGTGGCCTGGGTGTTTGAGCGCCTTGACCTTGGGGAGCACGTCCCAGTGGTTCTCCTCCTCAGAAGTCCAGAAAGGATGGGTCTCGGGCACAGCAAGGCAGATAAAGGCCAGGCAGGCCCAGTACTGGAGAGTGTAAGCCACATTTGAAGAGTTAACGGCGTGGATTGGTGATCACGTACCGGGCTGCCAGGGCTGTTGTAATTCTCGGCCATCTGTCCCCCCCTCGTCGTGAGTATCTTCAGCAGGTCGTTTAAGGAAAACGTCTACTCACATACATGTTGGGGTACGAGTACCCGATGGTCAGCGTGCCGCTCGAACTCCACATGTCGTGCTGTGTTTGCCACCACCGCAGATGGCGCATCACAATGCCCTTGACCATGCCCCAGGTCAGGGGAGCCGGCAGCTCGACGTCGGCGTACGCGAGGGCGCCCCAAAACGATACCATGGCGAAGCGGTAGCCAACACTGCGGCCAAAGGGAATGGCTCGTCCTGGGAATGGTCAGCTTGGCCTCCCTGTGTATGCTTCGGGTTCCCTTACCCTCTTCGTCGTAGTAGTGGGCCAGGTCAAGAGCCGCCATCTGGGCTCGCTTCCTGAACTCGGCCGCGCGTTCCGGGTCTTCCTCTCCAGCCAGCTTGGAGTAGAGCAGCTGGAGGAACTGAATGGCAAAGCTTGACGAGTAATAGTCCATCTCTGCTTCGGTCAGCCGAGAATCCTTAGCTATCTTGTCAATAGGCGTTGGGACAGGGGCACGCACGATGAATCCCTTCGGGCCCATCATTCGACCACCCATCTCCGCGGTAGAATGTCTCCAGGTGCTTGATATCCGCATCCAGCCTCTCCTGCGAGAACTTGCCCCCGTTCTTCTTCAACCCCAGGTTCGCAAACACGCGGAACCAGAGCCAGTTCGTGTTCGGCATGCTGCCTCGAATGTCAGCATGAAAACCTTCTCCCCTGAAGTACCCGAACTCACTTCTTCTCATTGATACTATTCCCCAACCACGCCTCCACATTCCCCCTCTCCCGCTCACTCAACCCCTCCCAGATCTGGGGTGCCACCGCGAGCGCAAACCCCAGCGGACACATCTCGACCATACGCTGGTCATTGTCGCTCGGATACCCCCAGTACTCTGTGCTCTCCGGGTCCGTCCCGGCCCGGTACCCGTCGATCCACCACTGCGTCCCACGATAGCTGCCGCCGCCGGCGAGCAGGCACGCCACTCCCCACAGCGGGCGGGCGAAGCCCTCGACCTCGGAAGCCGTCTGATCGAAGCGCACGGCCGTGGCGCCGGGGCAGCGCACGCGGGCCTTGAGCGGGGAGAAGAAGGGCTCGAGGGGGTCGAGCAGGGCCCTCAGGAGGGCCTGGACCGACGCCCGGTCCGAGAGGGGGATCTGCGAGAAGGGGTGCAGGGTTGTGTAGCCTAGCACGAGGCCTTGGCTGGGTTGGGAGGCCATGGTGTTTTTGTTTCGTTAGTCGAGGGGGGAGGGAGGGGGTAGGTCAAGCTAGGATGAGTTGTGGAGGTAAGGGTCGAGGGAGAGAATGAGAAAGACTGGGAAGTGTAAGGGGAGGATGAATCCATGATATATCATGTGTAAACCACTGCTATCTTCAAGATGCCGTTTACACAGACACAGCCAATCCCATATTTCTCCGTCTCGCACTGTCTCCCAGCGCGCATCCCGAACTTCAAACCCATCAGTGGAGCCGCCGCGGTTGGAGAAGATCCATGGAGCAATCTGGGGATGAGGGGTCGCAGTCTCTCTGGGCCTTGTTCCCCCGCATCCTGTGGCGGTACGGTGGGGAGGAAGTTCGCGGCTAATTGCGGAACATGGATGCTGGGAGCTGAGACACTCAGCCGGCGTTCCCCAGCTTGCATGTAAGTAAGTGACGGCTCATATGGATTGGGAATGCATGAGATGTACGAAGAGACTCACATTGACTTGGCAATAAGCCAAGCAAGCGAAGGCTCCAAGTCAGTCCTTGCTCCTCTGCCTCCGCATCCATAGTGATCCGATCAACTGGACTGACCCAGCAGCTAGGGGCTGGAGGGAGCCCGACATCAATGTTGCTACCGCAACTACAATCAAGACCTTCCCGAGGTCTGAATTTGATATCCTCTCTTTAACTTGCAGTTCCTCCGCCCAGAATTAAGATGACATAAACCCTGACTGCCGCCATACGGCTAGTTAGATTTCCCAAGTATCCGTATTCCAAAGACCAAAACCCGCTCGCTTGCATTGCGTCAAAGTGCCTCCCTTTCCTCCCTCAAACATCTATTTGCTTCCAACCACGCACTCGCCACCAGTTAAGCAGAGCAGCCTAAAGTAGACATTACGTACTTTATATGCTCGGGTATCCCATCTTCACTTCCCCCATCTCAGCCTTCACAACACCCGCTCCCTTTCCCCTAACAACACCTCTTCCAAGACGCAAACACTTGTCCAGCACAGCGCTCATTCACCCGCTTCCACAGCCGTAACCGTGGGCGAATTCAACTCCACCCCGGCCGCCGCCGCCGCAGCAACCATCTCCTCCATCCCCGGCGTAGGCGGCACCTCCTCCCCCGCCCCACCAGTACAACCACCGACACCATCAATCACCGACCCCTCCCTACTCACACTCGCGGCCCCGTCCCCATTACTCATGCTCGACTGCGCCAGCTCCCTTCGCCTCCTCCTCATCCGCCGTTCCTCGTCGGCCGTCTGCCTCCTCGACCGCCTCAGGTTCTCCCTCTTCTCCGCGTCGGCCGGGTCATCCCCGCCGTCGGCGCCGCTGCGCATGCCCTGGAGCAGCAGCGCCGCGCGCTGTGCCACGTCGTCTTCTTCACTGCCCCCTCCTCCCTGTGCTGCTCCTGCCGATGATGCCGCGTCGGCCGGTAGGTTGGCAGTAGCGGGGCTGAGGAGGTTTGATTTGGGGGTTTTGCTGGGGTCGTCGTCGCCCGCCGCAGGGCCCGAGGCTTCGGAGCCCGGGCTCTGGAGGGACGGGCGGGCTCCTGACGGGCCGTCGGAGCCGCTGCCAAGCTGGCTGAGGTCGGGTATTTTTTGGCCCGAGGCGATGCGCACTTGGTGACGGTCCTTGAGGCGGGCGCGGCGGCGCCGGTCACGCGTGTCCCGGGCCTGCGGTGCGGCCGCGCGGAGCTTCTCGAGCAGGCTGTCCATGGCGCCCGTGGTGGTCGGCGAGGCCGGGTTGGTGCTGTCTGAGGCCTGCGCCGCCTTCAGCGCGTTCTTGCGCTTCATCGACGCCTCGTTCTTGCGCCGCTGCTCCTCAAGCTGCACGTTCTTCTGGTGCGACTTCTTCCACTCGTTGACGAAGAGCGCCAGCTTGGCGAAGAAGTCACGCCGCGCGTTCTCGTCGGACGGATCTTCGCCGTAGAAGGTCATGATGTCGTTGTAGGTGCGCACCATCTCCTCCAGGTAAACCTGCATCTGCTCGGCTTTGCGCCGCGCTTCCTTCATGCATCGGCCCACAATTTGCAGTACGCGATCCTGTGGGTGGAACTTCTTGGGGTCCGACAGACTGCCCGAGTCAAGGGCCTTCTGCACGTTGTTGATGTTGTCAATGTAAGCTTTGGCATCGGCCTGCAGTTGCTCGATGTTGATCTTCTGCACCGTCATTACGCCCGCAATGTCGTCGGCGAAGTTCTCCCATTCTGGGTACTGGTTGCGGACAATGCGCTCGACAAGATCGGCCAGTGTAGACTCGTTCTTGTCGTCCTTTACCATACCCAACCTGGCCAGCGAAGACAGCTTGAAGCCGCGGGCTTGCTTGTTCGGGTCATTCATGTAATTACCAATATCCAAAATGAGGCCGAGGACGTTCATCAGCGATACCGAGTCTCGAAGCGACTCAGATACGCTGACAACCAGGCGCATCTTCTCTGTAATCTCGTCATAGTCGGGTTCGTAGCTGCGTGTCAGTGAGAGAGCCCGCATCCTGCTCTTCCAGTAGTGGTGCAGCTCAAACGCTGTTTGCAAGAAGATCTGGTCTTGCCTGGTGAGTTCGGACGGGTCTTGTTCGCGGTTCTCCTTGTCGGCTTCCGGCCCTGTCCAGTCTTTGCTATACGGCGCTAGTTGCTTGGCCGTGTTCTCGGGAATAACGCAGAGATCATCCTTCTGCAAAAACTCCATAACCACAGGGTTGTCGAGCACTTCAGCATCACAATGAATAATCATCTGCACCACTTTCTCAACCGAATAATGCGAGAACTTGGCAAGGGCAATTTCTGATCACGGTTAGCACCTGTTTTAGACTTTTTTAGAATATTTTCGAAGTGGCTTACCGAAGGCTTTCCGCAGATCAGTCGAGATGATCTGCTTCTTATCGTCCTTCTTAGAACCCCCTTGACCGATTTGTTTGATCTCCTTGGCCATGAACAACTTCTCGACCTCGTCAAGAATACCCTTCCGGCTGAGTTCGAGATACTTCTCTTCCCTTTCTTCTGCCGACGGCGCGTGAGCTGCCCAGTGTGTGGTAAGCGGCGAGTCGACCTTCTCCCAATGGAAAGCCTTGAGCTTCTTCTTAGGCCGAACAACCGACAAACCGAGGGACGGCGCCGGCGAGATGTGATCTTGCCGAGATAGGAAATGACCCGAGAGCGCCCCTGGCCCGGGTAGTGGAGGGGGCGGCGGTGGCATACCCTTGGCTCCAGGCAAAGGCGGCGGAGGAGGAGGTGGCGGTGGTCCACCACCCATCGGCGGAGGCGCACCGGGAAGCCTGCCAGGCATCGGCGGCGGTGGTGGAGGAGGTGGTCCGCCCCCAATAGGAGGCGGAGCACCCGGGAGCTTGCCGGGGAGAGGAGGCGGGGGTGGAGGAGGCGGACCGCCACTGAGAGCAGGTGCTGGAGGTGGCGCGCCTGGGATCTGGGCCGGTAATGGAGGAGGCGGAGGCGGTGGAGGCCCGCTGGAAGTAAGTGACGCGGACGACGGTGGAGTCGTGTCGGTAACCTCGATCTTTGGGGGCTCAGCGTCGCTTGGTGTAAGTGGAGACTGCGATTCCAAGCTTGGATGAGATGGGCCCGTGGTGACGCCGTCCCCTTCTTCTGAATCACTGCCGTCGTACTTTTTGACCTTGCCCTGGAGTTCGCTGAACATACCAGCGGCTTGCTTGGGGTCCATGACAGGCCGCTTGATCTCAACCAGCCGCGGCTTCTCGTAGATAACGCCGTCCTCGTCCTCGGCCACATCTTCAGCCTCTTCCAAGACGTCCTTGACCGGCTCCACCCGAGAGCCAACGGGCTTCCTTGGAATGCGGGTCGACCTTTTGACGCTCCCAAGCATGCTGTTGGTGAAGTCCCGGGGCGCAGGGGCTGAATCCCCGAAGCCATCCATCTCTTCCCGCAAGGCTCGCAGCTTGTCTGAAGGGCCGAGGGCTTCACCCCATACTTTGCCTTCGAGCTTATAGACTGTCTTTTGACGCTCAAGCTGCATTTGAAGGCGCTCCATGAGTTTTTCACGGTCGAGAATTCCCTGCATGCGTGCCGGGTCGTCGTCACCCAGCTTCGCCCCTTTAGCAGCGCTCGATGCTGCCACATCCTGAGCGTCCCGAAGCATAAGATACAGCTCGCGCGTCTCGAGCTCATACCGCTGTGCTTCCTTGGCCCTGAGCGTTTGCAAATTCTCCAACTCTGACTTTAGCCCTTCGGCCTGTCTCCGTTGCGCCTCGATGAACCTGGCCTGTTCATCAATTTGCTTCTGAAGCTTGGCGACTAGACCATCGGCACCTAATGCCAACTTCTCCTTCAGCTCGTCCCTCTCTGCGATCGCCGCCTCCGCGATCCGCCGCGTCTCGGTCGCCTCATCGAAGGCCTGACGGGCTTCCGAGTCAGTGTGTAGCTTGTCGAGCAAGCTCTGGACGGTGAAATTGAGGCTTTGCTTAAGGTCCATATCCGGCAGGCGCCGGTCCATGGCGACATAGCTCAGCATTGAGTCGACAAGCTGGAACATGCGAAGCCGCTCCTCATTGTCGTTATCCCTGATGAGGAGAAGGTGCTGTAGGGCCGAGATGAAGTAGTCTTGTGTCTTGGTACCCTTCAGCCGTTGCTGTATCGCGTCGACAATCTGGACTGGATCGTTGAGATCCCTGACATCTCCGTCTACGCTGTCCTTGATGCTGCTGTTCTCCCTCTCCAACATGTCCTCGTAATCGATGGCTTCATTGGTCCGGAACCGCTCGATTTGCTTGTCAATCAACTCGTACTGGAAAGCCTCCATCTTGTGCAACATCCGTTTAATGCCACATGCCGTGAACTGCGCTCGAATATGGACGCGCATCTGGAGATCCTTCTCGGCGGCATCGATCAGCATGTTGACCAAGATGAGCGTCGCCACGGCGTATTCCATAAGGAGATTCTCCATGCCGATGCCTCCACTCCGCACCTCCTCGCTCGCGCCCACAAGGCTGCCCATCTTGCCTCGGCCATCGATGGTGACTTCGACAAGGCGCATCCAGGCGTCGAAGCGGCCGTTCTCCCCCTGCTGGTTCTTGGCGACATCCATGGCCTCAATGACCTTCAGATGTCCCTTATTATCAGACCAGTGGCAGAGGAACGTCAAGACTTCGCTGACAAGCTTCCTTGTCGTGAGCCTGGGCGAGACTAGGGACGTGGCCAAGGCGACGAGAACCTGCTGGTGAGCCAGGGCATCATCGGCGCCGAACTTGTTGTTCATCAAGGCCTTTAGACACTTGACAATATCGTACTCGCGGTCCAAGTTCTTGTCCGCCTTGCCCGACTCCGCTCCCGGGCCCATGGCGCTTTTGCGGTTGATTTTGAGAAGCACGTTGGTCAACGCCACTTGGCCCTGGCACTCGATGAACCGCTTGACCCAGCCAATTTGCTGCGTGCGGAGGTTGACCTCCAGGCTGCCGAAGCCCTTGCTGTCGAGCGAGTTCTCCATGACCTTGCGCACGTACCACTCCGGGCTGCCCTCCTCGTCGGGCATCTGAGTGAGGTCGACGTTGCTGTACTGGCCAATCTTAGCGGTCTGTCTGCGTTTCTGTTCCCCCTGCCACTCGGTGAGTCGGTCCTGGTAAATCAGGGTCCATTTCTTGGACGACGGATAGGCCACCATCTGGCGCTTGGCTTGGTCCGGAAGGTTGTGCCATCCCCGTTTCTGCATGAGCGCCAGAAACATCTGCTCGATTACGCTGTCGTCGTCTGGTTTTGGGAAATAAAATGCGTCGCTGACTCCAGAGGGGAACTTGGTGAGGCGATTCTCCCTGGGCGAGTGGGGAGACAAATAGGAAGACTGGGACGAGAGACTAGGTAGTGCTACTTTGGATGAGCGATGGTCCGCAAACTGGCCGAGGTGGGATTTTCCGTTACCTGACATGATACTTGCTGTGTCGCCTGAGCTACGGCCTCCAGACGTCGCATACGAAATGTACCGGGAGTTATGAGATCCCGTCAAGCTGCTCTCTCGCGGCGGGCCCCATTGCTGATACTGAGCTTGGCGGCCGGTAGAGGCCATTGTGATGTTGGACGCGGCGGGTGGTGGGCGCGGTCCCGGGGGATATGGACTGGTGGGACGCACAGCGGATGGGTCGAAACTTGGATATTGGTGGAAATCGCTCGTCAGCTTGTTCAGCTGGTGCGGCAGCGGTTCTCTTCGAAGGGGCATCTGATCGAATTTCGGGAGATAGTCGACCGGGACCGGGGAGCGCCGGTCGGCGCTCACGCTCTCGTACGGGATGGTAGTAATGACGCCGGCCGTCATGTTGATCCCGGACTCAGCGGAGCTGGGACGGTCTAACGATACAACCGACGAATCTCGTTGGTGGCGCGAGTGGCGAGAGTTCACGGAACTGGCATCGTGGTCGGCGTACAGATGGCGGCCGTCATCGCCCGCGCTCCGTTTCTCGGCTTTGTTTTTGGAACGGTGGAAGAAGGAAGAAGCCTTGCCGCCAGAGGAGGCCCGCGACTTGTCGTAGGAAGACATGGTATCGGCGGGAAGACAGATGGCCGTCAGTCAATGCGCGGGCTGCGTCGGTCTGTCGGATGGGGAGGCGTGGTATTTGCCGTCAACGAACTTTGTGTCTCAGACCCAGGGTGCATCGCATCATGTTTTCTGGGAGGTGGCCGGGGTCTGGAAGCGTCTCGTCGCAGCGACGAGGGTTGTCTTTTCTGCATAAACCGAGGACATTCAGCATGAGAACTGGTTGGTACCACTTCCCCAGGGTTTTTAACAAAGCGGGAGGTCGAGGAGAACCCAGACATACAGGCTGCGATTTTTCCGGCTCCTGTAATGGGGGGATCGTCGACAAACAAGTGCTGGGGTCGGTTGTAGTGGCACGGGGGGTAGTCTTTGATGGTGTCGTCGGGACCGGCTCGAAACGAAAATCGCCAACGAGTTTCTTGGGCTTGGCTCCTGCGGCGTTGCACGTAGCTGCTTCCGTACACAAGTAGCAGCCCCTAGGGCAGCGGATGGAGGGTCGAGCGGCTCGACGTTTAAGGAAGGGGGGCAACCCGCTGTGGAATACCCCCGGGATGGTTTGCAAGCTTCTGGGCTAGTGGAGCAAGTCTTGGAGTGCAATCAAGCTGATGTTGGAGAGCTTCCCTGCCCCATTTGCATCCCAGAATTGATACCAGGACAAGAACGAAAGGGGCGTTCGGCCTGAGACGGTCTAGCGAAGATCAGCCCCTGAATCCCTGGCCATTTAATCCCTGATGTGACTCCCGAGGTAACCTGCAGTACCTCTGTACCGAGTCGGATAATAGGATCGAAGTGTACCTAAGCTTTATCTTTGAAATGCCATTCCTTGTATGATGCATCGTTCCTTTCTTTCTCTCAATTCTCCTCCCATTTTCTTGCACCTCATTGCACAGTACGGGTAGCAAATCAGGGTTCCTGGTGTTTACTACTTGACGGTTCCACATTGAGTGCGGGATGTGCCAAGAGTCCTAGCGGACTTCGGCGCCAAGATCACCTCCCGGCAATCGCTCTGTATGGCATGGGCAGATTCAATCCCGGCATTTGGTCAACATCACCGTTGGATTAATCGCCGAACTTTGACGGCGCCATTGTACAACACAGTTCCTTCATCAGCTTCGAGGTTAGGGTGCGTCCAACTGAAGAGCCCCCAGCGCCTTCCCCTGGGCCGTCCGGCGCAATGGGCGCAACGGTGTCGGCCATCAAGGTAACGCAAACTATGCGCCTCTCAAAACCTCCCGCGGACGGCTTGTTGTTGCTGATCACTTTCCACAGACCCTGATTATCCCGGCCATCATCTCTCTCCTCCTCTTTATCGTCTCGACCTTCGTCCTCCTCCCCCTTTGGCAGCGATACCGAAACCGATACAGCCAATATCTCCCGCTCGAAACAATATCGAACCAGACACTGTCGTTGCGGGGGAGGATGCAGGGCGCCATGGCGCGCTTCATGGCCCCGTCGGCGTGGAGGGCAAGGGTGTTGGACCGCGTTGTCGTGGCGGACCGAAGTTCGTCGGACTCAGAAGATGGGGAAGAACTAGGTGAGGTGGGTGAGATGGCTGTGAGGCGGGTGTTGGATCGACAGAGGGTTGTTCACGTTGACAGTACCCCTAGGTTAAGCAGAGAGTCAGTCTGACCTTGATTGACCCTTGCTGAACAGTCTGGCCGCTAACTACTTGAGTAGCTTAGAGGAAGGCTTTATGGATGACAGTGATGACGAGAGTGAACATGGCAGAGGGCGATAGATCTATCAATCCGGCGATCATTACGTTTCAGTATATCCCCCGGCGAAGAAGCGGCTTCTTATGTACCCCTGCGTCTGGAAGATGTCAACTGCATGTGGCTTTCTATACTCAGCGCAGTTAACGGTTTCACAGACAAACGGCTTCGGACCAACAACGCGACAGACCGACGCTGGTTGCTGCTGTAACTCTGATTGATGGTAGTGCTCTCTTGGGTGAGGGTATCGCATGTTGTGCGCTCCGAGGGCTTTCGGTATGGCTACGGAGAACTCCAAAGTATTTGACACGATTTGAACTCTTGCATCGTACGAGATTAACGGTCTGTTCTACAAACTGAGAACTAGGTACCTGCTCCAGTTGGTAAAAAGGCAGCCCTACATCACAACCCTGGCTTCCATTGTTTCCGAGGTCGGATGGTAATATTGGTCCTTGTCCACACACAGTACGCTATCCGTAATGCGTATTTACAACATGCCCGGGGGAGGGGGGCGGGAGGGAGGAAACGGCTGCATGCAAGTACAATAATCCGTACAGTGAAAGCGTTACCGGATTCATATGCACATTACCTAAATATGGTAGCGTCACTTTAACTTCCTTTAAGCCAAGACGCCGAATCTGGATCTCCGATAAGCGCACGCCCAAGGAGAGAACTCGACAGAAACATCCATCTGATCTTGCCTTCAAGTTTTCGGCGTACTCGCCACCCCTTCGGCCTTGCAGTTTACCTTCCACGATTTGCTCCCTCATAGACTCCCTTCAAGACGACCGAATTGCTTCGTTCAACCAAACTTTCGCATGTTCCTCCGCCCAAGGTAGCACCCCGCAAATCAGAGACGATGGCAACTCCCGAGAAGCAGGCTATCGAGTTCAAGAACCAAGGCAACAAGGCCTTTGCTGCGCATGACTGGCCAAGCGCCATAGACTTCTACACCAAGGCTATCGAGTTGAACGACAAGGAGCCAACGTTCTGGTCCAACCGAGCGCAGGTCCGCATAACCCCGCCAGTCTCCTCTGCCGGCGCTCCATGACGGTCGCCTGACTGACCGAGTGCATCTCCGTACCAGGCATATCTGAAGACGGAAGCGTACGGCTTTGCCATCCGAGATGCCACAAAAGCCGTCGAACTCAAGCCAGACTTCGTCAAGGTGCGGCCTGTCCCCATCTTCGGCGCAAAAAAAATCCGCCGCGCAAGGCTGACGACCGCTGCGGCTCTAGGCCTACTACCGTAGAGCGACGGCATATGCGGCTATCTTGAAACCCAAGGAAGCCGTCAAGGACTTCAAAACGTGCGTCAAGATCGACCCGGGCAATAAGGATGCCAAGCTCAAGCTGGTCGAGTGCGAGAAGATTGTGCGGCAGCTAGCCTTTTTCGCCGCCATTGAGGTTGGGGACGAGCCGTCGGCGGCCGAGGGGCTCGATGTGGATTCGATTGCCGTGGAGCCAGCGTACGACGGCGTTCGGTTAGAAGGTGGCGAGATGACGCAGGAGTTCATCGACGACATGACGGAGCGGTTCAAGAACGGCAAGACAATACACAAGAAATACGTCTACCAGATCATTCTGGCCGTCAAGAAGCTTGTGTACAATGAGCCCACCATGGTTGAGGTCGAGATACCTGAGGGTGTTGAGCTCACTGTTTGCGGGGACACTCACGGTGGGTCCCAATGGTTTGTATGGGCACAAGATCTGGTAGAACTGACGGTTGTGGCAGGGCAATATTTTGATCTGATGGAGTTGTTCAGGTTGAACGGTGCGCCGAGCGATAAGCACTGGTATCTGTTCAACGGCGACTTTGTGGACAGGGGCTCTTGGTCGACCGAGATCGCGCTCCTGCTCTACGCTTACAAGTGGCTGAGGCCGAACTGCTTCTTCATCAACCGGGGCAATCACGAAACAGACGACATGAACCGGGTATATGGTTTTGAAGGCGAGTGCAAGGCCAAGTATAACGAACGGTAAGTCTGTCTAACCCTACAAGCTCTTCCGAGTGCTAACACTCCCCGCAGCGTGTTCAAGCTCTTCTCTGAGAGCTTCTCTGCCCTCCCCCTGGCGACTTTGGTCGGCAAGAAGTACTTTGTGCTGCACGGGGGTCTCTTCTCAGATGACAATGTGACGCTAGACGATATCCGGAAACTGGATAGGCACAAGCAGCGGCAGCCGGGGCAAGCCGGATTGATGATGGAGATGCTATGGACAGATCCTCAGCCACAGCCTGGGCGTGGCCCGAGCAAGCGTGGCGTGGGTATGCAGTTCGGGCCGGACGTCACCAAGCGGTTTTGTGAGAGAAACGGCCTCGAGGCGGTCATCCGCAGTCACGAGGTGAGGATGGAGGGCTACGAGGAAGAGCACGACGGGAAGTGCATTACGGGTAGGTGGTTATCGATCGCATCGTATCCCAATTCGGACGTGACAGGTGCTGATACTCACCCACCAGTCTTCTCGGCACCGAAGTATTGCGACATGACGGAGAACAGGGGAGCATACATCAACATCGACCGCGATTACAAACTCAAATTCTCACAGTTTGATGCCGTCCCACACCCAAACATCCGGCCAATGGTGAGTCCATGTCGACCCAGGTTAGGTTGTGCATGTTGCTAACGTAAACCCAGGCCTACGCGCAGAGCTCCCTAATGTCATCCCTGATGTAGACAATAGTTTGCAGATGCTGAGGACCAAGAGAAGTTTATCTCTGAGATCTAGAGGCAGTTGCATACCCTGCTGACCGGCGTTTGATTAGCCCATCATGGCCAAATGGTATCGGCGGGCGGCCGGGCGGTATCAAGAGGAATGGCATGTGGTGGGGTTGGATCGGTTGTTCAGGAGGCCAGCTCATTACCTCCTTCCCCCTGCACTACTAGGCAGGCAAGAGACAGTTTTCTCCGCTGTCTCGCCAGCTTAAGTAGATAGCCAGACACTGAATTTAGACGACCTAGCTGGGCAGCCAGCCAGACATGCAATGATTAATACCACCCATAATCAAGTGAATCGATCTGGTGCTCTCCTCAATAATCAATCAGCCCATAGCTTTTCTTCCTCCTCCCGCCCGATCAAACTCCCCAACCAATCGCCACATGCCCCCAACCGCAACACCATCCTCCCTCCCTGCGCACTACTGCTACTACTCCCGCTCAATGACGACGCCGAAGATGCAAGCGGAAGTCCCGAAAACGCCGTGACGCCCGCCGCGAAAGCGGGCAGGTCCTCCCTCGGTACACGCACCCACGCCGAGTGCGGCTGCACCAGCAGGATGTCGAGGCTCATGCCTGCGCCCGTGTCGCCCAGGAATTGTCGGAGGGCGGCGGTCAGGTAGAAGCGGAGTTGGAGCGCGTCGAGGATTGGGAGGTTGTTGTTATTGGGGATGCCGTTGGGGGCAGGGTTGACGAGGGTTAGGTGGGCGTAGGCAAAGGGTGGGTGCTTGAGGGTTGCGGTTGTCAGGGTGCGGGTTTTGGGAGTGGGTTTGACGTTGATGGTGCCGGTGTTGGCTGGACTGGGATCGAGGTCCATTTCGTCTGGACCCGGGTCGGCTCGGGGCGGGTGGTTGGTGGTCATCTTCTGCTATTTGCCTTGGTTGCTGGTGGTGCTGTTGTTTGGAGTGGTTATGTAAGTCGAGCCTGATGAGTTTGGAATTTGAGTGGACGGTTGAGAAGGGATCGTTTAGCTTGACTGTTGCGAGGTCTGCTGGGGGAGATAGCAATCTAGTTGGTGGGAGAAGAAGCAAGATCAAACTCTTGAAGTCCACTTTCCAGAACTGATCTGAATATTTTATTTTGAAGTTGTATTCACATGGCATAAGGACAGTCCGGAGTTCCAGGTTTCGGTGAGAAAATTACGATTTCGTCATGCGGAAATCGGCATATGAATGTATCGGAGGATAAATTCCGATTCTGCAATGATGCACCCGACGTCACACACTCGACATCGGCCCTTGCTTAACTGTGGCCCGGACGTGCTGCCCGTGTATTCCTTACATCCAAACTCGGGCACTTGGGGAGGAGCATCTCAAGATAGGATTCTTGAGGTATCGCAAAATCCCTAGAAAGCCTCTTCCCCGCTTCAATCGTCTTGGCCACCAGCGTGAAATCAATCAGTTCCATCACTAACACGTCTCCAACGATCCACTATCAATACACACCATCAATACCTGTCGACACTCCTCGAACCCAGCCAGACAATAATTCAGGATCGATCTAGCTCACGACTCCGAGGGCATATTGCCTCCTCCAACTGACTGTGGCTGGATTTTGGAGCCATGAACTTTTGTCCTGTCCTCGATCCGATTTGAATTGGGTATCTCGGTAGCCTTTCCCTGGAAAACGTCCTTTCTCTGCAGCAGCGCATTTGTCCCGCCGTTCCAGTCAACGGCCCAAGAAAACGGATCATATCTATCGGTAGTATCAAGATTTTTACACATGGATCTCGAGCTCTCACACATCCCGCGCGCTGTTGGCGCCGTGATCCGCATACTTGGTATCACAGTGTGGACTCTACTTAGTCCAGTCATCGGGCTGCTCCATGGCTGTTTCTGGGTCCTGAAAGCAGTCCTCTGGTCGGTGTTCGTGGCGGCCCGCATCCTCATATCGCCCTTGCTTGTCCCATGGTACATAACACAATGGTGTTGGGAAACGGCTCTAGTTGTGTACGAGGAGTTTAGGGTACGCGCACCTTGCTCCAACTGCCGCTAACCACACTGACATTCATACTCCTGCAGCCGTTGCTCGTATACGTAAGCACGCCCTCAATGCATTCAAGCCCCCAATCCTTACACCTAACCCCGACACCTATCCATCACAGTGGAGCTTCTCCATCTATATCGGGGCCATAACCGGCGTCCTCATCGTTGTCCTGACCAACGTCCTCATGGACGTACTGCACTATTACATACCCTGGCTGGCCCCAGCGCCTCAGCCTCAGCCCCAGCTTCAGCGCAATCGCAGAGCATCAGCTCACCGACCACGACATTACATCCCCGCTCCCCAGCGACACCCTCACGTGCCCAGGGGGCAAGAGGAGGAAGGCAGCAGCAACACCAAACACGCACGCATCGCCAGCCCTACGTCAGGATCGGAGTCGGACAAAGAGGAGGAGTCCTGGAATGCCGAGGACGCGCTCAGCCGGTACAGCATAACACCTCCGGCGGGTGCTAAGACTCCGTGGCGGAGGGGGACGCCCCCGGCTAAGGTCCGGGTCGAGCCTACGATCCATGAGGAGTCTTCTGGGTAAGGGCAAAAGGGATGACGATCTGGTTTTGAGACTTTGGCGTCGCTTTGAGCGGTGCTTCTGTTTCGGCCAGGGCGCAGATACGTTGAAGCAGTTTGGTGTCTGGCGTTGTGGGAAGGGTTTGTTTGTTTGTTTGTTTGCTTCTCTTGGGTGAACAAGCGTTCGAACAAGATGAATACAGTTATTAGTGAGGGATGACGATATCAGCGTAATACCAAGGAGGAAGGGTATCGATGAATGTATTCTTCTTACGCGCCAAACCATGCCGGCCAACCTAGACCAACACCCATTACGCCAGATCCGAGACTAGAGAAACCCCAGCCTATTTCCTCTTCCTTCCATGACGTACTTATGTCCATGGCCAGTTTAAGCCGTATCAAGATGATGAACGTAACCATCAAAGCACATCTTGACCTCATCGCCACCCGTACATAAACCGACCTTCCTCGGGAACCATCTCGGGAACGACAGGCGCTCTTGCATGCAGTTCCTACCTGCGGTACACATCGCGGTCTCGCTCCCGATCCCTATCCCGCTCCCTGTCGCGATCGCGAATCGGCGAGCGACTCCTGCTCCTCGTCCGACTGTTTCGCCCGTGATCGTCATAATCCCGCCTCCGATCCCAATCAGGCCGTCTATCATCCCGGTCATCCCTCCGCCGCGGTCGGTCATCTCTTCTCGGTGGTGCATCGCGGTCATAGCTTGGGATGTACGTGTCGACGTCCTGCCGAACCCCACCTCCGCCGCGCGGTCTCCCGCCTCTGCTGTCACGGTAGCCGTCTCCATGATCGCTGTCGGCGGGCGGCGGCGGGCGAGGCGGCAGACCACGGTCCCGGTGCCACGCCGGCAGTCGCTCCTCCGGTCCCCGGCTGTTGCGCGGGTACCGGCTGCCGTTGACGCCGTTCCTCCCGCTGAAGCTGTCGTTGCCGAAAGACGCATTAGGGCCGTCGTGGGGCCCGCGGCCTACGGTACCGCCCTTGGGGGCCGGCGGGAGCGCTGCTCTCCTGTCGTGGAATTTCCTGCGGTCAAGCTCGTGGCTTTCTTCAAACGAGGGGAGATCACTAGGTTTTGCTGGGTACGGGGCGGTGCGGAAGTAGGGGTGTTGTAGGGCGTCGATGGCGTTGACGCGGCTTCGCCAGTCGAGCTTGAGGAGTTCTCTAAGGAGCGAGACGGCACCGGAGCCATATTCCCGAAATCGCTGTGCTAGGTTCCCTGGTCTCGGCCTTGGTTGCAGCGTTTCAGCGCCTGGTAGTGACCGCCAGCCGGGCATGTTCTCGTCTGTGGGTGTCCCGCAAAGGTCAAAGATGATCTCAAGCTGGTGAAGGTCGCTGTCTCCAGCCAGGATGGGTTTCCCAGTGAGCATTTCGCCAAACACACATCTGCAGACGGTTAGCTTCACCATTTGTTCAAGATTGGTTCGTGGTCTTACCCGACACCCCACATGTCAATAGCAGTGGTGTAGCGTTTCAGGTGCATCAATAGCTCGGGAGGCCGGTACCAGCGGGTCACCACCAGGCTCGTGTAATCCCGCCGCCCCTCGCCGCCTCCCCGGCCGGGCTTCGGAACCTCACCCTCGTAGTGCCTTGCGAGACCGAAATCTGCAATCTGGAGGATGCCCTTGTTGTTGATCAGAAGGTTGGCTGCCTTCATATCTCTGTGCAAGATATGGTTTTCATGCAGGTACTTCAGGCCTTCAAGCAGCTGGAGCATATAGCACTTGATCTGCGGCTCGGTGAAGTGCACCGAGGGGTTGTCGAGCAGGCCTGAGAGATCATGATCCATGTAGGGAGTCACCATGTACATGATGGGTCTCTTCCGCTTGTCGGCTGGAGGATAGGTTAGCAAATGGGCGGCGGTGTCAGTCATCGAAGGGATGGACTTGCAGCTCCTAACTGGATGCTCAACGGCCATGTCCTCCAGACGGAGAATATTCTTATGCGAGAGGAGTTTCAGCAGCTTGATCTCTCGAAGCGCCGTGATGGGGAACTGGGCAACAGGTTAGGAGGCTCATGGGTGGGGCAAGTTCTGCAGAAGAGTACTGACGCCATCCTTCTCGTTGTGCATGATGATCTTCTTCAAGGCAACAAGGGCACCAGTCTTCTTCGACCTTGCCCGATGTACCTCGCTGCAGCAGCGGTCAGAGCGTTGAAGAGTAGATCAACCAAGTTTCCAGGCACTTACCCGAAGGTACCCTCGCCGAGCTTGCCCAGGACTTCATAGTCGGTGATCCGCGAGCACCCCAGGAAGCTGTTCTTGGGTCGCTGGTGGGCGATGGCGAAGCTGCGCGGTGAAGGAGCACCACCGGCCTCCCTTGACTCGAGGATGCTCATGATTGATTTGGGGTCACTTCGATTCGCTTAGATGAGTGTTGGCGATGGTCGCGCTTGGGTGAGGCGCGATTCGAAAGGTGCTGATCGCCGATAAAAACCCGTAGTTGAGAGGCGAGGAGAAGGCGTGGGCTTCTCAGCTAGGAATAGTAGGCGGCATGGCAAGGCCGAGGTTCTTATTGGGCGTTTGCTTTCAATCGTGGTTTGCACACAATAAGCCTGAAATCTCGAGGTTAAACTTCAGTTGCGCAGCATGGGCAGGTGAAAGTCGATAGCGCTTGAACCTTGCTGGGCAGCACCGCTGTGCACGGACCAGATATGTTACGTAAAGCTTAATCCGTACACCGTCAGGTGCAGTACGCTACCTGGGATGTTTCATTCGGGCATTGTGCCAGGTTTCTCGGCTCATACCCGAACCCTGGACCTGTAATCGTCGCTCCTCTCAACGACTCCAAACGACGACTTGCCTCACTCCATCGACAAACGGCACCACCCACGACCCGTGCGCAACACCCTCAATTCGACCTGTAAAAAGGTCCGTACGAGCTCGCTCCCGCCTGCCCCGGATTTTCGCTAACCAAAGCATTCCCAAAGACAGATTGGCACGCACAACAATGGCCGCCGGCGGACCACCAGTTCGCCCCATCTACCGGTTCATGGCCACGGGCCTGGGCGCGTCAATGTGGTTCTGGGTATGTCGAAATCCTGAAAAGTTCTGTTCTTGCTCTTCCCGACTAATGGACGGAACGCACAGATCTTCTACAGGGCAAAGAAGGACGGTATGCACCACGCAATCCGACGAGTCGTTTGCTTGACGAGAAGCGCAGCTGACACACCATTGCAGGGCCGGTCCTTCTCGGCTGGAAGCACCCATGGGATCACTAGACGCGAAAACAAAGGAGATAGACAGCGGGGCAAGTTCCAGGAAACCTTGTACATATGCTCAACAATCGACGCACTCCCAAGATCGGCCAAACAAAAAGGACGTTGTCTACCCCAGCTAGATCCAGGATCCCAGCCGGCACAACGTTTCGAAATTGTCAATAGAGAATTTTTGCTAGGCGAGTATGGCTATAAAATAGTCCTCTTGGGTGAGATTGTTCCCAAGGGTGGAAGAAGAGATAGCAAGGGGCGGCATTCGGACAGACCTAGCTCAAGATCTTGCACAAATTTATCGTAAGGGGCCTCAAAATCTGCTCTAGCCTCGTCACCTCTATCCTTCATTTTCTTGTCTGACGGTCGTGACAAACTCCTAGCTAGCCGCGGCTCCGCTGGTCCGCTCAGCCCTAGACCACATGGTTACGTCAAGTCAAAGGGGCAAAAGGTCCCAGTATATACGAGACGGGTGGTTCGGGTGGTGTCCTCGACGACTGAGTCGTTCCTGATGTCCTAATTAGGGGACCTCGGTTGCCACCAAACATCCGCTAACCCAGACCACGCGGAGCTTAACCCAAATGGAGAGAGCTCAATCGGATTTGAATCAGCGTTGCTTTGCATCAAACCCCGAATCCTCTTGAAATATTTCAACGCGCCGTATGTACAACGTCCAACGCTATGCAATCCACGACCCCTCTACCTCTAAGTTAACAATCTTTCTATCCCCAACTAGAACAACATCTGTTCCTTAGAACAACATCTGTTCCTTAGAACAACATCTGTTCCTTAGAACAACATCTGTTCCTGTATGACCTTGTACTGCTTCCTCTTCTTCGGCCGCTTTAGCACCGATTGCTTCAACCTGCCAATCAACCTCGCCAGCGGTTGGAAAACCCAGTGCTCCCCTGTCCACGCCAGAGCAAGATACAACATTCCCAGCCCGACGATGAAGAGCTTGAAATTCCAGCTCAGGTACGTGAGCTGCATGACCTTCGATAGCCATTTGAATGGGCTAGCAATCATCACCATCGTGACGAAGAGGGCGGTGACTATTGTTGCGACAAACGGCCCTGGAATCAAAGTCAGTAAATCCTAAAGAAGGACCTGCAAGAACTGAGGGGATAACCTACAGTTGTTCAACGCAGAGTGTCTGAACGGTCGGCCAGCGTTGAGCACCATTCCCGCAAAGATGTACTCACAACACGACGTCAGAAACAGCGCCGTGTTCTCCGAGTTTTTGATGTTTGACTTTTCCGGATCAATGAAGGGCGGGATGTACCACGGCTGCCTGCGGACAGCCACAAACACAACGGCTTGGACCACGATGCAGATGTAGATCTGTCCCAACAGCGGCGTGAGAACCTTGCGCGAGACGAGGTCCGCCGTCGGCCGCTTCCGGCAGAGCTCCGGGAACGGACCCGCCCAGCTCATGAAGACGGCGATGGGCAGGATGAGTGCCAGGTCGATGAAGAGGAATTGGAAGTCGCCGAGGTTAGACGCTGAGGCGTACAGAAAGCTGACCGAGGTGAACTGGATGGCTGAGTATAAGCTCATGTACTTGAAGCAGCTGAAGCTGGTGACCAGCGCCGCCCGGCCCTCGCGGATCACCTCGGGCACGCACCGGATGTCGAAGATGCGAGACGTGAAAGGCGCGGCAACCGAAGCCTCGGCTTCGGAAAGCGAGATACCCACGTCGGCTGCTTTGAGCGCACCGCAGTCGTTTGCGCCATCGCCGCAGAAGCCGCATGAGTAATCGATTCCCTGCAGCTTCTCGACCAGCTCATGCTTCTCGTCCGGAGACATCCGAGCAAACACCTTGCCGGTCACCAGCATCCTGTGCATGACCTGGGGCGGCGCGAAATCGACTACCCAGCGGAAGATATCCCCGCTGACAGCGACCGAGTAATTGCGCAGGTTGGAGATGTCATAAGGCAAGGATGCGTCTCCTTCCGGGGGAGGTGGCAAAGGAAGTAGAGTGATGGGGTCCAGTCGGAAGATCTGGTTGTCGATGCTTTCCCACTGCAAACTGGCGTTTTGGTCTCTCGCATGGCCTGTGAGAAACCGAGGAACGAAGCAGTGGGCGGTTTTGTTGATCATCCCGCATTCCCTGGCGACGCTGATGGCGGTCAGGATGTTGTCTCCGGTAACCATGACGGTGCCAATGTTGGAGTCCAGAAGCTCACTGATCACCGAGGCAGTGGTGGGCTTGAGCTTGTTCTCGAAGATGATGAAGCCGACAAAGTCAAGGTCGGATTCAACCTCGCGCCGCTTCATCTTTTGAGCTTTTACCCAGCTGAGCTTCTTGATGTGCTTGGTGGCACAGCCAATCACGCGATACCCCTTATGGGTGTAGTGTGACAGGAGCTCTTCGTAGTCGGCGGGGACTGGGGTGTGTCAGTGAGGAGGGGATGGACTGCGTAGTCAATATGGGACTTACATGTCTCCGGTTTGCATATCTCCCGCATGCACTCTGGTGCTCCCTTGACATAGATGTCTCCACTAGGGCGACCAAAGGTCCTTACAAGGACACTTGCCCGCCGTAACTGGGAGACGAACTCGAACGACCTCAGAACTCCGAGCTCGAACGGTACCTAGCGAACTATTAGAGTACAAATATGGAGTATCGAGTGAATGAGGGCAAGCTTACGGATTGCGCAAAGCCTTGTGCAGTGCCGTTGGCCTGGAGTTTAGAGCCTGCTGGAGGCCTAGCAACTGAAGGATGAAGATTCCCCTGTTCTTCTTCATCGGCATTGGCCCCTCCCAGGTTGCCTTCCTCGAAGGACCAGCCGGTAAACTCGAACATTTTGAGGTCAAGGGGGTCGCCAACTGGCTCACCGTCCACTGTCCGCAATGAATGGCAGGTTGCCATGGTGTACAATGCTGCGTTCCGCGTGCCGATTTGGTCCTTATTCCCCAGAGCTGGACTATCATCCGGAACGAGTTCATCAGGACGGGTTAGGAGGTCGGTGAACCGGTTGTCAGCACGGGAGACGACGCGAACCCCAAGAATGTCCAGGCCTTCCTCGGTCAGGGTTCCAGTCTTGTCGAAGCACATGAGATCGAGTTTGCCGCCCACGTTCACTCTCTGGGGACTGATACAGAATATTTGCTTTGACCTCAACCGGCCTAGAGCGAAGCTTGTGCCGATGGTTAGGGTAGCGGGTAGGGCCGGGGGCACCACGATGGTAATTAGATCGAGGGCGCGGATGATGATCAAATGCCATTCCAATCTGAGCCTGATGAAGTTGACGAGCGACGCGGTGAATCCCAGCAGAGCGACGCAGGCCATGACAGAGATGTACCGGAAGGAGTCTCTGTAGAACTTGAAGCCTGAAGGCTTGGGAAAGAGCATTGAGCGTACTAATGCCCCTTTGGTAGTGTTGAAACCGGTCCTTACGACCATGGCGAGCGCCACAGCTTCTTCGTCCTGGTCTTCCTGCGGCCGCCGAGCGCGGACGATTCTGGTGCCGCAGAACAAAAAGTGCTTAGCGACTTCCGGGAGCATGGTCGATGCTGAGAGATCCAATTTGACTAGCGATTCATCAGTTGCCGGCGTCTTGGACACGGGCACGGATTCGCCGGTAAGCATGCTTTCGTTGACAATGCAATCGCCGCTGAGCAGGAGACTGTCGGCTGGGAACTGGCTGAGACTTGGATCGCTGACTTCGTACACGTCGCCCGGAACAAGATCGCTTGAAGAGATGTACCGCCCTGAACGTTGTCAGTGGCTTGCTCCCTGAGCAAAAGGGGGGAAACGTACAAAATCCGTTCCGAAGGACTCTAACGTCACAGACAAACCGAGATATCTCGCGAAGCCGTTTCATTGTCTGGGAATCGTCAGTCACCAAATCAAGGCTGTCTGTCACAAACTGCGCGACAGCTTACAGATCTTGTCTCGATGAGCGTCGTCGTGATACTGCCCACGGAAATCACGAAGATGGCGATGGCGTAGTAATAATACTGGTCAAGTGACCAGAGAATCAAGCTGGCGACCTGGAAGACGTAGAACGGATGGAACACCTGTCTGGGGTCAGCACGGTCAAGCGGTCGGTCATTGGGCAAGGGAATTACCTCGTCAACTAGCAGCCGGAACACCGACTTTTGTTCAATGTCGATGAGGTTGCTGCCAAAGACAACATCACGGTGTGTCTTCTCTTCGCTGTCGATGCCGGCACGGATCTCTCGAACATTGGACCATAGAGGGTCCTTCCAGCCGTTGCAGAGGAGGAACTTGTCTCGAAGAGGTTGGAAGAACAATCGCACGTAGCGATAGTTGATCATTCTCAAATCTCGCAGGATGGGATCTTGGTCCTCGTCCATGTGGAGGTACGTATCCATCTTTGCAGGGGCTCCGAACACGGTTGATAGAGACCGCCCGTACGGTCTCGACTCGACGTTGAGGATGGCCATCTCATTCCATTGATTCTCGACAACCACCCACTGGCAATCCCGGAGTGATGCTTGCTTGCCAACCAGTTTAACATGCCACCGAGGCAACCAGCGGAAGACAAGCCATGCCAGGCCCCCTGTCACGAGGCAAAGCAAAGCATATATGGCAAGCCCGGTCTGGCTAGTCCGGAAACCCGCAATGACAATGTACAGGTCCTCATTCACCATGTAAACTTTCTGGCTGCAGCGGTTCCCGCTGTGCCCGCTGCCGGCGGACACGCCGCTGTCGCGCCTCAGCAGCCTGCTGCGAACCGAGCCCCTAGATTGTGTCGAGGTCCTACGGAGGAAAACATGGTCGTTGTAGTTGGATGTCCGCTCCATGTCAATCGAGTCTTCCTGTTCTTCAAGATCCTCCTCGAACGGCAACTCGTCGAGGTCGCCAACTAAGGGTCGTCGGTCGTCCGGTGCAAACGTCTCACCACGTTCCTCACTCTCGTCCTCGTCCTGGTAGAAGGAGAAGCTCGCTGTCGAGTCGGCGCGGGCGCGACGATGGCTGAATGCAGAGACGCTCGTTGGAAGAGACTCGGCCATGGGCCCGGCGAAGACCTACACTCGTACGTGTTAGCAGACGCGGCGCGCTGCATATGCACAGACAGCAACAACTGACCTCATCATGCGCCATCTCCACATCTTCGAAGATGCTCGCACTGCTCTGGTTCGTCCCCAGCTGGTAAAATCCGGTGCCACGATTGCGTGTCTCGGGCATCGGGCTGGGGTCCCCGCCGTTGGCGTCCCGGGGGACCGAGTCCTCGCCGTGGGCAGCCATGTCGGCTTCTCCACCTTCTCTTAAGACTCGGTACTTGTACGGTGCCAGAAACTGATGAAGCGTCCATGCATCTTAGAGACCAGTAGATAATCGGGGAGGGTTAAACGCCAAATGGATGCGCGAGATATACCTGAGTCTGTCACAAACACGCGCTTTCTCCGACCCGAATCGAAGGATCCGAAGCGCACTTGTGAAACTGACTCCGGACAACACACAGTGACGTCGGTGTGCCGAGCCATGAACCCCGCTACATGCATCCCCGGAGGTTCCTGGTTTCTTGGCATCCCGGCCTCTTGGGTGCGACCGGGACGGTACTTGTACACGTACTTGGACAGAAGACGGAGTAATAAAAGGCAGGTAGATCGTCCTTGAACATGTTGCGATCGGGGAATCATCTGGGACTGACTGTTCGCTTCAAGGTTTATGGCCTTCAAGACTTGCTATAAGGGTGCTTCAAGAAACAGAATCCTCGACCACAAAAGCTGATGAAATAACGTTTGACTTGTTGGCACCAATTCTCCCCGATTGAGTATACAGGCACAGAACTGCACATTACCACCCTTTAGATTGCTCATTTCGATGCTATGGGACATGGAAATGGTTCATCTTACCTTCGAAAACTCGAGCTGTCGTACATTAATGAATGGAGTGACGGCACCTCAAAGAGATCCTGGTGCCTTGCAGTTCTTAGCGTCGCTTGCCTGGCTCTCACTGTAGTTGTAGCAAAAATCAAGATCTCGCAAGTTTGACACGAATCCACTGGCTTATTATCCTCGGCCAGCACGACATCTCACAGTAAATGTCAAGCAGTGGTACCGTTGCTGTGCAAATGTCGTTCGAGACAGGACTACGACAGTAGGTAGGCATGTTCCCCAAGACCTCGGAATATGAGAGCCTATTTCGGCTGTTGAGAAAGTGAAGATGTTACTGTGTAGGCGGTCGGGCTGTGAGATACCACTTGCACACGTCTTCCCTTCAGATTAGAGTGCCAGCTATTCTCGTCTTCTTACTGTGGAAACAACGCTTCGTCCGACCACCGCCTTGTGAGTGGGAATTGATAGGCTCATAAAGAGGAGCCCGCCCATGTGGTCCGACACCCACGATCCGAGTGGTGCCCCTGGACTTCCTGCCTGCCTGCCAAGCCACTGACAGCCAGCCGTTCGAGGCCATCATGCCAGTGGGGCGGGAGGCGAGGAAAACTCAGTGATCCCTGAAGCTTTCACGCTCAAGCGGTGGCCGAGTGTCGATGGCCGTGGACTTGGTCTTTACAAACCAGGACGGAGCGGTGAAGGTCGCTATCATCGAGAAATTATCCAGTCACGCAAAGTGGCCGAGATGCCTTAGCGGGGAAAATAGCTGAGCAAAATTAAACCGTGCCACGTCAACCCAACGTGGCTGGGTTGCGAAAGAACCTAAGACTTGGTCAGATGTGGCTCGTGGAGCGGCGTTGTGGACGAAGGATACAGTAAGGTTGAGATGGGGATTTTTGTGTTGTCGTTCAAAAGAATGCAATTCACTCTGAAACCCAGCGACAACAAGCCAGTCCAGCGGTGGATGGTACCCCTGGTGACAGGATTTTTGAGCGTTCGCACAAGCCACTGCCCCGCAAATTTTCTCGAATAAAGCGCCCCATGTAGCACTTCCCCTCCCTCAACAATTCTGAGCAACTAACAAGGGAAAGCCACGGGTCATCCATCTTTTAGTTTTTTTTCCAACTTCTCCTTCCACAACCACAGGTCTGTTTGTTTTGCTTCGGACGCAAATTCATCTCTCCCATACCGAAAAACATCACCTCCATCGCTGAGAACACCGCCGAGAGCACCAGTCACAATGGCTGAGCCCATCAAGAACAAGCGGCCTGACCCCGCTGCCCCGTACGTTCTTTCTCGGTGCCGAGTGATAAGTTTGAACTGTCACCAGCTGCGTCCCGCTTGCGATAGTCACAGACTGACCCGAGTCTCACTCCAGCACTCCCCAAAACACACCGGCAAATGCTGCCCCCATCTCGTCGCACGCTCAGCAGCCCGGCATGTCCAGCATCAATGAAGGTTTGTCGCTGACAGCTACTCGCTTCCCCAAGGAGCCTGGGTTTGGTGTTCGCGTAGTACCGTACTGACCGCGTCGATAACACAGAGGATCTGGACCGTGCCGCTGCTGCGTCTATCTTCGCCAAGGACCCCCGTCTTGTGTCGCTGATCCAGGGCCGTTTAGGCTCGCTCGTCGGCCGGTCGTCTGGTTATATCGAGTCGCTTCCCGCTGAGGTTAAGCGCCGTGTCGCTGGACTCAAGGGCATTCAGAAGGAGCATTCCAAGCTCGAGGCTGAGTTCCAGGAGGAGGTCCTGCAGCTTGAGAAGAAGTACTTTGCCAAGTTCACTCCTCTTTACGAGCAGCGTTCCGCCATCGTAAACGGCAAGACCGAGCCGACTGAGGATCAGGTCAATGCTGGCGAGGAATATGAGGAAGAGGAGGAGGAGGGTGCCGCGATCAAGGAGGAGAAGCCCGCCGAGAGTGCTACCAAGGTGTCTGGTATTCCGGAGTTCTGGCTTTCGGCCATGAAGAACCAGGTCTCCCTGGCTGAGATGATTACCGATCGGGACGAGGGTGCACTCAAGCACCTGGTCGACATCCGGATGGAGTACCTTGACAAGCCGGGCTTCCGCCTCATCTTCGAGTTCTCGGAGAACGAATACTTCACCAACAAGACCATCACCAAGACATACTACTATCAGAACGAGAGTGGCTACGGTGGCGACTTCATCTACGACCACGCCGAGGGCGACAAGATCGACTGGAAGGACGGTATGGATCTGACGGTCCGCATTGAGCAGAAGAAGCAGCGCAATAAGAGTAAGTGGTTCATTTGTCAGCTGCGGGAGAACGCCGCAGCTAACCGCCGCAGCCACCAAGCAAACCCGCATCGTCAAGAAGACGGTTCCGACTGAGTCCTTCTTCAACTTCTTCTCCCCCCCCAAGGCTCCGACCGATGACGATGACGATGCCGCTTCCGATATTGAGGAGCGCTTGGAGTTGGACTACCAGCTCGGAGAGGACATCAAGGAGAAACTGATTCCGCGGGCGATTGACTGGTTTACTGGCGAGGCGCTCGCTTTTGAGGAGATTGACGACGACCTCGAAGACTTCGACGAGGACGATGACGAGGACGACGATGACGATGTCAGCGAGGACCATGATGATGAGGATGACTCTGAGGAGGAAGAGGTGAGATCGTTCCCGACTAATCGTTTCCAGCATGTGTGCGCTAATGCCCTCCTCAGGACGACGGCTCCAAGCCCAAGCAGGAGCCTACTGAGTGCAAGCAAAGCTAAGCGGCCCGGTCCTGTCCATGATGATTCGCCATTCTTCATAATCAGGGCACGAGAGCCCGTTGGCCCGTTCATTGGGTCCAATCACACACAATCCCCCTTGCACATGGCAGCTCGAGGACATCCCGGGCTGGGAAAGGATGCGATGGCGTACGGGGAACGCTTGGGGACTATAAATTCCCTAATTTGAGGGTGCCTTCCGTACCATGGTCACTGGCATTGTAGTTTGGTTGTTTTCCCATATCAAGCTATCCGAGGGAGTTTGATTTTGCAGCTTGCTTGGTAACGAGCCCGGCGACAGCATAGACGGTAGTTTTAAAAGAGACCGCACAAGGGCATGACAAGTGTCTGCTAGGTGGGAGGTTTCGGTACTGGGATCGGGGTAGGGTAAGGATGGGATTGACCACAGTGTTCAGAGCAGTGCAATATCTTTGTTTGATCTGTCCCCGAAAAATGCGATGAACTTGATGACTATGGACTTTGATGGTAATAAAGCCCCGGCTGCGGCGTAGGAAACTCCGAAGTAGTTATACAGGTATTACGACGCTGCAGCTGGCATGGCTGTGCCGCGCGGATGGTGTAATTGGTAATCAAGGGTCTCGCGAACCAGAATTGACCTCAGTCATTCAACAGCTCGCGTTCGGTCTGAGACAAGTACCTTTTAGGTACTCCAGAGCCCATGATAAGGAAAGGGGACGATGGATAGGTATGTCGTGTAACGGCAGTGGTGAACATAGAGCACCTCTCAACTTAAGGTGTGTAATAACCCTCGTCTTCCTCCCTGGTTGGTGGTGCCTCTCCTATCTAAGAACTGAACCGGACAGGCACTGAGATGACTGTAAACAGTAACGGTCAGCCCATAATGTAGCTGGGAGTCTTAAAGGCCAGATACCGGCATCGGAGGAGGTTTTAACCAGTGCGGCAGAAGTTGGCTAAATAATAAGGACATGCGTTTACGAATAGGTCATAATAGCTGAATGCAAAAGTAGACTGTGGCTTGCATTCCGTCATCCAAAAGATTTTCCTTGCAGTGAGTCAACCCCGCTATAAAGCCTAGTGAACCCCACCACAGACAGCCCACCGTGGGGGCTTTTGTCACCAGCATCTCGAAGACTCCAACACCTCTTTTCAGCAAGACCGTGTATTTCTGGAAGACACCTGACTCCCCTCTCCAACATGGCACTTCCGAGAGATATTGCGAGAGCTTCGGTGGAACGAGCAGTTTCATACAGCGAGAGCGGCTCGCCCACAACCACCTTCCACTCGCCTCCTCCTTCGGCAAGTCAGGGCAGCTTCATGGGGTCTCTTGCTCACAGGGCAGCCGCTGCGGCCAAGCAGCTCAAGCCATTCAACACCGAGGACGTCAAGATTTTGCTACTGGAGAACGTGAACCAAACGGGCCGAGATATCCTCACGGGTCAGGGTTACCAAGTCGAGTTTCTCAAGACGTCGTTGCCAGAAGACCAACTCATCGAGAAGATCAGGTGAGTCTTCTCTCCCCTTCCGTATTCGGAGGTGGGTTTTCAGCCACCCCCCTGAAGCACAACCTCTCCACGCTGGATTGATGTTGGTGTCAACACCAACATTGCCGCAACACGGGACTGACATTCATCCAGGGACGTACATGTCATCGGCATCCGGTCAAAGACAAAACTCACAGCAAAGGTGCTGCAAGAGGCCAAGAATCTCCTCGTCATCGGCTGCTTCTGCATCGGGACCAACCAAGTCGACCTGGACTATGCGGCAAAGCACGGCATCGCTGTGTTCAACTCGCCCTTTGCCAACTCGCGCAGTGTCGCCGAGCTGGTCATCGGCGAAATCATCTCGCTGGCCCGCCAATTGGGCGACCGCTCGCTCGAGATGCACCGCGGCACTTGGAACAAGGTGAGCTCCAAATGCTGGGAGATCCGCGGCAAGACGCTCGGCATTGTGGGCTACGGCCACATTGGCTCGCAGCTGTCGGTGCTCGCCGAGGCCATGGGTATGACGGTCATTTACTACGACGTCCTCACCCTCATGGCCATCGGCACGTCGCGGCAGGTGCCGACCCTCGAGGAGCTCTTGGAAGAGGCCGACTTTGTCACGCTACACGTGCCCGAGACGCCCGAGACTAAGAACATGATTTCGACCAAGGAGTTCGAGCGCATGAAGAAGGGCTCGTACCTCATCAACGCCAGCCGCGGCACCGTCGTCGACATTCCGGCGCTCATCAGGGCGATGCGCGCGGGCAGAATCGCGGGTGCAGCGCTCGACGTGTACCCCAATGAGCCGGCGGCCAACGGCGACTACTTTGTCAACGAGCTCAACTCGTGGGCCGAGGACCTGCGCGGGCTGAGCAACATCATCCTCACGCCGCACATTGGCGGCAGTACGGAGGAGGCGCAGCGGGCGATCGGCGTCGAGGTGGCCGAGGCCCTGGTGCGCTACATCAACCAGGGCATCACGCTGGGCAGCGTCAATCTGCCCGAGGTGACGATGCGCTCGCTGACGATTAACGAGCCCAAATCCGCGCGCGTCATCTACATCCACCGCAACGTGCCGGGGGTGCTGCGCAAGGTCAACGAAATCCTAGCCGGGCACAACGTCGACAAGCAGACTTCGGACAGCAAGGGCGACGTTGCCTACCTGATGGCCGACGTTAGTGGCGTCGAGCCCGAAGATATCAAGGACATTCGCGACAGCCTCGACTCGCTCAGCTCGCGCATCCTGACGCGGGTGCTCTACTAGACCGTTCTTCTCGTGGGTTGGTCACGATGCTTAGGTTCATGAACGGAGCAAACGGGGTAACATCATGAGCACCGATGAGCTTATGATGATGATGATGATGATGCTGGGTGTCTTGGAGTGGATGGAAAGAAAGTTCAATATGGAGTGGGCTCATCGATTTATCTTCAACATGTTGTGATCCGGCACGGGTTGGTCTATGAAAAGCAAATACAGGGTTAGATGGCCAAACCAGGTTCAGCAAACAACGACCATGAGGGATATGGTAAGCCTGGTACATTTGCATATAAAAGGACAGTTTAAAAGAGTATAACCAACAACAGAGTATCAATCGTATTGTTTCGCGTATTTTACATACGGATGTATGCATTGGAGGGACGTGCTTGAAACCTGAAACAGCGCCGAAGATTCCTGGTCGAGTCGTGATTTTCAGGGGCTTCGTCCCGCCACCGGGTTTCCGGACCATGTGCGTTGCTGCAGGCTGATGTTCTCAGTCGTCCAGAGTAACTGAGGAGCAAGGAGATATATTAAAACTAGTACTAATAGTATTGGACCCCCCCGGACTATGCCAGCTCTTGCGGGACCTCTGCCTAGACATCAGGAATCATGAGGCATCCTCGTGAGACGTCGGCTTAGCCATCAAACGTGACCAAGGTGGGCGGTGAAAAAGGTTCCACATGGGGATAGAGGGAACAAGATCCACTTTCAAGACCCTTGTGCGTTTGGCCCGCTTTCCATTTCCCCAATCTTGCATTTCAACACCAACTACAGCCTCGAAACACCAAAAGGCTTGTTAGTTGTATTTTCTCTAGCATCATGTACGTAGGACCCACGCGTTGCAGTAATTCTATGATCAAGTCCATTGTATTTGAGCGTAAGGAACAGGCCTCGACTCTAGCCCAGAGAATGGAGAAGCGAGGTTCAAGTTCTAAATGATATCCCCCATTAGGATTCCATACTTAAGACCGCCCGCGTTCGATGATGAGTGATGCTATGCAGTGTGCTGAACGAACGACCATCTAGTTCTTGCATGTGTTAAATTTGATGGTTTCCCTTCCTTCAAACTGCCAACTCTCATGTTGCAGTGCGTGAGCTGGCCGTGCTTCTCTGCGCCAGCTCTGTAGGGATACACTCTTACCTTACCTAACCGATTGTTACATCCTACTCGCCGTCCCGCAGCCCCTGAACTTCAACAACGGCTTTTTCGACATTTGTGTGCCGCGTGCGTTGACGGGAGTCACTCACCCTAGGGAAGAAGCACGCACATCATATTTGCACCCGTTCTTCATCCCGACCGCGCACATCCTGGGGCCCTTGACATTAGCGCAACGATCTCTCGATCTGTCCAGGAGGGGTAATTCTTCACGGGGAAACTTACACTGTTACCGTATTTCCTTCATGAATCCATTCCCCAGCCCACCGCATCCACCGCCCGATTTCCAGCGTCCTACCTACATCCTCTAGCTCGCACCGCCAACCAGAGCGAGCGAGCGCAGACTCGATAATTCCTGACCACGGCTCCGACCTTTGCTGGCCGATCGTGACGAGAGTTGGCTCTTGAAGCCATTCACACCAGCAAACACACTCCACGTCCACCGCCTCGCTCACTCCACTCCTCCTCCCCAAACCGTGTCCAATGTCGGAGAGCTATGATGTCGGCACGAGAGCGTGGCAGCCCGACCCAAGCGAGGGCTGGGTTGCGTCCGAGGTTGTCAAGAAGACGGTAGACGGGTCAAAAGTCATCCTCGAGTTTCAGCTGGAAAATGGCGAGGTATGCAGCTCAAGCACTTTTTGCCCCGTCAGGACCTGGACGGCTAACCTTTCCATGTCTGCAGACCAAAACGCTCGAGGTCTCACTCGAGGCCCTCCAGTCTGGAAACGACCCATCACTGCCGCCGTTGATGAACCCTACCATGCTGGAGGCCAGCGATGACCTGACCAACCTTTCGCATCTCAACGAGCCGGCCGGTAACAAAGCCCCTTCTTGCCCCGTGGTTGAGAGAAATAACGAACATAACTGACACCGCTCGCGGTAACCAGTCCTGCAGGCTATTCGTCTCCGATATGCCCAGAAAGAAATATACACATACTCGGGTATCGTGCTAATAGCGACGAATCCCTTCGCCCGAGTCGACTCCCTCTACGTCCCAGGCATGGTCCAGGTCTACGCTGGGAAGCAACGGGCAACACAGGCCCCGCATCTGTTTGCCATTGCTGAGGAGGCTTTCATGTAGGGTTCTGCGCTGCCCAGAAGCCCCGAGACTCGCGCCGGAAGCATGGCTGACGATTGCGCAGGGACATGTTGAGAGATGGCAAGAACCAGACCATTGTCGTCTCGGGTGAGTCCGGTGCCGGAAAGACCGTCAGCGCCAAGTACATTATGAGATACTTTGCGACAAGAGAGTCGCCCGACAGTCCAGGCTCCAGGGCGAAGAAGGGCCCTGAGGCTATGAGCAAGACCGAGGAGGCCATCCTTGCGACAAATCCGATCATGGAAGCCTTCGGCAACGCCAAGACTACGAGAAACGACAATTCCTCGCGCTTCGGCAAGTACATCGAGATCATGTTTGACAAGGGGACCAACATTATCGGTGCTAAGATCAGGACGTATCTGTTGGAACGGTCAAGATTGGTCTTTCAGCCGCTGAAGGAGAGGAACTACCACATCTTCTACCAACTGGTGGCCGGTGTGTCGGACAAGGAGCGATTGGAGCTGGGCCTGCTACCGATCGAGCAATTCGAGTACCTGAACCAGGGCAATACCCCGACTATCGACGGCGTCGACGACAAGGCCGAGTTTACTGCCACCAAGCAATCACTCAAAACGATCGGAGTGAGCGATGTGTACCAGGCTGAGATCTTCAAGCTGCTTGCGGGTCTGTTGCATTTGGGCAATGTGAAGATCGGTGCGGCCCGGAATGACAGTGTGCTTTCGGCGACTGAGCCGTCCCTGGTAAAGGCCTGTGAGATCCTGGGCATCGATGCTCCCGAGTTTGCCAAGTGGATTGTTAAGAAGCAGCTCATCACTCGCGGCGAGAAGATCACGTCCAATCTCACACAAGCCCAGGCCATTGTCGTCAGGGACTCGGTGGCCAAGTTCATTTACTCCAGCCTCTTTGACTGGCTGGTGGAAATCATCAACCGGAGTCTTGCGACAGAGGAAGTGCTCAACCGCGTGCACTCATTCATCGGTGTGCTCGATATCTATGGTTTCGAGCACTTCGCCAAAAACTCGTTTGAGCAGTTCTGCATCAACTATGCCAACGAGAAACTGCAACAAGAATTCAACCAGCACGTCTTCAAGCTCGAGCAGGAGGAGTATCTCAGGGAGCAGATCGATTGGACCTTCATCGACTTTGCCGATAACCAGCCCTGTATCGACTTGATCGAGGGCAAGCTCGGCATTCTTTCGCTGCTCGACGAGGAGTCAAGGCTGCCGATGGGCTCTGACGAGCAGTTCGTGACCAAGCTGCACCACAATTATGCTGGAGACAAGCACAAATTCTACAAGAAGCCTAGGTTCGGCAAGTCTTCCTTCACCGTCTGTCACTATGCCATCGACGTCACGTACGAGTCGGACGGCTTCATAGAAAAGAACCGTGACACGGTTCCGGACGAGCATATGGCAGTTCTCCGCGCCTCGACCAACAAGTTCCTCGGCGCCGTACTCGAAGCAGCCTCACAAGTGCGGGAGAAGGACGTTGCTTCGGCCAGCTCTAATGCAGTGAAGCCAGTGGCAGGCAGGAGGATTGGTGTGGCTGTTAATCGCAAGCCCACACTTGGTGGCATCTTCAAGTCCTCGCTGATTGAGCTGATGAACACCATCAACAGCACCGATGTGCACTACATCCGGTGTATCAAGCCCAACGAGGCCAAGGAGGCTTGGAAGTTCGAGGGTCCAATGGTGCTGAGCCAGCTCCGCGCCTGCGGTGTCTTGGAAACCGTCCGCATAAGTTGCGCCGGTTATCCTACGAGGTGGACATACGAAGAATTCGCCCTGCGGTACTATATGCTAGTGCCCTCGTCACAGTGGACCTCCGAAATCAGGGAGATGGCCAACGCTATCCTGACCAAAGCCTTCGGCACCAGTACTGCCAAGGGCATGGACAAGTACCAGCTGGGCCTGACGAAGATCTTCTTCAGAGCCGGCATGCTGGCTTACCTCGAGAATCTCCGGACCAACAGGCTGAACGAGTGCGCCATCATGATCCAGAAGAACTTGAAGGCCAAGTACTACCGCAAGAAGTACCTGGATGCTCGCGCCTCCATCATTGCGTTCCAGGCCGCCACAAGAGCCCACAAGGCTCGGAAGCAGGCACAGGAGCTGCGGACCATCAAGGGGGCCACCACGATCCAGAGAGTGTGGCGTGGTCAGAAGCAGAGAAAGCAGTTCCTGCGCATCAGGAATGATGTCATCCGTGCCCAGGCCGCCTTCAAAGGCTACCTTCGGCGCAAGGAGATCATGGAGACCCGGCTGGGCAACGCTGCCCTCATCATCCAGCGGAACTGGCGGTCGAGGAGGCAACTCCGGTCATGGCGGGACTACCGCCGCAAGATTGTCATTGTGCAAAGCTTGTGGCGCGGCAGGACGGCTCGCAGGGAATACAAGGTCATCCGTGCCGAGGCTCGCGACCTGAAGCAGATCTCGTACAAGTTGGAGAACAAGGTGGTGGAGCTCACGCAGTCCCTGGGCACCATGAAGGCTCAGAACAAGGAGCTCAAGACCCAAGTGGAAAACTATGAGGGGCAGGTCAGCATCTGGAGGAACCGGCACAACGCTCTCGAGGCGCGTGCCAAGGAGCTGCAGACCGAGGCCAACCAGGCCGGTATTGCTGCTGCCCGTCTCGAGGTGATGGAGGCGGAGATGAAGAAACTTCAAGCCAGCTTCGAAGAGTCGGTAGCCAGTGTCAAGAGGATGCAAGACGAGGAACGCCAGCTACGGGACTCTCTGCGTGCTACGAGCACGGAGCTCGAGGCTGCGCGCCAGGAAAGCCAGCGGCACGAGGCCGAAAAGAACTCACTCCGGCAACAACTTCTCGAGCTCCAAGAGGCGCTCGAGCAGGCCAGGAGAAATGTCCCCATCAATGGCGAGCCCGCCAATGGTCATGTGCCCGCTCCGACTGCGCCTGCCGGCCTCATCAACTTGGTGTCGGCTAAGAAGCCCAAGCGGCGGAGCGCGGGGGCTGAAGTTCGCGAACTGGATAGGTACAGCATGGCCTACAACCCTCGCCCCGTCTCCATGGCTGTGCCCGGCATGAACCGCCAGACCACCTTGTCTGGGTCGACGTTTATTCCGGGTGTCGACAGCATCGAGCTGGAACTGGAATCCCTGCTCGCTGATGAGGAGGGCCTCAACGAGGAAGTCACCCTGGGTCTCATCCGTAACCTGAAGATTCCATCGCCGGCAAGCAACCCGCCGCCTTCAGACAAGGAGGTCCTTTTCCCTTCGTTCCTCATCAACCTGGTCACGTCGGAAATGTGGAACAACGGCTTCGTCAAGGAGTCGGAGCGCTTCCTTGCCAACGTCATGCAGTCCATCCAGCAGGAGGTCATGCAGCATGACGGTGACGATGCCATCAACCCCGGAGCCTTCTGGCTTTCCAACGTGCATGAGATGCTCTCGTTTGTATTCTTGGCGGAGGACTGGTATGAGGCGCAAAAGTCGGACAACTATGAGTATGACCGCCTGCTCGAGATCGTCAAGCACGATCTTGAGAGCCTCGAGTTCAACATCTACCACACGTGGATGAAGGTCCTCAAGCGCAAGCTGAACAAGATGATCATCCCTGCCATCATCGAGTCGCAGTCACTGCCGGGCTTCGTTACGAATGAGAACAACCGCTTCTTGGGTAAGCTCCTGCAGGGCAGCAACCAGCCGGCATACAGCATGGACAACCTTCTTTCCATGCTCAACAGTGTCTACCGTGCCATGAAGGGATACTACCTTGAAGACTCGATTATCAACCAGACCATCACGGAGCTGCTCCGGCTGGTTGGTGTGACGGCCTTTAACGACCTGCTCATGCGCCGCAACTTCCTCTCGTGGAAGCGTGGTCTGCAAATCAACTACAACATCACCCGCATTGAGGAGTGGTGCAAGAGTCACGATATGCCCGAGGGCACGCTCCAGCTTGAGCATTTAATGGTTAGCTGATATGCAGCGCACAACGTATATGTGATATGGCTAATTCTTTCTTCCAGCAAGCGACAAAGCTCCTTCAGCTCAAGAAGGCTACCCTGAACGATATCGAAATCATTCAGGACATCTGCTGGATGTGAGTACATTTGCTCTGCGCGTTGCTCTCAGTGATGATGTCTTCTGACTGTTCTATAGGCTCTCTCCCAACCAGATTCAGAAGCTCCTGAACCAGTACCTTGTCGCTGACTATGAGCAGCCAATCAACGGCGAGATCATGAAGGCGGTCGCGTCGCGGGTGACGGAGAAGAGCGATGTCCTGCTCCTCCCGGCTGTCGATATGGACGACAGCGGGCCTTACGAGATCGCCGAGCCCAGAGTCATCACGGCGCTGGAGACGTACACCCCATCGTGTTCGTCCACCGTATCCCCTTTCATTAATTACCTCTTCGATCAGAGACTCCCAACTAACACCACAACTCAAAAAACAGGGCTGCAAACCCCACGGCTGAAGCGCCTCGCCGAGATTGTCTCGCAGCAGGCCATTGCCCAGCAGGAGAAGATGGACTTCGGCTCCCACCCTGGCGATGGCGACCTCGACGAAGGCGACGATGACGACGACGACGACTACAACGGCAATGACATGGCCGAGGTGGATGAGCGCCAGGACGGGCGCCCGGGAAGTGTCGTGGCCAGCGCGGCCTAGGCGGCTGCGCGGCCGTGCTCGCTCTACGACGCCCGTGCCGCTAGTCCTAGTAGAGTCCCACCCTTGACGCTCTCCATGCCGATGCCGATGCCGATGCCAATGGTGTTTCCCAGGCAGAGGCAGAGGCCTGCTTCGGTGCTACTTCGTCTGTGGAAGTCTAACAACTGGGGCGGTGGGAGTGAGAGTGGGTTTATTGGTGATGGTGGTGATAGTTTTTGTGGACCTCTTGCGGAGGGGTACGGGGTGCTGAGGAATAGGAGTGAGAATCGGTGAGCAAGCGAGCATGTTGTGGTGGGGTGGAGCGGCGAGTGTGGCAGGCGGGGAAAGTTCATCGGGGTGTTTTATCTCTCTCTCTTTCTGCTCTCTTCTGGGATATCTGCCGAGCTGGGATGGGGATGTGTGCTTTTGCTCTTTGGTCGGGGATATCAGAATTGTTGCTGGCTTTGCTACTTTTGCGTTCTCTTCTTGATTTTTCTGCACTCGCTTACGATCACTTCTTGCTCGCCTGCTTTGTCGCTCGCTCGTTGTATTGCTTAGGCCATGGGTGTTTGGACAGCAGACATGGTGGTCCAGGCAGAGTCCTGTCGACCTGGGTGGAGGATAGCGGGCGTGTGACTGACCAAGGCGGATGAAGCAGGGAGTAGTTGTTGATGGCTATGGCTGGTAGCTGGGGAGCGGGTGGTGAGACAGGATAGATGGTGAAAGTATCTGAGGAAGTTAGAGTTTCGTCAGAACAAATACGATGTATGGATGTGGCGGAATGGCTATTTATGTAAGCCATCAGGGGGCGGTGGTCGTAGGGTGGAGGTGGTTCAATGCGGATTTGGGTCTGTATGTATGGGCGGAATGAGCGTACCTTATGGAGATGGATGGTACTTCGCTGCCAAATCTGATAGCATGGGTCCCACTTCAAACAGTTGACATGGTGAGCAAGCAGAACTCTAATGATGGCCTGGTTGTGGTGGTCTTGTTTGCAACACCAACGGCTGGCTCTCTCGACACAGTGGGGATTTCCATGGTCGCACATTCTTACCCCAAAAAGGCGACAGCAAAATTATTTCGGGGTCGGTCACTTACATCCGAAACACCATACAACCAAACAAGAACAAAAAGCCGCGAAGATTTTTAATCAAGACAAGAAGATTTTCCCAGGTTTCGCGAAGGAAGGAAAAGAAAAAGACGAAAAAGAAGGAAGTAGAAATGCCACGCAGTCTCCCCAACATCATCATCACGGGCACACCCGGCACAGGCAAGACCAGCCATAGCGAGCTGCTCGCCGAGCGCACGGGGCTCAAGCACATCTCGGTCAACGACGTGGTCAAGGACCGCGAATGCCACGAGGGGTGGGACGACGAGTATCAGAGCTGGATCGTGGATGAGGACAAGGTAAATCTTGTTCATTTCTCTTTAATTACATATCCGTATCACTTTCTTTTCTTCATAGAGTATCCGGGTACATGTACTTCTGGGCGGAACTAACAGAGGATCCAAAAAAAACAGCTGCTTGACGCCATCGAAGACGAGGTCAAGCAGGGCGGCTGCATAATAGACTGGCACGCGTGCGACCTGTTCCCAAAAAGCTGGATCGACCTGGTCGTGGTGCTGCGGGTGGACACGGCGACGCTGTATGACCGGCTGGCGGCGAGGTGAGTTTTCAACCAAGTTGCTATTCCATCTTGAGGCGGATTATCTGCCATGGCTGATTCAAGAGATTGACAAAGACTGCAGGAATTATCCCGAGGTGAAACTGCAGGAGAATATGGACTCGGAGATCATGGACGTGCTGCTGCAGGAGGCCAAGGAGTCGTATGACGAGGAGATTGTAGTGGAGCTGCGGAGCATAACGGCCGACGAGATGGAGAGCAATGTCGAGAGGATCGAGCAGTGGTTTGAGCAGTGGAAGAAGGACAATGCCCCATGAGGGCTGTTAAGGGGTTTGTTTAGGGAGGTTGGCTAGGGGAGAGAACTCGGACATGAGGAATGACCATATCAGTCAGACCCACCAAAGCTCGTGCCTGCTAGATTCCCGCACCTAGAGCCGAAAGTTGGAACATGCTCTCTGAGTCCTCTGTTCTGCTGTCTGTTGTCACTCTCATGCCTTAGGCAGCAACCGGGGCCCTGACATCAGCGGGACGTTTCAGTGCCTTCAAAAACCTACACAGTGCTCTTACAACCCCCACTAATACAACTAACCCCTTGCGTAAAACAACACCAGCAGCTCCGATACATTCCGCTCTAGAGAATCCAAAATGACGCCCCCCACCGCCGCCCGGCATATAGTCAACTTCATAACAGGCAACGCCAACAAGCTGGGCGAGGTCAAGGCCATCCTGGAGCCGGCCATCCAGGTCGACAGCCAGGCGCTCGACCTGCCCGAGATCCAGGGCACCCTCGAGGAGGTGACGCTTGACAAGTGCCGCCGGGCAGCCGACTTGGTAATATTGTCTCATCAATCAACTTGCAAACCTAAAATTGGACAAACATGATAGGTTGACCGAGGGACGCACTGTCACAACAAAAAAACAGGTCGAGGGCCCCGTCCTGGTCGAAGACACATGCCTCTGCTTCAACGCGCTGAACGGTCTGCCGGGGCCGTACATGTACGTCGGCTTGTCCATTTTTTATGTATTTCTGTCTCAAAACACATATAATAATGGCCGCCTCTTTCTTTCTTAGCAAATGGTTCCTGGCGTCCATCGGGCATGAGGGCCTCAACAACCTCCTGGCCGCCTACGACGACAAGTCGGCCAAGGCAGTGTGCACCTTTGCCTACTCGGCGGGGCCGGGCCACGAGCCGATTCTGTTTCAGGGCATCACCGACGGCAAGATTGTGCCGGCGAGGGGCCCTGCAAACTTCGGATGGGATCCCATCTTTGAGTACGAGGGGAAAACGTAAGTCGTAGTACTCTCGTGATTGTTGTTTGTCGTGTTGCTGACTGACCGGAACAGATATGCTGAGATGGACAAGGCAGAAAAGAACAGAATCTCGCACCGCTACCGGGCGCTGGCGAAGCTTCAGGAGTGGTTTGCGAAGGAAATGACGGCCTGAGAAAAGCAACGCTGAATCACAATGCTAAAATACAGAGTCAAAATGCCATGACACCCCGTCGCTGGAAAGACACTCCCGCTCGCTACGTGCCACTAAGCTATGCCCAGATTCTCTACACACCCAAACCTTGGATGAAGAACAGAGCCGCGACCGACCGCCCTTGAATTTGTCCACCTATTGCTCAGGCTTTGGGTCATCTTTTACTACTAGTCTGTTTGGGGGAGAAAGTGTTAGCACATCTCTTGTTGGCCCAGGCACGGACACAGGCCCCATGACAAACCTCAGCATCTCAAACTCCCTGTACGCCTTGAGATACTTGGTTCCCCGACGGTACTGTTTCAGGGCGACATCCGGCGTGGGGTGGACAAACGTCTGCCCGATGAGGCGCACGATAGGCGACGAATCGCGGAAGGATGGGTCAAACACAATCAGATTCTTGGCCCCGTTTCTTTCTTTCTCGAACCCAATGATGGTGATGGAGTGGCCTGTTTCGGTGTCAATGCCAGCTGTCCTAGCCTAGATGGTGTGGTTTCTGAGATTCGAGGCGGCTTACCGTTGTGCTGGAGGAAAAGGGGTGGTAGCTTGGTTTTCCGGATGTGCTGCGAGGGATCCTCGACGCCTGACTGGAAGTAGTTTTCAACGTGCTCCATGAGCAGCGCCTCCGACTTGGCAGGCTCCGGATGCTTAAACGCCTGAGCAGCGCATGGAATCTCTAGAAGACGGAGAATTGCCTGCGCCTGGTTGTCTCTTAATCAGTCATATGAATGGTGGCAGCATTGCTATGAGGAGATGACGTACCTCTGGTGTGCCAATGTATTTCCTTGTTCCCCTGATGCCTCCCGTCTCAGCACGGCCATGAGCGTTGATTCCCTGATCCCAGGCAGTCTCAATCCATTCCTGGATCTGGAAGATGGACGGAAGGGCGTCGCGGAGGTATTCGTGGCCCTTGAACTTCGTGTGTATAATGTATGAAAACATCATTTGGATGTTTCGGTAGCCACAGAACCCCCCTGGGAGCCGTGAGCATAGGGAGCATGGGAGAGGAGCAGCCGGTGGGGGGGGGGGGGGGGGGGGGGGGCATACCCTCACGCCTCAGCTTGGACACATGCTGTATGCATGGATGGCAGAGATAAGCGTACTTTGTCGACGTGCTCTGCTCCAGCAACTGCGCTATCACAGAGACGACGCCTGGTGTGCTGTTAGTTGGCCGGCCCAGCATTGCGATCAACGAGCACGTTCCACCCACCTTGGGACGTATTCTGGCCGCCCTTCTTGAGCAGTACTACCAGCCAATCCGGCATGCGCTCCTCGTACGCGTACTTACCCAGGTGTGCCTTCTATGCAATTCGTCAGCAAACACGGAGCATCAATGGTCATGTGGAACAAGTCCACTTACACTAAGCCTCTTGCCGCGGATGGAATGCCCAGCTGATGAATGCTTCTCATTCTGTTGTCGCTTAAACGACAGAATGCCATGACCTGACGAGGATCCGGGCATTTTAAGCAACCGCCTCCAAGCCGAGATGGCGTTCGCCTGGCGGTCGTTCTTATCCGAGTCGTCGGTGGACTGGCGGTGCCTTCCTGCCTCGCGATGCATTCTCGAAGGACCCGAGGTACAAGGTGCGGCCTCAGTGACAGATTTCACGGCTGACTTCTCCTGGACGCTGTCTGCCTCTTCCTGGGAGTGAAGCTCGAGGTGATAGTCCAACTCCTGAAGGACAATGAGATCGCCGCAGCCATCAACCGGACACTCGACGTAATCCAAGTTTTCAGTTGTCCCAGAGTCCTCTACCGCACTATCTTCTCTCGCCGTGAACGGCGACTCTCCCTCGGAGTGGAGAGTTTCGATGTGCTGCGGCCCGTCAGCATGTCATACTTGCTTCAGACACAGTCGACGGTCCGCAACCGTCAGGTCAAAGACTGTACCAGCAACATTCCATATTCGCCAGAATCACTTGTCCAGCCACAAAAGGGGCAGTCCACCGCTTCGTCCCCGGCCATTTCCTTGGACCCGGACTGCCACTCTTTGTCCTCGAGGCGCGCTGCGTGCCAAGCAAGCCGCTGTCTCAACGCTACACTATCGACGGTCGGGCACCGGGGTCATATCGAGGGATCTAGGAATGTGGGAAAGATATTGGTGGGAAAAAGAGGCTTAGCGTTGGTGCGTGAGCTTTCAATTGCGAGGGCATCAGGCATGGAAGCAGCCACGATAGGTTAAAGCGGTTGTTGCCTCTTTCAAGCCTCGACTACTTACCAGACTTAATAAGTACCTAAGCGTGTCTTGAAACACACTTGCTCCGGGTCATATGCGATTCGGAGCAACCCCGCACGAGGTTTGCAACAAAGTGAAACTCTGGCTTGACTCTTGTGGCTGTCATGTTCAGGGGTTTGCTGCGATGTTCAAGGCTCATGTCTACAATCGCAGAAACGTTGTTTCCGGGCTGCAGGAAGCCTACCCTTACCAAGCTTCGCTTCACAAAGCATGAGAGGTAAGGTTAGGTAACAGAGTACCTTGGTGGACACTTGATGTGAGACCGAGACCTGGTACATATGTATTGAACGTTTGCCCCACAATGAGGTACTAGTAATGGTACGGCCTTTGCTCCGTACACCGTGGTAATTGTTTGATGGGCTGGTGCTCCATATCATCACACCTCCAAGCATGTAATACATTCTGAAACGCAATACGTCGTTTGATCTCTCTCGACCAGCCGCTTGACTTGTCCGATTCAAGGACAGGAATGGCCAAGTAATGGATTCAGAACATCAGCAAGCTTGCTCCAACCCGGAAACGGTACGTTAGAACTGAGATCGGATGAGGCTACGCCCAATAGTTGTCAGTGCTGCTATAGGTAGCCCAGAGGTTCGTCTCATCTCATATACTGTACATGTTTTTTTATACGGGGTAGAGAGGTGTAGCTTAGAAAACTGAAACTGCTTGAACAAGTTGATACCGGCGGCATGGATCCTAGAGGTTGGAATTACAGGTGGCTGAACAGATATGAACTGGCAGAGGCTGAGAAGCGCCTGAGCCGTTGGGTCATCAAGAATCGCAGCAGAAGGAGTGTGATATGGAGGGCGAGGGCGGTGCGATGGGTGACGTGCCGAGCGTGCTTGAGGTGTCGGAAGCAGTCATTCCAAGACGACGGAAAGGTAACTTGAAAGCGCAGCCAACTGTGACTCAAAAAATTTGAGTGCCTTTCTGGTTTTAGTTGTGCATGGAAGTTATGAAATGCCTCCCGTCCCAACTCCAAGTTGATATTCAAGTTTCAACCACCCAGTTCGCTTTGAGTCACTACCGACACCTTATCGATAAAGTCTGAACTGGATGTGAACCCCTGGCCCAATCTGTCACAGTGTCACCACCTTTCCCCTCTGCCCCGCGAATAAATATTGTGCCCCGCCATCAACTCGGGACGCCACCGCCGAGTTTGAAGCTTGTTGCGACCACGAAGCGTTGCCCCTGTCGTGGACTCTTTCCCAGCAAACCTTTTTGCTCGTCATATCGAACAACAGCCAAGATGCTCGACGTCAATGATTTCAGTACGAGTTTCCACTCCCTTTCCACGCGCTGCCACGTTAGCTGCCAGTTTCGGCCGCCATGTCAATTGCACGCGATCATGGCTTGGCATAGTCCTGGTTGCTGTTTCGGGGGGCTAATTCGGGTATTGAACAGTTGTCGAGCGCGGCGGCAACCCTGAGAGAATCAGGGAGAGTCAGCGCAGGCGCCATGCCCCGGTGCAAGTTGTCGACGAGGTGATCGCTATGTTCGAGGACCACCGTCAAAGTGAGTCGACCACGGCGTCTCGATTATCCGTGGCATATCCGATGTCTGATCTGCTTGAGCACAGCTGCCTATGCTGCCACCCAATTTAACGCCAAAATCAACGAGGTTCAGAAGCAGATCGGCCCTAAGAAGAAGGCAGGCACCTCCGCCGTACGCCCCTGATCACACGCCATTCTGACCGCTGCCAACAGGCCAAAGAGGATGTTACGGATCTCCTGAAGCAAAAAGGTTGGAAGATTCGAAGTATACTTGTAATACCAAGGCACTGACGAGTACTAAGCCGATCTCGAGAAGGAGAAAAAGGAGCTGCTCGCTTCAGCTGCCGAAAAAGAGAAGCTTTTGAAGGCCAAAATCAGGCTCATCGGCAATATCGTGCACGATTCCGTTCCCGTTTCCGACAATGAGGTCCGTTGAGAACCAACTCCGTAAGAATCTGCCGAGACCTGACCGTACGATATAGGACAACAACAGGGTTGAACGAACTTGGGCCCCCGACGGTGTAGAATTTGAGAAGCGCAATGTTCTCTCCCGTGAGGACAGCAACACCTTATTGTTTTGGTGCCCGTTGGACTGACGATGGGAATAGACCACGAGGTCCTTGACAAGCTGGACGGCTACGACCCGGAGAGGGGCGTGAAGGTTGTCGGCCATCGCGGGTACTTCCTTCGGCGCTGGGGTGTGTTTCTCAATCAGTACGGTTCCTGCTCCTTGGCTTCCATTCGAAGTTGCTGACGGCATGCTAGGGCTTTGATCAACTATGGCCTCGAATTTCTGCACGAGAGGGATTACATTCCCCTGCACACACCGCAACTCATGCTCAGGGACCAGATGGCGAAGACTGCTCAGCTCTCGCAGTAAGCTGCCCTCACCTTTCTACTGGTTTAAAAGGTCTTCCCTGACCTCCAACCAAGGTTTGATGAGGAGCTCTACAAGGTCACTGGAGACCAGGCAGACAAGTACCTTATTGCGGTAAGTCGGGCCCGGTCTTCTGGTGGGCAGCGGCACCTTCATTCTAGGTTTTGCCCCATGCTCACATCCCACTAACTCGTTGCAGACCTCTGAGCAGCCCATCTCTGCCTATCACAGCGACGAGTGGCTACAACCTAAGCAACTACCCCTGAAGTAAGGATACTGCATGCCTGGGTCAGAATCGATACTTACGGCGAAACCAGGTATGCAGGTTACTCGACGTGCTTCCGCAAAGAGGCCGGTGCTGTAAGTTCAGCTTGAATCCTATGCAGCTCTTTGCTGGTACTAACCTTTACTAGCACGGGAAAGATGTCTGGGGTATCTTCCGCGTCCACGAGTTTACCAAGGTTTGTACTTGTGCTTCCTGGTTTGCGGAGCCTAACTCACATGCGACAGGTCGAGCAATTCTGCATCACAGACCCTGAGAAGTGAGTCACGAATTGGCCCGCTGCTGGGTACTTTGGAGCACAGCCTTACACGATGCAGGTCCTGGGAGATGTTTGAAAGCATGATTTCGACCTCGGAGGATTTTTACAAATCCCTGGGGATTCCCTACCGCGTTGTCGCCATCGTCTCGGGCGCTCTCAGTATGTCTTGGCCTCCTTTCCTAACGGTACAACTGCGTAGCTAACTCCAACTTTTTAGACAATGCTGGTATGTCGGGCTGTATGAGCCTCCACGTTACTACTTGCTAACCCACACAAGCTGCGAAGAAGCTCGACCTTGAAGCTTGGTTCCCGGTAAGCCTCGAGTGTTCAAGGGGTCTCAGTCGTGGTTGCTGATCATCTCTTTATGTAGCACCAAGGGGAGTTCAAGGAGCTTGTCAGCTGCTCGTAAGTGTAGCCTCAGTATCTGGCGAGAGCTCTGTAGCAGCAACTAACATCCGACGCAGCAACTGCACTGACTACCAGAGCCGCGACCTGGAGATCCGCTTCGGCATCAAGAAGCAGACAGATGTCAAGAAGACCTACGTCCACTGTCTCAACTCGACTCTTACGGCGACGACGAGGACAATCTGCGCGATTCTGGAAAATTTTCAGACTGAAGATGTAAGCTAGCTATGATGTTGTCTGTCTCGAATGGCTCAACTGACTTGAATTCAGGGTGTCACAATCCCTGAGCCGCTACGGAAGGTAAGTCGAGAAGACGCTTGTGTGTGGCTCGTTGCTGACGAACCCAGTACCTGCCTGGAGCACCCGAGTTCATCCCCTTTGCGAAGACAGGAACGGAGAAGAAAGAAATTCCCGTTCGGTAAGGAAGAATGGGGGTTATGTGAGGTCTCGCGTGTCTGTTGCCTGCAGGCTAGTAGCGAGCTTGTTTAGTTGGCGAGAACTGGGATTGATGTGCGAATGAGATCCGGAATCACAAAGGGAATGTCATCTCGTCATTGACGAGAACTGGTGCTGTGAGTGAAAGTGTAACTAAATGCCATCTGCACTTGGTGCCAGTTGGATCTCTCAGAGAGCCATAAACGTAAGGACAGTGCCTCGGCAACTGCCATCGTCCTGTTCGCATAAGAACATTATCCTCCACCGGTCATGTAAACATTCTGATAGACCGAACATCAACACCGCCCCTTCAAGGCAGCCACCAAATGCTGTTCCTGCACATGCAATGATACTGGCTCATTCAAATCCGGGAAATGCAGAAAGAAACCACCCCTATCACAAAGACAAAGCCAGCCAAAGCCGGGCTATCGCAAACTGGCACATAGCACATGGAAAACATATCCAGCCCATTACCTTCCCGCACAAGTCCGCATTAACCACCAACCCTCCAATCCTGTGAACGTATTGCGACAGGGCAGAATCACTGCCTGATCGAGATGTGGTGAGCCATTCCAGCCACCATCCTCCCCCTTCAAAAATTTTCGCTGTATCCTCTTCCCGCCCTTCAAACTCCACTTCTCCCCCCAAAACAAAAGAGCAAGCTCCCTTCGAAGACTAAATCTGAAAGGCGGCCAGGCACTATGTTTGAAACTGGTGCTCACATGGCCACGCACTTGCCGCCGCCAGTCGGTTCGCTCGGGTTCTGCGACTTCTCGACCTCGCCGATGAGCAGCTCAAAGGCTTTAGCCACGTTCTCGTTGTAGCGCGCGCTCGCCTCGGTCCACGCGCAACCGTATTTGTCGGCCAGCGCCTTGCCCTGCTCGGGCGTCACCTGCCGCTGCTCCGGGCGCAGGTCGCTCTTGTTGCCGACGATGCAAATCGGGACGCTTTCTGTGCCCTGATACAATGGTGAGTTTTGAATGGTACCAAGATAAAAGAGACAAGTGCTGCATACGAGATGGTTGAGGATCTTGTCCCGTATCACCTGGACCATCTCAAACGACTGCAGCGACGACACGCTGTAGACGAGCATGTAGCCGTGGATGCCGATGAAGTGCTTCGAGTTGAGGATGCTGTACTCGTCCTGGCCGGCCGTGTCGACGATCTCAGTCGCGAACTCCTGCCCTTTGTACCGGATCTCCTTGCTGAAGGTGTTCTCGATGGTCGGGTAGTAGCTCTCGACAAAGTGCCCGTCGACATAGCGCACCGCGAGGGACGACTTGCCTGGAAGAAAGGGATCGGTGCGTGTCAGTGACTTGCGTGGTGGTTGGAAGGTAACTGAGGAAGAAAAAGAGAGGGTGTTAAACCGACCGACTGAGCGGCTGCCCACTATGGCAATCTTCCGCTGTTTGGCGAGTGTGGATGGCATTTACACTGTTTCGTCGTCGTCGCGACGGTATTTCAATTGGGCTGGCAGGTTTTTGGAGGTTGTAAGTAACGGTCGTGACACGGTGCAACGGGACTAACGATCACAGTCTTGAATAGTTTGGATGCTTGGAGTCGAAATCCCGATCGAAGTCCAGAGAAACGAGTGTGGTCGGCAGGAGCAGAAGCACGCTGAAATCCAATCGCCCCAGCCCTTCAAAACACACTACAAGGTAGGGGTTAGAACGCAGGGAGTGATTCTATCGCGTCAAACGATAGAATTCAGATGAGCTTTCTGTAGAGTGTTGCAGGACCTGTCTCGCCTGTCAGTTACACTCCTGACCTGACGTGCAGAACGATTCCAGGCTCATTACGTCGCCGAGGCCCTGTGACGCTCATGGCCCGTGGCGGGGCCACTCACCCCGCCTTGGCAGGCGCTGCGTGAGCGGGCTGGCTGCTTCAGCCGCGGCGGGGTTTGGCGGCAGGTGGCGCTTGGCCCGCTTGGGTCGCTTTGGGTCTTACAGCCCCCGCTGCGGCTCAACACAGATGGGATACGGTACCTTATCGTATCTTCGATTTCAGCCGAAAAGGACTCTGAAGTAATGACATGCAGTCCTGAGCATCGAAGTCTGGCTTGCCCGACACCTTTTATCCTACCAGCCCACCCACTCAGCCGCACGACTGATTGCCATGATTGCCGCGTCATCAAAAAGTTTGTTGCACGTGCACATTTGTTAATTGGGACAAACAGGAGCACTGATCACATTCAACCTCAGCGCCATGAACGAAAACAAGAAATCAAGGTGCCGTTGCGTCTATGATGGATGTCTCGTGTCTGACCGTCATCCCTCGTGTCCAGAGCCCTGTTATGGATCCCCCTGAGTCATCGCGTCCGTATCTCAAAACAGAAAGCATAGAGCCATATCGCCAGTAGCATCAGGAGCACTTCCCTTATGCAAACCGTTTTCGAATCCGCGAATGCCAAAGCTATGAAGGTTGCAAGAAGAGGTGCAGCGGAGCGTACAGTCGATTCAGCGCAGGACTGCGAGCTGGTCGGCCAGTTCCTGGAGCCGGGCCAAAGAACCCGAGTCGGATCTTTGTCTTGCTCCCTCACCGGATTGCGCCTCCGCGACCTTGTGGTGGAACGCAATGAACTCGTTGATCGAGTCGAGAAGTGGTCGCATAGTCTTCTTCGGGTGAACAAGGACGAACTTGTCCCTGATCGTGTCGCTCAAACAGAGGTAGCCGAGGAAGATCGAGAGGTAACCGAGAGCGACGTTGAGCTGCGTCTTCTCCATTGAGTCGGCCTGAGACAAAGTTAGCGGTTGGGACATTACGATGGAGTCTGAGTGGCCTACATCAGAGGTTTTCGCGTGATTGTCCGCGAAAACCCGAAATAGCTCATTCAGGGCCGGGTCCGTCCCATCGCCACGTTCCGCCAAGCTCCCAGAAGCGGGCGGGTAATATGCACAGAAGTTGATCATAGCTCCCAGCATCATGATCAGGGACTCCAGCAACTTGGACCATAATGAGTCGCCTTTCATCGAAGTCAAGACCATTCCGAAGGCGTTGCAAGCGGATTTGGTAAGACGGCGGAGCAACCCTTTTTCGACACACAACTGCGATGCCTGGCCATTGTGATTCGTGATGTTAAGGGATATCCTCAAGGCCAGACTCTCGAGGTCTCCAAACTGGTCGGCAGACCGTTCCAGAGCTGTTTCCAGGACGTCCGCGACAACTGGGGCGTATTGTTCGGTCCACATGGAGCAGAGCTCAGACTGCATCGCGCTAATTGAGTGGCCTTCTAATATGTAGAGTGCGAGGTAAAAGTCGCAAGACTCTTGCTGATTTGGGAAATCCCAGCAAGCTGAGTTGGACACGCCACTAGCGACGATTGAAAACAAGCGATCCGTAACCGCCCGGGGAAGCACGTCCTCGACGGGTGCTTGAGTAGGTTGCCGCATTAGGAGGTCGAGGCATTTCAGCGCCAGTGCACGCGGTGACATTGATGTGGGGGAGACTGGTTCCCAGATGGGCAGCTCCAACAGCGAAGACTTGATTGATGCGATGGTAAGCTGGCCGTTCCTCGATACATTCTGCTTCCTGTCCCTGGCGAGCTGCACCATGTCGGCGGTAACGTCGAGGAGTCTGCTGATAAGGACGGCAAGGCCCTGCGAGCGAAGCTGTCGAATTAAATGGGCCGACGTGGTGGCAGCGAGGAGTGTTGTGATTATGGCCAGAATTGCGTATCCAGAGATCACATCCGATTCATCCGCGAGGGACCGGAGAAGGTTCTCCCCGTCGCTGTGGTTCCGGAACTGGAGACGGAAATCCTTTTGCTTCATCTTTTGAGCCAGCTCAAGGAGTGCACCCCTCCGCAAAGACGAGGGCGTGGCAGAGGGTGAGCCCACCCTGTCGAGAATATCATCTATTTCGTCAGCGAAGCGGCTATTTGCGCCAGCCTGCCTCAACTCGTGAATGCTCCGAACTGCGCCGGCATTGGCGGTCTCGTCGTCTTCATCAAGGTATGAAAATGTGTTGACGGTGGCGCTTTTCGTTAGACGCCCAAAATTAAACAATGCGCCCCCGGCTGGCCCATCGAGGTCGCCGAGGCCGCCCCCTTCCAGTATGGGATCGTCATCGGCAAGCATAGTTCTCTGCTGGCTGTAGGTAAATTTGGGCCCGGCCTTTTGGACCGTCATCACAGGGCGAGTAATGGATTTCGGCTGGAGAGCTGATGGGGGAGGTAGAGGAGAGTTCTGCAGTGCCGGGGGAGACTGTGAATTGTAATCGTCTGATCTCTGTGATGAAACCTCATCTTCCGATGAACTGCCCATTCCTTCGGCCTGTGCAGCCAGAGTATCGATTAGCCGCCTTTTCCGGACTGGCTGGGGATGGGGACCGGTCGCGGCGGCCGGCGGTGTTGGCGGTTCTCTGGTGGCGGGATCGGATGAAGCTTGCTTAGAAAGGCGGATGGGAATCTGCTGCCTCTTCGCTCCCAAGTTTTTGGAGCCAACGCTGAGGTTTCTCAAAGTCCGGGAAGTCTTGGCTGAGAATGGCATGGAGCTCGGCACATCATCTCTCATCTCAATGTCCTCCTCGAGCGTACTCTGTTTTGACGCGGCTGGCGGAATCGCATCCGGTGCTGAACTGGGTATTTCTTCCTCGCTCAATAGCACAGGCGATCCGCCACGTATAGGCGACGTGTCTGGTGTGGAGTAGCGGCCGCTGGGCCTTCCCTTATCCAAGGACTTTGGAGCGCGTCTCCTCTTCGTTGGTCTCGGTAGCTCATCGGGTTGCGAGTCAAAGTCATAGACATCAGGAAGCGGTTGGCTGTGCGCCCCTTCAACGGGCTTCTGGCGCGATGCGGAGCCATACTCGCGGATGTCTTGTTGCTTGACCTTGGCAGAACTGAGAGCTCTCGTCGTCAGGCGAGGCGGTTCGGGAGAGGTAGATTGGGACTTGGTGGAAGACGAAGGGATCGCCGGCGCCGACTCAGCGTGCCTAAGAGTTGCCGGCCTCGTAACATCAGTCCTCCTTCTCCCTCCTTTTCCGTAGGTGGTGATTTTCTTTGTCGGAGCGGGAGCGAAGCCGAAATCGTAGACTGAGCCCGCATTGGTGGCCATCATGGTGTCTCCGAGGAGGGGCAAGAAGTTTGGCGCGGGATGGGCTGCTTTGGACAAGAAAGGCTCATTTGATCGCTTGTAATTCACAGGTCTGATGGATATCAGCGGAGCATCCTGCTCAACCGTAGCTAGAAGAAGCGCTGGTCAAGACTGTGGTTCCGCGACCTGCCAAGACGTCGCAAGGGATCAATCCGCGTGGACAAACGCTAGAAGGAGGTTGGCCTATGATCGGGGAACTCAAAGGCTTGCAGACTTTTATGCGTTGTATTGAAGCAGACCGCGCAAGCAAAAGAAAAGACGCGCACTGCGAGATGTTATGCGCAAAGGCAGATGTGTTGTTTAATGCGATTGCGATATGCCAGTGTTGCGGTGGTGGTTGTTGTTTTGGGAAACACAACCCCCAGCACCCCACAACTGCCGTCTCAGACTGTCAGCTAAGTCCCTGGCTCTTGCAGATGGCTCGTGCACGCCGTTTCCGGCAGCCTTGCACCCTTGGGATTTGAAGAAACTACGGATCCGTACACGTATTGGTGGGGCTGGCGGCGGGCTCTTGGCACAAGGGTTCTGGGACCGGACTTCTTAAGGTTCAACGAAAGACGGGAATTACTTGGACAGTTACAACCGCTTTTACTCTGCCTCAAATTGGATGAAGGAGCTGGCGATTGAACTAGAGACCGTTCAAACCGCATGGACAGTAGTAGACACGCTTTGGTAGGCCGCCTAAGCTACCGCGGCGGACGAGAGCGTTAGACAGAGGAGCGATCGCCTCGCTCGAGACTGGTTTTACGCGTAGAACTTGTAGTTTGACAGTTGGTTGCTTCGAGCTCCCGTCGACCAGGCGCATTTTCTCTCGTGTACATACAAATACAGGCTTGTATGGCCAGTGGGTCGGTCGAGATAAGACAGACAAGAGCGAAGTGGCGTCCGCCGTGTTCCAGCTTCCTTGGTGGGGTTGTTCCGGATCCGTTCAGCAGTGAATCAAGTCACTGGTTCAAAATAGCAAACCTGCCTAAAGAAACGCAATAATTAGATACGATATTGTTCCATTGGTTCTGTTCCTTCTCGGTTATCCTTTTCCACCGTCTCAGGTAGCCAACCCGGGTAGCGATTCCCTCGCTGTCGGTTTCTAACGTCGTCTGCACATACCCGATTCTTGATCTTAGTGGATTCGGCTCACGCTCACTGGCCCAAGGTCCTCCAACGATCAGCAATGCCCAACGTCAGGCCCGCGCCGACACAATGTGTTGGCCCCGACTACCGCTCCGAGAGCCAAAAGCCGACGGCGGCGGTCTCGACCGATGTGAAAGTCGACACGGTCACCATCCTCCCGCAGACTCCCCAGCTGATTGCGCTGCTCTCGTAAGTAATTTCCGTTCTCGGACACACAGCTGTTCGCGGGGTCCTGACTGATATGGCCGCAGCATCATCCGAGACAAAAACACCCAGCGCGGCGACTTCATCTTCTACTCCAACAGGATCATCCGGCTCCTGGTTGAGGAGGGCCTCAACCATCTCCCCACCGTCGAGCACACGGTCACTACGCCAGTCGGACGCTCGTACGATGGGTTGGCGTTCCAGGGTAAGATCTGCGGCGTGTCCATCATGCGAGCCGGCGAGGCCATGGAGCAGGGGTTGAGGGAGTGCTGCCGGTCCGTGAGGATTGGCAAGATCCTGATACAGAGAGACGAGGAGACTTCTCAGCCCAAGCTCTTCTACGACAAGCTGCCCGAGGACATTGCCGACCGATGGGTGCTTCTGCTTGACCCTATGCTTGCGACGGGTATGTGTCGTTGACGCACAATAACCAAATGACTGCGCGACTGATCACGCTACAGGCGGCTCTGCCATCATGGCTGTCGACGTGCTCAAGTCGCGCGGTGTGCCAGAGGAGCGCATCCTTTTCCTCAACGTGCTCGCGAGCCCCCAGGGCATCCAGAATTTTGCGACCAAGTTCCCCAAGCTTCGGCTGGTAACGGCTTTCGTGGACCAAGGGCTTGACGACAAGAAGTGAGTGACTCCCACCTTTGAGACCGAGCGTTGGGCTCACCGTCTCCCGTAGCTACATTATACCCGGTCTTGGAGATTTTGGCGATCGGTATTATACCCGGTGAAGCATGGCTTTTCAAAGGATCAGTTAGCGTTTGCATAAAGACACAGCGTAGTATTACAGATTCTGTCCAATGAAGTGGCCCTGCGCCGACCCCGGCCGGCGTGAACTGGTATCGACCGCTTTCCTCGCGGCTCCTATATCCCAACCCGAATAACAGTACAGAAACATCCATCTTCCCCAAGCCTCATAGTCAATCGTAATCTTCATCGTCGCCGACGATACCCTCGCCTTCATAGCCGCCCTCGCCTTCATCCTCCTCGTCCATCCTCTGCCTCGATTCGCCTACCCGCCTGCTACTCAACTTGGCACCGCCAGCGGATCTGTCCTGGGTTTCGCGCGCCTCCTGGGCGACAGCATCTGGAAGACTTTGTCAGCCCAAGTACTCCGGGCCAGGATGTTCCGTCTGGGATTCTCTTACCTGCTGCATCCACCCACTCGCTGTAGACATCTATCGGGGAGGAGAGATCTATGACGGCGTGTTAGCCGCGGTGTCGTTCCGCGCCGACGCAGGGGAGTGCCGGCAAGCTTACAATTGATGCCGCATTGGAATTTTTGGCCGCAGATCTTGCAGTTGAGCCAGCCGCAACCCGACTTCTTGTCCAGCTTGATTTCGATCGCGTTTTCGTGGTTGCAGAAGAGGCATGTGAAGTTGGTGGGCAGCGGGTCGCGCTGGAGCGAGAGGATGGGGGTCAGCGTGCGGTTCAAGTTGGCGGGCGAAAACGATGGATCGTGCTGTAGCTGCCTAGGTACCTTCTTGGGCCCCTGGGGCTTTCTCGAACTCTTGCGCTTGCCCATCGTATTTGACGATTATCGTGGCTCGCTCTGGAGGGAGTCTGTATCTTGTTGCGACAGATGTCGCCGATACGGGAACCTGGTAAGGTAGGTATGGTTTGGGGACACGAGCGCGCTTGGAGGCAGACGGGCAGCTTCGAGGTGTCGTTCGGTCCTTTTCTGCGACGGAGCTGCTTTGCTTTGTATACTTGGAATTTCGTGGCTGGAACGCGTCGCGCAATGAGTGCTGTAAGGTATGATGTATCTGCAGATGGCTTCAAAGCTTTGACGTTGGACGGAGTGTGCACCCCGCCAAGCTTCTGGCTCAGGCCTTTTTGAAGGATGCAGAGCCGTCACTGTCGCATGGCAGCTGACGGAAGCGGGAGTGCATGGTGGCTCGTGCACACCCTGTCCATGCCGCTGTATTCCGTACGTTACGCCAGATCCACCTCTTCTGGTCGACTTGCTGATCTTCCTGCTTCACAACTCCAATCAATTCCACATCCGGTTGATGCAACGCCTAGCTATCTCTTTAGATGAAAGCGCCAGAGGTTTGTGATGTTGCAACGTTGCTTTCACTATCCTAATACCATTCCGGCGCTCACTGGACTCAGGTAGTCTACCGTATTGTACAGTGTCCATGTGCTCCCGCCACAGCCATCCAGATTCAATTGCTCGCGGGGAGTCGATCCGATTGCCGTACCCCGCCGTTGGGCTTGCCGGGTGGGGCAGCGGAGCCAATGGTCACCCATGGAACCGTGCATACTGGACCTAAAGGTTATCGGTCACCTGCCTTACCCGGCGATGACATGAATCTCGAAGATGCCTGCCAATCCTTATCACGAGGTCTCACCAAAGACCCGGAACTTGGCGCATTCCGGTTGCCCTGTTCATCAGGCACCTTGGCGCTATTGGACCTCCGTCTGAGTATCAACTCGTAATCTGTTCTCTCACCGCTTCTACCTTACCTAGCAGCTTGCTCTTTTAGAAGCATCGATAACAATCATCCGTACTTACCTTGTGTGCCCGCCCGATCACCCTACTTTGATCCTTTTGTCCTTTCTCTATCCCCTATTTTGCTCCTGTGCTACCACCTCAGCTGATATCCGGTGCTACTAATTAACATTATGGCATCCGGGTTGGAAGACGTGAAGGAGGCCCTGAAGGCCATCTCGCTGGGTCAGGCAAAGTTGCTGTCGGCGGTTGAGACCCTCTCACAGCGCGTCGCGGAGCTGGAGAAGGAGGAAGACCGTCGACGTCCGGGCAGCTCCGGGACTGATGGTCTAAAACGAACCGAGACGCCCCTTGCTGGCGGGTACACCCCGTCACCCTCAGCCGTGCTGCCAGCCGAAGCCGGCACTCAGTCGCCTCCCCCCATGGCGGCGTCTCCGGACTTCAAGTCCAGCTTCTCATCCCGTGTCGTTCTGACCACCTATCCCAAGCAGCTCGGCATCAGGCCGTTGCCGTTGGAGTGGGGTGCCGCGGATCCGTTGCAGCGCGGCCCGGTGACCGTGTCCCGCTCCCCGTCCACCATCGGGAGGCGCAATGCCATCGGTGCCCACGGCGGCTCGTACTCCATCTACTATGCCCTGGCCCTGGCCAGCAGGGAACTCAGGGCCGATCACAGGCCGGACTACACCAATACAGAGCCAGCCGTAAACATTGGGCCCTTTCCGCAGTGGGGTGACAAGAAGAAGGTACAGTAATTTTCTTTGTTCGTGGACTGTTTATACGCCTTTATGGATATCTCGGAAGCGGGATGGCTCCCTACTCCCATAGCCATCCCAATACTTCCGGAATATGAATTCCACAGCTGACATTGTTGGTTTAGATTGTGGCCATGGACCCGTGGGGCCATATGGTGCCCTGGCTATTCAAGGATATCATTGAGAAGGAAAACGGCATGCCCTCCATGATTGCTGCCAAGTTTGTGTAATGCTAATGGGCAATACAGTGGATCTGCGACCGACTATTGCCATCACCAAGGCGCACATGAAGTTGCCCGAACTGGAAGAGAGCGTGAAGAACGGCCGCCTGGTTCCTGACGGGAAGGTGTGCCTCAACGCATCAGGCGAGCTCAGCGTGACCAAGTTCGCTGTTGAGCCGGTTTGGTATCTTCCCGGCGTCGCCGAACGGTTCGGAATCGACGAGGGCACCCTTCGAAGATCGCTCTTTGAGCACACCGGTGGCATGTATCCAGAGGTGGGTAACTGCTCCGAGGGATTGGGAACCGCAAGTGAGCCCGTGAAACTGACGCTGCGCCAGTTGATAACCCGCTCCGATATCAAGGTCTTCCTGCCACCTATTGGTAAACAAGCTTCGCTGTCTGCGCACTGCTGCCTCTGGTGCACGATTTGACTGAGTACAGGTGGCCTGACGGTTTACTGCTTCGGAGATCCGGCGAGAATGTCCGATCCTTCCAAGAGGCTTGCGTTGCGGATCCACGATGAGGTGGGTGACTATGTGCTGATTCTCCTTATTCATACTTAACATGCCCGTCAGTGCAATGGCAGCGATGTTTTCTGCTCGGATATCTGTACATGCAGGCCGTACCTCATCTTCGGCATTGAGGAAGCCGTCAAGGAAGCCCAAAACGGCGGCAGTGGTGTGGTGATCTACTTCCGGAAGGAAGGCAGGGCCTTGGGCGAAGTAACAAAGGTGATTTATGCTCCGGCCCGTTCATGTGCTGCGTCGTCAGTAACTGACGCGACTTAGTATCGTATGTTGAAAATCTCGGTCCTACCCATCAATGTATCCCGTGTGGCACTGCCATCTAACAGGATCTGCAGTTGTGTACAATGCCCGCAAGCGCGGGGAAGATCGCGCGTCGGATTACTTCAAGCGGACCGAAAACATCGCGGGAGTCAAGGACATGCGATTCCAGGCGTTGATGCCCGATATCCTCCACTGGCTCGGCATCACCAAGATTGATAGAATGCTCAGCATGAGCAAGTGAGTGCCCACGAGTGTGCAGATGCAAATTGTCGAGCTGACCCGCGCCGCTTCAGCATGAAACATGATGCCATCGTGGGGCAAGGGTGAGTCAATCTGCTCCGTTGGTACTCCGAGAATCGTGGCGCTGACAGTTCACCCATTAGCATCCCCATCCACGAGCGAGTCGAACTCCCTGAGTCGTGGATTCCCGCTGACTCGCGGGTTGAGATTGATGCCAAGATCAACGCCGGTATGGTGCAATCGTGTCAACATCCCCTTCGGGCTCATTCTGACTCAAGTCCCCCCGCAGGATACTTCACGACTGGCCATCGAATGACCGAGGAAGAGCTCAAGACGGTGCAAGGCCGGATATGGGAGGAGTAAGCGCAGACCCCCGGAGATTCGCCGAACGAATCGCGGAATATAGGGCTGACAGGAGATACAGCATTGACCACTAAAGACCGTCGAGCGTGAATGTCTGTAGCTTCACAGCTGCAGGTGTTGGGGGGTTATTTAAACCCACTCGTACCGTTGCGAGCCGCGGGATGCTCTGGGTCGTATGAACCAATGCCCTCTCGAACCCGTACCACGAGGGCCGAGAGCGCCTTTGATAAGCGCAGACTGGCCGTCCGGCTGCCCCCATCCCATGATGTTTTGAACCCTTAAGATTTGTCAGATCCTGCAGAGGCATTTCCAACGGCGACGGACAGTCCAGAAACCAAAGGCCCCACGGAGAGAAGGAAAGCCTAAGCCTAAGATAGAGGAGAAGAGATCTAAAAAGCTCGCCGTGTCACGCGCTCACTTCCCATTGCATATCCCCCGCGAACGCCATGTTGATCACGACGGTTGTTATGGGATACCCGTAGCTTGTCATGCGTCTCCATGCCCAAACCCCTTTCCCATGTATTGGGCTACACTAAGCTGATCCGCTTGTCGTCGATCAAGGCTAGTCCCCGCCATTTGGGGTTATCGAGTCTTGCCAGAAAGACCCGCGCTCTCTCCTCTGCCTGATGCTCGAACAATGCACTTCTTCCACTCTTCTAGAAATCCCAAACGAGGTACGGACGTGATGCTGCTGTTGCTGATCCTGTTGCTATTAGCCCCTGTCTGTCTGGTTCGCCCATCTTGCTTGGCAGTTTGTTCCAAGGAAAACCAGAGTCCCGGCGTCCTTGAATTGCCGTTGCTTCTGGGTGGTGGTGCTCCCGGCCGGGAGCGACACCCGGTTTGGCGCCATTTCTGGCTTGGGGGGTTCTCTTTTGTCTTGGGAATCTGTTTGCTTCACCGAATCGCATCCCTAAGCTGATAATGGTGACAACGATCCGGATCTGGAGAACAGTCCTGTTTTGGGGCACTGGGATGCTGGTGCAAAATCCTATTCGGTGGATATGCCGAATGAGCTGTCACTGATTGGGGGGAATAGGAAAATCGCGCAGGCCTTGTTGTCTTCGTTGGTTTGTTTTGGCAAACTTTCCCCCGCTCTTTGCGGAATTCGACCACAGGGCTGGAGATGGCGGTGATGTGTTGTCCTCAGTGCGCACAGAAGTACACAGTTCCCCACGTTCCTCGTGGAAACAGGGAGCGGATGCGGGCTCCGGACGGCACTACCGTGTTTCGGGGATGGATCGAGGGATGGTGTCAAATCCGGCATTGAGTCGTCGTTTGCGGCCCCTGCTCTTTTTTTCTGCTTTGTGTCGTCTGAGAGGCTGGTCCTAACAGTTTCTCGAGGACTTTTGGCAATGCGAGAAAAGAATGGAGACAAGCCCCGGGAATAGGTTGGCCATCATCAATCTCATGCCGGTTTTCCTACGGTCCCACGAAAAGGTGTGGTTACGTCGCAGCATCGGTGAAGTGAATTCCCAGGAAGAAGGTGGTGGACATGTAATCAGGCCGATATTGGGACGAGATCTCGGCTGTCACGGGGCCAGGGACGGTCTTGATGGGTAGCTTCTCTCTTCATCCTAAACGGCTTAGCTTCGTAGCCGCGTATTGGAGACTTGATCCGGGCAGACGGATGATCGATGATGGTGGACTGACGATCGCTGACTTTGGTGCCTGGAGATTTCACTCGAAGCTGGGTTGGTTTCCTTCCTTGAAAAGGTACCCGTCGGACGGCGGCCCACGTCCGCCATCTTGGCCAGCCCGGATTCACGGCCAAGATCCAATGGCCACCAAAAGCACCCATGCACCGCCCGCAGGATGCAGCTCTCAAAGCTCCTGAAGTGTCACGATTTGAATGGCTGGCGGTGGTTGCAGTTCTCCACTCGGTAGTGTTGTCTGGAAGCCTGACGGGCCCACCAGGGATCCTCTTCGCTGCGAGACAGTTGGACACCGGCCTGCAGGAGTTCGATTTGAGGGTGATGCCCAAGATCCCAACAATGGGATGGATGGTCAGCAGTCGCACAGTGGTACCTCGCCGTGTGCGTGTGGCCACGGCCCGCAAAGAAGCGAAGCCAAGTGGGCGGGTGCAATGGGGAAACCGCCATCCCATCAACAAGCTTGGTCGCCCGAGCAAGGGCTGGTGGGTGTGGGTGCCGGGTCTCCAAGGCCAGGCCGGCCAGGGGAGCAAGCCAGGCAACGCCGTCTCATTTTGTGGTTTTGCCTTGGTCCAAGGACAACAGATGCGAAATGGCTTAGCCTCCCCTCCTTTGCCAACAGCTCGTACCATGGACTGACAAGTGGCAATGACCCAGCCGATAGTGCCTTCACTGAAACCATAAAAGTCATCTCCGGGATTGAGTGGAATCGTATTTCAGCCCAAGTGGGTTCCTTTCTCATAGTTAGCATCATCATCAGTCTTGAACATCCACCTCTTTCCTTCCCCTCGATTCTCAGTCAGCGACCTCGTCGAGTTTTAACAAATTATCCAACAATTCAGCAAGTCACACCAAAAGTTAGCCACGACGACAGCTTCTCCCAACAACACTGCTAGATCTCATCATGGCCTCAGCTTCTTCCAGTTCGAGCCGAATGCAAAGGAGGGATTCATCTGAGCGCAGCTTCAGCACTCGGAGGCCGAGACTGCTCAGAGCAACGGCAACTGAGCCGTCCATCACTACTTCCAACGCCAGTCCAAACGCCCTTGCAACGCAACCAGGGCGGAGGGCATCCGAACTCTTGAGCCGGGTAGCCTTCGTCTCGGGCTCGCCGCCGGATTCCGTCCTCAGATCTGCGTCCATGCTGTCAACGAGGTCGTCCATGTACGACAATGTAGACCGACACAGTGAGCTGTCCTCCTCGCCCGTCAGTCAGCCGGATACCTTTGACAACATGAATCCCCATCCATGTATGACTGTTCCTGTGTTGTCGTCCCAGGACATCGCTGACAGTCCAACCAGATTCTGGACGGTATTTCAGCTTCCCTAGCTTCGACCTGTACGAAGCGAACCAGCAGGACGATGAGAAGGAATCCCAGACCAAGTCACCTTGAGAGATTCGCTTTCGACGGGAGGTTGAGCCGTGAGACGACGCCAAGGACCCAGAAGGGCCAAGACTCGGCCGCGAGAAATGGAACAGCAGAACTCTGAGAGGACCGCATGCTTCTCACCAGGCTTACGAGCGCCGCAATGCGACGGTGCATCATGCCCGGGACGCCGATGCCACCGTGCCATCAGACTAGGGCATGTGAGAAGCTCGTGAAACGAGCCGAGGGCGCTGTCGGTTGGGAACAGAAAAGGGGAAGTGCCTTCAAATGGTACGAATTCCATGTCGCTGTGGGTCGTCAGGGAGGAAACGAGGAGCAACAGACCGAGCCCTCAGCAAGTTGGAAATACATCCAACAATCGAAACCAGCCCCATCTCAACCGGTGCATGGTGGAAGGAACTAGGAGCCACGATACACAAGAGTGTTCTGGAATGCATGTGTGCATTCTGTTGTTGCCGCGTATTTGAGAGCAGGCGGGACGGTGCAATCGGAGATTGGCGCGATATCCATGGAACAGTTGAGCAACGAAGCTCGAGTGGAAGTGAATAGTAGAGAAATGATTCGCTCCCAATCCGCTCTCCGTGCTCTGTAAAGTCAAGCCAACGTGTTCGTGCCGAATAACATGAGTGCCACAATGGAGTTGACGGCAGGAACACGAGATTAATATTGAACCATTTTCAACTCTGCAATGCGAGGTCGGTGAATCTGTGTCTGGGTTCGTGTCCGTCTGTTGGTTGTAAAGCGCTCGAATTATTTTTGACAGTTTGGAGACTGTCGCCTGTCCCTTGGTCTCTCGATGTCGCTCTGTTTCCTCCAAGATGGTAACCAACATGACCGCGCGAGAGGACAGAGCGCACAGACCTCCGAGCCCTAAGCTCCGAGAAACCAATCAAAACCATGCAATGCTGCCCCACATTCTAGTTTTTCCGCGTGTGGGCGCCAGCCCACACAACGAAATCACAATTTCGACTCGAGCGAAGAAACCCCAAATTTCGTGACCCGATTCCACGGTCTCCATCACTAACCAAGCAGCACATCTGTCCCGCCGTTGGCATAGCTGCTCGTCAAGATGGCTGTTGGCAAGTACGTTGCGCCCCGAGAAATCGAATTCTGCACGGAACACACCGAGATTGGGCAGTTGTCGGGCTTTGGTGGATTTGCGATGGCTGATATTCCGGCGCAGGAACAAGAGACTGTCCAAGGGCAAGAAGGGCCTCAAGAAGAAGACCGTGGACCCCTTCACCCGCAAGGACTGGTACGGCATCAAGGTGAGTTGTCATTTTGTGGTGAATAGTGTGTATTGCATTGGAAACTGACGGGTTTAAACAACAGGCTCCTGCCCCGTTTGCCATCCGAGAGTAAGACCCTGTTCCCGCCGGACGCAATCGCACGAAATTTCTTCGAAGCTCGAGACGGATTCTAACGTGGCGATCAGTGTCGGCAAGACCCTGGTCAACCGGACCACCGGTCTCAAGAACGCCAACGATGCTCTGAAGGGCCGCATTTTCGAGGTTTCGCTGGCCGATTTGCAGAAGGACGAGGACCACTCGTTCCGCAAGGTCAAGCTCCGCGTCGACGAGATTCAGGGCAAGAACTGCCTGACCAACTTCCACGGTCTCGACTTCACCTCGGACAAGCTCCGCTCGCTCGTCCGCAAGTGGCAAACTCTCATTGAGGCCAACGTCACCGTCATGACCACCGATCACTACCTCCTTCGCCTCTTCGCCATTGCCTTCACCAAGCGCCGCCCTAACCAGATTAAGAAGACCACCTATGCCGCTTCTTCACAAATCCGCGCGATCCGCCGGAAGATGACCGAGATCATCCAGCGCGAGGCCTCGAGCTGCACCCTCACTCAGCTCACCTCCAAGCTCATCCCTGAGGTCATCGGCCGCGAGATCGAGAAGGCCACCCAGGGCATCTACCCTCTCCAGAATGTATGTTTCGCTGGTTACAGAACTGGGTGATTGCCGAAGGCCCGCTAACACGGGGAAATCAACAGGTCCACATCCGCAAGGTCAAGCTTCTCAAGCAGCCCAAGTTCGACCTCGGTGCCCTCATGGCCCTGCACGGCGAGTCGACCACGGATGAGCAGGGCCAGAAGGTGGAGAGGGAGTTCAAGGAGACGGTCCTCGAGTCGGTATAAGGGGGGTGCTGTTGTTGGGAACGCACTGGGCAGGGTTTTCATCAGCAATACCTCTTGGGGACTTTGGGCTTGCTTTCGTTGCATTTGGCGTGGTATCATGGTACAGTAGTCAAGGTAACGAATCTTTTCGTCATGGCGACGGGAGCACACGGAATCAAAAAGGATGACCAAGGGAACCGTGACACGACGATCGGCGACAGCAATTCGCAACGGGGGCACCAGAATCCTGGGATGGGACCGGCGGTCTACGGTACCTTAAGGGCGGGCGCCTGGTGAGATGTGTGTGGGTGTGAGCGGCCCAACTTGCGGCAGCTGGGGAGACATGGCAACGGGCGGCTGTGCATCCAGCTAGAGTATCGGCGAATGTCAGGCCCAACCAAGTCAACATGTGTCCCAGCCTCTGTCATTTTGGTCGCGGTATCGCATCTGTTTAGACCTGCCGGTATCCTGTCTTGATGCCTTGACCCTACCTGGCTTATCTTGGGTTAGGTGAGGCCAGAATCACATGTGATTACAGCAATTGACGGTTTCCCACCGCGACCTCTTTCCACAGCCGATGCTTCGGACTTGCCCATTTCCATTCCTAGCAAGAGCGACGGTAAGTAGGTTGCCCAAGTCCAACATCGAATACCTTACAACGTCATCAGAAGTCCTCAAGCTTCATGTCTTGGCACTCAACATCAACTTCATGAATGCGGTCTCATAAGCAACACCATCTTTATTTCGGCTCCAGAGTTTATCTCTTTTTATCATTCATCCGCGGTGGTCCACGGCAGTTCCATATCCTACGGTGTTTTCCTTCTACCTCACACCGTATTCCAGCCAAACCACTTAGGTGTTCGCTGTGCTCTCCCATCGGCAACCCAAGGCATCGAGATCACAAGATGCCGATATCTCCAAGACACCTACCCCATGTTCAACGACTAGCTACCCAGCCAGTCAGCCAACGCAGTTATATTTCTGGATCTTTTCGAGTCGTCGATTTCTCTCTTTGTAACGAGGTTGTCTTGACCGCCAGATCCTGTCTAGTGGAAGGCCAGTCAGCGATGGTCAGCAGGGATGCTTTGTCACCGCGTCGTCATCTTTGAATACGAGGACTCGGGATGAGAGGTTGGTTGCTAAGAACAATGGTGCTGGTTATGGAGGCGGCGGTGGTGCTGATGGTGCGGGTGCTGGGGATGGTGGTGGTCCGTCTCGGAAGCAGCAGGCTGGGACGGCGCAAGAAGAAGGGGGCGGGGCGGAAAACGGTAAAAGCGCGCGCACGAGGTAAGGGTGGCAAGGGGTGCAAATGCAGGGTGGGCGGGCAGAAGGGGAGGAAGGGGAGGAAGGGGAAGGGGAGGAAGACCCGGGGTGCCGGGCTGCGAGGGGTGAGGTGAGGGCCGTGTCGCGGTCACTGCCTGTGTACCCATATGAGTATGAGAGTACGCTCAAGTGGTGGCTGTTGGCCCGTCAGGGGCGGGAAGTCTGCTAGTGAGTTGATCCTCACTTTTCCTCTTTCTGCCCGGTTCTGGGTGAATTGTTCTATCTTCCTTGTTCACCTGGCTCGATCACTTACTGCCAAGTAAGGCCATACGAGGACTGGGGGTGGTGTCAGGATAGCAATGCAGCTCGGACTGCTAGTGGTGGTATAGTGCTTCTGCGGTACTGTGACTACAAATTCAATCCCAACATGGTTTCGACTGTTGGGGTAGATAACCAGGTAAGGCTGCCGTCATCCAACTCTATGCGATATCAGGCGAAGAAAGGATCATTATTTACTCTGTTGGTGTAGTTCAAAGATCCGGGGATCAGGGGCAAGGCGTATCGGCTGAACATTTTTGACACGGTTAGTTGTACTCGTCTTGGAGTGATGTGATCAAACCCATCAGCTTACTTACTTTTCAGATCACCAGGCCGGCCAAGAGAAAGTCTACGCCCTCTCAAAAAGCTTCTACCGTGGTTGTCACGGCGTCCTCCTGGCCTAAGTCATCTCTAATAGGGCAAGCTTCTTGGCCTTGGACAAGTGGCATCGCGAAGCGAGGGACAATATACCCGGTGATGCGCTGCTCGGCTTGGTACGACTTCCCAGTCCAGCTATGCACTGCCTCGCCCTGGCGCCAGTATTGACAATCTGAGCTAGGTCGGAACCAAGTTAGACAAAGCCGAAGACGGGGCCCGAGGAGTGACATACGAGAAGGGTCTGGCGAAGATGTTGGCCTACCACGCGTCCGGTTTCAACGAAGTCAGTTCCATGTCGGGCAAAGACATTAAGAAGCCATTTATGGGCATGGTGCGCGATATCCTAAACACACCGACAATTCTACAAGCCGTCCAAGACCGACCATATCCCGCCACCCTCGACCTGGCTTCAAATTCAAATGCCCCGGTGATAGACACGGTTTGCCGGCGCTAGTTTGGGAACCGGGGGAGGCGCCGGAAGCAGATGGTGTGCACTTTGGTTCTGATACCACTGGTTGCGGGTTACAACACCACGGCGTGTTTATGGCAGTCTATTTCTATATTCATGCACATGTCTAGGGTATGGATACGGGGATATACTACAGCGATGCCAGGCTCAGGCTAGAATAGATCAAGCGTTCGTCTACTGTCTATTCCTTGGGCTCCAAGAACCGAACCACAGCTATCGTCACCGTCAGCAAGCCTGGCACACATCCCGCCACTCAATCACAGGAAGACTCACCCTGCCTGAACTCCTCGGGCTTCTCCGAGATGACCCAGTGGCCCGCATCGATATCGACCAGCTCGAACATGGGGAAAAAATGGCCGATGAGCGGGATCACCTCGTCCGGCACGTATGTGCTCTGGGTGCCGCGGATAAACAGCGAGGGCTTAGCGAAGCGTACCTCGCTTGGGTTCTTGAAGTGGAAGTCGCCTAGCACCGCGCTTGGGTGCTTCAAGGGAAAATCGCCCAGGTGGTCAAGCGCCTTGCCTAAAATGTGCAGCGGGACACGGAACTTTTGAGTCGCGCTGCCGTCGGGACGGTGTAGGTTGCCGAGCAGGAATTGCCGAATCGTGAAGTTCTGTTGTGTTTTTTACTGTTAGAACCTGCCTGGGTTCGGTGGATGGATGAGACTGGCTTAAGAGCTGATACACGCCTTCTCATATTCCTCGAGGATTCTGTCGGCCTCGGCCTGACGGGTGACGCCAGCCTCGTCGATCTTCTTCATGCCCTGGATGTACCGGGGAAATTCGGAACTGAGGCGGGCGTCGACGGGGGCGTTGTCCACGGCAACCATATTGGCGACCAAATTGGGCTCCTGAAGAGCGAGTACCATAGCAGTTTTGGCGCCCCTTGGATTTGGAGGTCGGTTTCATGAGCGGATTGGTGGAGGTGAAGGGGACACTTACATCGAGTGCCCAATCAGCGTTGGCTCCTTCAACCCGTGTTGACGGATGAAGTCGGCCACGTCGGCGGCCATGGCAAGGTAATCATGGCGTTGGTCATGGGGGGAGTCGCCGTGGTTGCGAAGGTCCTACTCTGGACATCAGCTTAACGTTGGGATCAAGCGATCGAGATGCTTACCACAGCGTAAATATGACGGCCCAAGTCGCGGGCTAGGACTCTGTATCACACCGGGTTAAAGAAGGCCCGACTGCGTACCCGGTGATGCAATGCAAACTGACGGCAACTCACTTACTGATAGTCCGGTTGTTCTTTTTGGACCCAAACAAGCCGTGCATGAAAATGATTGGCGACGTCTGTTTATCGACCACGGGCTTTGGTGGCTCATGAAGGTCGTAGGCAAGCGAGACGGTCGAGATTGGTGAGGATGACGACTGCAGGCTGGCCGCGAGGAGTCTTCTGGAGGAACCCAAAGCCGATGCCGGGGTCGGCAATCGGACCCGGACCCGGACCCGGCGCAGAGCTCCGGAGCAACTCTGCCGCAGGGCCGATGCGGACAGTGTGAGGCTGATCATAATTTCTCTAGGTAGTATACAGATTCCACCACTCAGTGTGTATCTCCAAAGCGCCAGATGCCAATGCCCGTAATCAAAGCAAGGATGAAGGAACGAACGTGATGAGTCAAAAACCTGGGAAGCATTGAGATTGCAACCGCTCAAAACCAAACCAACAAAACAGGATCCGGCTCTGCCGAAGAAAACCGACTTGTGCAAAGTGAGCCGACGCACGGGCCACAGTGTATTTGTTGACTGCGAGGTTGGCGAAGTGAAAAGAATGGATGAGGTACGGCGTAGAACTTATTCAACGAGAATCTTCCTGACCTTCTTTGTCCAAATGGTAACCAAACGCATCGATGACAATCTACCCAGCTTGGAACTTTGATGCAGCCCACTTCCACTACCAACAGGTTGGTTATCGAATTGGGATTATGATAGTGTACGATGTCTGCGAAGATACACCAAGCCTCTGAAGCTAGGGCCACCAAAGCCCCTCCCCTAAAGTTACACACGTAGGTCCTACCCTCGATCCAATACCGTACTGTAACGTACCCGGTACCCCACAAAACGTTCAGGTTTTCGGAAATTGTCCAGAGCTGCCCCGCAACTGACCTACTCCGTACTGTCACTGAACTGGAAGGCGAGCAGCAGACTGCAGTTGGATTGGTCATTCGGCCCAGCCTCAGCTCAACCCAGCATCCCTGGCACCCAACTGAAAAGGACCACAGACAGAAATCGCAGCCCTGAAGACTCAAGTTCTCCCCCTGGGCGGAGAACTCCGATTGAATGCGCAAAACCAACACCAAGCGAACCCCGTCGTCCTTCCCGCCGCCGTCATGGGAGACACCGCCGTCCTGGCTCTCAATTCCCTCCTCCGAGCAGCATCCATCCAAGACCATGCCGAGGCACTCGACCTCGCAACCGCCGCCCTGCGCGCTGCAAAGGGCCCTGGTGCCGAACTGGTCACAGCCCACCACACACGCGTGGTCGCACTCCTGAAGCTCGACCGCTTCGACGACGCCCTGCGCGCCATTGCCGAGGGCGGCGATGCCCTGGGCAACGCATGCCTTTTCGAGAAGGCCTATGCGCTGTACAAGACGGGGGACCTGGAGGCTGCCGAGACGGTCCTGCGGGATGCTGGTGTTGTTGGCAAGGGGAGGCGCGCCGGTCGGGGCCTGAAGCACGTCGCCGGCCAGGTGGCCTATCGTGCCGAGAAGTTTGAGCAGGCCGCCGCCATATACCGGGAGCTTGCTGCGGACGAGGACGGTGCGAACCAGGGCGAGGAGAACGACCTACGCATCAACCTGGCTGCCACCAATGCGCAGCTCGAGTGGCAAGGCAGGGGCTGGGCGGTACCAGAGCAGGAGAAGCAGCCCGGAAGGGAGGATTCAGAGGCGTTCGAAACGTCCTACAATGCTGCGTGTGGCTGCATATCCCGTGGCGACTTTGCCAAAGCTGCGGTCTTTCTCAAGCGCTCAAGAGATCTGTGCGAGGCGACAGAGGAACTGAACGAGGACGAGAAGAAGGCAGAACTGGTGCCCATCATTGTGCAACAAGTATATGTCTTGATGAAGCTCGGGAAATTGGACGAGGCTGCCGCTCTCCAGAACTCCCTGGGCCTCGACGACATCTCGGATTCGTCAACTAAGGTCGTTGCTAGGACTAACGCCCTAGTCCTCCAAGCTGGGAGCAACCCATACCTGACGCAGCGGCTGGCTAAGTCTTTGTCAGAAGGTAAAGGCAACAATCGCCTGTTCGAGTATCAAAGCTCCGTCCTGCGGCGCAACAAATACGTCCTTGACCTCCAGGTGCAGAAATTCCATGGCGTTGAAAAGTCAACCTCCAGAATCCTCTCCAAGGAGACCGTCCCCGCCATTTCGAACTCCAAGTGCGACCTTGGGGTTCTCGGTGCTGCGGCTGCTTGTCAACTACAAGCTGGCCGAGAAGCCCTGCGGCAGATCCTTCCTCTGCTCGAGACACGGCCAGACGATGTCGGCCTCCTGCTCACCGTCATCCAGCTTTACGTCCAATTCCAGAACCCCGCTCCTGCCATCAATCTTCTCGAGGCATTCTTCAAGCGCCTGAAGGCTGCTACGACACCAGACCACGCCGATGTGCGCTTCGCCCCGGGCCTAGTCGCCCTAGCCGTCTCTCTGTACCGCACCCAAGGTCGGCACTCAGCAATCCGCAACGAGCTCGCCAAGGCAGCGGCGCACTGGCAGGGAAAAACAGGCCATGCCGCCTCCGGACCTGGCACTTCGCTCCTCCGAGAGGCGGGCATCGAGCTGCTCCGCTCATCCCACCCAGCCGACCTCGCAGCAGCAGGCGAAGCCTTCTCACATCTCATCGCCGCCCAACCCGATGACCGCATCGCAAAAGCAGGACTCGTCGCGAGCTTCGCAACAACCGATTTTTCCAAGACGCAACCCTACCTCGACACCCTCCCCTCAGTCGAAGACCTCACCCGCGGCGTGGACGTAGGAGCTCTTCTCGATGCCGGCGTTGCCGCGGCTCCCACGGCCGCCCAGGCTCAGCAGGCAAGAGGCAAGAAGCGGTCTCTCGACGAGGCGGAGGAGGCCGGCAAGGAGAAGCAGCAGCAACAGCCGGCCGCCAAGAAGCGCAGGAAGAGGAAGTTGCCCAAGTCGTACGACCCGGACAAGAAACCCGACCCGGAGCGGTGGCTGCCGCTTCGTGACCGCAGCAGTTACCGGCCCAAAGGCAAGAAGGGCAAGAAGCGGGCCGCCGAGGCGACGCAGGGTGGCGTCGTGCGCGAGGAAGAGACTCTCGAGCTTGCGGGCGGGGCTGGGTCTGTCAAGGTCGAGAAGGCGCTTGCCGCAGGCGGAGGCGGCGGAAAGAAGAAGAAGAAGGGGAAGAAATGAGCCTGCACGCTCCCAATCTTCACCCCACCTGTGGCACAGAAAGACTAGCATGTTCAAATATGGACCCGTCTCCTGAATTGGTCATCGCATGGTTGATAGAGAGGAAGAGAGAGTTTAGAATTGCATAAGACTGTTCAATCATAGTCTACAATACTCTCTATCTACCAGAGACCGTACCCATTTACGCTCCCGCCTGCTTGACGCCGCGCCACTGTTCCGCCAACCAACCCAACCAAGCAACCAGCCAACCAGTGAAGACGAAAAGGAAACAAAGGAGGATCCGTATTTGAAGTGGTAACAGAAAACATGACGCTCGTCGTCAACAGACAGACAGACAGGACAGACAGATGGTTCAATGCGGAGACGAAAACTTCAAAACCCCTCCCACAGCGGGTTCGACTTGGCCTCACGCATCGGTCAACCCACACCCGACCGACTATCATCCAACACCCAAAGAACTGAGCTTGTCCTCTAGACACCAGCACTATGCCACCCCACACCATCTTATCCTACCCAGAGACGAGCCAAATAAAGACAAGGTAAAGAACGAAGAAGACAAAAGCGACAGAGATTAAAAGGAGTGATAGTCATGTGACAGACCAATAAGAACCCACTTCCCCAATGCCTATACCGTTGCCCACTGCCCATCCCGACGCATATGATAGAAACCGAAACGAGAGTGCCGTGTGTTGAGTGCCCGTGTCAGTGAAGGAGAGAGCGACAGAGGTCTATATGAAAATAAACCCTGATCTTGCACGTCAAACTCGTTTCGTCCCGTTCAAGGAAACCCCAGAATTGTTTTCTCTTGCCTGGCCGTCGCAAGCCTTTTCCGGCGTCACAGTGCATTAATACAGTGGTATGTCGAAAGAAGAGAACATATGTCGCGTGAATCCGGACCGAGAAGAAGAATAAGGTCAGAATGCAAAAGAGTCAACTGAGGGAGACTCGTGTCAAATGGTGCGTAAGCCGTGTCCATCATGGCGAGCCTCATGCACTGACGGACTGCAGAGGCGGACTCGGTAAACGGTCACCGCTCTCGGGAACCTGCTCGGTTTCCCTTTCCTGGGAAGTCTCAGTGACTGGCGTTGAAGGCGGTTCAGGGGTGAAAAACACGGTATTGCGGCCTTCACGACTGGGCGACGGGCTGGTTTCGCGGTATTCGACCGCATCCAGGTTCGCGCTGCCGATGTGTTCCCCTTCCCTGGCTGGCTCCCTGGCTGGCTCCCTGGCTGGCTCTTCCTCGCCCTCAATTGGCGGCAATGGTGTGTGTCGCCCGTCTGAAAAGCTAATTGCGGCATCGCTGTCTTCGTCGGACGGCAAAGCGAGGCTACCGCCCATGCTTCTGTGGCCGGCATGGGCCGTCGAGTACTTCCTATGCAAGTCCCGGAAGCTCCGTGCCGTGGCGGTGCTCGCGCTGGCAGCTGATCCGCGATGCTCGCGGTCAGACACAGTTCGCGCTGTAAGGATCGACTGAAAATCGGCGCTATCCGCCGCACTAGTGTAATTGCCCGCACCATCGTCCCTCTGCATCCGTTGGCGGAGACGCTCTTCGGACGCAAGGCTATGCATCTGCAGCTCGTTGCCAAATGTAATTACAGAGGCCTTCTTGCCATGCACCACGAAGGACCCGGTACCTCGTGGCAGGACATCAGGAACATCGCGGTTACCGTCATCAGAGAGGGTAGCATTGGACGTCGAGTCCCTGCCTCTGCGGTGACGGTGGTGCGAGATGTGGCCGGCGCTTTCCCTGAGTGTCCGCTGCAGACTACGACGAATCTTGCCCCGTTCGCCTCGATCTGCGGCAGCGCCGCTCGAAGCACGCTCACGCCGCTCAGGAGTCTCTCCCGCGTTCGCGTCACCATTGGCACTCTTTGGATTCGAGCTCCGGGAGATCTCAGGTTCAAGGAGCCCGGCTTGCTCCAACAGGTCCCGCTCGTCCGCATCCACGTCATCTGGCTGCTCGAATTCGGGCTTTTGCGGAGTTGCAGAAGGCGCGGTCTCGTTCTTGGGCGGCGTTGCCGGAACTGGTGTCTCCGATCCGACTGCGCTTGAAACCGACGGCTTTCTGAGATCACCGTGGTCAACCGCCGTGCCGTTCGAGAGCCAAGAATCCTCAGGGCTCACGGTTGCACTCGTTGGTGGGGTTTGGAACGTCTCGGTCACTGGGGAAAAGTCGCCATCCGATTTCGTAGTGATGATGGAAGATCTTGCCAGGGAGAGCTGGGGCGGAGACGCCGGACTCTTCTGAGGAGCCGTGACCTGACTCGTCTTGCATTCCTCCCTGCTGATAGGTTTCCCAGCTACGTCCGACTTCGCGTCCGGGGGCAGGCCGAGCATCTGGCGCTCCTCCTCAAGATCAAATTCAAGAATGTCGCGGTGACACTTCAGCTTCCAAATCTCCATCCGAGTCCACTTGAGCTGAGCTGCCATCCGCGCCGCAGATAGCAGCATGTGCTCCCGCGTCTTGGGCGATATGGGGGCTAGGATCTGGAGATGCCTCGCGTTGCGCAGCTGAGATTCCAGCGTTGCCTCGGCTTCCTTCACTTTCACGTCCGCATCCGCGATCTTCTGGCGCATGAACTCTCGCCGCGCGGCCATGATATCCTGCGCCATCTTGTGGTCTATCCGACTACGGGTGACGGTCACCTCACCCGAGGGAGTCTGGATGACTTGGACATGGCCGCTGCCAGATCCTCTGATGGCTCTGCGACTTTGCCCATCATAGTTGCCTCCTATGACACCTCGCATACGGACGCCTGACGTCCTGAAGGCGGCGGCGTAATTGAGCTTGGCCAGCCAGTCGTTCATGTCGTCTTCATCTTCGGCCAAAAGAACCTCCTCGAGCCCACCATGCCTGACATAGACGAAAGCATGCTTATGCTTGGTGTAGCACGAATCCAGCAGGGCCACCGCACCGTCCGTTGACATCAGAGCATCCGGCTTGAACTGCTCGAGAGGTGGTTTGAAGATGCACGGATCGCCATCATGACCCTTCTTAAGATGATCTTTCTGCTGGTGCATCAACCCCTTGACCCATCCGGCATTGCGGAAGAAGTAGAGCTGAGCACCGGTGAGAATGGCCCCCCACTCCTGCCATGGCGACCTCGTCTTCTTCTTCTTGGTATCCTTCCGCCATAAAATGCCGACCTTGGTGATTTTGATGTCCACAATGCCGGGATGAGCCTCTTCCGGATTCGTAGCCGTCTTCTCCGTCATGAAAGCATCAGGTCGAGATCTTGCTGAAACTATCTGCAACACACCAGTTTTGAAGAAGGTATTTTGAAGCTCCCTCATGTCGAGAGATTTAGCGGTCCCGAGGTAGCTGTATGGATCATCCAGCTGCATTACCTCCTTCAGATTCGGCCTGAGGAGATCCAGCTTGTTATCGATGATGAGAGTGTAGGGGTCCACTGGCTCCTTGGCTACCCTCTTGGCGGGATCCGGAGCCGCCTGTGGAAATATGGATTTCTTCCGACCCTTTTGAGCGATGATCCGTTCGCCATTGATGTCCAAATCATCCTCGACGTGAATAAACGGGGTATAGGTGATATTGTCGTAGAAGACCTCCAGAATCTCGTCAAATATGCCCTCCCCCCGCGTGTTCTTCAGGTAGTCGGCCTTCTGCATCTTGTGCTTGTTGTTTTTGTTGAAGACATCGGTGTGAAGGATGAGGAGGGAGAAGGCGATGAAGTAGGCCTGATCCGGCGAGGAGTAAATCCCGGGGTTGCATTCATGGTACCGATTGGCGAATGCTTGCAGGAAGCGATCGATCTGTTGTGTCTCCTTTGGTAGCTCGGCCTCCATCAAAAGCTTCCTTAGTGCCATATCCATCGGGTCGCCGAAGAAACGGAATCCGCGCATGTAACTCCGCAAGACGGACTGCGAGAATGTGTCGGTGTTCTTTGAGAGGGCAGCTGCTACCACACTCCGGCTGGCTACTTCTAGCACACGCTCAAGATACTTTGCCGGGGTTTCATCATCCCGGCGATCCGGGAGGGTGACAGACCCCCGGGGCAGCTGTAGAGAGTTGTTTTTGGAGGTGCTGGAGCCAGGTGTCATCGGGGTTAGCGTTCCCTGTCGAGACGGGACCATATCCGAGTTCTGCCGTGCCCGGCCAAGGCCAAGGAGGTCGCTAAAACTCTTTCGACCCGTCGATATCGAGGTTCTCGTTGTGGGAGGAGCCAAGTGATCGTCCACCGACTCCCTTGGTGAGTTCCTCCCCAAGGAGCTCAGCGTCGAGGATCTACCCCGTCTATGTATATAGCTCCGGGTTGGGGATGAGTGCCCCGACTGCCTTGAGCTTGGTCGAAAGAGCGCCGTGGCCGGAGACGCGGTGGGCCGAGCCAAATGTGCTGTGGGCTGGCTTTGAGGGGGTGGGGTTGTGACACCGTTTCTTGACGGTGCCCTTGAGGCTGTCGGAGTGAATTGGCTACCCCGCGAGGCATTGGAGACAGATCGGTTGGGGGAGCCGGGGGCTGAGGCGACGAACGACGGACTCGACACGTTCGAGTCTTCGACAAAAGAGGCCTTGCCCTTTGGCTGAAGGTGAGAGATAGGAAACAACGGCTCGGGTTGCTTATTTTTCCTGCGCGGAAGCCGAAAGAATGTCGACGTCGACTGAACTGTGCGGGTGGTGTTCGTGGTACTGCCGTGCACTCTGTCTCCCGAGCTGGCGTCCGATCTTGATGACTCGGACAGCCTGTTGGGAGGGAGTGCCAACGCTGAAGAGTGACCATCCCCATATGCTAGTGGCGCATCTGCATTTGAGGATGCTGGGCGATTTGTTTCATCGAACGATATACTGTGTTCAGGGATCGGGCGAGTCCGTCCGTGCTGAGCGAGTCTGCCATTCGTTTCATCAGCTTCCCTCGTCCTGGATAGCTCGCCAGACGGTCGAAATCGTGCTGAGAAGTTCATCCGAGAGGCTTTCTTCCGGGGCGCAAGCAAATCGAAGGTTGGGGAAGTGGTGATGATTTCGGGAGCTACGATAGCGCGTGTTAGTCCCTCAAACTCCATGCCTGCGGGTATGAGTGGACAATGCACCAGGGACATACTAGGCGGTACGGGCGGCGGTTTTTGTGCCGCCGCATGAAGTTTTGCCTTCGCAGCCAGCTGAGAATCAGACGCGTTACGAAACCTCAGCATGGAGAAGCGTCGGTGTTTGTGAGAGTAGTCCAGGACGGGGAGGGACTCGGACCCATCTGAGGGTTCAACTATCGACGGAACGGCACGGCTAGAGGCTACGGAGATGCTATCCCGGGGGTAGTCGGCGGAAGAAGGGGAAATGGTCGAAGACGGCAAGTCCTCCGCTACCGATGCCAGGGCAGGCAGCTCGGCGGCAGTGTTGGAGTGGAAGTGCGGCAGCTTTGGGGCGGGCACGGCGAGAGCGTCAAGCAGCGAATGGCGCCGCATGTCGGTCTCGCTGGCCATATTGCCGCGACGTCGCAGGAACGGCATGGCTATAGCTCGGTGCAATCGTCATAATCCATCGGGCGGCAAAAAGGGCGGGACCGTTTTGTCAGCTCGGCAACTTCGAAGTGAATCGGGAATCGGGCAGGCCGGTCAATCGGCTGTCTTTCGCAAGAGAAACCTCTGTGTACTGCTGCTGGTGAGGAAAGAACGAGTGAATTGATCTCGCGCAACGATGCGGAAATCGGCTAGCCGCTGTTTGATGGGATCGCAGGCGAGAAGTTGGAAACAGGGTCTGTCGTCTCGGTTTGGATGATAGAATGACGGTTTTGAGGGACGAGTCTTTGCAGCCAAAGGGGTCGTCAAACTGCCCTGAGCAGCCGCTGCCCCAGATGTGGGCTGCTGTGGGCCAATCTGTGGAAGTGGTCCAGGCTGGGTCAGCTTCCATGCCAAGCTGTACGCTGTTCCGCTTTGGGTTGCCATTTCAGCCCCCTGGATCTGTCTGGCTGCATGCCCTCCCCACCCAGTGTTCTCCCCACCTGAGAAGCCAACTATCAAACTTCCCATCTCGGTTCACGCAGGGGATTGGACCTGGGCGTTGAGATTTGATGATCTGTTTATACATATATTGACCATAATGGACTCAGAAACGGAAGCGATCTAACGAGGTTCATGACAATCCACGTCAATTCCATGTGTAGCTACGGAGTACAGATGCGCCTGGGCAGCGCGAAAATGGCATCTTGAGTACAGGAATCAGCCCGTTGAAGGAGGAAATGGCACACCTGCCTGGTACCAGGACACCATACCCTACCACTGATTTTGAAGGTTCTATGATCACGCAGCTTCTCCCACAATGCGAACTTGACGCCTGAACCCCGTTTCAACCTACGTGCGCCTCTCTAAATGCAAACCCGGACCCAAGTTTGACAACGCCTTTCGCCAGGTGAGTATCCAAGTCAAACATCCGTCCAGACAATCAACAACCATTCAATCGATGCTTAACCTCACCGCCTTCGCCTCTTCAAGTCCGTCCGCGAGTTGGATGTCCGCGGGTCAGATGTCCACGAGTCCGATGATTGCAGGTAGTCGCCAAGGTACTTTAAGGCGCTCAGCATCTCCTCGCCAGTAGGGACGATGTTGTCGCTGGGAAGCAAGAACCCATAACTTCCAGTGTCCCTCAATTTGATCTGGTAACTGTATCGTGCTTGGAGTTCATCTAGACGGAGAGTCAGCCCGAGGTCGGCCAAAGGAAGGGTGGCAGAGACAAAAAGCATACGGTAGAACCAATCAATCGCTGCACCGCCGGCCGCCTCGACACGCGAAAGCGAGTCGCTTGCACTGTAACTCCGTGCAACGGCGCCCTCACACGCCGAGTTGACAGTGTACGACTCGCCGCTCGTCATCCGAATGGCCTTGGCCAGCCCCAGAGCAAGCTCCTCCAGGTTTTCGAGATTGGGTGGGTCAACCGAGCAGGTATATGCGTACGGGAAGAGGACCTGTTGCGAGTACGAATGCAGGTCGATATACGCCACAAACTTTACTCCGTTCTCTGTCTCGTTCCTGGCCCACTTGGCCAGCTGGGACGCCTCCACGGCTTGGAACGGCTGGTCCCCGCCGTAGCTCTCTGAACACGGGTCGGCCTGGTGCCTGACAGGGTCCCAACGATAGCCGAAGGAGTGGTCGAGGTCGAGACCGCGGCAGAACCGCATCTTGGTTTGCTGTCTCGACTTGCGCCAGAGACGGTCTGTCTGCCATGTGTACTCGTAGCCGTCGGGGTTTAGGACAGGGATCAAGACGATATCGAATTGCTCGAGGAGCTTCGTGATCACCGGCTCTCGGTCGTACGCTGTAACCACCGACCACAGCAGGTAGTTCACAGAACTTGTCGAGATCCATTCGCGGCCATGGAGACCTCCCGTGATAAGAATCGTTTTGCGCGGCTCGTTGGCTTCGTCCTCGTTGCCGCGAGCACCGACACGGAAAGCGTAAACGTCCCTACCCTCATACGACTTGCCAATGCTTGTCATGTTGGCAATCGATGGGAATAAAGCTTCCAAAAGACGCATCCAGCTGGTGATGACCTGGGCAGGTCAGCACAGACGATCACACCGAGCCTGGGAAAGGCCCCTACTCACAGCTAATGTCTGGTAATCTCTGAAGAAGATATTTCCCACGCCGTCCAACGAGGTCTTCATCTTGGCCGCATCAACCATACTTGACTCGAGCTGCGACTTTTCGGCCGCCGCAGAGGGGTAAGTCGCCCAGACTGCCGCAGCGACGTCCGGAATTAGAATTGAGGGTTGCAGCGAGTTGGGCAGCAAGGTGAGCAGCGCCGACACGTCGTCCTTGTCCAGTCTGACATCGACATATTCCGGGGTAAAAGCCCACACGTCTAGGAACATCTGCACGACCGCATCCGCGAGTGCGCCCTCCTCCTCCGAGTTGGTGACATTGAAGCGGACCACGACGTCATTCCGGTAACGAGATTGCAGCGCGGCAGCGGGATTCGTGGAGGCTTTCGTTCGGGTCGACGGCTTACCAAAGACAACCTCGACGGCGCTGTCGCGCAACCATTTTAAAAGCGGAAACACATGGCTGGAGGAACCAGTGCGAGCCTCCCTTTCGAACAGAGATGTCCGTAGGCTGGCGGAGCTGACTGTCGGGAGCAAGGAGGTGAGGAAGAGGGCGGCGACGGGTAGCGTGGTTAATGTTCGTGCCGGCAATCGCATCTTTGTGGTAGTAGACGTGCGACGCCAAAATGCATTGGCATGACAGTTCTCAGCTAGTAGATAAGAATCGAAGTGTTAATGTTCTGACGTGCAAGAGAGAAGCTCGCAGCTCTTGCCATGTCGGAATGGCGGCTGGCCGCCCCTCCTGGTATGACCAGCTGTCAATTGAGATCGCCAGCTGTCCAATAGCCCGCCACCATTCATTGAGCATCATCGTGCAAAATGATATGCGATTGGCCGTTGTAACCACAGGCTGCTCAAGCTCGGCGACTACGAGATCGAAGCTTGACTGGCTTCCAATGCACATGGGCGAGGATGTGCCAGTGTAACCCCGCATCCTGTGCTTCAGCTACCTTTTCAACGGTGCCTTCCGCAGGTGCGTAAGGGGTATACATAACTCGCAATGAATTCCACCATTGCGCTGGGCTGCATTGGGATGTGTATTCGTGAGGCTGAACGAATCATGGCTTTCGGCGACAGTATCAAAACGCTGCTTGAAACGTATGCCAATTGTATATCTCTCCTAAAGGCATTCGGACAGACCCGACAAGACAATGGCTCACTGGATGCTCGGCATCAAAACTCACGGCTCCGCAAGTCTTTGAGGTCCGACCGCTCCCTGGTGGAACGAGCCTACTCGGCAAGGCTATCTGAGGCAGGCAGCCGGCTCAAAGAGGGCGACGGTAAGCCTGGCTACGTTCATGGCTCCTTAAGTTACTAACGTTGAACAAGCCCGAGCCATCACGGCCCTGGACCGCATACTTAAAAGGCTAAGAAACGCCATCAGAAGCCTTCTCCACCTCTCGGGAAAACGACAACACAGTTTAGACCTGGACTACCGGTCGCTCATGTCTCTATCGAATGCCTCGAGGACAGGGGCGATCAAGGCCATCGACGGCCTCTCCCGCCGATTGGCAAGCCCATCTCGAATCTCGGTAGCCTCGCCGTCCACCAAAGCATCTTCCAAGGGGTTTTCGTCTCGAGGGGAACGCGAATCGCAGTCGCGTGCCGGGTCTGCTACTCACAAATCATTGACTGCTCGCAAACCGTTGAAGAAACCCAAGCGAGAGGGCTCACCGAGTAAGAAAAGCCCGCTCGCTGTGAAAGGGGTCAAGGGCACAAAGAAGGCAACCAAGGGGGAACCCGAAAGGGCACGCAAAAGCCTACCATTTTCGTCAGCGCCTCCACCGATTTCGCCAGAGAAAGAGGCCCAGATGCAGACCTCTCAAGTCATGAGATCGAGTGCGAAGAGTCCGGAGGCTTCGAAGACCAAGACGGCGGTGCCCAACAGGATATCCATCTTGTCATTCTCCTCCGACAGCACCAAGCTGGGCGAAATTCCCGAGAGGAAGTGGCGGTCCATGATGCATTATTCACCCAAAGATCCGGACGCTGACGAATATAACGTTCGCCCTATGTTCCCGCTGAAGCCGTACACGGTTGAGGTTAGGGAGAGGCGGTTTTTCGGCTTGTTCAATCGAAGGCGTCCAGCGTGAAAACCTTTGACAGGATCTCCATTTCCGCGTCTTGGAGCCAGAAGTCATGTCGGCGGACTACCTCTTCTTGAAACACCAGGCCAGCGCTACTGTTAGGTACCGGCCCGAGATCTCGATCGGAACTACAAGCCCTTGTTTGGGAACTCGTCGTCATCCAACCTTGGAGGTCCACGACAGTCTTGGTCAGGTCGGTGTCTCAAGCGTGTGGGGGTTGATCTCATGCGCCAAGACCGGGAACACCCAAAAGGACCTCAGCTCCCTGGGCCGGAACCCTCCACCTTCGCACTCAACAGAGGCTGACGGCTCCTTAATGATGGGAATAAGTTTTTCCCGGGTCGGTCTGGGTATGACTGGCAATTGGCGGTCGCAGAAACCAGCAGCACGACCAGAAGCCTGAATAACTGGCACGCCCTGGAAGATGAAAAGGACGAACTCGGCTCCGGGCATTGTCAAGCGCTCCTCTTGTACCTCCCTGGTTCAGTTCAAGCCGGGTTCAAGTAAACGTCCCTTTTCCTTCAGTACCGGCTACGTACCGAGTGAGGGGCAGGAAATAGGAAGTACAGCCATGGTCAGTCCAATCGGCTGAACTACCGAGAAGTTGTTTGAAGCTTAAGTAGTCGAGCTCTTCCAGCCCATTTTGATCTTATCTCCGAAATTATCCGGCAGATCCTTAACCATGAGAAATCGTCAAAGTCACTAACTGCATGGCCGCGTCTGCTATGCTGATTGGGAATGACGTGGCTCGGCCGGAAGGCTGTTACAGCATGTGAAACTTCCGAGAGCTTGACGGAGATCCCGCTGCAAGGGCAGGGTGAGGTATAACAATGATGCCGTCCTGAGACTGACCGGCCCTGCAGATGAGGTTCAACGGACCAGTTGCCCGGCTGCTCATTTTCAAGTCAAACCCCTTGTTTAGAGAGGCTCGTTGGCCGTTGACGGCTCACCTGCATCGCCTAACTGATTTCCGTTTTGTCGGACTTTATTACTTTAGTGGAGGGTTAGCCTTGCTGGACTTGCCTCCCTTTTTCATTGCCCACATTATGGCCTGTAAGTGCCTCGCCGCCCTGGCGGCGGATATCACGGTGCTGGCCAGGACACCAGCTGGATTCAAGCCTGCTTCGGAAACGGACCTCATCGTCGAGTACGACGGCTTTGCGGCCCTCAACGGGGCACTTATCAGCAGAAGCGGTAAGCTAGCCACTCCCTCACCCCCTTAGAAACCCCACACGTTCAAACAATCTCCCAGTAACCACCTCTGAGCCTCGGATCGGCACCCTCACCCGCCTAAACGGCACTTCCTACGCCGTCATGATGATCGACCTCGACATCCCGACCGACAACCCCCCAAAAACAAACACCCTCCTGCACTGGATGCAAACCGGCCTCACCCCGTCCACCACTGCGACCCAACTCGACACAAGCTCGGGAACAATGCAAGTCTTTTTGCTCCATAAGAACAACCAATCAAACACGACCGCCATCGTCCCGTACTTCAGCCCCAACCCGCCCGCTCGGATCGCGCTCAGCCACCGGTACACGCAGATCCTGGTCGACACGAGCGGGCTCACGGAGGAGGGGACCGAGGTGTTGCGCACGGCGGCTACTACGAGAAGGGGTTTCGACGCAGAGCCGGTGCTGGAACGGGCCGGGCTGGAAGGGCGAATTGTCGCGGGGAATTCGTACAATGTCACGAATCCTGGGCCGGTGTCGGTCACAAATGGGACTGCGGGCAACGGGGCGGCCGGCGGTGCTGGCGCTATTGGGACGGGAGCCGTGGTTGGGAACGGGCCTAGTCAGACGGTTGTTTCTGGGGGGGGGGGGGGGGCCTGTGGTGAGGCCTGGGGGTGTGATGGCTGGGGCGGTGGTGGCTGGGATGGTGATCCTGGGGTAATAGACGGGGCCATTCGTTGCTTTTTCTGGTGGTCTCTCGTCTACCCATCCCGGCTTGATATGCGCAGATCCTTGCAGTTGCTCCTGCACGCATATTCAAACATACCACCTATCTGGCTCGGTCCGCTCCTCAGAGTAAGCTGCATGTTGAGAAATGGCTAAATACTCACATTCAGGGCATGCTCCGCTCTTTGCCCATGTCTTCTCGTAAGCTGAACCAAGATCATTTGTGTTCTGGAAGCCAGTGACAAGAGATTCGGAGAACAGAAGGAAAGATAGGTACGAAGTGACCCAGACCAAATTCGGTCGAGAGTACGTGTTCAGATACCGAAAGCCACTCGGAGTGCACAACATGCGATACCCTCACCCAAGAGAGCACTACCATCAATCAGAGTTCCAGCAGCAAGGAGCGTCGGTCTGCCGCGTTGTTGGTCCGAAGCCGTTTGTCTGTGAAACCGTTAACTGCGCTGAGTATAGAAAGCCACATGCGGTTGACATCTTCCAGAGACTAGAAGCAAGTAAAGTGAGGCCGAGACGTGTTGGCCCTTGTGTGCTACGTGAGTGCAGACGTCGGCTTGCCCTCTCCCCAGTGCACTTACACAGGCCGCCAAGTGTGAAAATTGCCGGATTCGGTCAGCGCGCGGGTTTGCTCCACCGCGCGTGTATTGTCCCAGCGCGCGGAAGACTACTTGGGACTTGATCATAGCCTACCAAGAAGTCACCGCCGCCGGCGACATTTCGTTGGGGCTTTTCAAATATTGAAAAGATGAACTGACTAATCATATCAACAGTCGGGTCGGGATCGGGATGTATTAGGGTTTTGTCTCCGGATGACACCATGATGATTATTCGAGCAACAACCACTTTCTGGTAAAGATGTCAGTGTCGAAGGCGACTGACAGATAAGAAGCTAGGTAACGGGGGTATAATACAGCCTAGATATATATGGTCAAGAATGAGGCTTCATCCGCAGTTGTTCTTGGACTCCAACCTTCACCAGCCGTCTCATCATCATGGTAAGAACCATCGTCATCCTGGGTGCCAGCTACACGGGCGTCCCAATCGCCCACTACCTCCTCAAACACACGATTGCCAAAGTCGAGAGCCTCAAAGTTATAATTGTTGCTCCCAACACGCATATGTACTGGAATGTCGCCGCCGTGCGCGGGATCTTGCCGGGCTTGATGGACGACAATAAACTCTTTCTCCCTCTCGCCCCAGCATTTGCCAAGTACCCCTCGGATCGATATGAGCTGGTGAGAGGGGTAGCCGAACGGGTAGACCCAGCCTCCAATATCGTCGAGGTGCGCGGAAATGATGGCTCATCGAGGACGATCCGGTATGACGAACTGTAAGTCAATCTAGATCCCAAGTCCGTCGAGCCCACCAAGACCCACTCACACCCATCTCAGAGTCATCGCCACCGGAAGCAGTTTCAAGAGCGAGATGCCCTTCAAGAACCTCGGTTCTACAGAAAAGACCAAGGAGGCTCTGCACAGCTGGGCGCAGCGCATCAAGTCCGCCAAGTCCATTGTCGTCGCCGGAGCCGGCCCGACAGGCGTCGAAGTCGCTGGCGAACTCGGCCAAGCATACGGCGTAACCGGCAAGAAGCAGATCACCCTCATCTGCGACCAGGACCTGCCCTTCAGCTCTAAATTCCGACGCGAGGTGCGCGAAACGGCCAAAAAGGAACTCGAGCGCCTCAAAGTCAAGGTCATCACAGGCGCCAAAGTGACCTTCTCTCCCACGCCATCCCCATCTAGCAAGACCGTCACGATCTCCAACACCTCGACCTCGGAAAAGACCACCCTGCAGGTCGATTTGGTAATTCCCACCTTCGGCATCGTCCCAAACACCTCCTACCTCCCGCCATCGATGCTCGACACCCGCGGATTTGTCAAGCAGACGCGCTTCCTCCGCGCCGAAGGACACGCCGACATATTTGTGGTTGGCGACGCGAGAAACCTGGAGGAGTCGCAGGGCGTGCATGCCGATGCGCAGCTGGTGCACGTCGTCAAGCTCATCGAGGCGCGCCTGCTTGGACAGGGCGGTGCAGCAGGGGGAGTGGCTGAGTACAAGCCCGCGGACAAGGTTGTGTTTGCGGCGACGCTGGGGCCGAATAAGGGGACGGGCCAGATGGGGAACTGGAAAATCTGGAGTTGGTTGGTGACCATGCTGAAGGGAAAGCACTTGGGGACGAATTACGCGGGCGCTTTCGTCAGGGGGGAGAGGACGGCTGGTGTCAAAGACTGGTGAATTGGAGAGAGCGGGCTTGATGGAGGCTGGATGCAAGCCAGCGTAGGGAGCTATGTATGCTGATCAGTATGCGAGTAATTAATACCTACCGTAATAGAGCAAAAGATTTGTTGGATAGTTACTCCGTGTTCTCTCTCAATAATCGCGGTGACTTGTCGCTTCTAGCCCTTTGTATCTCGAGGAAGTAGTAGATAGAATGAAGAGCAGGAGGAGGAGGGAAATGAAGGGGAAAAAAATAAAACATGGGAAAGAAAAGGAAAGAGGACAAGGAGAGAAAAGGCAAAGAATAATAAAATAACGAACAAGAAACCTTGATTCGCCGAAAGTCGATTCGTTTCAACCGATAACGTACCCTATCGTTGACACTATCTTATGTTAACTATTGTTTTGCCAATCTGGAGGTGGAACAGGGGTTGTAGGTTGGTTGGGTAAAACAAGGCAGCAAGTGACGGTTGGCAAATTGAACACCAGAGATCGGATTGGCAAAGAGAGACTCGAATCCGCTTCAAAATGCCGATGTGTGGTTGGGAACTTGAAGACCGGATTGCTTGATGATTCAGGCGTTGAAAGGCGGGGCAGGCTGTTGTTACCTGAGCCTGGAGAGGATGGAAGGGTTTCGGAGGGGTATATAAAGGTGTCGCGGCTCCCGGCAGTTGCACACCTCTGCAAAAAATTTGTCCCAAGTTCAACGATATTCGGGGCCGCTTCTGGCCAGCAATTGTTCGGCTTTAACAAGGGAGCTTTGTGACAGAGTTGTGTGCTCTCTGGGCGTGCTGGATTGGAATCGTAGGGCCTCGGGGTGGTTGGCACCGAAGTGGGGACCCCGGCTCCACTTCGTCATCCCTGGCCGCCAAGATCACGATTCAACGCCAAAAACAGCTGCACATGCAACCGCGCTAAGTATCCGTACCTTGCTCTGAATAGGTAGAGCGCGTTCAACGCGCTGTAGCTTGGAGGATTGTGTAAGTCGAAAGCGTTTTCTTGTTTGAGCAAATTTAGTGTCATTTCTTGTGCTTCTTTCTTCTCTGTTCTCGGCTGCCCTTTTGTCCCTTAAGGTTAACCTAAGACCCATTCTGAAATTAACCCGTCGCGCCTCCGGCAGGGACGCGCCTTTCAACCACGACGCGCCCGGGACCCACAGCCTCAGGTAAGGTACTTGCCTTGCAGGTCAAGATCTCTCTCGTTCGCGTTCCTCAGTTTCTCACCTTAATCAAACCTACACACTAATACTACTCTGTCAATTTCACAGTCTCGTCATTCCGAGACTTCACCACCGATCCACAACCTCATCGTCGTCGTTCTCCGCGATATCGACTTTGACGTAAATCGCGGCGCGTTGGACGATTGTCAGAATATCGAGATGGCGGAACATTGGTCGCCCTCACCACATCTGCCGGCTGCCCAGCCAGCAGGCGGGCAAGAATTGGGTCTGCAGGCGAGGCCCATGGGACGTGAGTTTACTTGAAAGCCTTCAAACCTACGCCGTCCGTAGCCCTCTAATCGATGCTGCTTGCAGTGAAGGTCCACTACTCGTTCGATCGCGACAACCAGGTGCACTGCCTGGCGCGATGGCCCCATATCCTCCAGGTTCCCACGATAGCACTCGACGAAAAGACCACAATTGGCGTGGCAGACCTCCGCACCTGCCTTCAAGCCGTGTCCCTGAGCAGTCCTGAAATATTGAACCAGCAAGAGAACGACTACAGCGTGTATGCGCACGACTATTCCGAACTAGATGTGCCCTTGGTTGGGCAGGGCTTGTTATCGTGGGCTATGAACCCGCAGAGCAGTCCTCACCACAACCAACAACAATTAGTGACGGGACGCGTCACGAGGAATGTTCTTGCGCTCCTCAACAGTGGGAGCCGGGACGTGCTGGAGGTGAAGCTGAAGTTCACCACGGTCCCAAGGATCTCCCAACGGACAGAGATTCCCACCACGGAGCACGCGAATGGCATACGGCCTGCCTCGATCCCTGCCGAGACGGCATCAGAATGGAACTCGTTCATTCAGTCCAATCCGATGCTGGGGCACACCTGCAACATCAGCGCAGTGTCCTCACCCGCACTGGCTCCAGCACAACTTGCCCAATACAACAACACCCCGAGCAGCGAGAATAGGCCAGTGGAAGTAAGGAGTGATCACTACCCCCAGCAGCCGATTCGACCAGCGAGCATACCTCCAGCCAACGTACCGCCTCCCGTTACCGTTCCGCCCACAAGCAGGACTTCCAGTGTAGCGCCGATTCCTCCGCGGCCACAAACCTCCGCAGACACCGCACCGTCGCCGGCTGCTCCTCCACATCCTACTGAAGCTGCACCACAAACTCGCCCTTCACGACCTGCGTCGAGATCGCGGAGCAAACAACCAACCGGCAGGCCTCGAGGACGGCCCAGGAAGAGGCCCGTGGAGACCGGGAACACGTCGGCAGTCGAAGAAGCCACCGATGGCGATGAAGGGCCGCAAAAGAAACGGGCCAAAGTCACCAAGACCGAGTACAGCGTGATCGCGCCATTTGGTGCTGCCCCAGATTCCCTGAGGGTGACTGCTAGCACCTCGGGCTCTCTGCGCAACATGCGACCTGTTGGTGCAGGAGTAGAAGGGCCGGCTGCGAGCCACCTCCAGGATGTTCCAAGGGCACCCACGCCGGTCCCAGATGGGCAGTTACTACACCACCAGCAGATGAGGAGAGCAATGGAGAACGCGAGGATCGAGTCCGCGATGAGCATGGAGCAGTCCGGACTAGGCAGGCAACCGGTGCGGAACAAGAGCCAGGATGCCAGGTCGCCCGCAGACTCAGTCGCGCAATCACCCGACCACGGCTATTCACCAGAAGACAGTACTGGCGACCTAAACTCATCACCGCCTGTGCCACGAACGTCCACTTACATTCAGTCCAGCCCGCCGGCGTCGAGTCCTGTCCTTCCTTCCATGCCGATACCTCCACTCGACTCTGGATTTATGAGCGGTGGCCTTGAGGACTTTTTCGACGACGAGGACATGCTCCAATGCCCCCGACAACGGCAAACTGAGGACCAAATGCTGCCTATTGCATGCCTTCCGATGGCAAAACCGGACCACCGCAGGAACTCCCGCGCCCAACCGCAACAGCAGCAGCCATCCAACTTCCCATTTCACGAGGTGAACCCGGGGCCCCCAGAGCTCTTGCCTACCACCAGCATTTTTAACCCAGCTGGTAAAGCCAAGGCATTGAACAGACAGTCCTCTGTAGCCTTGCCCCAGCCCGCGCCCAAAAAACCGTCGAGCCGTTCACTCAAACGGTCAAACACAGCTCCGAATCCGATCAACCCAGAGCAGGAACTGCTCTCGCGGGGAAACTCGGCGCACCAACAGAACGGAAACGGGGAGCAGGGGGGGCTTGACCAGCCGTGCCCGCCCCAAGAACAGGCTGGGTACTCCAACAGTGCCGTGAGTTCGGCGCAACATACGGGAAACGGTACGGAATATGGGTACACAGAGGTTTCCAAGCAGGAGCCGGCCTCGAAGCCTGCGATGCCATTGCCAATCCCCGAACGCCCGGAGCCTGTCTTGTCCGCGACAGCTCACCCGCCATCGAGGCCTGCTTCAAGGGATCAGCAAACTCCGAGTGCGTCAGCCCGGCCGCTGCCGCCGAGCCAGCCCGCCCCGGAGCCGCTTCTGACTTTACCTCGTGCGGTTGTCTCTGAGCCTCCTTGTCCGCCGAGTGATCCCGACCCTCCAAGATACAGCAAGAACCTGGTTAAGAAACAATCCATCAAGGAGAAGCTCGAGAGCGCAATCGAAAAGGGGGAGTCGCCGCCATTCTGTAGTAACTGCGGTGCGATCGAAACTCCCACATGGCGCAAGATTTGGACCCAGGATCACGTCGGAATCCCGGGGTTTCACGAGTTCTCGGATAAACCGGGATGTGTCACCATGATTGAGGTATTGGAAAGGGATGCAAACGAGCAGCCTTCCAAGTACCGGATGGTCAAAAAGAATCTGGGGACCACGGACGACAAGAAGAATTGGACCGAAGCTCTCTTGTGCAATCCCTGTGGCATATGGCTGGGAAAGTTCAAGGTTCATCGGCCGCCCGACCGGTGGGACAAGGACGCTGCCCGACTCAATCAACCGCGGAGGAGGCGTGAGCCCAAGGGCAATACCCGGTCCAAGAAGGCTCGCTCAAAGAGCGATGCCCAGGTCAATCCCACGTCGGAGGCTTATTTCACCACCGACCCTATCGGACCCCCAGACAGCGACTTTCCAATGAGTCGCATTGAGGAGAGTGGGACACAGTCAGGCCAACAAATCCTAACAATCGTTGAAGACAAGCATTTAAACTTGCGGAGCTCCCCAAGACAGAGCTTTATGGGATCGACTCACTCGAGGGGCAGTGGGACTGCGGACAGCCCTATTGCAGTTGAGGAGGATGATCTTGGCAGCACGAGAAGGCTGCTCTTCCCGTCACCGAGGAGGGAGGGCGTGCCCAAGATTCTTGGGGAGCTTTCGCTAAACACAACTCAGCCAACCACACACGGCCAGGAAGCTAAGTGCGCAGCGGCAGGAAAGGAAAACAGCAGACAGCCGGGGCGTCAGGGTACACCACAGCCGAACAACGAGCATGACGACCTCGAGCAGGAACTCTTCGGCACACCTCCCCGACGACCGTCCACCCCGCCTCCCAAGGGCGCCGCGGGACCGTTCAAAACGCCGACCCGTCCAACGCCGAGCCACCGGCCCATCACTAGGAGCATCTCCCGCTCGATCCGCTCCATCAGGAGCATCCCCAAATCTCCCGGCCAGCTCTTCACCACGCACCAGCACCTCCTCCAGCGAACACCAATCAAAACCTCGCGCACTTCATCCGCCAGCAAGCGTCGCGGCAACAACAGCAGCAGCAACAACCACCACCTCGACGCAGATTTCTCACTGGAACCGGACGAGCACAACCAGCTCGCCATGGGCCTGGGCAGCATGCCGCACATGCACTTTGATTCGCCCTTCACGGCCACCCTGCACCAGCTGCTGAGCGAGGCCAACGAATTCATTGGTGGCGGCTCGCCATCGCGGCACGGCGGTATCGGTGCCGGCGGCGCGGACGCCGAGCTGGATCTGAGCACTCTGTCGCAGCACTTGGAACGGTCAACAAGCGGGGGCGAAGCCGGTGATGGTGGTGGGACGGATGGGGCCACCGGAGGTGGTAGTGCTGGTGTGACGATGGACTTTGGAAGCTTCTTGGGGACCGATTTGGTTATGTCTAGTAGCCCGCCGCTTTTGAGGGGGCGTGGAAGCAGGAATGGTGGGCGTGGGAATGGAAATGGAAATGGCGGGGAGCAGCAGTTTGGAGGCGTGTTGCAGCAATGAGGGTTTGTGGGGGCAAGAAGCGGTTGAGCTTTGGGCGGAGGAAGAAGGTGGAATCAGGACTTTGTGAAGCGCCTCTTTTGTTGCTTGTTAAGCGTTTTGTTTGATTGATAGCATAGGTTGCCAGTCGCATGTCGGGTTATCACTGTTCAGGCAAACATCTTTACTGGAACTACTGTTCATTCTGGCTTCCTGAAGAATCGAGGCTGAAAAGAGTGGCTTGGTTCACAGTACTGGTAGTCAATGAAAGACCGGCCATGACTTTGTTTACTTTGGTCGACGATAAGTGACGGGAGGTATGAACTGGAATTGTGAATCATCAATGGACAAAGTAACCGAGGCGTGATGATGTCGGTGTACTAACTTTGGAGCTAACTTGGGGGGTCTGGATCAATGGTGTTTCCATGTTTGGGCTTGCCGGTTCATTGACTGCCGACGGCACACCCATCCAGGACATCGGAATTATGGACCCGGCGGAGTTGATCAGTGATAGAATCAGTAGCGAGGGAAATCGGCGCACCTGGGGCTCGGGGCTAGAGCAACAGCAGAGCGGAGAATGAACAATGTCACATGCATCATCTTCAAGCATCATGTTGGCTGGTAACGACCTCCATCCCCGAGGTGATTGGACCCTTCAAAGAGAAGCGCTTCTCTGCGGGTTTTGGGGGGTTTTGGCGGATGAGACCCCCAAAGTGCACGGCCCGACACCCTCGTCCTGCCGTTGCCTGTTCCCTTCGATTTCGCGTATCGTCCGGTCGTTCTAGATTTGCAGTCAGGGTCTTCCAGGGGCCTGCGTGATAAAGACACACCACGACTGAGTCAGGCTTCGTATTATTGTCTTGCTGTCTTGTTCGAAGCTCTTATGGCATCTCTAAGGTAAGGTAGTCTAGGTCTAATCGTATGAAAACAGATTCCGGTGCTGGTGTGAAATTTCGACGACTGAGTTGGCTAAGTTATAGTCTGCCGACTTTTGTTAGCAACTCCGTTTCTCAGACCAGCCTGATCCTCGCGAGCGTCCGGATGCTTTCAGTCTGCCAGACGTCTCGCCCTCGCCACTCTCAGCTGGGGAAGCGCAATGCTTGACTGACTCACCTACGCCCGTGCCGAGGTCAAGTGAGCTCAGCACTTTGATCGAGAGATCCGGATTGACTTTGCCGATAATTTGGACTCCGTTGCCTGCCGAGAGATGCGCCTCCTGTTGCGGGTGGTGTGAGCAGCGGTTAGTTTGAGAGCTTTGATAGTTATCCGATGTGCGGTGTCTAAATTTTCGGCCGGCCCACCTCGGGCAGTTGGCCATGTCCGCGGGAGGGCAGTCTCTCGTCTACTTCTTCTCGGTGCCCCGTCTCTATCCGCCGTTGAACTTGATTCCCAACGACGAGACCGCATGGTTGGAAGAGTGGGGTTAGGCGAGAAAGGAGGCTGGTGACGAACGGAGGAGGGGACTGCGGAAGAGAACGTACGCGATTCAGGTGAGCTGTAATGTTGCCGTCGGCATCAATGAGAGCCTCATCGCCGCGCAGCTGGATGACCTTGCCGACGATAATGACATTCTTGCCGACGTACGAGTTGAGATAGACGCAGGTGATGCGCGGGTTGGCGATTGCTTCCATGGTTTAGCAATCTGTCGATCTGCCTGTCTTTCTTCTCTTTTGGCCGTTCAGTTACCGAGTTACGGCGCGGCGGGCGATGGCGTACGGAGCTTGGAGATTGTGATTTGTTTGTATTTCCACCGCGCTCTGCTTGAAACGAGCTTTGATGAGACGCGAGGCAAGTGACCACAGCAGAATTGCTATAGTTGAGAGAAGTGGATGCCAAGCACACTAGCGTTGTTGGCGGATTTTGATCCACCAGGTTGGGACCCCGAGATGCGGGGTAACTACACAGCTCCGATGTAACTGGTGTGGGCCGCTTTGGCAATGCGATGATGATTGGATACCAGATAGATGAACCCTGCCTGACGGTGCGGCCTGTAACAGGAGTAACAGGACGATCAGAATGACGGGAGACTCTTCTGATAGAGTTCTGTTTTCGTGATTCTATCTCTCGATTCAACATATATAGTTGCAATAACTACTTATTATCATCCTTCTTTCCTGCCGCTGTGCTGGTTCAGATTTGGGGACGTCCTTTGTCGGGTCGTCTTGTTCTGCGAAGCTTGTCATCGTGCTGCAATGAGGAGCCCCTGCGACGATTCGGATATTTTATCGCTCCGGCAACTTTGATGTTCCAAAGATGCGATTCGACTTTAGCTTTCTGGCGCTGGCCGCCGTGGCCGGTGCGTCGACGCTCACTCCCAACGTCCTGCCGCTAATCGTCCGAAACCCGTACTTGAGCACGTGGCTGTACAATGCCCGCGATGCGCCGTGGGAGAACTGGCCCATGTTCTGGACGGGTGCTCCTGTGGGCGGCCTAATCTGTTGCTATCATTGACCTTCGTTGGGTGCTAACATGTAACATAGGTCGGCTTCTCCGTCATGGCATCTGTCTCGGACACTGCCACCGTCTATCCATTACTGGGACGGCCTCACGACTCCCTGCCACGAGACGATTCGAGCTACAAAGTTGTTTACCCCGAATACCTCGGCGCAACATTTGACGCGTCAACCACGAATCTCACATACCGGATTCTAGGGAGGGTGCCGAATCAGTCAGCGCGCTTGACCCTCTCGTTCCTGTCGCCCATTACGCCCTCGTCGACGCTTAGGCAGTCCATCCCGGCCGCCTACCTGACCGTCATTGTCGAGGGATGTCTCAACGTTAACATCTACACGGACGCCAACGGCGATTGGGTCACCGGGAATAGGGACAACCTGGTGAGATGGGAATTGCAGAGGCTTTTCCGCTCACCGAGGGACGGGACCGACACGGCCCTCAAGTCGTGGAAGGTGGGCCGGGTTCACGAGCAGCTCTTCACTGAGTTTGCCGATCGGGCCGAGTGGGGGGCCATGTACTTTTCTGGCCCCGCCAATATTCAACACCAGAGCGGGACGTCTGCTCTCCTGCGCCGGCACTTCGCTGAGAAGGGAGGGTTGAAGAACGAGGTCGACAACAAGTTCCGCCGAGTGATGGAGGACGAGCCCGTGTTTGCCTTCTCCAAGTCCATCAAGTTGGCTGATGGAGCGCGCCGAGGCTGCCCGAGAAAGAAGGACAGCGTCACCTTCACGTTTGCTCTCGTTCAAAACCCGATTGTCCAGTTCGCCAGAGCAGAGGGCCTGGCCCCGATGGGGCCGCTCTGGCAATCCTACTTTGTCGACGCCGACAAGCTGATCGCATACCACTACGACGACTTCCATACCGCGGCGGTCTTAGCTCGGAACTATTCGGATTCACTTGCCATGGATGCTTACAACTCCGGCTCGCAGGACTACCGGGACATTGCTGCGCTCTCGGCCCGCCAGGTTCTGGGTGCGACTCAGTTCTCCGGGACACCGGACAATCCCATCATATTTCTCAAGGAAATCTCGTCCAATGGCAACTTCCAGACCGTCGACGTCATCTTCCCAGCGTTCCCATTCTTCCTGTATACCAACCCAAAATGGCTGGCGTACCTGCTCGAGCCACTCCTGGAACACCAGTTGAGCGGGCAGTACCCGAACGACTACAGCATGCACGATCTGGGCGCGCACTTTCCCAACGCTACAGGTCACCCCGACGGGAAGGACGAGTACATGCCGGTGGAAGAGTGCGGCAACATGCTCATCATGGGCCTCGCCCTCGCCAATGCTTTGCGCTACGACACCGAACCTGCCTTCATGAAGGCTACGGCAGGCAGCAACGCCGTAATGCTCCCCTATCCCGAGGAGTCGGAAACGTACAAAGACAGGTACGGGATCAACCTCGACGGCAGAACAACCACTACAGACCGCGAAGTAGCCAAGAAATGGCTGTCGCGGGCCTACAAACTGTGGAAGCAATGGACGAGCTACCTCGTGCGGGAATCGCTCATTCCGCACAACCAGCTCTGCACCGACGACTTTGCCGGCTGGCTTGCCAACCAGACAAACTTGGCCCTTAAGGGCATCATCGGCATCAGAGCCATGAGCGAGATTGCCGACCTGGTGGGCAACGACGAGGATGCAAAGCACTACCGGGATATTGCGGACGAGTACATGGACAAGTGGCAAGAGTACGGCATCTCGCGGGATCAGACGCATGCCAAGCTGTCGTATACGTGGTATGGCTCGTGGACGACCATCTATAACCTGTACGCCGACTCGCTCCTGTGTTTCCATGTAAAGAACGATGAGGATGCGCATGACAGAACTGTGTCAGCGTCCGGCGATGGTCAGAAGCCGATTGCAGACGGCGGCGATGGTGCGCGGAGGCAGCAGCCCCAGCTGTTTGTCCCCGACAAGGTATATCAGATGCAGAGTGACTGGTACCATGCTGTGCTGCAAAAGTATGGCTTGCCGCTCGACTCGAGACATCTGTATACCAAGAGCGACTGGGAGTTTTTTGCTGCGGCGGTCACGGGCCGCAAGACGAGGACCGAGATCCTGACGGCCGTGGCGAGGTGGGTGAACGAGACTGTTGTCGGTAAGTGTCTTTCTGCCCACTTGTACACACCGGATTTTATTGCTTCGTTGGCAGCTAACCAGGCATGCCAGACCGGCCATTTACGGACCTGTACGAGACCGAGGGTGACGGCGGGTTTCCGGGCATCTCTTTCATGGCGCGGCCGGTGGTGGGCGGGCACTTTGCCTTCCTAGCGCTGGAGAGGGCATGCGGTGGAAAGGCGGTCGAGGCGCTGCGGTTCTTGGACGAGAGACGGCCTGCTGCCATTGACGTTGAGAGCGTGCTGCAGGCGGAGAAGGATCAAGGGGCGGGGGTCGGGCTAAGGTGGGACGATCTCTGATGGGGCGGGCCCACAGGCAATGATGTGGTGCGGTTGTCTGGATGCCTGGGCGCGGTTGCGATCAGGTTCATGCGCAAAGTAACTGGCGGGGCAGGAGCGTGTCAGGGAGCGCAAGTATCATCGAGACAACCAAGGTTAGGTAGTAATGTGTTCAACTACCGGTGAACCCGTCGTGCGGTGTTGCAAGCTCCAACCCTTTGGCAGGACGCGCGCGGCGACCAAATGCTAAATGAGTCCTCGAATTGCCAAGTGGGGCTCTCATCTGTGGTTCTGAGTACCGGTAGTTACAGTACCTGGCCTCCCCAGCTTTGATCAACGCACGCGCCAATCAAAGCGAAGACGGCTAGCCGCCTGAGGTCGACACCTGCTAAGAATAGGTGTTCAGAATGCTGTAACAATTGTCCCTGCATGGAAGAAGAGTTACAGTAACCTCAGGTCTCGGTTCTTATGGTTCAGGAACCTGTATGCTGCCTCACGACAGGGCCCAAGGGCACGTTCGATGCCCTACCGTATGGTACAAGAGCCGCTCGGACTTTCCAGTTGGGCCATGTTAGACAGGGTTAAGAGCTCTTGTATTCACACCCCGAGAAGCTCCAATGTGGGTCCAGCCTATCACAAATACGGATTAGGTAAATCTCGTAGGGCTGCGGTGTAGCGCAACGGTAATGTATGGTAATATGTCTTGGCAGCCATCAGCCGAAGGCTAGAACATGGTAGAACGCCAGAAAAAGGAGGTCTGAGCACTGAGATAACCTTTAAGGTTTAGCTTATCACAGTACCGACTTTGCTAGCTCAGACATGGGTTTCCCTCAAGAATGCCATCCGAGCTCTGGTAGCCCCGCAGTGCCCATCATTGTTTCTCAAACTCTGGGGGAGCTTGACTGTCGTAACTCGCAATGTTGACGAGCAGCCATCTTCCTGCGCCTCTCACCCCAGCGTCACTGATATGCACGTGGAGCATGTCTCGGGGTCTCTGCAAGCAGCTGGAAGTCAATCGAACGTGTTCTATGCAGTCAGACCGTGGCAATGCCCAACGTTGTTATGGACAGGAAGCACGAGCGCAAGTCATAGCTTGAACCTAGGAGCTCCAATCCCCACAATCTTTCGCAAGGAGCGGGAGCCGGCTCCGACGATGAGGTCCCCTTTGTCTAGCCATCTGCTGCGAGCCCCCCGCTCGCACCCCTATCACAGTCGCAGGAATCCAGAGCAACGATATCCCTGACTCTGACAAGCTGCCGGCCATGTAGCAATGTGAAGTTTTGTAGATACACCCCCACCCCACTTCGATTGATTAAGACGCGTTTCCAAACCTTTATATACGACCAACCGACTCACCTTTGACGTCCTCTAATCTGAAGCCCGATCTCACTCTGACCATTCAGAACAAGCCTTGTGACACAAGCTTCTCGCTGGGACACTAAAGCAGCCACGGTCGAACCACCCGCACCGACGCTTACAATGGCAAAGGGTCTTGACCCCAGGGAACGGAATCGGGTCGCCGCCAAGAAATGTCGCGAGAAAAAGAAGGTGGAGCACGCGGTCCTGCAAGAGAAATGCGCGAGGCTCCAGGCGGAGAATAAGAAACTGACGGATGATGTGGTGAAGCTGGCAAATCAGGTGATCGCGATACAGAACGAGTTGAGGGAGCACACTAACTGCCCCGGCGGCGCCAAAGTTCGGCGGTATTTTGATACCGTGACGGACGATTTCCTCGCAGAGAAGGAAAAAAAGAAGGCCCTGCAGGCGAGCAATGAGGCGACGTTGGGCCAGCAGGTGACCATGGCCTACTGCCCGGCGCCAGCGAGTGTTTCGGCGGGCTCTCCAATGGGTCAAACCGTCGGCAACGATGGGTCGGCATACCCGCCTCTTCCAAACGGGCAGTCCACTGGGACGGTGCAGCAGCAGCAGCAGGTAGCCAACAACGCCTTTGTGCAAGGTAAGCCATTCACTCCCCTCAGCCTGCTGGGCGAGTTCGTGTTCGGATCCCTAACTCAGACGTTTCAGCATCGACGTATCCTCCGCCGCCTCCCATCGAGAACTTCATAAACCCCGCCCTGATAGCAGGGGGGCTAGGTATGGGTTATAACCCCATGCCCGCCAACCAACAGTGGACTGATTCGGACTTTTCGATGATCGGCGTTGGGGACACTGGTGCCAGACCTTCGGTGTTTGGCTGAGATTGGATTGCCGCTCATGGATCGGTCGAGACCGGACATGTTGGTCTTCTTCTTTACGGCGCTTGGGATCCGGATATGGTTTGGTATTTTGGCGTCGGTGTCTGGGTATAGATTGGTCCGACTGTCTTCGGCGGATCGTGCCTTCGGGCGGATCGTGCTGTACATCTCGGCCGGCGGTGGGTTGAAAGGAACGATAAAACTGGATGGGAATATTTGCTTGCTGGGTCAGGTTACCTTTCCTCTACTGTAAACCCTAATGTTCGACGATCCTTAAGTTCAGTTATTCAGTCCTTAATTATAATCAGTCGATACTTACTGTAGAGTCTTTCGGCTTGGTTGTAGTGTCTTGAGATGTCAGTAACGGGATGGAGGGGCGGATGGCATTTGACTTGTTTTTGTGTTGCTGTCGCATTGACACACATCATCATACTTGGGTAGTAATGTACGTCATGATTGGATATTTATTATGGCGAGATGTCGAAGGATTGAGGTAAGTGTGCGTTGAGCTGTAGAAGTTGAGATCTGGTGGCGAGCAAGCGACGACTGCTGATCGTCATAGGCGGCCCGTGTTCACCAGCCTACGGTACGGTAGGAGCTCTGGCTTGATGTCCGTGTAGAAGCCAAGGCAAAACTGAAGCGTAATCTCAAGTCATCCAGCATGCTCAACATACAGTCCCTTGTGCAGTTCCCCGGACACCACTGGCATTCCTATTTGTAGGCGACACCTGAGCTCGACTGGTACATGCAATATGTCTGAGCTATCTCCGCCAAGTTGGGCTCAGCACTAGCATTCGCTCTCGAATCCTGCAGTGCGCATTTTAGCATGATGTGTGCGGATGTGTCGATGCTTGCAGTAGAGGCTTCAGAGGCCAGTCCGAATTGCAGAGATCATTGCAGGTATTGTATGGAGGTACATACTGGTCTTATCAGCGTTTTGTTTCATCGCCCAAGGGATACAGATAAAACATGGCTTGGCAACAAAAATGTGGCATGGGGTGATCCGGCTGGCTGGGGCTGCCGGAGCTAAGATCGATCGCGAGTTCTTCTTTCGACACACACCCATGTTTTATTTCGACGACGGTTCATTAACCTTAACCGCCTTTGATTAGAGGCCTCCCAACCAGGCACGACCAGAATTTTGCAGGCACTCATCGCCCCTATGCATCAAGGGCTCAGAATCCAATGCATCAACAGCAACCTACAATGCAAGCTACAGAATAGACCCAGCCAAATCACGCAGAAAGATACCGCCTTTTGAAGGTCACTATATAGTCGGGTGTCGGTCGGGGTTGCCTCGGTGGGGCCATTCCCCGATGTAGGGCCATTCTGGAGGTACGGATCCGTAAATCATACCCCATCGAGCCAACTCTCCGGGCTTGGCGTACCGGACCAGGAATGAACGCGGGGTGCAACACCTGGACTCAGAAGACACAATGCATCGCGAAGGCAGCGATCTTCTTCAGTTGTCGTATGCAATTGAGTACATACCCGTGTTTATAACCTCGACTGAAAGGGACGGTGTTGGCGTTGGCTGCAGAATCATGGTGTGGCTGGTGGTTGGGACCCTATACCAAAGGGGCTAACCACCGTCGAGCTACAAGAGGGGTGGGCATTGAAATACAAAACTCGTCGATCAGAGCCCGCCGCCGCAAAGCCTCTCCCAATACGGGCATACTGGGCTGAGGTACTGTGGTACGCATTCAGCCCGACCGGTTGGGGCAGCACGTTGATGAGGGAGCTGTGAGAGCAACCCAAACTGTAAGTTGAGGTTCCATTACCCCAAATAGGTAGTCTGGAAGTTGTTTCTAAACTTCTGATGCCAGGCTTTCATCCCCTCTAAAAGAGACACAATCTTGAGGGCCTCCGGATTCAAGTAACTTGAGCGCTCGGATCTGCCTTGTCAGTGCAATGAGGTCAATGTCTGGTGCTTGTACAATCCAGCCCTGGTATGTTCGTTAGCGTGGCTCAGGGCAGGGCACTCAAAATGAACTACGTAGATGCGATCAAGGAACAGACGAAAACAAGGGAGAGAAAAAAACAAGGTAAAGATTACGATAAAGCAAGAGAAGAGGAAAGATAAAGAGAAAGATAATGAAGAAGAGGAAGAGAAAGAAGAACGAAGAAAAAAGAAAGAACGCATAAAAGAAAATTAAGATGGAAGAAGATGAGGTGTGATACCCGGACCTAAGTTCCGCGCTAACGAATACACCAGGGTTGAAGTGCATCTGAGACAACTTACTTCCACTGGCTTGATGGAAGAATCTTGCAAATCATCCAGTTCGTGGTGGGATACGATAGCTTCTGCTATATACACATAGCTTGATCAGCCAGCAAAAGCAACTCAGCAAAGTCACAGCTACTGTGTCCCAGTTTCTGTGTCCCCTGGCGCCAACACAGATCAAGTTCAACCATAACCGAGTCAGCGGCGCGAAGACGGTCTCTATACCATCCATCGCGATTCCATAGCCCCAGCGTATCTCTGGTATTCCATCCATCGGCTCCCAACATCTCAGCGTCCCGACGACGCGAATACAGTTTTGCGAGCCGGAAGCGTAGAATCGCACCAAAGAGAACAAAGCAAAAACAAAAGGCGTGAGAGAAGCAGGAAACCCCCGGCCGAGTTCGCCACAAGCGAGACGCTATCAAGTCCCGCGGAACAGGAATTGCAGGTCCTCCGGGCTAAGCGAGTCCATGGCAGCATCGTCGGCATTGATTGTCGAGTTGATCATGTTCGTCTTCTTCTCCTGCAGCAGAACCATACGGCTCTCAACCGAGTCCTCGATGCAGAGTCTCGTGATAGTACACGGACGGGTCTGGCCGATGCGGTGGCACCGGTCGGCAGACTGCCATTCACTGTTTTAGGGTCTAGTGTCAGTCTCGGGAGCTCAAGTAACACGTCAGGAGAGTGAAAACATACGCTGCAGGGTTCCACCAGGGATCGACAATGAATACATGGGATGCCTCGGTGAGGTTCAGTGCCACACCACCAGCTTTCAGAGAAACGAGGAAGCACTCGACATCGACGTTGCTCATGAAATGGTTGATCGAGGCTTGGCGCTGTGCAGGAGTCATGCTGCCATCCAGCATGACGGTTGTGATGCCGGCGCGGCGAAGACGCCACTCGATGAGCTGCAGCATGGTGGTGAACTGGGAGAAGATGATGGACTTGTGCGACGCATTGTCAGAGCGGAGCTTGTGTAACTCGTGCACCAACAGCTCAATCTTGGATGACGATGTCCAATTCTCCATTTTGATGCGGTTGATGATGGACGACTTCTTGACCAGGGCCTCGTCCTGCTCAATCTCGGGCTGCTCAAGGTCGATCGACAGCGGAATGTGGCACCGCGGGCAGTTGGGGTCGGACGTCGAGTTCAAGTAGCTCTTGACACAGGTGCGGCAGAAGTCATGCTTGCACCGCGACCGGATGGCATCTTCGGCAGCCTCGTCGCAGATGCTGCACACGAGAATATTCTGTCCGCCTTCGCTGTTCTTTTTGAGGATCAAATCCGGATGGTCCGCCACCTGCCGCATCTGCATAATGAGACCGAAAATGTTGGCGTAATTATTGAGCAGGACACCGCTGGCGACATAGGTGTCGAATTTGCGCTGACCGTTGGTCATGATGCTGTTGGCGAAGTCGTTCTCCTCTTCGCCAAAGAACTGGCGCTCAACATTGATCTCTTTGACGGGAAGCTCCATTGAGTCGGTATGATCCTTCTTCAGTCGGCGCAGCATGATACGGTCCGTCAAGATTCGCAGTTTTTTAAAGGCTTCGGCACCACTGCCCCGGTTGCCAAACTTCTGGATGGGATTGAGGAGTTCCTGATTGAAGACAGATACGTGCTGCATGCCACCATGCCCGCAGCCCGTGCAGTGGTTGTCCTCGTCCATCTGCCACTCGAGCGTGGAGCACGGGCATTGCTTGCAGAGATAGCAAGCAAAGGGGCGGACGTTGAGGAAACGGATCAGCGAGAAGAACTCGCCGATGCGGTTTTGCAGCGGCGTTCCCGATAGGCACCACCGGTATGTGACCTTGAGTGCAAAGCAAGCCTTGGCCGTCATTGTCGTGCGCGTCTTGATGCAGTGAGCCTCGTCGAGGATGACGCGATGAAACTCCGTCTGGTGGATGATAGACTTCTCCTTGAAGATGCCATCCTTGCGCTTGAACCCCTTCTCCTGCTTGCGATACATCGACTCCAGGCTGTTGTACGACATGATAACAACGTCGTATTTCTTCAACTCCTTGATCGTGAGATTCTTGGACTTGGAATTAGTCCCGTGAAGGACGAGTGTCTTGAGAGTTCCGTCCGTGTAAGCTTCAATTTCCGTCATCCACTGCATCAGGGCGACCGGGGGCACCAGGACCAGCGAGGGCTTCTTGGCCGGAAAGTCGGACATGATCAAAGAAACAGCCTGGATTGTCTTGCCGAGGCCCATCTCGTCTCCGAGCAGGCCACCTTTCCACTTCGTCTTCTCCATCGCCATCATCCAAGCCAGGCCTTCGAGCTGGAAGGGCTTGAGCTGGCGGGAAATGGACTTGGGCTGTTCTGCCCTACCCGCTTTGAGGATCGGCATGTCCTCCAGTTCCTTCCACATAGTGGTAAGCTCTGGGTGATATTCTTCGAGACGTTGTCGGTCCCTCTTAAAGCGGCGTCGGTTGAGAGGGGTGCGATAGGCGCGGCGACGTCTCTGCGCCAGCTGGATAGCCGAGAGTTCAACCGCCACATCGTCCTCGTTGTCTTCAGAAACTCCTTGACCGCCATCGCCGACATCACTATCTCCGGCCCCTTCCTCCAAATCTGAGAAGGCACTAGCATCAGACAAGAGAGCGGAAATGGGGAAAGAGGCGTCGCTATCGTTGTCTTCCAAGAAACCGTCATCATCTTCTTCCTCTGATTGCAGTGCTGGCGGTGCCTTCCCCTTCTTGACGTTCGACCGTTGAGGTGGGTCAGGCAACACCTTCGGTTGGGTCGATGTGCGGGCAAGGGCAACTCGAGATATTTTCGGGTTTTGAACCGAGGCGTCACTGTCTTCCTCCTCAGAGGATTCCGCCGAGGAGCCATCGTCGGCTTCCGAATCCGAAATGGTGATGACACGCCTCTTGTTGAGAGCTCTGCCGGACCTTGCGGCTCGTGCGGCTGTCAGACGGCCTGGGCCCTTTGCACGTGGTGAGGCCGTGGGGACTGAACCATCTCCGCCATTCTTTGCCTGTGACGGCCACGTAGCGCCTGAAGTACCCGGCTCCGCCAACGCTCGCAGGCTGCGGCGAAGTGCGGGGACGGGCGCGGAAGAGCTCACCGCCGCTGCATCTTCTTCTGCTTGCAACCTCCTGGCAAGCACCGCGTCAGGGGACGTGTCTGAGAAATCGTCCTCTTCGCTGTCACTGACAAAATCCCGCTTGCGCTTGCTGTTCATTGAATAGATGCTTTGGCGAAGAGTCCGGTTTGCAGGTGCTTTCGCGGCAGGTAGGTGTACCTCGATTCTAGTGAGCCGCTTTTCCGAAGACGGCTGCATGGCCGCGAACGGGGTCGGCGTCGCAGAGTTGCTGGTAAGAGGCGTCGAATACCCGCTTCCCAAGGATGGTGTGGCCGAGGTGGACATCGTTGATGAATCGGATGTCACGCTCGACGGGTTGCGTTGGGCACCTAGTCGCTTCGCCGAACTCAGCGTATCAAGCTGAGGGGATGCGACTGCTCGAAGCACATGTGGATTAGCAGTTGCAAGAATATTGACGTCGGGCTGCAAGCTTCACGTCTCCCACCAATGAATATTCCTCTGGAATTTGTCCAGTTTGACCGTCACTTTGCAGGGACAAACTTGGAAGTCCGGTCGAAGAACACAGGAACAAGGCCACTTACCAGCAATCTCATCCTCATCGGCTGCTGCCGACCTCCTTGTTCTGACCATGGTGTTTCAGTTCGTCGATTGGCTATGAAACATAACCAAGTTCATTTGTTGTAAGGGACGTGATTGATGAAAGAAAAGTGTTTGTATCGTTGGTGTGTCTGGATTGGCGCTTTCTCAATAAAGAGAAAATGGGATGGCAGTCAAGTGCATTGAGCAAGTCAGACCAAGTCAGGCTGCAGCCCTCTCTGCACTTCAGAGATGTAATGTGGCAGTGAAGGAACTGAGAATGGCCGGCTCTTCGTTTGACGCAAAGTCGTAAACCGAGAATTTGCGGGTAGAAGGAAATGCGCCTAAGATCAGTAGTCTGAGGACTGCGCTGGAGCACACTTTTTCGCCACCCGGACCTGCTTTTGAAACAAGGTCTGAGGAGTTCAGGAAGGGAAAGAACGAGCGTCGCGCCTTCCTTAACGCGAAGTCACGTGACCTTCGGATCAATTTAATGCACTGGCTTACTGGAGGCCAAGGCAACAGCAGGCAGAGGCGACAGCAGGTTGGCTCGTTCCCGGAAGGTGTGCAAGGGCCGCGCCTTCAGGGGCAATGCAGACCCCCTTTGTTGCTTTGTCTGTCTGCGAATGAGTTTAACCTACTAGTAGATGGAAGCCCTTGTTGTTCACATTCTCCCTCCACCTCTATCGAGGCTTACTGGATTCTACACTTCATCTGTTATAGTACAAGGGGCGACGTAACTGATGCTTCTCCAACGCTCACAGGTTATTGTGCACTTGTACGATCCAGCCCTGGTTCGTCCATTAGCAATGCACATGGTGGGGCACGAGACATGGGTGGGATCATAGAAATGAAGGACTATGAGAAAACAAGGAAGAGAAAACAGAATAATGGAATATGAAGATAAAAGTGAAAGAAGAAATAGGAAAGTAGATACAAATATAAAGAGGAAAGAGGAAAGAAAGAAAGGAAGAGACAAGATGGTCAAAGTGAAGGAAGATGAGGTGTAATACCTACCACGTACGGACTAAGTTCCGCACTAACAAACACCAGGGTTAAATCGAGTGCATGTACGGATGACCAGATACGGTTAAGTCATTGTCAAAATAGCCGGCCTTTGCCATCTTAAACCGCGCACTCCGGTCAGGTGGTTTGGCGTCAGCGTTTTAGATTGAATTCGCCTCCTCGCGTCAAACCGTGTCGCAGATCGGACAAGTCTTCAAAGTCATTGAATTCTCGCCCAACCCACCACTCTATTTCCCTTTCTCGTCGAGGTTCTGCTTTCGCCGACAGCACGAGTGTCAGCCCTCAGAACTTCACCATGTAGGTTGTTCGATACTGGGATCCGTCGAGAATGGCTTTTACTAAGATATTTTCAAGGTCTCGACAGACCCGGCAGCAGCGGCGTATCATGGGCCCGTTCGTGTTGCCCCTGGAAACTTACGACTTTCTTGGACTGACGATATTCTCAACACAGGCAGTCGGCCTTGACCGACTTCTTAGCGGTGAGCGTTCTCGCTTCTATCGCTGCGTTATCACTTACTGACTGGTGCTCGATCAGTCCCACAACATCTCTGCCAATCAAATCCGCCTGGACGCCGAAACAAGACGGAGAGCGGCCGAAAATCAACAGGTTGATGCACATGACGGGAGCAATACTCAAGCTTCAGCTTCAGCAGCGCCTGCGGCCGCGACACAGGCCGTCTCCGCCAGTCCTACGCCGGCCGGCCGTCCAAGACGGGCAGCAGCGGCGAATTCGCGAGACGAGGAGGCACGCAAACGGGAGCAGAAGGCTATTGATAAGATCAAGGCCAGCAAGAAGTTTCAGAAGCGTAAGCGTGGGCTGGACTCAGAAGATGAGGATGATCTCGCCCGCGCGCTTTTGCAGCGCTCTGCTCCACTCCCAGGCCAGCAGGACAACTGCGAAAGCTGTGGAACACGGTTCACGGTTACCGCGTATAGTCGAAATGGTCCGGACGGAGGGTTGCTTTGCACCCCATGCAGCAGAGAACTCGACAAGGAGGAGACGGCAAAGAAGAAAAAGACGAAGCGAGTCAGCGGCGGGGCAGTCGGCCGACGCCGGCAACTGCAAAGCAACATCCTGGATGGCACATATGCGCTGGGTGCCAAGAGCTTGATGACCCTATGCATTGAGACTCTCGCGAAGAACATCGATCTTGCCGAGGACCTTGGAGACCTCCCTCCGCTAATCATAGACAAGATTGCGCGGAAGCTCTCCAAACATCGTCTCCTCGACGCAAGAACTCTCAGCTTGTTCCTGCAGCCCACGACAGAGGAGGTCCAGATATATGACGGCGCCAAGCTCAGTGCTGACGACTTCATCCGTATCTTCCAGACAGTTCCTAGTCTTAAGAAGCTCAAGGTAGGCGCCTGTTTAGATACGTTGTATGCCCTATGTGGTTTCCGGGAGAGCGATAGCGATCGAGACATCGAGTTTCCCTCATAGACACGCTCTCAGCTCTATCTGAAGGATAACCCGCTGACATGGCCTAGGTTCGCAATGCGGTTCACTTCAAGGATCAAGTCATGGACTACCTCCTGTCGCGTCACATCGAGTTGGAAGACCTGTACCTCCACGGCGCGAACCTGATATCCGAGTCAAAGTGGAAAGAATATCTCCAACACAAGGGCGCACCTCTCCGCTCCCTGCGCGTCTACTTTACCGACAAACACTTCGGCGATGAAGTTCTGGCTATCCTGCCGACCACCTGCCCCTCACTCACCCGGCTCAAAGTTAGCCACAACCAGCGAGTCACCGGGGGCGGCATCGCTGCCCTCGGTGATATCAAGACCCTCCAGCACCTCAGCCTCGACCTGCGCAATGAGTTGCACTCAGACACCTACGTCGACCTCCTCAGCAAGATCGGCGCGAACCTTCAAACCCTGTCGCTCACGCGCGTCAACGGCGCGGACAATACGGTCCTGAACGCGATCCACACGCACTGCCGCTCGCTCGTCAAGCTGCGCATCACCGAGAGTGAGGAGATGACAGACGCCGGGTTCGTGCGGCTGTTCAAGAACTGGGCCAACCCGGGGCTGGTCTTTCTCGACCTGCAGAAGTGCCGCCAGCTCGACTCGGCGCGTCCCCGCGAGAACCCGGACGGTATCGGTCTGTGCTCCAACGGGTTCCGCGCGCTCATGGCGCACTCGGGCAAGACGCTCCAGGAGCTGAACGTGCACGCCTGCCGGCACATTGAGCGCGCCGCGTTTGAGGACGTGTTCAAGCCCAACGGCGAGACGGTCTTTGAGGCTATGTTGAAGCTGGAGATCAGTTTTTGCGAAGAGGTGACGGATTTTGTGGTGGGCTGCGTGTTTCGGTCTTGTCCCAACCTGAGGGAGCTGAACGTGTTTGGGTGCATGAAGGTGAAGGATGTGAGGGTACCGAGGGGAAAAATTCTCGTGGGTGTGCCGAATGCGAGGGGCATGGTTATCGAGGGGGATGATGACGAGCAGTGAGGGAGTCAAAGAACCGAAGGAGTTTATGACGGATACGAGGTCAACTCGTCGGGACCTTGCTTGCTGGTATCTGCAACTGTACGTGGCTTTGCTTTTGCTCATGGGAGGTGGTTGGAATGATGGACGCAACAACGAAAACGGCCTAGATGTACGGAGTATGCGCTTGCGATGTCATCATGATGGGTCTCGCTATGGCAAAATCGCGGCCCTGGCAAAACCGCGGCCCTGGCAAGTACGGAGTGTCAACGATTTGGTGCATTGCTAGACCTGGGCATGCCGAATACTGTTTGAGGTACCAGGCTCAGTTGAGTGGGGATAAGGTTAGACTTCGCACACTCGCAAGCTCAATGACCTGTTGGCCAACTTGTTACATCGCTGACCGCCATGTTGCGATTTTTGCTAGCCCGTAAAGTTTCCTAGGTTGTGTTGGCATTGGGGACACTTTGGTTTGGGCCGACCGTCCTCGCCAAGCGCGACATACGAGCTGGAGTCACCCGTCTTGAGCCTCAGCAACGACTCATGGTGCTGACGATGGCTTGGGTTCCGTGTCTTCTCCTCTCATATGAAGCAAGGTTGCATGAAGGCCGAGGTAAAAGGTGCCCGCAGCTGTCGTGTCTTCCTCGGTCAGTGGCCACTGACCTGGTATGAAGAAATTAACTGCCCACCACTCCAACGTGCTGGGCCAACTCCATAGGGAACTGCTTGCGATCGTCATGCTCACCCCTCTCTTTTATGCATGTATGTGGTGCAAAAAAAGGGCGGCCATTTCGTATATGGCCATCGGCAAAAGAAGGGGAAGATCGGTTTTGCTTGGCCTTCCGTCATGCTCGACCCCGAATCCGGGTGTGGCTTGCTGGAGCTGCTGGGCTGACCGCCGTTTTATGTAAAGACGGGGGCCGGTGAGGTTCGAGAACGCCGCGGGAGGTGTGGAGCATGCAGGGCCGGGCAAGCCCAGCAGTCCGGGTCTTGGCTTCTCTGGGGATTGCGGGTCCGGGGAAGCCTCGCGGTGCATGTGAGTTAGCGCGATGGGGTACATTGGCGCCAGGGAGGGAGATCTCGAGGTGTTACTCGTTTGGGACTCATCAGGTCTGCGACACGGTCTGCAGATGCCACCATTCCAAATGCAAGCCCGTTGGCAGGTGCATCCGAGGTGTCCCGCGGGAGTCCGATGCTCGGAACGAGGTAGCGAACGGCGGCGCGGGGAGATGGTGGAGGTGCTCCGGGGCATAACCGACAGTCCGACCGCCCGGCCGGCGTGGGGTGAGAATGGCGCCAGGAGTGCGAGGCCGTTTGCCGCTGGCCAAACCGCTTCTATTTTTCTGAGCGAGCTCCACAAGCTTCCGGGCCAGCACTGAGAAGCACCAAGGATCAGCTCACAGATGCCAAGGCTCGCAGACGGCAGCGAGAAAATCAGACCATAACAGTTGGATGATGCACCAGAGCTGTCCTACGCGCACTCGAGCACCGCTGGATGCGCAGAAGGTCCCAGTGAGTCAGTTCTGTGCAAATTCCAATCTTACCCGGAAGAGCAGACCTTTCCCCAAGACCGCAATCGAAACCACTCGATCATGAATATCGATCCAGCGCTGGAGATGCCGCATATTCTCCCAACCTCTCGAAGCTCTCTTGGGCGGCGTGAAGACGGCGGGCGCATGAGTCAGGGACCACTCCAGACATTTCCCAAGACGAGTTGGAACTTGGCATGTCGTCCCGGTGTGCCATGTCGAGGTTCGGACGGTAACTCGGCCAATTGCTAGGCAGAGGCCGCCCAGCAGACAAGGGCACATCAGACGCGGATGTGACCTGTTTCATCTGGCAGGGTAATGGCTTCTGGAAGGTTTCGCTTTCCCCAGGCAATGTCCGGGGTTCTTCCGAAGGAGAAATTGGGACTCTGTTCGATGCGACGAAACGGTGTCAGACCCTGGCATGAGTCGGAAGAAATCGGGGGGAAATGGCTGGCCGATTGATGCATCGCGTGCCTTTTCCCCAGCCATGCCCCTGGTTTCCACTTTTTATGTCAGGTCCACCGACGCCCAATGCCCCATTCTATGGGTCGAGCGGGTTTTTTGTCGGGTTGTGGGTCGAGGCCCAGCGCGGCATGGCAATCGGGAAGACCCGCTTCTCGAACATCGAAAGATGCATCCATCTTTCCCGTTTCTCTTTGCAGGCTTCATCTGTAGCCGGTATTAAGTTCCTACTTTGTGAGGACGGAGCACGATTCCGGGCGCACAGCATTGGTCATAAGATCGGGAATTTCCCGGGCCTCGCTCCCATGCACAGTACGAGTGAAACTGTCGACAACGCCCGTGCCGTGTCCCGAGATTTGATTCTATGAAGCTGGAAGCTTAAGGCGCTCTGTCAACAATTGGGACGCCCAGCCTCATTCGCACGTGTACAATACAGCACACAATCATTAGGTAATAATCAAGCAGGAAGCCCCTTAGTGTAGTGCGCGTGCCCTATTGCTCCTTGTCGCAGGCAAGGGAGAGGTTCGGTGTTCAAAGCGATATCTGTATGGACGACGGATCGGGATCGGAATGCGGAACCGCTGTCTTAGCCCAAAGAGGGAATAAGCTTTCCAATTTCTGATGTCTGATTGGGCAAATGGCAATATGGATACCTGAGCCTCAGGGGACTGAGCTTACCCCCGGGCCCTGGAGAAAAATCAATGTGTCCCGTGACTGACGCCAACTGACAATGGATGAGAGATACAAACAGATGGAACATGGGGATGTCCGCTGCCGTGTTATCATCGCCGGGCTCACTCGATCGTGTCCAACACACTGTAGTCAGTGAGTACTCGATGAGTACTGATAACGTTGGGGACAGCGGCATGGCTCTGTACCTTGGCCTGTCTGTGGGACCTTGGCAGACTTCACATGGGTCTTGGGTGCTGGAGCTCTGAGACAGACGCATTGCAGCTCTTCTTGCGCCGCACAGGATCGGGAACGTCTAACGTCGCACAACGGCACGGCGGTGAACGGTCGACATCAGCAATCTCAGAATGGTCAGCTCAACCAACCGTATCTCAACAAAATGATCAAAATCTGACGACTTGACGGGAAAAGCGAGAAACATGGTCGCTGTGCAATTTCGCAGTCTATGGCTCCAAGGCCCGCTTCGGGAATCCACTCCGGTCCCACCCGGGATGTCAGCTCGGTGACCGTGACTCTCAGGCTTTGCCTCAGGGATCGTGTACCCTGTTGCGGAAGGTACCTCTGTGTAAGTGCTCGACAGCGCAAATTCGCCAGTAGCGGGAAAGAGTGACTCCCAAACGTCTCTGTCTTCGTATCTGTACTCTACATATCACTCCCTGCCATGCGTGGACAAGGCGGCCTCGACTTTCCACTTTTTCTTATTGCATTTCGCGACCCAACGGAGCTCTGAGGGAGGCGCGTATCGGCAAAGCCGCCCCTTGACGCCTTAACGGCCCTTGAAACGTGCAACGAAAACCCAAAACCATCAGACAGGCCTCTGTCGCATCGCCCATCCTCACCAGCGAGTCTTCAGCGCTTTCTCGTCTGGACATGGGCAAGCGTGCAGCGAAATGGACGCTGCTTGCGTCTGGTGCAATCAGCGCGCAAAAGGTCTTAAACCGCCTCGCTCTCAGCAACAAGCGCGTTGGGCGGACACTGCAACTGTCTCTTTTGTTGACAAAGGCTCTGGTGGCCCGGACTGCTATCAGTGCTGCTGCCACTTCCAAGGAGGGAAATTCTTCTGCTGGCCCCGGCCGTCGTAATTCTAATAATACAGCCAGCGCTAGACTCACGCCGCAGCGGACCCTCCTTCTACACCTAGTCCAGCCCTGCCTCGAGCTCGCCCCGTGGATTTACACTCTTGTTCTCCGCGTCCGGCTCCCTCTCTCCTTCTTCTCTTTCCCGTCCCTTACACATGCAATGGCGTCGTATGCGCACAGCACCACATCTAGCTCCGACATCTCAACGCCTCGGTCCATCTCCCCATCCTCGGTGGCATCTGCACGCTCGTCACCCTCGTCTATATCTAGCTCCAAGCGCATGTCCATCTCGTCAACACGCAGAATCTCAGCTGCCAACCCAATGTCGTCGGTCGATATTACCGCCATCCAAGAAGCCATGAAAATGGCCAACCTCGACACCCTCCGTGGGTACTGCCAGAAGACATACGGCCAGGTCCACCAATATGCCACCACTGAGTACATCAGCCAGAGCCAGGCCCTCGGCTACCAGGTGCTCAACGAGCCCATGTGGAATAAGGGTGAGTCAGCCAACTCGGTCCCCGCGTCCCCAGTAATCCCTCTGCTCCGTCCGATCTTGGTCTTTATAAGGACCCCTCCTCCGTCCCAATCGTTTGGATAGCAGCGTCACCACCCACACTTCAGACGGACTGGCACGTCATTGCTCTCTTTGGATGTATTGCTGGCGGACAACCCGCATCAGTTGTACCTGCATCTAGATCATACTCTACCACCATTGAGCGTTTCCGCTTTGTCTCCTTCACCATGTCGTCCAGTTCTCGAGCTCTGTCCCGATTGCGTGCACTGGCAGCTAACTGCTCTCCTCCGCCTGAAGGCCTGTCCTTCACACCGGAACAGCGCATCGCCAAGAACCTGACTGGCCTCATCCCGCATGTCCTGGAGGGCAACGACAGGCAGTGCGAGCGCGCGCTCAAGATGATCCGGACACGGCAGACGAATATCGACAAGTACCTGTACTTGTCGAACCTCAAGAGCCAGAACGTTGACCTCTTCTACCGCCTGCTTATCGACCACTCCAAGGAGCTGATGCCAATCGTGTACACGCCCACCATTGGCGATGTCTGCCTGCAGTACTCGACTCTGTACACGCGCCCCGAGGCGCTCTACATCTCCATCAAGCAGCGCAAATCCCTGAAGACAATTCTAAGGAATTGGCCCTACCCCAACCCCGAGATCTGTGTTGTGACGGACGGTTCTCGCATTCTCGGCCTGGGCGATCTTGGCATAAATGGCGTGGGCATTCCGGTAAGTTGGCCTCGGCAAAGCCAGGTGACCTCCGAGGGTGGCTGCCGGCGGCCCGGTGGGAGTCCCAGCACGTCGGTTCGCGGCTAACGGCTAATGTGCATGCATTAGATTGGCAAGCTGGCCCTGTACACGGCGGCTGCCGGTATTCATCCGGACAAGACGCTTCCCATCGTGCTCGACTGCGGCACTGCCAACGAAGCGAATCTCAAAGACCCGCTCTACCTCGGCTTGCGCGCCAAGCGCGTCCCGATTGCCGAGCAGCAGGAGTTCATGGACGAGTTCATGCAGGCCGCTGCCGAGGTCTATCCTGAGATGGTTGTGCAGTTTGAGGATTTCGAGAGCGAGAAGGCCTTCAATTATCTCGACCGGTACCGGAACAACTACAAGTGCTTCAATGACGATATCCAAGGCACAGGTGCCGTTGTCCTTGGCGGGTAAGAGTTCATCCGGCAGAGGCCCCACACGCCTGTTGGACCCCTTGTCTGACCCGCATTTGCAGCTACATTGGAGCCGTGAACCTTTCCGGCGTTCCAGTCGAGGAACAGCGCCTCGTGTTTATGGGCGCCGGCTCTGCCGGAGTCGGTGTCGCGAAGCAGCTGGTCGAGTACTACACCAAGCGCGGTCTGTCAGAGCAGGCCGCTAAGGACAAGTTCTGGCTCGTCGACACCAAGGGCCTCGTCACCAAGGACCGCGGCGATAAGCTCGCCGAGCACAAGAAGTACTTTGCTCGGACGGACAACAACGGCCACCAGTTCCGCTCTCTTGAGGAGGTCATTGAGTATGTCAAGCCGACCGCCCTGGTCGGCCTGACGGCCACCCATGGCGTCTTCACCGAGTCTGTGGTGCGGGCGCTCAAGGCGTCCGTCGATGCTGGCGGTCTCGGCCGCAGGCCCATCCTGTTCCCTCTCAGCAATCCTCTGACCAAGGCCGAATGCACGTTCGAACAGGCCGTGGCGTGGACCGACGGGACCGTCATCTTCGCCTCCGGCTCGCCCTTCTCCCAGTTTACTGTCAAGACCAGTGACCACGCCGTCACGTACTATCCCAACCAAGGCAACAACGTCTATGTGTTCCCGGGTATCGGCCTCGGCGCCATTCTCTCCAAGGCCAGCCGCGTGACGGACAACATGATCTACACGTCGGCTGCTGCCCTGGCCGGCTCGCTCAACGCAGAGGAGATTCATAAGGGACTTATCTACCCGCGGATCGAGCGCGTCCGCGAGGCTAGCCTCATCGTCGCCCGTGAGGTCATGAAGGCCGCGCGGCGCGACGGCGTCAGCCAGCTGCCTGAGGAGCAGTGGCTCGAGTGGGAGGAGTGGGGAGACCCGGCGCTTGACAAGTACATCAAGGCCCGGATCTACGACCCCCAGCTCTGAATATGACGCACCTGCAAGGGCATCGTTCGCTGGAGTGACGTTGCTTCGTTTGTCGGTCATGAATGGCTTCTGCACTTTGCTTTCTCCTGTTCAAAAGCCAGCCGGACCGCTTACGTGTGGGCCGATACGGCCATCACCTTGACCTTTTCGTTGATGATTCCCCGGCTTGTGGATTGGTAGGTTTGTCTGGGGCTTGGACGGTACTGCCCGGCCCGCGATTGCGCATGGGGCTTGGGCTGGGACGGACATTGCATTGGGATGCGTGGGACCCACGCAGCGTGCTGTCGATGGTACGGGCACTACGAGGGGTAAAATACGGATATGGGGTATGGTTTTCGCTTAGACTAAAGATGAGTTGCTCTACTAGGGAAGTAGCTTAGTTCAGTATGTCATAAGGAGTGACATTCGATTCCAATGGCAACGCAGTTTGAGTTGCATTTCACACTCCTTCCATGCGGGAGATCTATCGTTGCCAGTGACAGGCGTTCCATGACAGACGTTGCTGTGTTCTCATACCTAATGTCTCCTATCATCCTCATCTCACATGACATAATTCTCAGCATGACCTCCTGCGCTGCTCCTCGTTGTCATACGGGGCCTGATAATCGGCGTCGTCCGCTGACCAGACCTGGAACCCAGGGGGTTAAAGTATTTAGCATCGTCCCAATCAATAACTTTATAAGAACGAGCAATGTCCCGGTATACACCAGGATACTGTGCCCGTGCAAGTTGCCGTGGCAAAGAACACATTCCGGTTTGCTGGACACGGATGTCTTTGGGGGCCAGTAGGTAGGTAGCCTTGTCGTGGGACATGACATGACCCAGAGCGGCGGGATGACCACTCCATCAATACCCGTCGTGGTTGAGGGTTTGCTACTCTCTGTACAGCCTTGAGAGCAAACTCGCCGTTGCCCACCTCTCTCGACGGGAGCTCGTAGGCAAGCCATCTTGCTCTCGGTTGACATTATTCTGTACAGGTACCAGACTCAAGACGATAGCTGTGTGAAATCACGAGCCAGAGCCTCGTCAGAACAGGGGGTAAAAGAAGATAACCTAGGAAGTGAGATTAGGAAAAAGAAGAAGTATGAACAGAGGAATTGAGAAAGTGAAGTAAACAAGGAAAGTATGAAAACAGAGAATCAGGGAACAAGCAGAAAACAGGAGATTGTGCTATTCTCAATGGCCAGAAGTCCGCTATGAAAGAAAGAGTAAGACAGAAAAGCATAGAGAAGGAAGACAGGGCAAAAAGTTTGAGCGTATAATGTTACAAGCCTTACATTCTGTCCTGTTTACCTTCCTCAGGTCATCCACTGGCAAACAAACCAGGGTTGGATTGTACTTGTACAGGCTCCAGTCCCGCTTCCACCCAAATGGTCAGGAAGAGCAGTCCCTGATTTTCATCTTGCCAGCTAGCTAGATTGCAAATCGACGACCATCTCCCGCACTACGTACGCTGCGAGCCATCCAGCACCCGTCGAACCAGTCAAGTACCAGCCATGTCGCCCAGCCGTTCCGGATGCCACGACCTGCTAAATGCTAAATGATGCCACCGCCATGATCAACGAACGCCTCCAAAGATTGATCCTCTTCCCCGGAGAGGTAGACAGGAACATCCATTCCTGCCCACAAAAAATCATCTCACCTCCCACCGCCGCCGCCCGCCTCCACTAGTTTCCGATCCGCCCTCTCCAACTTCCCTCTCAAGCCCTCATCCCCCATGACCAACACAAACCACTCCCGCAACATCCTCACATACTCCACATACCCCTCCCAGTCCTCAACAGGCGGCCCCCTGATTTGCGGCGCAGCAGCAGCAGCAGCCGCAGCCTGACTCCCCCCATCCGCATCCGCATCCACATCCCCAATCCCATCTCCATGGCCTCCGTCCCATACAGCCCACGCGCTTTCCACGCCCGTCCTGAGCCCCCACCCCTTCTTGCTCAGCGCCTTGACCTGAAACCGCTGCAGGAGCACCACATCCCCCGGCTTCACCGCCGGCAGCGAGTCCTTGTGCGGCCGATACAGCTGGACCTCGACCATGGCCGACGGCGCCGCCGACGGGTCTGTGACATGGAACGACATGAAGTACTCGCGGGGTCCGCCCTTGGCACGCGTCGGTTGCGTCGGCTGGGAGGTGACGACGGCGATGGCGTTGGAGAACTTGTCGACGTGTTTGGCGAGTGACTTGAGCGGAATGCATTCCGGCAGGTCGATGCGCAGGCGCTTGGTGAGGTCTGCTCTGAGGGAGGTGATTGTTTGGGTAGTAGGGTGGTGGCCGGTCGTTGCGATGCCGTCGAAGACGACGGCACCGTGCTTAGACGGTGAGGCAAGGGCTGCTCTCGCGAGACTGACGCAGTTGTCTTCTTCGTCTTCGCGCTTGGAAGGCGACGCGAGGGCTGCTCTCGCCAGGTTCACGCTCTCGTCTTCCTCTCGCTCGGGGGTGTGGCGCGTCGCGTCCGATCGGAGGCTGCTTGAGCGAGCGCGGGTGATTATGGGGCTGGTTCGATTCGGTTCGGGCGCCTTCTTATGGCGCTTGGCTGCTACGGCCTGCCGGGCGAGGTGGACGCTGATATCAGGAGAAGGGGAGTGGCTGCGCATTTGACCCTCTGCTTCTGCGTTCTGTTGTTCTTGTGTGAGCTGTTCCATAATCATCGTTTCGTCCTCAACGTCGTCTGCTGCTGGACTTCTGTGTCGCTGGATTATCTCCGTCTCCCGCATTTGCTCAAGAGACTCGCCGATTTCGCCCGCTCCCTGCTTCCCCATGTCTTCTATCTGAGAAGACAGCAGAACTGGCTTATCCTCAGACACGCCCTCGTCGAATCTCACAACGGTAGGCAGGTTAGTCGGGATGACGCCGTCTTGAGCGTCAGCTGTCGCTAACTTGGGAGATCGAACAATCTGCAATTGGTCAGGGCTTTTGCCATCGATCCGGAGGTCGTCATCAGTTGCCTGCTGGGGCTCCGCCGGCGGCGCGGTCGCGTCGGTTGATGACTTGGTCGGCTCCTGGGCATGTTTCCGTGCCTCGGCCAAGAGGTCGGCCTCGGTCTTGTCAGCGGCGGCGGCCGCATTGTCAGTTTTGTCTGCCGGTTTCTCCTGGTCCTCAGCCTCTGCATGGGCGGTCTCGGGTTCGCCCTCGGCCGCGTCAAGTACCTCCTGGGGCGGCTGCGCTACGGTCGGTTCTTGTGCAGCGGTCGATGGTCTGTCCGCCTCCTGTTGGACGGGCGTCTGGATGGTCGGTAAAGGCGCCTCTGCATCCGGAAGGAGCTCGTCTGCAGCAACGCTCGCAGCAACATCTGACACGCTTTCGGCTCCAATGGCTCGAGTCTCGCGGTCTGGTGCTGGCTGAGGAACAGGCTCGAATTTCCTTGGGGCGGGGGAAGGCTCGTCCTCGTCCTCGGAGTCTGAGAGGAGGCTGATGACGACAGGCTCACCCGACGGCGCTGGCGCAGCAGGTTTCCCAAGGTGATAGCCTTCCATTTCTTCATCCTCCTCGTCATAATCGTCCTCATCGCTCTCGTAGTCTCCTTCCTCGTCCCACTCTTCGCCCTCGCCATCTTCATCGTACATCTCTCCATTGCCGTAACGTTCTTCTGCTTCCATCTCGACCTCGTCATCCTCTTCCGAGAGGCCTTCCTCGTCGTCTGAGTAGTTCTCATAATTGCGCTGGTCATAATCTCCCTCCTCGATCTGTTCTCCATATGCATACTCATCAGACTTCACATCTTCGTCCTCCTCCTCGTCAACGTCAATCTCGTCGCCACTGACTGTGTCCTTATGCTCTACAAGCGACTCGTCTTCATGCAGGGGTGCTTGGCGTGAGGAGTTCCCCTGATGTCTCTCGGACACATCTTTATGGCCGTAGCTGGCAAAGCCGTCTGGCGCCCTGTCAGGAGTCACTGTGTATGCATGGAGCGACGCCTGTCCGGCCATGACCCTCGCCCTTTCTTCCAGGGCATCCGTGTCGAAATGACCGCCCTCCAAGAGGTTGTACTGCGAGGGTTGCGTCAACATCTCCCACTGGCCGTCAGCAAAGCGCTCGACTGCAGGTGGGTGTGGAGGCACAGTTTGGCCGTGTACCACCATTTCATTATCCTCATCTGCCGCATTGAGGTAGGTGTTCATATCGGCGAACTTGGCTGGGGCTGGAGCGTCGTCAAGATAGGATGCCGGATACCGGTCCTGCTCGTGGTGATCTGGCTCCGGAGCAGGTTCAGGTACTGCCGGAGACGGAGAACGTGCAGTTTGCGGGATGTGGGAAAAGCTGAACCTGACCTGATCTGATAGGCTCAGGGACGACTGTACTCGGGCGGGCGCACTCGCGCCAAAGGACAAGAAGCTGGAGCTCAACGACTTTGGGCCAGACAGGGTGCTTGCGACAGTCCCGCTGGCACTTTTAGATGGAGGACTTGTTCGTAGAACGGTTGTGGACGGCTGCGCCGCGGCCGGTCCCTCCTTTACAGATTTCGACGGAGAACGCTCGCGCCGTTGTAAGTCAGGATCCGATCCTGACGTCGAGGGGGGTTCGTCCTGGAATGGAGCAAGTCTCTGCGTTGAGACCCCAGGATTTGGCTCCTCTTCAGGGACAGAGCTGACGGATACCCTATCAGCCCCACGAATCGTGGTCCTCTCTTCTCCCACAGCGCCAGCCGAGTGTTGTGGAGGGGCCGGTGTCGGCGTCGTCTCCAACTGCGAGAGAACGGCATCGACAATATCCGGAGCCTGCTGCATATCGACCTCGACTGTCTGGCAGCCCTCGTCCATCATCTGGGGTTTCGGTGACGGTTGGGGAGACGCATCTCTAGGCACATCCTCCTCCATTGCGTCCGGACCAGGTGAGGTCGGCTCACGGTTTGGTGACTGGCTGCTGTAGCGCCATGCACCGCTGTCGCGCCCAAATCTGGTTCTCTTGCGGCCTTTGCGCTTGATCCCACCGTCTTCCTCAAAGATGTCGAAACCGCCCTCGAACAGAGTCCCATACGAAAGCCGAGCCCGTTTGACAAAGGCAGGTGAGGGATATTCATCCAGCGGGAGATCTGATATTTTGCGAACCGTGGTCGGGATTTCGGGGACGCTCGGCTCTGGGTCAGGAGTAGCTGCCATCGGCGCATCAGCCACCTGGCCGTCTGGCAGCTCTGGCGCGGGATGGTCAATGTTGATGTGTTTTACTTCGCCCGATTCACCGAACTTGACCTAGGAAATGGTTAGAACATGCCGGCTATGAGTGACCCGGCCTTGCGCGCAAACCTGGAGGTTGAGGTTCTGATCGAATTGCAATTGCCATTCGACCCTCGCACCGGGAATGCGACCCGGGGACTCATCCTTGGACCACTCGGCACCATCCAAGCTGAACAGCAGTTCATCGCCGGCTCCCAGACCCAATTCAGAAGCGGTTTTCGCACTAGGGCCCTGGAGCTCTATTCGTATTTGTCCTTTGGCGCGACGAAGACGTACGTCGGGTTCCGCGATGAGGAAGGCGAGCCTCTTGGTGACCGAGTTGTAGGGCCATGTAATGGTAATCTCTCCACGAACAGCGCGCGATGCCTGGTCAGGCAACTCAGGATTGAGTTGCGCAATTGGCGTCTGAATTTTCGACGCCAGCATGGCAGCGCTGTCGCCGTTGACCGCCGCCATTTTGCATCGAGCGCAGGGAGAGAGCAGCTATGTCATTGGATCGGGACCGCGGAAAGTGTGCTGAGATTCTACAACATTTGCCAGTCTCGCTGGAAATGGTAGGGAAAAGGAAAAAAACGAAAGGTCTTTCCAGAGATTGGAGGTCACCAGCTCGCACTACCTCGGTTATTTATTTTGAGGTGAAAGGTGGTTGCTATGTTTGCGAACAGATCGGCTCCAGAAAGCGCGACAAGCTCCAACCCCAACATGACGGCGACGACGCGATGGGGAAGTGCGGCGCTTGGTTGGGCCATAAAGAGAAGGCGGTGAAAGGCTTACGCTCAAGCTCCAAATTGGTCAAAAAAAATTACATGACGGGAGCATCAAAGACTCATTAAACAGATTCCGAAAAGGAAATATGCGATAGCGTTAAACTAGGGTAAAGAGAGAAAAGAGATCGGCTTGTTGTCATCTCTACTCCATAAACCATGCTGTTAAAGTCATCCTCCGGAGTATCTAGTTTAGGTATCACCGGTATGTATAATAAACAAAGCGGGACCTTGGCAAGTACGGTACCTTAAATGCAAGCTCTCTTACCTTAACACTAATTAACTAGCGGACTATAATGGGAAATCGATTTGACTGAGCATTTGTCGGTCATTCCTTACTGTCAGTTGTTACTTTCTTTTCCGGCTACAGGCACTCTGTGTTTCTTCGAGGTTCTGCATATACACATCCTTTTTCTAATTTCTACAATGGAATCCCAACACACCCGCTTCGACATCAAAAGCATTGCCATCGTTGGTGCTGGGCCATGCGGCCTTGCAGCCGCCAAGTACCTGCTCGCTCAGAATGCATTCCAAACAGTCGACATATTTGAACAGCAGGCAGAAGTGGGCGGTGTATGGTATTACAGTCCGAAGCCTTCCGCGACAGTCCGCGTGCCCCAAGTGACAGCCGACTGTCCTCCAGACCCTCCTCTGGTATCCCATGGCGAGGAGGATCCCGTCTTTCCCTCGCCCATGTACGAGGTTTTGCACACCAACATTCCCCGCGCGTTGATGGGGTACTCGGACTGTCAGATCCCCAATGATACGCTAATTTTCCCGTCTCGACAACACATCCAGGACTATGTAGTTGAATACGCCAGAGACATCCGGCATTTCATCCGGTTCTCGACCCAAGTCAGGGACATTCGCTTGAGAGTGGTGGAAGGGAAAGATCGGTGGGATGTGGACGCAAAAAGCCTCCAAACTGGGGAATTAAAGAGCGCGACATACGACGCTGTCGTTGTGGCCTCGGGTCATTACTCCGCCGTTTACATTCCCGATGCAAAGGGAATCCGAAAGTTCCACGAGGCGCATCCTACAGTCATCTCTCACTCGAAGCACTACCGAACACCGGAACCTTTCACCAACAAGAAGGTGGTCGTCGTCGGCAACGCGGCCTCGGGGCTCGACATTGCCGCGCAAATCAGCCCGGTTTGCCAAAAACCGCTTCTTCTGTCGGTGCAATCTCCCACATCAGACGAGAATCTGACATTCTGCGGCGCTGAAGAGGTTTCGCTCATTGATGAGTTCCTCACCGAAGGACGGGGCATCCGGTTCCAGGACGGCCGCGTCGAGAAAAACATCGACGCTGTGATCTTCGCGACCGGCTATCTGTTCTCCTTTCCCTTTCTCCGATCCCTCAAGCCATCCGTGGTGACGGATGGGCGTCGAGTGCGCGGCTTGTACAAGCATATCTTCCACATCGACCATCCAACTCTGGTTTTCACCAGGTTGCCCATCAAGGTGGTGCCATTCCCGCTCTCCGAGAGCCAGGCGGCCGTGTTCTCGCGGACGTGGGCGAATCTACTGCCCCTTCCCTCCGTCGAAGAGATGAGGAAATGGGAGCAGGAGGAAGTGGAGAGGCGGGGTTCGAAGTTTCATGTCTGGCCCGAAGGTGGTGATGCCGAGTACATCAACTCGGTCCATGAGTGGATTGTGCGGTCGGGAACACCAGGGAAGATACCACCGTATTGGGACCCTGAGCTGGTTTGGCAGAGGCGGATCTACGCAAAGGCCAAGTTGAGGTTCGAGATGGACGGGCGGAGGGCTACAACGCTTGCAGAGCTCGGCTTCGAATACTTGCCCGACCAACACGAGTGCTAAGTCCGACACCAATCAACGGCGAGACGTGACTGTCTGGCCCGGGGTGGAGCGAGCTTTGACCGGGGGTTCCGCCGAGCCGCATGCATGTCTCACATCGGCTGGTGGCGGCTGAGCCGCTTGATCGGCGCAATTCAACAACACCTTGTAACGGCGTTCGTCAGTCATCATTGGGTCCTGACAAAGCGAGACCGTTGGCCACCTCGAGAGTGAACTTGCAAGGAATTCGCCGTGTTGGGCATGACGCCTTCGCTTTCGCACACAAAGGGCTCGCTCGCAGATCCTCGCCAGTTTGTGCCTACCTGATGCGAATGGTGGTCCCCTTACGGGGTTGAGTAACACACAGTACCTCCGTACGGACGGCACTCAAATGAAATGTTATCGTTTTCTTCAGGGGAGAGGGTAGCGCCGTAAGGCCTATGAAGATGATACCAGGCATATGACTGCACCATAGACCTACGCTATTTGCATGAGCCTTGATCAGGCTGTTCCTGCGGTCTCTAAAGTCCTCCGCTCAACTCAATTCGGGTTATCGTACGTCACATCAAACGTGTCGTCCTCGCCAAAGCAAGTCCTGTACGCAATCCTCGCGTACCTTTCCGCCGGAGCCGCGAGGTCAGGCGCCACCAACCGATACGCATCGCGCAGCAACATCCAACAGTCAACAACACTGTCCACGAACGATCCCCATTTCCGGACAACCACAGTCGCGGCGCTCGCACCCGGCACAGCCCCGTCCTCAATCTCATATTCAAGCGGCGCCAGCCGCCCCAGCGCCAGCTTAACAGCCGTTTCGGCTTCCGGGTCGATCCGGATGGTCATATTACTGCCACCTCCGCCACTCCGCTCGCCGTCGACAAATGCGTGGGCGAATGCCCCTTCGCACAAAAAAGAATACCCGTCTTGATCACCTTGGTCGTGAAGAGCCCGCGCCCGCGGCAGCCGCATGATCGAACTTCTACCGGACCGATATACGTGGCAAGGTCAAGGTGCGGCGGGCGGAGTTTGGCTGCTTGGGCGTGCTTTTGCTTGAAGTCATACTTGCCGTGCGTTTGCTCTGCGAGTCGTTTGATGGCTTGGTTGAGTAGGTCCTTCCCGGCAGTGTTGTTGGGAAAAGTCAGTCGCAAGTCCTTGAGGACTTCGCAGCAACCTCGGAATCTCTAGAGGCTGTACAGGGCCTGGGCTTTGCGGAAGAAGGCTTTCTCGGACGGCATGGGGGTGCTCGTTGCGGACTCGGCGTCGGCAAGCGCAGCATCGAATTGCTTGGTCCTGAGATAACTAGCGAGCGGTTAAGCCTGATGGCTTGAGCCTCTTCTTCGATCGGGGAGCAAGCAAGGGCTCGAGTGTATCTGCCATGGTAACGAGCATCTACATCACTGCGACGGTAGTTGGTTCACCTAAGGCTTACGATTCGATGGCGACCCGGAATTTTGACGCGGGGAAGCAGGCGTTTCCTCTCGTCTTCAAGTCCATAGCGTTGTTGCCTTTCTTTGCCTGTTCCCGTCGCCAGCAACCGGGGATTCGATCGTCATCCTCGGACAGGAAGACTATGTCGCCGAGTTGGTCAACACGGAGCACGTAATCGCCGTCGGACATGGTCTTCAAATATGGCTCCTTGACAATCATCACCATCCCCTCCCTGATGACATCTTCGGCCGTGCCGCCTTTCTCGTCCTCTTGGTGGTACAATAGCAGCAAGAGTACGTCGCCCTGCTCGTCATCCAACAGCCATGACAGCGGTCATTCGGTTCTGGGGCTAACGGCCCGAAGCATCATGTCGTGCCCCGATGGTGAGTCTCGAGACGCAGATCGTCAACCATGATCTTGGTCAGGTCACAGAGCGGTCAAAGACATGGAGCGTAGGATGAGGGGACGAATGATGACGACACATAGGCGCGATTAGCATCACGTCCCCTGGAATCTGGGGTTGCCAAGAGCCGGAGTTTGAACTGCAGGCAGGATTGTCTCAACGCAATGCTCCTTGGCGGAGGGCGCTCGCCCGCGCGAGACTGGGCATCCTGAAGAGTTTGTTTCGACCTCTGCGGCGGGCCGGCGTAGTCGGCCGACACGTTGTGTGTATTCAGGGTACGCCTGCGCCAGCTTGTTTTCGTCTTCCGAGGGCGACTAGTAGAAAAATACCTGGGAATGGTGTGGCGACCAACTGAGAGAGCGGGCTTCTTACCTAGGCTAGAAAGAGGGCTGCAAGTGTTTGCACGATCCATTTGCGTCTTGTGATACAAACGGCGGAAGCCGCGGCTGTAGGCCTCGGTTGTTGTTTGTTGAGCAAACGCGTGGCAATCCCCATTTCATGGTATGCCACGATTACCAGACTTGCGTCAGGCGTTGATTTGGAAACCCGTGCCATCAGCGATGGTTGCATGCCGAGTGCTGGTCAAGTGCACCCATCCTTGATATCCCTCTAGCTCTGTTATGAATGTCCATAGGCTCAGCCTTGGGCCTCCTCCCAGACTGTGAAGGGAGACTGAAATGCAATGGTTAAGTTTCGTGCTCTCGAACCACAATGGTAGGTTCAGCAAAAACTAGACATAGCTCGTCAAGACGAACGGTCATCTTCGGGTCGCTGTTGATTCTTTCACGCTTCGCATTCGAGGAGACAAATGACGCTTCTTCGACAAGGGAGCGTCCTGGGCTTGTGGCGGGTTTTGTGAAGTTGCGGATGGAGTTCCGGATAGCTAAGGTCGAACGAGCACCATTGTCTGTCGAGATGGTGAGGCCCTGGTCCGAGCCATCAGATCAAAAACGATGCACTCTAGCACAAGGTAGTTTGCTTGACAACAATCCGTAACTTAACTTACCTACCGTCGTACAATACCCGGATGCCCTGATCCCAAACCAGGACCATCAGCGTTCACACCAGCCCATGTCTCGTGCTACATCAGAGATACCCATAGGAAGAGAAACAAGACAATCCCACTCGGTAAAGTATGTTCTGACTCGATGGTTCCCACAGACCACAGCCGGATTCCGTCGGACGTTGTTAGGGAGACCGGTGTGGGTGCCGAGCCGGCAGTCTCGGAGACTAATACCCGCTACTACCAGTTGGGGGGGTTGAGTGGGTTCATCATGACCTCCATGATCCTTTCCCGGGCCCAAAAACGGCAGAGCTGCGTATTGCCCCCGGGACCTAGCCGATTTATAAGCATGGCTTTCTTATCTCAGCCTTGTTCGATCCCAACAGTTAACAGATTGTTGCTGTCACTGTCCGGAGCTCGCAGTCCCCATCATCGAATTGCTCTCGCTACCAGCAATCTTCTGAATGCTGGACGGTCAATGTTTGGTACACATTTCGATTTCACCTAAAGTCGCATTTTCGCTACCACTACGGCGGGACCACCACCAACATGGACTCCATCAACAACAAGAAGATCGCAGTCTCCCACCAAGGCGCCGGGATGGACCGCCATGACAAGCCCCCTCCACTGGATTTGAGCCACCACTACTCGGTCGTCACGAAGCGGCGATTGCCCTCCCAAATCAAGCAGGCTTACAAGTTCTTCCAGATCCCGGGCATTTTGAACATTGCCGGCGGTGAGTTCTCATGTACCGTATTATCCCTCTGTTGACTCTCACTGACATGACGTCTAGGACTACCCAATGTTCAGTTCTTCCCCTTCGATACGCTGGAAGCCCAGGCAGCCAAGCCAGAGCGCTGGACTCCTTCGCCCAACCATCCTGGCGAGCCTGCTGCCTCGGCCTCATCAGATCCCGCTGCGGCCAACCATCTTGCCGTACCAAAGACGCTGCACGAGACCGACCCGTTGAAGAAGATCGACCTCTCCACGGCTTTGCAGTACGGTCTTGCCCAGGGTTACCCCCCCCTGCACTCGTGGGTGCGTCAGTTCACCCGCGAGAATCTGCACCCAGACACACCCTACCGCGATGGGCCCGAAGTTATTATGACTTGCGGCTCGACCGACGGCTTTTCCAAGACGCTGAGCCTGCTTGTCGACCAGTGGACCAAGGGCGTCAATGACATCAGCCAACGCCCCGGCCTCCTGTGTGAGCACTTCGTCTACAGTAACGTCCTCAGTCAGTCCCAGCCCTTTGGCGTCCAAATCGTCCCGGTGAAATCAGACGCTTCCGGCATGGCAGTGAAGGGCCCTGGTGGACTTGAAGATGTCCTCGCCAACTGGGATTCGTCCAAGGGGAAAAGACCGAATTTGATGTACACCGTCACGTAAGATGCCATCCCTCTTGAGACAGCGAAGCTGTCGCTGACAGACCCAGACTTGGCCACAATCCCACCGGCATCGTCCTGTCGGTTGAGCGCAAGAAGGAAATTTATGCCGTCTGCAGCAGATTTGACGTCATCATCGTCGAGGACGAGCCCTACTGGTATTTGCAATTCCCCTCGGCCGCCACCGAAGAAGCCAAGTCCCGCGGCCAACCCCTTCCCCCCGCCTCACAACCGCCAACACTCACCCCCAACCGGTCCTCATCGGGCTATCCCTTCCTCGGCTCGCTCGCACCATCCTTCCTCTCTCTCGACACGGACGGCCGCGTCGTCCGCCTCGACACCTTCTCCAAAACCGTCGCGCCGGGCTGCCGCCTGGGCTGGATCACCGCCCAACCCGCCTTCATCGAGCGCTTCGAGCGCATCACCGAGTCCACGACCCAGCAACCCTCAGGCTTCGTGCAGGGCCTCATCTCGGAGCTCGTCCTGGGATCCTCCGCGCAGAACCAGCTCGCCAAATCCACCTTCTCCCGCCTCTTCTCCTCTCCCTCCTCCTCCACAAACCCAAAATCCTTCACTGGCTGGGACACCTCGGGCTTCGTCCGCTGGCTGGCCGGCCTGCGCGGATCCTACGAGCGGCGCATGGTGCGCATGTGCCGCATCCTCGACGACGGGTCAACCCTCGTCTCCGCCTCCCCCCTACACCCGTCCTCCACCTCGGAATGGTCCCCCCTCGCCGTGTCCCAGACCAAACTGTTCACTTACTCCTGGCCCCGAGGGGGTATGTTCATCTGGCTGCGCGCCCACCTTGAGACCCACCCACTGTGGCTCGTTCCCTTGCCGAACCCCAGGTTCCCTGTGCTGAACGGACCGGTCCTGTCGGCCGCGTTGATGGTGTGGCTGACGACCAAGCCTTTCCGCGTGCTGGTCACGACGGGGAGCATGTTTAGCGCGAATGAGAAAATTCGGAAAGAGGAAGGGTGGAAGTACTATCGGATTTGCTTTGCGGCCGAGGCCGAGGAGAACGTGGATCGCGCCGCCGAGAGGTTCGTGCACGGGGTGCAGGAATTCTGGAAGGTGAGGGATTTAAGGGTCGTGGAGAAGTTGTTGGGAGAGCTCGGGGCGGATGGGGAGGTGCAGGCGGTTGGGGAGGATGTGAGCAGATTGGGTTGGTATATGGGATGCTGAAGTCCACGTGTCTGGTCATTTGAGCGAAGCGAGATGTGAACAATCTGAACTGTAGTCGTCATGACGGATATTCAGGTACTTGCGATCATATCCATACCTACTTGTACTTTGCAGGAATTTTTGGGGGGCCCAGTTCTCTCCTGATCTCGTCAAACTGCTCTATCCCGTTCTTCCACTTGCCCTTCTTGACCCGCTTCTTCCCGAACATCGAGTAGTCACCAAGGAACTCGTCCAGCAAGCCGTCAAAGTCTTGCCGCGTCGGCCCTTGCACTGTCGACATGGTTGATACAGCAGACACGGAGCCCAAGTCGTCCATGTCGGCATTGTACTCCTCCTCGATCTTCTCGAACCGCGCGTCCAGGATGCCCAGCTGCTCGGTCCTCACCAGAGAAGAGGACGTCATCGAGTATGTCGAGGGGTTCGTCATGGCACCTTTCCTCGTCTTCCTCCGCCCGCCGTTTGTTGTCGTCGTCCATATTGATGATTGCAACTCGGACGGTGCTGCTGCTGCCCGGGGCTTCTTTTCCGCCTTCTGGTCGCTCTTGAACTTTTTGAATTCCTCCATCCAGTCTTCTGACACGGCACTCTCCCCAGGCTGCGCTTTGTTCGTGTCTGTGAGCTGCGGCGCCTCCTCGTCCTTTGCCTCTCCCCCAGTTGCCTTGACGGTGCGATCTGACTCCCACCCCTCATCCTCCTCCTCAAATTCATCATATACCTCCTCAAACTCGTGCAGACCCAACTCCTCCCCGTCCTTGGCCAGCTCCTGGAAGATATCCTCGCCGCCTTCGTCGTCCACATAGGCGTCGTCCTCCAGCGCCTCAAGAACCTCCCGCAGCCGCGGGTCCATGTCCGGCTGGAAACCCGCGATCGCGTCAGGCACGTCCTGCTGCGCCTGGTACGTCAGTCGCTGCAGGTTTTTGTTGGGTAGAATGTCGTTGTCGAGAGCCAGGTCCTCGGTCTGGTTCTGCAGGTCCAGCTGGCGCAGGGCGTCCTCGAGCGGCTGATGCTGCTTGGCCTTGCCCTTGTTGCCCACGGGTTTGGCCTCGACAAACACGGCCTCGCCCGACCCCTGGCCCAGGTCCCGCAGGTGCTGCATGTAGTCGTACTCGGTGTCGTCGTAGTAGATGCCGTAATTGGCCGCCTCGCCCTCGTTGTCGCGGATGCTGAGCGCGTCGGACCCCAGCTCCGAGGCGAGGTCGCTCAGGCCACGGCCCTTGGTGGACTTGTTGGCGGGCTGAGTCGGGGCGAGCACCATGGCCGGCGCCGACTCGTCGTGGATGAGGGGATCATTTTGAGGGCGGTACACGAGCGTGAAGTGCGTCGCCGTCTTTTTGTTGCTGCAGGCGGGTCAACTAAGTAAGTGACTTAAAGTTGGCCAGAGACTACGTACATCCACTTCCCCTTCGGCATCTTGAATAGCACTCAGAGGGCACTTTGGTGTCGAGGGTGGTTGTTGGACAGAGGAGAATGTGCCCCTAGTGCGTGCTGCTTCCCCTGGCATGAACTCCGCCAGATGGCACTCCCAGGTTGCTCCAATCTGGAAAATTTTGGTGGGGTAGAATTTCGTTATCTTATCGAATACCTAGTATCCGTACTGAGTATTACGGCTTAAGATACCACTTCAGTCAAGCAGCAAGAGTTTGCGTTTGATTCAGTTTTGACCACGGAATGAGCAATGGCATAAGATATGATCTGCTAGTGCATCCATAGGTACCCAAGAACCAAATTGTGCTCCTTTGGGTGGCGATGATGCTAAAGACAAGACTACCGCCATGCTAAGCAATGACGCCAGATGTACTCGTACGACCACAAGATCAGACGCCGCAAATTTGCCCCTCCATTTATCAGCAAGGTCCCCAAGACACCCCGCCTGCCCTGTGACACAGTAACCGGTGCTGGTTTTCCTCCACGACTAAGCACTGGGAAAGTGCTTCAACAACGCAGTTTACAGAAAATCTAGCCTACAGGGTTAGGTTTCCAAGATGGTGCTCGCAAAGTCAAAGAAGTCGGTCGGCCTGGGCAACCAGCTGATGAAGGACCGGTTCGGCAAGGGCAAGGGCGGCGACCGGAAACGGGTCGGCGCAGTCACCCGCGTCGACCACGCGACCGGCGAGGAGTACATCACCAACGACAGAGAGGAGGCAGGATGGGTCAAGATGCGCTCCGTCACCGAGCAGGGAGCTCTCGACGAGTTCCTGGCCACCGCCGAGCTGGCCGGCACTGACTTCACGGCCGAGAAGATGAACAACGTCAAGATCATTCACACCGACCAGCGGAACCCTTACCTACTCTCTGCGGCCGAGGAGAGAGACGTGCTTGGGAAGCAGAGGGAGCACAAGGCGCGCCTCACGGTGCCGAGGCGGCCGCATTGGGATGCGTCAACTACGCGCGAGGAGCTCGACCGTTTCGAGCGCGACAGCTTCTTGGAGTGGCGAAAGGGCCTCGCCGAGCTCCAGGAGACACAGGATTTGTTGATGACGCCATTCGAGCGAAACCTTGAAGTATGGCGGCAGCTCTGGCGAGTCATCGAACGGTCCGATGTGGTGGTACAGATCGTCGATGCAAGGAATCCTCTGATGTTCCGGTCCGAGGACCTTGAGGCATATGTCAAGGACGTCCACCCAAAGAAGCAGAACCTGCTCCTCATCAACAAGGCCGATATGATGACCTACAAGCAAAGGAAAGCGTGGGCGAACTATCTCAAGGGCGCCGGCATTGCGTATCGGTTTTTCTCGGCCCAACTGGCCAAGGAAATGCTTGAGGCCGGGGACTCCGAGAGCGAGGAAGAGAAAGAGGCCGGCGCCAGCGGGAGAGGCGCACCGTTGAAGGGCGGGTTGGATGCAGAGCGCCAGGATGGATCTCAAGGTGCGGATCATGAACAAGTGGAGGCAAGCGGTGAGGCAGATACCAGGATTCTGTCAGTTGATGAATTGGAGAGTATGCTCCTTCACTATGCACCAGAAGACGCCGGTGAGTGATTGTCTGACAAAGATCGGATTTTCTTGTGCTGATTTGAATAGGGCCGGACCGGAAGCTCCAGGTCGGCTTAGTCGGCTATCCCAATGTCGGCAAATCCTCGACCATCAACGCGCTCATCGGAGCCAAGAAGGTCTCCGTTTCCTCAACTCCAGGCAAAACGAAGCATTTTCAGACAATACACCTCAGCGACAAGGTCATTCTTTGCGATTGCCCTGGTTTGGTCTTCCCCAACTTCGCCAGCACCAAGGCCGAGCTTGTCTGCAACGGTGTTCTGCCCATCGACCAACTGCGCGAATACAGCGGCCCGGCTACACTTGTCGCCCGGAGGATTCCGCAAGCATTCCTTGAGGCCATATATGGTATTCAAATACGCACTCGTCCTCTAGAAGAAGGGGGCACCGGAATTCCCACCGGCGAGGAGCTGCTCAGCGCGTATGCCCGCCACAGAGGCTTCATGACGCAAGGCCTTGGTCAACCGGACCAGTCCCGCGCCGCGAGGTACGTCCTCAAAGACTACGTCAACGGCAAGCTGCTCTGGGTCGAGCCGCCGCCGGGCGTCTCTGATCCGCAGGAGTTCAACCGTGAGCTCTACGACATCTCCCAGCTCCCGGCCAAGCGGCGGGCGGTCCTTGCAGCGGCCATGGAGGAGTTGTCGGTCGAAGGCGACGATAGTGGCTCGGTTCTGTCCGAAATGGCCCCGCTCCCGCGGGGACTCAAGTCGGAAAGACTTGACAAGGCCTTCTTCAAGGCTGGCCAGGGCAGTGCTGGCCACCTGTCGAGGCCGTTCAACTACAAGTACTCGGAGCAGGGCAAGGCCGAGATTGCGGGGAAGCAGCTGAGCGGGCGGAAGCTGCGGACCATGATTGCGCTGGAGAAGGGCATCGACCCGAAGGATGTGCAGATCGCGTCTGGTAAGAAGCACTTCAAGGGCGGCCAGAAGGCTAGGAAGTTCAAGGGAAGCAGGGCGGACGAGGATGATTGATATGGACACAAGTTGTAAGGTTTAGGAATAATTGGACGGTCACATCCGTATATCGGTTGATATCGGTCTCTTGGCGTTTCAAAAGTAGATGGGTCAATGGCATGGTCGTGACTTGCTCGCATCCTCCACTAGCCCTCAATGTGACCTAGTTGGGATGTGCTGAGCCAACAGTATGAATAGTCAAGCAATATAGGGACATGAGTGATCGAGCGCATGGTATTCCACCCCAGAATGGAGAAGTGCATTTCTTGCTACACAGTAGCTCACCGTTCTCAGTTGAATGTTTAGCTAACGGTCTGAGGGACCACTCACAGTCAACCCTAACCCCGCACCCTCTGTCTGCAGCAGCTTCTTGACCCAGAAAATTTCCCCTTGTGATCTTGAACCGTCGCAGTTCTGGCCGAAACTCCGTATATCGATTCCCCCAGTCCTGTCCGCGTATCACCATGGCGAACCTCCGAGGGTTGTCGAGGCCGGCTCGCAACCTTCCTGTGTCCCAATTAGCACGCCAGACATACACAGCTATCCCGGTACGATGTGCCTCGTCACAAGCCGCCGAGGCCGCGGCGCCAGTGCTCAACGACCTTGAAGACTCAACGCTCACGGCGCCACAATTGAGCGAGGAAGAGAAGAAGCAGTTCAGGCCATGGAAGCGTGCGAAAGACAGGAAATTTGCGCTTCCTAGCGGAAGGTAAGCCGCCACCACTCTCAGCTGCCAGTCGCTCCCAAACACCACTAACTCCCTTTCCTAGATACCAGTACCACCCCCCCAAGTACAACCGCGGTCCGCTCCACCCGGTCCAGTCCCCTCCCTCCTCGGACCCGATCGCGCGCGATTTCGTCCCGGGCCCCTTCAACCTCCCTCGCCTCAAGCAGACCTACCACTCGACCATCGCGTCGGACCTCATGACGCTCGCCTACACGCACGTCCCGCCGGGTACGCCCAAGAAGGAAGCGGCCGACCGGCTCCGCGGCTGGGACGGCTCGTCCCCCTACCACAAGAACCGCGCGCTGCGCGGGCCGCGCGGCAATCCGGTGCTGCCGCTGGTCGAGCGCGACATCACTTTCAACAACATCCCCGAACTGAAGGAGATCACCATCGCCAGCTACGTGCCCGACGCCATCAAAGACCCGAACCACCTGCTGGTGGCGCGCAGCGTGCTGCTGGCGCTGACGGGCACGACGCCCGAGATTACCAAGACCAAGACCAACGTCGTGCAGTGGGGAATCAAAATTGGCGACCGGGCTGGTGTCAAGACGACCGTGTACGGCAACGCGGCGTATGAGTTTTTGGATCGGTGTGTGCATTTGGTGTTTCCGAGGATCAAGGACTGGATGGGGATTTCGGGTGAGTTAGCCCCCGGTAAAAAGGGTCAGGCTGGGAGTGGGGTGCTGACGGCGTGGGATAGCTACGACCGGTGACAGCTCGGGCAATCTCTCGTTTGGTCTTACGCCGGAGGAGGTGAGGCTGTTCCCGGAGGTCGAGGCTAATGCTTGGGTGAGTTGATTCGAATTGTCTTTCTTTTGCGTGGTTTCATTAATGAGGTTGCAGTTGTACCCGGCCAAGATGCTTCCCGGCTGCAGGGTGTTTATCAAGACGTCGGCAACCTCGGACAGGCAAGCGCGGCTGCTGCTGCAGGCCTTTGGCGTGCCGTTTTACGGGGAGGTCCGGAACTAGAGTCGATACCGCTTCGCTTGTACAATATCATCGGTGTATACTTGTTATCATCTGTGTATACTTGTAACATCCGGGGAAGTGTGTCAGAATATAGACGACCTTATCCTTTTCTTCCTCTATATTTGCCTTCCCGCAGACGCCATGCCCAGATCATGTCTATGTGCCGATAGAACCCAACCCAATAACGCATCGATGCATCAAAAGCCACCCTCTCTATACTCAAAACCTCAAATCTCGGCATTGACCTTGTCCCGCAACCACCCAATAACGCCATCCACCGCATCCATATCCCCCGCGTCCACCCTGTCCCCCTGCCCATGGTCATGCCCGGCCTTCCTCAACTCCTCGGACGCGACGTCCATAGCAGGCTGGTAGTTCCTGACAGCCGAGCTCAGCGCATAAATAGCCTTCCTCCTCACGGCCTCGTGCTCATCCGCGCTCGTCGCCAGCCCAACCAGCTTGGGCACGCCACCCATGGCGAGCAGTCGCTCCTGCGTCCGCACGTTATTCTGTACCGCCGTGCCCACGCACCACGCCGCCATGCGCCGCAGCTCCCGCTCCTCGTGCGACAGCAGGGAGAGCAGCGGCGTCCAGAGGGAGAGGGGCTCGAGGTTGTTCGCGTTGTCGAGTGACTCGATGAGCTGCTCGAAGTTGTCAAACGCCACCAGCTTGGTCTCGAGGCTGGCGTCCGCGTCCGTAATGACTTCCATGGCGGCGCGCATCAGCTCGGCTTCTGAGGGCCCGCCGAAGAGAGCTTGGAGGATCTCGGGGTTGAGCTGACTCCCTGTTGTTCCGGCGGGCGCTGAGGATGCGGAGGAGGGGTTGGTGGTGGTACCGTCGGTGGAGTGGGTTGCTATGCCCGTTGCGCCGTCGGGGACGGCGGCTGCTGAGGAGAGCGTCGAGTTCTCGATGCTCCATTTGAGGAGGTTGTTGAGGTTTCTGTCCATATTGGAGGGGTCGTAACCTCGACAATCTTGGTAAGTTTCAGAACTGTGATGTTCCCGTCGTTAACAATGTTTTGAAAGTCCGGACAATGGATGGAAAATGTGCAGATATGGCAGACGTACTCGGTTGTAGTCAATTTCTTTGCTTTGTTTTCATGGGGTTCACGATCAAGCGGACCAGTAAGGCTGGTTGTATCCATAGATTTGCGAACCACACTCTTTGCCTGCCGCGATCAAAAAGAGTCGCGATCGTGGTCTTGGCGTCGCGAATGTTCACGAAAGTTCTGTCCGAGAAAAGCTAACGCCGTGCTATGTGAACCAGAGAAATACATAGGTACCTATCATCATCTCCGCTGTTGCTGAAGCCATACGAAGGTACGGGGCTGAAATAACAGCAGTGGGTCCGGTACGGACAGGGGTATCTCGCATGTACCACCATCCCTTCTCCCAACATTGCAATCGAGGCATTCCAGTCCATACTGCAGTTACTTCAATATTTAGTATAGAGCCCATTTGCCGCGATAACTGCTTGAATGCGGTCGGGCATGCTATGGACTAACTCTAAGAGTCAGTCTTCAGGGACCTTTTCCCATGCCTCTTTCACAGCAATGCGAAGTTGATCATATGCCGTCTTTTCTGGGAAGTTTTTCTCCAAATAGTCCTTCATCCAGTTCCATACATTCTCGATTGGGTTCAGATCGGGACTGTATGGTGGCCATTCCAGGACTTCAATGCCCCTCTCAAGAAGTTCCAGTTTAGTTGGTTGTGCAGCGTGGCCTGGGGCACCATCTTGCATGAAGATGTGCCCTTCGTGGAGATTGTACCATCCTTCAATGACAGGAATAGTATGCTGGATGTATGATTCCGAAGAGATCGACCCCCAATCTTTCTCCCAGAAGATCCCAGGTCCCTTGCCAGCATGCCCAGAAAAGCAACCCCAAAACATCCAACCTCGCCGCTTAGGCTCCCGTTCCACGATACAGGTCGGGTCAAGCTCTTCATCGGGTCGTCGTATAACGTATGTTTTACGATACTGGCCACCGGTAATCCAGCTCTCGTCACTCCAAAGAATCATTGCCCAATCTTCAACTGTCCAGTGCTCTCGCTCTTTACACCACTCGAGCCGCTTGATTCGGGTTGCCTCTGAGATTGGTGGTTTTCGACGAGCGACGTATCTCTTGAAACCAGCACGACGGAGCGCGTAACGAACAGCGTAATGTGTGACATTCCAGCCCATTGCTTCAGGTAGCTTCTTCCACGGCATCCGTCGACCTTCCTTTGAAGAGGTGACGAATTCAATAAGCTCGTCAATTTGGGCCGCAGTTAACATACCAGGCCGGCCAGATCGTTTTCGAGGAGTTGCTTGTGCTGCAGATATCGCATATCGAACCTGGCCCATTGTAGCGCCAGTATAGGTCTTGATCCTCTCCAAGGACCATCCTATCTCTCGTAGCAGGCGTATCCCACGGCGTTGATCCCGATTCAAGTCACCGGCGCGCCCAGAAGGGGTGGAAGGTCGGATTGTGCGTTCAAGCTCCTCTTGTCGCTGAAGAAGTTGCTGAAGTTGCTGCTGTTGAGCCGCTGCTGCTGCTCAATCCGGTCTATAGTCTGCCGGATTTGTCGCAGCTCTGGATTATCTTCGGAGGGCTCCATCTCGGTCAGAAGAGGCACGTTGAAGAGGCGCGTTGAAGAGATCGCGTTTTGTTGTGTTGGTTGGGTACAAAGAGAGACCTGACAACTACCCTTGTCGGTACCGGCCTACTGCTGTTATTTCAGCCCCCTACCTTCGTATTAACAGCCATTACAGCACGGTTTCATCGTAGCCATTCCGACATGCCCAATTGTTAAACGCGTATGCTGCATACAGTATGTCAGTTTGGTGTAACTAACGCCCTGATATTGACGACTGCCTGGTCTGGGTACGGCGTACGTCAGCCCCTATTTGTAATCCAGGCTTCTGCATGCGGAGCTGTACTGTGTGTTGCGGTCCAGATGAGCCTGAGGAGGTGTTTTTAGGACCATCCGGCTTCAAGCTGCTCCTCCAAGTAAGTCCAGTCACCGTGTTCCTTGTCTGTATTGTTTTCTCGAGGTTCACGTTCATCACTGCCAAGAAACATACGTAGACCTCGCCAGGCTGCTGAGAAATCAACTTGGGGTCAGGACCAGTTCAAAGAACGAAAAAGCGATGCCTGCTTGGCCAAGAGATGGCGGCGCCTTCGCCTTTAGTGCACCGCAACTTCAAACTCTTCACTACAAACTCGTGATACGTAGTAGCGAGACACTATCTGCCAAGAGTTGCTGTGTTATCAGCGATGCTGCACCGTAGTCTTGTGCCACATACTCTTCCAAAGTCGGTGCTCCTGGCAGAAATACGATTGCCTGGGCCATGACGCGGAAAGCATGCTGTTATTTGCTGCCTTATGGAATCATAAACCCTACGGATAGTTACAAGTCTTTGCAAATTGACTCGGAATTGCCATCTCCCCAGCCACGGCAAGTTACGCCAGGTGAGGCCATTCCGCCAGGCACCTCGTTTTCAACAAGCCCGTCAGCGTAAATGGTGACAGCAAACCCTTCCCTTCTGCCAATGAGGCAGTCTCGTCTGTCCAAACCTACCCCACCATATCCCACACCGCCTGCCCCACAGCATTTCCCGGCTTCCATAGTCGCATGGGGCGCAGGGACCCAAGCCTTTCCTTCCTCTCCACCCGCACACATATTCCCCCTCTCAACCCACGCCAACTCAAGCACTGACCTTTTAATTCACCTCCTTTCCAACCTCGCGCGGCGCCTCCAGCCATCTCTTCCTCTTGCCTCTGCTGCGTTACCCGCGACAATACCATCACGAACAGCACTGCCGATTTGGGGATCGCACTAGCTGATTAATTAATTCTCTTTACTTCGCTTTTCGCGCCTTTTCAGTCTCACAAGATGGAGGGTAAGTCCGGCAGCCTGCAGTCCCTGAAGCCCGACCTCCTGCTGCTCGGGCGGCATCAAGCCCGGCGCGTGCGCTGCATACATCTCATTAGCTGAACATCTGCTGATGGAACCTCTTCTCTTTAGAAGAAGTTGCTGCCCTCGTCATCGACAATGGGTAAGCCCGACCCCTTGAATTTTCACCAACTCTGCGGCCGCGGGCGGAGCATCGTCAGCTTCGGCCCACCCGTTCCCCCCCGCGTAATCGCTGAGTTCACAAGAGCCTTCACAATGGAGGTTCTCGGAGGGGCCGAGCTAACATGCAACTAGCTCCGGCATGTGCAAGGCCGGTTTCGCTGGTGACGATGCGCCGCGCGCTGTTTTCCGTAAGTTTCGCACACCCGATTTCGAGCTTGGTCGGCGATAAGCCGAGCTCGCTTCATCAAGCTGCTGTTGGGGGAAACGCAGACCGATTAACTCTCACATGCAGCGTCCATCGTCGGTCGTCCCCGTCACCATGGGTAGGCTTGGATCCCCGAACTATTCTGCGACGTTCGAGACCAGCAAACTAACACCCGGCTAGTATCATGATCGGCATGGGGCAAAAGGACTCGTACGTCGGTGATGAGGCTCAGTCCAAGCGTGGTATCCTGACGCTGCGCTACCCCATCGAGCACGGTGTCGTCACCAACTGGGACGACATGGAGAAGATCTGGCACCACACCTTTTACAACGAGCTCCGTGTTGCTCCCGAGGAGCACCCCGTACTGCTGACCGAGGCTCCCATCAACCCCAAGAGCAACCGCGAGAAGATGACGCAGATTGTCTTCGAGACCTTCAACGCCCCTGCCTTCTACGTCTCCATCCAGGCCGTCCTGTCGCTCTACGCCTCGGGTCGTACCACGGGTATCGTGCTTGACTCGGGTGACGGTGTCACCCACGTCGTGCCCATCTACGAGGGTTTCTCGCTCCCGCACGCCATTGCCCGTGTCGACATGGCTGGCCGTGACCTGACGGACTACCTGATGAAGATTCTCGCTGAGCGCGGTTACACCTTCTCGACCACGGCCGAGCGTGAAATCGTCCGTGACATCAAGGAGAAGCTCTGTTACGTTGCCCTCGACTTCGAGCAGGAGATTCAGACCGCCGCCCAGAGCTCCAGCCTGGAGAAGTCGTACGAGCTTCCCGACGGACAGGTCATCACCATCGGCAACGAACGATTCCGTGCTCCTGAGGCCCTCTTCCAGCCCTCTGTCCTAGGTCTCGAGAGCGGCGGTATCCACGTCACCACCTTCAACTCGATCATGAAGTGTGACGTCGACGTCAGGAAGGATCTTTACGGCAACATTGTCATGGTAAGCGGAAGATGCCTTGGGAGATTACTCAAAGTCTTGACTAACGCGCATGATTCCAGTCTGGTGGTACCACCATGTATCCTGGTCTCTCGGACCGTATGCAGAAGGAGATCACTGCTCTTGCTCCTTCGTCGATGAAGGTCAAGATCATTGCTCCTCCCGAGCGCAAGTACTCGGTTTGGATCGGTGGTTCCATTCTCGCCTCCCTGTCGACTTTCCAGCAGATGTGGATCTCGAAGCAGGAGTACGACGAGAGCGGCCCCTCGATCGTGCACCGCAAGTGCTTCTAAAGTGAGCATCGAGTCGCCAAAAGAAGAACAAGTTGGAGAGAACGTGGGCTTACGAGGTGTTCTAGCGCAGCATTCGGGCAACTTGCCGGATCGTCGCGAGGCAGGGCTGGCCGCGCTGCGGAGGACTTTGGCGTCGCGCATGTATCTCCTGGGCCATTCTCATATCTTACAAAAGTTTTGATGCTGGTCAGGGAACGGTGGGCATTTAGCATTCTCCGTTGGCACATGTGGACGCACGACGGCCTTTGTTTCCTGGGCGAGCGGGCGCGTGCGTAGGGCGGCGCGGACTAGTAGGCCAAAGAGCTTGAGGATACAATTTTTCGTTATTGTGCCGCTGGTTGTCTCTGTGATGGCTGACTCCTCTCTCATGCAACTAGCCGTTGCCGCTGGCAGATGTTGCGTTTAAAGCCGGAATAGAGGAATCACCTATCTCGTGTGTTGAGCTCTGGCCGAGTTCGGTCTGTGGGTATCTGTGCCCAGTCCCTTCTTACCTCACTCCAGCCTGTACTCCGTCTTCTTTCCTGTTGTCGCTGCTGAGCGCTCGTGCCGTACGTCTACCTCGTACTGGTCCGGTATCTAGCATTGTTCTTTTCCGATCCCATTACTTTCATCTCGTCGGTTTGTCCCCTTTTTCTTTCTCTGACACCGCCTCCTTCCCGTGTCTATCTGTCTCTACTCCCTCCCCTTCTTCCTCTGCCTCGTCTCGCCCTTCTTCTTCTACCTCGTCTGCCCGACCTTGTGTTGCGGTTTTCGCTCGGATCTCCCCAACCCTATTTCCAACCCCGGTCCCGGCCTCCTCAGCCAGCTTCCTGTACTTGCGCCGCGCCTTCTTGGCCCGACTGTCGGCCCGCTTCTTCTTAACGTCGGACACGATGGCCGCGCGCGACTGGGGCCCGTTGGCCAGCTCGTCGAGCTTGAGGGCCAGCAAGTCGCGCGCGATCTTGCGGTTCTGTGTGCGCGAGCGTGTGGCCTGTGATTTGACTACTATGCCCGTGGGTATGTGTCTTAGTTGGACGGCGGAGTTTGTCTTGTTCTGGAGGGGTTTAGAAGGTGTCAATGGTTATGTTGGGTTCCGGGTGGGTTGGGAATGTGGAAGAGGGAGGTATTTTCTGTACAATCTTTTGCCCGCCAGGCCCGCTACCTTTGAGGAAGGACTCTTCGATTTCGGATTCGGGTGGGTGTTTGGGCCGCGGGGGCATTTGCTTGAAGTTGGTTGCTGTCGAGGTTGTGAAGCCGCTTCTCAGCCAGGGATTGGGGAAGCCATAGCGCGGCCGGCAGAAGCCTGCTGGACGGAACAGAAGGTGAAGGCAAGAGAGGGGTCGAAGCATGGCTGCTTGGTTAATCAGGTATCTCAAGTCATGTCGTCTGGATGCCCTTGTTTAGATGCGGTGTCGCTGTTGGATGGGTGCATTACACATTACACTGCGCCGCGTCTTGCCGCTAACGTTGTTCGACAGAGCCGGCAACAAACGGTGGCTGCATGAAAGCTTGGCGGGTAAATAATAAGCCAATCAGACTGCGATGAACCTTCCCATTCGGCGGCCGGCAATGCTTCGTCGGATCCTGAGCATGATTTGGTGCAACGGACCTCAAGCATGCCACACGGATTTGCATTAGAATCAGCGACTAGACTCGGAACAATAGATTTCATCACCGGCAACCTGAACATACCGACGAGCGTATGATAAAGTCTGGGTAGCACCCATCAGCACATTCAACAACGACAGCGACAAGGGATCTAACGCACCCACAACTTCCTCCCTCCTTCCGTTCGAACCCCTTTTGCGACAAACCCTCTGGACACCCGCCCGCCATGGCCTCGCCGCTCGAGTCTTTCAGCAAGTGGCTCCAGCTCAAGATTTACCGGCTCGAGGTGACACTGAGCGTGTACATGTACACGCCCGTCGAAAAATTCATTTTCTGTTCGTTTTCCCCTTCCCCCTTCCTATCCAGTTTATTATCTCTGTGAAATACATGTCAACTAATGCGAATCCCCTTCTCCAACAGACTCTGTTCTCTTCCTGCTCTGCTCCCTCACCTTCATCGCGAGCGTCCTTTACTTGCCCGAGCACGTTCAATTCATCATCAACCGCGCCTGGTTTTACATGCACGGCGACTCGTGCGAGTCGTCGGCGGCAGCGGCCGAGTTGGTCAAGGACGGCGTGGGTCAGGTACTGAGCTCGGTGGCCGCGAGGACAGCAGCGACTACAATTGAGGCGGTGAAGGAGCTTTGATCGTTGTTGAGGGGGTGGAGTTTCTGGCTGGTTCTTTTTTTCGTCGGGCTTGGGAGAGAAGGGAAGAAAAGACGACTAGAGGTGGCAAAGGTTGGTCATAATTCAAGGCTGGGTGAACGGGACTGGTTAATTACGGGCTGACGATGATACCGGAATGGGGACTGGCAGTTGCGCTGCTGTCTGGGGGTATAAAGGGGGCGTTGGAGCAGAACGGGCAGGGTGAGAAAGGTTTCTGGCTTTGATATCAGGTAGTCACAACGGCATGTGGATGTTGAAGGGAAGCGGAATACGGCGTTTGGGGCAATTAGGAGGGATAGAGCCCGTTATGTGGGCAGTAATAACCTAATATGAGCCATGCATACCAAACATCCATACTCCCGACGGCACCATTTGATCATACCCAGACATCCATTCTATCTATGTCCCTGCACCCCTTTTATGACGAAGGAAATGAGTATATCCTCAACGAACCATCCTCGCCCGCGATTGCCAGCTCCCGCCCAGTTTGGCTTTCTCTCGCCGGCCGCCACGCAAGCTGCAGCACCGCCTTGGGCAGGCACAGCTCCGGCTGCACAGTCAGCGTCGAGACAACCTCAACCACCGCGCCCTCCACCTTGAGCGTTAGCACGAACAACTTCCCAGCCTCGGTGCCTACAGCAAGCAGCAGCAGCCCCTCCGGCGTCACCTCGGGCACGAAATCCAGCGCCGTAACAGGATGCTCCAGAGTAACAGCCGTGCCGAGCTCAAACGACCCTTCGCCCGCTTTCCTAACCCACACTTTGACCAGCTTGTCCCTCCCCGCCGTCGCAAACAATCTCGTGTCGTCACCAACGGCCGGCGGCGCCCACGCAGCATCCAGGATCATGCGCGCATGCCCCTTGGCATTAGCCTGCACCAGCCTGAATGACCCGCCTCCCCTATCCCGGGAATCACTTTCCCAAACAACCCACTGCCGGTCCCGCCCCACGCTCAGCAACATGTTATCGTCCGCCGAGAACCGGACCCGGGCAACGGTCAGACTGTGCGCCTGCAGGGGCGGCTTGACCTCGGTCCAGCGCTGCGTCTCAAATAGCCGGATGACGGCGTGGTTGAGTGAGCTGGCCTTGCAGGCGCTGGCGATCAGCCGGCCGTCGTGGCTGGCGGCGAGGCACGAGATCTCGTAGCCGTGGCCGTAGAGCTTCTCAATCTCGGGCCAAAGCGTGTGGCGCGAGAGGGACTCTTCGAAGGGGGGGTGGGTGATGTCGAGGGCGGATTGGAGGTGGGGGAGGGTGGCGGCAGGGTCTGCAGCGTCGCGGTCTGCGGAGAAGGGGTCGGAAGGGTCGGGGCTGTTGTGGTTCGATGCGGGGTTGAGAAGGCCAGTGTCGTCTTTGGCGGAGGGGAGGGCGGTAATGGCTTTGTTGGAGAGGCCTAGCACCGGCATGTTGGCTGCGTCCGGGGCGGTGGAGACGTCAGCGGTGGTGATGTTGGTCAGGCGGTTGAGCATGCGGGCGACGGCTTTGGGCTCGGTGAAGACGCGCATGAGCTTCTCGTCGGCGCCCGAGACGAAGGAGGAGGGCCCTAGCGTGGAGATGCAGTTGAGATCGTAGCCGTGAATCTGCGGACGCGACATTTCGTGCCACGACTCGGAGGATGCATCAGCCGCCCATTGGGCGTGGAGGCGGGTGGTCTGGTCGGAGCTGGCCGAAAGAAGGTAGACGCCGCCGCGGGACCACGAGATGCCCGTAACGGCCCGGATGTGGCCAGAGATGGCAAAATTCTGCTTCCATACGTCCTCGGCCGCGTCGTAGTCCCATCGCCGCCAGCTGCCTGTGCGGCCGAGCGTGATGACGGTGGTGCCGTTGGGTGACCACAGGCCGGTCCAAAACCCACCGATGCTGCCTGTGGCCGTCGTAGCTCCTTTCTCTCTGCTAATCTCTCCGAGACGTGCGACTGTGATCCAGATGCCAGACTTCGGGTCTGATTCCCAGAGCGACAGTGAGTTGTCTGCCGAGGCGGACAGGAGCTGCAGGCGGCCATCAACGGCACGAGACCAACGGGCGCTGTAGATCCAATCTTCGTGACCGAATAGAAGAGCCTCAAACATAATGCAGTACTTGGTAATCCCAGCCGTAATTTTGTGGATTTTGTTGCCTGGCGCCAGGGCTTCGGCTGAGAAATCGAGCCCTGCCGTGTTGAGGGCGGAGGGAGTTGTGCCCTGGTAGACACGCCACAGTCGGATGTACTTGTCCTGGCTTGCTGAGGCCAGGAGAATGTCGCTGCCTTGCTCGGGATTTTCGCGTATGAAGTCGAGCGAGCGAATCCAGTTCTCGTGGCCGGGCAGGATGGCCTGCAGGGAGAAGTCGAGCCCTGCTTGTCCGTCCGCTGCCGAGGCTGTGAATATCTGGATAGCATTGGTGGTCCCAGCGACGGCCAGCATGATAGCGTTTCCATCATCATCAAGCGAGGTCAAGGCGACGGCCAGGGGCATGTATTTCCTTGTCGTCTTGATTGTCTGAAGAAGTTTGACGGTGGCACCATCGAAGGCCCACAGCCTGACAGTGGCATCAGCCCCTCCCGTGACGAATATCCGTCTCGCCCCGTTCCCAGATGCAGTGCCTGGAACCGAGGCAATGCAATTGATGGGCTCGGTGTGCTCTTGCACGACTTGAACACATGAAGCAGTGCCGGACTCTGAGTCTATGGCCCAGAGTCGGAGTTGCTTGTCGTCTCCGCCCGTCACCAATTGGACAACACTAAACCCTTCATCTTTGGGCAGAAACTTGACGGCTCGCACATGTGCAGAGTGGCCGCTGAGGATATGTGAGATGCCTCTGGAGTCCTAAAACGGATCATTAGTTCAGATCCGATCATGAGTTAGCGGAGTGACGAGGTGAAAAACTTACAGTTGGGTCCCACAGACAAACATTCGCGTCGGATCCAAAAGCGACGAGGCCATCCTCGCTCCAGTCGGCGGCCGCAGCATATCTGTTTGCTCCCGCAGAGAGGTAGCGGCTCTCTACAGCGGCTTCGGTCATGTTCTCACTCTTGTTTTCACTCATTGCTTGCTCATCGCGGTTTGGCAGGGGGCAAGGTGCTGCCCAGAGGTGTGATTGGTCCACTGAATTGGGAAAGAGTTTTGGGTTGCTTGAGAAAATGATACAGCTCTTCTTGAACTGTCTATTATGAGGGGCAATCGAGATGATCGATTTCACATACAAGATTTCGGCTTTGCACTAACAGATGCTTCAAGCCGCCATGTCGGGCTAGGTAAGATTCGCTCGCATTCTGAAAGTTCTGGAGGCTAATTACTGTATGTACATGCGCATCAAAATCCGATATGGACCCACTACAAGTGCCCACTCCACAGTAATCCGTACATCAACAACAAACGGTTATCTTGGATGAGTTTGTCACTCATTCCCGAATCAACCCTACAATAGTACACTCAACTGCCCGATCTCTTCGGCGACTTCACTTCGGCGACTCCATCGACATGGCCGACACAAGCGAAACCACGACAATCCCGATCACAGTTGACTTCTCGTGAGTCCCCCAAGTAACACACACACCTTACCCTCCAAGCGTCCTTTGTCACATCTCATACACCTCAAAACTAACATGGGTGATTGCCAGAGGAGGTCTCGAGATGCTCTTCGACAGCAAACGGCGACACTCGATCTCGCTGCCTGCAACCGATGGAAGCGGCAAACCCGCCAACATTGCCTTTCTGATCGACCATCTCTGCAGGAACCTGATGAAAGACCCGCGCGCCGAGCTGTTTGTCCTCGACAACCACATGTATGTCTTGTCTCGGCTCATTGTCCTAATTTTTCGAGTCTAACTTGGCAGTCGCCCCGGCATCCTAGTCCTCATCAACGACGCCGACTGGGAACTTGAAGGGGAAGAGGCCTATGAGATCCAGCCCCGAGACAACATTCTGTTTGTCTCAACGCTACACGGAGGCTGACCAGGGCAAGCGAACTTCAACCTGGAGACTTTGCAGAGACTTTGGAGTTAGACTGCTTCCCCCGAAGGCAGGATAAATGCTGCACCTACACAGTGCACCGCAGGGCTCATTCACATGACGTCCCCAACCAAAAGAAGTACCCACCAACCATCACGACAGTCGAAATCTCTCTGCCAAGTCAGGGCACACGCCTCAGGTATGGTGCATACACAGCCATATGCACACGGTGTGCTCTCCAGAGCCTGCTTTTGCGCAGAATTCAACCAAAGCCTCGAACGATCACCTGGCCTGCTCGAGCTGCGGGCCTAGACGCTGTGCAACCGCAGCCCCCGGCGGGATGAAAGCGTGGTGTCTCCAGGTCAGATGAGAACAAACAGTGGGCAAGGGCTGTCACGTTTAAGTTAACATGGGGCGCTATGAGGGGCACCTCTCCACCGTGGCCAGGATGAACACCACAAATGCCGCCAAACATCGATTTGTTTCTCCCCGTTTGAGGGCTTCTCTTGGGGGAGGTTTCCGGGTACGAAGTAGAAAATAATAGAACACAAACCCGTTCGTCTGGACTCTCTCGCCTCTTGTTTCCTATCCCAGAATCCGCATAAGCTGGGGTCTCCAGAGTGAGATAACAGACGGGAAAATCCGCGGTCGAAAAACTTGACAGATAGCGCTCACCATGTGATCCCGGCAATGAGCGGGTAGACGGGCACTGCTCACACCACGACTTCGTGACGAGGCACGAAGGTTCGCCGAGCTCCTCCGTCGACGGCAAGCAAGGAGCAGGGCAGGACAGTGACGCTCCCATCCATACCAAGAACGGATATCCAAGATCAGATTAGGAGCTCGGGACGGGAACCTGGGGCCAGGGAAGTGGACACCGGAAACCAAGCCGGGTGGGGCGCAGGGAGTTAAGAGTCGGGTTAGCGCTGCCCTCTCACAGAGAGGATGTTTGGGGACTTCGAGTTCTTTCCCAGCCAAGTTTGGTGAGAAGTGCGGATCGACAGCTTATCCGCGCCGAGTACTAAATGCGGAGTTCGAACTCAAAATTCTTTCAAGGCTTTCGAGGCCGTTGCGCTCCTTGGTGAAACACCTTTTCGCGAGGGAGGCGTTTTCGAGGGTCCAAGTTACCAACGTTTCGCCGCGCGGGGTAAAACCTGTCTGGGCCATGCCGGGTGATCACTTGGCTCGAGATGGAGCAGAGAAGGGGATGCCGAGGGAGGGAGGGGGGAGCATCCGTCAAAGCCGCACGATCTTGCATCGTCAAAGTCAATGCAAGATTCAGAAGGGAACGAGCAATGTAGTGTAACGTGGAAGAAACCCAGGGTTAAGGCAATGTTCTGTTCTGTTCGTGTTTCTCCCAAGTGACTAAACTAAGATGGTAGCTAAGGTAGTACAACCGCCGATCTAAATCCAGCTGTTGAGCGTAGCGTCCAAATTGTTTCCCAAAGCCCATCGCTCTGACAGCATCAAACAACCAAAATCGCCCATTATGTAAATCCAATACAGCGCTATACCCTCCATTGATGCAATTACTTTGAAAAGACAAGACCACGCAACCTCCCTTTTCGTGATAGACGTGCTGTGCTCCGTCGATGTTGCGAACATGATAGAAGCCAAAAAGTCCAACGAGACGAAAAACATGACAGATAACCCTCCGGCAGAACGACAGATGCCCTCCACCATGTGCAAACAACCACAAGGCTGCTTGGGTGACAAGACAAAAAGCCGCCTCCCACTGTACAAGCTCGCAAACAGATATCCGCCTCCAATGTTCAGCCAGAGTATACATACATATTAGGAATGACACCAAAGCAAACAAGAAATGTGTTCCGCAAGTTTGAACAGGACGAGACAAGCATAAACGCAGATAGCCAAACCAAGCGCAAACTGATATAAACGCAAAACTTGTCCAGACAGCCTGCCCAAGGTATATCAAGGCGAGAGAGGAATAAGCAAGCAAAAACAGAGAACCTACCACCCCGCCAGCCCATTTCCATCGTAATGCAACCCCAGGGTTCTTCCGCGCCCGGACTCATCAGTACAGCCTCTCGCCAAAGGCCAGGTCCATGACTGGTGTGGAGTCATGCACACTGCTGGCGTCGCTGAGCTGATCCGAGTCCAGCATGCCATAAGCGCCATGGTGAGAGTAGGCGTCGCGGGTGTTGAGAGTGAGCGGTCCGCCAAAGATCATGTTGGGCGGCGGTCCCCGGCCCATGCTGTAGGCGGCCGGGTGGCTCAGGCCGTGATAGAAGGGCTGGTGGTGGTGACCGTGGTACACCGACGCCGCGGCCGTTTGCTGTTGCTGCGGCGGAGTATGCATGTTGGGGAGACCGTGGGGTAGGAGGGACATTGAGTACGGCGCAGCTGAGTGGACGACGGTTGTGGGTGTGCTCGGGCTGGACGCTGGGGATGGGAGCTGCTGCAGCTGCTGCTGCGGGGGCTGCAGGAGCATGACTCGTTTGACCTTGCAGCCCTTGCCGCGCCCCTTGATTCCCTTGTTCGCCAGGTTGTGGATCTCGGTGATGTACCTCGCCATCTCCCTTTCTTCCTCAGAGATCATGCTGTCGTCGACCACGTTGGCCAACTTGACCTTGAAGGCTTCGATCTCGTCCCCGTGGTACGTGTTTTGATGGTTCTGAATCCCATGGTAAGTTGTTGTCACCGATAGAGCTGGGAGAGAGACTATGCGAATGTACCTTGAGATTTCCCTTGGCGGTGAAGGCCTTCTGGCAGTTTCCAAAGCGGCAAACCCAGCCCGCTCTCGATCCCCTTGGGATGTGTGTTTTGATGTGTGCCTTGACGTTCGAGGGTTGAGCGAACATCTTGGGACACTGTGGGCATTTGTAGGGCTTTTTTCCGAGATGGCGGTTGACGTGTGACTAGAACCATACGTTAGCTCTTACTCGCACCTTGAGACAGGTCGGACATGATCATGCATACCTTGAGGTTGACACTTTGTGTAAAGCGGTGGGGGCAGAAGGGGCAGGCCTAAGATAATCCGTCAGTACATCAGGCTGATAGCGATGGACAAGACGGTCCTCACGTAAGGGCTTTCGCCAGTGTGCGATCTCCGGTGAGTCTCGAGGTTGTTCTTTTGGGCAAACGCCTTGGTACACCGGGGAAAGTCACAGCAAAACAGTTTCCGCTTCACCTTGGCACGGCCTCGCTGAGTTCCCTCCTTCTTTCCGAGGCCACTCCCTGGTTCTGGCTTGTCCGGCGCCCCGATAATGTCACGCTTCTCGTCAATTACCCTGACAAGTTCGTCGATGGCGGTGTTGAACTGGTGCACGCCACGAGGCGCTTGCGCCGGCTCGTTCGGGGTGCAGACCTTGGGTGATGGAGAGTCCGACACATCTGATCTTGCCTCGTTCTTGATCGATGGACTGCGGCTCCTCTTAACGAGAACCAACCCATCGGCACTGTCCTGGACCGCCCTGTCGACACTCGGCTCAGGGGCCAGAACGCGTGGCTGCATACGTTCCAGGCAATCGTGGGATTTGAAAGGCCCATCCAGCAACGGCGGCTGGCTGTAGGGATTGTATCCATTGTACGTGACAGCGGCGTGGTAGTGAGAAGAGGCTGGGGATGGTATCGAGGACACGGGAGCTGCAGTGAATGGACCTGGCAGAAAGTGCTGAGCCAACTCTGGGCGGGGGATATGAGCAGTGGCGGCGTCCCGGCAGTCGTAAGGCATCATAGTGGCGTCCACCATGTTGAAGTCAGCACCGGCGTGTGGAGGGTGAGGCCAGCGGCCCCAGCTAGCGGTGGTTGGAGGCAAGTTCCCGAGAGCCATGTCGTCTCAGTATTGTGAAGTGTTATTGAGAACAGAAGTCGGCCCAGAGCAGGAACGTGAAGATGGTTGTAAGGTCGCGGTCTCTAGTGAGGCGTCTTGATCAAGACGGTAGGACGAGGCGGTGTTGGGCTGGGAAGCGAAGGTTATATCAAGCAACGGGATGGCAGCAGGGGGTATGCTTCTGGACGAGGTACATATGTACACAGTACCCATATCTAGAGAGCCAAACAACTGGGCCGCCATGGCCGAGATCTCTCATCGAATCGAGGGACCCTCCAGTGCTTCGTGCCCAACAAAGACCAGGGGCTTGAACCCAGGAGACAGTGTCGGCATCCCAGCTGCTTGTTTCCGCCCCCTTCCCCCGGGAAATCAACAAGGTACCAGGACCCCCACCGAAGCGGAGGCTACTTTAGAGCCACGGCATCGAGGTGCCGGGATCATGTTGTGTGACCTAGGGAGTCGGTGGGGAGGGGTGCGAGGGCGTGCGGTTAGGCTATGTGGCTGCCCGCGGGGGTGTGTCGAGGTCGACAGTGTCCTCGGGCCCTGAATTCGTCCAAGCACTGAGACATTGAACTGGGTACCCGACGCTAGCAGGGCCAGCACAGGCGGCCCTGCTCGGCCGCTTGTAGTCCAGACCTTTTTCCGGCATGTCCCGCTCGCTGCTTTCTTGATTGTTTCGTGGTGGTGAAAACATGTCTGCCGTGTTTGGTCGAGAATGCAGCTGCTTGAACACGATCCTGCAGGCTGGATGACGAGGACGAGATGGCGCCAAAGATGTCAGAAACACCCTCAAGTCGTAGATTTTCCCTTCCCCCCCTAACAGCTCCCTTTTTCTCTCAATCTCAACTTGGCCCAAGGTCGGGTACATACCCTTCCTGGCGCGGTTATCTGGCGCAGAGCATGATAACACGTCTATCGCGCATCTCCGGTGGATATGACTCCTCGGAGAGTCTGAGACGCAGCAGCTCAACGACGACTGGGAAGCAGAGGAAAATGAAGGACATCCATGAGCAGAAGGTGTGGTAGCAGAGGCGATACGCGAGCAAGGGTCTTGAGTGGCCCCAGGTCGTCTCGCACCTTCCTCGGCGCGCGGGTCCCAGGACTTAAGTCCCACCTTTGCGGTAAGGTTTAACGCGTTACGGATATCTCATGTTCCCCATCAACGCCCAAATTATTAGTACATTATTTCCCCCCACCCTACGCAGTACACTAAAAGGTACCCAAATAGCGGTTACTCCTCTTACCTTAGTTGAGGATCCAGGTTGTTGCTACCGTCACCTTTTACATAGGAGAATCAAAATCGCGGCCCAGTGATTTCCACCTACATCGCACGTGCCCATCACGAAAGCCGAGCTAGAAATGTCGTCGATTTACCCTTCATGTGTGCACAGGCCACGACAATCGAGCAATCCGAGTGCGCGGCACTGCTCTTCCCAAGACCACGGTTACCCGCCGCACTCTCGCAGACTCGCAGCATCGGGGACTTGGAGATGCATCCGGTGTGGGCCGTGCATTGCCGGAGAAAGGGGGTTGGGGACAAGCAACCATCTCATCAGCTGTGTTCATCTCATCATTTTTGACTGCTCCTCAGGTTCTGTATGGACTTTTGTCGTCATCACCATTACGATCAGTTCTCTCGAAAGGAGGTTTTCAAGGTTTGCTCGAAGCCACTAAGCGGCCACATGAGTACCTACGAATGGCTTTAACTCCTGCAATCCCCGTCGATCTTCCTGGGAAGCCCGGCAGGTCGCGATGCAGATCCCCGCTGCAAGAAATCGCTACTTGACGGCCAGGAATTCATGGGCGGTCGCCCACCCGCTTGTTTGTGTCAGCCCCTGTGGGACATATCCCGTTGGTTGTGAAATCGCACCGGCAGGATTGATGCTGTCCCGCTCATAATGACGAGGAACTTTCTTGCTTCTGTCACTCAGGAGAGCTGCGTTGGCCGATCTGCGGTGTGGTTCAACCCAGCCAAGGGGCAGCGTAGCATATATTACCACCCTACCAAACCTATCGCAACTCATGCACCTCACAGTGCAGATATCACCTCGACCCCGCGCCCGACAGGCCATGGACTGCAGGTCCCAGACCTGTTATCTCGATCTTTTCTCCCGCCATGACTTCGGGTCTAACGCAGGGAAATTCGGTTCTCCAGAGCGTATAGTACTCGTGTCTTTTGACCGCCCATACAGTGTCATCCATCCCATCACTTTAGATCGGTCTCCGCTGGCACTTTTCTCAGCTCCCAAATGACGACGTTGCATTCTCAGAATCTCAGGACTCCCTTGCCTAACCAAGGCACCCTTTCCGTTCTGTCCTTTTGCAGCGCAGGGCCGCTGTTTGCCACACCATCTCTCCGCCTCTGAACCAAAGAGCCAACCGCAGCTGGCGATGCTAGGCTCATGGATTTCTGATTGCCCCGGAAGTCAGTCCCCGCCAGCAGCAGTTTGTTGTTAGCGTCTTCAAAAATGTGAGCTATCACCTTGCTCGCAACCTGCTCCGTAGTCTGCAGGCGAGGACGGATATGGCAGGTCGCGTAGCATCTCCAGATCCCCGGGTACTGTGTCGGGTTGGTCTCGTCATCGTGTGTCCTCCCATCAATGTTGGCAACAGCGTCATCGTCTCTTTCCTGCGATGCTACCCCAGAAGCCTGGGTCGTTTCAGCCAGCGACCCGCTGATGCGGTCACCCAAGTTCCCCGGCGACCGTGATGGCTTCCCCGGAGAAGCTAAACAGGAGCTAGCAGGGTCGGATAAATCCATCTGCCGCTTCAAGCCAATCAGGATCCGTTTTCATCCAAGCGTGTGGTCGACGACCGACTCCTCGATCAGGTATTTTAAGGAGTCTACTCAGAGCAGCAAGCTCGAACAATGCAGCGGAGCACGTTGGAAGACGCGCATTGGTTTAGGAAGGGTTTTGATTTCAAGTCCTCTGAGGTGTTTGAGACAAAACACTCGATTGTGTGCAGGGTGCCAAACATGGAAAAACGGAGAAGCTGGGGTTGAGATTCGTAACCTAGGTAAGGTACCGTTTCACCCCACTCCCCGAATTTCCGTTTCAGGAGCCCCTCCGCCTTTTTGCGATTCCCAGGACTGTGGTTGAGGGAGATCCCCCGTGTCAGGATTCGGAGCAATCTTTGACAGACAATTGGTCGCCGCAGAGCGCCATGCCACTTTCACCACTTGGCGCTATACCTGTTCGATCCACCGACTTTCACTGTCACGGTGAAGGACACGTGCTGGCAACAACCTTGGGCAGTGGTTGCCTCGTAGAAAAGGCTATAACTGATAGGCGCGGTGCCGGCGTGGTTTTAAAGCATCATTAGGACAAGCCACAGGCACGATGTCAGCCGGGAAAGGGTTTGGAATAATCTGGGTTGCGTTCGAAGATGGCGGTGGAGGCTGCGGTGCTGCCCGTCTTTTGCAATCTCTCTGCGTGGGGGTTCCGCTTCCTGACGTTGCAACGGTGGTGGATTGAAGGTACGGAACGGGGAAGGGAAGCCCCACCGTATCCGTTCCCTCAGTTGCCTACTGTACTGTAAGTAGAACGGAGAGGATAGGAGCCATCGCATCAGCCAAGAAGTTCAGTTCGCGAGAGAGGAACGCCAGTTTTGGAAATTTCAGACGAGACTTTACGAGCCCTCCATTTGATTAGGATTCATGCGAACCTGCCTTACCTGTTTTACCAAGACCACTTGGCGAGCCTTACTCATCCTTCGCGCTTCGCCTCGATTCCCGCATCTTTGATGAGATGACTGTTGGACCCGTATGACTCTCTGTTACGCGGAATGGTCCGGCATTATGGTACAGAGGCATCACATACACGTGTGGACGCCACGGGTCGGCCAATCTCACCACCAAAGGGAAGGGGAGTTTGGATGGCTGACGGCATGGCGCCGCGCCAGCAAGTTGGGGGTTTTGAAGCCCACCGAGGTTGAAACCACAGAGTGGCCGCCCAGTGACCACGAGGGCAAGCGAAGGGTGCCTCGTCGACTCCCAGATTCCGCTCCACGATTGGCTACCAACAATCGGCTCCCGTTGCCCTCGGCTGCACCCGCGGACGGGGCGCTAAAATACGTATGTACAAAACCAGGTTGTTAACGTCACCGCCACCGTTCCTCTTTTTTCGTGGGCGGATGCGACGCCCTCCATCGACCGTCCCCGATCCATGTCGGCGGGTCGGCGCCACACATCCTCCAGCATCAACGTTTTCGAATTTGCGCCTGATTTCGTTGATGGGATGAAACGACCAACCTTTGCTGGGGAGGCGGTACCCGGGGTCGGTTTAGGTTTCCGAGATATAGGAAGCGCCCCTCAACCCCCATCCTCCTTTCCTGACTGTCGGGTCAACCGCGTTGCAACGCCCCATATTTAGACGCAGGATTACTGTGTCGAGGTAATTCTTGCGAGAGGTCGTCGGCAAGAGATCTGCATCGATGATGCTAACCGCGAGGGCCGCCGCGACAGCAGTCAGCTGTATTACAATTCCTGATTGTGCAACCTGCCACGGCAACAAATTTTCCCAAACCTGACTCGACAGCACTTGGACCAACAAAACGTCAAGAGGACAGCTTCACGCAAGAAATCGACATCTCACTGCATTCCGCTCTGCTCTGCAGCCTGCATAGCTGACTCGGCGAAGACAGGGCAGAGCAGTGAAGGCATTGCCAGCCGCCCGTCAATCTCCGTCTTCCCTCCATCCCCCCAGCCTCATCGGTGGGGGCGGAGGGATGCGCGCACCCTTGCGGCCTCCAGACGGGCGAGTCTCATCAGCAGAGGCGATCAGAGGAGGTTGTGCTGCAAAGTGATGCCGCAAGGTTGCAATGCGCAGCGCCTAGCGCGGATTGCTTGTATTGTGTTGAGCGATACCGGCGGCGGAGGGTGATGGCTTTGGTTCTGCCCTGGCTCAACCAGCTCATTTGAGAATGGTATCCGTACAATCCAGCCCAGGTTTGTTCGTTAGCGTTGCACATGATGGCGGGGCACTACTTCAGGATATGAATGAATTAAAGATCGTATGAAAACAAGGAAAAGAGGGGGAAGGATGGAATATAAAGACAAGAAAGTAAGAGAAGAGGAAAGAGGAAGAAAGGACAAAGAGGAAGAGGAAGAGGAAAGAAACAAAGGGAAAAAACAAGTAACTAGGTCAAAGTGAAAGAAGCTGAGGTGTAACACCTGAACTACCTCCTAAGCTCCGCGCTAACAAACAAACCAGGTTTGACTTGTATGCAAGATCTGATCGCCGACGAGAGATTTGACGCCAAAATCAATCTTGAGCCACTGAATCGCACGGGTTGACCCTAATTGATAGGCAGGCCGGACCGGGATGTGTCACGATTCCTACATATGGTCATCCATCCCCGGCCAACGCTGGACAGCAGCACCCTTTCTGTGTGACCAACCGTCATCACGTATTGAATGATTTGAGATCAAAGAGCTATGGATGGATGCGAATGGCAGGCTTTTCACCTCCAGACCGGCTGAAATCTGATTGAAACACAAAGCGTCGGCCGGACATGATCCAAACATATCGGGACGCGGAGTAGGAGCAGTAACACGAGGGCCACTGACCGCAAGCTCGACATACTGCATCTGCCCCTGCAGAGACCGGACCTGAGTTGATGCTGCTGTCCGCGGGGTTCGGATCTCGATTCGGCCGACCGCTGGCTCACTCCTTTACTGCCGGACACTCGATGTCTACGCAGTCCAGCGATTCGGCAATTTTCCGGACAGTCCGGTACCTGCATCCCGGGCACAGACTGCATGCGGTGCTCGGTTCCACGGCAGTACTCCGCTGGACAATGCTTCCGTCTCTGGTATCTCAGGTCCCCGAGCGCCGGGAATCACATCGCCGACTGCGGTAAATGCGGCGACTGATGGAGCAGGGTTACATCTTCCTGCAGCTGCTCGACTCGAGCCGCATCCAGTGACCCTCCGTGTCCAGGTCTTCTCCGTCAAGGGGCTTTCGCACCTCAGCGGCCCAGAACTTCATCCCTGGTTTTTACCCCGGATTGGTCAAGACGGCTCCCGACAATCTGTGCAATCATCGGCAGTGGCGGCCAATGCACCCGTAAACCCGGGATGGAGATCGTCCCGGCTCTCGGTCGTTCCCCCATGGATTATCAAAGGGTCCTTTCATATGGAGAGTTTTAGCGTTATCGTCTCCCTACCAACAGACCAGGCACGTTTCAAGTGGGGGCTGGGTTAACGGGGTTCTTTGAAGCCGTCGATAGCACAGCCTAAAATTGCGAAGTCAACGAACAGGGGGAACAGAAGACAGTCGATGATCTCCACTCTGAGCGGGCAGAGCCGTCAGCCGCAGTGGACTCTCTTCTCTCATCTCCCTGTCTCTCCCCTGGCCACGAAACCCTGACGGATTCTCAACTCTCATCAAGTCATCCTAGTGGGCCCATCGTTTTCACCTTGTTATCCACACGATGGCGGAATGTTGTGGATAGAAAGCCTTGAAGAATAGCTCCTCCCTCATCTCCTCAAGGCACACTCCCGTGGGTAAAGCAAAGCCTACGGTCCAGAGCCAAGGGAGATTTTCAGGGTCCAGATCTTGGGCCCGCTCTCGCCCTCCTCCCAATGGCTCCCATCCACCACAGTAAAGAGGCGTTGCCGTGTTTTTCTTGCCTTCGCTTTCATCTTCCGAGCATCCTCCTTCCCCACTGCTTGCGCTACGCAAGCATGCCCCGTCCATTGACCTTGCCGGATTCCGGCTCGTAACCTCCCTCAACTCTCCTTCTCTCCGTCGCCAAACGGTGCTGGGCGCTTGAGCTATTGTGTGGGGGGGTATTCCGCCGGATGATCGACGCCGCTAGAGGAGGGATGAAACGATGCTCGGATTGCGCCTTTCAAATCTGCGAGTAGTCTTCTTGGGCCGCTGGTGAGTGAGTTGAAAGTTTTCAAAACGGTACGTTTGTGGGGGCGTTGTGGCTTGCTATGGCTTTGAACCCATACCGAGCCAGTGGCACGGCTCATCTTCGCCTGCATGGCGGACTCGGACTATGACTCCGCACCTGCCACAGTAGGCCGGCCATGCGTGCGTGCGTACGGACGTATGTATGGATGGGCGGAAGTAGCTCGTGGACAGAGTTTTCGGATGAGTCTTCTTGATCTCCTTGAAGATTGGTGGGAGGTAGTATGGATGCCTTGCCCGCGAATCTTGCTCTCGGGCTGCGATGGAGCTCTTGCTCTGCCGCTTACTGTGGCCTTGCGCAGTCCTACCGCTGATTCCCACGGGTCCGAACCGGACCCATCTCCGGCTTCGTCTTTAGGACTCGGACCATGTACGAAACCAAAAGACGGCCAAACACGCTTGGCGGGCGGCCGGCGGCGAAGCTTGCCGGCTATCCCTTCCGATGGACAGATGAGACATACACACGGAGTACTGCTTGACCTTCGCCTCTTCACCTCATGCCAGGTCCCGGTCCTGCCGTGTCCAGTTGCCGGGTGTTGAAAAAGCCCCGGGCGAAGCGCCAGCCGCGGCATATATAGGCGTCTTTCGCGGGTTGACTACGGGCTAACTGCCTGACGTGTATACTTACATACTGTATGTGTCCTGTCTGTCTGTGGTGGTCTGAAGCCGCGCTACCCTTCGGCAAAACGAGGCCCTGACCACACCTGCGGACTTCTCTGTTTCTCGTCCTGTCTCGTACGTGCATGTCCCTTTTCTTTTTCTCCCACGCTCTGTGGCGGTGGCTGGCCTGGCCCGGCCTGGCCCTCAATCTCTTGGGGTCCCTGTACCTGCATATCGCCTGCATAATCTCGTTCTGGCAAATGCAAGATAGAGGTGAGTCAATGGGGGTTTTGAGGCTGAGCCCGGCTGGTTCCGGGCTCTGCATGTACCACAGTAGGTCTGGGTCTGAGGCGACTCCCCGAATGTGTGTCTTCTCGGCCCCTTTCTTCCCTTTCCTTTGGAGACTGTGTTCTTGTCAGTGCGCTCGTCAGTGGGCAGCTTCATGACGTGCTTGCCGTCTTGTTTCGGCAACCTCTATTAACTAGCAAGCCACATTGCGTCTTGGGCAGTTGAAGAATGGATAGGATCTTCAAGGAAGAACTGCACAGCCAGTGCGCAACCGGGCAGCCACGGGTCCTTCCTTACTTGTCAATATGGATGTCCCTTGGACTCTCTTTGTTCCTATACTTGAAACTTTCTGTCTCCCTCCCCTCCATCCTTCGAAGGCGCACGTCGGAATATTCCGAGTTGATCCTAACTCAGATGCATCGCAGTGGGTGGGGACATGCGTTGTCTGCCCGCAGAGTATCCGATAAGGGCGCTAATGGCTTGAAGATCCGGGTGTTTCTCCGGTCTGGACCGATGGAGTGATAATGGACGTCTAAAAGGGTTGATCGCCCCGTTCAGAATCACTCGTGCTATATTTCCCGTTCTTTATGATAATCACGACGGCGATGGCTACTCCTCTGCTTTCTGTTGTTGGTGTGGTAACTGTAGTTGGGCATCGATCGGCTGCAGGATTGTCGTTGCCTGGGCTGGCTGGCCGATCTCATTCTGAAACGGGAGTAATGAGTGGGATATTGTTCGCCGCCGAGCCACGCAGGCCGCGGCGATGCTCATGTCATGTCTCGGGAGATGGAGTGCTGGTTGTCGTGTATGACATGTTCTGGGGTGGCGGGGCAAGACGGCTGGTGAGAGAGTGTGTGGACAAGCCCTTGAATACAGTTCATTTACAGAGACGACAACACGGTGCTTCCATGGGTCTTCTCCGACTGTTTGATCCCAACTCCAACACGCAGGTACTTCCTTTATAATTGAATGCTGAGGACTCAAAAGAGACGAAGAGGTCTACAGACCGAGAGGGACGGGAGCTATGCTGGGACAGAGCAGAGCAAGGAAAATATATGGTCTCTCTTTGCATCTCAAACATCGTTCCTTTCGTCTACCTGCTTCCGTCACTTAACCAATAAAGTAGTGCCTCGAACATAGGATACCAGGTCGCATCTGAGTGTCACGGCAAGCAAATGCTGTCGATGCTTTTGCGGAGGTTGGCTTGATATCCAATGCTCATAGCTATCAAGCTGAGAATTAAGAGCGATGATGATCCAGATGGAGTCAGGAGCGTGCCCCTAGATGCCAATTGTTCCGTCGGGTGCACTCATAAAACTTCGCCAAGGCATGATCAAGTCACACACTGAAGTTTGATCTTACTGAACGTCAGAGGTATTGACAGAGGAAGAGGAAGCAGCTCCTAAGAATCGAGGCTCAGTCAAGCTCGTTTCGGGCTGTTCCTAAAGTCTTCAAGTTAGGAGGTGAGCTGCGATAGCGGAAGGAACACCTGTGCATAGGATCAAAAAAGGGAAAGCGCGAAATCCTATAAACTACGGCCCCCCCCCCCTCTCTCGTTCATCTATTCCTCCTCCTTTCAATATCTATTCCCACAATGTAAGGTTTCATGGGTAACAACAGCGGATTCCCCTGGCAAGCTCCCCCAGCTGTTGGCCCTCAGGACCAAGAGGGAATGGGACACGTCTGTAATGCATATGGGCCTAGAGACCTTATTCGAAGGGAGACAACACAGGCAGGGCCTACAGGGACTGAGATAAGGTAGGCAGACCCAAGACGAAGCAAAGATTCTACACTGTAGAACTGCAATTTTCGACCTTACCGCCTCGGGATGTTTCTTGGGCGATTCTTTTCCAGCTAGTAGTCCAAGTTGTACATTTTGATACCCTTCCTGCTATATATTTCGAGTCGTTGATCCTGATAAAGGGGGGATTGTGAGTTGTATGAAGGAGGATATGGTATAACAAGGATGCTCTGAGAAATGTTGGGCGGTTGCTCATGGCGTCTGGGTGGTCGGCTCCTCGGGGAAGTACTCTGTAACTCCCGAGCTAATCATCTATTTATCGGAATACGGGATCAAAGGTAACGGACAACGAACAATGTCTATGCAGGTGTAACTAACACCAGCCCGTAATAATCACAAGCAGACTGTCGCCGTCCGGTCTTCGCAGAACACCACCAGTTCGTCTACGTCTATGCCACAACCTGACCCTCACCCTGCGCCCACTTGGGCAAATAGTATTTTACATTCTCATACACTAAAAACGTAACCCATGTCGCCGGTAGCACCCTCACCACACCAGGCATGACCCCCCTATAAAACCCCCTGACACCCTCCTCCCGCAACAACTTCCTCACGACGCCAGAGACGCCCTTCCCAAACTGCTCCTCAGCATCGTGATGCTGCAGCCTGCTCCTAAGCACCTGCAACGGGTACGTCGCGGCGCCCGCAACCAGCTTCGAGACGGTCGACAGCACGACGGTGGCCTCGTTCGACACGGCCACTTCTTGCTGTTCCTCGGACTCTCCCGCCTTCCGCAACAACCCCTGCCGCACCCCCTTCCGGGCGAGGTACATGCGCCTCGCGGGGTCGTAGACGGCAAACTGCACGGCGCCGTGGCTGACGGCCAGCATGCCGACGCCCAGACCGCGGTAGAAACCCCTAATCCCCTCCTCGCGCAGCAGGCGGGCGGCGCCGGACCACATGCTCGGGTAGGCGCCCGCGGCGGAGCGGTCTGAGGCCAGCATGCGTGTCTTGAGCACCCAGATGGGGTTAGTAATGACTTGGGTGAGGGCGCCGGCGGCGAGGGAGGCGGCGAAAAAGTCGGCAGGGGTGAGGAGGCGTTTGATTTCGGTCGGGGTACGAGGGTCGGCGTCGTGGTGTTGGGTGGCACGGAGGTGGGCGATGGCGCGCTCGAGACGGGCTTTGAAGAAGAAGAAAGAAGCCCAGCTCGTGGCGTTCCCCAGCAGGTTGGGCGTCAAGCCACGGTAGAGGGCGGCGAGCGGGCGATCGGTGCGAGTGAGCGATCGGATGAGGGCGACGGTGGTCGGAGAAGAGGTAGTGGTACCGAGGCCGGCGGCGACGGATGTGCGGTAAACTGGCGGTTGCGTGCGTAAGTATTATTCGGCAGGTCAAAGGAGGGACAACAAACCTTGCATGCGCGTCTTGACAATGTCGAGCGGGTGCACGATCAGGGTGGCCATGGAGCCGGCCGAGAGCCCGGCGACCGTCTCGACGAGGGCGGGGGAGAGGCCCGCATCTTTGGTTTTCGTCATAGAGATGCCCAGAGTACCGCTACATATTCAGTTCAGAAGATACTTTTGTTGTTTTACCGCTGCGCGTGCTCGGCGAGCATGTGATAGCAGGGTGGAAAGGGAGAAGAAGTGAGGTTGTGCTATGACGCAAGGTCCCAAGAAAAACCCTAGACACCGGCCGGAAAAGCCGAAGGGAGCAACGTCTCACGCGCTCGGGAGCCGGGCTTCAGACATTACTAACGAAAGATAAGAAAAGAAGGAAAAAATGAAGAGTAAAGAAATTCAAGAGATTTATCTATTTCTTGGCCATCGCCGCGGGGCTGGTCCGTAGCTATAATGTACAAGTACAATCGGTCATGGTATCCTGTGTCCCAGTCCCATTACCCTCACCCCATGCTCATGCCCGCCCCTATCGCTATTCCGCGGCGCTATTTGGTCGAGAATTGAAATCGTATGGTTTTCTTGTTGGTACAATGCGTCTATGCTTTAGCCCATAGGGCGTAACCGCTTAGGAGAGCGGAGAGAGGAGGCTGCGGCAGCTGTTAGCGTAATAACTGGGCGCTAAGAGCGTATGTGCGACGATGGACGTACCGGATAATAGATGGCCTGGGATCGCTGCGAGTGTAGCCTGCAAAGATGAGAGTTAGGAGAAACCCTTCAACACGAGGGTGTCATCGCGGGTGGTTGCGCACCAAGATAGAGGATCAGAGGCAGGTAGCCACTGCAATAGTCAGCATCTTGTATCTGCAGGGCGGCTTTGCAGCTTATCTGATGCGGACGTACTAGTGAATCGCAACACGCGAGATCTCGATGATCCTGCTAATGCGCTCCTGTTTCGACCATGTCAGCTCGATACGTCGGGCGACTCTGACCCAAGGAAGGGCGGCGAACCTTGGACTCCTCGGAAAGGGCGAACATCTTGAACTATAATCCGCGATGACCCCTAGATACGGCTGCACTCGTCAGAGGGCCTCGCAAAGATTGCACCCAAGGATGCATACCTTGTTATATCTGCGAAACCGAAATGCGCAACGCAATCTCTCGAGGGGAAGCTTCAACAGTTTTGTTTGATGGCTGCGGCAGAATCGTTTTTTGGCGGTCGCGGAAGTTGACCCACTGAGCGGGCTAGCCTTGGCGCGGCTACAAACCCCCTATATCCATGCGAAGCTGGACCCACTTCCCCGGAGCTCAGCGCGGTCGCTCCAGAAAACTTGGGCTTCTGTCACGCCGGAGCAGAACAGACATTCTTGAACCAAGATTGTGCCGGAATCAGCGCAGATATTGCTCAATCTGCGGTGGGATAAGCTGCTGCTACAATGTCAAAACACTGGTAAGCGCCACCAATCTGATGACCTGCCGGTCCATTTTTCACGAGAGGCGACTCTGTTCGCTAACGAAGTCGCCTTCAGGGAACAAAACAAAGATGCCACCGTCTATGTGGGCAACATCGACGAGCGCTTCACCCAGGAGCTGCTCTCGGAGCTTATGACCCAGGTCGGCCCCGTGCGCCAGGTCCACATGCCCCAAGACCGCGTCTCGCAAACCCACCAGGGCTACGGCTTCGTCGAGTTCGACACGCCCGCCTCGGCCGAGTACGCCTCCAAGGTGCTCAACGGTATCCGCATCTGGGGCAAGCCTATTCGCGTCAACAAGGCGAGCGCCGACAAGCAGAAGACGGTCGATATTGGCGCCGAGCTGTTCATCAACAACCTTGACCCCCTGGTTGACGAGAAGATTCTGTTTGACACCTTCAGCCAGTTCGGCCAGATTCTGCGCCAGCCCAACATCGTCCGCGACGACAACAACATTTCCAAGGGTTACGGCTTCGTCAGCTTCGACTCATTTGAGGCCAGCGACGCCGCCATCTCTACCATGAACGGCCAATACCTGCTGAGCAAGGCCATCACCGTTGAGTACGCCTACAAGAAGGACGGCAAGGGCGAGCGCCACGGCGACGAGGCCGAGCGCAAGCTGGCCGCCGAGGGCAAGAAGCACAACATCGTTCCGGAGCAGCAAACCCTCCCCCCAGCCTTCCACATGACGGCCCCACTCGCATCCGCGTCCGCAACCCCTACCGGCCCAGCCGCAGCGACAGTGGTGCCTCCCGTTATCGACGGCTCCGCAGCCATTCCGCCAGCCGTCATTCCGCCAGTCGCCCCCGTCGGCGCAGCCATACCCCCAACAGCCCCCTATGGCGCCATCCCTCCTCTAGGCCCAGCCGGTATGAGCGGACGCCCGGGGCCACCGCCCCCGTCCTTCCCCGGCGGCGCCGCCGGCCGACCACCCCTGGGCCCCATGGGCCTGCCACCCGCACCATCAGGCCTTCCCGCACGCCCCCCGCCAAGCCACGCCGGCTTCGGCGGTCCCGTCGGGGGTTTCCCTCACCACCCGCCCGCAGGGTTCCCTGCAGGTCCTCCGGTCCCTCCCGCTGCCGGCCAGCCGCCCATGTACCCCGGCATCCCGCCGCCGCCGGGCGGGTTTGCTGTAGGTGGCGTCCCACCTCCGGGCGCCCTGATGCCGCCGCCGGGCTTCATACAGCCGCCGGGAGGTGTGCCGCCAGGGTTCGTGGCGCCGCCACCGCCAGGGTTTGCAAGGCGTTAGGCCCGTTCGGGTACGGGGAAGCAAAGCAAGAAGGAACCCGCGGCAGCGTGGTTAAAAACATGTGTACGAGCGCGAGCACACGAGGGCAAAATGGCAGCCATCAGCACACAGCGCTCAATCAGTTACAGCCTGCCAGACTTTAGAGTGGTAAGGACATGGTGGACGAACCGACGGTTTGCGGCAACGTTAAAGAATTGAGGGGTGAAAAGCACTGACGCCACGCCTGCTTATCAATCGAGCCAAGGAAGTTTCAACAAAGGGTCGGAATGGACACCGAACCTTCAGCGATGTGCCCATGAGCAAAAGGTTTAGCGATCGACTCTTTACCACACTCACCTATCGGCCATGGGAGCTGACGCATAGTGCAGAAAAGGCAGAAGCAGCTGCCTCTACCATTTAGTCCGCCGGATGATGATGTTGAGCATTCGATGGCGAGTGTTGTGCTCTTTGGCATGAAAACAGCGACTGATAAGTTTGTGTTATACGGCTTCCTCATACATTGAGGGATACGGTACGATGATGCGCAGACTGAGGTCAGGTAGAAAGAAAAAGGAATTGAATACCAAGTTAATAAATGTTCCTTCAAATTGAAAATTGTGGCCAAGCGTAGTAACTTCCTTCCCGGCCTGCCAGATCCCCAGATAACCGCTGGATAACAAGCGGTCTGGAACCGCTAAATGTCCTTCTGTCATGGCGACCTCCAGACTCTGCGCCGTCAACGCATACTTCCTGCCCAAAGTACAAAGTCATACATAAAGCACAGCGCCTATATTCCCAGATTATTGGTAGGCGTCTAAAGATAGATGCACCCGCCAACTGAATCGCAGACTCACCGAGGGCAACACCATAGGAGGTATCATCCTCTAATGACCTTCCCGGCAACTCAGTCAGCATCCATCCGAGTCACCACTTCTACCCCGGCCTCGCTGCTCCGCGCTTGCTCCTCGGCCCTCCTCGCCAGCTCCTTCTCAGCCTCGACAAGAAACGCCTCCTCGATAGCCGCCCGCCGCCTATACACTCGCAGCCACCTCTGCCCCCATTGCCGAACCATCCTCTCTCCCTCACTATTACCCTCCCCGTCACTCGCCTCAATCATCTCGTCCTTGCTCCCCGTGGCCCACGACGCAAGCGCGTCCTCAATGGCGGCGAAAAGCGCCCGCATGGCCTTAATCTCGCGGTCCCGCGTCTCCGACTCGTCCACGTTTGACGCAAGCGAAGAAGAAGGCTTCACCACAAGCTGGCGTACGCGGCCCGTCACCTTCATGACCGTGTTGAACACCATCTCGTAGACGTGCGCGGCGGCGAGTGCCTCGCCGCGGGTATTCCCCGCGCGGCTCACCAGGGCCCAGTTGATGACAGTTTCCGGCGTCAGGATGCTATAATTCAGGAGCTTCTCGATGATAACGAGGGCGACGCCCGGGTGGGCGGACCAGTAGGCCATGGTGGCCGAGATAATTTGGGAGCGGGCGGCGTCCGAGGCGGCACCCGCGTCGGCGAGGCGATCCTTTGTGCGCTCGATGGCCGCGAGTACGTGCGAAAGCGACTTGCTGCCCACGTGCAGGACGCACGTCACGAAGACGTCGGTGCTCGCCACGAGCGCGTCGATCTCGCGGTCGATGGCCTGTGACTGGATGCGCTGAATAACGGCGTCGATCTCTTCGTCCGAAGCTTTGCGCTTGAGAAGGCCGGCAATCTCACGGCCTTCAGCTGCAAAGGGGGCGTCTGTGCAGGTTAGAGCTTCCAGTCACCACACAATCAGCAAGATGCCGACTCACCGTCACTGGCAAACTTGAAATCTGGCGTGTCCTTCTCCTTCTCTGGGGTGATCATCTCCTTGTACGGGTCCGGCAGAGTGTTCTTGATCCGCTGCGCAAAGCTGAGCCTGATCTCCTTGTCGAGCGCCCCTGCGATGAATGTCTTACGCGGATGTACATCCGGAAGATACACATCATCCACCCATTCAGTCCACTTCCATGTGAAACCGAAGTTGCTCAGATGATGCGAGAACCAATCCATGAACCGGTAGGAGAGCTCCAAGTCCATGAGAGGCGCACTCCGGTAAAGAAAGCGGATGGCGCGCCCTAAGCTCGGCGCTATCGCTGCAGGGGCGAGCTTGCATGCCTCGGTAAGGACCGAGTGATAGTAGACAAGCTTATGCTCTGGGTTGGGCAGCTGGAGAAGCTGGGAAAAGACGGCATCAACCGCCACGTCTTCTGGCTTCCACGTGGACTTTGGCGGCTCAATGTCTCGCAACCGATCGAACGGCGTTGCTCTCGCAGCAAACGTCCGCGGAGCAAAGTAGCAGTCCAGGTCAATCAGATGGCGCGCCGTGACGTTGCGGTTGAAGTCGAGGACGTTGATCGTGTCCAGCAGAACATCCCGAATCAGAGACGCGGCAGCGTTGGCGAGGGGAGGCACGGACTCGACATCCTGGTTTGCGTAAACCGAGAAGTAGATCTCTGGAAACAGCGGCCGGGGCCCAGCAACGACCGTTTGGGGGATGGTGATGGTAGGAAGGGCATGCTTCGCAGCGTCGTCAATCTTCGACCGCTGCTCAACCTCTTTCAGGGGAAACTCCCACGGCCTTGGCAGGCAGGGCAGCGCCCAGCCGTTGTTCGCCTCGTTCTGCATCTGTGCCTGCAGCAGCCCAATCAAGCTTTGCGACTGCGGAGGATTCTCTTCGCCTGTCCCGAGTTGGTATGGCTCAATGAGTGTTTGCAGGGTATGCGGTTCTGACGCGATGATCTCCGTCTTCTCCATGAGGTCCGCGGCCTTCTGTGCCCATTGCCCCGGCGCGGCTATCATGACATACGGCAGAGTCAGGAGGATGATTTTGACAATCTCGGTGCCAATTGTCTGAACAGCCAACAATCAGCAAAGCAAAGTCGAGGCCGTCCCAAATCGCACAACTTACATCCTCGGAACTAGCAGTCTGCAAGTCCACCGCGCGCGAAAACAGCTCCTCCAGCACGGGAAACACGCCCTCCCCCTCTAGGCACCCCTGCAAGCACCCCAAAAGCTTCAGGTAAAGCTTCACGTCCCTCCACTCGCCCTTGCCGATCGTCTCCTCGATCCGCCCGGCCAGCTTCTCCAGCAGCATATCCACCACCTCGGGGCGGTTCCCGTTCGCAACAAGCACCACGGCAGCAACGAAAGGCGTCTTGAGTGGCTGTTCAACGGCCAGCTGCAGGACGAGGTCGACAAAGTTGGTCCGCAGAAGCTCGTCGTCCCAGTTGTCGGTGAAGAGCGTGGCGATGGCCTGGACCTCTTCGTGCCAGGGCCGCATGGGGTTCTCGGCGATAGCGATGAGCTGCTTGCGGATGCGGACGTGCGGTGGCGCCTCGTAGCGGCGGCGTGGACCGCGGCGGTCGTGGTCGTCATCGTCTTGTTTGAGGCGCCAATATGTCAGTTTTCCTTTCTGTTTGCTGTGTCGGGATGCGTTGTGAATGGTAGACGTGATGGAAGGGGTGCTGATGGCTGTCTAGAGCGATATGGAAGCTGCCTGCGGCCAGGACGAGCCCGAGTAATATATATATATATATATATGGCAGCTCCGATACAATCGGAAAAATATGCTGCAATGGATTGGCGCAAACTCACCTCGATAGCGACGTTTTTTGGGATTGTAGCTGCTGCCGCCGCCGCCGCCCCCTCTGCGGTCGTAGTCCGCCATTATGAGCTACCTTGTCAAGCTCAGAAGCGATCGCAATTGCTGAAGCGAAAGAAAAAGAATACTGTCGTAGATGGGGTTCGTTAGTAGTAGGTTTGTTAACAGTTTGACACGGTGCTTTTCGTGAGATGGAACGGAAACCGTTGCTTGCCAAACAGCTTCACGAAAGTTGCACTGCCAAGAGCGAATTAAGTGGGTCCGCTAAGGTTTCGGTTGAAGGCCTGGAATGATAGGCAGCAAAACAGGACCCAGTCGTGTGACGCTCTGTAGTTTACCATGCTGTGGTAAGATTGTTGCTGTGGTATGCATTCTCTTCAAGGACACGAAAGTTACACAGTATACGGATAACATAGGCTGCTTGCCCGTGAGTAAAGGTATTGAACACTAGAACAATTCAAGAGCAAGTAGGACAAACCATCCTTGAATCCACCCACCGGCCATACACTGCAGTGCAATGATTAATTGGCCCAATGTTCAACATGATACCACTACAATACAGCCAGCCGCATTAGTCTCAGTGACTTGCGAATCTCGCTGCTTCTCGGAATGTCATCTCTGTGAAGACCCTTTGGCCACTTGACACGCATTAACACTTCACATGTCCAAGGAAAGCAATCTCGGATAATGTAGTAGCCTTGCCCTCGAGACTGTCTTGATCCGAGATGGGAACGTCCATGGTAGAAGTCGTAGTACGGTAGTGAGGTCAAGGTCCAGTTGAGGGTGAGTGTGCAGAAAGCATAATTCGTTTCCTCGGCCATGTCCTAGGAACACCACAACCCGGAAATCATACAGCGCAACTCAGAGCATCTTCGTTGCCATGCACCAGCCAAGACGACACAAACTCCGGGGTCCGTGACTCAAGGTGATGGGTAAGGTAGAGTAGAGGGAATCGTGTGGTAGGTGTACACTGGAGCTAGCCAGACACCGGCCAGTGTGCACGTAGCGCCAACAAACGAGATACCAATCATTAACCTCATCCAAACTCGCTTCTTCTTCATCTTTGCCTGTTCAGTAGTCATGATATACTACCCACCAAGCGAAAAGCCAAACAAGCTTCCCGGGGCGCAGCCCAAACCCATAATCATCCCATCTATCCGCAGGTGCTCTTGTCGGGACAGAAATCCACGCTGTTTCCATTGTCGCCTATCAACCCCATATCCGGGATGGCTGGTGGGGAGGGTGAGAGGAGAGGCAGGGAGTTCAGGCCCAATGACGTCAAACCCTCCGCTTTCCGAACCACACGACGAAAGTGAATAGCTCAAGTTATATGCTATGCTTCATAGTCCCGTCCATAACAACCATTGCCTGCGCCCCCTACAGGCTGAAGACAAGACGGGGCTAACGAATCCCGGAGGGCCGCATCCGAAGCAAGAAGGGGGATGAGGCCCCAGACGTATCGTTGTCGTTGTTGTTGTCGTTGTGGATGCTTGCCACAACAATGTAAGGGGAAGGGTGAAAGCCTCTTTGTTCAGAGGGATTGAATGTATGAAATAAGCAAAAGCCATTTCGGTCATGTAAAGGGAAGAAAAGACAAGCTCTAAAACGAAAGAAAAGAAGAGAAGAGAAGAAGAAAAGCAAGACAAAGTTTCGTGGTTCACCGGCGGCAACACACTTGCCCTCCAAGCGGTCCTCTCCTCCAACCGCCCCGGCTTTGTGCTTGTCCTGGGTTGAGGATGACTGTTCGCAAACCATGGCTCCGGCAGCCTCGTTCCCCATCCTCCCAGTGCCTCCGCACCCATCTCTCGACACAGCCTCTCGGGATAGGTGGCATCAAGTGGAGTCCGGGATCTCATCGCCTGGATGGAACTTCATGTGCCACGTCGTACTCGTCTGGGTATCTCAATGGCATTTCCTTGTTTTTTGTCATCATCATGAAGACGGCGAGAAACCGAGTCGCTGCCTCGAGCTGATCTCGCGGATGATACTCTGCTGGCGAAGTTACAGCATAAACTGTCCAACATAACCGACACTGTTGACCGTGGACTGACGCAACGGATTTCATCAAGACCGGCTCGCTCAATCTAATTTCGCCATCATCTCCTGCTTCGCCAAGGGCGTGAAGTTGTCGATATCGAGACCCCTAGCCGCGAGCACCGGGACCATGTGAGGCGGGACAAGCTGGTGGTTGAGGTGAGGAGCGATGGAGAGCTCTGGATCAAGAGATGTGGTCAGCACGCCATCGGGGCACCACGTCCATAAAACCCAAGAGCAACAGTATATCCCTTACCATGCCGCGAGAAGTCAAACAAAGGAGGAAGGTCCCTGACTTGACCAGTCCCGTGCCTCGAGTCCGGCAGCTTCGTGTTGGGGTCGCGCAGCTCATCGAAGAACGGGTGCACCATAGCGTCAACGGCGGCCAGGCGTTCCGTCGGGGTATACTCGAGCAACCGGGCAATGAGGTCGATAGCATTCGCGTCCGCCCTGCGGAACACCTTGTTGAAGGGATGCGGCTTGATCTGGGGAAACTTGTGCTCCATGTAGTTGGGATTCATTGTTCGGATCTGTTCACGAGTCGGCGTCCCCAGAACCTTTATGATCTCGACGAGCTGATCGATGCCAGATTCTCCGGGAAAGAGTGGCTGTCCCAACATCAGCTCAGCCATAACGCACCCAGTGGACCAGACGTCTGTTTTACTCTCGGTCAGCTAGCTGCCTTTCTATGCCCAGTGTGGGAACAGGGCGCTCACCGATCTTGGTCGTGTAATTCGTCGCCCCAAAAATCAACTCGGGAGCCCGGTAGTACCGCGAGCAGATATACGACACGTTGGGTTCGTTCTCGACTAGAATCTTGGCACTGCCAAAATCGCAGAGCTTCAGCACGCCAGTGCTGGGGTCCAAAAGGAGGTTCTGCGGCTTGATGTCGCGATGGCAGATGCCTTGTGAGTGGATGTAGGCCAGGGCGCGGAAGAGCTGATAGATGTACAGCTTGACCTCGAGCGTCGGCATGGTGGTTTTCATTTTGTTGAAGAACCTCGATGCTCGATATACGGTTTCCGGAACGAATTCCTGCACAAGATTCAAATAGACCTCGTCCTTCTGTCATGAACAATGAGCACAACCCTTCTCCAGCGCTGTCCTGATTGGTACACTTACGCGCTCGCCGTTGGAGTAGTAGAAGGCCTTCAACTGCACAATGTTCGGGTGCCGCACGATCCTCATGATCTGCAGCTCGCGGTTCTTAAACCTTTTGTCCTGTAGAACCCGCTTGATGGCCGCATCCTCATTGGACGGCGACAGCTTGGTCTGGAAGACCACGCCAAAGGAACCGTTGCCGACGATTTTGCATTGCGTGTACTGTATCTCGCGGGTTTCCCCGGTGACACCGTCTTGTACCTTTTCGCGAATCACTTCTGCATCGCATCGTCAGTATTCATCTGCACCCGGTGCATAGTGCTCAAAATCCAATGGGGCGCCGTCTCACCTCCCATCCGCAAGGTGTTGAACGCTGCTGGCCTATTTGACGCCATCGCTTAGATGCGCAGTCCGTGCTACCGTTGGGGGCAGCTAAGTGGTACTGGTGGTGGGAGTAAAGAGGGATAAACCGGGAGGAAGTCGGTGCCGGCCGTGTTGGGCAATAAAGTGGATGAGCGCTGGCGACGGAATGATGCAGGTTTGCTGGGCTCAATGATCGGGCCCAAATCAGGAGATGGTAGCGGGAGCAGTCGCGCTGATGATTTCGAGGTTCGTTTGGGTGCTGGCGGCAGGTGGCCCGATGCCGGGGTATTGCGATGCAGCAGGGGAAAATGAGGCGGGGGTTTCCAGCTGCGAGCACTGAAGGGTCGTTGTGGCCTTGCGGTTCGATCAACAAGTCTGTTGGAAAACCCGACGTGAGTCATGCAGGTGCGATGGCCTAGTGTCGAGCTGGGGGAAGGCGACGTGAGGCGGAAATAAGAAGTTGGACTGTTTTGCGAAAGGAAGATGTGAAGGAAAAGCAGAAGGCAGGTAGGCTGATTTCAGAGGCCGGCCAGAGGTTGAAGTGACGGGCGGGAGGTTTTGGAGGGGCGGCGCCCTGGCCAAGTGAAATGACTGGGAGCGACAGGGCACCTGGTGGCGAGCACCCACAAGGGCTCCCAAAGCCAGGGTCAAGTGGACTCTGCGAGGATGCAAGACGCATGGGACTCGACAACAACCTTGTCGACAGCAAGCAAAGCAGCACTGCGCCTATATTGCGATTGAAGAGGAGATGGGTTCTTTCAGCCAGAGAAATGGGCAACGTCAGGTCGCCCGAAACCTTGAAAAGACTGGGTGGGGGGAAACGGGAAACTCAAAAGCAACGCCAGCATGAGAGGGAGAGACAAGATTGACAGAGGCAAGTGTCTTCAGCTTCTGTCGCAACATTCCTGCGATCGTGCTGCTGCAAGCTCGCACATCTGGTGAGGTCAGATGGCCAGGGTCTTGGCGCTGTGTACGATCTGCCGCAGCCAACCACAAGCAGGGCAGAAGGAGGGGTCGAGGGTTGAGGGGCCAAGGTGTTGGGAGGCAGGTGAGTGTTTTAGGACAGCTCGGTGTGCTCCGTAATGCTTGGGAACAGGGGACAGAAGAAGGTTGCAATGATTCAAAAGACTTGACAGCCCGAGACCTGATACTTACGCGCGCTTGTATCTCGTGTGCAGCGAAATTGTGTGCAGACGCTCTTGGAGTTGGAGGATTGGCGAGATTGAATGGCTGGGGTCGCGTGGTCGTTCCGGCCCGTCAACGGGGGTCAGTGGGTTAACTGCAGTAGCTTGAACACAGTTGGCAAGCTGGCTCGTGGTGGATTTGAAATGGGCAATGGTCTTGTTGGTTCAGAGGTTCCAGGACTTTGACATTGACAGCGGTAGTCGGTATGGCCTCGAGAAGAGAACGGAAAATGACAATCCACGTTCTGAATCAACAAAGAGGGAAAACCTGGAAGCTTCGGCGGGCGGCCGAGTTCAATGTGGATTGGAGCCGTGCTTCCCGTGGGCAGCTGATGGTCAGTGCAACCTTCGCACCGTCAGCTCGTCGCTTGTTAATAGGCGATTTGTTCGTGCAGGAAGGGTGTTTGGGCATTGATATGCTGCCACAAATGCAAAGCTACGGAGTAGTAGAGGAAGTTGGATCCTTCTTAAGAAGGTAAGGTAGACATTTACTCAGGGGGTGGTGACGTGTTGAAAGCAAAAGAGGTACAGTAGCAAGAGGTGTGCCCCATCCAGTCCTGGCCTCAAAATAGCCTCAGCAACAGCAAGCTCTACGAATAGTGGGTCGCTTGCCAGCCGGCTTCATCGATGGAGTCTTAGACGTCTCGAGGAAGGTGGGCCCTTATTGCCGTCTTTGTCGTCGCAGTCTGATGAGCAGAAGGCCAAAGTCACCTGCCAACCTCTCTCGCTTCTGCCCGTACGTCGCTCCATTCCACACCGAGCTTGAATGAGACTTATTATGTGAAATGAAGCAAATGCTTGGGTCCTTTCAAGAGGTACTCCATACTGCTTGCTTGAAGGCTTGTTGCTACATGGAGAACCTATGTGTTGCTAAGTAACAGGCGCCCGGTCCGTCCGAGGAAGCTGAAAGTCAGTGGCTAAGGCACATGACCTCTCAAATTTGTTCTTCGTAATGTACGGGTTACAGAGTGCCACTCAGCCTTCCCCAATACAGATATTCTAGGTTGGGTACATCTGATGTTCGACCGGCAGACAAATGTGACTCTCAGCTTTGTTCAAGTCTCATTGCTGTCATTCGCTTGACGAATGCTGATGGAGGCCACGAGTGGTCCCAAGCGGTGCAGGAAGAGAGATACCTGATTTCCCAGTTTGGGCCAGTTCATGTCGAAACTGAGTTGGTTATTAACATTGAGTACGGTGACAATTGACAACCTCAAGCGGCTGAGGGTTCAAATCGTTGGCTGCAGTCAAGGGGCTGTGAACCTGTCCCCTCCGTTCATGTACCTCGACCAAAATGTCAATTGATCAACCCACTGCCCGTATCCTCCGCCACCAGGGCATGCTGTAGATTCCGCAATGGGGTGCGGGTGAACGTGACTTGAGTTTTCAGGTAGTTAGCTTTCAGTGACGACGGGATGTAGCAGGTCTGCTTCTAGCCGCGCGGTAGAGGAGTCCGTTCAGCCTGCCCCTCGATCACCCCGGCGCTCTTTTGCAGGATGATTGCTATAATAATGGATGGATATTATGAGCCCAACCACCTCCGTCATGATGCTCCCACTACAGTTACCTTTTGGGTCATTGTTCAGATTCCAGTATAGTACCTGGACATGGAATGCGCCCGCTTCGCGGCAAGGATCTCCGATAATTTGACGGGATTGAGCCCATCGGGGCTAAAGAGCTCGCCTGCGTCATTCAAATCATGACAAGAATATCCAATCATGTGCCCGAACATATAGACTCTGATGCCCGACGCCTTCGCATCAGTGGCGCCTCGAGAGAATATGTGTCGAGAGCAGGCCCGGAGTGGATCTTTCGTAAGCGCTTTGAAGGTCATGGGATCACTTTGATGCGCTAATCCACCAGCCTTGACCGGGAGATCGTGGGCTCAACCGGACTCCGATCCTTGAAGAAAGAAAACATTTGTGATGATATGGGAGGAAAAACGGAAGATGGGGGCGGGTGTTATCAGAGGCTCAGCGGCTCTGACACGGGCATTGACGAATGAGTAGCTTCGGATTGGAGTGAACGGGCCAACGTTCAGGTAGTGGAAGAACTCGCAAGGCTATTCTGGCTGTCGCCGCCATCCCGGAACAGCGGTTCGAGGTTAGCGCCGCGTGAGACGGGTAACGGGTAAGAGGTCGAGTTCTTGGGTTCAAAGCCACTGCGGTGTTTTTCATACGGAGCAACCTGGAAGCCAGTGCTATGGTTATTGACTGATACCAGGATGAGTCGCTTCGGGATATCCTGTCCCGTCCGGGTTACGGCCAGCAAAGGGCTGGAGATGGTAATTGACGAAGTAGCCACTACCAGAGCAGTTATTGTCAGGAGAGATCCTTAGAGGATCATATGCATATCAAAGCAATAACTATCGGAATTTGGATCGACGTGGGATGGTGAGCTTTCGTGTAATTCTTGTTGAAATAATATAAGTTACGTTATTATTAGCCCTAGTTTGTTATTAACATGAGTTTACGTAGTAGGTATTACACCCCATCTTCCTTCACCTTAACCTTTTTATATGCTTTCATTATCTCTTTCCCTTTCCCCTTTATTCTACCTACCTCGTCCTCTCTGTCTTTGTTTCTCTTACTCTCTATCTTTTTCTTTCTGTTTTTATAATCTACTGAATTTTTTTCTCTCCTCCTTGTTTTCTTCCGTTCCTTAAGGTAGTTTCTTTTATCTCATTTCAAGTGCTCCACCATGTGCCACGCTAACGGACAAACCGGTGTTAAACGGTAATCTGTCGGTGTATGTTACCCGGTACGGGACGATGCTCAAAGCTGGCAAGTCTCAAGTTACGGCGAAGTTACAAACACTGTATAATTGGTAAGAAAGGAGTGATGGCTCGGTGTTCGCAAGTGCTGCAGGCATCTAACTCGTCTGTAAGCCCGGTAAATGAAGGGTCCATAAGTTACAGTACCTGAATAAAGCAGCCCAAAAAACATCAACTTCCAGGGTGTAAGCTCAAACCACTCCGCAGCGAGTGGAGGAAACCCCGGAAAGTCTCAGGCAGGAAGTTCGGGCAATTGGGCCCAACTGGCAGCGCCATGTTTATTTGCAGTAGCGCTTGCATATCGGCCGTTCCTGATTTGCTGGTTGCATGCGAATCCGTCGCTCAATCTCGAAGGTTATGCTATTCAAGCGGCCATTCTCAGGGGCCTAATGCGCTTCTTCCATTTCGGAACATCGAGACCGGACCAGGCGCGTTGGACATCGAGGGGGTAACCACACAAACTTGTAGTTCACCCTCCACTCTGGGTTGCGGGTGGGCGTAGTAGTACATATCGCATTGCTGAAAGGACGAGAGAGCGAAAGGAAGAAGGCAGAGAGTAACGAATGAAGAGAAGGTAAGTAGGAAAGGGGAATCAAGCTAGACATGAAGAGGAAAAACAACGGTACAGTAAGAAGGATAGAAGACAGCATGGGGCTGGCAACAGTGGTGCTGTACGATGCGAGGAGATATTGAAAGCGTCAAGTCTTTTCGCACCACAGACACGAGAGAGGACAGGTCGAAGGCTAGGTGCAGGTAACCTAATGATCATTACTGACATCTTTCAGATTCCTCGGCATACTCTGATACAATCAAAGGTGTTGTCCTGTTCGAGACAAGGGCACATATCCATCAGGTGCTCGTCAATTGCGTCGCGTAAGCTTGCTTGACTCCGAAGATGCACAAGGCGTTTGACTTGGGTGTTTAAGTCACCCTCATAGTCTGTGCAATTACCTAGCCGACAACAGCCTGCCAATAACAACCGCACTGCCATGGAGATGGCCGCAACTTGGTCGAAAGGTGAATGGTAAAAACCGACTGGGTCTAGATCATACATCGTATCCAAAGGCGCCTCAGCACTCTGCACGAATCTGCAAATAAGGCCAGATACAACTGACCGCTAGCCCTTCCAATCCATGCCGTAACTCCGTTTCAGTTCGTACCATCTTCTCCCCTCCTTTGGAAGTCTCACAACCCATGTCACAGACTCAGGTTGTAGCTGTATTCGTCCTCAATGTTCTGGCTGACCCAGAGAATGACCGTGCTAAGCACATCATTGTCAGCGCCGAGTCCTACATAAACCTATCTCCCTCAAACTCAAATCAAAGAAGACAAAGGGAGAGAAAATAACAAATCTCACCTGAGCCCAACTATCATAGCCGAAACCATGACCTCCACCCCCATAGTCAACGCGGGGAACGGCACGCCCGGGACGATAAACTTGAGCACGAAGACGGTGACCCCTCCAGCTAATCCGCCGGCCAGCGCCGCGAAGCCCAGAAACAGCACGACGCGCGCCTTCCACGCGACGCCCGAGCCGGAGTAACTGAAACTGTCGGCCGACAGGCGGGCCTTCTCGACGCTGTTGATGATGAGCATGCCCAGGCTGCTGAAGATGAAGGGTAGCCAGTCGACAAAGGTGACGTGGATGGTCGAGCCGTTGAGCGCCGACTTAGACCAGACGGCCGAGTCGAGGAGGATGTAGAAGGCGAGGGAGAACTGGACCAAGGGTAAGGGGCGGGTTAGTGTTGTGGTAAAGTGAAGAGGTTGCAGAAAATGGAGGGGGGAGCGCACAAGACCGCCGGCGCCGTAAACTCCCGCGTTGCGCGCCCAGATGCTGTTGAGCCATTCTGGCCTGCGGAACTTCCAGAGGCGGTCCTCGGACATGGTGGGTGATCTGCTTGCGCGGCGGGGATCGAGTGCGGTTGAAAAGCTGGAGGGCGGAGGTCGATTGTCTCGGTTCACCGTAGTTGACAGTATAAGCTCTTATTGGGAGGGTATTGGAGTTATGAGCGGTAATCCGTCGTTTGGCCGCGGGCGTCGTCGTGATCGCAATCGTTCGGCGGTAGATACGGAGTACACGAGGCTTCTCTTCAGCTCAGAGCTTGGATGACGTTGGAGCCACTGGCGGACTGACCCACCTCGACCTCTTGGCGCCTGAAACGGCTCCTGAAGCGGCACGTGACCACCTCAGGCCATTTCTATCACAGTATCCAGAGACCACGCATTAAGCCAGCAGATCCCGCTTTAGCTGCTGAAGATAGGACGCTGAACACTTGGAGAACGCAGCCTCCAAGTCGATCTGCTAAAACTAAGTCAACAGGCAACAGGTGGCGTGAGAAAAGGGGAGAGAGTAGAGGGCTTATACGAGTTGATGATTGAACGTCAACGAATTGGATGTAGTTAGCGTGCCAAGGCCCTTTAGGCTTCGTGCCTCCGGGCGAAATAAATTCCATCCATCGACCACGCATTACTAAGTGTCTTGGACGTTCAAGTTGAGGACATGCCCGACCAGTTGCTGTGTGGCCGTTTAAGGAACTCCATGACGATTTCATCTTCCCACCAGTCGATTAGGACGGCTAACTGAACGGCGAAATTTACTTCGTACTGTCCAGTTCCTAGGTCGCACAAGAGCATAGGTACCTTACATCCAGACTGCGGAATTCTCCCACAAGCACACGGGAACAAGTTTTCACTCAGATACAATTCCTGGCACACCCAGCGTTAAACGCTGCAATTCGCAGGCTTATTGACCATTTGACTCGGCTAGCCAGACACGACAACCGTGACACGTGCTGGTTGAACCCCGTTCTCAATGCAACGAACGTCTCCAACTCATTGCAACTTGCAGTTCCCCCATCGTCGGAGTCAACGCAGGGTGAAAGTCGAGGGCATATTAGGTAGGTAGGTACCGAACAGACCACAAGTATAATGTACAGCAGAATGGCCATTCCCTCTGCACCGTCTGTGTCCAGCAGCCCATGGGAAAAGCCTCGCCCGCCTCGCCTGGTCCGAACGAGAAAGACAAAGGTAGTAGGTAAGGTGAAGAAGACGCACAGATTGCAAACCAAGAAAACCTGGCAAAGAAGAAGAGAAAAATGCCTCTTGCCTCCCAGAAATCGAAGCGCAACCGACGTCTATCAAGTGACGCCAAAAGCACATGCGGCAAACAGCACCGCTGTATCGATATCTTTCTGCTCAAGACGCCTGCAACGCCGGAGGTATCCCCACCCCAATGTATGTTGTGTATGAAAACCTTTGCAGGACCCAAGGGAGGTGCTAGCAACTTCATGACCGGTCGTAGCAGCTTTACCCTCAAATCTCGATCGTTTTCATTGCCTCCTCGACTTCTACGGCGGGCTTCTGGCCGTTCGTTACCGCTGAACCATTTGGTTGGGTTTCGTGCTTGGTTTCGTCGGCGGGGTTCTCGCCGTTGGCCAACGCCGTTAACCTCGGGGCATTTTCTTTGATTTCCTCGTTGCTCTGTCGTGGCGTATCGACCTCAACCAATTTATCTCCTGTCTTTCCGAGCACTGGGCTTGCCGCTCCGGATTCTTCTGCCACCCTGGCCAGGGGACTTGACTTTCCGTATCCGGGCCGGATGGGACTGGGAATCGGCGAGATGGCGCTGGGGCGGTGCATGGAACGGCCGCGGTGCTCGCCGTTGGGCTCTGTCGGGTTGGCGTACGGCGAGTTCGGCGCACTACGCGATGCCGCACCCGGCGCCATCGACTTTCGCTTGCTGGCGGTGCGCCCGTATTTCTGATCCATCCTCCACCTCAGGATGTCAAAGTACGCCGGCTCCACGCGCGCCTGCTTGAACTCGCGCAGCTTGAGCTCGCCTGAGTCCTCGTCGACAAACCACCTCCCACTGCTGAGATCGTCGGCGACGATGGCCAAGAAGGCCGCCCATGAGCGCGCCACTATGTACTTGGTGTCGTAATCCCGGCCGAACATGATCACCTGGCCCCAGTGACCTTTTGGTCCCGGCGCCAGATCAACGGCTAGGCAGTTGCCGCCCCAGTCGCGCACCAAGGGAATCCATGCGGGGTGCGCATAAGCCTTCTGTATCGACCCCGGCGGTACGCAGTCCTGACGAGCCAGCAGGTCTTGTCGCCAATCCGAGTCTCGAGGTGAAGTAGGAGCCGAGCTGGATGAGGCGGCAGCGGATGAAGATGCTTGAGCGCTGCCTGCACCAGGGCCCTTTGAAGGAACTGGTGGCCTGAGCAGTCTCGGCTTTTGCAAGAATTCCTCGTTGACCTTGCGCCAGTTCGTCCACTCCTCCACAATTTCCTCGCAATCAAGAAGCATGGCACTGAAGATGATACCTGTGGGGATGCCGCCGCGCTCCTGGCCGTCGTGGATTTGCAGAGACTCCCGGACGTCCTGCGGAAGGGAGCAGTCCAGCTGGTGTTCGAGATCGTTGAGGTCATTCGACGTGCATCCTTCGCAGAGTTGGTCGAACAGCTCGGGGTAGTTCTCTTCGGCCCACTTGTCGATCTTGCGCCACGAGCTACTGACCGAAGGGGCCGGCGGCATGCCGTCGCGGAAAGACTGCATGGGGATCTCACCAGCCGGGCTCTGCACTTCGAAACCATCGGGTGCGGCCGACTGCCGCGCGCGATGCGACCTCATGCCGGGGGAATAAGGTCGGTTGGATTCGGGTGGTAATATGCGGTTTCCAGAGGCATCGAGGGCGGAGGTAAACTGGTGAGCCGACTCATCGCGGTAGGGGGATGTGATATCGGCGCGCGACTCGCCGGCGGTCGCGATCGAGGTCAGGCCATCCCTCGCGTTCAAGGGAACATGGCGCCCTGTTCTGTATGGGGAGTCAAAGGTGGAATCTGGTATCGTTAGTAAGCAGGAGACGGCGGTGGTTGTTTTTTTGGGGTATGCTGACGTCGGTCATTGCTGGTCATGTTGTGCCAGAAGGAGCGGAAGACGGATCCTAATCTGGAATCGGAGGTGTGTTGTCAGCACTCGACAAACCGGCCGGTGTTGGCAGACCACGCGAGTCGAAGCCTACGTACGAAGCCATGTTTGCGCCGGGTATCGGACTGGAGAGCAGTAGAGTCGGGGAAGGCTGTTGCGTAGATGGGGAAATCGGCTTGGTGAACTGGGCTGACCAGTGCGGGTGATGTTCCAAAGGGAGAGCGAAAGGATGAGATCTGGGCGCTGCAGCACCACAGAAACGAATTGAAAGCCCAGGCAGGCCACGGAACAGGAACCAAACTACTAAAACGAGCGGTGCAACCGCATGGATGCGATGATGTCGTGTGGCGGCTGCAGGAGGAACAGGAGACGGGATGCGAAGTTGGCGGTGGCTCCAAGCTTCTGTCCGGAATCAGCCAATCTGCAAGCCTTTCAAATGGAAGGGGTTGAAAGGGGGATTGCCCACAAGTGCGCTTCGACCACTCGCATTGATGAGTGGGGATTGCACGGACGGGCCGCTGGGCTACGATTTCGGGACCCCAGGGAGTCTCCACAAACCATAGCGCTAAGCCAGTTTTATAGACTTTGATTGGATAAACTTGTTGCTCATACGGCTCCCTGGGGTGAATGCAGGTTCACTCAGGGCCGGCAACGTTAATGTCAAATGTTGGACGAAAGCCGACAACGAGTTCATACAACGCCCCATAACGACTGCTACCACATATCAGAGGATTCTTGGACCTTAATACGCATTTTATTTGAACACAACGTCAGAGTCGGTTCCCTTGTTCTTGTTCTGGGTTCTGCACACCAGCCAATTAATTCAAAAATCTGACCATGCTACGATGGGGTTCGAAGAATCCTGTTAATATTTAACACGGCTTTTCCAACTGATTTCGGTAAGTTGATGGATTACGAATCTACTTTGTGGCTCAAAGCCCCCGCATTGGGGAAGATGAATGCTCATGTTGTTCAAGTTGCATGAGCGGACTCAGAGACCAAAGTTATGGGTACTTACTTACCTACCTAAATAGACCACCAAGTCTGGGGTATCTCACCATTTACCGATCACTTACCTAGTCTCACATTCTGTATGTTTCCGTCTACGGCTGCTACATACCTTGGTTTTAATTCCCTTGATAGGTAAGGTAACCTGGAACGCGGTTACGTATCCTGCAGCTAAATGAATACCCCGCTGATGTCCAGCTCAGCTGAACAGCGATACTACAACTGAAGCTCTTCATGTATTGCACCGCACGCCACTTTTATTTTTCCAGCGTTAGCCAAGGAGCGGCCTCACTTATTGACAGACAGCAAACAGAGCCTGAACATACCGACAGGACGACCACTATCCAAAGGCCACCAGACCGATCAAAAGCAACCCTCCCTCAACCAATCATCCCAACTCCGAGTCTACGGCCTAGAACACCCGCCACTTACCTTTCTGCGGATTATCAGCAGCAGCTGCTGGTTCCCGCTCAAGCTGGCCTTCCACCACACGAGCATGATGTTGGACAACCCACCGCGCATCCAGTCAAACCTCCTGCGTCCGCAAGAAACAGAGGGGCCGGCCGTTTCAAAAACAACCAGACAATCTTGCTTTAGCTCGGAGAGCAGTGCAGTGTATCATTCCACGTTTTGATGTTTCATCTCAGCTGTTCCCGTCCCGAAGTGTTGTGTAGCAAAACACTGGATGGTAGGATCCAAGGATGACACGACGCATTTCATGAGCTCTATTTTGGGGTTACGAGTTCCTCATCAGATGATGCTCTTGGTGTTATCCCAACTAGGTAACTATGGTGTGCAGCTCGGCCACGGCCCGAACGAATTTGGACCAAGGGGGCAGCCAGTGCGGCTTGTGAAGCTGCGGTCAGCGCTAGCAGCATACAGGAATGAGATCACACGCCAAGTTGAACGTGATAGTCACCTATGGAGAGTCTCATCTGAGAAATCACTGCCAGGTGCCACACACACACTTACACAAGCGCCGCATCACGTAGGCTCCCGTTGCAGTCCCGAAGATATTCCCGCCTCCCCACCCCCGGGAATCAACCGACATCCTACTCCACAACCCCTATCCACCCAAACCAAATGCCTTGGATGTCCAGACCTAGCTCTGCCACAAATACTCACTCAACGCCAGCAACTTATCCGCCAACTGCCTCTTTGCGGCAGCCGCGACGCCCCTCTCCGGATCGGCCAGCTGCTCGCTATAACGGAGCTCCAATAGCGCCTTAAGTTCATCATACGAAAACCTCACCCCAACCTCCTTCTCCTTCTCCCCTTTTACGTCCTCCCCCTCCCCATCCGGCCCCCCAACCGACGTCCTTGCCTTCTCCCCATCCTCCCTCGCCCGCTTCACAATCGCATCCGGCCCGCCCTCGAACAACTCAAAGTACGCCATGGCCTTATCCAGCCCCGCCCCGGGTCCTTCCTCGATATTCTTCAGATTCTGCTGCAGCACCAGCACGTTCAGCCTCATCCTGCCACAGCCCCTCGAGTTCATGGGCGCCGTCATAGTCGCGTTGCGGATCAGGTAGGCATTGATGAGCAGGCCCAGGCCCGTCCTCACGAAGCGCACCTCGCGCTCTCGCAGGAAGCCCGCCGCCGTCTCGTCGAACGCCACCATCTCGGCGTTGAGCGACAGGATCTGCGGGTCGGGCTCCGCGACCTCCTGGTCGAGCAGGTAGGGGGCCGTGTGGGAGGGGGAGAGCGCCGTGTACAGCGAACGGAGGATGCGGCAGCGCACTTCAGAGTGGAGCGTCAGGAGCGCCGTGGTGGCTAACTCGCTGAGGGAGGTGAGGATGCTGTCGAAGGATCTGCGCAAGGGAACAGAAACGCGGTTAGTTTTTGGTTTGGGTTATTTAGGTAATAGTGGGGCGGTTTGAGAGACGTACTGAACGGTTTCCTGTGTCATGGGCAGGTAGACGGGGCCTTCCCCGGTTGTGGCCTTGCTGGGGTCGTTGAGCAGCGTCCAGCGCTTCTTCTCAGGTTTTGTGAGGTTGGAGCGGGACGAGTCTGTCTCGTTCTCGGTAATGTGTCGGAGGCTGAGAATCTTGACCGAAAGCCACTTCATGCTGGTGTAGAGCAGGCAGAGCGACGAGATCGTGTCGCGGTCCTGGATAATGTCACTGGCCTCGAGCACCTTCTCCTTGGTCTGCGCCATGAGAAGAACTGCCTCCTTCTCCAATAGTTCAAGATCTTTCGTCTCGGACTCCCACAGCTTCAGCATCGTCTCGTGGATCTCGCTCGGCTCAAGCGCCATGACGGCAGAGGCCCGCAATTCCTGCGTACTCGAGGCCTCCTCCTGGGTCTTGGTCACCAGGGCCTTGTACCAGTTGAAGCACCTGTCGTAGTACCTCAGCATCTGCGTGATGATGAGCGAGCTGAGCGCCTGGTCGTGGGGGATTGTTCCCAGCATCCTGCAGAACGCTGTCACGATGGTAAAGAAAGCAGTCGCTCCCTTGAAGACGGGCCGTTTGGCGACCAACGCCCACTCCGGGTCCTGCAGAAAGGCGTCCGCTTCGCCAAACACCGTGTCGCTGAGCTTCCCGAGGGTCTCATCCAGCTGTGGTTGAAAGACATTGACGAGAAAATTGTCAAGAAACGAGGTAAGCGCGCTGGTCGCGAGGTCCGACCCCGGCGGGACGATGTTCTTAAGACGCTGGAGGAAGATAAGGGTGGGCGGGAGGAGGAGACTCATGTTGAAGACGCTGGGCTCGACCAGTGATTTGTACGTTCCGCTCCCCTGAGCACTGTACCCGGCACCGGTGCTTTTTCTCGCGGTGGCGGGATCCGACCGAGGAACAACCAAACCTGCCTTCTTGGTATCGGCCCCCTTCTTGGAGTTAGACGTCAAGCCTGGAACGGCAGTCCGAATGATGTTGTCCAAGGCCTCGTATTCAGTCGCCATCTCAGCCGATTTTGAATCCACTTCGGAGAACTTGAAGAGATGCTCCCGCGTCGCATCCTTGCCGCCGTTTATCCCCACGCCGGGCCTGGGCGATGACCGGAACTGGTAGACGTCGGCATCCGTTGTGACATAGTTGTGTAGCAGTGAGCGGATCTCGTTCTGGTACAGATTCCATAGTTCCTTGAAGCTGCCGAGTAGAGCAATGTTGTTGCCGGCTCCCTCACGTCGGATTAGGGCCTTGATGGACTCGTGGAAGACACGATGGCCCTCAGCTATGGCCTCGAATTTTCCGTAAAGCGTCCAAAGTAGATCATAAATGACGTCTGCTCGCATCCGGGTCTCGCGCTGGCCGTAGATGTGCAACCCATGGGAGCCATGAGAGCCTCCCCTCAACGAGCTGGGGTGCTTTTGGTCGATATCGTTGATGGTCTCGTTGACCACAGCAAACAGCTCGACAGGTAGCCTCTGCTTCAGCGTGTCGACGGCAGATTCTAACCTCCCCAGCTTGTTCAAAGACTCGACCACCAGCGTGACGTAGTAGAAGGTGTCTGCCTCGGGGTTCTTGTGGGGATCTTCAGTCACGGGCCGATCCCAATCCATCGCGTCAAAGATGGCGTGGAAAGGGGGGACAGGCGGCGCGTCTTTGAACACCTCGCTGAGGGCGCCCTGGCACTTGGCCAAATACTGCCACCGCTCCTGGCAATACGGCGACTTGAGATAGAGATGCTCGTGCAGCTCTTCGACCAGAATGTCCATGAGCGCTGTCTCCTGGTTTGCCAGGTAGAGTCGCAGCTCGCTCAATGCGCCGATGCCATCCAGCTCCGGCTTCGTCAGCTTCCGCAGCGCATTTTGGAGGACATCGACTGCCGTCAGAAAGCGCTTCTCGGATATCCTGGCCTCGAGCTGGTCGGGAACGGTTCGCAGATCGTCCAACTCGTTAAGCGTTTGCAGCACCCCATCGTACATGTGCGACGTGGCGTGCAGCTTCTTGAGCTCTGGGTCGGTGGTACAGAGGGCCGCCTTGGATGCGGCCAGCGACTCCTTCAAGGCGCGCACCTTCTTCTGCGATGTCTGTATGCTCCCCTGAATCTTGTGGAAGGTGCCGATGGAACTGTTGAAGCCCTGGTGATACTCATGGACAATCTTCTTAAGTGAGTCCTGGAGATACTGGTGGGTGCGCTGGAAGTTGCGGTACTCGTGGGCGCGGCCGACGGAGCTGGTGTCGAGCAGCTGCAATGCCAGCTGGACGGGGATGCAGTCGTTCTCGCACATGGCCGGCCACTCTTGCTTGATCAATTCAAGCACCTTGCCCATTTCGCGCTCGGCGCTGGTCTCTTGAGCTCGCTGGGTTGACCGGGGTGGGGGTGCTGCGCTGCGAACGGTGGGAGGTGGTCGCGGGTTCCGCTGTCGAGGTGGCGGGGCACGGCGGTCGCTGCCGTAGCCTTCGCCGTACGGATCGTACTCATCGCCGTCCTGGCGGCCGAAGTTGCCGTACCCGCCGTTGCGGTACGACTGGGCGTATCTGTCGGACATTGCAACGCGCGGGGCGTGAAACGCTGTGCTCGCTATGGAATTGGCCTAGTCTTCATTATCGGTTTGGTTTGCAATTGAATGTGCGCGCTATTGAAAGCTCAGACAGGACCAATGGGATGACTTTGACACGCTTCAAGCTCTTCGAGGTCCCTTTCGTCTCGACCGGAGCTTGCTCGACAGTTTGGGGCGAGCTTCGTCTGTAGTTACTGCAAGTCGAGGCCGTACGGAGTAAGGTAGTTGCGTAAGGTATTCGTACCTTGGCTCATCTCATGCAGCATCCATGGATGCATGGGGTTGAAGTTGGACCCACCGCATGCTTTCAGGGACCATGTATGTTACGACATGCGGGGTACGGATACGCGTGACATAACAGCGTTTTGAACCCTCTCCAATTGTGATGTGTATTAGCTAGCCAAGGTAGGGTAAATCAAGCTAGAAATAAAATAAAAAAAAAGGATAAGAGAAAGAACCTCTGAAAAAAATTGAATCCTTTAGTTCCAGTCCGTCCACCGTCAGTTTGAAGAGAATGGGGGTCCGAGCCATGCACCGCGGGATCGTTGCTGATATCAATCACTCCGTACGTGCGTATCGTACTTACAAACCCGTTAAAAGATCAGGCCATTCACGTCTCAGGTACTTACCGTCTTGGCAATTATTTCGCAGCTTCCTAGGTTTGCATTCATCATCGCGGCCGCACTCACGGCGCAAGCATCTCATTCTCAACGCTTCAGCCTCACTCCGCACTGATGCTGGCAAACGTCCAGCGAATCCGGCTACTTGGACGAGTTTGCGGGGGATGAGGGTGCTAACGCAGCCTGCCAGAACACGTTCCATCACCAGGCTCGTTACCTCTAGGCACTTTTCGCATCGTGCGGCTACTGCGATGGCCCTGAAATTCCCCATCTACCCGCCGCCTCAGTATGGAGGCCAGACTCAGCCTGTCAAGCGGCCAAAGGTGAGAAGTCGTAAATTTTCGGGATGCGAATGATCAGCGGCATGAAGCCAGCTTGAGATCAGGCCTCCTGGAATGAGCGAGTTGAACAGCGCTAACAGACCACCACAACGACCAGGAATTTGCATGTTTCTCATATGACAAGGACCACAAGTTCCGGTTGGACGACTCATCCCTAAAGTGGTACTACCCGCCAGACCTGGGCGTCAATCTGAGCAATGGCTTCGACCAGTTCATCCGGCACGATGACAGCATCGACGAACACCTGGACAGCCTCCTCAAAACCATCGCAAGCCATGAACAAAAGACGGGCGAGCCGATCGATGCCCACATTGTCACCTGGAGAGGCATGTTGACCAAGGTACAGGGGTTCCTTCACTTTTGCGCATCGTGGCCTCCGCTGACTTTCACTGGTAGATCATGGCCGTGCCGTTCGACGACTCGGAGTAAGAAATCACCCGGGGCTTCTCTGCTGCTCTTTCCACCATACCAGACTTGATGGCTGAGCCCTCCTTTCACTGCTCTAGATTCGAGATGAACGCTACCTTCTACCGAGTATGCTTCTGCAATCCCCTTCAACCCCACGATTACTTGCTTGGCTAACCAGCTCAAGGATTCCATGTAAGTAGGACAGCAGAAACGCCAGCGTTCGATCAGCACGCTAACGCCTCCCAAAGTTTCGTTGAGGAACACCATGCCTTTAGCCTGGCACAGAGGCAGCAGGAGGTGGCTGGGCGCCCTGGGAGGAGAAACGGGCCGTTACCTGAAATGATGAGTTATTGGGGTGAGGTCTCACTTGTTGCGGGTGTCTCGTGCCAGACTAACTTCGACGCCAGGCTACAAATTCGAGACTCTCAGCACATTGCCCCGGCCATGGGGTGAGACATCAAGAGACTATATCGAAAACCGAGACCAGGAGGTCGTCAACAACAAAGAGCAGTATTGCTCTGTTGTCCGCACAGGCTTTGGCAACACCATCGTCTGTCTCGGGGGTGAAGTTGACGCGAGTAAGCGGCCGCGTGTGGACGCCTGTAAACGAAATCGCATGATGCTGACTCATACAGTTTGGGACGCAAAGCCAGCCACGCCAGGAGAACCCATCAAATGGGTGGAGCTCAAGACAAGCGCCGAGATTCGCAATCAAAACGAGCAGTTCCGGTTTGATCGGAGGGCCCTGAAGTACTGGATTCAGTCCTTTCTTTTGGGCGTACCCAAGATCATAGTTGGCTTCCGGAATCAAGACGGCATTCTTACTAGCGTCCAAGAGTTCCAGACCATGAGTCTTCCGTACGAGGTGCAACGCAGGGGGATGGCCAAGTGGGATGGGAACGTGTGTATCAAGTTTGCCACACTCTTTCTTGACTGTGAGACCGCTCCGTTACCTTTTTCCCCCCCATGCCCACGGACAGCCGCTGACCTACATCACATTAGGGCTCCGCCTCAACATCAAGGACGAAGGCGTCTGGAGGATAAGGCGGCGAAAGGGAGCAAAGGACATCGAGGTCTTCCGGGTCGAGGAGGTCGGCCACGGCCGGATTATCACGGATGAGTTCATGGACTGGCGGATAAAACTCGAGCTCAGGAAGGCCAAACCACCAGACCTGGAGACGCCACCGGCGGTGTAAGCGAGTCCGGAACGTGAGCCAACCCCGGAGGCTGGAAGTGCATCTGGCGCATAGCCCGGCGGCATTGTACAAATTGTAATAGACGGCAGGGTTAGGATAGATACCACGGCGTGAGTCATGTACGAGTACACACACTACACACGGTCACGTTGGTCCTTTGGGATGATAAATGCACAGTCTTCTCACTATGCTACAGGTCTAAGACCCCCCCTCACTTATGTACCTTTACTGCACTATTGACAGTTCACATTCTAATAGATCGTTTCAACATTCCATCTACGGTACACCCCCCGCTCCAGAACCTTCCATTTAATCCCTCCACTCCCTGTCCACGCCCTCCCAGTGATCCAAGAACCCCTTATAGAACTTAACGCCCAACCCGGGATCCAGACTGCCCGTTGTCGCCCGAATGGAATGCATACTGAGCTGCGGGATACCCACATCGGCGGCCTTGACGCCCATGGCGGCGCTCAGCATGGGGCCGACGGTGCCTCCAGAGCGCGAGTCGTTGCGGATCATGTGGCGCTGGTTGACGCAGCCGGCCAGGTCGGCGACGCGGTCGAGGATGGCCATGCTCACGCTGTCTGTCGTCATGTGCGCCGACGCGTCAACGCAGAGCGCTACGCCCACGTTGAGACGCGGCGAGTGGCCGGCGAGGTTGGTCTGTGGGAAGTTGGGATGGGCCGCGTGGGTGACGTCGGACGAGACGAGGAAGGAGGAGGCGTACGTCTGGCCTAGCAGGCCTGGGCCGAACGGGGTGGCGTTTCCGGAGGAGGACGAAGAGGAGGAGGCGAGACTCTCGACGGCGCGCTCGATGGTGATGGGCAGGAAGTTGCCCCGCGCGCCCTGCCGGAGGAGAGAGCCGATCTCTTCGTCGTCGAAGAGCGCGACGAGCTTGATGCCGCCTTCGGACGGGTCAGACTTTGCGTGCAGCAAAGCCATGAAGGCGGCCCAGGAGCACAACTTGTCGTCGATCCGGCCGGCGAAAATGAGTTCCTTGTCCATACCGCCAACGGTGGCGGGCTGCGAGTCGAAGAGCTCGAGCTCCCAGTTGAGAATGGTGCTGGGATCCGTGATGCCGAGTTGTTTGGTGATGAGCTTGACGAGTTTAGCGGGCTGGGTCGAGGTGAACGAGCCGACGCCGCCGAGGGCTTGCTCGGAGAAGGTAGCGGTGGTTGAAGAGAGGTCGCTGTTGTCGAGACCGATGATGGGTACCATTTCCGTCTCGCGGTTGCCGTGCCCCGTCATGCTGAGGCCAAAGTGAGGCGCAAGGGTGGGGATACGGGCGACTATGATTTGTTAGCCGGTCGTTCATCGGTTCACGGCATAGGCGGAGTAACGCACTCGGCCAGTCGAGCTTGACGAGCTTCACCGACGTCTTGCCCGTTTCCGGGTCGCGAACAATGACACGGCCGCCAATGCTCAGATCCCGGTCCCACCATGTCTCGTTCAGGGCACCGGCATACTGGGCCACGCCCAATTGAATATAGCCGTGGGCGTTGGGCTTCGTGCTCGTCGGCTTGAGGCGGGCAGTCAGGGCATCGATGTGGCCCGCTATCATGGCGATGCCATTGCCGGGCTTGTAGGCCTTGCCGACGGCGAAGGCAATGATGGAACTCCCGTTGCGAGTGATGAAGTATTTGCCGCCCGGTTCGAGCTTGCCGGCCCAGCTGTTGCGACTGGAGAGCTGCGATGCGCGCACGCGACTTAGCTATCTATGACTCATTGCAGCGCAGAGTTCATTTGCGGAGACCAACCTCGGTGTAGCCAGCCTTGAGCAGCTTCTCCTTGAAATAATCGACGGCATGGAAGACGGTCGGGTTCTCGGTCATGAAGTCAAGGTAGGGCTTCGTGAAGGCCTCGGGTTTGAGGTCCTTTGCGTCGACCTTGTTGTCGACAACTTCGACACGCATGGCCATCGACTGCTCCATGGCGAGCGAGCGCAGCGACAGGTTGGAGCTACGCGCCCGCAGGAAGTCGGGAGTGTGACGGGTCATTGCTGGCTTTACGTAAGAAGTGAATTACGGTGTTCCGCTGCCAACAACGCAAGAAGACGTGGAGAAGATGGTACCTTTGGTGGTTACACGTGTAGGTGGAGCTTCGAGCTGGTTACCGCCGGGGGGCTTGTCGAAAGGGTGTTGGAGTGACGTCCAGGAGGCCCGAGCGGTCTCCGATATCCCATGCGCTCGGAACATTGGCCAAGCTCTGTTGCCATGGTTTACTATCAAGAGGACGCTGAGTTCAGGGTGTCCACATTCCATGAGGCTAAGGCGGCATACGGTATGCAAATGTTGGACCGATGATGAAGAGATTCAATCCAGAATAGAAACTCTATTGAAGTCTCTCAGATCTCGAGAGCTACCTCCCGTTGCGCACCAATCTCAGGCACGAGACCGCCCTCCTCATCCGGGGGTACCAAACAAGCCCGAGATTTTTCTTGGCACGGGTTAAGGTACTGTACCTTAGGTTATGGTGTAGCTTGAACTTCCCGGGGCCCATGTGGGGCCGTTTCCAGAGCCAATTGCATTTTCAGGGGCATGACGTAGGCCTCCCATATCCGGGCTCCCCGAAGCCCCTGGCAAAAGCACCACTAGCCAACTTTCATTTTCATTTTTCATCACTTCTCAGACCACGAGACATGTCAACGTCTTCGAAGACACGAATAAGCGTATGATAACGAATCGAAGATACTATCCTGTATGCTAGACGCGAAAGTATCCTTTTACCAGCTCCTCGCATACACCACCCCTTTTTCTGGACCGAAAAGGGCCTCTGTGTCGTTTCACGTGCCTGAGGTGGCGCGGCCGAGGCTGTGCTCTTCTCTTCCATACCAACGGGATACAGATCTTACAGGGAACAAGCAGACCTGTTCCTTCCTTCGGGATTTTTGTGACTTCATAACTATAACCTAATAGCAGGATCAAGGCTCTTCGTCCCTGCTCTCGAGTGGCCTGGATTCAGACTGTTCCAGCATGGCCGCTTTCGTCTCGAGCCTCAGCCCGATCCCTTCGTTTCCGGACTACACGGGCCCGTTCAAGGTGGGCACCGTCGACGTCGAAATACCTGTGTCGGAGCTGGTGTCGCCCAGCCCTGCGCCAGAGGGGGCTGCTGACATTCAAACCGTGTTGTTCAGGGTTTTTTATCCTGCGGTGCCTGAATCTCAGGGCAAACGAGTGTCATGGCTTCCAGCCCCTCAGCGCCTTCACATCGCTGCCTACACGCAGTTTCTCGGAGCTGGGTCTACCTTGGCATCCATCCTCTCGTAAGTTGCGCCGTTGGACATATGTGCTTTGGGGTTCCCGTGCTGACAAGATTCAGCTTCCTCCCTCGACACCTCCATTGGACCTCGATCCCAGCCTACAAGAACGCGACGCTCCTGGCGCCTCCATCTGACAGGTCTCGCTCGAGATGGCCAACAATGATATTCTCTCACGGCCTGGGGGGTAACCGCAACGGCTACAGCTACTTGGCTGGCTCTCTGGCCTCATACGGCGTTGTGGTCGTCTGCCCTGAGCACCGTGACGGCAGCGCTGCCCTGTCCCTTATCCGAGATCCCAAGAACCAGAACCGCAAAAGCACCCGGCACATGGTGCCCTACTTGCGCATTGCCCACACCCAAACACATGAAGCTTGGGAAGCCCGCAACAAGCAGCTGCGCATCCGCCTATGGGAGCTGGGCCTCACCTTCGAAGCGCTCTTGGCCATCGACGGCGGCGACCAACCCATCATCAGCTCCAACCTCAATTACAGCACGCCTGAATCCGCCCTCGCCCAGTTCGCCAACGCCCTTGACATCCTCGATCCCGGACGCGTCATCTTCTCAGGACACTCCTTCGGCGCAGCAACCATAACCCAGCTGCTCAAATCCACCTTCTACGCCGGCCACCCGTCTCTCGCTCCAAACCTTTACCCCAACCCCTTGTTCACCCCGTCCCAAAGCTCGGCCATCGTGGCGCAAATCACCCCGTCCACCCCGACAATCCTCCTCGACATGTGGTGCTTTCCCCTCCTATCCGCCTCCACCGCACCGCTCTACAACCTCCCCTTGCCCTGCTACTCCCTTCCGAACGGCCGCGGACCGGGTGGCGCCGCCCTTCTCGCGGTCGAGTCCCAGGCCTTCTACAACTGGACCGAGCACCTTCACGCCAAAGCTCGCATCCTCTCGCCGTCTCCGACTTGCAGGACCGTGACGGCGGACATGTTCGACGACGACAACGGCACGGACGATACCGACATGGATGACGAGAACCCGAAAACGGAACGGTCTGGACAGAAAAAGCCGAACTTCTTTTACGTTGCGTCGTCCGCACATCTCAACCAGAGCGACTTTGGCGTGCTGTTCCCCTGGCTGACGAAGCGGGTCTTCAAAGCGAGCCAGCCCGAGCGGGTGCTGCGGTTGAATGTGCGGGCGCAGCTGCAGTTTCTGAGGGAGAATGATGTTGTCGTGGCGGGGACGGCGTGGAGGGATGTGATGGTTGATGATCTGCACTATCGCGTCAAGAGTACGGGGCAAGGGGACTGGGTGGCACAGGACGATGCTATTCTGAAGAAGGCCGGTGCTGCTGGAGAGGGCGAGGTGGAGGCGTGGAAGTGGATTGATGTCGTAGGGTTGGGAGGGGAGTCCGGGCCGTCGGAGTTGGAGATGCAGAAGGGAGAGACCGGCGTGGAGGACGAGGTGAGGGCCGAGGAAGGCGAGAGGGAGATGCAGGGGGAGATGGAGCCTTCGTTGGAGAGGGGAGTGGAGAGTGTGGCATGACATGCTGCAAAGTGGGTGGTTGGCAAGAAGAAGTGAGGCGGTGTATATCATGGTGCATGGCGTGATTTGTGCAGGCAAGGTGTTGGGCTTGACAGGTATGAGCATCATTGAGCGTTTGCATAGAGTGTGATTTAGATGATGTTGGCTACTAGGGTTCACGGCCATAGTGTAATATTACTAGTAGACTCGGGTAGATATTAAAATAATTCACATCTCCTTTCACATTGTTTCCCGGAAAAGTCGATCTGCAGTATGTTCTCAGTCGCTGCTCACACCACAGAAGTACTCCTTCCACCCGGTCGGAATCTTGAACAACACAGCTTCACACGAGGCCCCTGTCCAGCCACCTTGTCCACCCTGAAATATCCCTTACATTCCAATTGAACATTGCAGTCCGCCTCCACGGTGGCCATATTGGCATCACACAGCGCTTCTGTCATGGTCGCCGTGTTGGTCGCCAGGAAGTCGTCCAGCTTGTCATCTTTTCCCAGCGTGTCCTTGGTCAAGAGGTAGTCAAACGTCCAGATCTCCGCCTCGACTAGGGAGCTTCTCTCCTTAGCTAGCCATGTAACCTTCTTGTCCGTTTTTTCTGGAGTTTCCCTCCAGGTTCAGTTTGAGCTGCAACGCAGTCACAGTGGTACCGTCTCGGGCTATGCCTCGAACGATTGCATTTCCCCAGTTCATGAGCGTGATCTCCTCGTTCGGCGAGAAACTGGCTGCGTCTGCTTGGTCGATAAGCACCGTGCTAGCATATGTAACCGACTAGGCCCCAACAGCTGCGTTCTTTAGATGCCTCGGCTTCTCCTCGAAATAGGGCGGTTCCGGACCACCCTCAAGGGTCGTCGCGACCAACTCCTTCGTCTCCACAGCCGTGTACCGGGGAGCAACGAGATAAATAAGTTTTTGTTGGTTGCCCAGAGGATGGTCTCAGTCCATGGTGACGGCATTCCGACTGGCGCCCTGCGTTAGCATGAACCCACAGAGAGCGGGGACGGTGAGACCGCGGACTGTCGGCATCCGGGAATCGTCCCAGCCTGTTACGATACCCGTATCGACCACCTTGGTCAGCTTCTTCTTGGAGAGGAATGTCCGGAGGAAGTATAAGCGGGCAAAGTCCAGATTTGTACGGGGCAGCTGTGCCAGTTTCTCCTGGAGCCACTGGTATTGGGCATTTCAATCGGCATACTCGGTTTTGCGGAGAGCATGTGTTACGCCTTCGATTTGTCCACCACCTGGCAGGCGAAATCGTAAGTCGGATAGATGTTCCACGCCCAGTCAGTGCGATGGTGAGGGTTAGGCTCAGCATCCTTGCCCTCCCTCCTTTGACTCGAATGTCGAAAACGGTATATCACCGAATTTCGCATCGCACCGTTGGGTGAGTCAAGGGCAATTCGAGCTCGGATGCAGTGCTTCCTGCCAAAATCAGTCCCGTCCTTCATCTCCTTGAAGATGGCCAAGCTCTCTGATGGCGGCCGGTCTCGTCGCTCGCTGGGAAGACGATTTAGTCGTTCCCCCTTTTAGTCCTTGTGGTCCGTGTCGTCAGCGTACGCGTGTCCCTCTGCTATCATACGATGACTAATTTTATATAACTGCTAGAAGTAGTCGCTCGTATAGATAATGTGATCTAGCTTAATACCCAGTAGCTAAAGGCCTTGTATAATAGAATCCTTGGAATTCCTACTTTTCTTTGGCTAGAGTAGTATTGTCGAACTGAACTATGGGCTTACTATCGCATGCTTGGTAAGCGAAGTAGTCGTTAAGAAGCGGCTTTAGTATAGCCGATTTGCAGATATTCCTCATGTTTGATCAGCCAGAGGATGTGACTACGGATATAGAGCGCAGAGATCTTACGAACGCTCTGGGAAGAACCGCGTTACTACCCTGTTTTCTGTAACAATTCTTCAAACCAATATTGTATTTATACCTGGCTCTGCTCGCTATAGCGCGGTTCTATTTTCCTTGGCTTATGTAGCTTCAATCTCTCCTTAAATCTCAAGATAGCTAGCTTTAATGGAAGTAAACTAATATAATATGTTAGTGAAGTGTAAGGTGACACACACAGGTTCACCAAGGAAGATGCACCGCGTCCACAAGAAGAAGCAGGCAAGACGACCGTATTGTGTGTTCACCACTGACCAACTGACTGATCCTTGAGAGAGAAAAGTCCCAAGTTCCAATCTGAGTATCCTGCTCTCTAGAAATCTTTCTGTTGCGAGTCATGTCGCTTCGCCATAAACTCCACAATGTCTCGCCTGCCAATAGCCCAAGTGTAGGGCTCGTAGTGGGAGCCATGACAGATGTCCAGTTGGAGGAGCGACGCTGTGACTCTCTGCCTTCACGCTTCCTGGACCTGTGCCACTACCAGCCGAATTGCCAGCTCCGTTGACCGGTGTCCCCTGTTGCCCATCTGCATGTCTGGAAGTAAGCCGTTGGTTTCTGCGGCTTGAGTGACTTTGTCGGCTACCACTGACTCTATGACCTTCCCTAAGGTCGGTAGTAGAGCAATGGCTCTGTGGCCTCCTGGTGTCTGATATACGTCTAAGGTATCTATGCTCTCCACACTAGACGTAATGTAAAATGTGTTGATATCTTGGGCACTGCGGAGTTGGAGACCGTAGGCCGTCCATGTTTAACATAGCGACAACTGGGAAAGGTAGCGTATCTGCAGACGATGGCGGAGATGGGGGGAGTCACAATGTACATTGGATCTTACGACTACACTTTAGATCAAAACTCACTTATCATCTCCAGTCAACTTCGACGAATCTTCTACGAGATGGTTATGTCAAGGGAAAGTGTTTCTGGCCGAAATTGATCCGATCACGGCTCACAAGTCATCTACCTAGAGACTATGGGTGCACTTTGATTTGATCATACCATTTGATTCTTCAGATGAAATTACGCATTGATCTGGCTCCCCAAGACTCCGAGATTGCCGAAAGACTGCGGTTGGAACTTCAGGGCAAACATTTACCATTTGTCTTGGTGGCATATATACCTTGTGACCGAGGCAGACGTTGTTTGTGTATGTGACAACGAGCGCGCTGAGAAAGAACCTGTCGTGATAAATAGGTATGCCTACACTCTCCGAATGCAACATGGGGAAGAAGGACCAATACGACTGCGAGGTGCTATGTGAGTACCTACTCATCCACCACCGTGACGCTAAGCAAGTATAGCAAGTGTAGATAACGCATTTAGTTAGGAATTCAAATCAACAAGCTTCTCCATCAGTTTTGGGTCTGGCCCGGTTGGGTCCATGGTTGCCACAATTCTCATGAGAAGAGATACACAGTGCTGATGGTCGAGGCTGGCGCTGAGTATGTCTCTTGTTCTCATCTCTTGGTGACTTCTGACTGCTCTAACCTTATGCCTTCAAATAGCGAGAGTAACAACCTCGGAGAGCATAGTAAGAACGCTGCATGCTTTCAGAAGGACATTGACTCCTTTGTCCAATGAGTACCTTACCTTATTATTCAAGAACTTTGGGCGTCCAATATTGTGAAAGCAGCCAACAGTCAACCTACTAGCACCATCAAAGTAAGCATTGGCAGCTTGAGAATACATAGGGGATAGCGAGACTAACGGTTTTGCGCGCCTGGTGAAGGGAAGTCTGCAACCAACCTCGGTGCCAACCGATGAATCGGTGGTCCCTACTTTACCTCCAGTGTGTCGGACAGCATCCGTAAACGACACACCATTGTAATGTGTTTTTTGGGTGGAGCTAACAGCAGCAAACAGAGGAAAGTAGGTGCACAATGGCCAGAATCCTAATCAAACGTAGGGGGGATGTCAACTCAACTATGTCATCGTTATGCTGGTCCTCTTGGTAACAGCTCGTGGAAGGAAAAATCGGTTGAAAAAAGAAAAAAAAAAAAGGTACATCTACTCACTGACTCGACCAACTTAGTTGGACTTGTGCAACGCCCCGACAGATCCAACTTCGGAACGTTTGCCTATCCTCGACGATAACAAATGGGACATGCTATATGACGACGCAGAGAAACTGATTGGACCCTATACCGACCTCCTCCAAGGTTCAATCCGCCAAAGTATGCTGCTCCAAATCTTGAATGATCATTTCGAGGGAAAAAAGGAGGAAAACGGGGAAACAAGAACGAGCGGCAACCCGCGGCATTCCCACTTTTTCTGGCGGCCAAGCTACGCAATTTGAACTCTGAGTACATCACCTGGTCTTCGTCGTATAGAGTTCTCGAGCCGATACTTGCAGAAGCCAAGTACAGAGGAAGGATCAAGGTTGAAGAGTGAGTGCCTTTGTGAGAAACTCAACCTCGCTGCGTCAACAAAGGATGCGGCAAAAGGGTTGTTGAGAGTGTCACGATTCGCCAGTCATCGGACGACAAGGAGGACGAAGTTCGAGCCAGGATGTACATCGTCTGCGGTGGATCTATACTCACTCCACAGCTGTTGTTCAATTCGGGGTTTCGGACAGAGGAGACCAATACTCAGATTCGGACATACACCGAGACGGGCCTCAGCTATGTCCGGTCCCAATTGGCCATATTTAGGACCTTGATTGAGACGGAGACGCTACCCTTCCTCCGGCTCCCCACCTTGATATCTCCAAGTTTCTCACATACATTCGACTATCGTTTGTTTATAGGGTCACTACGCCACCGAGCAAACAATGTGCTCTGCGAAGTTGTCTTGGATAGGCGCTGGATCAAGGCAGTCTACGGACCGAACTCACCGGACAAGGGGGGCTCCAATCCATACCCGGGCTGGGACGAGAAAAATCAGAGACGGTCAGACCTCAGGGAGAAGAAATGGAACGACAAAATCATTGAACACTTGAAGACTCAAGAGGGCCGTGAGCCTCAGGATAAGTTGCCGTTTCCTTTCAACGATTTGGATCCGCAGGCCACTCTTCCCGTTACCGACAAGCGACCGTGGCACACCGAGATACACCGGGACGCCTTCTCGTACGGAGCAGTCCCCCCGAGCATTGACAAGCGGACCATCATAGATTTGCGCTTCTTTGGCCCCGTGGAACCGACATATGGGAATCGCGTCACCTTCACAAAGAAGATCAAGGATTCTTACGGGATGCCGCAGCCCACGTTCCACAACACGCGCACCGAGACCGACCGAGATCTTACGCATCGGATGTTGAAGCACATGGAAGAGCTTTCTGGGGTTCTGGGTGGCTCTCTCTCGGGTTCCGAGCCGCAGTCTATGGAGAATGGCCTAGCACTCCACATCTCTGGCACCACCAGGGCCGGTAGCTCAAAGAGGGACTCATGCTGCAACAGGTTCTCCCAGATTCATGGTGTCGACAACCTCTTTGTGGGAGGTCTGAATGTCATTCCCGGAAAGAACGCATCCAACCCCATATTGACAGATATGCGCTTCGCTATCAAAGCTGCGGGCAGGATCTCAGATCGTCTGTGGGACGATAGGGACGACGACGACGACGACGAGGAGGAGGAGGGGGAGGAGGAGAGGAGAAGAAGATGAAGAAGCACACTCAGATTAGTGGTGTTAATGGCGTTTAGCTGCATTCTGGAGAGATCAATAAGCTTCGTTGATCTGCGGTTTTGTGGCGGACGACGGCCCTGGTTGTGGCTGATGGCATGAAGTACGCTGGACGATGGCTCTGCCCTCCCAACTAAAGGAGGTACTTTCGTCTTATTCATTTGTCGCCCGCTGAACATTGGAGAACCTTCGGGCAAGCACTGTTGGTAATCAAAAGTGCATTTGTGAAAACATCTCCAGCACTCTGCTCCTTGAATCCTGTCACTAACGGGAATCTCTGCGGGGCCGAGCACAAGTGAGGGCAGGCGGATTGCGCCGAGCAACGGCCTGATGGACGGTGGTATGATCCCTCTCTTCCCTAACAGGCGCGCATTGGGACTGGTACAAAGGGCATGAGTTCGTTACGATTCCTTCTTTTCGGAACTCACCGGCGAGAGAAGGCCAAAAGAAGGGGGTGAAAACCAGTTCTCCAACATCTGTTACAGGAGCAATATGAACGCCAGCTAAAAGAGGCAAACACACACAAGAACAGGGTATCATCGATAGATCGGAAGCCCCTGAATATCCAGTGGAATCGGCGCCAGATCAACCTCGACCCCCTTAAGCCACGTCTTCACCCTCCTCTTTGGGTTCGCCTTGAGCTTCTTCTCTGACTTGACTTTGGCATGTAGTTTCTTTGCGAGCGCTGACGTCGTCCTGTTCTTGATCGAAACGAGTTGCCCGTGGTCGATGTGTTCCCAGCAGGTGCCAGTGCACTCTGTTGCCTGTGCTGCTAGGAAAGTATTTCTGCCAAAGGTTACTGTGCTGGCAGGATAAGGCTGGATGAGGTAGTCCACCTCCTCGGGGAGTGCTGTCAGAGTCCTGCTGCTCCAAGCGAACAGGCCCTCGGTTTGAAAGCCAGTCGAGGTCGTGATTACGCTTCGCCAGGAGCTCTTGGGGGAGCTGGGATTGATGGACGCTTTGAGACTGGGGCTGGCCGGCGGGCTCTCTGGGACTGGAGACAGAGGTTGGCCGAGTTGGCTGCTTGAGGTCGTTGGTGTAGTCTCCTGGTCTTGATGGCCTGGCGCGAACTCATAATCCCATGTTCCTGATCCGATGTTAATGATGATTTTAGGTACTAAGTAGTTTGCATCGAGCCCGAGATTGGGACGAACCATTTTGTGTTTGTCTTGCCCTCCAAAAGCAGTTCTGCTCCTCACTGAAGTACCAATCTGACCATGCGCCAGCATTGTTGGAGCCAGCTCTCTTCGACCTGGGCTTGTGCCGTTTGGCTGGCCCTGAGCTTGTCCTGGCTGTCTGTTCCACGGTCTTCTTGACATCGGAAGGAGCCATGGGCAAAATGCCTTTGTGATTTCTCCGTTGTTGACGAGAGATTCTCTCTCAGAGCTCGGCAGGCTCTTCTAAATGTGTTGAATGGGCCAGGGTTCTGAAGGCCCGCGTGGTAGCCCGGGGCTTGAATCAAAACAAGGTAAAGTTCCAACTGGAACTTGCTCGTTAGATATTAGTCACGAGCCTTCGTAGGCACTTTACAAGAGTGCGAGCACACGAACTATGGTGCAAGGCTCTGCGGCAGGGACAGTGAGTCGCCGTGGATGGCTGTTGGTATGATGGTGGATGCTCCCAAGAGCAGGCGGTTCGTTGCGATGAGTCCCGGCAATGTAGAGGATGTAGGTTGCGCAGGGACTTGTTCCGGTTGCCAGTCACACATGAACGCAGCTGGACTTGAGTTGGAGAGAGTGAAAGAGCAAGATAGAAACCACCCACGGGAACATGATACAAGCAAGCCCAAGAACGAGACGATATTGAAGCGTGGCAACGTCAGTTACTGGGAACGAAGGTGTTACAGCCTCTCACCAGCAAGATACCAGGTCGCATAAAGGAGAATTCTGAGGCGCACCGAGGCTTGTAGACCATGCAGGGCGCCCGCGAAGAAAAGGAATGTTCCCAAACCTGACGTCAACCTATCATGGCGGCCTTGCGTCGCGGCGGTGCGCGGGGCTTGGTGCCCTCGGTGCCCAACGGTGCCAACGTTTGCGGCGCAACGCGGACACCCTACATGTTATCATGGCAGTTGGCGCCACCTCACATGACTTGAAACTGCCGAACCGCAGAATCCGGGAAGCTTCTCATCTCAATGAGCGGCAGCCCTCCCCGTGTCCAGGGGCATTCTAACGCCGGTAGGTATTCGTAGTGTACTGGCTGGTGATTCCGAATACTCTTCTGTACAAATCAACGCCGGTGTAAGGGCCGATGCGTTTGGGAAAGCGAACAGATGGTCAGCCTGATTGTTCCTGCTTGAATCTGTAGCTACCGCTGTCCCAGTAAGTCTTGCGCGCATGATGCGGGGAAGAGTAGTCTCCTTGGACTTGTTCGGAGGTTGGATTTGGAATGCAGTGAGAGATGATAAGAGCTTTGTCGGTTTCGCTATACAGTCAATGGGAGTCGAAGTTTACAGACCTGTGAGCCTTTAACATTACAGTAATAAAGGTTTAAAAAGTGGGCCCACAGGCTGGCGCCAAGCATTGACGCAGCAGCAAGCTCCGGAAAATCAATCCGCAACATTGCGCATCAAACCATCAACCAAGTTGCACCAGCAAACGAAAGTGCCGATTGATGACACTTCGCAAACCTAGCTAGCACACGGCCTTCAACATGACATCCACGATTGGCATCCCAATCAAGCTCCTCAACGAGGCCCAGGTGCGCCGTTTTCCCGTTTCTGGCCCCGCCACATCGTACGCCCGAAATCTCGAGCCGCAGCTAACAATGCACAACCCCTACAGGGCCATATCGTCACCCTAGAAATCACCTCGGGCCAGACATACCGGGGCAAGCTGATTGAAGGTGGATGCCGACTAAAAATTTCCCATGATACCCATGGAATCGATGCTAACGGAAAAGTTACAACAGCGGAGGACAACATGAACGTGCAGCTCAAGGACATCACGGTCACCGCGCGCGACGGGCGCGTCAGCCATCTCGAGCAGGTCTACATCCGCGGCAGCCACGTGCGCTTCTTCATCGTGCCTGACATGTTGAGGTGCGTCGTTTTACCCCTACTACCTTTCCCCGCGTGATGCGCGAAGGGAACCAGAAGGAATAGACATTGCACAGCGAACTAACGCTGACATGATGATGCGTCTTCTAGGAACGCGCCCATGTTCCGTAGCCGCAACGTCCGAGGCAGGGGTGTCGGTCTGGCCAGAGGAAGAGCCACGGTCAGCAGGGCGCGGGCCGGCGGACGTGGAGGAAGGTAAATGGGAGATGTTGGGTAGGGAGATGCTGGTTTAGAATGGGAAAGAGAGGGCATAATTTGGCGTTTCGGATTCCACAGGCACGAGAGGTGTGGTTTCTGGGGAGATCACAAGTGAGGAAAGTTTGAAAGATGGCGGGCTCAGGGGCATGTGGCACAGTGGACGATACTTCACACCACACTCCGACGACAAAGGTCGAGAGTTTGTCACCCCGACTGGCAAGGGTACGTATCATGTCTTGCTCTCTAGATATGGGTAATTCTACGTTCAGGGCTGACGCAAGCCTTACCCAAGCCCGGGACCGAGGCGAGCCTGGAGACTGTCATGTCTCCAAAATCATGTAGAGTACATGTTATACACGGCGGATTATGCTTGCCAAGTCTACTTCATCTGCGCGAACGCCTCTTCCGCTCGTTTGATGATTTCCTCGACCATATTCAACTCTTCTAGGTGTGCAGTCCGGTCACCCCGAGGGTCGGGCGTCTTGCCCGCCTGATTCAACACCTCGGCCACGCTGGCTTCTGTTGCGCGGATCGCCTTGCGACCCTCTTCGCGCACCTCCTCTTCCCAGTATTCTCTGGCCGCGTCCCACTTCCCCTGGAAGCGCCTAAAGCTCAAAGCAATGCCCAGCGCCGCGATCGCACCACACTCGTATGCCCCGAGCGATGAGAGGTACGATAGCCCCGCGAGAGCAGTGCTCAAGCCGGATAGGCTGGCGGCTTGCACAACAAGTTTCTGCGCGAGCGCTTGCAGGGCCGGGACGGTCTTCTCCTGCAGATAGTTTCTCGTGAATGGGATGTGAGTCGGCCATTTGGCGACGATGTTGGGTGCGACTGTGTCTTGTCTCTCGGTCCCCGTCGACGACTGAGGCAAGGCTGGTCCCGCGTACAGTGGTTGTCCTTGCTGGCCCTCGGCGATGCCAGCCTCCTGCATGCGGCCGGCGAGATAGATCATGGCCTTTTCTGCTTCTGGGAGGAACCGCAGCGCCACCATTTCCGACGTCATCATGCCCACATCATCGGCTCGCCAGAATAGCTTCCACCACCCGAGCTTGCTCCAGGGCCTGGTGGAGAAGGCAAGATCCAGCTGCTGCTGTAGTTCCTCATGGGCGTTCTGTGCCCATTCTGCCAGAGCTTTGTCCAGGTCGGCGATCGCAACAGGTGAAACTTCTGTTTGTGACTCGGTCGCCAAGTCGCGCGCCTGTTCCTCCTGAACGGCCGCCCTCGCATTCCGCAACAGGGAGTCGATCAAGTTCCGGACAGGCGTCTTCGTGAACCCCTCCCCACCTGACAACACGCTCTTCTGCAGCCACTCACTGATGCGGCCAACGTTTGCTTCTGACCACAGCGCCTTGAACTTCATGGCATTTCCGACGTCCGCGCGGAACAGCTCCAACGCTTCACGGCCAGCATCCACGTTGACCGCAACCAGCGGGCAGTCCGCCAAGTCCTCCTTTCCAACCCTGGTAAAGTTGACCGCGCCCATGATCACATCCCATCCCTGCACAACAGGCATTCCCAAAATCGCCGCCGCCCCAAGCATCCCGTCCCCAACCAACACCGCCATGTGCACCGGCGTCCCAACCGCCGCCACATGCCCCGCCGTCGTAGCAGCCACATCCACCATCGGCACCAGCAAAGCATCGTCAACAACAGCCTTCCCACCAGGTGACGGCAGCGCCGCCGCTACCTCGGCAACAAGCATCTCCACCCCGGCGCCCCTCAGCAACGGCGTCGATACCCGCAGCTCGGGGATCACGTGCTCCTTGATGCTGGCGACCGTGACCGTCCCGTCCCTTTCCTCCTCCTGTGCTTTCCCAGCAACACGTACAATCAGCGGGTGCCGTCGCACGTCGTGCGCTTCGAGCTGCACCTCCCATTCTGCCGCGGGCGTGAGCGGGTCGGCGAGAGCCAGGCGCAGGAGGCGTTTGGCCGTTGTGGAGCTCTTGTTGTTGTTGCTGGAAGCAGTTCCGGTCGAGACGCTGAGGAAGGCGACGCGGACGGACTCGTGGCCTGGCGGTTCGGAGAGGTTGCGCAGGGCGAGCTGCAAGCGGGGAAGGTTGACGTAATTTGGGCCGTGGGTTTGCAGGTCGAGGAGGGCGCGATAGAGGTCTTGGCGCGTTTTGCTATTGAGAGATGGGGACGCAGTATGAGAGCGGCGGTGGATTTCGGGGAGGGATACGAGTGGTTTTCGGCTAGGTCGGAGGATTGGCGACGGAGAGGAGGGCGAGATTCGTGGTGTGAAGGAACAGAACAGACATATTGACGGCGCCTTTGCTGGCTGCGATCGGAGACCCGGGCTCCGAACCAGCGCCCTTTGAAGGGCCAACGACGGCGGCATAATGGCGCTGGTTGCAAGGGCCAGCTCCGAAGTTGTTGGAGTTGTTGATTGATAAAGCACAGCTCGAAGTTCAAATCGCGAGCTTTTTGCCGGGAGGAACCGGCAACTTCACGCCAAGGCCAGATGTGCCAGGGCTGGCAGGGGAAAACATGGCGAGCATGGCCAGAGCTCTTGCAGCGATCTTGTCTCAAAATCCCTGTCCGGCTGTAATCGGATTGGGTGCCACCTTAGACGTCAGCCAAACCCCCACCATCCCAGCTCCATCCGGCATCCATCGGCGACTTGGTAAGAACAGGTATCGCGAATCGTCCACTCAGCCTTCATACAACACGTAGAGCACCACCTCGCCCGTTTCCCTCCCTGTCTCACCACCTGTTAACTTCGCCGTACTCGAAAGCAACGCCCACGAATATGGCCCAATCAACAGCCCACCGACGCCTCCTCCAAGAATACCGCGCCTTGACCAACAACCCGCCCGAAGGCATCACGGCTGGGCCTGTGTCCGAAGACGACCTGCTGCACTGGGAAGCCCTGATACAGGGTCCCGAAGGCACGCCCTTCGAGGGCGGCGTATTCCCCGCTGAGCTGCGCTTCCCCAAGGACTACCCGCTCGCCCCGCCGACGATGAAGTTCCTGGGTGAGATTTTCCATCCGAACGGTGCGTTGTTCCTTTGCATTTTCCTTTTCTTCTTATTTCCGTAGAGTAAAAAGAATGACATTTGTTGATGGATGTGGCGTGGCAGTGTATCCAAGCGGCCTAGTTTGCATCTCCATCCTGCACCCGCCCGGCGATGACCCCAACCACTACGAGCACGCCTCGGAGCGGTGGTCGCCCATCCAGAGCGTCGAGAAGATACTCATCTCGGTCATGAGCATGCTGGCCGAGCCGAACGATGAGAGTCCTGCCAACGTGGAGGCGGCCAAGATGTGGCGTGAGCGGAGGGACGAGTATGAGAAGAAGGTGCGTGACGGGGTGAGGAGGATGTTAGGGCTTTGATATGCTTATCCTGGCTTGTACGTGGCTACGGATATGGGAGGATGGCATGGCGCATTTGGGAGTTCATGGGAGGTTTGTCTTGCATGGCATAGAGTTTGCATTGCGATAGCGATGTGTGGTAACAGGGCCTCTAAACGGATATTTCAATTGCGTTTCAAAACTCACGTGTATGACATTTGACTGGTTCTCAAATGCGTTTCATCTATAAACATCTACAAACCACACCCACTTCCCTCGTCCCCAGCCTTCTAAGCCAGCCCGTATCATCATCATAACCCGCTCACAGGTTGTTCTCGGCCTTGAACTTGTCCCACGCCTCGTTTAGTGTGCTGAACACAGTCCCAGCAATCATGCGCACCTCAGTGCTAGCATCTTGCGCAATCTGCATCCAGAACCGTCAGCAACACCACACTCAACAGCCAAACCTGGAATACGCAGAGCTCACCTTATCAGGATGCGTCTTGGCAATCGCCTTCATGTAGACGAACTTGACTTTGTTGGCCACCACCAGCTCGTGAAGCCCGACCTTCTTCCACCCGCTCCCCTCCCACAGCACAGTATCCAGGCTGCTGAGCAACGCGCGCAGGTTGTCGCGCTTGCCGTCCCGCCAGGCGGCAATGCGCGCGTCGACTTTGTCAGTCAGCGCAATCTTCTCGTCCCCTTCCCTCTCGGCCGCCTTGTGCGCCGCGCGTAGCCGCTCCACCGCCTCGAAGCTCTTGTGCGGCGTGGTAGTGGCGGAGGGTCTCGGGCGCAGGGGCGCGGCCGCTGCCGGCCGGGGCGTGGGTGCCGGCTTCTTTGGCGCGAGCGCCTTTTGGCAGCGCTGCCTCCCCGCTGTGGCCGCCGCCCCGCCGAGCCCGGCTTCGACGCAGAGCTGCCAGACGGCGGCGGCATCGGCCCACTTCTCCATTTGTTCGAGCGCCTCGGCTTTGCGGGTGAGGGCCTTGCCATACAGGTCGCGCATGTCGCGCTTCTCGCTGGGAGTGGCGCCGCTTCCTGGGAGTTCGACGTGCTCGCCCTCCCCTTTGCCCGGCCCGATCAGTCGGATGGCCGTGTCAGCGTCTTCGACTGCTTGGCGCGGTTCGCCCGTTTTGAGCGCCGTTAGGGCGCGGTTGCAGAGGAGCACGATGGTCAAAGGGTGGTCTTGCGGGATGGCTGTAAGGGAGGCTGTGTAGGAGGCATGGGCGGCCGCGAAGTCACCGCGCTTGAAGTGTGCAGTGCCCTCGACGCGACACTTGGTCGAGTTCTGTAACGCGGTTGTGGAAATGTTGGGTATCTGGCGAGCGGGTCGTATTGGTGCTGGTTTTGAAGCCGGCGACGGCCGGATTGAGGCCCGAGGAGCCGGAGATGGTTGCGGCGAGCGCACTGGAGGTGTAAGGTTGGATGTCGAAGGCGTGGCCGAACCAAAGAGCAGATCTGGCTCCGGTTTTGCCGGCGTTCTCGTCTCCGCTTGCGGCTGTGGAGTAGTCTTCTTCCTACGGGCCGGGCTGACATATGCTTGGAAGCTCTCTTCTTCGGCTGCCTGCCTGCCCAGCCGAGACCGAGGATCCAGGGACTGCTGTGAGGCTTGTTGCCATTTTGGCACTTGGCTAACCTGCCCGGGGCGAACCGGTAGAGCTGGCGAGCGGTCACGAGACTGGGCTTCGCTAGGAGCGTGACGCTCGAATGCGGAACTCCCTGGTCTGCCGCCTGGTCGTCCTCCCCCTTCCAGCATCAAAGCCTCATCGGTGACCTCAGCCATTTGCCTGCGTCGGTCACCAGCGCCAGGGTGATCTTGGGCAGCCGACCGCATCCATTTTGGCTGGTTGGGGTCCCCGTCCTGATGGAACTCGGCAACCGCCTTCTGTACCTTCTTTTGCCCTGTCTTCCACAAACTGTTTGCCGTCTTCAAGAAACTTGAACCCACGGCAGCAGCAGTCTTGGCAAAATCGCCGTCCATAGACGCTGGTGACCGGTTGTCTCTGCTTCTGGCACCATCGGCTGGTGGCCCCTCTCTCATCCAGGACGGCGTCCCATTTCGGGGCCGACTTGAGGTTCGCGCTTCCGCCGCCCTAGGCTGCTCTCTCCCCCCTCCGCGACCTATGCTCTTCTCCTTTGCCTGTCTATGAGCATCATCTAGCAGCCAGTTGACGGCAGCCTGGATATCGACGCCTGCCCCGCTCTCTGTGAGCCCCCTCCTCGCATTCTCAGGGGTAAACCCGTAGTCCACCAGCTGGGCGACAGCCCGATCAAAAGGATCGTCGGATGCAGCAGGCTGCTCGGCCTCGGACTGTGAGGAGGAGTCCTCGATAGCTTTTCCGGGTTCGGGATCGCGTGCAAATGCCGGCGCCGTCTTCTTCCTGACTTGATCTACCGGTTTGCCCAGGTCGCCTAGAAGATCGTCGTCCTCATCGGCGGGTTGAGGAGGCGGCAGCTTAGCATTGCTTTGGAACTGACTGAGCCCGAATGGGTCATCATCTTCGCCGCCAGAGCCTCCGCCGACCTCTGTTGATGGTTGATTCCATGCGTGTGGGTTGCTGAGGTCCAGGCGAGGGGCGTTGGTGGGCGAAGGGCTGCTCGAGGGCGCAGGCGGCGGGTAGTGACTGGAATTATCCACTTTGGTGCTGGCATTGAAGGCCGCGAACAGATCGTCGTCTGGGTCGGCTGGCGGATTATCGTTTTGTATCCCTGGACTTGGCCCTGTCGCCGAAGGTGGGGCGGGTATCGCAGGAGACGCTGTCCTTAGAGAGCTCGACTGGTTTTGACCAAGCGAGTCAAAAAAGCGTCCATCGCCGTAGTGCACTTGTGCCTGCTTTCGCCTCTCCTCCTCTTTCCTCCTCTTCTCGGCTTCCAGCTGGTCTTGCCGCTCGCGTAGACTTAGATTCGCGCTGCTTTTTCCGGCGCCGAGGTTGAGTAAGTTGCCGAAGCTGTCCGGGGCGGGCTTGGGGTTTGAGGACTTTGGTCCGATGTTGCCGGATCCCTGCGCCGACAACGGGGTGTTGCGGCCGGATGCGAAAGGGGACGGGGTCGGGCGCAAGGAAGGGTAGGTCGAGGCACCGGGATTCGCGTCGGCCGGTTGCGCTGGCTTTCCTTGCTTGGGCGCCGACCAGCTCAAGCCAGCGAGGTCGTCCATTGTGCCGTCGGCAATGGTACTATCAGCGCGGCATCAGGTATGGGGTTCGCAGGAGCGAATGCAGGATTGGAAATCTCGTGGCTCGAAGCACTAGTAATGTACCTTAGGTGTTCAGATCAACGGCGCATTTGCAAAGGGGGGCTTATTTTGGCTCGCGCTACAAGGGTCGCCCGACTTTGCTCGCGTGTGGTTTTAGCGCCCATACTCCAGCCACACGCGGATGACAGCAATGTGGCACAGCACCTTGTGTAACTTTTCCTTAAAAGTGTGGCGCATATGGGAATTGCGCTTGCGCTGCCAAGCGCTTCGACTTTCCAGTGCTGGATCGGCGAACCCTGCATAAGATCTGGCATGCGCTTGCTGCTGCGAGTCAACTTGGTAGCGCAGCACATTGTACCGTAAGCGCTCAGAAAATCTGGAATTCTTCCCAGCAAAAAGTCCCTGTCTGCAAGGTTCCGCAATGGTTGTGCAGGGTGTTTTGCGGGGGGGGGGAGGGGTGGGGGGAAATTCCGGATTTCACCAGCGCTTACGGTACGGTACGTACATACTAGCCTGGCAATTAGCAGCCGCACATTGGTAGAGGACTACCGAAGGCAAAGAGACATTCTTTCCATTATCTACTTGTCCACGCTCCACGGGAGTTTAGATGCGCTGGCAGTGCATGATGTTTCTTAGGCACTTCCATGAGGTAAGTCGGCAATGTACTCCGTCCCACAGCACTCCGCAGCGGCATGCCCCTGGAAACCAGTGTTTCCAGTGTTGCCGATCGGACCCATGATCTTCAAAGGTCATCGGTGCCGTTCCTTCCTGCTAAACATGTCTTTTATGCACCTTCAATAACGAGCGACGGCCAAGGGAACGCAGGAGGACCCGCACCAAAAAACAGTCCGCCTAACCCAGAGGAAGCCGACCTGTTGTCCGTCAAGGTCCCTGCAGCGCCAGGGGCAGACGCCTTGGCAATTTGCCATGGAGAAAGAGATCAAGATGCGGCCGCTTAATTGGCCAGCCGACCTTTGGGTTGGATCCAACCCCGAAGACGTTTAGCTTAAAACCAAGCATGAGACTGTTTCAGCTTTTGGCGCTCGCCCGATCTGAGGTTGGGGAACACCTGGCTTGCATGCTCCGCCCTGTCAAACGCACCGGCACGCGCCACTGAAACTTCCATGAAAGCAAGCCAGCATTGAGTCGCATCTCAAGTTTGACGCAGAGGAGTGGAGTCACACCGGCAATTGCCAATCGCATAAACTCAACACTGTGAGAGCGCCACGTCCTCGATGCTGAGCGAAGGCGCAAAAACGAGCCTGCCCGACACGAGCTGCCGTGACCGGAAGCGCGGTCGAACAACCGGATGCTGGTATCGAGTGCGACCGTTGAGTGAGATGACGATGTCGAGGGTGGAGTGGTGCAGATTGTCTTTGCCAGATGGCATCCCGTCCTACGCACCGTACAGCAGAACTGCGCGGCACGGCAAGGTAGAACAAAAATGTACCTAAGGAATTTGATGAGGACGCCGATGCCCGGGCTTCACAGAACTAGTTTAATATCCGTATGATGCCCATGTAATTGCCTATCACACAACAATGTCTTGGGTAGTAGTGGTCGAGGCTGGGCGGCTGCTCCCTCGGGAAACCGGCTTGCCCACACTTGCGCAGTGCGATGGTGTTCCTGCGTTAGAAGTCCCAGAGGATGTGCATGAGATCCCTGCAGCGTTCCCCTTAATCCTGAGGTCAAGTCTTGTGCTATCAACAAACCAATCAGATGCCGTCTTTTCCTAGCTGAGTGCTGCTTCGGGCAGGAGCATCCCCGACCAGACGTTGTCTCCCGTGGGCACTCTTTCCCTTGGCCCCAGTTACAGAATGCCGTCCCACTTCGATTGCTACGATTCCACAACGTCCGGATTTGGGTTATCTTTGGCGCATGTCACATTCCCTTGGTCTCCGTTCCTCTCGACTTTGCGCTCGTCTGCCTTGTCCACGACGTCTTTCAACTTTGTTCAACGCACAACACTCACTTTCACTGTTTCTGACTCCCCGACTTGGGGCCCACATTCTTTACATTCCGGCGATGAGATCGACTTTCTTTTTGACTCCACGACGTCATTCATTTCACCTTCTTTGAGTGGTCGCCAACACTCCTTTCCTGCTGTGCTTGGGGACCGCCACCCGACGACATCGCGCCGCCGTCTGCAACATACATCTTCCGCTTCCCAATCAACGTCAATTTCCTTCCAGGCCGAGTAAGGGGAAGCTGGACTTTGCGTGTGAACAGACGACTGGGTACAAGACAAGGCGGCGACAACAACTCCCTGGGGCACAGCTTGGATAGGCTTGTGAACCAAACGGCTGTGAACTGTAAGCCGTGGTCGGTTACTCGGCCTCCATCTGTGGTTCCCGACAATCTATGCCCTTCTTCGCTGGCTGGACCGGTACGTTGTCTGGTTTGAATGCCGAACAATAAACACGCCGCATTATTCTTTGTTGTTTCTGGCTTATGCCTTCATGATCACCAGCGTTCCCCGTCTTTTCTTTTCATCCCAACTCGGCCCGGCGTCACAAGCATCACCTCTCATTCAAGCTCCCTTCCCTGCTTTCACCAAACGTCAACAATGATTTAGAGAAGGGCTGGCAATCGGGCTAACCAAAGCGGCAACGCAGATTGTCGACCACCACCCCACCTTCTACAAGTCAACACACTCTTTTCGCGATCGGCGATCGCATTCTTCGACTACATATCCACCGACATCTTTTTTGCACCTGTCACGCTCTCTTCAGATTCACCTAACTTGCAAGTCGTTCCTTTACATTAGGCAACATGAGAATTGACGCATCGCTCGCGATCCTCGCATCGCTGAGTGGTGTTGCCGCCTTCTGGCGCCTGGAATGCCGCGGCCGTCTTGCCATCGCGCGTCTTGATCCTCTGATTAGCCCAGGCACCGCGTCTTTGCACGCGCATGCCATTCACGGTTCCTCGGGTTAGTGTTGACAGATGCGGCAGGGAAATGAATCTTCATGTTAACACCACCTTCTCTTGTAGGCTTCAATGCTGCGGCGACGTACGAGGATCTCAGAAATGGTGACTGCACCTCTTGCGCTGTCACCCAAGACATGTCGGCGTACTGGGCACCGACCCTTTACTTCAAGCACGCCAATGGCAGCTACGAAGAGGTCCAGCAGATCGGTGGCATGCTTGCGTAGGGCATCAATGCTTCAAAGTTCCCTAGAAACAGTGTGCGCTGACACCTCGCAGCTATTATATGTTGAACAAGGACTTGAAGGACATCAATAAGCAGATCACGGCATTTCCCAACAACTTTCGTATGATTGCCGGCGACAGCACCCGGCGCAATTACTCGGTCACTGGCGGATACAGCGTTTTTGAGGCTGACCCGCCCAAGTCACGGTGGGCTGAATTCCAACAGGTCAACCAGCATGATCTTGCTCAGCGCGCTACTGGCTTCAACTGCCTCAACTACAACGTAGCCGCTGAGGGTGCTTTGATGCGCCACTACCTGCCCGACAAGGCCTACTTGGATGCTCACTGCTCGGAAGGAGTCCGATTTGAGATTGCGTTCCCTTCCTGCTGGAACGGCGTGGATGTTAGCACCCCGAACCACAAATCGCACGTTGCCTACCCGGACCTAGTTCTTAATGGGAACTGCCCGGAGGGGTTCGACGTCAAACTGCCTACTCTGATGTACGAGACAATCTGGGCCACCCATGCCTTCAATAGCGTGCCTGGCGAGTTCGTCATCTCCAACGGTGATACGCAGGGTATGTCCCGCTCGTCCGTCTCGGTCTACGGATATATACTGATTTTGATTCCCAGGCTTTGGCTATCATGCCGATTTCATGAGCGGTTGGGACTCCGAGTTCCTGCAGGCTGCTGTCAACCAGTGCACCAACCTGACCGGCAGGATCCAGGACTGCCCTCTCTTTGACGTCATCAGCGAGGATCAGCAAAGACAGTGCAAGATGGCGGCCCCTGCGATACTCACTAGCGAGAAGGTTACCGGTATCATCGGGGACTCGCTCCCTGGAGGTGTTGTCATTCAATACGGCCCCGAGCCCGCGACTGGTGGGAGCAACGCGCATACTGTGCCGGTCTCAGTTGCTGTGCCCACCGTCAGCTACACACCCGGCACTACCGCCTCCGAAGGGAACTACCTCCCTGGGGGCGTCTTCAAGGAGAGTCCGACCTCTACCTCCGTCTCCAGCTCGACCTCCAGCTCCGTCTCGAGCTTGAGCTCGAGCGCGGAGGCCGAGGTAAACGCGCTGGCAGAGCCCTCTCCGTCTCCTACTCCCACACCAATCCCGTCGGACCCGCCTGTCCCTGAAGGCTACGATCTTGTCCGCACCGATTACGTTACCAATGGCAACGTGGTCAGCAAGATCGTTGTCATCGAGACGGTGGAGTACGTCGTGATGACTACCGAAGTCGTCACTGTCACGGCGACTCCTGAAGTCAACAAGGTGCGGCGCGATGTGCATCTGCACCACCATCGCCACCACCACGGCTTGCATTAAGGCACGGGTTGAATCCCCTGGTTTGTGTCTGTGTGACTGGTCCCTGATGGGTCATTCTTCGCTGGACATATGGGACAACCTCGAGGCCATATTTTCCTTTCCTCGTCCCGGTTCTTTTTGCTTGCTCTCCGGCATCTTGATTTCGAGTTTCATATTTGGGGCTTGGGCGGCTGATGAGCGCATGGGAGCCGCGGATGGACTATACTAGCCCGCTATGGCGTAGGGGGCGGGATGGTTCAGGGGTTCTGAATCAAAGGGAATCATTCATGATTTCTTGAGAATTGCATTCGCGGCATGCATTGACTGCTGCCGCCTAACGCATGTGGACGGTGCAACCGGTGTTCAGGTGTTAACTTGGGAGTGACTGGCAAGATACCACATCCGTTCCTCGTCTGTGGTCCAAATATCTGCTAAGGTCGTGTTCATGTGATTCCATTGTTTTGTGATTGCCTCGCATTTTCAGTAGAGCAGCCCTGGATAATATCAGAGCCATTTATACGGCAACGCACGCCTTGTGCCACGGGGCAAGGGGCTTTCAGCACAGCTTGACTTGGTCAACTCCTGTTCATAGCGGTATTTGCCGCCCATTCCAGTTTGCTGATGGCGTCGTCAGTCTGGAGTGGATGGGTTTTCACCAAGTATTGTGTAAACAAACTGTAAACAAACAATATACTCAACCACCCTCTGCATTATCTTGTGAGCTGAGACATCCAAGACAGCCGTCTCCAAGTTCTTTTCAGTTCTAACTTGCTATAATTCGTCAGCAAAGCCGAGGTCGCCCGCCCGAGTGAGGACGGCCTGGTCGGGCTGGAATGGAGTCGCTCGTCACAACGCATTCCAAGCCGACCAGGTCCAACAGCTGGTCACCAGACCCCCACCGTTCAGATTCCAGTCGCCCGGATTGTGATGATGTTATGGTCGGTCAGCAGATTCTTGTCCCGCACCTTTGCCTCTCATCCCGGTTCAACCGTTCCCAACCCACTCCACAGACCCCTAATTAGACCCAACAACCGCTCTATCCATGAGCCATTACGGGTCGACCGGCTAACCCAACGAAAACTCATCACAGGACACGGCAAAGGCCCCCGTATTGGATACTAACAGCGGCGTGATATCACAAACCCAACCATTCCAGCATTTTAGAGCAACATGGCCTCCACTGCACTCCAGGGCCAATCACCCACGAACTCGATCAGCGCAGCTAAGCGTGGAGGAGGATCGGATACCCCGTTACAAGACACCTTCCCCTCCATCTTCTACCAGTATTGGGGGCGGCCTTCATTATCGCCCTGACCCTCGCCTTTCTCATCCTTTGGCCAACCGCCGCCGCTCCAAGGCTGCCACCACCACCACCACCACCACCACCACCGACGAAATGAACAACAACAAACCAAACAACCATCAAAAGGGCGACGACGACGAAGCGGTTCTCATCTTGTCCGACGCCAGTCGCTTCTCGCACGAAACCGGCGGCGGCGGCGGCGGCAAGGCCACACAGTGAGGCAAATCAGCCTCGACACGTAGGAAGTTGCAAAAGGCATGCGCCGTCGGCGGCACCGGGCCGGGGTGTGGAGCAAGGTCGGCGTGTGCAGGGCGGAGAGCGGCAACGGCGAAGGGACGGTATGGCCGCGGCGGCACCTGAGCATGCCGCTCATTCCGCGGCCGTGCAGCAATGGCCATTTCCACTTTGGGCTTGGGCAGAGGAGCGAGTCGCGCGCTGGCCCGGGGAGGAGGAGGAGAATGGGGAGGTGGTCGAGGTTTGCAAAGGGAAGGCGTCGTGGATTGACGAGGATGCGTTGCATGGGCCCAAGGTTAGCGGCGGGAATGTTGAGGTGACGACTTGCGGCGGCGGCGGCGGCGGTGGTGGTGTTGTTGTTGGTGGTTTCAGAAAAAAGAAGAACAAGGAGAAGGATCGGGGGTCGTGGCCCCTGAGAAACCGCGCGCCGACATCGCCCCGGTTGCACCATACTATCATGGGTAGTCCGTATCTCAAGTCCGGCGCGAGGGGTGAATCCTCAGAGACCCTGTTGTGTGAGGCCTGGGAGACCATTCAAGCGGTCGGGATGGAGCATACTCAGCTGAGGGCTTTCTCGGAGGTGCTCCCTCAGCCGCCCAAGCCGGCCTTGGTTGCCAACAGGGACAACGGTATCGTCAGGCCGCCAGTTACCATGGGATATGTGTATGGCGCGTCGAGGATCCCAAAGCCCATCGTAAGTCCTCCTGCCAGCCCAGTCCGGTCTACGCCCACCATGCCGTCTAGGCATCGGGGCAGGCAGCGGTCGACTGAGTCGACCTTATCGGGAATCCTGAGGTCGACGGAAGAGAGGCTGCGGGAGGGGAGCATCTCTGGAGCCGTCGAAGGCCGCAGGGCTACCTCATCGCCTACCAGGACGTCGCCTGGCAAGGATATCGGTCCAACAGAATCGGCGGCGACAGGGGCTCGGTCCAGGACCCCAAGCCCAAGAAAGATTGTCTCCAGCCAGTCCTTCGCACCCGGTCACACGCGGCAGGACTCGCAGCAATCAGTCTCTTCAGAGACAGCCAGCCTCAGGCGTGAGGAGTGCCCGAACCCGGACATTTCCTCCGGACTCACCAGCCCAAGCCGCAATTACCAAAGGCCGGAGGCAGAGAAGCAGCCCATGCAAACCCGGGCTATCCGCACCTCCTTGTCATCCGAGCTTTCCACGCTGTACAGCGAGGATGAGATGCCGGAGGAGGTCAAAAGGACCATCATGCCCCTTGAGACCTCGTCGTGCAGCCCCAGCAGGCTGCCAACGTCCAGCTGCCATCCATGAACAGCCCCTTTGTAACGGCCCCCGCGCCGTTGTCGGTCTCTCGGTCATCGTCAATCAGCGGCTGGCCAACCGAACACAGCAAGTCCCAGGATTTTCCTCCGATTGAGTGTTCAGCGCTCGCAACGGCTGCGCAGCATGACGATTGGGCGCACTCAAGCCCAGTCTCAGGGGCTGACCTTTGGCACTCGGCCCTCTGGTTGACAGACCGAACGCCACGATGCCGGTTATCCCACCGTCCCGCAAGGCGTCAGTGACCCTACCACCATCCATCCAGCCGTATCTTGCATCGAGGGCCTCGGAGCCACCGCCATCACCCACTAGACCATTGTATAGCACAATCAGCCCTACCGGACCGCTGTTTCTCCGGGTGACCAAGACAAGCACATTCAGCACGATCCCCCTCGATCCCGCCACCGGCAGCTCCAAGCTCGGAAGCACTCAAAGAAGCAGGATCCAGGCCCTCATCGCCAACCAAGCCAACGCCAACAGCCAACGACCCACAGCAGCAGCAGCAACCCGCACACCGCTCTCCCGTCTTGATGCTGCCCTCGAGAGAGCGCTCCCCAACACCGCTGTCCCCAACCCGCCGAGTCGGCGGCGAGCTGCGGCTGTTCCTCCTCCTGCCCCCGCAAAACCGCCTCAGCGCCTCGTCGTCAGTCTATTCCCAAGACGCCGACCCCAACCCCACCATCACCCAAGTCAAAACCAGCAGTCGAGCTCAACCGCGCCGGCTTTGCCGCCAACTCGTTGTTGTATCCATCCCCGCTCTCTCCGCGCAGCCGCTGCAGGCCGGCTTCGTCCTCCAAGCTTTGCTCGGAACTTGCCCAAGGTCTTAGCACTGACGGAGAAGACGAAACGGCAACCTCGGTGACCGTGATGACGACGACGAGGAGGAAGAAGACATGCCGCCGGCGCTGACATCCGCCATCGCGTCCTTGCGGCGCATGAACAGCGGCATCAGCAGGTCGTCCAGCCTGCGTAGCATCACGGATCGGGGTGCATCGCCGTGTTCAGACCGAGCCCGAGTCCCGAGGGGGTGCCTGGTTTGACGATCCAGCAAGCTGCTTTTTCCGCTTCTTCTGTTTTCATGTCTGCGGCCGAGATTGCCGCTGCCGGGGAGGAAGGGAAGGAGAAACAAGGGGGAAGATGGCAAGTTTCAGGTTTGGCGGTGGATGAGTTTACATTCGAAGTGAGTAATCCTAATGTGTCGGGGAAGGGCGCGCTTGGCTTGCGGGAGGGCAGCAGCGGGACCGTCAACGCGCTGGTGATGCCGCAGAATTTGCAGAGGCTATCCCTTGCGTGGAAGCCTGGCGAGGGAGCTGTGTCAAAGATTGGGTCGCCTGCCAGGTTTAATGGGACCTCAGCGAGGGAAAGCATGAGGAGTCTGGAGAACTTAAGGCTGTATGACCCTCAAGGCTTCCTGATCCCGTCGCCGGTGAGGGGAGTGAATCCATCCGGACTGAGGGTGTGAAGCGTCGTGTCAAATATTTATCCTCCCCACTTTTTCTTTCCTTTTCTCTCTTTCCTTTTCTTTTCTTTCTTTCTTTCTTTCTCTTTTCTTTTCATTCTTTTTTTCTTTTCTTTTTTTCTTTATTATTTAACCTGGTTTCCTGCGCATGCTTGATGACACTTTCGGTCACTGAAAGATTTGATTGTTAGATACAAGCTAACGTATTGATGATTAGGTGTGTAATGATGTTACTTTGATTCAGCTACATACTTACACTACAGCTCCTTACTAAGCACTTTTGCTTTGAATATAAAGAAAACGCAGATGCAGAAATATTCTCTGAGATGATCTCCGGGCTTGTTTTTCTTTGTATTGTCAGTGAGTAGATTGTTGATCGTTGAAGTGGGAAGATCTGAATTCTCGACCGGGACCCTTGTCGGTATCCGTTGTATGGATACCTGTATGCCGTCTCACATGAAACATCAACATGACTTCCCCTCAGCATCTCGACGCTTCACGTCTCACTACTTAAGCCTTCACACTCACGCACCTCACATCACTCCTTCCAAACCAGAGACCCACCATGCCACCCCTCTCCCATCCTCCGCTCCCCCGACTCATAACCTACTACCAAACCCACCACACCCCCTCGGGCACACCCATCTCGGTCCTCCCCCTCCTCCAGAACCCAGGCATCTCCGTCACCCACCTGATCCTCGCCGCCATCCACATCAACGAAGAACCCTCGAACCTCACCCTCAATGACCACCCACCGTCCCACCCGCGCTTCACCGCCCTCTGGGCCGAACTGCGCATCCTCCAAGCAAGCGGCATCAAAGTCTTGTGCATGCTGGGCGGCGCCGCCAAGGGATCTTTCGCCCGCCTCGACACGATGATGGCCGATGAGCCAACCTTTGAGCGCTACTACGCGCCGTTGGCCGAGCTGATCCGCACCCACGGCCTCGACGGCATCGACCTGGACGTGGAGGAACCCATGTCGCTGGCGGGCATCATCCGGCTGATCGACCGGCTGCGGGCCGATTTCGGGCCCGATTTCCTGATCACGCTGGCACCCGTCGCGGCCGCGCTGCTGAACTGCGAGCACAACCTTAGCGGGTTCGACTACGAGGCGCTCGAAGTGATGCGCGGGCGCGAGATTGCGTGGTATAACGCGCAATTTTACTGCGGGTGGGGGGACTGTAGCAACCCGGCCATGTACGAGATGATTCTGATCAAGGGGTGGCAGCCTGAGAAGATTGTGGTCGGTTTGGTGACGAACCCCAAGAATGGCAGCGGGTGGGTGCCGTGGAACATGCTGGGCACGGTGCTCCCCGTGCTGGTCGGGAGGCACCCGCGGTTTGGCGGGGTCATGGGATGGGAATATTTCAATTCTCTGCCCGGCGGCGAGGGGAAGCCGTGGGAGTGGTCGCAAGTCATGACCGCGTTGCTGCGCGGGAGGAGGACGGCGCCTAGTATCGAAGAGATAGAGGGTGTCTTGAAGGCTGAAGGAGGGCGACACGGCGCTCCCGAAGAGGTGGATGCAGACGATGGAGGGGAGGGAGACGCGGCACCGGTGCCAAGGGAGTTTGACTACCACTCGGTCGGGGGAAGCGAAGAGGATTAGGCGCCGTCTCTGCCTCTTGCTGGATCCAAGGGTATGTTGCCTCGCATCAACACATACTGGAAGTCATTTGGCCAAATCGGATGTGGTGGCTATCCTCCTTTCCACAACTCACCATCTCTATGAGCCGCAGCGCAGTGCACGAATCGGCCCGGGGGTGTGCCACACAGGGAGCGGCTTTGCGAAGTCGAGGATACCTCCCGCTCTGACGCCATTGTTGATGACCTACATCATCATCGTCAACTCGTCACTGGCTTGGAGGCAACAATCGGCCGCAATTGACAGAGCCTGGTCGTTCATTGCGGGATTGGGGATGAGCCTGTGGGGTGTTAACATCCACCGGCGAGTCGATGTCCAGGCGAGCCAGGCTACGCTTTCGCCTGCCTTTTTCCGCAATAACAATGACGCCTCTATGTCGTTACCTCCGTTGATGATCTGTAATACATCATCGTCAAGTGGTCGCTGGCTGCCGAGGCAACCCCAACCGCCCGTCACACTACTGGTCGTTCATCGCAGGATTGGGGAAGTGGTTACAAGGTATAGCATCCACCGTCGAGCCCATGTCCAAGCTACAGTCGCCTTTTGCCTCATTCGGCAACCATGAATCCAATGATGTAACGCGTCTCTCGGCCTCGGTCTAGGTAACCCGGCTGATGCGTGAGACGACGATGCATTCTATATTTGAAATACTGAACCTCGAGTAAGGTAATCTATGTACGGAGACGGCGGTCCGAGAAAATGTAGCCGATAAACAACGGCCGGCCGAGCGGGTGACAACACTGGGAGAACTGTCCGGGGGGCGGTGGCGCTTCCGGAAGCTCGAGAGTCAAGTAACCGTGGCTTCGGAATCTGGCGCTATGACACTATGCCGGCGATGATCAAGGAAAGTTTGGTCACTGTCGAGACACCGGAATGGTTCGGGCGACAGTTTGCTACGTACAACGCTTGTAGATAGCCTCATCTGTTGTCTTGAAAGAGATGAGACAAGCCCACGTCCCAGATCAGCATGAGGTGCATGCAAGATCCAGGGGAACTCAAACTGCATGTCATTGGTCTGGGCTTATGACATCCTGCGAGGCTTGTTAAGGTGAGCAAAATCGGCCTACATGCCGGAATGTGACACGGCACCGTTCTGTCAAACGCAAAGGTCTTCGAGGGAACGCAGTGACGTCACATGTTCATTTCACTGGTAGCACCAAGCGCAACGACACTCCTTCCCGATGACATCGACAACAAATGTCCCGAGTCGACAAAACACAGTTCACCGAACACGCAAAGGAACGAGACTTGAAGTGCGAGCGGCGCAAGGCAGCCGGGTAGCTTCTCTATCAGTGACGGCACGACAGCCAACCCCGTTTGGAGTCTCACAATCCTCATCTGTCGTCTTCTCCAATTTCTCTCATTTTGAATCTTGACACCCTCTTTTCCTACCTGCCAAGTGGCAGGACTTTCAATAAGCGTTCTACGGTGGCAATTTCATTGTTCGGCCACTGACGTCATGGATAGAATTCTCCCCAAAAATAAGGTTTGATGGCGCCGTAACGAGTGCATTCAGAAAGAGAGAGTCTCGACTTGGATCATGTCCGCATGCCGTCACCCTCGCCACACGTCAGGACCCCAACATGTCCAATGTGGGGGATCGGGGGGAGCCGTGTACTCCCACAAAGCATGTTTCCTCAGTTTGTCTTCGGCGGGCTCACCGTCGCCGCTGTTCGCCTCCGTTTCTTGGGCCTGGACGTTCAATGACGAAAGAGGATGAGAACGGACGTGTTTGGGAGACATACTACGGTGGCGTTCGGCGTGCTGTTACTCCACGATCAGCAGGGTCTCTTGCTATATACGGCCTCAACCACCTGTCCGTTAAAATGACATATGATGTGATGGACGAGCCGCACCAAGCGTTGTGCCACCCAACCAACACCGGTAAGCGTAGGTATGAGAATGCCCTACCGGCCGTGTCCCCAGCAAAGAACCAGACAGGGCATCTTGCAGGGCAACCGCCGACAGCGCCAGTCCCTTGATTGTGACGCGGGCGTTTAGAGATCTACATACAGCTGCAGCCCCTTAGACATAGAGGTCCCCTGCTCGGACGGTACACGTTCGCCGACCTGCCATGGAAAGGGGAGCCTGCAGCTGAATGTTACCGTCGTCGACGGGGTCTCGCCGTCGTACCCCTATGGGATCGGTCTCTGGCCGCAGATCTCACGGTGACGGCAGCATAACCTCACAGAAAGGGAAGGGGATCCTTCCCTGCGCTCTTGACCCGCCCGTTACCCTCGAACCCATTTCCGCCCCCGGGGTGGGGTGATGACAGACATCCACACAAATGCTTCGCCTTTATGAGATCAGCCCAAACCCCTTAGACTCACCGTTATATAATCCCAAGTCCCAGCCCACTCTCATCATCTGCAACCGTTTTCTGCTCCGCGCTTATTAGCTAAGGAATTCAAAGTCACAAGATTCCATTGTCTATTCGGTTTTGTTCGTCCATCCCTACCGCAAGCCGTCAATCAGGTTTTCGGATTTTCGTCTTGTCATCCACTGCAGTTGCAGCTTCGCACACATACATCCTTGCACACGCTCGACGCCATGCCGGCAAGTCAAGCTTCGTCCTCAATGTCGGTCTCTCCTCCTCCACCAACCGACCTCGGTGCTTATGCCCGCTTCATGCATCAACACACTAAGCGGCAGATGGAGTCCATCTCGTCTCAATCACCGCGGAGTAGTAATCAAATCAGCCAGTCCTCATCTTCACCGACGAGGCTTCCGGGAGGCGTCTCCAACCGAAATCAAGACGACAAGCAATACCGCTATCGGACATGAGACCGGCGACGTCGACGACAGCATCCACGGTTGGGCCCGCATTTGGCATGGTTCAGCCACTTCCGGAGGATAGACAAAAGGGAAACTCAACTGGAATGAATTCGGTCTTGGAATGACGAGATCCTGAAGTACACGATGATGGAAGGTGATGATACACATGACACCTAATGTACATACACCGTATATGGGCGAGCGCACTGGTTTGGTTTAGCCGACTTTCATTTTCAGTCCACGTGATGTTTCGGTGGCTATGCGAGCATGGCGTTAGAGGGAAAGGCAGGACAGGAAACAGGCAATAGGTGACAACAACCTAGTTTGGGCCGCGTCCGAAATGCGCTTGATCTTCAAAACCATTGCAGTCCACGTGTGCGATGCCTTTTGAAGATCTATATCTGTATAAGCACTGGTCCCTGGCGCCCAATATGGGCCAAGAGCAAACTCACTACGTAAGCGGAAACTGCCATCTCGTATCGATTGATCGTTGAAAGTTACTTGCCGATCCGGATCCGAACGCTGTTACACCAGCGGTTGTTTCTTCTTGATGCCAAGCAGCGCCGCATGGTCCTTTTTCTTCTTGACCTGTCGCTTGAAACTCGGGGGTGGTACTATATCCGGAGTACTCGCAGCTGGGGAGGGTTTTGAATCAGAATTGGACGCTGGCGCAGATTTTGGCCCGGACTCGGAACCGATGCCATCGCCATTCAACGCTATCACAGCCCTCTCACCCTCCTCATCCTCCTCCACCACCTCCTCCAGCATGTCCTGCCTCCTTGAAAACGCAAACGCCTTCCTCGCCGCTTCGGCATCCTCCTCCTCCTGTCTCCTCCTCTCCTCCTCTTCAGGACTGACCACCGCAAGCCCAGCCCCCAGCAGATCCCCCCCTTCTTTCCGCGCCATCTCCAACCTGGCATTCCGGCTCCGTATCTCATCCAACGCATCCGCAACCGCCATCTCCCTCTTGGCATCCTCCGTCTTGGCCTCCAACTCGGCCATCGCATTCCGCTCCTCCTCGCCCTCGGCCTCCGCCATCTCCCTCTCCAACCGATCCAGCCGCTGCTCATCCGTCTCGCCTTCCTCCACACCATTCTCCAACCCCCTCTTCCACGGGTCCGTGTTCCTCTTCGCCCCCTTCTCCACCACGTAATCCTGGTTTTTGGGATCCGTTCGAAACACAATCTCGGCGGAGCACCGCGTGCAGCGTATGTAGAACCTGTAGAGCTGAATGCCCAAGTACTTCTCGCCCTGGGGCGTCTCCTTGCGCGCGTTGAACTTGCGCCCGCGGTACATGTACTCGCCGCAGGAGACGCAGCGCAGCGAGAAGGGCGCCATGAGGCGGACGGTCTGGACTTTGGGCCCCGCCGCGGCCGCGCCTTTGGGCTTGCGGGCGCGGCCTACGAGGGAGGGGTCGAAGTCTGGGGGGTAGTATTTCCTAGACAGAGATAAATCATTAGTATTCCGGGGGGAGAGACGGAGGCGATGGGGAGGGAAAGGAGGACGTACGTGAGGACTTTGCGTTCTGACATGGCGGCGATCAGGTGTTATTGGAAGGGATTAAGGTTGTTGATGGCGCAGTATCGGTTGCGATTTCTTCGCGATGATACAGTCAAGCTCTGAGTCGGCGAGAGGGTCGTTGTTGAGGTGTAGGTTGAAATGTAATTGGGAAACGCATGTGGAATCGGAGTGGCAGCTCTAGTGGTTGAGAGCGCAACGCCACCTGATCGCAAAAGAGGTACATAATACCCCAGCAAGGGGTACTGGGGTTAGGGTTAAGCTAGCACATCGAGCGTCTTAATAAGGCTCTGAGCAACATCACGCATGTCAGGAGCCACATGAAGCAATTGCCTTGAGACGGATAGCAGATACCGATCTAAGATATTCATAGCTCCTTAATCCCAACTTCCAGCATCTCAGCCAACAAATCCCACTTCGCAGCCGCCTCCTCCCTACTCACCCGTGCCACACCCCTCAGTCCGCCTACGGCAAACCGCACATGCCTCTCAAAGTCGCCATGCAGCTCTCTCAGAATCACCGCGAACGGCTTACCTTCATCCCTCACCCTTGCATTCTTACCCATTCCCTCGCCATCCAATCCCACCACCTCATCTTCCTCATCCTCATCGACCACCACCCTCCTCCTCTTGACCCCCTCCCTCCCCTTCGCAAGAGGCGACCTCTTATAAGGAGAAGCTACAATAGCCTCCAACCTGTCCACCTCCCTCTCCTGGCCCCTCCGCCTCCCCCACTCATCCCGCCGCGCATCCTCAAGCCGGATCGCCAGGTCAAACACATCGAGCACACACTCGCGAATGGGCCTTAGCTTGGCCCCCTGGCACGACTCGGCGACGGCGCGCGACACAAAGCTTGCGTGCGCGGCCACCATGTCGTCGACATCTGCTGCCCAACACAGCTCCTCCCTGAGCCGGGCGGCATTGGGCGCCAGGACGAGCGTGGCCAGGTAGGTCGCGACCGTGTTGCAGAACCAGAGGAGCTTGGTGCGCACAAGGCAGTATCGCGCCATGTCGGTCCCGCTGTAGTGGGGGTTATTCAGGAAGGGGCGTTTGAGGACGTATAGGGCTCGGCGGGTCTGCAGCTGGAAGGTGAAGAGGGTTTGGTAGCCTTGGATTGCCTCATCGGGGATGACAATCTGCACCGGCCAGCTGAGGCGGTAGGTGAGTCGGATGGCGGGCAGGCCGAGACGGACCGAGCTCCGGATAGTGGCTGCGCTGTGCTGTTGCGCAAGGTCTCGCGATGCGACTTCGGCTGAGAGACGGTAGGTGTCTACGCACGCCGAGTAGGCCTCCTGGACGAGCTCGGTCAGGGTGAAGCGGTCTCTCCAGCTGCTGCTGAGGTTGTCCAGGTTCTGGAAGATGGACGAGGCAAAGACATCCGACCTTGCGCCGTCCGACATTAGGTAGAGGTGCTGCAGCGCGTCTAGGCTCTGAGACAGGCCGTATGAGCTCAAGAGCATCTCACGAAGCGTGGCAGCTGCGGTGTGATGCTTGCTCTGAATCCATGCCTGAAACGCTGCGCCGAACAACTCGCTGAAAGGTGCAAACTCGGCATGATCGGGACAGACCGTAGCGAAATTTATCTTGGGTTCGGCGCTGGCTCTGTATTTCTTGGTCGACTCGTGCTGCTTCATGTGCTTAAGAACGACGATGCTCTTACCAGTCGTGAAAATGCGTTGAATGGCAGGGTCGAGGAACCGAGGCGCATGGAGATTGCCCTCAGGGGTGCGCAGCAGATTGAACTGGCTCGTCCAAATCTGAGGTAATGGAGGCCTCGTTGGCGATTCCGAGACGAAGAAGGTCCGGTCGCCAGGCAAGAGCTTGCCTTCTTCCATCCACAGTCGGATGGGCTTCAGATAGACCTGAAAGCAGTCGAAGAAGATGGTGCCCAGCAGCTGATAGGTAGCTCGGGCGCCTTGCAGCTGAGCCATCCCGACGGCGTCGAATAAAAGCTCGAGATACCGGAAGGCATGGGGATTCCGCTCCTCATGAAGCTGGCGCACAATATCCGCCAGAGCATACAGTGGCGCCAGTTTTGGGCCTAGCTCCTCGAGAACTCCGACGAGGCTGATAACGACGTCCTCTTTTATGGTCACAAGGCGGGATTGAATGTAAGATAGGTCCAGGTCGAATGAGTGCAAAGCCTTCTGAAGACAGTCCTGGAATACCTGCAAAAGAGGCGACTGCTGCTCCCTTTTGACTGCTGCACGCAGCGGTAACAGTTTCCGGCCACACTCAGCGAACGAGGTTACCAGTGCCTTGTACGAGTCCCATGAGACGCTTTGCAGCTGGAATCTGGTAATGGGATTGCATGCAGAGTCGAAGAGGCTGGTCTCGAGGCCGGCGAGCATGAAGAGAACCTCCCTTAGCAACTGAGTTGACGTGATGGGGATCTTCTTGGACCTTGCGTCCGCATCCGTCGCGGCTACACATCTCCACGACTGGGCATCTTGGACCTGATTCAATACATCGTCTCCTTGCGCTTTGACGGCCAGTTCCTGAGCAGTGCGCTGGTGTTCGTCGTCGGTTGAAGATCGGATCGTGAGAGACTCGAGGGATGCCTCGGATTCGACATCCAGTTCCTCCTCATCGCTAGACCCCGGGGCATAGTCGATGAATCGCCAAATGTCGCGTTCCTGTTTCCAACCATCCTCCCTCGCAATGTCCCGCCAGGTCAACGGAGGTGAGGTGTACACCTCGTCAGGCTCAACAAGGGCATTCAAGGCGGTGAGCTTGGCCTTCTGCACCGGCTGATCGGCGAGCTCAAGGAGCAAATGCAAAACCTCGGGCGTGAACTGGTTTCGGTGTGGTTCGAGGGCGTCTCGCCGTTTGCGCAGAGCGCCGGCGAGGGCATCTCGGCCGGCAACATAGAAGCGCTCCTCCAGCCCGTTCAACCGATCTTCGACCTCAAACTGGTTGGTCCGAGTGAAACTGTGAGCCCGCAGGCTTCGCAAGGCAAAGTCACGGCAAGCATTTCGCCTACTGTGTAGTGTCTGGGCCGCATTAGCCAAGGCCAGGGACGCGAAGTGAGCGGGATAGAAGGGGGATGGCACCTGTGGGATGAGGTTGAGTGCTGCAATCAGTTCATCGGTCAACGTTCCCAATTGCGCTGTATGTGCCATTCTGCCAAGGCTGCCGACCTGAGCATTCTGCTGGAGACTACCTTAGTAAGTCAACTTCCAAGTTTGACTTTGTGTAAACAATGATAAGGGAAGGAGCCAGATTGGACCCCGCAAAGCACAGTGGCAACCGCGCTTGACGCGCTTGATGGTCTGAGGTCTTGTGAGAATGACTGGAAAATCGGGGACAGGACGGTTGGAACGGAAAGAAGACGCTCCTGGACTCGGCAAAGAGGACTATATGGCCAATGAGATAAATATCATTTGTTCAAGGTAACAGTTTCGTGGTCTTGAAAGCTGTTGCGGGCATAGCCACCAATGTCGTGCTCCTTCTTCCGTGTTGTGACTGAACGTACTGTAGTTAACTGCAGCCCCCAAAACGCCCCAGAAAGTCCAGGCCCCAGCGGCCTGGGACAGGCGGGACGCATTGACCAGCAACTGCTTGGCAGGCTTGGCATACCCGATGATATCCAACGCCGAAACTGTTGCAGTGTTGCAGCACCCCTTTTCGAAAATTTGGCCCTGCATGGGTGCCGCTGCCCCAGTTTTAATCGTTGGGGAACCAACACGCGCATACAGGAAGAACGACGCGCAAAGCTGACGAAGATACCAATTGACGATCGCAGCCCGAAACACCCGAGTCACGGCGGCTCATCGATAAATGCTGCAACTCGAGTAGGGCGCGTTGGACCTAGCCCATTGCGCTGAAATATCTAACCGAACGAACGAACGAACCATCGAGTTAGCGGACCCCCCTCCCGGCCACAGTTTCCTCTGGCGTCGATCTTGAACATGGCGATTGCTCGCCCTGTGAGGGCGCTGGGGCTGGCGGCTGTTGTCATGTGGTGCTTCTTCATATGGCAGCTCTTCCAACCGACCGCATCGCCGATGGGCGCGGTCAAGACCAAACTATCATCAACCGAGAGCGACCCAAATCTAGATCGTAAGCATCCGGGACCAGAGCTCATCTTCCATCCCCGCCATCACCGGCTGACATGATCCAGCTACGGGCGAACCCGAGGGCATCCTAACATACGCATCCGGAGAATATGCGCCGGGTCCCGCTGGCACCGCGCGCATCAATGCCACACTCCTCGCGCTTGTGAGGAACGAGGAGCTGGACGGCATGCTCCAGGCGATGCGCGACCTTGAAAGGACATGGAACAAAAAATTCAACTACCCTTGGACCTTCTTCAACGATGTACCCTTCTCCGACGAGTTCAAGAAGAAGACGCAGGCCGAGACCAAGGCTGAGTGCAGATATGGTACGACGTCTTGGAGAACGTAGCATGATACGGGGCTGACGGACGCAGAGGTGATTCCCAAGGAGCACTGGGAGGTGCCGTCGTGGATCAACGACGACCTGTTCCGCGAGTCAACCCAAATCCTCAAGGAAAAGAACGTGCAGTATGCCGACAAAGTGTCGTACCACCAGATGTGCCGCTGGAACAGCGGCATGTTCTACAAGCACCCGGCCCTGGCGAACATGCAGTACTACTGGCGCGTCGAGCCGAAGGTGCATTTCTTCTGCGACGTCGACTACGACGTCTTCCGCTACATGCAGGACAACAACAAGACGTACGGCTTCACCATCAATCTCTACGACTCGCCCGAGTCGATTCCCACGCTGTGGCCCGAGACGCACAAGTTCATCACCGAGCATCCCGAGTACGTGCATGAAAACAACGCCATGAACTGGTTGACGGACAAGACGCGCCGTCCGGGCCACTACGAAAAGGCCAACGGCTACTCAACTTGCCACTTCTGGAGCAACTTTGAGATTGCCGACATGAGCTTCTGGCGGAGCAAGGCCTACGAGGACTACTTTAACCACCTCGACCGGGCCGGTGGCTTCTTCTATGAGCGTTGGGGCGACGCTCCTGTCCACAGCATCGCTCTTGGGCTGTTTGAGGACAAGAACCGCATTCATTGGTGGGTTTCCCTGACTGCACCAAGACATATCGCAAGTAGCGTCTAACCGACCCCAGGTTCCGTGACATCGGCTACCAGCACATTCCCTTCTTCAACTGCCCCAACTCGCCCAAGTGCAAGGGCTGCGTGACGGGCCGCTTCACCGACGGCGAGGCCTGGCTGAACAAGGAAGATTGCCGGCCCAACTGGTTCAAGTATGTAGGCATGGGCTGAATTAGCCGTCTTGGAGAATGAGACCAGGTTCCAATTTGTATACTTGTACGTGAACGGCGGGGTTTCGGATTACAGTATAGGGGAGGACGAAGGTGTCAGGCGCAGGATGTATTCTTTTTTCACTTTGATGCCCTTAGAATAATGGCTCGGGGTGGTGGGTGGGTTATGGCTGGGTTTTAGACGGATAATGCCAGTGTCCGGCGGTGGCGGCAAGTCAGGATATCGATCTCTTATGGTGCGGAGGTATATCTCGCCTTTTTCAACCCTCGCCAAACACCGTGACTACTCCCGACGTCCCGCCAACGCAGAACTGGTTCCCGAACCCCCCTTCCTTCCACGCAATGCAGCTCACCACGTTCTTCCGTTCCTTCTCCTTCCCATCCCTGCCAATAACCTTTTTTCTGGCCTCGTTCCCATGGCCCCACGGAACAGGCAGCGTCGCAACCAACTTACCCGTCAACACATCCCACGCCCACACCCGTCCCTCGCTCCCATCCCCCCCTTTTATGTCCTGGCCGGTCATCTCGTCCCCGACCACAACGAACCTCTCCCCGCCGCCAAAGACACTCTGCACCCTCAACTCCTCGTTCCTCCATCCGCCCGCCACAAAAGTCCTCAAACACGCCCCATCCCTCCGATCCATCAACCGTAGTCGACTATCCAGCGAGCCCACCAACACCGTCCGCGCATCCCTCGCCACGCAAACACTCGTCACGCTCGCGGGGAACACATCCACCACACAGCGGCCCGTGCGGATATCATATCCCCTGACCCTGCCGTCGACACTCCCGGCCACAATCTCGCCGTCCCCGACGGCCAATGCCGTCACGGCGTCCTTGGCGTCGTGGAGAACCTGCACGGGACGCGGGTTGTTGCTCCGGACATCCCACACCCGCACGGTGCAGTCCACCCCGCCCGAGATAATCAGGCTGTCGTCGGCCCCCGCAAACGTCACGGCGTTGATGCGCCCCGTGTGGGAGTGCGAGGTGGAGGAGGAGCCGAAGCGCCGCACGGTCTGGGCTGTCGAGACGTCCCAGAGGAGGACGGCGCGGTCGCCCCCCGCGGAGCAGAAGTGCGCGTTGGACTGGCAGATGGAAAGGGAGAGGACTTCGTAGGCGTGCGAGGCATAGGTTTGGATGAGCTTGCCTGCGGGGAGGGGTGGCGTCTTTGGGGGGTTGGTTGTCGCGGGGGTGGTGATAGTGCTGTTCTTGGACGACGGGGTCGTGGAGGAGGGATTGTACAGCCTGATGCAGCGGTCGGAGGAGCCCGTTAAGATGTACGTGCCGGGGGAGGCAGAGTAGGCGAGGGCGTGGACGGGGCCTGGCGATGGTTAGCCTGGTTGTTACTCGGTTGGATAGTGATGGAGAGGGGAGTGGGATGGGTTGACGGCGGTGTGAACATGATGGCTTAGACTGAGGGGCTCTGTCTGAAGTTGGAAGTCAGGTTCCATTGGGACAGGATGTTGGATCATATAAGAGGCGGTAAATAGAAGGCATCAAAGCAAGGCATCCAACCGGCCGAAGAGAACCTACCATTTGACCCGAGTAGCTGGGCCACCGGTCGTGTTGGGAACGGCGCCGTACGCTGTGTCATATTCACGACTCGTTCAAATTCTTATTATCCGTGTCATGGGCAAGGACTCGGCAGACAGCTCTCCATCCTTGAGCCCCTAACCTGCGAGCTTCTGGTCTGACTAGCGACGTGTAAGCTGTCGACTGACCACCACAACGCTCCGAGCGGCTTCCTGACCAGTAACAGCCGCGGTAGACGCGCCTGTACTTCCCACTCCTTCCTTCACGCAAAGCACAGGACGCTCGATTTTCCCGAATCAGAGCCGAAGCCAGGGACAATCTGCAGTACCTGCAGTTTGTTTCTATTGATCCAATGCAACGGGCCAGAGAAGCGCCTGAAAAGTGGCAGCTGACTGGAGATATTGTGCGCGTGTTGACGGGCCGCTGACCGGGCTTGGTGTTTTTCTTCACGTCCAAAAAAAACTCGCTATTTTTGCTCCCGGATCAGGAAATCTTTCGGCCTGTTGTTGTCGTTGGTTGTGCAACCGACCAGGTGAGAGAGGTACAGAGAGGTACGGAACTGGAACGTACCTAATAAGAGACGGGAGCGAAATATTTAAGTTACAATACGGTACGAACGGAACACGGGTGTTGTCAATTTCGGCTACTTAACCCCATCCTCCCGCCTATCCAAACTGTCAGAAAACAGTGCTTTTCCAGAAGGCCGCTAGAATCCCGCCTCATCTCACGCCAAGGAATTCAAACAACACCGCAGGGTATCTCTCAACGGACAACGACAAAAGAAACTGGGAAAGAACATGAGATGAAGAACCAACCCGCGCCGCAAGACTGCCGGCAATGAGGTTGACCCGGCGCCTAGAACCATCCAATCCCAATCGCATACACCATGAGGAGTTCAGAGTACAAACCCTGCAGAACCAACAGTCACGCAGCATGCGCACAAATGCGTCACCTTTCCCGGTCTGGAAACTCGGGCCGAGTTTACGGTCGGTACCTGCTTCTGCGTCTGTCATCTCACCGGTCTCGACTCGAAGAGAACGGGCTCATTTCCGCCCGACCGAGTGTGAACCGAAAGAGTGAGCAGGTCGAGAGACGTATGTGTCCCTCAATCAAGGAGGGTGAGGTGACTTGATAATCTTTATCAATACGTTAGGCAATAAGCTGCCTAAGCAACAAGAGATCAAAACAAAACACAGGGTATAGGAAAGGAAGATGGATGAGGTCCAGAGACCCAAAAAACCAGTTAGATGGCCGAGTACAAAATAATATGGACAAAAAAGTCTTGAATAGACCGCCTTCTCTTCCCCATTCTTCTTTCCATCTCCCTTTTGAAACCCGCAGGGTAAAGCAAAAAGGCCAACCCGACGCCATACTCACAATGCAATGATGCTGAACCAAACCAAACAGCCAACCCATAACAATACAGCAGATACGACAAGTAAATGGGAAGAAAAAAAACAAATGTCTGAAGCGAATATAGAAGACAAACTCCGCCCGGCTGTTCGTGTGTGGGACGTGTGTATACCGTCAGAGTGACCCATAATCCGTCCGTTACGGCATATTAATCCGTAAGTAATCGGCCGTTCCGTCATGGCGCGGGCCGATTCGGCCGTGGGATTCGTTGTTGCTGAGTCTGGAAAAGAGGCCATCATTTCCTAGGTGTGGCCATCCTCCAATCCGTATCCTCCATCTGCTGGCGCGAACTGCTCCCCCTCTTCGCCGCTGAGTGCCTCCGGAAGTTGAGGTCACCGCCCAATTAACGGCCCACAGTCATCCCATAAACCTTCCACCTCCACACAGGCATTCTCAGAGGCCTGCCACCCACGCAAAGAGGTGCTTGATAATCCCAACCCATCAATTGCTTCCTGCTCTGCCAGAGGTAACAAGCTCCCGTCGGTTCTACAAGGCAGGCCACGCCGCCGCACCTGTCCCAGGTTCATATTGATACGTTGGCGTATCCCGCTGCTGAGGCAAATCAAATTCGACTCTGAAGCATCCTAGTGCTGGAGTTCCACGGATCCCTAAACACGAGCACCAGGTCTTCTGAAAGCGTACATGTCAGCTTTGTTCGTATCATCATCGACCAACGCGAAACACATACGAATCAGTCTGCCAAGCCCCGCGCAGCACATCCTCATGAATCCTCGGTAGCGCTTCCGGCTGCCGCCACGAGGCATGAAAAGGAGGCCCCGCTGAGACAGGTGTCGACACCAGCGGCGACCGCTGCCCGGCTGTCGGGCTGTAATGCTCGTAGCCGACACGAGCCTGCTTGCGGGGGCCCGAGTGGGTCGGGTCCGGGCTGAGGGGCCGTAGCGTCGTCCTGGGAGATACCGACTCGCTCGAGTGGCTACTGGGTCGCGTGAGGTCCGTGGTCGGTCGTGGAATCGATATCGCACCCAGCCGGCGGAGGTCCTCAGGTTCGGCGGGCGGAGTGGACGGTGAGGTGTTGTGACCGCCTCGAGGCCTATAAGCATGGTGAATATGAGGCCACACGGAAAGCGTCGCACAAAAATGGAATCATGGGGGCCCAGCTTACGCATTCTTGAACTTGCAGACCCGACCAAACTTCTCGCACTGCACGCACCGCGGATAGTCCGGGTCGCACTTAATCTTCTTCTCGCGGCAAGTGATGCAGGCAATCGCCAGCCTCTTCCTCGGCTTCCCTGCCTTGGTTACGCCCCAGTGCGCGTTGACCGCCTCCCCGTCAATGACCGTCTTGCAGTGGCTGCCGTCGTCGTAAAAGTAGCACATTCCCTCGCCCGGCACCTCGGCGGCCCTGACGAACCGCGGGAGAAAATGCGTCCCCGTCCAGATCTTTGGTCCGAGTCCGTCCTTTGTCGGAGGAGCTTCCGAGCCAACACTGCTGGTTGGAGTCGAAGGTGGGTTTTGGCCCGGCGTATGCGGCGCCAATGGGTCTCGGAACTCCGCTCTGCTCCCATCCCGCCCGCCTTGCAAATGAGACGGATGGTACCGATCCAGAGACGGCTGGTAATATTGGTGACTGCGACTGCCGAACGAGTATTCCCGGCTGGCTTCGTGCTGTACTGACCATTGGCTCCCTGAGCTGTACTCGGGGCGCCCGTCCTGCCTTTGATCTAACCGCGGGACTGGTGAGAGCGGCCCCGGAAACACCTGCGAGAGGGATGGAATTTGTGGTCGGTCCTGGAACCTCGAATCTAATAGACTCCGCGGTTGTGATACAGAGGATATTGATGGGGGGAAGTAGGAAGACGACCCCACAGTCGGCCTCGAGGGATGGTCAAGTGGCGAGGAGGCCGAGGAGGTCGTGTAAGGGCCAGGACGATCCGAGAATGACGAGTGAAGCGGAGGCATTTGAGACGATGGCCCGAAGAGGCTGCTCAGCGACGGAAGCTGTTGGCGCGCTGGTGGACTGTCCTCGGGTGCAGATTCCCTGCGGCTTGTGGTCTCCTCCGACCCCTTGCCGGACGATGACATGTCGATTGCCTTGACAGTCGGGTCATAGTTGGACATGGGCGGGGATGGAGGAGCGCGCGGGTGCCACGACTCCTCGGTCCGCCTTATGGGAAAGGAGGCCGAGTCTGGGGTGAGCGCCTCGGGTGGTGTGTCTGGGATGGCCGAGCGGAATCGAGATTCGAGGGCCGTTGCAAACCCCATTGAGAGAGATGTTGGCTGTTGATGTGACCTGGCGTGTTTTTAGGATGTGCGTCCGTGTCGTTGGCCCTCCAGCAGCAGAGCGGCCACGGAAACGAGAAATATCCAGGTTCGGCTGCAGCACACACTTAAGACGGCGCAGTGGTTGGGGCGGCGAGGGCGACTGGTAGTAGATATTCGCCGGGTAAACGTGCGCAGCACCCAGGCGGCGCAGTCGATATCGGGGCCAGATGATTCGGACAAGCCTGCCTGAGACCAAGGCCCAGTAGGGGAAAAGTCTCGATCCCCGGATAATTGAACAATACCTGCGAGATGCACAAGCGATCTGTTGGTCGTCTCAGGGCGCTCGGGGGAGACAGGGGGCCCGGGTTGCCAGGGTGCAGCAGCTAACGTACAGACACCGACCGGGTTACTTCGCGTCGGGATCAGTGCAGAGTTATGTCTGGTGTGTACGAGTTGGAAGACAACGAGGGTGGCGTTGAGGAAGGGATCAGGAGTGTTCATCAGAGGTGACAATGGTGGGTATGTATGGGTCGAGGAGAATGCCGAGCCTTCTGTCGGCCAGACTTTGGATACCACCAAGACAGACTGCTAACCGGGTAAGAAGTCAATAGCAGGATATGACGAATGGGTAGGCAAGGCCCCTTGACATGGGTTCAAGGACTGGCTTGCTTGTGCCCGCGGTACTGGTCTGCTAGGGTACGGACAGTCTCGCTCGAGGAACACCCACAGCTACCGTTTCGGTGCGGTAGAGCCTTTCCCCGTCGGTGGACGAGCTGGGAGACTTTCTACAGCAAGAAATCCTACACAGTACACTAGCGTGGCTTCAAACCCATGCCTTTCGGCAGTGCGGCATGGCGTTGCGCTCTTCAGACGCTGCATGCAGTGGTGAGCGAAAGGGGAAGTGAAAGCGGGCTGACCAAGCGGGTCCCAGAGATCCTGCGACCTGGGCAGGCGAATGCTCTCGTTGTGACGGTGTACCGACCGGCGTACGGTAGCCGTGGGGAATATCAAGGCAGGCCATAGCCTTGTAGCGTATTCATCCCACATGTCGTACGGTTTTACCGAGATGGTCATCCCTGGTAGGCCTGAGAGGAGACGGTTAGATGTGAGAGTCGACGAAGTACATACTGTGATAAGCCCGCAGGGGTGCATCCCCGAGGCTTGGCCATTGTGAGACACCCCGAGCGGTCCATGGATGGATGGCTACCACGAGGCAAAGAGGGTTCGGGAAGATAAGAGGCTGGAAGGAATTGTGTGAGATGGGCCGGGAGTTCCAGTCAGGGGCAGGGACGGGGGCCCCAGCGAAGAACCCCGGAACCACAGGCGCCAAGATTGATGAATGGCGCCGCCCAGATCGGGAAGAAAGTCCTGTGGTCGGGGTATTCCCAGTGATGGCGTCGATGGCGCCGGCCTCATTGGCGAAACCGGGCCGCTTTGCGACGCCATACGGTTGGTTGTCCTGAATGCCAGGCAGCGAAGGCGGCCGAGGATACCTTATGGATGCAGGCGATACGGGGCCGATGCTCAGTTTCGGTATTATTTCAATTGTCCGTGTCAACAATGCTGTGGACGTCCATCCCGACAGACGCGCAGCAAATGCATTTGCCAGCCGTTCTTTGTTCTGGAATTCTCTGTGGTCCGTCCTGGGCTTCTCTGGGATCAGGCGGCGCAGGGCGACCGCTCGAGTGCAACGCTGTCCTTCGCCTGCCGAGCCTGCATAGTGGCAGGCGAGTGACTTGCCCAAACGAGGAACGACCAGGCAGTGACCGTTGCAGCGACGGTACCTGCTCCCGTGGCACCCGCATGAGCGAGTCGACCGCGCCGGAGGCAGCACCGTCTCGCTCGCACCAGCCATTAATTAAGACAGCCCAGCCCATCCCGCTGTACCTACTGCACAGAACGCAATGGCGCCTGTTGATCGAATCTCGTACGTGCGCAACGACCGGGGCAATGTTGGACGCCACAACCTAAAATCGATCCATGATTGATGACGTTCAAAACCTTGCCTGTAGCGACAGGATGGGCAGGACACGGAGGAAAGACAAGCGAGAGACAAGGAGCCGATGGAGCTGGGAAATTTACACGTGTACTCCGTATAATACAGGGCTCGGCGTGCCGGACCCCAATTCGCTTGACGTTACGGAGAAACCTCGAAAACCTCAGAACTGAAAGCTGGTCGCTTTGCGCCTTCCTCTTCCTGTCTTTTACCCTTCGACTCATCGAACGATTCCTCCAGAGCTCCTTCTCGTCTCATCAACTGGCTCAGACAGTGGTCTCCAGTTTGACAGGGCTGCATGGCACGGCTTGAGTCCAGGCGCCGAGATCTCCGGCGGCTACCTTAGCTGCTACGCTGTCAACCACCGTGGAAGAGGCTGGCAATAACACATTACTGACAACACCAGGTATGCCGATGACTATAATTCCAGCCCAAGCAAACAGCATGCACAATTCACTTTCTCCAGTGCATTCTAAACACCGCATCTCGTCGACTCCTGTCATATAACGACGCCGACTGCTTGGCGGCGCAGCGATCCAGTCCGACAAGTTCAAACAGATCACAGCAGGGTTGATGAGTCCAAAACCTTGCAAGGACACAAGACCTATCCGTAGATTAAAAGATAACCAAGGCTAAAATAGGACATTGGGCCGGCATCTCATCTCTAGCTCCTCCCAACTCCCTGGATCTGCCGGTGTGGAACAGTTGGATGCGCAGCCAGCCGCGCACCCACCGGTTTGTGCAGTTTCCTTTCCCGCCAGCTGTGCAGCGTGTAAGGTAACGTCAACTATCCACAATTCACAACACCCAATGCCGAGATGCATATGGCTCGTGCATCGGAGAAGTGGGAAGGGGGTGGATCTCGAAGGCGCTCAGACCGTATGGTTTGATGAAGAAAGGAGCGAACACTGCCAGAAGTTCCTCTTTCTTCCCTCAAACAAAACCACTCAGTTTTTCCACCACTCACCCGCAGAGCCCCAGGTCACCCTGTCGCATCATGACGCGTGGAGCCTGAGATGACTGCCTTGCCATGAGCTTGCGCCGCCGGAGCCCGCGGGTAGATTCTGCCTCCGCCAAACACCTCCTCGTTTCGCCAGTCGCATCTCGCCTCCAGCGAACGCCACCAACTCGGCTAACTGGCTCGACTGGGCATTACATACACAGTACAGCATCATCATCCGGCTGATATTGCCATTGCCGATCAGCCATTTCCGTCGCCAAGCAGTTCCGCATCCGCCAAGACGCGAGCTGCAGGGAGGAGCTGAGCTGAGCTTTGCTTCATCAGACGAGGTAGAGCAAGATCCGAGTGCGACACGTGGGAACGCGGCGGCAGTTCAAGAACTGGAGACTCTTCTACCCCGTGCCCGCCCACTGCCGGACGGTGCTGATGAGGTCAAACTGGCAGACCGACAGTGGGCGCAGTGGAGAGGATCAAACCACAGCCGCCGGCAGCTTCTACTCCACCACTTACCCCATCTTCTCGAGCCAACACAGCGGGTGCGCCCCATTATTGCTTTGCTGTCATTTTGGGCTCGGGGTTGCCTTGCGGCAACCATCCGAAATCACAAGAGAGGGGCGCTCGATTCCCTTTCAGCTCAACAACCTGCAAGTCGCTTCTCAGGAACCGGCTTGCCAGCCGCGCTTTGCTGGAACCATCCAATATATTGCCTGGATGTGAATTTACCTCGCATACACGGCACAACCAACAGCGCCAGACACGGGTTCAACCGCGCCAGGGCGCCGGCCTACGATGCAGATCTTCCGGGTCGCTTGCCCAAGTCGCCACCCGCGGTTGTCGGCCCGAGGTGCGACGGCCGTGTGGTCAACTGTTGAACATACCTCATGCTGAAGGCCAACAACCATGGTTCGCCAATCAAGCGATGATAACCGTCGTATGTTTTGGAGAAACCCCTCGCTGGCTCTCCCCGCTGACGCAGGGGAAGAAGGGACTTGTGGCCCGCATACGTTATGCCCCAAAGTGGTCCGCTGCATGGCGCTCTCTGGACTTTCTGGGAGCATCAAGGACCCCCGGAGCTCCAGAGTCGTTTGACATTTTTGCTCACCAAGCCTGCGCAAATTTGATTTCCTGATTCGGACTGTTCCCAGCTTCAGTGTCCAACACCCTCCCGGTTGCCTGACCGCTAAGGACCTTATTGCGCCTACCGATACAACTACCCAGCGCCCCAACAACCGATGGGATGCAGGAAACAGTTCAAGCAGCGGAAGGAGATGTTGCGTGGCGGAAGCCCACCGTCCTCCGTAACCCGTTTGGGCAATAGGTAATCATTGTCTTCTCTCATGGTCGTAAATCGGATGCCCAACCAGTGCTCACAGAAAGCCTATCATACCCCCTCTTTGGCGTGAAAGCAGACGAAAAAAACAAAGCTGTATGTATCACTTCGGGGACTCCCGTCTGGTTTCACTGCACATGCTTGCCCGTGTCTCGGGCGGGTTTCCCAGACGGTCAGCTGCTCGTGTTTCGCTATCTCTTCGCAATGGCCGCCGTGATTGGACGCCACAACGGTCGTGACCATCTTTGGTGGAACTTGAGGTCGGAGGATTCCTTCACGGGACTCGATCGAGCCCTAACAGAGAGGATATCAACAATCCCCGTCTGGGTCGTGCACCAAACACAAACGACCAGCAAGAGAGGCGCCCAGTATGAGAGAGTTTACGTTAGTTTGAGGTGGATGGTCATATCTCTACAGTGACCTCGGCCACTGGCCGAATGATCGAAGCGAGGGCGAGTGAGTGAGCGAACCCGGTTTCGCAGAGTCGTATGGATGGATGCCAATCCTTCAGGCTTTTCCTTATGGGATCTCTGCATTGGAACCTGTTGGTTCCTCGTCGTATTGTCTAGCGTCGCCTCCCATTTCCATATCGAATTCTACAGCAAAACCACAGCGAGCACCGGCAATCGATCCTGCAATCCTACCTTCGGTGGTGTAAATATACAGTACTGCGTGGATTTCATACGAGAAGGGGGTTACATCTGCCGGAGACGTTGGCCAGATTGGTGCAGCTGACTGTGAGAAAGCTGATCTGTTGGTGCCTCACAGATGCACCCACAATCTGTGATGGTGTGCTGTGGTTGGGGCGGAAGCCTCAAGACGGAACCAAGATCTGGCCTACATCACCAATGAAGAGTGAGTGCTGTTGAGCCGTGGACACGATGACTATGCAACCACTACGGATACCGCAGGCACGCGAGAGGGGATGTCAACTCTATGACCTACTGTGTACACTGTGCGATACGCGTGTTATCTGGCTTCCCTCCGCAACGTAGCAAGAAATGGAGCTGTGTGTCTGCAGTGAACGTGTGTCTTCTGCTTCCACTGCTCTTAGTGGTGCGGATGATGATGGATACTCGCGGCTTGGCCGGGTTACTGTGGATTTCATCGACAATGGGGCTACAGGGTTCTTTTTTGTTGGCTTCTTCCCACCGGCCGGCGCTCCGGGGCGAGGTGAGAAACTTTGTCCAAGGGTAAGATGGTGGAGACAAGCGCAAGGCGAACTGCCGGGAGGGTAGCACGCATGTAATAAGCTGTACCCTTTCAGTCATCGGGCAGTTCAGGGGTATTTACCCAAGCAGGAGATATTACATACGGCAGGCATTTCGATACAACTCTAGTGCCTGGTGGACAATCTACACCACGTCCTCTTTTCTTGATGAACAAGTAAATACTGCGCAGATAACCAGCCGGATCGTCAACAAGATCTGGCAGACGGCCTATAGTAGGGTTCTAGATCCCGAAGATCCCCCGTCAGATCCGGAAGTTCGGCCTGGTATGGAAATACTAGTGTAGTATGTAGCGTTACAGTGGACACGGCCTTGGGACGGCGCCAGCCCCGACTGGGAGCAAGGTAGCGAAACTCCACGTGCGTGAATCCTTCGCATTGCCGAGATGGGTATTGTTGCAACCCTCCGCCGTTGGCGTCGCATTGTCGTCAGATGCTCGTTCTTGTGGTGCGTATGACGTCCGCTCTTCCAAGAATTTACTGGCAGTCAACATCGAACGATCTTTGATGGAACTAATGAACAGGGAAGTGTGTTAAGATCGCCGCTTGTCTCCTGAAACCATGTTGTTGGGACGCTGGCCCGGTATTAGCCACTATTCGCTGTCTTCTTCAGTGTTTAGTGCTGCAGGCACTAGGCTGTACACAAGACTTCGGGCAATGCGATAACGTCCCCCATACTCTGTTCGGCCACTGAATTCACAAGTAACAACACATTAAACAGCACGACAATTCCTCAATCTAATTTATGTGTAGGAAGCACCAAATCTCTCACATTCGAAACTACATCAATTCAGCGACAACCGATTATTCCCATCATTACCATCCCCCAACACCCTATCTGCCTTAAAGGAGTATCCTCCCTTCAACCCCCTATATTATAGTGCTCTTACCCACTAAAATATGATGGGTTTCGAGGTCCAAATGTCAGTTGTCGCTCTGGCGGAACGATCGCGGCTCGCGAGCGTCTCTCTCGTCGGGAATCGTGATCGTGATGTCCTAGGGAGTTGAAGAATAGTGTTTGGGAGAGAGCCGAGGAAGCTGTGTTCCTTTGCGGGAAATGTGCTGATTGATAAAATTGGGGGCGATTTTGGCGAGATGAGGCTGGCCGAGCAGGGTAGGTGGCCGAGCAGGGTATGGATAACGTTAGTGGACAGCTTGGCGCAAGTCGCTCAGTCTGCCGGGGATGGTCCACCAACTGTTAACCCCCTCACTCGACTGCCGACGGCCCCAGGAACCCGGAGTGGATCTGGGCACGAGAGATGAACGACAACCCTTCCTGGCCCCACCAGCAACAGGATGGAGTGGCCACGTTTGGCCGGGTATTGACCGATGAGGTCCCGGAAACTGTCAAGTCGACATCAGCCTATGTGCCGGCGCGGCGCCATCGCAGCTGGCTTCGGCAAGGTCCCCCAGCCGGTTTTCAATGATTGCCGTAAAGGACAAGACGCGCCCATTATGGTTTCCACCATGGATGAGCCGGCGAAGAGATTATGTGTGGACGGACAATTGCAAGGCCGGTCCTCCGCTCCGGGGAGGATTCCGCATTGTTTCTTTTACAAGTACTAGACCTGTCAGCCTGGAGCAGGGGAAGAGTGTGTCAACATGCGGAAATGCAATGGGAGGTCGCCGCCGCAAATGCCGTGTGTTTGGTATGTTGATCAATCGAGGTCGTGTCGTTGACGAATAAGACGGTCACGGAACCCCAAGTCGATGCAGGCAACCGTTGTCTGGGTCATGTCAAAACCTTCCAACACCCACGAACCAATTTCGCCCAAGACTGCCGTGATGGCTTTCGCGGTCGTCGGGAACCGACGATCCCAACAAGCCACACCGGCGTATCGTGTCCAAACGGCAGCTAACTCGATATGTCCATAGGCGTCAGCTATTTTTGGGGGCGGGCATGAGACGGCAATCTGTGTGATGTGGCCCGTGTCCCGGTCAACGTGGGAGACCTCGCGATATGTCCAATCAACGTTGAGCGGAAAAATCGCCGAACTCGAGATTTGTTCAGTTCCCCGGAATAAGCTAATAGAAGGGACGTCTCACTGGCGTGCGGGTTGGGAGCCTTGGCGGAGAGGCTTTTGGTTTCTCCAATTCCGAGAATTGAAGAAAGGCCCCCGTGTCTTTGCGTATTCGATTTTGTTGCTTCTTGGGATGGAACAATCTGCAGTGGTTGGCGCATCTGTCAGCCGTTCCCGATGCTTGGCCGGCAATATGGAACGCGGCAATTAGCCTGATCACAAGGAACAGAGGTTGCCCTGGTCGGCTCCGACATGAAAAAGGTCCCAATTCTCGCCTCGGCATCCATTTCATTGGGTTGACTGCGCCGCATCATGCACTGCACTCGGCATTCCGTTCCGTGAAAAGGGAGGCATGGCTTAGCGCATTAACGATCTTTCGCTCCCTTGTCGTACTCCGTACAACACCAACTTCGCGGCCTCCCAGCCCCTGCACCCTGTCTTTCCACCGTTTTTGAATCTCGAATCTTCCAGGGTCATCGAAGTCCTGCCGGCATTATCTAGCCTTCGTTCCGTACGTGCATGGCACCCGGCGTTGTGCGTTTTGTGGCGTTAGCGCAAGCCTGTCCACTGCCTTGGACGGAGCGGGGGGAAGCATCGTCTGGAGATGAATCCCCAATTGTCCGGACATCTGCACTCTTGGTTCTGACAATGAATGCATGGCCAATACCGGCGTAATTGCGGGTACAGTTCCTGGAAAGCTTCATAATATGGATGAACCGAGGATCCTGCAGGATTGCCGCTAGTCGAGATGAATTGAGCACCACTTCAACAGGCATCACCGAAGACAGCCCTGCAGTCTCGCCCGGGCATTATCATCCCTTCCGGCTTCTAATAAAGGAACTGAGCCACGCCCGGGTCTGGGGAGTGCGGCAGAGCTTGCCCTCCGCGAACCTTAAAAGCCAAGGAATTCAGATCCAGCCCGTATCTCCCCCTCGATATGCCGAGCCAATACTATCTGTGGTGAGAATCTCTCAAAATGCAGGTGTCGTGACACTTTGGATCATCATGCGATGTAGTCCAGTTCGGCGAGACGAGATGTCGGTTGCCAGCCTCTGGCATGGCTCAATGTACCTGGCCGGAACATCCGTTAAAAGCAGTAGTCGAGAGGATAATTTTGCATACAATATTTGGGGTCCCACTAGCAGACCAGCGGACAGGTACTACTTGTACGTGCAATGTAAGAAGGATGCACATAAGACTTGCACCACACTGACTTCCAGAGACTGCTGACTCGGTTTCCCTATTGTTCTCGGGCAATTTTGCAACGACTGTGGCGTCACTGGTTTTGAAGGCCTCGAAAACAACCCAATTGCGACGTTGGCCGCTCTCGAAGGAGACGGATGAGATATGGCCGCTTGGGTGCTACTCTATACCAACACATGCAATCTCGGCAGCGTATGCATGGCGCGACTGCCTCGGCAAACAAATTTGAACAGCATGTGTTCGTTCATTCAGGTGGGATCGCCTCATGAAGTCCGCCGTGGTTTCGCGGCTGGATACCTAGGTTGTGCAACATTGCTCCGCACCGGCTCGTCCCCGGGAGTGGCATCCGGCGTAGTGCCCCAGGTGGGCGAGCTGAAAATAGAAGTCCAATTACGAGCTGCCATCGAGGTTCCTTCACCGGTGTCTCGTCTGGGAAGGGGTCAGTGAAATGCAGATGCTTCTGAGCCCAAACCAAGTGGCGGCATTGACGTGAAGGAAGAAGCTCAAGAGCCTGGATGTTCTGGGATGGTGTCATTCAGCAAAGGATTTGTTTGCCTGTGTCCCGCAGTGAGAGCCGTTGAATGTCCTCGTCGGAACCGGACGCCGGCTCGGGACCGTGAGCTCGAGAGGTTTGCCCGCGACTAACGTTAGCGAGAGTCCTAGCGAGGTCGAGTACTCGGCATTTGTGCCAGCCCCGGCGTCGAGACCACAGGACTTCCTTGAATTCCACGTCACCCTTTATGGGCCGGCAGCCTCCCAGTTGGTGATGGTTTCGCACCAGTTCACGCCGCCTCGGGCTCTTCGCGGACTTATTCGTAGAAAAGGAAAACGAAGGCAGCCCGGGGAGCTTGTTGGGTCCTGATGTATTGTTTCATCGACTCAAGCTAATGCAGTGAAGAGGGAAGAAACGGTCCGCGAGTCCTGTCAGCATCCCAAACTGGAACTCCAGTAGTCCGAACCGTGAGTGTTGAAGAGAAAGGCGCCGAGTGCGGCCCGAGTCCTCGGTAGATCGGCGAATTTCTGGGCAACTACGCCCGCAGTAGCGCCGCTGCAAAAACCAGGTTCTTTGGAGAGGGACTTTTCCCTCTGTTTAACCCCCCACTAAACCGCTGGTGCTCAGGACCACCGATCAGCAGCACGATCAAAAGGCTGTACGGATAAAAGTATCCAATCAGCATCCAGAAGATACTGCTGCCAAGGTTGTTGGTTGGACCAGGTCTGAAATCCAACTGGGGTCGAAGGCCCGTTTTTCCGGAGACGCACAGGTGTCGGGTATGTCTCCCGCCCAGGAGAACGGTACATGAGCTCATGGTGATGATGGATTGTGACGGTGTCAGCAGTTTGCTCACTCAGGAAGTTCACCTCCAGGTGCTGTCGCCGGATATGCGACGGGGAGCACAGGTCCTTCCCTGTCCTGAATCACCTGCTACCTATGAATGCCTTAACGGAGTTGGCGTTACTGCTCCTGCAGGACCCTCAAACGTCAAACATCACCCCTCAGCCGGCCATGTCATACGGATACCATCACTCCTTTACGGCACAGGCACTGATACTGGTGTCAAGGCGACATTCAGTTGGTCATGCTTCCCTTATCCCCATCGCTGCAGAGGCGTTCGCTCTTGCCGTCGAGAGGGCAAGCAGCTGTCAGGTCACAGGGACGTCGAAATGGCTGTGATGAGGGAAGGAACGTGCCTGGTCATTATGCAACTCTGAGAGTGGAAGGCACGAAATCATATAACCCTCCACCAATTCTGGTGAACCATCTCCACACATGTTCGTGGCCTGCAAGATACACCATTAGCATACGGACAGGCGAAGAGAAATGTGCTTACCGTGACCTAAAAAGTGCCCTTTGGACCAGCTAGGGCCTTGCAGCCTGCTACGGCTATCCGTATACCGAATTTTGCCTCGGTTAAGTGGTGATTTCGGCAGGTTTGGGCCAGTCAGCAATCCGGTTGCTGCACCTCAGGCTGTACTTGACAAAGACAACACTGCTTTATCAAGAGACGGAGGTTGCTTTGAGCGGAGGCGAAAGGCATCCCGTGACATGCTTGGCCCAGCCCGTCAATATCGCGTCTTCAATCAGATCTATCGCTGAAGGTCTGTCTGAACTGACTCGACCAGTCCTTTTCCATGTCGACTTCCAACTCAATATCGCGGTGGTCAGGAAGCGGGTTCGTAGGGAAAACAGGCAGACAGAAACTGTTCTATCAGGGCCATGCGATCACGATTGGTTCCAAACTGAATCACTGTGAGGGTCCCATGCTGCGCATAGTTAGTTCCAGACAGTGCCACCTAAGAGATGGTTGAGGGCGCAGGTCCCAGCAAGCTTTGGGTGAAGCGAGATCGATGTCCCCTTCGCTGTCCATTGTTCCCTCCCACTCGAGCAAGGCAATCACGGGTTTCTCGTGAAGTTCGACTTGGCCAGTTGTTTGGTTACCAACCGAGCTTGACATGCGCAACTGCCAAAGCACGCCTAGCTGTGTCGGGCAGATGTCCAGTTCGCCGTCCGCCTGGCGAAGGCAAACACGTCACCGTTGCTCCCCAGGTATATCAGTCCGAGGACGTTACGTTATCAACACCGGAGAGCGCGCATGAACCGGGCGGAAGGTTCATCCGCCAGAGTCCGTCGGCTCAAAGTGTCTGAAAGCGTTTTGCTTCGTCGTCAGGCGTAGATCAAATGCAACCTGCCATGGAAAACAAAGCAGAGCGTCACGGAAGGGTCGGATAATCGTGGCCTCCATCTGAATATTATCGAGGAGGGACTGGCCTGGGGACCATAGCCGTAGCTGGCGAGCTCTCTGCCCAGGTGATTGTTGCCCAATTTCAGTGGAGACGGAAGCCTGAGAACCATGGCGAGAAGCATCGGCGTCGGGAAGGAAAGACGCGGTGGCTTCCGGAGCCGGTGGTCTTCAAACCTCCCTCACGGTCACGGTATATCTTGCTGAAAAGTCTTTTGCGTGACCGACACCATTGTCGGCGTCAACTCGGCACCGAATGACTCTGCCGTAGGTCGCTTGGTTTCTTCAATATGCCCCAGAGTACTTCCGTAAAACCGTCTCTCGTCCGTACCGGAATTGTTTTGTCCTTCCTTCAACCAGGTGTCTGTTTCTGGAGTCAGGGTCAGCATGGATACGATTTGTCCGAAGTAAACAAACCCAGACCAGAAAGCAATTGAGTCAGGAAAGCGCGACTGAGGAGAACAGACATCGAGTGCTTGGCATAAGAGCGACTCCTCAGTTAAATCCAGAGCGGTATAAACATCGTACAACCACTGCCATGTCTTTTGAAATCCGAATGTCACCAAAACTAGAAGACGCAATGTTGATGTGTAAACAGGTCCGCAACGCTTCCTTCAGCGGATGTCGGTCAGCATGGACGGTGCCGCAATCATTTTGGTCCAGTGAATATTGCTGCCGGCTTAAGGTTTGGTTGGTAGTAGAGAAAGTACCTGATAAAGTCGTGTAATCTTAGTTGTTTTGTTACTTCATCCCGTCTTCTTGTGGATGAGTTGACGTTGTGACTACAGGACATGGCCTTGTCAGCTGAGCACAGCTGTCCACATTGTTGGCATCTGATCCGAACCTGTCGGCACTTGAGAAAGGCTCCACAATCTGGATCTTCCCGTCGATCCGCACCGTGGACGCGCTGGCGCCCACATCCAGATCTGCGCTCAACCTTGGCCTGTTAATTTTAGGATCCATCTTTGGTCTCGCGACGGGCGTGCCGTTCAATATCTCGCATCGTTGGGTTTGGTGCTTCTCCCGGAATGGCTTGTATATGAAACTCCCCACCATTTCCGCCTCAATTGCCCCTCCTCGCGAGCTCTCCAGACGCTTGTCCTCTGTCCCGTGAAACCCGAACCAACGACCTCCCGCACGGCGCTATCGGCAAGATGGGGTGGTTGACGACGTTGTTCGGCTGCTTAACCCCGGCCTTCCTCATCCTCTCCCCGGTACTCTCCTATAGCGACCAGGCGTACTCGATGTACCGGACGAGATCCAGTGCCGGCTTCTCCTTGGACATCCCCCTTATCATGCTCGTGGCCTCCTTGTTGAGGTAAGTTCTTGACTTGGCCCGAAACAACGCGCCCCCCTGCACCAGCTAACGTGCGCTTTCAGGATATTCTACTACCCCGGCGCCAAGTTCGATAATGCCCTTCTCGTCCAGTCGTTTGTCATGGTCGCCGTGCAGGTGGTTCTGCTGAAGATCGCGCTCGATCACCGGCCCCCGCCATATTCAAGGGGAGGGGATGCGGCGGTCCCCTTTGCCCGGGCAAGCGAAACACAACGGCCGTTCGACTTCTGGCAGTGGAAGTCGCCGAAACCGTGCGTCTTCGAACAGGATCGCGCATCAAGGACAAAGGGACGGCTGACATTTGGAATAGGTATTGGCGGTTCTTGTTGTCGCTGTTTATCGGCCTCGTGATCTGCGAACTTTTGCTGGCGCCCGTTCCATCGGTGTACCAGTCGTATTCGTTGCTGATCGGCTACGTTGGCCTTTCGGTCGAGGCTACGCTGCCCATCCCGCAAATTCTTGCGAACGCCCGGTCTCGCTCTTGCAAGGGATTCCGGTTATCAGTCCTGGCCAGCTGGCTGATCGGCGACGCCATGAAGATGTTCTGGTTCTTCACTTCGACCACGACAATCCCGTGGGCGTTCAAACTGTGCGGCATGTTCCAGGCTGCATGCGACACGTTTCTGGGGGTGCAGTACATGATGTACGGTGATGGTGAGGCTGGTTCCAAGGGCCATTCCCTTCCCGGCTGGCAGCATGAGTTGCAGCCAAATGGGTTTACTACGGCCAGTGGTCTGGGCAACCCGCCTGGCCGGAGGACTTCAGCAACAGAGAAGACGATATGAATGCAATGATTAGACATGGACGTGGCTATAGAGAGACAGGGTATTTAATAGACTAATTGAGACTGAAGAATCCATTGAAAGTGCCGCCACTCTTGGTTTGTGTATGTTTCACTCTTCGGTCTGGGTGGACATGACTTGGCAATCTCATGGAAGCTCCATCAATCTGCCAAGACCGTGCATTGCTGCTACGGAGTGACTCCCAACTACAAGAGTACAGATTCATGAGAACCTCATTCACGGGAACTTCGACTTTGTAAATATAGATTTATGCATGAGTAATGTCTTTCATGTCATAAATCCCCTTTCCCGTGCATTCAACGCTGGGGCTCTCACGCCCATGAGAATGAACCAATTTAGATGAAGTTCCCACCAAACAGGCACTCACTTAGCTCCTATGGAGACAAGCTTTCAGCTCGCCAATTGCATTTTCTTCCTTTTCCAACTGCAGTTACAAGGTTGAGTGCAACACATTGTGAGCATCTCAAGGACCAACCACAATACACTCTAACTTTAGCACTCTATATCTTCATCAGCATGACAGTTTAGCATCATACATGGCTTGCAGTGCATAGGGCGCTCTGCCTGTGTTCAGGGTCACCCGTGTGAGCCGCCTGTGTGTGGGTTGGGTCGAGGCGGTTGACTTGCTCCAGGGGACAAGTCCGTCGAGGCTTGGGACGTCCCGCACGTTGTCAATCACGTTGGTACGTTCAACACTGTGTGTTCCTTTCTCTCGCAACACATTCATGGTCGGCTCAGATACACCCTTGGCGGGGATCAATAACCGAGGCCTGTCCCTCCGGTCTTCACTCACTCTTTTCCGTCAAGCCCGCATGAACGCACCTACGCCACTGTCATTCATGCAGACAAGTCCCTTCCTTCTATCGTTTTCCTCTTAATGTCTGTTGTATGTTCAGCTACGTGCTGGATCATATGCTAAACTCCTGAACATGTGTACTGTTTACCAAGTTTTGGACTGTCTCCAGGGCAACCTCGGTTTCACTCATAGCAAGTGCCCTTCTCCTTGGCCCAGACTTGGAAAAGTGCTACAATGTTGTTCCTATTCCCTTTCACTCCTGTTCCTTCCAGGCTTGTTGGCACGCTGGCCGTGTTCGCCGGATGGAAGAACCAGATCAGTCTTCGGTCTTGCCCTGGTGACCGTGAACCTTGTTGTCTATTACCCCTGAGTTCAAACGAGGAAACCCTTCTCTGACTTCCACTCCTCAACACCAAGTCGTGAGCTTCTCAATCCATCATTCGCTGACCCCTCCCTTAAACCCAGCATCAGAACGTTTTCCACACCACCAAGACGTCCCTGTCGACGCACAGACCGGCCAGCGCTCAAGTCACCAACCTCACCGTCGTCGAATCAGGCGAGGTTGGCAGTGTTGATCGAGTTCTTTGGCCGATACCTTCAACCTGGGCCCGGAAACGACCCAAGTGGGCTTCGTCTTCATCACGCCGGTCACCAGTCCTCCCGTGTCGGGTTCAACATGAGCTCAGATTCAGACAGCTCCTTTAAGAGAAATGAGGGCTGCCTCATCTGAATTCGGCTCGAGAAATCCTGCTCTTGCTTGCTAAAGTACTGTGAGAGATATCTCGGTTAAGTCGAGTGGGCTCATTTTTGCTCTTCCTTTTCCAAGTTCTTTCCCAACCGTCAACACTCGGCTGCTGGTCTTCCAGAGGCTTTGTCGGTTGCATTCCGTTGCTAACTTGACGCCTGCAGTCGGTCCACTCGGAACCGGAAAGCATCGAGCAATCCAAAATGCCTCCCAAAGGAACTCCGAGCAAGGAGACGCCGGGCAAAGGGGCGAAGAAGGAGACTGCCAACTTCAGAACTTTCGAGGCGCAGGCTCGCCTGCTCGCCGCCCTGTTGGCTTCTCTGGACAATCCGCGGCTCGACTACAAGAGTAAGTCTAGCATTCCAACTTCTGGCAGGCACCCCTTCTGCCAAACTTTCCGTTTTCTCCCTCGCTTCGTCCCGTCTCGTTGCTTCCGGCTACTGGCCCGGAAACTCCTTTGATCCTTCTTGATCCAGAACTTAGACTGCGGCCGGCGGGCGGGAGCGACGGGGGCCTACGGGAACGAAGGGCATCTGTCTTGCCTTCTTTGTTCATGGTGGTCGAGCTCAGCTGACCATGGCTCTGTCCGACCTGCCCAGGAATTGCTCAATACCTGGGTGGCTCAGCCACCGAGTCTAGCGTTGAGCATCGCTTCAGGCCCCTGAAGGTCCAGGCCGCGTTGGTGAAGGGCCTCGTAGAGAAACAGATCGACCCCGCAACCAAAGAGATCTGGAAGTGCACGAAGAAGGAAGGTAGGGCTCGCCGCTTCTTCCCGCCCGCCGGCCGCCCCCCGCACCGGTCCCCGCACCGGTCCCCGACCGGTCTTTGTTTTGTCTTCTGACTTGAAAGGCAGACTGTTTTGGTTTGGAAGCAGAAGCTGATTTGGTATGCAGAGATTGCGACCTATTTTGGGGCCAGCACCCCGGACGGCGTGAACTTCCAGTTTCGGACTATCAAGAAGGGCGCCGAGGCTCTGAAGGGTGCTGTGAGCAGAGGCGAGAGCCCGGTCGAGGCCTTCAATGCCCACCTAAATGGCAGCTCGAATGGGGCCGCTAGTGCGCCGGCGACCCCCGCGAAACGGGCTCGGGCGACAAAGGGCACTCCCGGGTCGGGCGCCACCCCTGGCTCTAAGCGCAGCAACAAGAAAGTGAAGATTGAGCCCATGTCTGATGAAGACGGGGATTCGCCGGAGCTTGATTTCGACCTGGACACGTCGCCGACCAAGCTGAGAGTGCATAACAAAGCTAACGATTTGCTGCCTCGCTCAGCCTGGGCCATGCCGACTGACAAGAAGAAGTCCGCTCGCCCTCGCCCGGTGTCCATCGCGCCTGCACCTCCTCGCCAGGCTGCGCCGGGCTACACTCTGGCGCCCATTCCTGGGCTCTCCCTGGCTCATGCTGAGCTGCCCAACGGATACACCGACCCAGTCACCGGCTACGGATATAACGTTGCCCCCCGCGCCACCACGAGCAGCACGCCTTCAACCGTTGCCAACTCTCCTCCGGCCATGGACACCGCCTCCATGCGTCGCGGCTCTGCATTTTCCACTGGCAGCAACGCCGCCGCCAGCAGCCCGGCCACGCCGACCACTGCCTTGGGCATGAACAGCATGAACATGGGCATGGACGGCCACTATGTCCCCGCCGCGTCCACATCCGAGGCTAATACTCCACAGACAACCACCTCTTCAAACAACATGACCACGTCGGGCATGCATGCGGAGACGGCTGGCAATGCCACTTCATTTGAAGAGGAGGGATTCCACCCCCTCAATGGGTTCGGTGCGAGCGCCTTCGACGAGACCAATGGCAACGCCAAGTCCAGTGGCTGCCGCGCCGGCTATTCCACTTATTCCATCGACCAGCAGGAGAGCTCGCTCGCTGCCGAGGCCAATTTCGGCGGATTCGATGGTGATAATGGTGAGGACGAGGAGTGGGACGTGGGTGACGTCTAAACACATCATCATCCTCATCTCATCCCGCCATCGAGCATGTCCACTACCAGTCCTGACATGAGAGGACAACCCTCGCCTACATTTGCTGTTGTTTGATGCAACTGAGCTCGTTTTACAACAATGCCTGCTTTTATCCAACCGCCACGAACAAGACCAACAGCGGTTTTACCAAACCCGCCGCCGAATAACTTGGCCACTGCATGTCTTTGTGGCCCCGAGAGACGAGGGCGACCTGATTTGGACGCTCACCTCTGTCATGATACTCAGGCAGCAAAGCACCATGACGCGCGCTAGTTAGGCTCGGCAGGACTGCAACCAGCACTGGTGCCTGCGCATAGCAGCAGCACCGCCTTTCCTTCCCTTGGTCTGCTTTTTTCGGATTATATTTTCCGTTTTTCAATTCCGTCTATCAAAGAGGTCAAACTGGTTGGTCAGGAAGTTGGCTCGGCCAAGGTTGGGGGCAGTTTTCGCGTGGATCAGTCTGTTCAGATCTTTGCCTCTTTATATTGGTTGGTTGGGTTGCGGACTGGTTTTGACTTGGGATGGACTGACTCTCTCAAGCCGGGACTTTCGGCCTGACTCAACTGGGTGGTCATCGTCATGGGATGGTGGATCGATATAGGGACATGGACGTTAGGCATGGACGGATGGATTCACTGATTCTCGATCTTGATTTGTACTTTTGCAGACGCCAATACGCCTGACGGGCATCCCGAGCTCAGATGTAGTATAAAAGATCCGGTGCATACTGCAGACTATCGCTTGCGGAATTCAGCCATCCCTCTCCATCCCTTCCCCTCTCCCCCCCCCTTCCCCCCCACACCCAACCCTCTCCTCTGTACTTGGGATGGACTCCTCGTCCCACCATTGCAGTAAAATACGAGTTCATGCGAAACGCCTTGTTTGAGAACAGTTGAATGTCCATCTGGTTTCATACATGGTATCAAGTGGTCACGTCATGGAATCCGTAGATGCACTGGATAGATTGTCCGCAGTTGCAGCGCCGACCTTGTAAATACCAAGGCCAGTCCAGGCTGTCATACACTAACCCTTCGCCCCCTTTTTGCCAGAGTCTGCAATGCGCCCACTTATCTCCGTCGCCAAACACTACATGCTACGCCCCTTAGCCCACCCAACCACTTCTCATTTTAACAAAAACTCCCACAGAGCATCAGCATCGACAAAGTCATGATGGATGATATTTACCAACCACGCATCCACCCTGACACTTTCCAAGAACCTCTCGCTTTCGGACCCGGGCTCATAGATCTTTGCCCACTCGCGCCAGATCCCAAACGCCTCCTCGCTCCACGCGCGGAAACTGACCTCCTCGATGATGGTGGGCGTGACAATCTCCTTGCCGGGGAACACCCCCCAGGTAACGGCATTTGTGCTCGCCTCACCACCTCCTCCTCCCGCCGGCGGCGGCGGCAGCGCGGTGTCGGAGCTGACAAAATCCCCCTTCACGTTCGTCGCGTAAAAGCACACGACGTCCCTCATCCCAGGCTGCGTCAGCCTCTCCTCGAGCACTCTCCAGTCCTTGCTCGGGCAAAAGAATTCGACAAATGCCTTCTGGAACACGAACCCGTTCTGCGGTCCCCAGCCAAACGTCGGGTCGTCGGAGCGCAGCCCATTCACCGCCGGCTGCGACGCGAGCGTCCACCAGCCCTTGGCGTTGAGGGCCACCAGCCGGTCGCGGATCTGGTCCGTCTCGGCGCTGAAGCTCTCTTCGTTCCAGGGTATGGTGGTTAGCTCGCCGCGCAGGTGACGGATGAAAATGGCGCTGACGTCGTCCGGTGAAGTCGGCGTGCCCCACAGCTGGCGCGCCTGCGCGACCGTAACGTGCAGGCTGACGCCGTAGCCGTCGATCTGGCCGTAGGCCGGCGACCGCGCGTCGCCCCACCGCCCGTTGGGGAAGTCGTCCCACGTCGCCTCGCGCCCGAGCACGCCCTCGCCTTCGGATATGGCTAGCGTGTTGGCGCGCGAGTTGATCGGCTCGGCGGGTACGCTCGCCTCGAGCGCCGTGGCCTCCCAATCCGGGTGGGAGGTGGATCGGCCCGGAACAATGACCCGGTCGCGGGGGTCGGAACCGACAGACGCTTTGCGCCGCAGGGGTTCGTGCGAGGATTGATCAGGGGTCGACCCGTTGACGCGCAGGAGCCGGATTTCGGGCAGCGGGTTTTGTGCCACGGCTATTTCTTCCCCGTCGGGGGTTACGGGGGAAATCAGACCCGTACGCTCGACGATGAACGAGACGGCCTTTTCTAGGTTGAGTGTGTAAAAGTGGAAGCCCCTGGGCCCCTCGGTCCTGCTCTTGATCTCCCTGATCTGCTCCACGATTTCGCTCAGGATATCCACGCCCACCTCCTTCACCTTCTCGTCGTCGCCCTTGACCGCATCTAACCGCGCCATGAGAGCACCGGGAATCTTGGCGTGGCTGAGTTTTGTGGTCCGCTTGATCATCTGGTAGCTTTGAATTGGCATGAGACCGGGAAGGATGGGGATGTCCTTGAAGGCGCCGCTTGGGTGCTCGCGCAGCGTCTTCTCAAAGTGCCTGTACGCTTCAATGTCGAAGAACAGCTGTGTCATGATGAAGTCGGCGCCGGCCTGTGTCTTGTCCACCAGGTACGGCAGGTCGTGCTCCAGGCTCTGGCCCAGTGGGTGGCTCTCGTCGGCGTGGCCCTCGGGGTATGCGGCGACACCGATGCAGAAGTAGTCCCCGTGCGTCTTGCGGATGTAGCGGACGAGGTCGACGGCCCACGAGAACTCCTCTTCTTCCTCGGGCTCCGAATCGTTGATGTCGCGGTACTCGGCCCGCCGCGGTGGGTCTCCTCTCAGAGCGAGAATGTTGCGGACGCCGAGGGCCTTTGCGTCGTCGAGAGCCTTGTCAATGAGACGGCGGCTCATGTTGGTGCAGGTAAGGTGCAGACATGTCGTGAGCCCCAGCTCCCTCTGGCAGATCTCGGCGAGCTCGAGGGACTTGGTCGCCGTCGAGCCTCCTGCGCCCCAGGTGACGTTGACAAAGAGCGGGCGCAAGGCCCTTGCCATGCGATCGAGGCGACCTCGAAGGTTGGAAAAGCCCATGGCGGTCTTGGGAGGGAAGAACTCGAGCGAGAAGTAATCTTGCCCCGCGGGCAAAGCCGCGATCTTGTCTGTTATCTTCTCCATTGCGCGGTTCTTGACGGCCTCTGGGGGTAGTTCCAAGCTGGGAAGGAGTTCGCCCATGGGTGTGGTGTGTAGTGGGGTTCGAATACAGAGGTTGGAACGATCGGAGGGACCTGCTGGAGGACTGTGTATGACAAGTCGAAGATACTCGACGTTTGAATCAATCTCTATATAATCAATTGAGAGAATTCAATTGAGACGGAGAGTAGGCACCCTTTTCTACTCTGCGGGTACGGATAAAGTCCAAGGTGGCTGCCGAAGAACCTGTAGAGGAAATTCTCTCTGAAGACAGCTGCCGGGGCAAAGAGACAAACCCCACTTTGCATCGGCGGGCGCGTGTTGTGGGGTATTGGCATGCAGCTCATGTCACACACGGGACCGGGATAGTGGGCCCGGCAGCTGTTGTCTTGGGCGGGAGATACGGCAAGACAGCCACTCAAGTCATCCCCGGATCGATGAAGGGCACTCTTCAAGAGTAGACCTCGGGGTGCCGCCCGGGGGCCTGCGCCAAACTCTCGGGGCGGCGAAGGTAATTGGCGAGCTTCAATCATGTGGTATGGATGGTACCCGGAGATGCTGCAATCTGCATGGCTTTCACTCAGCGAGAGGAAAACGCGTCAAAAACCCCCCACGTCCGAGAACGTGCGGAAAACTTGGGGTCATGCATTTGCGGCTTCTCTGGATTGCAGTGCAAACAAGAATGTCCAAGAATCGTTTGCATTGTATGTGCTTGTACAAGCACATACCCGCCAAATCCGATTGGATATTGACTCGAACTCTCGACCTATCCTTGGGGCTTAACGGTGGTGATAGCTCTCACTTGAGACGGGACTACTTAACTTCGTACTCCGTACTGCTAAACTTGTTGCCCGAGAATGATTAGCGTCCGCACTTGCAAAGCTGGAGCTCACGGGGCAAAGCTGTCGGAATCAAAAAGCTCAGGATTACAGCCATGGTTTCCTCATGCTCAACTCACGACTACAACCAGCCCTCAAGGAATGTCGAGGGTGCTTGCCTGTTGTTGAGTCGGCTTACCGGATTGTTTTGCATGTCATCAAAGCAGAGAGAGGGGATATGGGGAGCAGGGTGCACACATAGAAGAGCAGACTTACAGTTTCATAAGCCCAAGAGACTGGTCATGGCCGACCGAGGTAATGAGCGCCATTGCAAGCGGAACCCCATCCGGCACCAAAAGTCTCTTCTACGTGGCAGCAGCAGACAGCGCAATATGGGTAGGTATGGATGAATGGCTGTCCAAACTTGTTTCAGGTCATCACCGCATCATGGACGCCGCGCAAAGGGGCTCTCGTGATGATGGTTTTAAACAAGGGCATTGATAGAGTCGATCTCGACACACGTTCGGAGTCGCCAGAAGCACGGTGTAGTTTGGCAGCCTGGCGATGATTTGAGTTGTGGTCTTGCGTTAATGAGAAAAGGAAAGAAAAGAGCAAAATTGTCTCCGTCAAAAATTCGACTTTGTACTGGGCCGCCAAGCCTCACCCTCACCGCCCACAACGTCAAACTTCGGAGCGTATCACAGTCGGCGTATTTCGCCGCACGGGCCAGCAAGCACCGTCTTCATGACCGCTCACCTTTTTTGACTGCACCATGGCCCGGTGGAGTCCACGACCCGCCACTCTACCTTCTAGCGTTCAAGTTTTCCAAGTTTGTTCTTCCGCATGATTTGAGAAACGAGTTCCCAAAATATCCCATCCTGTCAATCGAACACCCCTCTACAATCTCCTGCACACGTACTACAGGCCAACATTGCCCGCATATACTTGAGATTACATCTCATTGTCCACATAGCCCGACTTTATTGACTCAGTCCAGAACCCCGACTAACACGATAGCACGACTCTCGACGCCGCTGTAAACCCCCGTCCCTCCTGACAGTACCCTTTCTCCCGCCTGGGCTTGGTCCATAACAGCTATCCCGACAGTTTCCCGCCCCGTCACTACGACCTAGAATATCCCAAACCGCCGGTGCTGCCTGCTGCCGATCGAGATCCGGTGATTGCCACTCCGTTCGTTCCTTGGCACCTTCGGTGTTCCTGCCCGACGGCTTCCCTTCGTTCCTGAGCCTTCGTCTCACGAGTTAAGCTTACCGACTTCTTCATGGATAATTTATGGAGTCGCCGCGCCAAGTAAGTTCTGTCCGGGTGCCAACTGAGTCTAATCCTCTTCGATTCTTAATCATTTTGTCACAGCTCGAGCAAGCTCTCTCTATCCACAGGGTCCAGTCAGGACAACGCCTCAGGACGCAACCCTTCCTTCAAGCGATTTGGCGGTGACAGCTCGTCGCTCGGAAAGCACTCGTTTGGTGGGGTAACGACACCAGGGAGCACACTCGCATCTCCCATTGGCGGTGCGTCGACCGCTTTCGGCTTGGGCTCAGGCGCCTTTGCCTCGTTCGGCTCGGCTAAGACGCCCAAGTCGCCGGGAAACCCCTTCGATACAGCCCTGGGAGCCGCCGCAAAGACCCCGACCGCTGAGAGATCGGCGAGGGATGGTGGTTTGGGCGGCAAGGCAATTAGCAAGCCGGCCTCGGTTGCCTCGTTACGAGATGCAGGCAAGACGGCAGCTGCCCAGCAGACGGCCGGACAGGCAGCGCCGACAACCCACCAGCTGCGCAACAGCTGGGTATTCTGGTTCCGTCCGCCCATCTCCAAGGCGAACGGCTTCATCGAGTACGAGAAGACGTTGCATCCGATTGCCACGGTCGATTCGGTCGAGCACTTTTTCAAGGTCTACCAGCACCTGAAGCGGCCGTCATCGCTGCCGCTGGTGTCGGACTACCATCTGTTCAAGAAAGGCATCCGCCCAATATGGGAGGACGAGGAGAACAAGAATGGCGGGAAGTGGGTGGTGCGCCTGAGAAAGGGCGTCGCCGACCGCTACTGGGAGGACCTGCTGTTTGCTATTATCGGCGACCAGTTCGGCGAGGCCGGTGAGGAGGTGTGCGGGGCCGTCCTCAGCGTCCGGAACGGCGAGGACATCCTCAGCATTTGGGCCCGCGCGGACGGGCAGCGGGTCCTGAAGATTCGGTATGTTGACGCGTTCCCAAGCAACCCCCCCATTTCCTTTCTTTTTTTTTCTATTCTGACGTATTCGCCAGTGAGACGATGCGACGGATCTTGAACTTCCCGCCGGACACCAAGCTCGAGTGGAAGAGTCACGACTCGAGCATCCAGCAGCGCACAGCCATCGAGGAATCGCGGCGAGAAAAGGCAAACAACCACCACGGCGACAAGCGGTCGTCAAACAAGCAGCATCAACATCACAATCCGCAGCAGCATGCAGAGGACAACAAGAACCCCACCAGTTCATGAATGACTTCGGGAAGAAGAGCGTGAAGGCGGCGGAAAAAGCAGCGGAAATTCGTTTTCACACATTGTACAGTACCCCGGTTCAGCAGCATTTGCCAAATGGAGTTATGAAGTCGCCGGGATATTCGGGCCGAAGAGAATCGGATCGAATCTCGAGAGGGTCGTGGTTGGTCTTAGTGTGTTTGTGTCTCCTTGAACATTGGTCATGGTACGGCACCCGACGGTTTTATGACGAGGACAAATTGGGAGGAAGGAGTGCTGAATGGGTTCACTGGCTGTTTGAGCGACACGCGGGATGAAGGGATGTGGGCGAAGGGATCTCGGAATCGAGAGATGGGACGGGGCGGAGGTGGTGTAGTTTTATTGTAACCATCAACAACTCGCTACGTTGCCCACCATCTCAGTTCACCAAGACGCTTCGTCTGCGGCGTATTTATGATGATGTGGGCTTATGGAAAGTTTCACACCTCTGGAAATGGTGTCTCGTACAACTCCCTCCCGCGTGGAAAACATTATGTCACCCCCTCCTCCTCTCCCACACCTGCAGATAGCTCTCGCCCAAATACAACAGCTCGCTCCGGATTGAGTCGACAAACAAGTCCTGCGCGACGACCCATTCGTCCGTCGCCTTGTCGCGCAGCTGCACCTTCCATGTCTTGCGCTCCTCGCCCACCGCGCTGTCCGCCACGTCCTCCTTGGCGCGCACCGCCTCGTGCACCACGTTGGCCACCAGGTCGTAGAGAATCGGCTGTCCTCCTTGTCCTTCCTCTCCCGAGGGCTCGACGTAAGGGGATACATCGAGATTGTGCGGGTCGAATGTGACGATGGTGGGGTTGCGCTCCGCCACGAACTTGTTCCTACTGAAGCGCTTGATGTGAAAAACTAAAAAGGGGGGAAGAGGGTGCATCAAGCGGTAACGCTTGCGCTGCGCGTTGAGCTCCTGCGCCGTGACGCCATTGTATTTAGATAGGAGGGCGGTGAGGGCCACCTGGGGGATGATGTTGCGCTCCTGCTCGTCTTGAAAGAGCGGGGCGGGCGGGAGGTCGAGGGTCAGGAGGAGGAAGCGGGCGATGTCGACTTTAACGTCGGCTGCCTCCTCAAAGCGCAGGCGGTCCTGGGCCGCGTCGGTGCGCGCCGTAATGGCTTGCGATTCTACCTTGAGCTTGCCCTGGAAGATGCGCTGGATCATGCTTGAGCCGGGTTTGGTTTTGCTGCCGCCGAGGCCGAGGTGAAGGTGGTTGAGGTACCAGGAGAGGAATTCGACTGGGTCGGATTGCGCCGTTAGGGTGAAGCGCTTGTTGGAGCGGAGGGAGATTTCTTGGAGGAGTTCGTGTGGGGAGACGTGGGATTTGAAGGCGCGCGGGTTCCAGATCTTGCGGAAGAGGATGGACGTGCGCTTGACGAGTTCCGGGGCGGAGGTGAAGTCCTCTAGGAGGAAGTAGTTGCGCAGCGGCGAGACGTGGGAGAGCGCCTGGACAATGACGTTCAGGTAGTCGTTTTCCTTGATGTTGTTCATGCCCACAAATCCGGGGGCGTACTCCTTGCCCGCGAGCGTCCAAGACTTGCGCGGCTTGCGGTCCAGTTCGGCTACTTCTTGCCGTGTGTACCGGGGGTCCGACACGTACTTGATGTCGTCGAGCGATTTGCTCTTGACCTCATACCCCTCCGGCAGCACGTAGACCTTTTGGGTGCTCATGTTGATAAACACGTGGTGGTCCTCGTCGAGCGCGTGGAAGTAGGCGTGCGATTTTGGGCCCCGGCCCTGGTAGTACTTCCCACATACTAGACATGCGTAGACGTTGATGTTGGATAGTGTGACGGAGCACAACTTTTCGAAGTCAAAGTCGAGAACGTTGCGGTCGATGGTATCGAGGTAGAGGTCGTCGTAGCCGGCTGTGGGCGCGGACTGTCTGATCGGGGCCTTTTCCTCGGCGTCCTCCTTATCCTCTTCCGCCTCCTCGACATCTTCTGCGCCATCTCCGTCCTCTGCTGCTCCGTTTTCATGCGCCGGCGTTGGATGCTCATCGCCAATCTCGTTTGCGCTGGCCGGGGTCAGGGTTTTGCTGTAGTCGTCGAATCTCGACTTCTTGGATGCGGGCGACTCAAGGCCTGGTAAGTCCTCAAGCGCCTCCAACGCGTGACGTTTTGACATTCCTGGGTATCTTTCGGTGATATTAGCCAAGTGTTGCGCAGGTCGCAGGCGCTTTTCACGTCAGTCGAGATGTTGCTGTGTTTGATCTTCTGATGTTGTTGTGAAATTTCCTGAACCGATGACATGTTCCCCGAGTGCCAGGCTCAAGCTTCGCGCCTCAATCGAGAGCCCGCCCCACCAAAGCTTCAGTGAGGCTTGGCATCAGGACCTCGGCTATTGTATGATGTATCCGTGCAGAACACCGATACCCAGGTCATTGCTCTGGACCATATCGAAACCACAGCCTGCGAACACTACAAGGTGAACCAGAAGAGCTCAAGTTTGAAGTTGGTCTATATTGAAACAGCACCTCAAAATGCCTGCCCAACATCGCATCTTCTCCGATTAGTTGATGTACTTGTACACTCTCAACCCTCCTCTCACTTCCGCCCCTATTCAAGAGCCCAGCCATCACGCCCCAGCCATAACCGCATCCCAATCCTGCTCCCCCTCTAGCGCCGGCGGCGCCAAGCTATCCATTTCCTGAAGCGTATACTCCACCAGATAGCTCTCATCCACCAACTCCTCCATGCGCTTGTAATGCCTCTCGGTATACACCTTGAGCGCATTCAGCACTTCATTGAGGCTCTTCTGACCTCTGGCCCCCCTCACCGACAGGTTGGAGAGCTTGCTGGCCGGATAACTCCGGACCAGCGCCCAGAGGATCCGCTGCGCGACGGGCGCCGTCCGGGCGTTGGTGTTCCAATCGCGCAGCCGCAGCAGCAGCAGGAAGATCTGCTCGTCCGAGAGCTTGGCGAGCACGGCGTCGACGGCCTTGAGCCCCGTAAGGCTACCCTCCTCGGGCGTGTTGGTCGTAACGACGTTAGTGAAGAGGCCGAGGAGGCGGCCAGGGTGGTTGAGTTGCAGAGCGAGGACGATGGCGTCGCGGTAGGCCCCAGCGTGGATGTAGTTTTCGAGTTCCTGCTCTCGCTCGACGAGCTTAAGGGCTGCCTCGGTGGCTGCGGCCTGCGTCTCGGCCGTCGTGTCCTTCCAGAATGTGACTTTGGAGTCGCTGCCGCCCGAGACGAGCGTGTTGGTCTTGGGGTGGACGGCGAGGGTCCACAGTCGGTCTTCGTGGTTGTCGAGCGTGCACTCGGTCTCGCCGAGGTTCGCATCCCAGACCTTGACCAGGCTGTCGGCGCCTGCGCTGGCAAACTGGATCCGCTTCTTGGCCGCGGCCTCCTCGGTGGGGATGTGCAGCCAGACGACTTTGAGGACGTTGTGCGAGTGCCCCTCAAAAGTCCTGAGGCAAGTGTAGTCCGAGAGGTTCCAGATTTTGATCGTCTTGTCGCCGCTGCCTGTCAGGATGACGCCCTTGCCAGAGACCGATCCTTGCTCGCCCTGGATGGCTGGAGTATGTAGGGGCGCGAATTTGACCGTCCATACGCCGCGCTTGTGTCCCCTCAAGATACCTTGAACCTCCAACCGCTCCACGTCCCATATCTTGACTGTCTTATCCTGCGATGCCGAGGCAAACAGTCGCCCTGTAGGGCTAACGTCTAGGGCGTTGATGTCCTTGTCGTGAGCCAGCCGTTTCAGGCTTGAAGACACCTTGGCTTTTTGTGACTGCCGCGGAATGTCTCTCTTTTGGACGAATCTGTCTTGAGAGCCAGAGATGAGGAATGCTGGGGGATGATCGAGCGGGTTTTTGAAAGCCTCCGAGTTCTCGGGAGGCACCACCTTCGGCAGGGCAACGGCGCCTACGGACTCCAGGTGGCCAGTAAAGACGGCGTAGCACGTGTACGAGTTATTTTCCCGGTCAATGCGCCATAGCCGCGCTGTGTTATCTTTTGCGCCGCTGGCGACCCAGTGGCCTGACCAGTCAACGTCAAGAGACATGACGATATCCTCGTGGCCTTTCAGTAGGGCAACATCATGCCCAAAGTAGGCGCCACCTTCACTTCCATCTGCTTGCGTTTCAATGTCAGCAACAGAAACGAGTCTGATGTCCTCGGAATTTGTGGCAAGCGCCATCATGGACTGGTCAGGCAGAACATATGCCAGGTCCAGAATCTCGTCGTGAGTGCCGGATATTCGTCTGAACGGCTCCACGAGCAACTTTCCGTTGGAAGCAATGTCCCCGGGTGAGGGTATCCGATACAACGCCAGGGTGAAATCGGACTGTGAGCAGAGAACCAGGGACTTGTGAGGCAGTGAGACTGCCGACAGAATGGACTCGGCTTCTGACTTGGCGTCCTGCTTTGCGGAAATCTCGTGGTGTGTCGTCGTGTCCCAAATCCTCAGCAGGCCGCTCGACCCGGCCGAGTACATCCATTTGCCCTCGTTCAAAAACCCGACTGATTCCACCAGCTCATGGCGGAGCATGGGCGTTCCGTCCCAGGCATGGTCCCGCCATAGCCATAGCGTCATGGTCTTGTCTCTGCTGCCGCTCAATAGCGCATGCTGCTCCGGCGAGTAGTCGATGCTCTGGACGTTGGACTCGTGGGCCTCTTTCCTCCTCTTCGCGTCCGCATACACTGGCACTGTGGTGCGCTTGTGAAGGTCGAAGATGCGGATTTTGCCGTCTTGTGTGCCCCAAGCCAGGCGGAACTTTGAAGCCACGTTTGGTTGGCTCTGGCCGCCATTGCTTTTCCGCAAGGTCTTCTTCGACTTCCGCTCGCTCGCGGGGTCCTCGGCCGTTGCGGCGATCTCGAAGAAGTGCAGGGCCGACACCAGGACGCTCGGACCGCTGACGGTGTGGGTGACATAGCCGCCGACAATGTCCCATATCTTGATGGCGCCATCTGCGGCACCGGTTGCGAGAAGCGTGCTGGTTTTGTCGACAGCAAGCACGACGACGGGGGTAGCATGGGGCTTCGAGGTGCGCACAAGGGTGGCTTCCACCGAGTCGAAGTCCGGGGACGCCTTGAGGGAGTAGATGCGCATCGTTAAGGACCTGGAGCAGAGAATCAAATGAGAGGCCGAAGGGGTGATTGTCAATGTCGAGATTGGTTCGCCATCTCCTTCAATCTCGGCCAAGCGCTTCCCTGTGTTGAGCTCGGTGAGGACTGTCGCTTCGCCAAGCGTCGAGGCCAGAATTCGGGCGCCATTCTCGAGCGCAACCGACCCTCCGGTGAAGATCGGTTGAATGACGTTGCTAACCGCGAAGGTTGTCTTGGTTGCTTGTCTTGTCGCCATGTCGGTGCGGTGGTTGATGTGCCGAGGCCCCGAGATGCACTTCGTGATCCCCAAACTTTCACCAAAACTTTTGTTGTCTTATCAAGGTTATCTTAGCGTAAAGTTGCTCCCTGCATGGCCCCACTGTCTGCACGCGTCCCTGTCTCGCCTGTCCCATCCCCGATCAGTCAGTTGTCATCAGGGCATCCATTCCCTACACTAAGCAGTTAAACGACCGATTCACGAGGCTGAGGGCGACCCTGACAAAACGATCCTTCTGTAGCTTCACTCCCGAGATGGCGTCACAGCCAGCTGCAAATACTTGAAATTTAGTTATTTGCAGACTCATTTCAATTAAGTAGACCGAGACCAATCAACATGGGCAGACTGGGGCCGTTGACATCGCAGGGACTTGTAAGAAGACGCAAACCCAACACTCTACGCCGGATCTCTTTCTGACCATATGTGCAGGGTCGGTCGCCATATGACGACGTAGTACAAGGGGAAGGCCCAGAGGATCCGCGCGGCCCCCAGCAGCTCTACGATGAGCGCGGCCGCCCCATCAACCCGGAGACCAAGCGCATCAACAGGGACATCATTCGGTCTCACAACGAGGTGATGATGGTCATTGGCGTCGCTGAGCCTGATCACGGCATTGCCGAGTTTGAGGCTGGGCGACGGCATCACCAGTACGAGGACCGGATCGGGCGAAGGCTTCTTGTGGTCGGGGGCGCCCTTGAGACAGCGGCCATCTGGGGTGTCAACGGCATAAGGCAGCGCATCTTGGTAGGCACTCGCCTATCCCTGAGTAACCCTCTCCAGACTAACTCTCCAGCTTTACAAACAATACTCGCAAACAACCTTCTACGGCATGTTTCAGCTTACCGGGAGCCGACAGTCTCTCGCCTCGTACTTCTTTGGCGGCCTGCCTTCGTTCGTGGCTAGTAATCTTCTCGAACAGCTCTCCCTTGTGAAAGCCAGGAAATACCCTATGTATGTCGCTTCTCTTATGTGAGAGTCTCACCCCCCCACTTACTCTAGCAGGATTCAATATGCAACTACGTACCTACGCCTCCACCTGGCTATTTACACATTCTTCCAGCGCACCGGAATCTTGCCCTTCAGCCGTCTCCTTCCCAATTGGCGCTTCTTTATCCCGGGAACCAGCGTATCACCCATTTTTCTCCCCCCTTTGCCAGCCTCAATTTGGCCGCGGAACCTTCTACAATGGGCTGGCGCATTGGCCCTAAGCATAGCGCCTTTTGCCGGCTTCTACCTCTATACGAAGCTGTACAGCCTGGTCACCAGGACGCTGCGACACAAGATTCACCGACTCCTCCCGCGTCCACACAACGCCAACAAGCGGCGGCAATTCCGGGACGGTACCCCTCTTCCTCCAGGGCCAGAGTTGATGCCCACCGAACTTCGGAACGCGGAGCCAGTCGATCCAGTCCCTCCAACCCCGACAACAACCCGACGACAAAGCAGCCTCTCCATCCGTGGCGGCAACAACAGCAACAACAACAACAACAACAACAACACCGCCACCACCTCCTCACGGGGTCTCTCCCCAGGACAACAAGACGACTTTGCAAGCGACGACGAAGAAGGCGAGATGATCAACGCGACCCTGATCAGCTTCGACGTCGAAGCCACCGACCCGACTCCGGACCCCGGCCCCACTGCCAACACCGCCGGCGACACAGCCGCCATCAATGCCGCCCCCAACGTCTGGGCCGCTGAGCTCCGGCCCAACATGGGCCCATCCGCCGGCGACCGACCCTCCCCGCTCGCCCCCGGCGGTCCCCGTGGCCCGGAACCTGTCTACCGCGAGAACGTGCTTACCCGGCTGCCAGCCCTCCTCGCAACCGACGTGCTGGCCATCACGCCCGCGCGGCTGATCATGACGCCGCTCGCGGCCATGGTCTGGCTCAGCCTGGCGAGGCCGTACATGGCGAGGCTCGGGATGCCGCTGGACGGGGTAGTTCAGGAGGGCGCCGGGTGGTGGTGGGGGTTGAGGTCGGGCAGGGGGTTGGTGAACATGCTTGGGCTGGAGCTGCTTCTGGCGGTGATGCATGGCGAGACGTGGGCCCTGTTGATGCTGGTTGCGGAGGGGTTTCGGTATAGTGAGGAGGAGTGGAATGAGCGAGAGGGGTGGGGAAAGGGGGGGGAGGGAGGGGAAGGGGCCCCAGGTGCGTTAGATTGAGCTCGCTCGGAAGCTGATGGATGAGCCGGAGGCGTTTGTTGGATTTGCGGGAGGAAAGGACATAGGGGTTCGAGAGGTTGGGTTGGTAGGGTCTGAGACGTGTCATGTCACAAGGGAACTGAGTCGCGGCCTGTCTTGTCTTAGGGGTACTACATGGCCAATAGCATATTAGTGCTGTAATTTTTGGGCATAAGTTCCATGGTATACTTCATGAAGCGTGGCATCGTTAGTACAGTTGAGCGAACAGTGACATCATCAACATCATCCAAATCAGGTCTTGTCTCATTTCCTTCTCCTGCCCTTCTTTTCAACCCCGGCCCTTGCCCTTGCCCTTGCCGTTGGTTTTCGCCGCCTTCTCCTTGTCGATGGCATCCTTGATGACCGAGTACAGGTCCTGGTTGCGCCGCGCTAGAAGCAGCACGTCGTCGGTCGTGACGGTGGTGCGACCTGCATGCTGGCTGAAGCTTTCCAGGTCTGTGGCTATGTTTTCTGCAGATAATGATTAGTTAGATGATCGAGGGTCATTGTTACGGAAGTATTGTGTTGTATGTCTCTGTACCGATCTGGTGCCAGACCATGTCGGTCAGGGCGCCTATGAACTGCGGGGTGGCATTGCGGTTGCGCTGCAGGGACTCTTGGTCGACCATCTTGCCGATGGAGAACCAGAGGGCTGCCTTGAGGCGCTTGGGAGAAGGTTAGCTTTCAATTTGCTTACTGCGAGGGAAACAACGGGAAGGATTCGTGAGTTTAATTCAGTTTGTACAAAGCGTGTGATCAGTGGAAAGAAGAAGCATCAGGAGTTGAGGGTAGATGTTTTATGCCTACCTCCCGCACCTCGTCATCTTGCGGTTCAGCCATGACGGTTCTCGTAATTCTTGGCACTTGGTGATGGTTCGGGAGTGGTTGACAAGCGACGCGTGTTTACTGTAGACGCGTCGTGGCCATGCAACGAACCGGGGCTAGGTGCAACGCTATCCCATTTTGGGCTTAGAGCCTATTTAGGACCCTGTCTTTGTCTTGCGCCGGCTTGAGCATCGCTGCATGCATCCATGAGTTGTGAGAACGAGTATCCATGACAGCAGAAACAACGCAGGAACATCTCCTCTTGCTAAAGAATTTGTGCATTTCATGAGCTCGGTATGCAATTGCTTCGCGCAATCCACCCGACACAAACTCCGCTCGCCATGCCGAATGTGCCGGCGGCAGCTAGTTATAGTGGGGGTCTACCTTAGGCTTGGCGCGGTTCGACCGGGACTTGACGAAGTAGCTCGCAGATCGGATTTTCGCGCAAATGCATTTCTTGTTTGGAAACATCGATGTTGTCCCCTCGGCTTCTCCAGCTGCCCAAGAAATCGCATTGATCTGTCTTCCTAATTATACTTACTGAGTGAAAGGACAACCATTGGATTGGAGCTGTCCTTGAATCAAGAATTCTCTGCCAAACCACAGTCCCTGCTTCCGTCGACCTTTCCATCAAGACAACATGGACGGCCTCGCCAACCTCGCTACAACAGTGGGCAATCGCTTTGCGACGAACCTGAGGGGATCTTTTACCGACCTGACTCCAGAGAAAGTCATCAGGATAGTCATCATTGCCGGGGCTTGTGAGTCTTTCCCCCTTGGCTAAGCGTGGGGTTGGCACTGACCGACGTTGCCAACAGATTTGCTTCTGCGGCCATATCTAGTTAAGCTTGCAGGACGGGCCCAGATGCAGTCGCATGAAGAAGAAGCCGCCAGGACCGAGGCCGAGGCAAAGGTCAAGATCTCCCCGAACGAGCTCCGTGGCATGGTGAACATTCCCGAAGACACAGACGAGGAAGACGATCCGGCTGGCCAAGCATCTGGACCGGACTGGGGAAAGAAGGCCAGGCGGAGGCAACGCGAAATCATCAAGAGGATGTTGGAGGCCGAGGAGCAGCGGTTGCGTGAGACTTTGGAGGAGCAGGAGGATAAGGATATCGAGGAGTTTCTGGACAAAGAATGAGAAAGGAACGGGCTGGAGTCACAGTATCCAACGCAAGTGGAAGATTCTACATAATCAATGCAGCGCCTGGTACTAAAGTCTCTCGCTACCCAATCCTTCGCGAGGGTCCGAAACCAGGTTGTTTGGAAGGTCACAATGACATTCCGTGATAGGAGGCCAATGAGGCTTCAGCACATCTACGTATACGTCGCACACAGATTCTCTCTACCAACATGCATCCCGAAACATTGCGCTCCATGATGAAGCAGAATTGAAGGTCCAAACCGCCTTCACAGCTCAGGAGATCAACCTGCGATCCTGGGTAAATGCATATTTAAGTAAAACGAATTTTCTATGCAGTTACACGGACGTTGCACATTGCACGGTTGCAGGTGGGTCCCCACATCTGCAGCCAGCCCCACCAGCCTTGCAAGGCGAGAGTAACCATGCATTCTTTGACCATCAACACCCACACAAAACTGAAAGCTCTATCAACCCCTCAACCTGTATCTCTTCCGCGACATCAAAACAACCGCCCAAAGCGCGATACTCGCATCCAGCTCTTTCTTCATCAAACCACAAAACACGCGAAGCAAAGTCTGCAAATACAGAATATCAATCGAGGCAATCGAGGACGCTCTATCCTCGCTCCAGCACACGAAAGCTCACGCGCTCTGCGAGCACGCGACCAGCAGCTATCCGTCCGGCAGCGACAGAACAATAACCGCACGACATCTCAAGCTCATAACGCGCTCTTCCACCGTCACGATGTCCGCCAATTCTCACGAGACAAACGTTCGGTGCTCCAGCGAAGGTACGACGACAACAAGGCCCAACGGTCCGGGCCCATGACGAACACTCCCCCTCATGCGGTACCGGATCGATACAACCTCTCCATCGATAACCCATCTCTTACTCATTTCCCCGTCCAGCTGCCAAGACCTTCGTCGACTGGTACTATCGCGCTATCAACGAAGGCAAGCCCGTCGCGCCAGGCTACGTCAATGGCCACGCCGCCTACGACAGGGCAGGCCACCCGCCAGCCGACATCTGCATCAACGGGCTGGTGGTCGCCACGCCAGAGGAATTCGACAAGCTGCTCGAGAAGCAACGCCAGGCGCCGAAACAGCCCGACCCCAACAAGAAGAGGGTGCGGTATGAGGTTGAGGCCTACGACGTGCACGTCATCAACGCCGACTACCGGTTTGGCGCGCCACAAAAGATGCTCGACCTACACTCGCCCACTGACGGCATGCGCATGATGATGGCGCTGTCGGTCATGGGCACCGTCTACTTCGGTACGGGAAGGAATAAAGACGACGACTACTGGGAGAAGCAGAGCTTCCACGACAGGTTCATCCTAGTGCCAAATTGGGACTCCCTTGAGAGGCCTGCGGCCAGGGGTGGGAGGAGGTATCTTGTGGTTTCTCATAACTACAGGGCGAATTAGGCTGTTTGCCCGAAGGGATCATTGGTCAAGCGGGATGAGGAGCCACTTCCTCGAGATGGCTCATGTCATCATGAGTGTCTATTCGAGAGGCAGGCTGAGGCGGCAAGGTTAGGACAATGCATTGCGGAGTTTATTGGGCCATTCATCTTGGGCGAAAGGCGTTGGGTATACCGCAGGAACTAGGGACTGTGTAAGAAATAGATTGTGTTGGTTTAGTATTCGATACATGGTGCATTGAACGCTCTCCTGATGCGGGCTTCACTTCCAATTTTCTCAGGCCAAGCTGCCCAGCATGCAAAGGTCAAAAAGCCAGGACTCCGTTATCCATTCTCCTGCATACAGTAGCACTTCCCAAAACTAAACACACTTGGGTGAGGCCAAATAAACCCGTCCATTCCCCTACGCAGGCGCCTCCAAACACTTTCTCCGCCACTCCCAATACCCCATCCGGATGCGATCCCACTTCTGGCCCAGTCGTGTCAGACTCAAATCAGCCTTCTCCTTGTCCCCTTGCTCCGCATAGATCTCAGCCAGCAAATCCAACGCATGCGTGCTCAGCACGTCCTCCGCTTCCTCCCCCTCGCCCAACCCCTTCACGAACCCGCCGGCAAACTCCTCCACGCTCCCCAGCTTCCGCCCGCCCTTGACCAGCACACCCCTGAGATAGTTCCACCCGCTCTGATTCTGCGGCACCAGCCGTATCTTCTCCTTTGCATACTCGATTTCCCTGTCCACCACGGCGGCAGGGACCTTGGGGTCGGCCTCGGTAGCTGCGAAACCAGGTGAGGCGTGCGCCGGGTTGGAAAATACCAAGAAGAAGCGGTGCGACCAGGCCGAGTTGTTCCGCACGTCGTCGTCGATCATAGCCTCGATCGCCGCCAACTCGTCGGCGTCGCCAAACAGGTTGAGCTTGCCCACCAGATAGGAGCGGTAAGACCATACGTGGTAGTTCTTGGTGTCATGGGACAGGATCTGTTGGAGAAACGATCGCTCCGCGGCGGCGAAGGATGATAAGGTGGAGGGGTCCGAGGCAATCGTGGGGAAGTAGTTTTCGACCAGGAGGTGCCGGTGGTGCCAGATTTGGTAGTTTTTGAGGTTGGCCAGTGCGACGCGGTTCAGCCAGGCGACTTCGTCGGGGATGCTGAGCTTCAGGGCAAAGACGTTGGCCGCGCGGTAGAGCCAGACGGTGTAATGCGCCGGGTTCATGTTGATGATGTGCTCTGTCAGGCGCAGACAGCGTTCCGAGTACTCCTTTGCCTGCATCACCGCGCGGAGATAGGCCATCGCTGCCATCATAGTCAGCCCCATATGTTTTACTTCCTTTCCTAACAGCAATGGGGATTGACTCACCCTCGGCATAATCAGCCGGATACGCAATCGCGGCAAGCGCGCCCTCCGGCTCCTCAAGCACCACCGGCTCGACATCATCCCACTCAGGATCCGTTGCCAACCTCCCGTCCTTGCCCACGCCACCGCCGTACAGCTCCCTCCTGAGCGCAGCCATCTCCTTTCTTCGTCTCGTCTCCTCAAGAACCTCCTGTTCCGTAACAATCACCTGCTCCCGTGTCTTCTCTTCCTTGTGGCCCCTTCTCTCCCGTTCCCGCCTGTCCCTAAAACAGCGGCTTTCCACCGCCAAACAGCTCACCACAACCTTCTTCTCCCACCTCGCTTCAAAATCCTTCACCCTCAGATCCCCTTCCCCGTTCCTATAGTACCCCCGCTTCCTTGCACAGGTAGTACCAGCCACGCGAAGCGGCAGGCTAAGCTCGTTGACAACCTTCCACACCTCCTTGAGCGTCTTGGGCCCGCCGCCGCAGGACAGTCGAGCTACTGCGGCCGCTCCTGCGGTAGTAGTCAAAGAGGCGACAGCGGGGCGTTTTGCGAGGCGTGAGGCGATGCGCGCCGCGAGCCAGGCGAATTGGTCCTGTCGGGAGAGGGCCGAAAGAGCGCCGCCGTTCTGGTGGAGGAGGGCGTCGAGGGGGCGGGAAGCTGCGGAGCGGGATTTAGCGCGATCCAAGACGGTTTGGGTGTCGTCGCTTGGGGGCGTGGGTGGTATTGGGGGCGGCGTTGCCGAGGTGGTAGTGATGGTGGTGGTGGTAGTAGGTTGTGGGGAAGGTTTGGAAGCTGTAGAATGGAGAGAACGTCAAGGTTAGCTAGCTATGATAACTTAACGTAGCTTCCTTAACATAGCTTTGAGTGGGAAACCACGAAAAAAGAACTGGGTAGGAACAACGCCGGACCCAAGAATCGATCAGCCTACTTACCTCCGGACGCTTCGGACTTCCCTGGCTTCCTTTTGGACGGCATCGTGAGCTTTTGGGCCGGCCGATGGCGGGGTGGGCTTTTTAAAGTGACAGCCAAGAGTTGTTTGCGGGTTAATTGTCAACAATCGAGCGCAAGATGCTCCCTTCTGAAGCGGTAGCAGAGCGGGGCAGGCAGGGGTAACAATTCTAAGTCAAGGGCCGCTGAAAGACAACAATACTAAGCTATCACTTTCATCTCAAAGGCCTCCCCGCGTTCGTGCCAATGTTTGCTTTTGCGGTGTGTTTGCGGGTTCCACTAGTATCATTACATCGCGTAAGGAATCTGTAACTACCGCAAGGTAAGCCGCTCTAGAAACACAGGGTAACAATAAGTACAGAGAACTAGTAGTGGGAAACAAGGCCGGGGACCCGTCCCAGTCTTGAAATCCTTCATCGCCGCCAGAAAGCCCCTGAACTGAAGAGACCCGAACAATCCGATTGAACGCCAGCCGGCCGATGTCAGCAGCCCGTCTAGAACTGCGCGTCGTTTTCCACCCTCCAGAACTTCCACCCCTCCCGCTCACCACCCCCTCCATGAACACCCACCAGCCTCTCCACACCATCATTGCCCTCGGCACTGAGGAATTTCTCCAAGTCAATCTCCATCCCACCCTGGTCGTCCTCGTCCATCCCGTTCTTCAGCACAGCCGGCCAGAGCACCCCCACGCCATCCCCGCCCAGCGTTGTCCTAAACTTCTGGAATCCCTCCTGATCCAGCTGCTCCTCCAGCTTATCCAGCTTCTCTTTTTCGACACCCGGTTTGAGCAGCGTGATTGAGCATCCGCCGCCGCCGGCGCCCGTGAGCTTGGTCCAGCCTATCCCCTGGTGGTCGACCAACTCGCGAACGCGCTCCAGGCGCGGGTGCGACACGCCGAGCGAGACGAGCAAGCCATGGTTGATGGTCATAAGCTCACCGACGCGGGCCAGGCTCTCTTCGCTCTCCGTGTCAAAGTCCTCCTCCGTCAGAACCTCCGCCGACGCCTGCGTCACCTTGTCGACGGCGTCCAGGATGCTGCCGACGAGCTTGGGGTGTTTGTTCTTGAGCCTGCCGACCTTGGCCACCTCGTGCGCCGTGGACTTGGGCACTCTCGTGTCGACGAGCAGGAGCGGGAGCTCGGGGAAATCCCAAAGCGGCCGTACCGACGGTGGTTTGCCGTAGTCCTCCCGCTGGAAAACGACGGCCTTGCCTTGTGTAGAAACGGTGTTGTCGACACCTGAAGGATTGCCGTGTATGAACATCTCGTAGACGTATGCCCAGCTATTGATGCGCTCAATCTGCTTCCGCGCCTCGTCGAGCGGTTGGTCTGGGTGCGGGCCGGAAAGGGCCCGTAGTTGCGTGAGGAGCGCAGCGGACAGGCAGACTGCGATGGTAGCGCTGCTACCTAGGCCGGCACCTATCGGGATTGTGGATCGTAGTGTATATTGGCATCCCGGGAACGACTGGGACCCGAGCATCAGGAACATGTAAAGGAACGAGCCTGCAGCATTCTGGTGCACTTTCCGGATGGGGCCCTCCTTGGTCGGGGACACATCGGCGAGGAATGGCTGGACGGCAGCAACCAGCTCCGGGTCCAGTTTGGTAACGACAGAGTGATAGTACACCTTTTTGGAAGGGTGTTGGAAGGTCGACCATGGAAGTTCATCAATATTCCAGGCGTGGTCGAAATCGATGTCAGGGAACTTGAGTGTAACCGTTCGGTTCGACTTGGAGCGCGTTGTGACAAGAAGGTAGGATCGTAGAGAGATGGCTGCAGCTACTGCGGCCTAACAAGAGCGTTATGTCAGAACCCAATCTTTCCTCCCTGCTTCCATCCAGCGGGCGCACTCACCTTACCATGCACAACGGCATGTTCGCCAAAAACTATCACCTTGCCCGGCGCTGACACCATGAACGCCGGCATCATGGGGCTCGACTTTTTGCGGCTCATATTGCTGCGCGTATTGATCTTGAGACTGCCAGCCACATTCGTGATGCCATTGACGCCGTTGACGGGAGAGTCGCTGCTGTCGGTGCTGGGACTGTCGGGTTCCGAGTCGCTACGGAAGCCGTTGTGCCCGTTCGGCACGCCGTTCGATGTGCGCTGCGTCGTCATAGCGTCTCAGCGCTGTCTCAATTTCGTCTGAGATCTTTCAAGGCCGAATGCGAGCAACAGGCAAGGAAATCGGCGGGGTCGTTGGAGCACAATATCAAGGTGGTTGTCGACAATGGCTGCGTGGAGCGGCTGTAGGACAAAGGCGGACTTGACTTGCGGGATACGGCAGGCGGCGTTGCTTTCGTGCTCCTTTGTGTGTATGAATGTGATGCCGTCTTGAGTTACAATACAACTCAGACTGCGAAAACCGAAGCGCGGTGTTGTGAAGGCGGAGAGGCTTGGTGCGCTGCCCGGGCGATGTGAAGTTGAAAGGATATTATGATCTGCCTAGGTAGGAAAGAGGCGTAATTAAAAGGACCAAGGGAGCGCGAAAGCCCGTCAATTGAGGTTTGGCTGGAGTTCGGATGGATAAATCGACGTCGCCGAGTACCCCTTTATTAGTTCCGAGTATCACGTACGGACGGCTCTGTCACACACACGACGACGTGGTGTTCGGGGCAGCTGTGTGTAGAAAACGAGTTGAGCTGGGTCCGCGCAGCTGCACCGCCCGCCCCAATGACGAACTGCGAAGCAGGGGTTCCTGCTTGCTGAGTGCCAGTAACGAGGTTGCATTTTGGTGTTCTGGAAGAAGCCAATTCCATTTTCGAAAAGGCCCAATGTTCGTTCTCCACTGCACAGCATGGTCCACCCGCTGCCCAGTGACTGCAGACTGGATTGTCAGCGGCAGCAATTTCCCTTCGAGAGCTCCATCAATCAAACCCGTGACAGGCGTCACCTCAAAACTCAAAATCTCCGAGGCAGACCTTGCTGCTCACGAGACCACAATCCGCTCGATAGGTTGCAAGATACCTGGTTCCATGTTTGTTTACGGTATATGAGGGCACAGGTTCCGTTTCCTGACCCTTCCCTGGTTCTGGGTTCAGCCCATCTCAGCTGGGACGGTTCGGGGACAAAGCAGCCATGCGGCAGCGCAAGTGCCACCTCCCTTCATGGTCTCAGGGATTGAACCCAACTTAGATCGTCAATGCCGAGCCCTTCCACATCGGCCAACTCCCGAGATGCCTCAACCTGGTGAATCATAAAAGCAATTAGAGAAGCACCATAATGAGTGAATGAATCTCCATAGGCGCCTTTCCAGGTTGACAGACGGACGTGAGGTCAGCCCGCCGGGGTTAAGACACGTCAAGGTTAGCTGCCTGGAACTCAACAATATGAAACTCTCCTCTTCACCCACACGATGCGACGAGAATAACAAGATGCATCGAGTACCAACCTCCCAGACGAATACCACCCTCATCCAAGAGTCCAGGTAAAAGTCAAAGCGAGGAACATGACCGTCACCGAATTCGCCCTCCTCCATCTCCGCCACCCCCTTAGTGCTTCCACCCCTTCCCGCCTCCTTCCCACGCTCGCTACGGCAATGCGTCTCCAAGACCAATGGCACCTCACCCACTTCCCGCACCTCCCATCCTCTGCCGCCGACCGCGCCGCAGTCTGGTTCACACAGGTCGAGGATCCCTCGTACCTTCTTACAACCGCGAACTGGGAGTCTGTCGCGGCACACTGGAAGTGGTATGTAGCCAGTCACCGTGGCGTTTTTCTCCAGCTTCTCCCAAGACAAAGCGCACGCAGTCGCGACCTCATCTCCCAATTCATCGACTCGGTCCAAATTAGTATTTTGTGTGGCGTGGCGTGTTGCAGTAAGGACTGACGATGACGGCCAGGATTCGCAGCGCGGAGAATAAGCGTGTCATGGCCGAGTTGGACGGGGAGGTCATCTCCGGGGAGACGGTGCTGCTCCATGTTGTAGGGGATATCTTTTGTTCGTCTCCATCTCGGTCGAAGTCCGAGCCGGAGACGATACCGTTGCTGAGAAGCCCTGTCATTAGTATTCAGAGGACTTTTATCGAGAAGCGAGAGAAGGAGGCGTTTGCTGTCAGGTTCGAGCAGATCAAGGGCATTGTGCAAGAGCATGCCCACCCCTTTCTGATGCGGTACGGTTGGCGGGAGGATGTCGAGGACGACGCGGAAGAGGAGGAGTTTGTGCTTGTCTGCGGGTGGGAGAGCGTTGAAGAGCACTCTGCGTGCGCCGAAACTTGGGAATCCTCCAAGTACAGCGAACTGCGCGAGTTGGTTGCGCGGGTTGATTTGAAACATTATACGCGGTTATCGCTGGAGTAGGCCCTGGCACGGCGTAAGAAATTCGGAACGGAGCGTTCAATCTGAGGTCGGGTCTTAGCCGATGAATGCGATTCATTTCCGGGGAACCTCGCCGACTACACTGCCCCTTGAGGCTAATCATAGCGAGCACAGCACCAGGTCCTCCCATGTTTCCCCATTCCGAGACGCCGTTTGTGAGTTCCCTACAATCCGAACCGGCAAATGCATATGCTTCCATCGTGCCAACACCCGCGCTCAGAGCCGTATCAGGAATCTCCCCGTCAGAGTCACCTAATTCATGACGAGGTCCTCTTGTTCTTCTTAGGAACTTCCTTGATCTGGAGGTCTGTTGCAGGGAAGAAATTCCACTCGTCAGTCAACGTGCCCTCGGTTCGAAATTGCGCTGGGAAACCTACTGGGCGGCAGGCTCTGCTTAAGCTTCTCGGCCTTTTCCGAGTCCTTGAGGACCAGGGTGTAGAGGAACCTCTGGCAGCGGACCTTGAACTTGATCTGCTGGGTCTTCTTGTTCTTCTTGATCCGGGCGGCTGCCAATCAATCCCAGTGTCAGAACCTCCCTGCACCAATTGTTCGCTCGTCGGTCATGTCATGGGAACGTACAAGAGGCGTCCTTCCGCCGGCAGATCTCGATGAACTATGCCAGAAAAAGTCAGCACTCTCCGGAGGCCGCGAAAAACTCCAGACAATCCATTTCGTACCTTCTTGATATCGCCGATTTCCTGAGGCATTTTGACTGGCTGTGTCGAGGCTCCTGTACTGGTCTCAATTGGGCTGGCTCTCAAGATCGGTTGATTTCTCAAAATTATTTTGTGTGGGCTTTGCCGCTGGGGTGCACCCCGACAGCTGCATCTCATGGGTTTGATGGGGGACAGAAGAGCTGGTCAAAGCTCCCATGTGGCTCTTGTGGCTGGGTTACGTGTGGTGTGGCGGCGGCTGTCGTGGCGAAATCAGTTGTTGACAGGTAACAGGATAAACTTCCTATCAACATTGCTGCTTGGGAGCTATGTGACAGTTCATTTTCTTCCAGTTTGGGTTCTGGAATATCATATTCATCTCTGTTCGACATCAGGCTGGCTACCAGTTCAAGACTCCAAAATGCCGACACCACTCGACCGAGCAATGAGGTCAAGGGTAAGTTCAACCCTGATAAGAGAGCCATATTAGGCTCGATCCATTGGTCTCTAAGCTCATCTAAGGTAACTTGTTAATATAGAACGCCTTCCTGGGTAAGCCACTTCAAGGTCACGTATGCTCAGTCGTGGGGCGCTGACTTGCGGAAGCCTTCGCTGGCCTTGTGACTGGCGTTGCAGCTTGGGCCATCTGGGGGGGTGACATGTTTCCTGCAGACTCGGATCCCAAAGGGGATCCGGAGACTTGGTCAAAAGAAGAGCTGCAGAGATGGCTTGCCGCAGTGAGATGGCCCAGTTCCGCAAGTATCGTTTCGGCTGAGTGCTGATTGAGCAACAGAGGAATCTGCATCCGCAGGACTCTGACAGCAGAGAACAATTACTTGAACGAGTAAGGGCCAACATGAGGATCACAAGACATTAGGATAAAGTACTTGGCGCAACGATCAACTCGTTGAGGTGGTTCTGCAAGTCGGTTCTTGACTTTCAGGTTGACTGGCTGGGTCGAGGGGGGGAAGGCAGAAGTCGGTTTGCGATTTTATTTCGCAATGCAGCAATGGCGATCGGTTTTTTGTCTGGGCAAACGGGTCGTGTTTCCTGAGTTTCCATGAAGCCTCGGGCCTTTGTACTTCGAAGACACGAAGGGCCTGATGCACTGATGAAGGCAAACGGGCTTGTTGATCCTATTGTCCCGGTGTGGGTTTGGATGACAATGAGCCGGAGAATGTCAACCAATTAGAGCTCCCTCCATGATAAGATAGCCCGCGCTTTCAAAGGGGAAGGACAGCTTGTTCTCCAGGCAGACTCCCTGCCTCAACTCTCGATCGACGACAAACCATCGATGAACTGGGTCGCGACGGCTACACAGCCGCGCACTCCTCATTCGAGATGGATTTTCTTCAGGTATGCTGTCCGGTGGAAAAGAAGGAAACTTCCTGCTAACCACTGGACTCAACTCTAGCGCCTTGCCCGGTTCCTGGACCGCCCTCTGTTCCCATGGAAGAAGCTGATTATTGGCTTCTCCGTCGGCCAGTACCTCTTTGAAGCTTTCCTTGGCTTCCGCCAATATCGCGTCCTGCAAAGGACAAGACCACCCAAAGTTCTGGAACACGAGGTTTCGCAAGACGTTTTCGATAAAAGCCAAGCATACGGCCGAGCCAAGGCCAAGTTCGGCGCCATCAACGGTCTCTACGGACAGCTCCAAAATCTCGCATTCTACCAGTTCGACGTGCTTCCGAAGCTCTGGTCATGGACAGGCAATCTTCTTATCCGCTTCGCGCCGGCTCGCTTCACCGGCGAGATTTCGCATTCGATCGTGTTCATCTTGGCGTTCATTGTCATCCATCAGATCCTGTCGCTGCCTTCCAACATCTACAACACGTTCGTGCTGGAAGAAAAGTTCGGTTTTAACAAGCAGACCCCTAAGCTGTTCATTACCGATATGATCAAGACCAACATGCTGGCTTTCGTCCTCGCTCCTCCCATCCTGGCTGGTTTCCTTTCCATCATCAAAAAGACTGGCAGCCAGTTCTTCTACTACCTCTGGATGTTTGGCGCTGGCCTGCAGGTCTTCATGATCACCATCTACCCCATCGTTATCCTGCCGTTGTTCAACAAGTTGTCTCCCCTCGAGGAGGGCAAGCTGAAGACGGATGTTGAGGACCTGGCCAAGAAGCTCAAGTTCCCGCTTCACGAGCTGTACGTCATTGACGGCAGCAAGCGCAGCGCTCACAGCAATGCCTATTTCTTCGGGCTGCCGTGGAAGAAGCACATCGTCATCTACGACACGCTGATCGAAAAGAGCGAGAAGGACGAAGTCGTGGCGGTTCTGGCCCACGAGCTCGGCCACTGGAGCCTGGGCCACACCACCAAGCTGTTCGGTATCTCTCAGGTGCGTCAACTGAGCAGGTGTTGGATGCCAGGCGGTATGCTAATTGTTTGCAGGCCCACTTCTTCTACATCTTCGCCCTCTTTTCTGTTTTCGTGAACAACTCCTCTCTGTATGCCAACTTCGGTTTCACCAAGGAGCACCCAATCATCGTTGGTTTCCTGCTCTTTTCAGATATTCTGGGCCCCTTGGACAACGTCATCAAGCTCTTGATGAACATCCTGAGCCGCCGCTTTGAATTCCAGGCTGACGCCTTCGCCAACAACCTTGGCTACAACAATGAGCTGGCGCGGTCTCTGATCAAGCTCCAGATCCAGAACCTCAGCACCATGGACGCCGACTGGATGTTTGCCAGCTACAACTTCTCGCATCCTATTTTGTCGGAGCGGCTGAAGGCTCTCAACTGGCAGCCAACCAAGAAGGTCGAGGCGAAGGCGGGTGACAAGGCTGAGGGCAAGGAGGATGTCGCGACGGCGACTGGCAGGGACGAACTGTAGATGGGCTGTGTTACGTCTGTAGGATAATTGTCACTACTTGCAGCTTGTGCTGGGGGGGCAAAGGCCCTTTTGCAGTATGCAAATCTAGGCACTGCCCCGGTGAAGCAGCACTCCTCACTTCGTACATCTCCTCTTGAGGCTCGAACTGGGTCTGTGAAGGCGTGTTGTAAGATGCGTGGCACACTCAACCCTGACCCTGATACAGTGGACCTGGCGAGCAGGCATTGCAGGGCGACGTCCAAGACAAGTCGAGCTTTCCTAAATATACCGGCATTTCAGGACCCCTTCTCAGTTCATGTCGGTCCCCAGTTCAAGATCTCTTATTACCTACCGAAGTACCATGCCTTAGGCCGTTGAAGAGTTGTCCCGGTAAAAGCCGGCATGACTGCTCTGCGTGGGGTCTAGCCTAGCAACTGTCACTAGATGCCTGCCAGGTGCCCGCAGTTCAAAGGCGCTCTCGGCGCCAAGAACCTTGAGGTCTGAACTCTGAACCTCACCAAAACCTTCAAACGGACTGGCCCCGACGGCGACGCACCACGAGAACCACGACAAGCAGTTGGGCACGTTTCTCACCAGGCTGAGGATAGTCAAGAGTTTCACTACAATGTCCCGCATCAGCCTGCAATCCCCGCTACTCCAAGCGGCCCTGCGCCGGCCGACCAGCCAGCTGCTTCCGCGGTGCACTCGGACGACGACAGCCAAGTCGGGCGCCGCCCGGTATGTCACCTCCACGTCTTTTCCAAGCCGCATCACTTCGTTAACCGGCACAGGACCTTCTCTCACCTCCCATCCCTCCGCCCAACCCTTATTCCCACCTCCACCGTCTTCCGCGCGCCGAACCAGACCTTCTTCCTCCAACAACCCGCCACCACGACGATGACGACGAACCCGACGACAGGCGAGGCGCTGGACTTGCTTGCCAAAACGAGTATCACAGCGCACCCCGCGCTGGCAGGCTGCGCCAGCCAGATCCGCTGCGGCCCGCGCCCGACCATGTCGAATGCCAGCCGGCTGATCCAGAAGCGGAGGCATGGGTTCCTCAGCCGGATCCGGACGCAGGGCGGGAGGAAGACGCTCATGCGGAGGAAGCTGAAGGGGAGGAAGAGGTTGAGTGCTTAGTTCGGTTTGCTTGGTTGGGGGGCGGGGGAGCGATGTCTGGGGGTGAGATGGAAATGGCGGGTGAGGGGGGAGGGGGGCGAGAGCAAGTTTTGCGGTGTATAATACCCTGATGATGGGGGGTGCTCTAAAATGTACTATATGATGCCATAGACGTTTTCTCATGGGAGTTCCACACATAACATGTGGTCCACTAGACTGAGAAGAATGAGCTTGGGATGGCTTGGGCTAGGGGAAGTTGATTGGGTCTCTCCGTGTTGTCTGATCCGGCTTCCACATGGCTTCGGTGATACAGCCTTCTAAGTGAGTGTACTGTGACAGTTTGCAAGATATTATCGACTAAGCAATCCGTCAACCTCCCTGTTACTTTAAAGTGTATTCTCGAGTCTCGTTGGCGCTGGGCGTCAACTGTCCTCCGGACCTATCTTCCCGGTCTCACAATGACTTAGAAGTATTCACTGTCGCCAACCCACACGCTGGTATCGACTTCATGGCGCTGCTCCTAAGTCGGTGTCATGTACGTAGGTATCGCCCTCCACACCTCCCAGGGTCCAAACTTTCAACGAGGCCTCGTGTCTTCAAATCCCACCACACAGGACTCACGGGTGCCCAGAGATACCGCTATGACTTGTATAGTCGATCGCTGGCATGGTGACTTGAATGGTGGCACCGCTCAGCTCGTGCTGGGAGCAACCGGGCACGGCATGTTGTGTTTGCTCTCGGCAAGTGGCAGTCTGCTCCTTCCATCCCAATACCTGCCACTCCCTTCCAGCGCCTTCCATCTCTTCAACACTGTATGAATGAGCCTCCTTCTCCCTGCCCCAAACAAACAAACCAAAACCCCTCTGGTGTATCGGTTAACATAGCGGATTCTCATTCCGTTGCGCAGGGTTCAACTCCCTGGAGGGGTATTTGTTTTTTTGGCGGCAATCCATCGAATCTTTCCAATCTCTCTGTCGTCTCTTGTCCTTCATAGCACGGACGGCGACCAGCCTCGCCCACATTGCACATCCCGCTTTCACTTCAGCTAACGGAGGCCACTTGCTCAAGACCCCGGCTGTATACCCCCCCCCATAATAACATTAGACTCATAATCAAAAGTTAGTGTTCATTCTGACCGCATACGAGCTTGCACGCCATGTGCTGAGGTGTCCTGACTGACAAAATCTCTCACTAATTTTACATGTTTTGTACGTATGGGTCTGAGATCTTCCAACTGGAACCAGACATAAGCAGTTCCCTGGACACATCGCCTTCCCATCCCAACCCTCTAATATATCGTTTATGTTCCCTCATCGACTGGGTGCACTTGGGAGGCTTTGCTCAAACTACGATTCCTCCTACGGTTACTGATGACTGCCTTTTTCTTTGTCCTGGCCAAAAGTCAAACGGGGCACAGGGGTGAACCTGCATTCCTTACATAAACCTGAATCACCATCAATTGACCTTCTTGTTGCAGGCCTAACAGGGACCCAATGAACTCTTGATTGAATATCTACCTGGGACCATCATGAACGTGAAACATAACTTTATTGGCCCCTACTCTCCATATCTTACTCAGGCTACTATCTATCTAGGCACAATTGTCAAGGACGCTCGTAATGGAGGGCGAGATGCATCATCCTTCAATGCTTGTTGCAGATCTATAAACTCGCATAGTCAACGTTGATTACCTAGCCATTTTACCCGTGGACATTCGATTCTGAATCAAATCGAAAAAACTGTGTTTTGATGCGGAGGACATAATTTCGAATCTGTCTTTGATGCGGTGGACTACCTGTAATAACCTGCATGTCGGATGGCCATCAAACGGTAAGTCAGGTCTCACCTCAGAAAGTGCAGTTGCCTGGTTAGTCACGAGGAAGCCACGAGCTTCGAAAGAGGCAAAGTCAAATTCAGATGATCGGCAGCTGCAGAACCTGTCTTAACTTTCGTCTCAAAAACATGTTGAATTGAGAACTTGCACCACGAACACGCCAGAAAACCAGATCGTTAAGACCCATCTTTGAATCCTACCAAGAGAGCAGTTCAGTCCGGAGCTAAGCCGTGGAACCACAAGCTCGGATGTGTCAGAACGGCGGCTCCCACGTGGGATCGGGGTCGGGACACCGCCAAGACAAGCGAACCAAAGATCGGATCCGGCGGCCCTGGGGCAGGGAGGAGGATAACGTTATGGGGAATTCCCCTCTTTTCGTGGCATTGCAAATGCGGTTCTCATCCTGCGAACGATGCTGACACGAGCTGCGCCTCGCTCTGGTTGCCCAACTGCACCACTTTGGTCGCGCTCGATTGGATGTCCGGCTTTGTGGGCCAGTAAAAAAAATGGATGAGGGCCGACCATTTGATTTGAGATGAGAGATGCATTGAGGACGTGGCTTGCCCTGTCTGGCTTGAATTGAGCTGCAGCCCAGAATCTTCGGCGCTCAATAGTGAAGAAGGCCGGCGGGGTTCTGCCAATAACCCACTTCCCAGCTCCACCACCAACGAACCACCACCGAAAAGGGCGAGATGCGGCTGGAGTTTGAATTCGATAAGCCGGCGTTTAGGCCAATCAGACGGGACCTGTTTCGGCCCAAGAGCTGCTTGGCGTTTTCAGCGGTCAATCCCAAGGCGAGACCCTGTGGGAATACGAATTGCAGGCCAGGGGTCACATCGCCCCGATGCATCCATGGCCGCCCAGGCCCTCGCGGCTGAGCCCTGGGGACATCATGAAAAACACGACAGCGCCCAGCATGCGCGCGCTGGGGACTATCCTGCGCAAGCCACTTCTTGTCCGACCCTGACCGTTGCGGTCTTCGACTCTCGCTTTCCCTGGCTTCCAGCGGGTTGTGCTGTCGCCCTCTCGAGTCGTTCATACGGATTGATATCCGGAGATTGTTCAATTCACTCCCATACCGCCGGGCCCCCGTTCGCTCGTTTCGCTCTCTTTAGCTCGCCGTGCAGCTCGTATAATTCTTAATGTCTCGTTGAATCCTCGCCCAACATGAAAACCAAGGCACCCGTTTTGGCCGGTCTGCTGTCCCTCGCGGCTCGGACCGGCAAGGCTGACCCGACATGGCCCGCCCCGATCGACCACATGGAGGAGATCGTCTACCAACTCCAGGGTTTCAAGGGGAGCCTGTTCAACGACATCATCACGCCCTGCAACAATGAAGCTGCCGGCCCTGGCCGCATCACGGCCAGCGAGTGGCTTCGTGTGGGTTTCCAGTATGTCTGTTCCTTTCCGCGGCGCTGTCGGGAGAACGGGGGGTGGACGAAGTTTCTGGCAGTCATATTATGGGACATATATCTGAAGTTGTAAACGCGGGCGGTTGTTAGCACGCACGGCTATGGAGCAGACGACTGACTGGAACAAGTGACATGTCACCGCACAACCGCTTCTTCAGCGGCGGCACCGACGGTCTCGACGCCTCGCTCCAGTTTGAGCTCAACAATGGCGAGAACACCGGTCCGGGCCACAAAACGACGCTCGAGTTCTTTGCCAACTACCTGAGCTCGCGGTCGAGCATGGCTGATTTGATCGCCGCTGGAGTCTATGCCTCGGTCCGTTCCTGCGGCGGCCCCGTCATCCCCCTGAGACTGGGGCGGAAGGACGCGACCAGGGCCGGCGGCGGTGGCGTCCCGCAGCCTCAGAACTCGGCCTTCACATTCCGATCTCAGTTTGACCGCATGGGCTTCACCCAAACCGAAATGATTCAGCTGGTCGCCTGCGGTCACACCCTCGGCTCCGTCCACAGCACCGAGTTCCCCCAAATTGTCCCTGCCGAGATTGGGCATATCCCCTTTGATTCCAGCAGAGCCGGGTTCGACAACAAGGTTGTCACCGAATATGTTGCTCGCAACACGACCAACCCGCTTGTCAGCAAGGCGGCTGCCGACGCCGGCCGGAACTCGGATTTCAAGGTCTTCAACTCGGACGGAAACGCCACCATCAACACCCTGACAGATCCGACCGTTTTCAGCAACACCTGCCGGACTGTGCTCCAGAAGATGATTGATGTGGTTCCTGCTGGCGTCACCCTTACCGACCCTATCGCGCCGTATGCCGTCAAGCCGGTCGACATGCAGCTGACCCTGAACTCGGACGGCACGTTTTCCTTGACTGGCTACATCAGGGTCCGGACTACCGCACTGCCGGCCGACTCTATCAAGAACGTGGTGCTTACCTGGAAGGACCGCAACGGTGGGAACAGCTGCGGATCGTCCGTTACTTGCTCCACGACCGCTACCCTTCAGGGCGTCTCTGCCGGGTTCGACGATACCTTTGGCGTACGTGTTGTTTTTCCGATACGTAATTTGACGCTGGCGCTAATGCAGTCCTAGTTCTTCCCTATCCAAGCGACGATTCCCGCTTCGTCCGGTATCTCGTCCTTCACTCTTGCCTTGAACCTCAATGACGGGTCGAGTCAGTCATACGACAACAATGGGAACTCCTACCCCATGTCCGATGCTGTGGTCCTGCAGAAGCCTCAGAGCTGCCTGCTTCAGGGATCTGGCGCCCTGACCGTTTCTGCCCTGGTACGTTTCCTTCTATATCGAGAGACGTCCCCTATACTGACTGCAGGGTAGGTGCGCAATGACCTTGTCGACCTTCCCGTGAATCTGCTTGTCTCTTACCTGGTTCCCCGTAACACGGCCGACGGCAACCCTGTCCCGGCCTTGACCGAGTCTACCATCCCAATGGCGAAGGGAGACTGTGTTGGCCAGTACACCTTCTATTCGGCTAGTTTCACCATCCCAGGCGGCCTCAGCCACAATGCCAGAATCAGCGTGGCCGCAGGCTCGAATGCCAACGCCTACACCGATGCCTTCAACAAAGCCAGCGATTTGTCTGGTACCTGCGGCACCTTTACCGGCGGCACAACCTGCTCCGACGTCACCACCTCGAGCGTCATCACATCGACGACGTCCGTTCCTCCATCGAGCTCAACCAGCGTCCCGGCAACTACCACTAGCTCCAGCAGCTCGACCGGATCCCCGACGCCTGCCGTCAAGCCTACCGTTGGCGGTTATGTGTTTGTCAGCTGCTGGACCGAGGGGTCCGGCGTGCGGGCGCTGACCGGTGCCGCGTACGCCTACGACGAGATGACCCTGGAGTCCTGCATGGCCAACTGCACTGGCTTCGATTACTGGGGCACTGAGTACGGCAGGGAATGCTACTGCGGCAACAGCCTTGCCGCGAGCAGTACCGAGGCCGCTGTCGAGGAGTGCAACATGGTGTGCGGCGGCGATCCGACCGAGTTCTGCGGTGCTGGAAATCGTCTCGAGCTGTACTCGACGACCGCGACTCGCACCTCGACTGCTACATCTACTGCTACGGCCACTGCGACGTCGGGCCCTGCTATCAAGCCCACTGTCGGCGCCTACACGCGCGTAGGGTGCCAGACCGAGGCCACGGCCGGCAGGGCGCTGTCCGCCAAGGAGGTCTTTGCCAACGACGACATGACTCTTGAGTCGTGCGCCGCGTACTGCGAAGGTTTCACCTACTTTGGCGCTGAGTATGGCCGTGAATGTGAGCGAATATGCAACCCAGCTCCTTAAGCGCGATGGAGATTGCTAACGAGGGGTGGTAGGCTACTGTGGCAACAACCTCAACGCAGGAAGCGTCCCAGCCCCGGATTCGGAGTGCAACATGCTGTGCGCCGGCGATGCCCTGGAGTACTGCGGCGCCGGCAACCGCCTGGAGCTTTACCGGCTCTCCACCGTCTCTTTATCGACCACGGAAGGTGAGACGACATCATGACCCGGCCCCAACAAACAACCCACTGGATTCCTAACGTTCCTTGCCCAGTCGTCACCAGCACTACCAGCACTACCTCGGCAAGCGCAACCGCTACCCTCTCACGCAACCCGATTGTCTCTCCCTACTCCTTTGTCGGTTGCTGGACTGAAGGCACCGGCGTGCGTGCCCTGTCGGCCAAGACGTACGCCTCGGGCACCGACATGACCCTCGAGAGCTGCGCCGCCTTCTGCGCAGGGTACAAGTACTTTGGCACCGAGTACTCGGCCGAGTGTTACTGCGGCAACACCCTCGACGCCTCGTCGTCCGAGGCCCCGTCCGTCGACGAGTGCTCCATGACATGCTCGGGCAACCCGCTGCAGTACTGTGGCGGGCCGAACCGGCTCGAGCTGTACGAGACCGACACCGTTTCCAACCCCGGCGGCGGCGGCGGCGGCGGTGAGACCCCCGGGCAGCCTACCCAGCCTGAGACGGTTGAGGGCGGGTGGACCTTCTACAAGTGCATGACGGAGGCCAACGGCGCCAGGGCGCTCGACGCGAAGACGTGGGCGGATGATACCATGACGCTCGAGGGCTGTGCGTCGTTCTGTGAGGACTATGAGTACTTTGGGGCCGAATATGGGCGGGAGTGCTACTGCGGGAATTCGTTTGCCGAAGGGGCCGTCGAGGCTCCCGCCAGCGAGTGCTCGATGCCGTGTGCTGGGGACGGGGAGCAACTGTGCGGGAACGGGAACCGGTTGAGCGTCTATTCCAAGACTGCATGAGTGCCGTCGAGGGGTAGATCGGGAGTTTGGTTGTAATGAGAAGGAGTTTGTATATACTGGGTTCGGAGATCGTTTCTTTGCTTCCTTCCCCTGGTCAAGTTAGCATACAGGCTGCCTCGCGGAAAGGAGAATACCATCGGGCTTTTCAACTTCAACCTAGCACGTCGGGCATCAAAACGTCTGTGGACCCGATATCCTTTCCATTTCCTTCTGAATATGTGAATTGTTTGCAGGTCTCGCATGGTCCGACTGTTCACCGAAGCTCTCACTCGATAAGCGTTCGGGCAGGGGAACAGCAGCAAAGGGAGCAGCAGTTCGTGGTGGCTATGCTTAACTGTGAGTGGACCAGGAGTCGCCCAGCATTCAGGCGCGGAGATGGATATAGGTAAGTTAAGCCTCGTCCTCCCTGACTTCAACAACTCGTGGCAATATCCAACTCGAAGCTCTCTGCTGTCCTCCAAGCCAATCCAGCGAGAGAGACTCTGGCGCCCGACCTCGGCACCCTCCCGGTCGAGATTGTCTCGCTTATTTTACAGCAGTTTTGCATCTGCACTGCAGGAAGGAGCACGCTTACGATTCACACCATGGCTATTTCCAAGGGATCACAGATAAACAACAGCGAGACCAACCATCGTCCTACTCACACAACTGTCGGCAGTCCCTTCACTCAATATGTCTTGCATCAAGGCGTATACTAGGTTGTCGCCCAGCTCGTTCTGTACTACGAGTTGATTCCAGGCTACGGAGACGCATGGCGGTCATGGCACTATTCATGAGGTGGCTCAGGCGTTCGAGTTTGCGATGGTGGATTTTGCGTGAGAAGTTTGTGAGTGGGCAGGCCGGCGTTGTTATGAGTGACATGCCCCTTTGATCATGTTGCTAGGACGGAAATTCTTGAGGTATACTAGCGTTGAGTGTCTCAAGTCCGTATTTCCCCATCAGAAACTACAATCAGGCACCTTACATTCCGAGGCAGCACAGGCGAAGAGACATCTTGGGGCCCCTTGACCATAACAGTTACACCAGCACTCAATGACTGCTGTCTTAGCATGAAGGCCGTTTACTGTTCTACGTGCTGACCACTGCAGAAGACCTGACTGTCGAGACGGGTGCGAAATCCAGTGTTAGGACTCTGGTCTACACGTACCTTACTGTTGTTGCCAGCAGTGGACGTGCAGTCAAAATTCGGATGAAGACAGCAGCAATATTGCCCTGGCCATCGTCCCTTAACATACCTTAAGCTTCACTGATCGCACTGAGCTACATTGTATCTTGCTTGCCACCGCTTAATGAGAGAGACAGGTGCCTTTCAGAGGGAAGTGGTGAGTTGGATGAAGGCAACTTGATGAAAAACAAAAGGTACGTCGAAGAGCTTCTTTCAGTGCGAATATGGATCTTCCCGGGTCTCTTGTTCCAAAGACTGGATTTCGAGGATTTCTAGCTTCACTGGATAGAGTCCCATTCTCTTCTTGCGTTGCTACTCAAAAAAAGCATCGGGTTAAGTTTCGTACCCCTTATCATCGTGTCCTGGAGCATAGATCCGCTCAATGTCCAGAGTACCCAGCCTTTTGCTCATGAGTTGGTGCACTCCTTCATCCTGAACATAATGGCACGATTGCATAGCTGGTCTCTTGGGAGTCTAGAACCACTAGTCTCTGGCCAGGGAACGGCGCCTGCGGGGTTCTCTCCAGACGGAATGTTCCTGGATGAGGGGGACAGGCAACGGGACCCCGGATTTTTTGTGTCCCAGAACCAAAGCCCCTGGAAGCTACAGCCCCAACACCACGAATTCGCAGCAATTCCCTCCAGCTTGACGGTAGAACGCAATCGTCAGTATATTACTGCGAGGTAGTTCTCTCTTCAAATCAAGCATCCGATATATTCTCAACCTTCCATGTTTTGTTCCGACCTCAAGGCAAGCCGCGGCACTTGGCGTTCCTACGCCTCCACCCGACTGCATGAGCCTCGGAGAAAGTCGTCTGGGATTTCTTGGCAGCTGTGGCAGGAAGTCGCGAAGGAGGCCGAGGGATGCGTCCATGGGGAAGTATTCGCAACATGCTCCAGAAAACATGATGCGCGCATACATGCCAAGGGAGATCACCGCTTGTGATTGATGGACCAAGCCAGTGTTACAGGAGGACTGACGGAACAAGCCGCAGGACTAGTGAGTTGAACTCCGCGCCTCTTTAACCATTAGGCTCTTCATCTGTTTGGACGGGAACAAGTAAGGCCTCTTGACAGTATAGAGAACCTATCAGCGATACAGAGTAACGTTAGTGTGTTGACGAAGATACCAGAGCCTCTTTCAGAGTCACTATGGGGTTGTATTTCGTGTCGTTAACCATCTCATACTGCTACGAGCTCTGTGCCACAGATCAGAATCCTCAGATCATGATGTTGTGAGACTTCTTTTGACCTACCCCGTTCATCACATCCATGTGAAGCCCGCAGGGTGCACCATTTCCCTAAACTCCGCGCTGGCCAATCCCAGCCTGGCTGGGGCGTCCCAACTCCCGAAACTGACGGCCGGGAAAGGACCGCGTTCGTTGTCGGCGGCCGCCCAGCCTCTCTACACGTGTGCCCATCCGTATCTGGGGTTGAGGGGCCAGCGGGGTGCGGAGGCTTTGATGTGGGGTCTATTCGCGGGGAAGAAATTCGATGAAATAAACATCGGATGTGGGTTGTGAATCGGATTTGAGGCTGTGTCAGGGGCGACATGGAGCCAGAGCTGAACCTTTCGATTGAGTTGCCTCCTTACTTCGCGTCTACCATCAATGGTTTTGTTGGGTCCATGAGCGTTTGGGTCCATGAGCGAGCAACAAATCTTGTTATCGGCACCCAGATCTCTGCGGAACCCAAGTACAGAAACGATCCCGCCATGCAATGCCGGGAAGCCACATCGACTGCAACGACGGTTGAAGATGCCAATTTGGGTTAGCCCAGCCTCGCCTCGAAGTAAACTAACTGATATGTACCTGTCATGCAGGACCAATGATGAGAAACGATGAATTGCGAACGACCACCTACAAAGCCATGCAGCGATTCGATCTCCTGTGGAGACCCGCATGAGCCCGAGGCGACTGCTTGGCTGACTTGACAATCGAAACGGCCTTTGACTCTGTGACGGACGGGGTCGGCAGAAAGGGATGGATTGCTTGCTGAGTAGAAGAGGCGGTCGATAGTTATGACTGAAAGATGCAGTTGTACTAGTATCATCAAGGCGATACCTATAGTAGTGTACGGGGTACACTCCGAATTTTCTTTTCCAGGTTGTTAATGCTTAGCGCAGTCTGGGCCAAGAACAAGCGCCGGCACAGTGTAACAGAAGACGCTGGTAAACCGGTGGAGCATTTCTTAATCCGCGTTGATGAATCCAGCCTCGAGTCTTGCCGACCAGTTTCCTGTTCTGTTTCCTTATAAACTCAAGCATTGCATCGCTGGCGCAACATTTTTGAGGGGGCATGTTCAGCGCAGGCAAGCAAGACGTGCATGTGGTACTGTGTGATGGTAAAATTGATCGGTAGCGTTCGGATTCGAACCCGGCTCAGAGGGAAGAGGCGTCGGCAGGGTCCCGCATCGGGCTTCCGCCTGGTTCGGCCGAACGGCCGGGATTTGATTCGCCATTTCGCGCTTTCGCTTTAAGATGACCAACGGTTCAACTCCGAATAAAGCCCGTTTCCATTCTCTGCTTTTGACCGCCTACATCATCACACCTACCTACATGCTGCATACGGCCCCGTCGCCTGAGCTTGGATGGGACGTTGGCTAACGTTGACCGACACCTCGATGACGGAGTGTTCCGCTCGCTAACATAGTCGCGTGTCTCCAAAGATAAATCGCCGAGACACAGGAGGCATTGAATTTCTATCTGTCTTCGCTCCTGTCGTCAATCTCATCAAGCACATCCTGACTGACCCAGGGCGGACGCTGGATCGGAGCCACGTCCTACCAACATTGCCTCCGTCAACCGAGCCCTGACTCTCATCCTCTCATCAAAACCGGCCGGTCGAAGACGGCGGGAATTGCCATGTGCGGACGCCGCTTCAGACCCACCCCCTGATCGGCTCCTCCACATGCCGCTTGCGATGGGCCGAATGTGGAGAGAACTGACAAGGTATGTGGAGCTGACGAGAAATGACAGCACTCGAAACTCGAGTCTGTCTGCTCAGCTTCCCCCCTTTGCTCCGCCAATTAAGATGGAAGCAACTCGGCTTGCAATGCGGGCCTTTCCTGGAGCCGGGGTCGGATGAAAGGGCTCGATTCGGGAGCCTCAGGTTCAGGTGACAGGCACATTCTTCGCAACAGGGCAGGGAAAACGCTGTTTCTCAGTCGCACCCCTCGTGATGCATGTGAGCATTTCTTGGCAGGCTTGGGCTTGTTCTACTGCCAGTATTGCAAGCCTGAGCGCCTCAATCCCTGAGCCCCTTCCGGCCATGGATAGTCATCATCGCTGACACAGGTCAGTCTGAGAACAACAGACCGATCAGTTAAGTGGTTGATCATCAACAAGACTCAGTCAGGGCTCCAATGCTCATGCACCACTTGTTCCACCAGGAAAGTCCCGTCTTGATTGCCACTGAGCACCCATCGTATAATTCCTGCTGTCTCTGCCGTAGCTCATCTGCGAGTTCCCCACGATCCTCAAACAGGATATCCATGTCCCTTGGCTTTTGGCCATTGCGGTGACTGACCCCAGGCTCCATCAACGCTGCTGCGGGTACGTAACCATGGGTGTTGCGGCTTGTGACTGGGGAATCCGCCCCTTGGCGGGATATATACTCTGGTCCCCCCCTCCCCACCGTGGTCTCGTGCTTCGTGTTTTACTACCATTCTTACCCCAATCCCGGTGACTTATTGAGAAATTTTTGGTTTGCCTTTGTAGATCTCCTCTCAAGAAGCATTGGAAATCGCCTACCACTGGACTTCCACAGACACAACGGGGTTACGCTCAGGAGCCGTTCTACACTTATACCCCAGTACATCACCGCGCCGCCCTAGCGAAGCAGTTTCACACCTCCACACCGCTCGGATTCCTCACAAGACGACCGTCTCCAGGCCTCGGCCTCGACCTGACAACTCCTTCATGTGCTTGGACCTACGAGTCTCTTCCACATAATGTCAGACAACGGAGATACACCGTCGCCGCGGTCTTCGGCGGGCCTGGCCAGGTCCATGTCACCGCCGCCGGCACCAACATCAACAGCCACCGAGCCGGCGCGGTCACCGAAGAAGCGAGCATCCATAGCCTCGGAAGGCAAAGTTACTAAACGGAGAGCTGCCCGGGCCTGCGTGTCATGTCGAGCCCGCAAGGTGCGCTGCGATGTGGTCGAGGGTGCCCCCTGCGGGAACTGCAGATGGGACGACGTGGAATGCGTTGTTCAGGAGAGTCGCAGGCGAAAGTAAGTCCTCCACGAGGAAAGCAACGAGCAATTGGAGCACGTCCGGGCTGGCAGCAGTTCTCGCGAGAATTGCTGCTTTCATCTCCTCCCATTCCCCAGGTTGCGTCATTTTCAAATGACCAAGATCGCATGGTCGCGGGAACAGACCGGCTAACTGTTGGCACCCCCTTGCCGTGCTGTGTTTCCAGAAAGAACCTCTCATTCAACTGCGGACCGGCAGCAGTGGGGGCGCGGGCTGGAAGTGCCGAGGTTCTGCGCACAAAGAGCATTGGCGCAGCTCCCCCAATCATCACGGCCAATCTCGCGCAGCAGCCAGGATTTACCCCTACAAACGGAACGTTTCCCCTTTCCCTGATGAACGGGGCCAACGGTGGGCAAGCTGCCACCACCAGTCTGCTGTGTAAGCCGGATTCCCCCTCCATACCCAAAGAATGTCGCCCCGACCTCCTCCGCATGACCCACCCCTGCCCAGAATCACATGCCAGATGACGACCGAACAAAAAAAGGAGAACGCCATTTTGGCTTGTGATCTGACATTTTCATCCGACAGACCAGCAACCCACCGGTGGGTTCAACACAGCGGGGACCGCGCCAGCGTCGACGGCTGCTCTGGCCGGGTTCCCTCCGGTGACCACCGGCATACCCGCGTCGCCAGCGGACCTGCTGCACCCGCTCCTTCGGACGGCGCTCGAGCAGGCTGCCAGCGAATGGCCGGCCTTCATCAAGCCCATCCCGGACCGGATCCTGGCCGAGGACCGCCGGTATCTCGTCCAGAAGCAGGTTTTTGCGCTGCCATCCTTGCGCCTCCAGAATGCTTTGCTCGCTGCCTACGTCGAGTATGTGCATCCTTATATGCCGCTCTTGGAGCTGCTTGACTTTCTCAACGTGGTCAATGACCGCTCCGGGACGGCCGGCAAAATCAGCTTGTTCCTGTATCATGCCGTTATGTTCGCCGCAACGGCGTTTGTGGATGAGGGCCTCCTGAAGGAGGCCGGCTATGACAGCCGCAGGGATGCGCGGAGGGCCTTCTTCACCAGGACAAGAGTGAGTGTTGACTCGCTGATCGGGTTGCAAGCGGGTGTGAAGCTAACGGTGTGCACCTAGCTTCTCTATGACTTTGATTACGAGACGGACCGCCTCATCCTGGTCCAGGGTATCCTGCTCATGACTTACTGGTATGAGACGCCGGATGATCAAAAGGACACCTGGCATTGGATGGGCGTTGCCATCTCGCTCGCCCACACCATCGGTCTGCATCGCGACCCGGCAAAGACGCCCATGATTCCGCGGAAGCAGAAGCTGTGGAAGCGCGTATGGTGGTCCTGCCTCATGCGCGACCGTCTCGTCGCTCTCGGCATGCGGCGTCCGACCCGGATCAAGAGCGAAGACTTTGACGTGCCGCCGCTGAACGAGGCCGACTTTGAGATCGAGGCGCTTCCAGAAGACAATAAACTACTGGGCCCTGAGTGCGCTTTGGTACGCGACATTGACATGCAGCGAAAGCTTGCCGTCATGTGCATTGAGAAGGCCAAGCTCTGCATGCTCATCGGCGACATGCTCAAGGTGCAGTACTCTGTGCTTAGTCGCAGCGGCGTTCAGCCCGAAAACACAACCAACAGCACCCACATGCTGCTCCCCAACAAAAACCCTGAGAATATGAAAGAGGTAGAAAAGGTCGACGACCACCTGCGGGATTGGTTCACCGGCTTGCCCGAGTGCTGTCAGCACCGGCCTCTTGATTCCATGGCTATCACCGAGGCGAACAAGGTGTTGGCTGTCCAACGTAACCTGCTGCACATGATCTACCACACCACCATCTCTGCACTCCATCGCCCCCTCTTCCTCCCGGCCTCGCCAACAGAGGGCCCGGGCCACCCGCTTGAAGTCCAGGAAACTGCTCGCCAGCGTGTGCGCGAAGCCGCCGAGCACATTACGCGCATGGCGGCCGAAATGCGCCAGCACAGCCTCGAGCGGTACCTGCCGACTACAGGAGTAACCGTCATTCTCCCGGCCATGATTGTTCACATGCTCGACACCAAGAGCCTCGTCCCGGAGATGCGGGCGAAAGCCATCCAGGGCCTCCGGGAGTGCCTCATCGTCATGAACAACCTGCGCAACATCTACGCGGCAGCCGACTTTGCCACTGGCTTCCTCGACGCCCTCCTGCGCAAGGGCATGCTCGGGGGTCCCCAACAACAACAAACACATCAACCATCACTGCAACCCCAGCCGGCACCGGCCCGCTCGGCAAAGATGCTCAACCGCGTCCTGGCGCCCGCGCTGAACCTCACTTCGCAAAACAGCATCCTCCCAGAGCGCCCGTCCACGCCACCCCCAGATATCAACACCACCTTTCCCACGGCGGCAAGCGCATTCCTCAACCCGTCCTCGACTGTCAACCTCTTTTCCCCAAACATCACCACACGATCCCTCGTGCCTCTGGACTCGGAGACCGACCTCGCCCTGCCCCTCGTCGCCGGCGCAGCCACCCCGCCACACACCGACAGCGAGGACGTCTCGACACCGCCCCGAGACGTGGACATGGACATGGACGTCGACGTGTCGATGGCCGACGACGACAGCAGCACGCTGCTCACGCTCGGGTATACCACCGGCTGCGGGGACGGTGGGGGTGCCGGTGCGGGCCAGCCCGTCGGTGTAACTGGGAACAACTTTGACTTTGACCAGTGGCTGCAGTTCCCGGCCGAGGCCGGACTGAGCTCGACGGATGTCGATGACTCGTTCATGGGCGGCATGTTTCAGGTCGATCAGCAGCAGGAGCTGGGGGGCGCCGAAGGGGGCACTGGGATTCAGTGGTTAAGTTTGGGGGAGGGGATTAGCCATTAGAATTCGGTCTTCTTGTTTTTGAGGTTCTACATTTTCTCTTTGGTCTTCAGCATCTTGGGCCTGCGCGGTTAAAAGATCAGTCACGGGTTGGTCGGATTTGGGGGTTGGACAACAGCAATGGCGTCGTCGGCATGGGCTTCAACATGAGCAGATGGGATGCTCAGCTAACGAAACGAACTGTGTGGGGTTGATGCGGAACGGCTGGAAAATAAAAGAGATCGAGTTAGAGTAATCTACCCCCGGATACCGCGTGGCATTTAGTGGGAAGGTGTTATCCCCAACTGTTCACGCTACCAGGTCAATAGAACCGTATCGGATGATTGCAGCGATCAGAATGCCATCTCCTCTGGTCCCGGATTGACATGATGGGACCTCTCGGACAGCGTCAAGGTCCAGCCTCCATCAACCTGAAGCTGGCGGCGGACTCGGATGGTAACTGGCAACCGCCCAGCAACGCGCGCACTACTACTGTTCACTCCAGAGCTCAAGGGGAAAAGCAAGTGGGTTTGTGCTCGCAACTCCATGTCGATGTCGTGGAGTCCACACGTCATTTGCCTTGCAAGTGGGGCATCGTAATCTGAAGGACAAGCTTGGGCGAATAATGGCCCGTGCCACTAACCAGCCTATCGAAATCGGCAAGACACGACTTAGCGCGTCACTCATTCACTAACACTTTTTACACGACAAATCGCCGGAAAATTGTTAAGGCTCTCTGCTCTATCCGCCCGTTTGGGACAGCAATCTGACCGCCAAGACGCCAAAACGGCTTAGACGCTCGCTTCGGCAGCTCCCCGAAATCAAATCTCCAGAGGCCGATCCGGTTGCACATGAGAATCCCCATCTGTGTCCGCGTTGCAATTTAACGAGGCTGGATCTTCTGTTTGCGCCAGCTTCCCCTTGATCCAACTCTGATTCCCTCGTTCCCACGATCTTTGCGGCGGTACTCTCGCTTGTTTCATACCCAGATCCCACTTATTACTGCCGCCGACTACATTGCAGTTTCATCTTTCCCGGTCGCTCTCTTTGCATTGACTTGCACATTACCAGCGCAACTCTGTCGCATTCACTCCAACACGCTCATTCCGCTGTGACGGTGCCCAGCCTTCTGGCGCCTGCACGACTCGCTCTTCCTTTATCTGATCAGTTGCAACTACCCGCAGCAGCACATTGTACATCACCGCCTGTGTCATCCCCTCAGCGAATCAGTTCTCTGCGGGTCAAGCTTGGAGCGGGGAGGAACAGTGAACACTCTTTCAAAGGTCGCTTCGCAGCGAATCACAGCAGGCTGCCAGCCTCGCCCAACGCCGCCGTCTTTCGCTTTTTGACTATGGGAACCTCCGAGAAGATACTGTCGACCGTCTCGCCAGGATCATAGACGACAGCCACTCATTATGTTGGACGGTCCCCAACTCCCTCGACCAGCAGATGACCACGACACACCAGCTTACACGGCCAACAACCATGAACGAATCTCCCCCAGCTACGTCGCCAGCGCACCTCGCGCCCACCCGCGGACGCCACCAGCGCCGCTCGACATCCGACTATTCGATGACGCGTGAACCGAATGCCGACGATTTGCTTACGAACCTCACGCCGCGGACCGTGGTCGATGCCTTCCGGAACCCCTCAGGGCCCCTGAAAGCCTGCATAGAGGCGGCCACCCCTTCCGAGCAGGCGTTTGCGCTGAGAGTAGCGATTGCGTCCAACAGCATACACGAATGGCTTGACGAGCTTTCGGCCTGGCCATGGCCCGCCGGCGGGGGTTCTGCTGGCTTCGAGATACCTTCCGCTAATATGGTGAAGCTCCCAAAGTCCACCGCCCCAGCCAATGACGAAGCGCCTGAATGGGATACACGTTACAGCGGGAGCATCCCTACCACCGGACTCGCGAGATATGAGAAGCGGATAGACGACATCGCCCAGAGTTTGGAGGAGCTCGACATTGAAGAAATCAAGAGCCAGGTCTTAAATAACCACATTATGCCCCTGTCAAGGCCGGGCACGCCCATAATGGGCTCTGGACGCTCAATCTCGTCCCTCTCCTCTTTTGCGAAGCTGGACGATCTGACTGCCCTGGTCACGGCGACCACGGTGCAAGCGTTGCCAAACCTGTCCAAGCTCACCAGGCTGATGACTGCTTGGAGCTTTCGCCTTCTGGTGCTACGCAAGATACCGGTGTTTCTGACGTCAGTTGCCGACGCCGAGGTCGCTCTCCAGTCTGGCTGGAATGCCATCAATTTCGGCCCGGTTCGCAGCCATGCCACGGATATCCCAGAGAGCGCCACGGGCACCGGATCCGCGACACTGTCTCAGGAAGAGTTTGATGTCATGAAATCCGTCCTCGGACGCAAAGTAGCAAAGGCCGGCCGCGACCTGGATGCCATGCTGGACGTTCTCGAGGGACAGTCGGACACGCTACCCGAAGCGTGGATCGACCGTGTGGATGTCTTGGAGCAAGGATACGGCGAATGGACAGTGGCTTGCGAGCGAAAGGTCAAGGAGGTCACCAACTTCGCTCCGTTGCCGCCGCAGGTCGTCCCGAAGTCGAGCGCACCAGAACAGCCACTCCAGGACACGAATAAAACCAAAGCTGACGCGCCAGCCACCAGCGAATCACTTGCTGATAGAGAGACGGTAGGCTCATCAGGGAATACGTCTTCCGCTAACGGAGGCATTGCGCTGGAGCCCAGGCCGTCGCCCCAAACCATCCCGCCAGTCATCAGAATCCACCCGACCACGGAAGACGAGGGCCCTCAACTAGAGGATGCTGTTAATAGTGACGCTGAATCTGCTCAAGGTGATTTGAAAGGGTCAGCGGACGCACTTTCCACGTCCATGCTCGCGTCGGACCTCGTCGAAGCCGTCCAGGAAGAGCAGGAAGATCCTGCGAGTGCTCTCGCCTCTCTACCTCCCTCGGATTCTGAGCTGTCGGATACTTCGGAACCCAGCGTGTTACAAAGAGAAGAGCGTGGAAGACGCGCTAGCAATGCGTCACAGTCCTCAACAGTCATCTATGAAGCTCCCAGCGTGTTCACGGATTCGTTCTCTAGCGATCTCCTCGAACAGGGAACGCCAGAACGCCTACGTCAAAAACCTCTGCCCCTGGACCAGGATGTCTCTGGCTTCCAGTCATTCCGGTCGAGCACAAGGTCAATGTCGGTGAGCTTCAACGACAAGCCCACGGTTACAGAGCTGCCGAGCTTCCCCAGCCCCCCAGGCACCCCGACGAAATCGTCTATTTTGGAGGAAGACGCCGCGACAGAGCCTGGCAGCCCATCCGAGATGAGTATGCCCGGCTCATACGACCAGCTTCAGCAACAAATCAGTGAGATATTGGAGTCCGTGCCGGCTAAGATTCGCTTGACTGCCGAACCCCCGGCCGTCAACCTCAACCCGCCGGATTTCAAGATGCCGACGAGTCGCAAGAGCTCCCGCTCGGACGCCATCCCTCGCAGCCAGTCCACCCACTCGATGCGTTCGGCGTATTCCCGATCCGCGACACCCTCGTTCACCCTCGCTCCAGCACGCGGCTCTCGCCCGCGGCACCAGCGTGGCAACCAGGAGATCAAGCTTTACCATCTCTCGCGGTCGAACGGCGAGGCCCCCATCAAGCTCTTCATCCGCTGCGTGGGCGAGCACGGCGAGCGCGTCATGGTCCGCGTCGGCGGCGGCTGGGCCGATCTCGGCGAGTATCTCAAAGAATACGCGAGCCACCACCTCCGGCGCGCCGCGGGTGCCGCCGGCACCGACAGCAAGATCGAAGTCAAAGACGTGCCGCGCAACGGCGCCGTGCGCGCTGACTCCACCCCGCCTAGCCGCCCGGCCTCGGCAATGGACGCCCATTCCCCCATCTCCCCGCTCAAGCTGCGCAAGACCCGCCGTCCTCCTCCGCCCGCTGCCGCCGCGGATGAACAACAACCCCCACCACCACCTCCACCGGCACCTGCTACCGGCACTGCTGTTGCTGGTGCAGTCCGCCCCAAGACGCCGCTGGCGAGCGGTGGTAGTGGAAGGCTGGACCGCACGACACCGCCCTCGGACGCGTCGTCACACTCGTCGAGGTCGTCCCGCCTCAGTGGATGGGATCCCGACGATGACGAGTCGGCCGCGCTGGGCATGGCGGGACCGAGGGCCAAGCAGATCCAGATGAGCGAAGAAAGCAGGGCGTGGGTGGAGAGCGTCAAGGAGAAGGTGAGGATCGCGAGTGGTGGGTCGACAGCGGCGGCTGCTGCTGCTGCGGCGGCAGCTGTGGCGAATGCGGGTTATAGTAAGGAGGGTGGTGCTGCTGCTGCGGGGAGTGGGTTGGAGGCGAGCTTGATGGAGAGGTTTGGGGAGATGGGCAAGGTGGGGAGTACGAAGAGGCTTTTTAGAAGGGGCTAGGTCAGGCGGAAGGCGGATCAGCTTTGTTTGCTTGGTGTTGGTGTATTGGGAGGGAGGGGAGGACTTTGTTGTGTTATTGGCCATGGCTACGGCGTATCGGTCGATCAGGTCGGGTCGTCGGGTCGGGTACGGAAAACGGGTCCGGCGCGCATGGCCTGGTATGGCATGGCATGGCATGGACGGCGCTGTCCTTTTTGTAAGGGAGGGATCTGGCTTGAGGGAATAACGGTATGACACCCCTTGGGAACGGGGGTTAGGCCGCTTGTGCTGGGTCAGAGAAACCTGGGCTATGGGTTGCTCGCTGTCTTTCTTTTTCTTTTGTTTTGTACTTTATTCGGCACCACGGAGTTTAGACATACGCGTTGTCTAGTTATACCCCCTTTAACTTATCTTTTCACATGGCGAGGGTCATTAGAGCCGGAAGCGTTCAGACAGGCGGTTGAGAATACGGGAGTGAATGGTACAGATCTATCCCTGGTTTGCTTGCTGATTGTCCTCTAAATGGCATGTTGTCAAACCCAGGTAAGTGACAGATAGGAGGTTCAATGAAGATCTCATGGTGGCCTATCTCTTCACCTCATTACGAGAAAAAAGGGTTCTAGGCGGACATTGTTTTTATGCTTCACCTTTCCCTGTTTCCCATCTCCCTTTCATTTGATTTTTTGTTCTCTTTTTCCTGCTTCTATTAGGAAGCACCGCAGTAATTTGACGGGCTACAAGTATCGTAATTCGCACTGTACTGCAGTTACGTACTGTTGACGACCGCCCTTCACCGTGATGGAATATTTTGAGTCCTGTTTCAGCATATCGTGACGGCAAGGCTACAGCTACGTCAACGGCGCACACTGTCAGGATTGCCTAATCCCTCGGGGGCCCGTGACATGTCGTGACATCGGGACGGCCTTCGGTAATGATACCGGCTCATAATGTTAAACTTGTAAACAATGCTGACGGCCAACCAGGTCAAATCCCGGCCGGAGCTTCAAAATGTGCACGTAGGGACCGCAACTCCAAGTCATTGAGCTGGTGATACTCCGTTAAGGGGCCACAGAGCTCTGATGGAGTTTCCCTGTGCTTCGTGACTGCCCTGAGGATCCGAGTACTCTATGCCCCAACCAGAGCTAACTGTCAGCCATATATATATATATATACGCACCCGTTCCGGATCCCGTCCAACTCCCAGTTGCGACTCCCTAGATCGTTCATCTGCTCTCGTATATGCAGGTAAGAGACTCGTCCACTTGTCCACCGAATCACCAACCCCTGCACTGATGAGGTTTTACAGAAGCCAGTCAGATCACATCAACAACCACCTCACCAAGGGTCAGTCAGTCAGTCAATCAGTCGAAACGAAAAAAGATGGCAATGACAAAGCGGGACTTCAACAACCTCGACTGGGCCCAGCGAGCTGTCGAACGGTACACCGACGATCACTGCAGTGACTTCCCCGACTTCGCCTACCCGGTACAGTATTTCATGTATGCGCCCGATCTTGATGGCGTTGTTCACATCGAGGTGCCGGAGAAGTGGATCGACGTGTCCACGTTCCGAAGTGCATTCTCGAGCTTTTTGGCGGACGTCCTGATACGGGACGCCAGGCATGGGCATCCGGTCTACGATAGCTTTGGTGTCATATTCAGGGTCAAGCAGCTTTTCGACCAACCGGTTCCGCCACGGTTGTAACTTGGGGGGGAGACTGGTTAGGGTGCTGGATGGCGTCCGGTATTCTGTGGGTTGACGGAATGGGGAGAGACTATGTTGAGGAGGAGAGAAGGGAGGAAGGGTTGCTGGTGCCGGGGAAGGTGCTTTGTCGTTACTACTATGTATCACTAACAAAGTTCTTTGCATGTACGCGAGCGCAGCCGCTGCTATGTCGCGAGGTTGCTCTTGTGTGGTATCCAACCTATGACTGTCCCTCCGCATGGAGGTTCCCCGCCAGCTGGATATCCAAGTCCGCATACATGTTCAGCTTCGCCTCGAGTTCGGCGTCGCTGATCTCCCTCCTCAATGGCGTGTAACCGACTGAGCAACCCTGCAGCGTTTGGAAATACCACCCATGCGAATCCATGTTCAAGCCCTTTGTCCCGCCGTTGCACTGGATATTCGAGTATCCCGGGCAGTAATCCACCTCATCGAGCGTCACCACATTGTCACTGCCCCCATCGATCCAATACTCGAGGCTCGTGTGCCGGTAGTTCAAAATTATGGGCGGCAGCCGCGGGACGGGGTCGTCGGCATGGGTGATGCGGTATTCGCCGCCCGGCTGATTGGTGACGAACTGGACAAAGGCAAGATTGCCCACGCGCGGTGAGCCGTAGGTGTACAGGTCGGCGTCGTATCCGTCCTTGCGGATGTAGGCGACCGCGAGGGTCGCGATGGCGCCGCCCAGGGAGTGGCCCGTCACGACGACCTTGTAGGTCGGGTTCGCGGCCTTTGCGGCGCGCACAGCGTCCAGCACGGGCGAGGCCACCTCGGCCCAGGAGGCGACGAAGCCCGTGTGGGCGAGGCAGCCGAAGGTCAGGTCGCAAGGGACTTGGACGAAGACGAAATCAGCTATCCAATTTCTGATGCTGGTACTTCCCCTGAAGGACAGCACGATCTGCTTGTCGACAGGGTCTACGCCGATGAAGCCTCGGGTATCCCACAGGGTCCCGCTGTGAGTCACATGTCAGTGATGATCATGGCCGGGATACCAGGAGCAGCAGACATACATGAACGAGGCGGCGACCGTGGCATTGTGCGAGTCGAACATTGAGCACTGACCCGGAGTGCAAGTGACGGGTTCCCCTGGAGGCTTCTCATTGTTGCAAGAGGATGCTACGGACCACTGAGCGTACAGCTTGAACTTGTCCAGCTGCTCGGCAGTAACACCATCTTGGCCCATATCAGCTTTGGAAGCGCATTCGGGAGGAGAAATCAGCAAGGAGGTTACCTTGTCTCGCCAGTCTCGGCGCTCCGAGGGCGAGAGACGCCAAAGAAAGGCAGGTCAGGAGAAGGCGCTTCATCGTGGGTCGGAGGGTGAACGTCTGACGTCGGATATATTGGAGGCAGCACGTCTACCCTCAGAAGACAACGTGTCTCGGATACCAGACAACACCTGGACACTCAGGACACGAGGCCAGGGGCCGGTAACATGACCGGTCTCTGATCCTTATAGCACCTCTCTGTCGGGGCCACGGCCAGACCGGGCGGGCACAAAGGCGCCCGAGCTTCGGAACCAGTCATCTCCGCATATTCCGAACAAAAATGGTGTCTCATCCTCCTACAGCGACCCCAAGATCGGCATGGCGTAGGGCAGGCCGGTCGGCCATGACCAGGAGCGGTTAGTGAGGTTGACCACGGACAAACAACTGATCGACACTGCATCCTAGTCCGGAGGGCTCGGCCGAAGTAGTGTCCCAACAGAAAATTGACGGATGTGGAGGAATGTGGAGGGCACTGTCGAGCGCTAGCGGTGGTGGTGTGGAGGCTCCCTCAGGCGAGGTCGTTGCGTGAACCCGTCAACGACAGCCCAATGGCTTAGTACTGTATCTCTGACAAGGCGCATGCGTGACACATGTTGTGCGAGGTGTGGGCACGCATTTTCGCGATGCATCCGTAACTGGACTGAACTGTCATTACCCCGGCTGACATCCGTCCAGAAGCAAAGCTGAGCAGGTCGTCGTCTTCGGCCGCGCGGGATGACCCGCTTCGAATCTGGCACCTGGGAATGCTGATCAAGTACCATATGCGGGCGATGTTTTCGGGCTTGTCACACGGTACCCCGGAAGAGACAAGGAACTGTCAACGAATCCCGGCTGAAATTGAGACATGCTCCTATGTTCCGCGTGTCGACGCTGTAGTGTAGTGAATGCAGAGGTGAACTTAGAAGTTGCTTGATGGTGCCATCCAACACTCCGCATTCGCCCAGATCTCGGCTCTGCGATGCAGGTCATGATCAAGGAACGAGTACCAGATTCTGCATTTATTGACCGCGTCGTGTTACATCGCGGATTGTACAGGTAGCGCGCAGGCTACACTACCCAAGTGCCGGTGACCGGGTGAAGAGAACGTGGGATGCGGAGAGTTGAAGACGGATGGAACGGAGTGCCAGGGAACGGAAAGCCGGTAGGGACCCAGTCCGTCCTCAACCTGCCTTTTCGAGAAGCGGCACGCTGGGGCATTGGCTCGCTGCGTCTCTCAAATGCGATTGGTGGACAAGAAAGCTGAGGGAATTCAACCCCACAATTTCAGAGCTGATGGGTTCTCCAGGTTTCTCTGTCCTTACGGAGTAACTACCTGTACTTCGAATTTCATTCAGCTGCTCTCATCAGCCATCGCCTACAACGTCAACTCAAATCGACATGATCATCGCCTTGTAATTCCTTTCACTTTAGGCGTCGGTTAGCCCAAGGCTGAGAAGTGGGGCTCCACAAAGATGCGCAATACTCGGACGGCGAGGAAGCTCCTGTTTCTCCCCGCTGACTGGTTTTCCTCTTCAAAAACTGACGTGTCGCACAATACAACCCGCAGCCCAACACCTCGCTTCAGCTGATGCTACATACCACTCCAGCTCCCGCTCATTTTTATCGGCGCATTCGGCGACTTGGCTTCACAGCTCGCACGTTTCCAAGACACTTGCAGAGGGGATGCCTTCTCCTTCAAACACTGACAGTGCATCCTAAGGTCCGCCTGCAACTGGACGGCTGGATGACCTAGACAGAAGAAACCTGCAATGCTGAGAGACGAACTACAAGTCGCCCAGGGCGTCCAACTAACGTTCGCCAGAGGCTGATGGTTGCTGGCGCTTACCTCGACGTTCAGAAGCCAAGACTGGTCTGGGCTGAATTTCCTGGTCCCCGCCTGCGTAGCGAATGGGAACTGCATCCTGTGGGCATGCCGGGGTTGCAGCCAGCTCCTGAAATGGCACCCGACCATCCTCATTTTATGCATCTCCCGCCTGTTTGCTGGTTCACAGGCATCATAGACTTGAAGTGCTTCCCCTTTCTTGTAGACGAACGCCACGTCGTATGCGGGCGGGCCGGCAACCGCGGCGCGTCCGCCATGTGCGTCCCAGTCCTTAAGAGTCGGAGGCGGGACGCAGATGGCTGATAACTTGTTTCTGCACCTCATTGTGCACTTCCAGTGTCGGTGTGGCGGTTGTTTGTCTTCACCCATAGGCCTACGGCAGGTTGAGCGATCCATTCCCTGTTTGGATCTCGAGGCGTCAACCGCGCGGTCGATATGGTCTACCGCGCGAGAGCCGTCTGGCTCCTGTTGCCCCTGAGTCCCTTCGTTTCCGTCTCCCTTGGCCGTAGCGTCGGCCCAAGAGACCCAGTCCCTGAAGGATACCGTGCGGCCCCTTACTATCCCACGCCCCATGGAGGCTGGCTCGACTCATGGAGGGAAGCCTACGCCAAGGCGGAGGAGTTTGTGTCGCAGATGACCTTGGCTGAGAAGACAAATATCACTTCCGGGGTAGGCTTCTGGATGGGTAAGACCTCCGTGTACAGGACCGTGTTTTCGTAATGTAATAGCTGGCTGATATCTAGCAGGGTCAGTATAGGCAAACCACCATCAAACGACGCTTCGCTGACAATGTAGGCCTTGTGTGGGAAACACTGGAAGCGCAGAACGCCTTGGCTTTCCTCGTCTCTGCCTGCAAGACTCGGCCCTCGGAGTAGCGTCCGCCGACAATATCACTGCATTCCCGGCAGGCATCACGACGGGAGCAACCTGGGACAAGGCCCTGATGTATGCCCGTGGCGTTGCTATGGGCAAGGAGTATCGGGGCAAGGGAGCCAACGTTCATCTTGGCCCTTCTGTCGGCCCTCTAGGGCGAAAGCCCCTGGGTGGACGCAACTGGGAGGGATTTGGTTCCGATCCGGTTCTCCAAGCCAAGGCGGCCGCTCTGCATATCCAGGGGGTCCAAGAGCAAGGCATCATTGCAACCATCAAGCACTTCATCGGCAATGAGCAGGAGATGTACCGCATGTATAACCTTTTTCAGCCTGGGTACAGCGCAAATATTGGTAGGATGTCCGTGACGCAAGAAACCATGGCGAGTGTTGACTAAGGCCAGATGATCGGACGCTTCATGAGATTTACCTCTGGCCCTTTGCTGAGGCTGTCCATGCCGGCGTTGGCGCCGTCATGACCGCCTACAACGCCGTGAACGGCTCGGCCTGCTCCCAGAACAGCTATCTGATCAACGGGATCCTTAAGGATGAGCTCGGTTTTCAGGGCATGGTGATGTCGGACTGGTTGAGCCACATTTCCGGCGTTGATTCAGCCCTCGCTGGCCTCGATATGAACATGCCGGGCGACACCAACATCCCGCTGTTTGGTTTCAGCCTGTGGCAATATGAGCTGACCAGGTCTGTGCTCAACGGCTCGGTGCCTCTCGACCGGCTCAACGACATGGTCACACGGGTCGTGGCTACCTGGTATAAGATGAAGCAGGACAAGGACCATCCGCGACCGAACTTTTCGTCAAACACGCGAGATCGCGAGGGGCCTCTGTACCCAGCAGCGCTCATTTCTCCTGTTGGACAGGTCAACTGGTTCGTCAATGTTCAGGAAGACCACTACTTGGTCGCCCGCCAGGTGGCCCAGGACGGCATTACCCTCCTCAAGAACAATGGAAGCCTCCTACCGCTGTCGACTTCCAGCAAGCTCAGCGTCTTTGGGACCCATGCGCAGGTCAATCCTGCAGGGCCCAACGCATGCATGAACAGAGCATGCAACACGGGCACACTCGGCATGGGCTGGGGTTCTGGAGTTGCAGACTACCCCTATCTTGACGACCCAATTTCTGCCATTAAAAGGAGGGTCCCAGACGTCGAGTTCCACAACACCGACAGGTTCCCGTCCAACATAGGGAAACCATCTCCCGACGACGTTGCTGTCGTGTTCATAACTTCTGACTCGGGAGAGAACAGTTTCACTGTCGAAGGCAACCATGGGGATCGCGACGCGGACAAGCTGGCGGCGTGGCATGGTGGCGACAAGCTGGTCCAGGATGCTGCTCAGAAGTACAACAATGTCGTCGTGGTCGTACACACAGTTGGCCCTCTCATCCTGGAATCATGGATTGACCACCCGTCCGTGAAGGCTGTACTGTTCGCCCACCTCCCGGGCCAAGAAGCAGGTGAATCCCTCACCAATATCCTCTTCGGCGACGTCTCCCCGAGCGGCCACCTCCCTTACTCCATCACCAAAGCAGCCACCGACTACCCAGACAGCATCGCCAACCTGAGGGGCTTCACCTTTGGCCAGGTCCAAGACACATACTCGGAAGGCCTCTACATCGACTACCGTTCCCTCAACAAGCGGGGCATCAAACCGCGCTTTGCCTTTGGCCATGGCCTCAGCTACACCAACTTCACCTTCTCCAACCCCACCATCCGACCCGTCACCCCTCTCTCCCTCGTCCCTCCCGCCCGCTCCTCCAAGGGCCCCACCCCAGCCTACGCCACCACCATCCCCGCGGCCAGCGAAGCCTACTGGCCCGACAACTTCCCGCGCATCTGGCGCTACCTCTACTCGTGGCTGCCACGCAACGAAGCCGACGACGCCTACGCGATCGGCATCGCCGGCGAGAAAAAGTACGCCTATCCCGACGGCTACTCGACCGTTCAGAAACCCGGCCCAGCGGCGGGCGGCGGCGAGGGCGGCAACCCGGCGCTGTGGGACGTTGCGTGGGAGGTGCAGCTCACTGTCACCAACGTGGGCGGTAAACATGCCGGTAAGGCGTCGGTGCAGGCGTACGTGCAGTTTCCCGAACGGATTCCGTACGACACGCCCGTGGTGCAGCTGCGGGATTTCGAGAAGACGAAGGAATTGGCGCCGGGGGACAGCGAGACGGTTACGCTGAGGCTGACGAGGAAGGATGTGAGTGTGTGGGATGTTGAGGTGCAGAATTGGCTTGTCCCTGGCGTCGGTTTGGATGGGAAGGTGGGGAGGTATACGGTTTGGATTGGCGAGGCGAGTGATAAATTGTTTCTGGCTTGCTATACGGATACGGGAGAGTGCGAGACGGAGTTGGAGCCGCCTGTTTGAAGGAGGGAAAGGTGGTGATGAGGTGGGAGTCTAGGCTGCTAAAGAAGGAGGTTGAGGAATGGGGAGGGAAAGGTCAACGCCAGGGCGAGGGTATGAGGTGTTAGGCCCGGGTGTTGACATGACACTGGTTGCGAATATTGTTAATCCTCGTTATTTTATTTTCACAAGGCGTTTCGCATCGAGCATGAATGTGGTATGAGGCAATGGTCTGCGTCGTCTGTTGAGTGGTGGTCAAATGCGTAGCTCAATCCAATCCTGGCTTGCAATATTTGAGCTTTGGTCCTTCTTTATGTTCTGTATCTCTTTCTTTCTCTCATTCTTATTTCGCCTTTTCTTAGTTTTCCTCTTTTGCTCTTTCTTACTTCGTCAATGTTATTCTAATTATCTAATTCCTTTTTATTATTATTCCTTCCTCCACTGCCCTTTCCCTCTTTTCTCCTTGAACTAATCTTTGACTTTTCTTTTCTATCCCCATTATTCCTTCTCTGCTGCTCTTCTTGCTTCTCTACGTCTAACGTGTTTTATCAGCGAATGCACCATATCAGCGAGTGCATCACTGGTAAGGACTGCATATATATTTGGGTGCAGCACTAACGACGGGAATAAGCGGGGAATAAGCTGTTAGTACTTCGACTAAGTGTCTGTGCAGCCCTTACCAGTGGTGCACTCGCTGATATGGTGCACTCGCTGATAAAACACGGTATTCTTAGTTCTGATCTTCTTAGACCTCCTTTCTTCTTGTTCTTGTTCTCTAAACAAAAATCGAGTAGTAGATATCTGTTGTAGAACTTAATTGATAGAACCCCGGTACAGTAACACGAGCTCGACAAAATACGCACTTATTCTTCACCATCACCATCAGATCTAGAGTCTGAGCAATTGTCGTAGCAGTCGTGTTGATGCGCCACAGTGGCTGTACTCTCCCTTGTCGGCCCACCAAAGCCACAACACCCATGACGTCGCTTAAGCTCCACTCTAGACCGTTGACGACACGCATTCCATGACCGAAAACGAATTCGTCATGGACCTGGCGGTGCACTCCGGGAAACTGCAGTGTTTCAGCGATCAGATCTGCAAGTGCGCCGGCCATAGCTGTGCCACTTCGTGGCAATGTTGCGCCGTCATTGGATCCAGCCGATGTCGCAGTGGTCTTACGAAGTTGCTTTGGGTCCTGAGCTCGGTCCTGGATGGTCAACTGCGTGGCCCTTTGACAGTAATGCAACAGGCAGGCCGCAACGGGCAGCCCGTTGCTGTCCACAGAAGTGCTCATCTGGTACTCTGGGCCTCTCCACTCTTTCACAGGTTGCTCATGCGTAATGCCGCTTCATTTGAAGGTTGTGGCGTTTTGTTTCCAACCCAACCTGAGCTCCTTCCTTCTCTCCAACCAGACAAACTGTTTGCTGCAACAACGGCTCGTCTTCCATAACTCTAGCTACACTTTCGCACAACCGATCTATTCTCGACTTCTCACAGAGCCCTAATTCGTATTAAAAGCATCAACACCACAGTGACTACACCATGGGCAGGGCCGCAGGCATGGCCCTCCGGGGAACGCAGTTCTTCATTCGCAGTATACAATTTTGCTGCGCCGCCATCGTGCTCGCGCTCTTCTCCTACTTCCTAGCAACTCTCAACAACCACGGCATGCATATCGGCACGTGGGTGCGCGCCGTCGGAGGCATTTCCGGAGCCGCCGTTGTCTACACCATCTTTGCCCTACTGATGCTCTGCTGCGCCCCCGGCCGTTCGTTCCCGTCCTTCGTCATGATGATGCTCGACGTGGCCTTCGTTGGCGCCTTCATCTACGTCGCTGCCGCCAACCGCGGCGGCGCCTCGTCCTGTAATGGCGAGGTCGATACGCCGTTTGGCAGGGGGAACGCCGACACCAACGTGGTGGACAACGGCAGCGGCGGTTTCACGGCGCTGCCGAGCTTGAGGCAGGCCTGCAAGATGGAGACGGCATGTTTAGCTGTGTCGATAGTTGCTGTGTAAGTCTTCTCCGCTTTATTCGTCAGCTTCCTACTGCAGCTCCGTAACTGACGCTTGGGTTGCTAATAGCCTCTTCTTCACCCTCTCCCCCTTCGTTAGCCTCGCCCTCGTCCGGCATCGCAAGAAAGAAATGCGGCTGGGGCCCTCGCCGGCCAACGACTACACCCAAGGCTACGGCCGCAGGCGGTTTAACTTCTTCGGCTTCAGCCGCAAGCGCGCCGCGAGTGCGGGTGCGGCCCAGAATCCCAACGTCCTGCCGGAGCATTCTACCCCGGATGACTTGCGCCATAGCTATGCGACAGAGCAGACTCGGGTTGGCAGCAGTGGCGGCTATGGCGGTCTGGGCGACGGCACCACTAAGCACGAGCCATTGTATGTAACTGGGGGGAATAACATCAATATGACCAACTACCCGAATGCCAGCACGGGGTATCGGTACGACAACAGCGGGTATGACAACAGCGGGTATGACAACAGCGGGTATGACAACAGCGAATATGACAACAGCGGATAAAACAACAGCGGGTACGACAACAACGGGGGCGTGTATCGTTGAGGTTTGAAATGATGCGCTGGGCTGATAGGATTGCGAGGACGGTAGCGACGATCTGAAAAGGTTAACAACGCAGCTGTAAGACATATCTAAGTACTTGATGAGGGAAGTGTGAGGCAGAACTCGAAGCGGAGTGAACTGTAATAGAGCACTTGCCTTTGATCAAAATATCCGAGCCCCAATCGAATACGCATGTATGGCCTGTATGCCATCTATCCCATATCCTCACTGGCCCTTCTTCCCTTTTAGTGTCCCCTTCTTCCGCTCTTGCTCCAATGCAAGTCTCCGCCTCTCCTCCCATTTCTCCCACCCAGCCTGGCACAGGTCCTCCGCCACCACCAGATCCCTGATCCGAAACCACCTCGCGGGCGGCAGCTCCAGCGCCCACGCGAGCCATCCCGTCTCCCTCAGCATGTATGTCACGGCAAACCACGCCGCCCCGCACCCGGCCCCGGCCACACACCCGGCCAGCACCTGTCGCACGGTGTGATAGCCCAGATACACCCGGCTCCAGGCCACCAGGGCAGCAACAACCATGACACTAGCGCTCACCATCGCGCGCTGCGTCAGCGTCAACGGTGCGTGCGCGTACGCCTCGATCGACACGCTCGCCGCAGCCAATCCACCTTCCTTGTACGCGCGGTGCACGTCCCTCAGCGCTGGCTCTCCCTTCCCTTGCTTCGCACCACCACTCTCAGCCCTGCCTCCTCCCGCAAACCCCGCCTGAGCCCTGGGCCGATGCCGCACCGTCAGAAACAGACTCAACGCCACGGCCCAGTAGACAACAAACTGCGCGTGCGAGCTCGGCATGCCGTACCCCTTGCCCACTAACACATGACTGGGCCGCTCCTCCTTGATGAGGCGCTTCAGCGCGAAGTTGAGGGCTTCGCAGGCGAGCTGACCCAAGAGCATGAGCAGGACTTCAGCTTCGCGGGTCGACCAAAGGAGGGTTGCGTAGACGACCATGAGGGCTTGCGGGAGGAGGGAGAGGAAGGCGGAGAGGGTTGATAGCGGGTCGGCTGGGTTCTGTGAGGGGGGTTAGATGTTGGGAGCAGCTAGAGGGGAAAGGATAGGTAACAGACGTAGTAGACGTGTGTTAGGGAGAGAGAGGCTAACGGTGTGACGTCGTCAGCCATGGTTGCGGTTGCGAATGCGGTTTGCGGGTGGAAGGGTGGGAGGGATGCGCCAGAGGTAGTCGCTACTTGGGAGGTTTAGGTGGGCTGGCAGATTTCGAATATTACGTCGGATGTTGTTACCACATTGCTGCTCGGGTTACTAAGTCCAGCTGGGTGCCTGTTAGGAGTTTGCCATAGGCAGCATTAAGGTGTCGTGAACTGCTAGCGTCCGGTATTCACTTGGACGTGCAAGCTACCGAGTTCAGCCCAGAGCACGTGCAGACAGACTGGTCTCGGCGTCCAATGTGCTCCCAGAAGACCGCCACCACATATTCCGCATTGGAGCAGGAGTGGGGCCATGCGGGCCCGGCGCCGCTGGTGCCGCAGTGGCCGAGACGAGTCATCGAAACTTCCGGTCCAGATGGATCGATAAATCGTTAGCAGCTTAACGGTCTGCAGCATCGCAGAGAGTGGTTTGCCTCTTCGTGCCAGCCCCAGTGCTTCTGTCCAGGATGCCGCCATGACAGTGGATTTCTTCCGTCGCAGCAGTTTGTTGAGCCGACCTGACAAACCAAAAGAATATTTCTGGCGGATCAAGCGTTGCAGCGGTCGGAATTCCTCCAAGTTTCGGACGACTTCGGCTTCTCTCGTGCGTGGCAATACGAGATAAATTCATATTGTTGAGTTGGATCACGAGCGAAGGCTCGGTCGCACAATATATCTATCGCAACACTTCTGTCGAGGGCGCCACCTCAAATTGACTAGGGAAGGGGGCAGTCGGGCAGCTCAGGAGGGATTCAACAAATGGCTGACGATCTCGATAACCCACGCGACGTTGAGCTCAGCTCCCTCTGTGCCATCTACCCTGAGCTTCAACAATTGCATCCCGACGACCCGTACACGATCGCCCTCGACGTCCCTGTCAACCCGTCCAAAGCTGTTACCGTCTTCTTCCCCGCCGTCGCCGACGATGCCCTCCCACCGAGCGCGAACGGCGCCACCAACGGCGCCGTCGTTGCCGGTCCAGATCAACAAGCCGCCGTCGATTCTCACGAGCTAGCACACCTCCCCTCACTGCGTCTTGAGATCACCGTCGGTCCACGGTACCCCGCCGAACAGCCGCCGCAAGTCGCCATCTCGACCAATCCGCCATGGCTCCCAGCTGAGACCGTGAGGCAGTTGCAGGAGGATGCTTCGCGGTTGTGGGAAGAGATAGGACGGGACATTGTCGGGTTCACCTACATTGACCACGTGCAGCAGGCCGCCGAGAATGTCTTTGGTCTGGTCGACGAGAAGGGGTCGCTGGCGGTCGATTCTAGGCACAAGATTGCTATATTGGACTACGACATCCAGGCGAGAAAGGCGGCGTTTGAGAAGGAGACTTTCGACTGCGGTGTGTGCTTAGGTGCGTTTCCGTCTCTGTCTCTTTCCTATTCCAGGGGTGCTCGTTGGGATGGAGAGCCACCATCATCTCACCAGCCCCTCGGCCGCTCCCTAAGCAGCCTCTCTCCCGGCGCCACTCTTCCTTTTTTGATCTGGGACACTTGTCTCTACCTGATCCGGATCGTTCACTGACTCCCTGCAGAACCCAAGAAAGGCTCAGTATGCCATCGGATGCTGGATTGCGGTCACGTCTTCTGTGTTGCCTGTTTGCAAGACTTCTACAATAACGCCATCAAGGAAGGAGATATTGCAGCAGTTAAATGCTTAGCACCTAACTGCGCGAAGGAGCGCGCCAAAGTTACCTCCTCTTCAGGCAGGAAACGCAAGAAGCCCAAGACCTTCATCAACCCCAGCGAGCTGCTGCAGATTCCCCTCGACCAGGAGACGGTCAAACGCTACGTGACCCTCAAGTACAAGACGGAGCTTGAGTCCGACAAAAACACAATTTACTGCCCGCGTCAGTGGTGCAATGGCGCCGCGAGATCCAAAAAGCACAAGAGACCGCAAGGCCTGGAATTGGCTGAGGCATCGGACGAGTCGGCCTCTGAAGAGGAAGACGACGGAGACCACGCCGAGGACGTGGGCAAATCTAAACCATACAAGCCCGCCGAGGAGCTCCTGGCCATTTGCGAGGAGTGCAGCTTCGCCTTCTGCAGCCGCTGCTACCAGTCGTGGCACGGCGAGTTCTTCCGCTGTACTCCGCGCCGCGACAAGCAAGAGCTTACGGCCGAAGAGCTCGCCTCGATCGAGTACATGCGGCTGCACACCACGCCGTGCCCTACGTGTGGGGCGCCCGCCCAGAAGACGCACGGCTGCAACCACATGATCTGCTACCGCTGCCAGTCGCATTTCTGCTACCTCTGCTCCGCCTGGCTCGACCCGGGCAACCCTTATCAGCATTTCAACGAGGCACCGGACGGCCGTGTTACCGGTTGCTATATGCGCCTGTGGGAGTTGGAGATGGGGGACGGCGACGACGTCGGCATTGGGTTCGCGGGCGGTCCCGGCGGGGTCGCAAACCAAGCGCTGCCTGTACCTGTTCAGGAGTTCATCCCGGAAATTGAGGAACCCGAGGAGGAAGCGGAGGCCCATGCTGCCGGGCATCCCGCTCCGCCGCCACCTCTAGAGGCACATGCGGACGGCGGACAGGTTGGCATAGCTCGTGAGGGGCCTCTGGTGCTTAGGATAGCTGCCAACCAGCCGGCGGCGCCCGGGCGTGGAGGACCTCGTGGCCGACAGCCGGCGGCGCCTGCAGCCCAGCCAGCAGCGCCAGCGCCGGGAGTAGCTCGAGGAGCGCCAGGACCAGGGGCCAGAGCGCGGAATCAGCAGCCCGCGGCGCGAGGTGGAGGACCCCAGCAAGCAGCCGCTCGAGGAGGTCCAGGTGCGGGAGCAGGACCGGCAGCTCAGAGGGGACATCGCGCGCCAGGGGCAGGCGGTGTTCCCGCCGGACAGCAGAGGTTGCGAGGAGGAAGAGGCGGTGGCGCCGCCGCTGGCGGACGTCCTGCGCAGCGGCAATATCCCAACAACAATAACCCGGCGAATCAGGGCGGCGAGCGCGCACAGCGTCCCAATATCAACAATGCCGACTTGGGCGATATCGGGGAAGACGGCGAGTTGGCGCCTGTCCATCAAGACTGGGTCAGGCAGTTTGTACGGCTTGCGCTGAATGACGAGGAGCACATCCTCTTTGATGGGGACTCGGATGATGACATCTGAAGGGAGGAACTGGTGCATGTGGCCACTCACAGGCTGAGAGCGAGGATTGAGATATCCCCTTTTGAACGAGACAAGACGAAAGACATAACCTTAGATTCACGCACATGACACATCAAGATACATCGAGAGACAGCGATCTGGTCCCATTTTGGTGATCAATGGATGGAACCAAAGATGCCCACCTTGACACTCGCCTTACCCTGCCCAACGCGACATCGCAATGTGGTGCGCCTGTCACACTGTCTGTTCCTGTTGAGGCCCTCCCGTCAACGGCTGTTCCTGCCGATCCGTTCCCGTTCATTCCTCTTACTTGAGTTAGCCCCTGGTCTGCAGGTTCCATGTGCTTGAAGAAGGGCAGTCTGCTATGAACCGCCGTGGTCCAGTGCTACCTACCAGCAGCGAACCACCGTTGGGGTGCATAAAGTGCCCTAAGGCATGTATGGTTGGTTACAGGCAAGGTACCTTGTAGGCCCGCATGGATATTACAGCAGAGGGCACGCAATCTATACCTGCAGAAAGCAAGGAACAAATGAATTCATGATGGACTATCTATGCACATGCCACGTAGGCCCTCGAGGGACGCGTGTAATTGGGTTCAGTTCAGGGCCTGAGGTGGTCTACATGGTGGAAGTACGGACAGTGTTCGCAGTTCAAGCCTGAGTCTGGGACGAGCTGCGTGTTGTTGCCTGCCAGGGCCGCCATCTCTCCAGCCAAAGTGCCGCGCGTGGCACTCCTTCCGTCAAGGTTCGGCGAGTTGTCAGTCTGCGGGAAACTGGCGGATGTCTAGGTGTAAGTTCCGAACGCTTCTTGGTAGATGGAAGCTATACGTCCAAGACTGGTGCTCTGAACAGCGCATGGCTCCGTCCCAAAGGAGACTCTCGGAAAATATAAGCCTTGCCCTCAATGGCTGGGTGGCATTGAACACCTTCCGTGCGGGGTGTTGAAGATACCGATGCGTAGCTTGCTGCGGTGCGCTGCCGTTTCGTTACTGCGTGCTGCTGTACGTAGTGGGCTACTTACTTGCCATGCAGCCTCCTGCTTGCGGATTACCTGACTCGGGAGCGGAAGAGTTGAAGACGATGAAGACTCACATAGTTCCGCTGAGGAGCAAAACGGGGCCCGCTCGCTGTTCCAAGCTTTGTCAAGCTTTACCTCAACCGGTCTCTATTGCCGCCTGCCATGGCCATGGCCCAGCGCCAGTTGTCTGTTTCTGAATTTGCCAACCGTCAGTCAGTACGGATAACTCATAGTCGATCTGAGAACAAGTCAACCCAGACTGGATGAGGCCCTGTCAGCAAGTCAGCCATCGAGTCAGCCAGCCAAACAGAGAGACAAACCAGACGCGCTAAACCACGGTTCTCTCCGCAGTTCCATCCGCCCTGAGCCACCTACGTCCGTCCCATATTTCTCCTCCTGCCCCTCCTTCCCTCCAATATCACCATCCGCCACAACCACCCCAGCCGTCCTGTTGTACAGATACAGGGCGCAGTCCCCAGCCGAACAGACGGGGTAAGTTCGGCCTCCCTCCCTCGCTACCAGCCAGCGACCACTGACCACTCGATTAATCTAGACACGCAGTAGGTTTGTTACCCCTTTCGGAGGCGCCCCCCACCGCCCACAAACAGGGCACCTTCTCTTCTCGTCTCGCATCTTGCCTCATTCATCCATCAAATAGATAAGGGTAGCATCGTAGTAGGTAGTAGAGTGGCAGCGGCGATGGGAGAACAAGGGAGGGGAAAACGACACGGGGCCCGGCCCAGGCCCAACGGTTGGATGAGCACCCGACCTTTTTCCCCCTCCCATCTTCGCTCTCCGCCTTCACCCGTCCCTGCTTCGGGGTAATGGAGCACAGTTAATATCAGGGCCACATACCGGGCATGCATGTTGCTCATGGCCGCCGAAGAAGGAGACGTCGCATGGTTCACGGCAGCGGTATGGGGGATAAACCCCTCCGTCACCTGGCCGCTTGGTGCTTCAACTTGTTGTGCGATGCCATGATATTTGGCGTGCTGTGGACAGAAACGCAGGCGAAGGGGCAGACACCGTACAGCGTGCGGGTGTTCTCGTCGCTTGCAGTGCTATCTCCCTTTCCCCGGACCTGTCACCGGCAATGGGCTGCCGTTTGGTAGGCAAATTCCGGCTCCTGATCTCGGAAGCAGGCCCCGGAGGGGCCATTGGCAGGGGATTCTGGGAGGGGATTGACGAGAAGGTACCGTAACACTGCTCAGGTCGTATCCGACAGGGTTCCTAAACTCCCCCACAGATCGTTCGATGACCACCGTCTGCATGTAACTGTACGGAGCTACGCGCATGCAGTGATCATGGTTTGTGAGTTTGTGAAGCAATGCAGCCGGATCAGCAGAGACCAACTTATGTAGGGACATTACCCACTGCCAGACTGAACTGTGGAGGATAGCAGGCGACTGGTGGCTGGCCAGCGCGGACATGGGCGGGAGAACAAGGCCCAATCCAATGGCTTCATCATTCCACTTCTGTTCTTCCTCGGTACCGAGTTGTGCCGGTTCCTATGGTGAGTCCAGATTTCCTTTTGTCGATGCGATGAATGTCAACAAGCAAGCAAGCAAGCCCAGATCTCCACGCTGTCGTTGCCAGATGCAGTTTGATGGCATAACTGGACCAGGCATGACCATGAGCTGTCTTCCTCGGTATTTGATTCCGCAAGCGCAACAGGGTGCACCAGGTTGCGATCCATGAGTACCTTACATTCGGGCCGGGGTGAGAAGGGAGCACGATCTCTATGTCATGTTCCCCGTCTTTCCTCATGCACTTGCCCTTCTTGTCGTGGAAGTCCATCTCTTCCCGGAGTTGACATTCCAAAAGGGATGACGGCCGTGATGAGGGAAGAAAAGTAATGCGGCTACCGAGTCACGGATGTTGAATTGGGACCCGCCGTTCCGCTCAAGCTTTCTTCAAATGGAGGGCCGACCCAGCCCAGTGAGCCCACCCAAAGGAACTTTCCCTTCCGGCCATGATCCTGGCAAGGGGTTGCTTGTTTATGTCCGTCGTTGGAGAAACAAGCCAGGCAGCCATTCTCACCATCGTCGCAAGTGTTTCGATTGTTTCAAGCTTTTGCGAATGTTTCAACCCAGCGTTAAGCCCCAGCCAGGGGCGTGCGGGGGTGCGTTGTATCGTATGGTACCTTGTGCTGTAGTGACGTGCGGCTGCCCCCTTGTGATGAGAGCGTTCCAATGGCAGTGGGGAAGATCTCGAATCAGACGACAAGGTCGTGCTGGTTTTCGGATCACTGCCGAAATTATCTCCATGCTGCTGTAATCGTGTAAGGCCGACGACGTCTGTCTCCATCGAAAGGCGAGAACTCGCGCACACAGAAGGCGTGTATATAGTCGGTTAGGGTATGCCAATCGGGTAGTGGAACTCCTCGACAAGAGGCTTGTTCGGCCAATGCTTTTTGTCGGTCTTCTCTCATTTCCGAATTCAAGGCGAGCCTTGTCTGCTTGGGGAGGAGAAAACATAGCTTTGCTTGGTTGCACAATTTCTCAACCCCTCCTCGAGTTAACTGAACCCATGGTATCACATCGACTTGTATAACATGGAGCCTATTGTCTTCTGCAACTAGCTAAGCGGAATGAAAAAGCAATGGCTCATTTACCGCAATGAGCAGAGTCCCGGTCTCGGCACGAGTTTCCTGCTTGCAAGCGCTGGCTCGTCATGATCATGGAGAGTTTTCCTCAAACCTACAGTGTAAGAGCCCCGGGTTGGCCAGCATCGAACCCTGTCACCTTTGACAAAACGGCCGCGTTGCCTGGATAGCGTTGAGACCCTGGCGGGAACCCCAGGCCCGCGGTTCGGACGAGCTTCGGTCGGAATGACGGGAGACCAGGGCCTGGGCGGTGCAACAAAACACTGATCTTGCAGACAACACCATCGGCAGCAAACCCATCTGTGAAGCTGGAGCCGGCCCCTGACATGCCTCCGAGCTTCGTTGCGCGCGGCGAGTTATGCGTCGAGGACCAGTGGTAACAACGATCAGGGAGGACGCAAGCGAGGTGCGCGAGTCGGATCACAGGCACCTGCGTGCTGCAGCATTTTGACGGACCGAGTGGAGAAGAGAGGAGTCAGGGAGTCAAAGTCCAGCGCGCGCCACGATCCACGCAGCCGCACCTTGTTTTCCATCTCCCCAATTGGCAAATGCGATTGGCTGGGAAATTGCCAGTGCTGCCGAATCGGCCCTTCCAGGCTAAAGTCGCTAGCTCCATCATAACGGCGCCCCTCTTGTGCACTTAGCCTGCGGCAGACGGCCCCGGGATTCGATTGGCAGGGTGTCATCCCGTGAGGGAGTTTTGCATGGAGCCGATGACTTCCCGCACCCGCTGGCAGCTCGCAAGCAACGTTAACACCAGCTGCGGGATCCATCAGCCTCCGGGCGCCCGGGACACTGGAGGACTGTGAATTCGCCAGTCCAGCCCGAACAGCAAGAGGCCCGTGACATGCAGTTTCGTTTGTCGACAAGCAGTGGCAGATGGTGCGACGACCTTTCATCCATCTCTGCGTGTGAAGGGGGTACGCGTACTGATGAAGCCCTACTCTTGGCCGGGCTGTCCGCCTGCACTCGATCAGGCTAGGCGGCGCCATGTCTCGGCCGCCTGTCCCGCGGGGCGCGCCTCCGTTTACACAGTACACGTGTACACGTGGACTGGACTGACGCAGTAGAGCATCCCAAATCGTTGCGTTTCGTACTTGTTGATAGCAGTCAAACTCAGGCTTCTAGAACGTTTTAATGATTGTGGCTGACTCAGGAATCGGCTTGATCCAGGATCGACAGCATGAATCTGTAGCAGGTAGATTGGTGAGGTCGGTCAGTTGGAGATCCGGGAGTAACTACTGGTGGTTAGGGCAAGAGATGGGTAGGGCTGCAGCAGGTCCCATCAGACGCCGATAGTATACGGGTGGCGCGGGTCAAATTTGTTTGTTTCTTTACTTAGAAGGCGTTTAATATCGCCGCAACCATCTGAACGGGCCTCGCTGATATGTACATTTGGTGATCCAGGTCGAGCAGTAGGCTGGAAAGCTAGAGGGGTGCGGGTGTTGATCCACGTCCAGGGGCCCTACCTGGGATTGATGGACAAGGATTGAGTCTTGCCGAGAGTCCAAGAAACCGAACGAACGAAGCGGCTTTTGTGAGAAGAGCAGCGCGCCATCAGCACGTGGAAGCGGCCAAGCGATGACTCTTCCTTGAGTCCTCCGTAGGGATGTTGGGAAAACGGCAGATTGGGCTCATGTTCGGACCTTCAATCGGCTGCCACATGGCATGTCTGCTTCCGCTCCCGCTTGTCGCCATGATGTCCGTAGCGCATCACGGTCCAGTAATGATCACGGGAAGGGTTGTCAGTTCCGTTTTGCCTCTCCATGCCGGCACAGACACGGGGAAACGAGGGGAGGAGATCCCTCGAATGAGCGAGGCTCCTTCTTCCCAAGCGAGTCCGTCATTTGCTGGGGATCCAGAGGGTTGCTGCCAAAAGGAGCATAGTGCAGGTTACCGTTTGCCTGCAGTCTCGAAACGCAGAGGCACACTCGCTCTGTTCTTGATGAAGCCGAGAGTGTATTCTGGAAAGTCTTGACAAAAGTCCTCTCTCTCGCCTCAGGTGCTGCATGGATAAAGGCACGAGGGAGATGGGAGTTGACCATAAGAATGATATTCCTCCCGGCTCCGGCCCGGAGAAGAGAGAGAGCCAAGCAGTTGGATCTACACTTGAATGCGAAGCGAGTGCTAAACTCGGTTAATCATGGCAGATGCGAGTTGACAGCCGGGTTTAATGCAACATGGCTCCAGCCTGGCTCCAACGTCAACAGCTCCATGTAAAGAAATCGGTGGCCAACACGTCTTCACATCCTCAAACCTGCCGTGATAGGATCACAGACGAAGGGAGGATATCGGCCTTGGATGATTTTGGCGCATAGTCTTGAGTCCGGCGCCTCGCCGACGAGGGTAGGTGATGGTATTGTCGAACAGCGCCACCAAAGTGTTAGTCTGGTCGAGTCCCTCCATCGAGATCGCTCGCACCAAGCTTTTGAACTTCTAACCGGAAGTGCTGAGTTCGTAGCCTGTCTTTCCTCTCTGCCGAGATCCTGGGCGGCGTGAGCAAGCACCGTCTTGTGGGACGTGAGGATGAGACTACTAGACCTAACGTACCGTAATATGTATGTCATATGCAAGATATGCTCGCTTCAGTTGGCTTACAGCTGGCGAAGTTTTGACAGCCACAAGCGCCTTGCTGAGAGACATGGCGGCCCCCCTTGCAGCACGAAATTCGCTCATGGCGCGCACAGCCAGCTGCCCCTGTTCACGTGTTGCTGGCTGCATTCTGTTCTTCTCTCAGGCCCTGATGCATGTCGAGGAAAGCCATCAACACAGAAATGTCAATCGAAGTGCTGTGCCAGGCAGATGCGCGGACGTTGTGAGATGCGGAAACAGATCTCGCGAAATCCCCCGCGAATCCCCTGACTTGGCCCGATTCGATCATGATTGCAACGTCCGCCCAGACAAACCACCAACAAGCTCGGAGCAGCAGTCGCAATTGCAACAGACAGCCACCGGTAGCAGCCGAGCGGGCTTGGACGATGGGCAGGTGGGGTCCGCCGTTTCCCTCACGCGCTTCTTCCCCGTGCTCGGTCAAAGGCGCCGACCAACAAGAGGAGGGCATAATGAGGGAGAAAAGAAAATTAAAGAGCATCTTGGTGTGACGGGACCCGCACGCCCACCCTCCATCCTGGAGGGCCAAGCAGTCACTAGGTGTAGCTACATGGGCAGCTGGGGTTCTGTGGGTACTCCGTGTCCGTACCTGTGTTGTCTGGCCTTTCGAGGTTCGCTCCGCACGTTGTCGTACTGCTGGTTGTTTTTGTGGGAATGCGCTGTGAGCTGTAGCTTGTCAGAACCTGAAGATGAGTATTCGGAGATTTTCAGAAAGTTGTGAGCTGTCTCGAAGCCAATGAACAGGCAGGTGGTGCTGAACTTGGAGCCTGCCATGGTTAGGTTTCTTCCCGGGTGGAAAGAGCGGCAGCCGTCCACCCGCTGCCGAGTCCGTTTTTAGAAACAGCAGGAGCTTGGTCATCTCACCCTCCCTTCGCTCTCTTCCCCGGCCTGCAAGCCTGCATCGCAAATTAATTTCATTGCATCACACCACGAAATGCTGCACGTGTGGCTGCCAGAACCACAATTTTTTGACCGAGAGTACCAAACTCCAGATCCGATCCACCTGCTCGAGACCAGTCAGAAACACAATTTCCATGATGTCGAAAAACGTGTCACCTACGGATTACACACGTACGGAAAACCCACTGCTTGCGTGTGGTGTAAATTCCACCGATGCCAATTCGGGACTTGGGATGGCGTCAAGACCCTGCCACAACATCGGCCTGCATCTCTGCATCTCATCAACCTGCACGATACGGCAAGGAGCATGTCGTTGAACAACACCCAAGACGTCGAGGTTCCGTAGTCCTGGCCCAATCACCTGCGACGGCCGTGCAGGACACAAGCACAAGCAGCCCCCTCAGTTCACAGCCTGCATGAGCGGTAACATGACCTAGCTCATTCAAATCTTGACGACAGAACACTGGGGAAGACATGCGTCACCATGCACTCTGAGCTGACTGCTGCTGCCGGTTGACGGCGATGCCCCAGCACAAAGCCGGCGGGTCTGTCCATGACCAAGGCGTGTGCACGTCGTCCTGCCGTGTAAGCACATGTATGGGACTCTCGTGCCACCACACCTACGGACAAGTGGCAGCTTGATTCGACGACGACATCGATTTTGTTGCAAGTGTCTCGCGGCCTATCAGTTTGGCCGGCCCGGTGTCCAGTCTCCCTCGGAGTCATTGCAAGGGCGGGGCCCAGGCACCAAGTTCCCTTTCGGGAATGTCGTTTGAACGGCGCCGAACTGCGACCTCCGCATTTTTGCTGATGGCATGGGGGACTTCCCGGTTCCCCCTGCCCTGCACTAGACCGGATCGGGCGTTGAAGCCGGGGGGTCCCAAGCCACCTCCGCCGTCCGGCTTGTGGAAACACAAGTCCCGACTGCGATCCCCTCGGTGAGGGATCGCAGGCGATGAGAGCACATACCGGTGCCGTGGACGAAAGGCGCGGGCCACCTAAACAATCAGCAGTTGCCCTCCCTCTCGTGCCCAACCAGTTGGCTGGGTCGTCGGAACCTTAGCTGAATCTACTTTTCCCACTTCGTATTATCTTCCTTATCGGCACACGTGGAATACGTCAAGAAAACGCGCCAATTCGCCCGTCTCTGGCAGAAAGTGTCGACTGCTCGTTTGTCATCTTTTATCAGTACGGATACCTGATATACCGCCGATCGCTTGTGCTTCCTTCCTCCTTGAGAGGAAGCGAGAGACAACGCATTGTGCACGCGGAGCCGACTCGAGACTTGCCTCGGTCCACAGCGGCCCCAGCTTCCTCTTCTGCTGTTAGGGCCCGGCGTCGTTCGGCGCGGCTGAACGTTGCGGGTCATCGCCAACCGCGACGGTATCCCGGCACCACAACAGTGGGGGCTCCCGTCGTTCTGAAGAGCCTCGTGCGAATTCTGCGAGGCACAAGAGCGGCGTTCGGAACAGCAGTTGAACAACCACCAACCAACAGTATAACTGCTCTGATGATATTGCCTCTCGCCGTGTCGCCGTTTCGGCGGGGTGGACAGGGGTTGATTGTGCACTTCCTCTGCCAGCCGAGATCTGCTGGGGCACTCTGATTTCGTCGTCATCTACCCTGGTCGACCGTAATTTCGTGAACCGTCTTTTGACCCCCTCTCTCAGACGGGGCTTTTCATCGCTGCGTTTCTTTGCCCAACGGTCTTCTAGAAAATTGCGGGTCGAGGGCTTGCCCGCCCAGGGTAGGCTCCTCGGAGGATTCTGGTGCTAATCAGATCCCCTTGTTCCCTCGGCCGAACATGGTCGTCGAGCCGGCTTGCCCAGCTGCCTGATGAGCCAGGATTGGAGGACGGAGGAGGGGCCGAGGGCGGGCGTGCCGTTCTGTCCGCTTCCCCCCTCTCACCTTTTCACCAGCAACAAGCCACACCCCCCTTTCGCATCCATTCAGTACCCCCCATCGCACTGGGTGCCGGTCCTGCTCCACGGCCATTCCTCATCCAGCTCGCGCATTGATATTCCGAAGCCCTAAGGTACGGATTCTGCTGGCGTCTCTTCCCGCTCGGCAGAAAGACAAAGACAGGCATGGCAGGCCAGTCTTCATCTGTTTTGGAGAACTTGAGTCCACCTTGCCCTATCTCGATGGGCGTCGAGGTACCTGATTCCACCGGCTCCTCCGATGAGGCCTGTTCCCTTTCTGAGTACCACAATAGTGACAAGACAATGGCTCTTGAGCTCGCCTTCTCCCGTTGTTTCTGGAGAGCTTGCCCCAAGGACACTCCACCGAGGCTATTCATGGTCGATATCAAGGGGAGTGTGCGGTATGCTAACCATCCCCTCCTTAACAGACCTGGAAGAAACAAGCATAGCAGATAGAACGCGTAAAGTAACAAGAACAAGGTGTGCAATCACACCCTGGTCCGTCATGGGGGGGGGGGGGGGAACACCCCCCCAGCCGCTATCCTGCCCCATCTCGACAAGCAAGGGCCTCGGGAATGACTGCCAGATCGCCCTCCCCGTTCCTCACCCTCCTTCCCTGTATGGTTGGAACGCTTCTGCACCGTCCCTGCAAGCGGTTTTAAACATTTCCTTAGCTTGAGGAGCCGCTAGGGTAGCCTTGGCCTTGCCTCTCTGCCCTTGCCGCACCCCCCCCGGACCAGTACCGAAGCTTCCCAGGTGCCTCGATAGGATTGGCTTACACATACAAGTACATACACATGCCCTATAAGCTGGCCGCCGGTTGTGGTCGGATCCTCGCCATTCACTTCGACTCCCAGGCCGAATTCCGACTTCATTAGCTCGAGGACTCACCATCTTGATCATATTCGTGGAGTTTTCTCCTGGTTTTGGCGCTTTTGCCATATTCTAAAGGAACCCCCGCATTGTCGATGCTGTCGAGCAGAGACGAATCGAAGGGCCAATCTTTTTGAAGCCCAGCTGGCAGTCGGTCGAGGCTTGTGTGTCCACCGCGCCTTGGAGAAGAAGCATGCTCCCATGTCAGCCACGGCAACCTACACGATGGCAGAGTTGAGGGCTGAGACGCAACACGGCAGCCTGTGGTCCAACTATGGAAACCCCGTACCCATGACCAACCGGTACCCTCACGACCCGTCGGTATCAGTACCGCCACCACCAACATCTTCGCACCTTGTGCGCCCGAGGAGTCACCACACGATGGACTATCCGCCGTACCAGCCGGGCCGGCCTGGCCAGGAGGAGGGTGAGCCGTACGACAGATACCCGCACCCGTCCATGAACATACCCAGCATCAACAGCCTGAAGCGCCCATACTCGCAAGTGGACCAGGCGCCATACACGGAGATGGTCCAGGACCTGCGGGACGACTACAAGCCGCCAAACCACGACCAGAAGCTCCTGTCGTTCAAGAAGGTGGGGGACAAACACACCATTGTAGACACCAAGGGCCGGATCCACGAGATGGAGATCGACGCGCAGCTGCACGGCATGTTCTTTCTCTCGGAATTCCCCTCGGCGACGGGAGACGGCAACGGGCTGAACGCCGAGTTGACGTGCTACCGGCGCAACCTGTTCCAGATCAGTGGGAGCCTCTGCTTCCCCCAGATCCCGCTGTCGGTGCTGCTCGAGTCCGGCGAGACGAGCCAGATCAAGAACATGGAGGTCAGCATATCGGCGATTGAGTCCGTTGACGGCCACCCGGTGCGCCTGATTGTGATTCCCTGGAAGACGCCGCCGCCAAACTCGCCCGAGGCCAATCAGGCGCCCGACCAAGAGCCGCCCACTTTGCCCCTGATCCCGCCGTCTGAGGAGGAGGATGAGACGGGGGGTGACCATTACGCCATCTACCCGATCGGCTGGAGGAGGCTGCAATTCAGGATGTAAGTTTGTTTACCTTACCTTTCGCTCTGCGCAACGTCAATGAGTGACTCACTAATCCCCCCTGATCCAGAGCGACTGCAAACAATGGGAGAAGGAAAGAGCTGCAACAACACTTTGTGCTTCATCTGAAACTTCACGGAACGCTGGCCAACGGGCAGAAACTGGTGCTCTCGGAACTGACGACAGCACCGATCGTCGTGCGAGGGAGGAGCCCGCGGAACTTCCAGGCTAGAAAGGAGATCCCGTTGCTCGGATCAAGTGCGGGTTCGCGAGGACAGACCCTGGTCGAGACGGGCCATGGCATCGTTGCGCAAGCCGTCATCCTCAACAAGCCCCCATACGACTCTCGACCTCGCCTGTCGAGCCTCGATGTTCCCAGATCGGCTTTCACATTCACTGCGCCGAAGCAAATGCCGCAGAGTCCGATGCAGATGCGATCCAAGTAAGCATTCACCCCTTGTTTTCCCTCTGCCAGCCATGGTCGGGAACCATAGCGAGAGAAGAGGTCCCCGATAAACTAACCCACAATCCAGCTCCTACCCAACAACATGGAACCCAACCCCGCAAGTCTCAATGCCTCATACCACCGGAGCAGCGACCTATCCAACCTCGACCATGCCGCCGGACCCGTACCCCAAGATGCCCTTGTCCGGGGCGCCGACCTTTACCGCCGAGCCACAAGACATGCCCCTGCAACCCACCTCCATGGGCTCTTCGGTTCCCCTTCCGCTCGCCTCCCCGCACGACCCGCACCAACACCATCACGCCCAACAACCGCAGCCCCCTATCCGCACGCAATACGCAACCTACACGTCGGCCCCGCCACACCACCTCTCCCTGTCCACCACGACCGGCGCTGCGGGCGGCCCTTCCCCAGACACGTCGAACCTCGCCGTACCCCGCTACATAGGCGACGCCGGTAACCCGCGCCCATCCAAGTCGCCGCGCCACGCAAGCCACCAGTCGGTCGCCTCGTCCATCTCCAACGACACGGCGTCGGGCGAATACCGCTACGGCCCGCCGCCGTCGCAACCGCAGCAACAGCATCAGCAAGCGCCGCATGGTGGTCCATACTCGGCTGGTGCGTCGGAAGTGAGTCCGCAGTCGCAGCACCCGTCTCTTCCGCCGCTGCAGGACCAGGCCGCGAACGGCGCTGCTTCGCAGCCTGGAATTGGGGTAGGAAGCGGTGGAGGAGGAGGAGGACAGGCGTCCTCGGGCAGGGATTACTACACTACTACTGGTCCTGCTCCTGGCGGATGGGGGCCTGCTCCTGGCGATCACGGGGCCGCCGGCGCACCCGGACAGGGCGGGGATAGGCCGTATGGATATCCCGCTGGTGCTGCGGCGGGTGCTGCAGCGGGGGGTGCAAGTGTCAAGACGGAACCGCATGCTGCTGCTGGGGGCTCGGCTCCCGGGACCGGGTATGGGTATGCTTGGAACACGGCTTGAGGGCGGACAACCCAGCGGGTTAGAGGGTTCTCTGCCAGCGGCCGCCACGATCCCACCGTTACACGCACTTTCTCAGAGATGTTCTAGTAACAGGTATTCCTATCACTGGGGAACATCATCCAGTCTGCCTTGAACGCCCAAGATCGAGAAATATGGGGAGAACAAGATTGGGAAAGGAGGGTGACGATAGGCACGGGAGCAACAGCACCATCGACAACACAGGATGGAGGTTTGTATACTTGTGGCTGGCTCGGGGTGGTCTGGGTTGACTTCAAAAACATTGGTTGTCATGTTTGAGTTGTGTGATGTTCTCATTTGTTTCGCATCACTGGGGACGGACAAGGAAGTTCCTTCTGATTGACTCTTATTGTGCGGTTTTCTTTTTCTGTTGCAACATCATGTTCCACCAGCTCTGTCAATGTTTAAAACCCCCCCTTCTTCATACTCAGGTCGCCGGTACATATTTCTACACTACATCGTGGAGCGAGCTGTGGAAGTTTTGGATTGGATTGATACCACATATGTCATGTTAGGCTCGACTGCTACCATATACACCTTATATTAGGTACTCAACGACTAATGCGCGATATCTTCTCGTGTCGTCATTTCTCACACTTCCAGTTCAGAGAAACAGTCCAGGTTTGATCAGTTGGCTGCTTCCATCACAGTTAATGGAGGAGATGGATAACAGAACGAAACGGGTGGCTTGTTTGTACTATACCTCAGCATCGCTTGCACAAATGCAGTGTTCATGCATGGCTGATGTTGGTGAAGTTGAAACAAGGCGAGTAACAAGCTTGCTATGGTGCGTTTCATGGCGTTCGTTTAGCCGAGCCCTGGGGAGTTCATGCTCTGATGCTCAGTCCAGTAATTTCAACATCAAGTCCTTACCAGGTACAGTACGTTCCGGATCCAAGTCGGAGATTTACGATTGTACCGAGAGTACAGATATTGTCCGCTCTGTTAACAACACTGCCGATGCTATTGCAGCCTGGTGTATAACAGGGCACGGTTGCCCAATGATTCATTGGAATGTGAGAGGCAACCCGGTTCTCAATCGGGGCATTCAACCGCTTGCTTGAGCTCAAATGTGATCCCGAAATGAGCTTTCGAGACCGCTCTGCTTGGCCGTCAGCGCGATCTCCGAGGCGGCACAATCTCGACCGACGGCAATACGGGAACGAAAAGACGGGTTGTCCACTCCGAGAGCGTTTTAAGTCAAAAAGGGTTGAGCTCCGGAGGTCGGTGCTTCCACGGGGAGGCGGTTGAAGACGAAAGACCCTTGCTCACCTTATAGTACAGACATCCAACAAAGTGCAGGAAGGGTTAGGGTCTCTAACCTTTGCCAGCTGTCGAAAACGTCGCATCTTTTGCCAAGGCATTTCACGATCTGGCAGCGCTCAACACTCGCTCAACACCAAGCTTCACCAATCCCAACAAGCCCGTAAAGCAACCACAGACCAGCTCATCAATCTCGCGCTGTCACAAGCTTAGCCTTCATTGCAACAACATTATGTTTGAGCTGCCCGATGCAAAAAGGCAAGTTTCACCCTTCCAAGCATGAACAATTTCACACCTGACTGACCCAACCAACAGGGTCCGCCGAGAGGACCTCTACTCCTCCCCGCACTCCTCCCGGTCCTCCAGCCCAGAACACGACTACTCCCCAAAAGTTGCAGAGCTGCGCGCCAAGCTCAAAACGCGCCTGTCAGACCTGCTCTCCCTCTCGGTCAACGTGGCCTCCACCACCGCCGACACCGCCTCTCGCTCGGCAAAATACGATGAAGATGCCCAAGAGGAAGGCCCGCACGAAGCAGAATTTACCTTCCGTCTCTTCTCCACCAGCACGGCCGACGCCGTGCCCAAAGTCGTCCTCGCCCCCGACGACGAAGACGAAGCCCGCCGTCCCTACAGCGGTCCGGCCATCTCCCAGCGACCCGTCTCGCACTACCTCCGTGGCGAGCTGACGCCGCGGGAGAGGGCGCAGTTTGAGTATTCCGCGGTGACGGGTCAGGAGGTGCTGGCCTGGGCGGGGCAGAGGGCCTGGGGACTTGAGGTGCCCTGGCGGGTGACGAGGGTGGTGCTGACTGTGGACGGAAAGGAAAAGACGGGGAATGGTATGCATGGGCGGTTGCAGCAGCGGCAGAAACTAGGGGCGCAATTGGAGGAGGGCAAGAAGAAAAAGCGGCCTGGAAAGAAAACGAGGATTGTGCTAAGAAAGAGAGAGAAGGCGAGGAGGGAGGCCGAAGCGGCGGCGCAGAAGCTCAAGATGAGCAAAGAAGAGCATTTGAAGGAGAAGAAGAAGCGGCTGAATCACTTGAAGAAGCTGAAGAGGAGGCAGAAGGAGAAGGAGAAGAAGCTGGCGGCCAGGGGGGAGGCGGGAGGTGAAAGGCAGCATGGCGCGGCTGCATCGGGTGAGGAAGGGAGTAGTGATGGAGATGAGTGATTAGATTAGGTCTGCCTCTCATTCAGTATAGAAGGCACTACACTCGGGCAGGGCCTGTGGTCATATACCCAAGGTATACTGGTGAAGATGGGCTTTGGTTGGTTGTGGCGGGCAATATGGATGGCACCATTGCCTTTGGCAAACCAGCTCTTAACGCTACACTCCATACCTCGGTTAATAGCTATTGTCTGTCAAGATGACTGGGAGTTGGTACTTGGTAGCCAACATTTGTGCCACTGCCAGCACGGTGAAAGGTTCTATGGGCTGGTAACTGACACAAAGACATCTTGCCCTTATCAGTGTACCAGTCTTGTAGAATGGATGCATTAAAGACAGACACTCATAAGCCAGTAGTGGTCGCGATTGATCATCGAGGTGGTATCAATAACATGGCGCCCCAGAGCCTCCAGGGCACCAGAAACCCACTTCTAACTGGAAAACAGTCAAGGAGCTGGTGCGTGATTTCATCTCTCGCTTGGTATAAGCACTCATGGCATATAAGACAGTCCTTGCCAGATTCTCGATGCATCTCCTTACGTAGTCTCCAAAGGTACTACCTATAGGGAGCACCTTACGATGGAAAACCGCGACATTTCTCTCAACAGGTGGAGGGAGCACCACGCCGTGGGAGCGTCGAGGGCACGCTTCCGACAGTTCAAGTCCAGTTTGGTTTCAATCATGTTAATCCCCGTTTGACCCCGTTTTCCTATTCAAACTCCGCACCTGGTATTTGCAAGAAATCCATGGATGGCAGTAGAATCATCCTCCATCGTCAACTTCAAGTTCAATACTATCAGTTGGAGGTAAGGTATGCTGCTAGTCTCCCATACCTGATTCACCCAACCTCGGCGCAATATTCAATGCAGTCCTCCCAAACCCAACGGTCAGTGCACGAAGCCCGCCAGAACTTGAGTCAGTTCATCTTTTTCAAGCCTGACGCTGCTTTCCTTACCATCATTCAAGTATACTATCGTACCTAAGTAGAATCTACCACAAGCTCGTCATTAGTGCCCAGGCAAGGAAGGTAAGTAATCGCAATTGAAGATCAGTCCTGAAGCTCGAGACCCAGTTGTTTACTGTATGTAAACTATGTCATGGTAGGCAGCACACATCATTCAAGCTTTACGGGGTGTCCAATTGACGGGCTCATGTTCCCCAAGCACCCATAAGTACCTGTTCGAAGACTTCCGTGGATGGTAAAATTCACCCGGGACCTGTCGTGTGGCTGGGCCAAGCGAGTACAGTTGGTAGCAGCTGTCTGGTAGAGACTTGCGATACGGTGCAGTCTCTGTCCTTGTGCATGTTGATGGTTCGGCAGGCTCTGGATGCAAACTCGTCATGGCGAGGGGCGAATATCTGTTGTTGATCGATTCCTTGGCGCAGTCAGACTACGGTAAAACGGATACGAACCCGAATGGAGCAGACAGAGCTTCAAGTCCAATTCGGAAGCCCATGACGACCAAGTGCCGTAGGTAATTGAAGGTAATCGCATGGCACAAAAGCGTATGCTCGTCTCGCGCCATTTCGAGAAAGCAGCCTCCTCTGCCACGTTCAAACCACTCGGGAGTCGGTAGGTTTTGATGATGCTGATGTACGGATTACTCGTGTCACCTTGGAACGGTGGCCGAAAGATCTTATTCGTTCTCCCAGCGCCAAGTGCTTATTCTTGTTGGATCCGGACGCTCGCAAAAAAAAAAAAGGGGGCGCCGAGAGTTTCTTTGTTCGGACTAGGACCCGGATTCTGGCTCCATGCCAGCCCCGGGGCTGAGGTGGAGAGCCAATCCGGTCCCGACAATGATACGAAGGCAATAAAGGAGCTTGCAGAGTCGGTTGCTGGAAGACCGCCGCATCCGCCATCTCGCCCCAATTTACCTTAATCCTTCCCTCCCCCCCCCCCCCAACCTCCCTCAAATGCGCTCCATCAACCTCGCCATCGCGCACTCTCCTCTTGCGCCTTCATAATGCTCCCAAACGAGGGGCCAGCTCCCTCGCTGCCGGCGCAGCTTCTTCACAGCATAACCCGCCGCCGGCACAGGGTCTATGGCCTCATCGGCGGCGCCTTTGTGCTGCTCGCCGTCACCGTCTGGGTCTATGGCGGTTTCGAGACGGGCATAGACTTCTTCACGTCGGTACCACGCCCGGCGCCGCCACCACCGGTGCCGAATCACGATGCCTCGGCAAACCACGATGCGATAACAGCCACAACCCACGGCGCGATTGACGTCATGAGCGGCGCGCATAGCTCTACCGCCGGCGCCATTCCGGGCCCCACGCAGACAGAGACGCACGCGAACGAGCACCCGGTCCCTGATCCGCCCCAGGAAACCAATCCGCCGACGGATGATTGGCGGCATTCGAACCACAGCCCTGCCGCCAGCGTCACGCCCGGTATTCCGACCAAGATCTGGCAGATCCTGCTACCCAAGAAGCCAGACGACCGTAAATGGAGGGCCGATCCCAAGAGCCTCGAGGACACGGCCTCGTGGCTCGCCCTGAACACCGATTACACTTAGTAAGCGCTCCCCTAGACCAAAGAATGTGCGCCTGCCATGGCCGTCTTCTTACTCACTTGCGCCCCGTTATAGCACGCTAGTGAGCCAAAAGGGCGGCGAGGAGCTCGTCCGTAATCACTTCAGCAGCGACCCGCGCATCATGCAGGCCTACCACAACATGCCCAACGTCGGCATGAAGTCGGACCTCCTGCGCTACCTGCTCCTGGAGGCCGAGGGCGGCGTCTACACGGACACGGACACGATCGCGCTGCAGCCCATCGACAAGTGGGTGCCGGCCGACCTGCGCGGCAAGGTCGCCGTCGTCGTGGGCATCGAGTTTGACCGGCTTGACGGCGTTGCGTGGGCCGACATCAACCACTGGGTGCAGTTCTGCCAGTGGACCATCGCGGCGGCGCCGGGCCACCCGCTGTTCCGCAAGATGGTGGACCGTATCATCGCGTCGCTGGACGACCTATCGGCGCTGCACAAAGTCCCCATCCAAGACCTGAAGCCGAAAAGCTTCGAGGTTATGAACTCGACGGGGCCCGCCGCGTTCACCGACGTCGTCTTTGAGCAGCTGCAGGAGTACAACTCGTCGCTGAAAGACACGCAGGATTTGTCGGGCATGACGGAGCCGCAGCTCATTGGCGACATCCTGGTGCTCCCCATTGACGGGTTCGGCATGGGCCAGCAGCACTCTCATAGCACCAACGACGGGACCATTCCTGAGTCAGCCCTGGTGAAGCACCGGTTCAACGGCGGCTGGAGAGGCGGGAAACGACGGAGGGGGGAGAAATGGCGAGCCTGACACGAGCAAAACTGGGCGCGTGCTATCATGGTTGGATATGATGAAATATTAACTGGCTAGAGGATGTATATATTGGGATTGATCATTGCTGCAGTTCTGGAATACTCGGAGTTTGATTGCGCTTTTTTTGGACTAGGATATCTGGCAGTTCAAATCTAGATCAGTTGTCCTTGGAATCGATTGATGAACAAATCGAGCAGAGAAGTCTGCAAGAGAGGGGAAGAAAGACGGGGTCACACACTCTACGCACTACCCCTAGGTAGTCCTACTATATTCTTGGCTCTCGCTCTACAGCTCATGTTGTCCTACCTTGCATTAGCTCGTTGAGGTAGGTAACCCACCATGCTCAACACGGGGTTGGCCCTTTCGTGCCTGTCTTACTTCGGGTTGATTCGGTTTGCCCTCTGAAGAGTTTGGAGGTTTACAGGTATACAAGGTTTGTCTAACGGCGGACTCGAAGCTCGGGATTGTGACGGGTACAGCCTGCTGATGGAATCAAGGATGTCATCCTGTGTTATACAGTCCTGCACCAAACGTGCGGTTCCACGCTCTCATTCTCTCACATATGGTACTGATATGTACGGAACGCATCAAAGCCCACTTCTAAGGGGCGCAGCGTCGACAGAGCTGGACGGAGATCGGCAGGTTGCTGGTATCGGACAGCACATCAGCATAGGGTCGAATGTTCTACCCGATGAGGACCCCTTTTTGACCCTCTCAAGATTTCTCTCTGGCATGAATCCATGTCCTGCTCCATACCTACGCCGTGGTTCTGTAGCCGCCCAGCGCGCCACCACTGCGGGGAGAACACCAACCTGAGCTGTTGTTGCCGCTTGGTGAAGCAAGACTCCGGTTCCTAAGGTACGTAAGGTTTGACAGATTTAGAATTCCTTCATCATCGGTAGCGCTTCGTGTCGGAAATAGAAATGCTAAGGAAATATTGAATTGAAAAACTGCAAGGAAACTGTCTAGGCACGTTCGTGCTACTTGATCTTACATCACTGGCTGCCACCGGCGGGTAAGCACCCTCAGCTGTTGAGTGAGGCTTGTTTGCGGGCCATGTGGATGGCCACCAGGGACATTCCTTGCTTCTGAGGCTGTATGGAACTGCTGACGGCGGCTGATGCGTTGAAGCTAGGAGACGCGGCTTCGGGTCTATATTAGAGTGCGAGTGCCAATTGACTGTTGAAGGCGCCAAACAGGAACTTCAGTTCCAGTCCACTCGTTGCCTCCCACGCCGAAGAACCGCGGACGTCTATCACCATGGGGCAACGCCCTTTAATCCTCCAACAGCGCAATCGTCTTGGGAAGCCTATGAGGGTTGACAATTGCACTATCGAGTTCAACTCTTCTGGCACTGTCCTGAGCTTTGCCGGTGTTCACAAGGCTCAATTTGTGGGAGATGCTGATATTGCCCATTGACACCCACCAACGGTTCTCATCAGTCTCTAAAGAATCAAGGTGTTCGTCGCATTCATGACCCTAAGTGTCATGGTTTGCTCGCTAAGTCTCGCCTTCGCCCTTGTGCGCGGTTATTCAGTTCTCTTCTCAGTTCTCTTCTCCTGGAGGAAAAAGTAGCTAATAGGACCTCCTCCGAATCTGCCTACATCGCGACTGCAGATTTGTCCTAAGAGAACAGTACCGCTTCCCCACGGCCATGAGGTACTGCAATAAGCTCCATGATCTGGTCGACGACCTTATTCTCTCCTATGCCGACGCACAGCTCCTTCTCCTACTCACTTTTGGAGGAGTTTTCTACTCGACCTACCAGTGCAGCGTTTCCCTCTACCACTGCTTCGTTGCTTTCCACATGGGCCTAGTAGGACTGGCAACATCCATTCTCGTCTTGGTCCTTGTCCGCATCGCCCACCAGCCTTATCTCTCGTCATTGGCACGTGTCGCCATCCTTGGTGCCTGCATATATGGCATGGACACGACCACGGTAATGGAACTTGAGGCCAGGGAGGACGGCAGCCCCCAGAACAAGGTTGAGGCCGTCCAGGGATGGACCCCTGTGGATGGCCAAGTCGATGATTTTATTCTTCTGCCCGCCTACTGTATCCTGGAGGACTTCAAAGTTAACCCCTTCCACAAATCTGACCGCTGATCAGAGGCAGCATCTCACCAACACCGCAGTATCAAGCGGGACGTCCGAAGCCAATGCGTTTGTCATGCTTGTAATTTCCTTATTTGTATGCTTGAGCACAATGGTGCCGCTTCATTTTCCAAGGATTCTGCCACAGCGTGTGCAAAGCGGTGGGGGTGGGCAAGTTCCCCTGGACATGGACGCGGCGCGGAACATGTCGGCAGGTCTTCAGGTTCCATTTCATGTTTGTCTGCAAGGGTGTTATCTGGGGCTTCTCCCTCGGTCTGATCAGCTGGAACTGGGTCACCACTGTGGCTCTACGCAAATGGTTCGACAAGTCTGACTGGCTGGACAAGGAGGACGGAAATTCCGAAAAAGGACTTCAAGTGCATTGGACAGTTGGCCCCTCTGGTTACTCTCGGCACCGTTGGCTTTACGCTGTTGAACGGGGTGTGGGCAGTGGTGAAGGGTTGGCCGCTCTTCAAGTGTTACAACGGTGAGGATGCTGAGCAAGACGACGATAGTTGTGGGCCGGCAGGAGCGATTCATTTCCGATGCGGCCTGTTGTTAGAAAAAGTCATGGGTCGTTGGTTGCGGGCTGCTGATGTGACTGACTGGCTGGAGAGTGGCTTTCAACATCTTTCTCTCAATTTCAATGTTAAAAGATTGAGTTTGTATTTAAGCTGTACAAAACTTCTCAGATGATAGTTTCGGTTGCACTAAAATGAGCCTTTCTGACGTCAATATCAATACTCGGTAGGGCCGTGGTTGTCAAAAGGCGCTCACGAACAAACTCGTGGTGGAGCGTGCAGTGACTGGAAGGGAAGGGTTGCTCGATTCGGGGATTCTGGCTTGTTTTACTCTGACACTCTTTTCGAATCGGCTGATCTCGTCTTCATCAATTCAAAGCAATCGATGGTGTCCGGCATTCCTCCCCGTGACCTCAGGCTTCCATCTGCTCAAGTTGAACCTTGATCACGAGTCCAAGACGACCGGCAGGCAGCCAAAGTGGGTCAGTATTACCTGGTAGCCTTGGCATCCTGATCCCAACCCGATATCCCTGCATTCATCGACGGATCGACTCCCACCTTCCGACCTCCACTGCCGCCCGCTGCCGCCAATGCGCGGACGAGCTCCGAGCTCCCTACAACCCAAACATGAACACGCTCTGGTCATCGCGCGACCCGGTCGATGGCGCCGGGCCAGGCGAGATGCCGGCCGAGACCCAAACCAAAGAGCCGCCAGCAACTGCAACGCCCGCCCAAACAACAATAAATCCAAGCCCAGAAACCCAGGCGCCACCACCAAAGCGCCCGCCCCTTCAACGGAACCAACTCTCTGCCCCGCCGCCGCCTCCTCCAGCCGACCCGGCGCCTCCGATTCCCCAGCAGGGTGACACCACCACCGCCGACGCTAACGACATTAATACCAACCACCATGCTAACCCGACCACCTCCACCAATAACCCAGGCCCATCGCCCCAACAAGGGCAACCACAGCATCAACAACCACACCACCAGCAGGGGAGCCAAAGCCAACCGCAACCCCAAGACTCGCTCTCGCTAGCCCAGCTCCGCCGCATCGTCGCCGACCTCCCGCGCGTCGCCGAGCCCGTGGCCTACGACTACGTCTACGCCGACACGTCCCCGCTGCCCGAGGAAATCGACGAGTGGTTCATGTACAACTTTTGGCAGTGGGTGCGTCTCAACGCCGCGAATCGCGCGTTCCACTCGGCCTGGGCCAGGTTGTTTCACCCTTCCACGGCCGCTGCCGATGCTGCTGGTAATGGTAACTTGGGGGATGGGGTGAACTGGGATGATGAAGGCGAGGAGGCGGCTGAAAGGAGGAGGGTGTTTGTTGGGCGGGTGCTGGAGGGGACCAAGAGCGGGGATCGCATTGCGAGGGCCGAGGCGGTTGGCGCTCTGGTATATCTGGTTCTTGGGCGCTGGACTGAGACGGTACAGGCTGCTGGAGTGCTGAGGAGGGATGTGCTGGAGGGCAAGGCAAGGTCTGCTGCTACGGAAGAGCAGTTGGAGGCCATGAAGGAGGGGGTAAAGGTTGTGGCAGAGTGCGGGGGGCTTGAGGTGGTGTGGGGAGTGTTGAGGGCAGGGTTCGAGGCGTTCTGGTAGGTTGTCATCGTTGTCGCCGTGTATAGCATTGGCGTCGGTGCGCTGACTTTGTCGCAGGTCCGACGAGATGCCGCAGAACTTGCAGATGGCGGCTGAGGAGCTGATTCACTTGATGACTGTCATGTATATGGCCATCCAAGAAGCACTCGGCGACCCCGAAGGAATGGCGGATGTCCGGCAACGGTTGTGTGAGTAGTAGCGACTTTATTCAGGTTGGCGGTATCTTCTGACCTTTACAGTGGCCCTCGACCCTGGCCTCCTGAGCTTCCTGCTTCAGGCCATCGTCAAGCTGCGCTGGGATGAGACGGGCATCCTTCCTCACACTCAGGTAGGATCCAGCTCTTCTCGAAACAATGGCGATACTGACCGTCTTAGATATTCCTCCTTTTCTGGAAGTCCATCTTACTGGTTTTTGGCGGCTCCAAGGAGATTGCCGAGACCAAGGAGGCCACCAGTGAGATGAAGGGCTGCGACGACAAAGACGCCATCACGGCGTCTCCACTCGACTACCATGTGTTCCGTCAGGAAATCACTTCGAAATACCCTGCCTACATCCCACCACAACCGCTTTTGCCTTTGGAGGCAGATCAGAATACCATAATTCCACAATTGCCCAACCACCCGACGAGAAGCAGCAGCGCGAGCGGAACCCACCTAGGGCCGTCTGCCCAGGGCGGAGGAGCGTCCATTCTTCACCAGCCTGTCCATATCGCCACTCCCGCCCCCTCGCCACCTCCCAGCCCAGGGGTTGGCGGTAAAGGCGGCAAGAAGCAGAACTACCAGACGAATCAGAATTTCCCCTTTATGTACCCTCCTCTCGATGCCACGAGCAACAGCGCCGGGGGCAAGGGCGGAGCCGGGCTACAGGACCTGCTAGTCGGCAGGAAGTGGGAGGGTAGCGACGTGCCAGCCTCCATTCTCGAGGCCGGCGAGCTTTTCTCCAAGCGAGTGCGCATGAGCCGCGCGACACGCCAGCTATGGGATGAGCGAGAGGAGTTTCTCAAGTTTGAACGCGGCTATGAGGCGGACGAGGACATCATCGACGAGCTTGATCTGTCGTCGTTGACTCTCGAGGAGAAGGAGGAGCTGGGATTGAACAAACCCACTGACGGCAGGTCACGGAAACCGTCGGTTCCAATTGCAGACTACGGGCCAAGGGGGGTAGATTGGCACATAAAGGAACGGCTAGACGCTGTGGAGGAATTCTATGTGAGTTCGTTGGCACCGCCGCTGTCCATGTTGCTGAGCTGACTGCCCTCCCAGAGAGAAGCACTTCCACACCTTCAGTCTATAGTTATCGTACTCCTCAGGCAAATTGTGGCTATGACCAGTAATTTGCCTACGCCTGCAATGGCACAAGGGCCGCCCAGCGCACGCCCGGCCGGTGGGCAGCAGAACCCACCGAACGGCGTCCCGAAGGGAGACCCCTCCTCGCCATTAGATGCAGACGTGGATGAGCTGCGGAGCAGAGAGATCGCCGCCAAGGCTGTCAGTGGCTCCTTGATTCTGCTGCTCAAGTGGTTCAAGCTCTCGCACGTCCTCAAATTCGAGTACATGACACAGTTGCTGCTGGATAATAGTTTTCTTGCAATGGCACTGAAAATCTTTGGACTATACGATGTTCAGCAGGTCGTCGAGAGCAAAACTGACCGGCTTGAGCACAGGTTAGCACGCCCCAAAAGGCATTCTTTTTGGCCCTTGTTTACTTACTCCCCCACAGCTTCTTCTACTTTTGCGGCTCCCGCGCAGGCGTCATCCCCTCTCAGCATACAGTCCCCAACCCAACAGCAACCGAATTCGAAGATGTCAGCGAGGACGACGCCGCCCCACCGCCCATCAAACGGCAGCGCTCACCAACCAACCCATCACCCTCCGAACACGATGGCCTCTCGGCCTCCCAGCCTGCCGATTCCTCAACCACAGCAGCAAACCCAGCAACAACCGATCATCCCCCCACCCGTCCCGAGGTAGACGAACTGGGCTACCCAATCAACCCCCTCCCGGCGGAGCCCATAACGGACTTGTCCCGGCGCAACTTCTTCTCCCTCATCAACTACCTCCGCATCATGCAGAAGATCTGCAAGCACCGCGCCCACCGCAATCTGCTCATGGTCAACTACAAGTCGGCCGCGATCTTGCGCAAGGCGCTCAAGGTGCCGCAGCACGAGCTGCGCCTCTACACGCTCAAGCTCTTCAAGAACCAGGTGCCCTACACGGGCCGCAAGTGGCGCCAGTCCAACATGCGCGTCATCACGGCCGTCTACCTGCACTGCCGCCCGGAGCTGAGGGACGAGTGGCTCGTGGGCGCCAACGTCGAGGACCAGGTGGACGAGGCGCTGCCCATGGAGCAGGCCCTGCGCAGCCTGACGCACTGGTTTAACCTGAGGCGGTACCCCGACCAGATGGCTGCCTCTTCGGGTGGTGAGGGGCAGGAGATGGTGAGGATGGCGATGAGAGAGGAGCAGGACTTCTTTTTGAGGGAATTGGACAAGGTGGATTGGAGCTGGTTCGGGGAGGGTGGTGAGGACGAGGGAAGTGGTGGTGATGCTGGCACTGGTGGTGTGGGAGAGGGGTGGCAGCAGGCTGGGTGGTGATAATGTATGGAATCTGAGGGAAGGGAGGGGGAGGGGGCCCCTCGGGGGGGGGGGGGGGGGGGGGTGTGGGGGAAAGGTAAGATGTAATATCACGTCGCTGAGGCGTTGCTTTGCATCCATCTGTCCGTGTTGAGATGGAGCTATGGAAGGCATCTATGAGAATACTGATCAATCATGGCCAGCAGGAATCATGTGATCCGATGATTCAATTGTGTTTACGAGAAGAGGATATCGATGTATTGCTTCATTAACCTCACGTACTCGATGCATATCATCACAACCTGTCCATCTCTCGCTGCCCATGAGAAGATTGGCTATCTCCTGCTAACGGTTGCGGCCATGGCACAGCTCATCCTGCGTCGGCTTGACGTGACCTGAATCCCTTAGATCCTTCCAAGTCTCTTGATGAGTGCCCAAGAAAAATATGCCCTACAATACCCAGGGTGAAAGGAGGGACAATAGAAGTGAATAAGATATGGTAAGATCCTTGAAAAAGTTTCTCGCCAGTGGCGACAGGTAGCGGTCATCTCGTAGCGAGTGAGTTTCTCGCTCAGATACCTGAACCGTAAGGAAGTGTTGCTTTCCTCCTACAACACCTATGAAAACAAAAGATGATGAGAAAGATTCCGTCTTCTCGAGACAGGCAAGTAACCGGAACTCCTCGCGAACGCCTTGACATAAACATAGTACTGATTCCGCCGATGGATGCCACTGGCATCATGTAATCTGATTGATACAGGCTGGGGGTATTGCGCATCATGAACCGTGCCTAGCGGCTCTCTATCACACGACGCCTCCAACACCGAAAATGCCAACAAATTCTCAAGTCCGCACTGTTGTTATGTCGCGCTGGTTCTAAATCCAATCGCCATTAGTGTTCGTTGGGAGGGCGGTGGTGTCCCCTGTGCCGCGGCGACGCGGCGGGTTCCGAGGAGGAGAGCTGGCCGCCTTCGGCGCTGGCATACTGAAGCCGACACCCTTTGGGCTCGGTAGCTTGACTTTGGTCGGGGTGTTCTGGCTGTAGATACTGGGGCTCAGAGTCACCTTTCCCGCGGCTGGGTCGGCTTTGGGAACTTGGCTGTTGATCTTCGGAACTGGCGGAAGCGTCTTCATCTTCGCATCTTTGACCGGGTCGCGCTGTGAGCCCTCGTCCGCCACTCCCACTGGCAAAGGAGGAGTGCCGGGACCGGCACCCAACGCCCCAGCGCGTTTGGGACTTGGCATGTCCCCCTTCTTTGGTACGTTGGGACAATCAAGGGTGTGGACGACGCTCTCGCTAGTCGCAGCCCTGTCCTGGGATGGTGGAGGGATACCCTCTACCGACGAGAGTCGGAGTCCAATCTGGACTGTTGCTGAAGACACTAGGGACGAGTCTCTCCGGTGTCGCATGTTTGCGAGGTTCGCCATCGAAGGTGGCGGCTTGAGAGCATCGCCAGGCGAGTATGTGGTGGCTGGTAGAAGCATCATCGAAGGCTTCGAGCCAACGGTGCTCCTTGGAAACAGCGAATAAGAACGCTTGCGGGTGTGACTGCCCGCAAGGGATGAAGGGATGCGCGCAGGCTCTGGTGCTTTCGGCATCAGAACAGAGGCCACAGCGGAAACAAGCTTGTTTGACCGAAACAAGTCGGGGCTCCCCCTGCCGTCCTTCGCGAAACCTGCTTCAATGCTTTTGCCATGCAGAGCTTCTTCCTCGTCGGCGCTGGTTAGACTTGCTTCGCTATCGACACGGCGTAGGCTCTCAGGGCCCGACACCGGGTTCATGATATGGCTGTCAAAGCCAGGGCCGTCATCATCGTCGTCGTTCGACTGGTCGCGTGTAATCTTATACCTTGCTCTCCTGTTCTCATATTCACCGACTTTGTCCCTTGGACCGATAGTCGTCAGAGTACTCGACTTGAGGAACAGATAGAGCCCCCCTGTCATCAACCCCGATACGTTGGCAACAACCGAGGCGATCAAGCTCAAGTTGAGAGCGTTCGAGTTCTGTTCCCGGCTGTCCATGAAACCTTGGACGAAGAAGAAGGGAATCACGAAGGACTGCGGTAGGTGAGCGCCTAACTCCAAGACTAAGGCCTGGGGTGAGAGGAACATACATTTGAAATGACTGCCAGTGCTAGGTAATAGACCATTCGAGATGCGGCAACCCGGGCAGTCACCTCAATCTTGATGCTGCGGTGGAGCCGAATGAATACCATCACGGTGGATATCAACAGGATGGTCGAAATGGCGACGAAGAGGCCAAAGCAGATGACCGAGTAGTGGGCGACAAACCAGAAGAGGGAAGCCAGGCAGAAGTTGGGAGACCGGTCGAAGATGGAAATGAGAAAGTTGGCGAGAAGCAACATGCCGATGATCGACAAGCATATCGAGACATTGTATTTCCTCCTGGGCGCAAACGACTTCTTTTTGAGTGCTCTGATGGCAATCTCAACACCGAAAACCAGCTGAGTGTAAGGGGCGATAAACACAGCTGCCCCGAGGTTGTCAGCAAACATCCACTCGATAGTCCCAGGCTCCGGTCGACTTACCAGGAAACATGAGCTGCGCCAGCCACGTGCAACCAAAGCCGAAGAGGGAATCCAGGCCGGTAGACTGGGCACCCGCGAAGATGAAGCCTTGAATGAAGATGCCGACAGAGAGAACGAGCGGGTAGATCTCGGTCTCGGGAACGAAGCCAAAGCCGTTTCGCCTGAAGCAGTGAGCAACCTTTTCCTCGGCAAGTTCAGATGGAAATTCCCGCCGGCCATCTTACCAGAACTTAAATTGCTTGTCGTTCCTCTTTTTTCTGAAATACGAGTCACACAGTATCCCCAGGGCAGTGGCGAAGGCTGCGATAATGTTGAAGGAGGCCAGGATGATAGTCGAAGTCCTGATCGATCTGGCGGCGGAGAATCTCAACTCATTGATGAACATCTGTTGCGTGCTGGTACGATTTCTGGCGCCCTGGAAGCTGCCGTTCCTCGACATGTTGAAGCTGCTGTCGTCGTCCCGCGACTCCAACCAGCCAACGCCCCCGGCGATTCCGGTGTATAGCGACATTGATCCGGTTCGGCGTGCAGCCGCGAGGCTGGCGATGGCGACGAAGCCGTAGTAGCGCGCCCCTTCAACTCTCCCACCTGTCGTTAAGTCATCTAGACCTCTTCGTCGATCTCCAGACAGGTCGTCGTCCGATGGGTAAGGGAGGAAAGGAAAGAATACCGATAACAGATGGAGAGGTGCAGGGCACAGTAATGCATCATTCCATGGGACATGCCATGGCCAAGCAGAGCATGGGTCAAGCACAACACGGGCCAGACGAAACAGAGCCCGAGCGGTCCAGCACTTGATTCTCGCCTTCGCCGGGGGATGCCGACAAGGGTCCAGGAAGGGTAGACTGACGAATCGGAGGGGAAGATGGCTGCGTGAGGATGGCTGCGCGAGAAGGGGAACATGCACCCTCAATGGCTGCGGCCTTCTTCCAGAAGAAGCTGGGTGCTGGTGCCATGAGCAATGCATGAATAAGTCGAGACCCGCCCGGTCGGGTTGAGGGGACATGAGATGGAGCGGGTCCTGCGCGCGGGCGGGATAGGGCGGACAAGGGTTCAATGCCGTATCACGGACCAGTACCACTCCCTCGCGGTGACGCTTACTCGGGCATGTTGGAGCTTCAGAGACTAAGAGCAACGCCTGGACGACGCCAGCTGGACAACAGCGTCAAGAGAAGAGAGAGAAGCCGGTCAACTTGACTCGGTCAGCAGTCCCGGATGGCTTATTCGAGTTGATTAGACTCAGCTCGCTTCACTTGTGAGAGTCGAACACTGGGAAGGTCTGCCGCGCTCCGATAGCCAAGACGGGAGGTGCGAATGTGAAGACGGCGGTTTAGCTAGAGGGGGACACGTTGCCAACGTGAGGTAATGCTGCCGTGAGCAATCATCCTCATCCCTCTTCACCGACTCCGCTTGGAAGTCCCCAACACGACAGAATGGGTGGTGCTCAGGCATCGTCGTGAATCTTGGCGAGCCCGTGTTGCAGCGTCGGAATATGATTCTTGTCTCTGGGATCCGATGGAAAGTCCTCGATCCGGCGTCAAGTCCAGGGTGAATCAGCCCAGGTCCAGTGTCAGCCGGCGGAGCCGTAGTGTGCAAGCTCAACAAGCTCAACAGGTATTGGCAGGGCAGGTTCGAGGCATGAGGTTGCACCATGCTGTTGAGGCAGACTTGTGACATCCACAGGTTTCGCTTTGCTGCAGGAACCACTCTTCGGCTTCGAGCTCATGTGGGGCGCTCCCCCAAAAAACGCCAAACCCCAAGCTTGAGCAGGGAAGACCCTGGCTGCGGATCAAACAACCTTTGCACCGGGCACTTCCGACTCCGACTCTCCAGCTACAAGTGATGGAATTCTCTGATGTCAACACAGTAAGATAGCTCCCAACCGCTCAGCAACTGCTATCTTGTGCGACATCCGTCGTGCTCGTCGCTCTTTTCTAATGATTGCCGTGATTGATTCAAGCCAATTTTCCCCATCTTGCTTTCCGACACTGGCGTAAGCGGTTAGGAGAGATTCTCAACATTCTTAAAGGAAGCAGGCATGTGCGAAACCCAGGATACAGCAGCAGTGACCAGTAACCTCACCACACGGGTTCAAGAGTTGCTCCTCATTCTCAGCAGACAAGCTTGTGCTCTCGGCCTTGATGCATCCCGGCCGGTCCGCTTCTACAGTATGGGCTCCGGACGGGTTTTCCAGCGTTCAAATCCATCCGAAGAAACATCAGACCATCTAGCCCATTCATTAAGCCCCTGTTGCGTCCACTGATCTCCCTTGGCACGCGGTGGTGGCGCTGCATGGATACCTCCGTTCCAAGCGTCCAGTCAAGGTGCTTCCTTCACCCCGACAACCACCCCCTGAAGCAGGGCTTGTATCAAGGTTTCGGATAGTCCAGTTCCCAGGGCTCGGCATTCACGGGGTCTGGCATGTTCTGTAGCTTCTCCTCCTATCAGCTACTCGACGTCACATGTCTTACTTGCTGGTCATTGACTCCGGTCGTCAAGTCTTACATTAAGACAATCTCTTGCTCTCAAGAATTAACTCTAATCTTGACCCAATGATAACAAAGAGACCCTCGCCAAAGAATTGCTAGGAACCCCAGCGGGCAATATCAATTACAAGTCAAGTTCTCCCGACCGTCCACCCAAAGTAGCGGCCCCGCCGGAAGGCCCGGATCTCGGGGAATAAGGTACGGACGGAGTTTTGACCGCGCCAACGATGCCTGACAGCGGGCTCGGTATTAGCAACAGCAAGGGTTCGTTCAGTTCGAGACCACTTTCCCTGGCCATTGAGGTTGACAGGTCCCCACTTATCCACATCTCCAGAAAGCGGCCTCCACTCCTCGTCGGGGCGGAAGTGCGTGGGCATGGGATCGGCCGAGGACCTGGATCTTGAGCCTTCCGAGAAGCGCGAAACCTAAGGGTCAAGCCGGGTCTCAGCATGGGGCCCTCTTTTCTTCTTGGAATTCAATCGAAGCCCAGCCACATTTTCCCAGGTAGGCTTGATGTGTCCTGTCGAGTACTTTTGTGTGTGGTCCGCGCTGGGGTGCCCGTTATTTGCAATATGCTGCGTGTACCAATGCCGAGTGGGCTTGAGCATAAAGCTGCCCTTCTACGCAGCGCGACACGTTGTTGTGGCACTTCTATGTCTCCATGAGCAAACCACGCCCCGTGTTAAGAATACTACAGTGTCAGAACTAGGCAGTCAATGCTGCTATCTCTTGTTGATCTTTCTGTGACCAGACTATCCGTGATGATGACTAACATCCCAGCACCGCCACATGAGTGATTTCCCTGAGCCCACGCCGCCGAGTTTTGCGTACGAGGGCCTGTTCTACAGCACATCGCTGAGTTCATGCCTCTTATGGGAAACTTCGGTTCCTCGGGTTGGAGAAAACCCAGCGTGTGGTTCTCGTAGCCGGCCAAGGTACCTTAACCGAGACTGGAAGCTGCATTCCGTTCTCACGGGCGCGGCATGTTCGCAAGTACCGCTCCATCCAGACTGTGAGTGCAGCTCAAAATAATGTATGTGAGAATCATCCTCTCGGCTACCCCGTTTAACAGATAGGCCACTCGACGTACTTCAGCCGGAGCAGTCGGAGCCCAAAGTTGCAGATCCGGTTGTCGGAGACGACCCTGTAAATCCCTGACGATGCTCGCGAGCTTGTCGGGCAACGTTCGCTGTCTTCGCTTCTCAGCATCATGCTTTTTCCCCGTCTAATCCAGATTTAAAAGTCGGGTCTAACCATCTCGCGCCACCACTGGCTACCTACTTTGACAGGGTGATTACGCCTTCTTGCAGAACCCAAACCTTCATCTCGCCTTCTTCTCCCCCAATGCTGTCGCCCTGACCTTGAACGCATCAAACATGTCGTCCGCGGCCACGTAAATCGCATACAGCGGCACCACAACCCACAGCCCGTTGAAAAAGACCAGGAAAATCCACTTATACATGAAGTTGCTCGTGTCGAGGTTCACACTGCCAGTTAGCCACTCCGGCATAAAAGTCATGTAGCCTGCAGCACCCGTCAGTCCGCCGCCACACGATATCAACTCAAGCGGTCATGCGGGATTATGATAACCCACCGCCATAAAGCTCCGCCGTCGCCAGTATCACCATCCCCAGGTTTGCGCGCGGGCTCTTGCGCGCAATGTCATAGCATACCAAGCACGCCATGCACCCCCCAAAGACGACCGTCAAGATCTCGAGGCTGAGCACAGTCTGCCACGTCGTCATTAGCAAGCCCCTGCCCTCCCCCATAAGCGAGGGGAAAAGAACATACCAAATCAACACCAGACCACCTCCAATCCGCCCTCGCGTAAACCATCCACAACACCGCAAAGGGATTCTCCCCGCCCGCCTGGGCGCCGTGCACCACTCTTTCCCCTCCAACACCAGCATTAAGATAATTCCCGGGATCAGGCAAGTACTGCCCGCCGGCCAGTTTAGAAACCGGGGCCGACGAGAAGAGACAGTGATAGACGAAGCTGCCCTCCAGAAGGAAGTGGATCAGGGCGTCGAAGGCGTGCCAGATGAAGAGCACGCGCAGGCGGGTGGGGGTTGTGTGCGGGTCGAGCACACGGCGGGAGACGGCGAGGGCGGTGAGGAGGAGTGCAACTGTGGAGGCCAAGGAGGTGAGGGTTGTTGAGTCAAAGAGGGAGGGGGTTGGTGCTGGTGTTGACATAATTGGGGTGTGGGTTGAACTGTTCTGGAATGTAGAGGGTAGGATATTTTTCCTGAGAGATCGCGTTCGTTGACGACGCGGTGAGATGCAGCTCCGAACTGAACAACTTCTTTGCAGTGCCAAGATACGCATCGGATACAATCCCTGCTTCGCATCCGAGGCCATGATTGGACGCTGTCGCCAAATCAAGTGTTTGCATCGGATATGGGAGCTGGCGCCATCTGAGGCCATGATTGGACGCTGTCGCCAAATCAAGTGTTTGCATCGGTATGGGAGCTGGCGCCATCTCCCATCTCTGCATCCCTAGAGTTTCACCTGCGAGCTCCAACTTCCATATTCAAGGCACAATGAGCAGCACTTAAGAGACAATCGGATACAAGTGCAGTGAATGATCAACAGAGGTGGATTATCTAGCTACTTAGAGCCAGCTGGGTATTCATGATTCCATCCTCCTCTCCCCAGAAGCCCGAAAACCCAGTATGAGAAAAGCAGGAAACTCAGAAAGACCCATGCTCCTCAAAAAGCGACGCCTCTCCGAAAGCCCGGAATGATCATGACAGCTCGTGACTGGCGGCAAGCGGAAGAATGATTTGTCAAATTCGTTGCTTAGTGGGTAGCCTTCTGCTTGTTGGCCTCGGCCGAAGCGTCGTGCTTCTTCTCGGTGGTCTTGTCCGAGATGGCGTCACCGGCAGCCTGGATACTAGGAGGGAGTCAGCGTGTGCCATTTGGACACAAATAAAGTGAAACATACCGAGTGCCGACGCCCGCGTTGTTGTCCTTGGCGACGTTCTTGTTGGCCTCCTTGGAGGCACCGCTGGTGGCGCTCTGGACCTTGTCCGAGACGTAGTTGCCGGCGTTCTTGATGGTGTCCATGTTGGATGATGTTTGTGGTTGATTGAAATTTGGTTTGTGTGGAGAGTTGAGATTGTGCTTTCTTTGAAGTCTGTTTGGTTGATGGTGATGAAGAAAGAGGTTGATCTGGGCGGTAGAGAAGTGGTCTTATATAGACAATCGAGCTTCAGATCTGGAGGAAGGCGTGGCTACCACCGGGAAGCGGTTGTATCTGGCAAACGACGTCATACAAGCAAGTGGGCTTGTTGCTGCTGGAAGGCACGGGCTTGGGATCAAACAGGAACCAGCAACTGTGCAGCTGACACTCAAGGACGTGCGTGACGTCAAGTCGGATTGTCACAGGGACGATGTCTCCAAGGAATGCCACAAGCCGTGGCTCGGAGAAAACCTTGATAGTTGCTTCCCGGTGGAGTGGCAAGTTGGTCCTTACCAGTCTGAGCCAATTTGATGCATTGCCGGCTATCGTATAATCCAGATTAGCCTAGCTTCTAGAGTAGGTGCATGCATAAGTATGTAATCTAGTGGGTTTCCAATCGAGCCAAGGCAGATACTGCCCACATTGAGAGAAGAACTGAACAATTACTGTGGGAAGACGGCAACGATGACGTCGCGAGAGGTCTGAAAGCAACACCAAACCGGGGAAGAGGGTCCGGCGGTTGGCCCCACTTCACATTGACGCAAATGCGGGGCTTCCCGCAAACATCTTGGGGTGTGTTGATCAGCTTGTGTGAATGACGTAATATCTACTTGCCTCACATCCTACGGTACTGCGGGTAGATGCCCGCTCAGTGAACCGCAGCTTCTGATAATCGCTTTCTTCAAAGTGAGGTAACTAAACCTTAGGCTAACTGATGTACACGTACGCAACGTCGCAACCCAGCTTGCGCAGGTAATCGGCAGGGTACCTTAGATCTGAGCCGCGAGTTTGCCCGACGAGGTCACAGCTTTGTTTGGCGAAGGACCACAACTGGTACTACCTCCACCTGCAGGTTGCGAGGAGGCGTGTCATTGTGGCTCTGGAGCTGGAAGGGCCCTCGAGGGGATGCTTCATTTCTCCACGGGATATGGATCGTATGACGGATGAACAGCATTCGCATCACGGACCGCAGTCGGGCTTGTTTTGATAGCTAAGGCGACCGAGCTAAGCAAAACATGACCTCTTCGCCTCCGTGGCCGAGCCCTGTGTATCACTTCGCAAGGGTTTTGAAGATTCGACCACGGATATGGTAACTTGGAGACCGCCGAGGTGACCCTTGACTTGGGATCAAATCTACGACCCAATGCAGGTTCTGTGTCATTTCGGTTTCGGTGACCGGATGTTGCGAGGTTGGTATCTCGAAGGAACTTGACAATTGCAAGCGTACGTCCGTATCCAAGAGCCTCCGGGCCGGTCCTGGGTCGGGTCACAGCTTACAGCTCGGAGCTCGCCACTTTCCGGGCGCCTTGAACTCTATGCGATGTTCCAGAAAAAAGCGAGGCTTCTGCCACGCAGCCTGGTGCATCGTGTCGAAGCAAGGCGATAAAGTAAGGCGATAATATCCAACGTGACACTGAAGTTGGCATGTGCACCTTGCGTACTTGGGTCACAAACAGCCTCGTTAGTACCTTAACCATGGATCATCATCCACGCCCCGTGTCATCCACTGTCAACGTGTGAGCTGAGTCCAGCATGCGGGGTCCTCGAGAAGGGAACACTGTTGGTGGCCTGTTTATGTTCCTTGCACGGAACAGCGCCCGATTTTTCGTTGTCTCTAGATTTCCTAAAGTGCAACTAGACACGTGTTTCCGCTGAGGACAAGCACCGCCTGCTAGGGATATTGATTCACTCCGGGAATCTCGGGGTTGAGGGAACAAACACTCGGGAAATAAGTGCAGCAGCTTACGTGGACCGGAAATGGCCTGGCCTGACCTCGTTAAGACGTGCGGTCGTTCGTATCACTGCCTGCGTTATTAGCCTGCAGCCTCGGGTGAGATGGCAAGGACGAGACTCCAGCCTCGAGTCTAAGGGATGTAATTGAAGACTCTTCTTCCAACTCTTTCAATGCAAAAGGCCTTATGTTATGGCTCTTAAAGGTTGCTTGGTTGAAACTAAAGAAAAGAACGAAAGGAGAAAAGGTGAAAGAAGAAGATGAGGTCGTACGAAAGACTCGGATGATGGAACTTAGTGATATCTTCTTGGCTTCCAAAGTTCTCTCTCTGCGCCCTTCCCGACCGAGCGCCAACATCCCTTGACGGGAACTCAGCTCAGCAATGGTTGTATGCGTGACCACGGCCCTAGAACCACGAGGACTGCTCCAGTATCACCAGCCTCTACGGCTTAAGCGCCGGGCATCGCCCTGGTCGATATAGATTCTATGGTACCCTTGGCTGAGGTCCCCCTTACCATGGTTTCTAATTATGGCGTCTTGGTGACAAAGAACCCGATGGATGTGGCCATCGTCGACGGAAAGATGCACCTATTCTTCCTGCCCGACGAGCCGAACTCGACGCTCTACGTCTATGAGCCGGCATGAGAGGGGCTCCGCGTGTCAGACAGAGCAAGAGGCTCGAGGCTTTTCTCGAGAGCTGCCATGCTTGGTTTTCTTCCCGGTTGGGGCTATCCGCCCAAAAGCTGGGTTCGTCAGCGCTCATCCACTACTGTCGAGGCCGACTCGTTCCTAGTTCGATCAAGGTCGAGTCTGGGCATCTCTGGTGATGGGACGCCCCTGTCAGATGCGCGCGGACGATATCTGCTCCTCTTCTCGACCTCTATCACTGATCACTATTGTATGAAAGTTCATAGCTGTATCCTGGCGCTAGTCACGCAGATCCCATCGTGCGCTTAGGGGTAAACCGGATCTACCGAGTCCAGATCCCGTCTTGGCTCCGGCCTCCGGAGTCTCGTCCGCACGTGGCACGGACCCAGGAATCCGGCACGTAGCGTTACGGATGGTTCTCAATCCGATGTCATGTCCTCGACTGGCAACCATGATGAAGGAAGGGTCGCTAATGATAATCAACTGTTGATGTGCAGGCTCAGCCCGGTAAGTTCACCCAGCCGGAACCCTCCTGTGTCCACTTTCAATCCAATCGCTCACCGTTCAGCAGGCGGAAGTCAAGGCCGCGAGCCCAATCAGGCGATGTGGGCTCCGGTCCTCGAACTAGTATTCATGCCATGATGTCGCGACGTTGCGAAGGGGATGGCCAGTATGCCAAGTGTATAATGTATCCTCAACGGCTGCGCCCGTCTGGCTTGATGTCGGTCTCCTGACTTTGGCAAACCAAAGTGCAACCTGTTTCTTGCCGTCCCCTCCTTTGATTTGGTGGCACACGGTCGTTTGCCCTTCTATTTTTTTTTCTGACAATGAGGCAGCCGTCCAGGCCCTCCCGGACCAAGGCCGCCCTCCTTCTCTCGCTAGCCTCGGCCTCGTTTGCTCTCACCGCGCCCCTGGACTTCACCAACAACCTCAGCGACAACAGTATCTACGACACGACCGCGACCTTGTGTGATAAATTGTGTGGCGTAGACTAGGCCGGCAGAGACGTCGCTGCCCAGACTGGCATAGCCAACTTCGAAGACTGCATCGAGCTTCGCGACGCCACATCTAACTGCATTGATGTCTCCTACTCCCCCTAACGACACCTACTGGATGAAGAGCAGCCTCGGGGCACCCTCTCAAACGGCGGAATATGGACCGCGCGAAGCCGGATCACCCAGATCACATGCGAGGGCAACAAGTCCAATGGTACCATTTACGATGCCGCCGAGGGCGGATCGTTCCAGGTTCTCTGGCGTTGACTGTACTGGAGGCGGCCTTGCTGCTACCTCAGAGACCGGCTCTTCTCAAGCGTAAGCTGCCTCTCCTGATTTTAACTTACCAGTAGATGCAGATGAACAGGGGCAATGCCACCGAGGACTGCGCCTCTTTCGTTGCCCCGTCCTGCTATATGAAGAGCAGCACCACTACGACGCTTGTTCGTGGCCATGTCTGGACCGGCAAGAAGGGACTACTCTTGGAAGCTAACGTACCCGGCTCTCAAGCAGGCCGTCAGGTCGATGGGTCTCAACAAAGACCTCTCCTGCGACAACTGTGGTTTCTCCAGCTCAAACATTCAGGTCTCGGGCAAGATTGTGATCAACTTGACGGCCGGTGCCATCAAGAAGGCGACGATCACAGCGGGCATCAGTGTACTGCCGGCACAATTACGGCCCCGAAGTCGGACGGTGCGTGCAACGGCGGATGGAACTACGCGTAGTCAAACAGCGCGCTTGGTGCTATTACTTTGGACAATACCTTCAACATTCAACATTGTGTCAGCCATCAACCCCCTTCAGGTTTTCCCCTCTTTCCTAACTGGATGAATACTAAAGCACCCCAGACGGGCCGTGTTCTACGGCACTGGCGTCAACTACCACGCCAATGCGATCGTCTCCACGTCTGGCAGTGCCCAGTTTAACCTCAACAATGCCGCTGTCACCATGGACCTCCTCTCTGGCAACATCCTGTCGCAGCAGAACTGGGCTCCGCAAATCACATTCACCAACCCGATGTTTACCTCAGGCACCAACACTCGGCTGACGTCGTACATGCGCTGGGTCTGGCAACCTTGCCGTCAACATTTCTCTGGCCAGGTTGCGCTCTTGCCGACATCACGTCCGAGACGGCCGTGAGTCTGGGTTCCAGCTATTCATTCTCGGCACAGGGCAGCTGCCCGGTTAACAACCTGCTCGTTACGGGATACGGGAGCACCAAGAACAGGGCGAGCAACGGCAGACTTGACCAGATTGCTGTGCTCGGACCAGCAGTACAAATCGCCCAAGTGCTACAACGTGCCCAACAATCAGCCCTCTCGGGGCGACATGAAGGCCCTGTCGGCGTCAGGCCAGGAGTATTGTACCTCGTATATCAACTACGGGACGCCGAAGGTTTACCAGTGGAGCACATTTTCGGTGACAGTGCCCTCTACATCGACGGCCTTCACGACCCGACCACCGTTACCGGCACGCCCACCATCACTGTCTATTCGACCACGACCCTGACGGCCTACTACACGTCCACCGGCACCGCGAGCTCGACTACCGACACGTCGCTTCCCATGAAGTACATGGAGGGGCGGAGCGAAGACGACAAGCTCTGGGTGCCGCCTCCCGTCTCGAAACCCATGACCAAGCTTGTTCCCACCGAGGCTGCAAGGGAATCGTCCTACCCTGCGCTCCAGGTCGACCGGCGTTCCGTGGCGCCTGCGGTTGTGTCGGGATGGCCGGAGCCGAAGTTCTTGTACGCGTGCTCACAGGTGGCCACAGGCAAGACCACGGTTACTTCGACGGTGACGTCGACCACCACGTACGGCCAGAACCGTCCTCACCGAAACCCGGACCGCCAACACGCAGGGCCCGCTCTGCACCGTGACCAACATGCAGAATTCGACTGTCTACGGCGGCTTTTCCGGTACCGGGCCCGACAAACGTGACGCAGTATAGCTGCCAATGCAGACGCAAGTCTCGTGTCTGCGCTTCAAGAGCCACGGCCCGCCGCACATCGACACCGCAAATACCAAAGTTACTGGGCTGACTCAAACAGCGCGTGCTTTGGCCCGCGCACGTGTATGACGTGTGGTACCCCAACTGCAAGGGCAGGCTCGAGGGCCTTCTTTAGCATGCCCGACCTGTGGACTGTTGGGAGCTGCCCAACCAGCGCTATTTCATGGTCATGGATGATGGCCCGAGCTGGACGCCGCCGAGCTGGACGCCGCCGAGCTGGACGCCGCCGAGCTGGACGCCGCCGAGCTGTCTCAAGAACAGGATTCCGACACGCTCGAGTGCGCACTGCCGGGGAATCGAGCCCCTCGTAATCCTGCCGCCGAGCTATGCAATCACTGGGTATGGATATTTCGACTCGGGGGTCAGTATGCCGCTGTTTTAACAGCACGTATCTCGGGTCGCAGCGAATTCGTTGCTGTACGAGGGGACAGAGTGCCTGTGTGTCTGGGTTAGGGTAGTCGGCGGTAGTATCTTTGAATAACTGTGGTGTATTGGAGTGAATAAGTGAGTACACGTGTACTGATAATGTATGTTGATGGCGTCCAGGCCAGCTCCTGATTTTTATCGTAATGTCTGTTGACTGACACGTCGATTGATCCGGTGAAGCTGGGACGAACCGTTGGATTCGGACGGGGTTGAGAACGGCGCTTGACCTTAAGCAGTTGCCACATCATGCTCACCCGTCCCCGCCTTGTGGGGTAACATATGGGCTGCGCGGGGCAACAACCTCAGGAATCGAAGGAATGCGAGGCTGTCTTTGCGTCAGGCACCGAACAGACGTTGAAATAGAAGCTGATGCGGATTGAAACCGCTGATAACGTTGCTGGGACCCTTGAATATTTACTTCGTATTGACGCATTCAAAAACAATTAATTACGGAAGTAAAGTTCGTGCTGAGCTTGTTGTTGCGTCACAAGGTCCGACGACGTCAGTTGATTTCTGGAAGCCGATAGGTCCGCCGTCGAACCTTCTACAAGCTCCTGCTCACGAGGAGAGGCACGACCTCTGCCAAGGGCATTCTAAGCCTCCTCGCCTGTGCACATTTGCCTTCCAACTCGGCTGGCGATAGCCTCATCGATTTCGTTCCCATCTTCGCAGTTACCATTGCCGTCCCAAATCACCTGGTACGTATTGAGCAGGAAACCCCCCACGACGTCTTCAGAGAGCTCTGGAGCTTTCACGTTACTTCTACCTACAAGCGATACCGGCCATTCGCCCGTTTCCCTTACCTTCTAAGCTACAACGAGCGACCTGCAGCAGTAGATCAGCTACCCACCTTCTAATTCGCCCAAGGGTAGTGACGCAGGACAATTCACTCCGCACACGACCTCCTCTCGAGACGTCTGCAACAGCAACAGCAACAGCAACAGCAACAGCAACAGCAACAGCAACAACAACAACAACATCCGAGAGAACACCCTCTATTGCATCCGAGACACTTTTTCTTCAACACCCGAAAACCCATCCACCATGGTCAAAGAGACCAAACTCTATGACGCGCTGAACATCAGCCCCAATGCCACACAAGACGACATCAAGAAGGCATACAGGTAAGTTCACCGCCTGATCACCGTCTGTTTGCTCTCTTGCGGTAGCTACCCGAGAAGGGTTGGGGACGTCCCAAGATGTATTATCGTTTAGACGTCTTGCCGTCTCCCATGGCCCTTCGATCATGGCTCATCTCTCCCGACACCTCGACCCCCAGAACCCCACAGCTAACTTGTCAACAGGAAAGCCGCCTTGAAATGGCACCCCGACAAGAATAAAGACAACCCCGACGCCGCCGAGAAGTTCAAAGAGTGCTCGCAGGCATACGAGATCCTGTCGGACCCAGAAAAGCGCAAGCTCTATGACCAGTTCGGCCTCGAGTTCATCCTGCGCGGCGGCGTCCCGCCACCAGACGGCGCTGCCGGCGGGAACCCGTTCGCCAGCGCGGCCGGCGGCATGCCCGAGGGCTTCGCCTCCTTCTTCGCCAACGCCGCCGGCGGTCCGGGCGGTCCCGGAGGAGGCGGCGCTCGGTTCTCCTACAACTTCAACTTCACCGATCCCAACGACCTATTCCGCAACACCTTCCGCGACAGCGGCCTGGGAAGCGACATTTTCGAGGACTTCTTCGCTGGCGCTGCGCGGTCGTCGGCTTCGACATCGTCGGGTGGTGGTGGTCCTGGTGGGTCCCGGCGGAGCATGCGCGGGTCGTTTGGCGAGGGTATGCGGGCCGCGCGGGCGCCGACGCCCGAGGTGACGACGGTGGAGCGGCCGCTGCCGCTGTCGCTCGAGGACCTGTTCAACGGCGTGGTCAAGAAGATGAAGATTAAGCGCAAGATGTTTGACGATTCGGGCAAGCGCACTACGACCGACACGGTGCTCGAAGTGCCCATCAAGCCAGGGTTGAAGAAGGGGAGTAAGATTCGGTTCAAGGGTGTCGGCGACCAGGAGGAGGGCGGACAGCAGGACTTGGTGTTTATCGTGGAGGAGGTAAGTCTCATCCCACTCCCCCCTTGCCCCCCCCCCCGACACTCTTCCATCTCCGTTCAAGTACTAACATGCTTTTCTACCAACAGAAACCGCACCCCCTCTTCACCCGCGAAGGCGACGACATAGTGCACACGGTCGATCTGGATCTGAAAGAGGCCCTCACGGGCTGGAAGCGCACCATCACCACAATTGACGGCAAGAATCTCAACATCGACAAGGCCGGGCCCACGCAGCCCGGGTCTTCGGATTCGTACCCGGGCTTGGGCATGCCCATCTCCAAGAAGCCGGGCCAGCGCGGTAACTTCATCGTCAAGTACAACGTCAAGTTCCCCATGACGCTCAGCCCGACACAGAAGCAGCGATTGAGGGAGATTCTTTGAATTAACGGTTGGGAGTCAGTGGGATGAACTCTCATAACTCCCGCTCGACTTGGCACGTCGCGCAGTTACAGGAAATATCGTAACATCATCAAAAGGGGCGTTTGGCGTTCAATTCTCTTCACTTTCATCATAGCACCTTTATTCCGCGATCTCCATCGTTTCGGTGGAGGTTGGTACGTAGGCGGTAGGAAATGGGGGAGCATGGCTGTGAAGGATTCAGTCAAACAGGAAGTGGTCTGTTGGATTGGATCGACAGCAAGCAATAGCGCCGGGTTACTTGGACCCGGAAAATTGTTTCTATTACAAGTACGAGCACAAGATTGATGATAAATGACGAAAAGATGAGCCGAACCTGGTTCGAGGGGCCGAGTTCCGGGCTGTGCTTGTGGTAGGAAGCTTGCTTATAGACATGGATAAGACCACTTTCAGTTGGGCTAAGGTTGTTGTGTTGGACAAGGTAGAGGTGGTAGGTATCTGCATTTGCATTAGATCCGCCTACAACGCGATGGACAAAGTGATTAGGTATGTATGTACAGAACACAGGTATGCGGATGGACCATATCGTCACGAACTCTCAGATGTACGAAGCTCTCAATTCATTACTCACTTCGGGAGCTCAGTTCGGAATGCGGTGCTGAAATGTGCTTCAGGTTCTCACTACACACTACAACGTTCGATACGAAAAGACCACTCCGAAGACGGATTGTTCTCGCGTCCCTGCATATAGGCCATCCTGGTGAGGGGGGCACCAAGGTACTAGTACCTAGGCGAGAGCGCTGTTGCCGACAGCCCCGCAGCCGCGTGATATTCCCTGATGCTCCCGTTCCGGTCTTGTTCTCAGACACCAGCTCTTCCATAATAGGGGGACACATTTGTGCGCGTTCCAAGGCAGAAAACAGAAGCGAAGCCTGACGAGATCCAAGCTCGTTTGTGGGTGGTCGGTGGCATATGCCAATGCCAGGGCCGCTAATCCGAAAGCCACCATCTGGGTATATTTGAAGGAGCCCAAGAAAGCAAACGTGAAAAAAACATGGACAAGAGCCGCCGATCAGTCATCATAAGAGGGCTACAGTGGGGGCCCAAAAGTATCCGAGCACCACACATTTCCCGACCTCCCACATTTTACATCGTCCCTCCTTATCCAACAATAACTTCACACAACCATATCACAGCGCAAAACTGATAGTATCTGAGTGATGGCCAAGTGCAGGGCTTTAATATTTTGTGTACCAGCACCCTAGCCTTCTTCACGGCGGCCAAGCGGCGTGGCATGCCGTCGATCAGCTTGTCAATCCATCCTGTTCTACTGCCCACCATGCCGTCCGCAAACACTCGGTAAAGTACTTGATATCCAGCGTGTTCTTCTTTACTTCCCAGAGATCAGGGAACAACTTCCTTAGCTTCCGTTTAAGAGCAGCCCAGACGTGCTCAATCGGGTTTAAATCGGGACTGTGTGCAGGCCATTCGATCTATGAGATTCCCCGTGATTGGAGCCACTCCTCGGTCGACTTACAGACGTGAATCTTTGCGTTATCTTGCTGGAAATGCCGTGTTTCGTCGTAGTGAGGAATGAGACCTTCTTGGAGGGCCTTTTGATACGACCTAGCTGTATACCCCTTCCGAGGAGCATCGTCGTCACGGGCTATAACGATGAGCTCGCTCCGCCCCCCCTTGAAGATCATTCCCCAGACCATGATAGTGATATTCGCCTTCACATGGTTTTGAAGGTTTACGAAACGCTTATCGAACTTCTTAGAAGGGAAACGGAACACCTAGGAGATCGGGTTGGAGGTGCTATTCTGGTAAGAACACTCGTCTGAGAACATAGTCTGGAACAGTTAGCGGGTAAGAAATCCAGGTCAATTTTAGAACGACAAACCTGCAAGATTTCCTCAATATTTTCAAGCCAATCGCATGCGAAATTATACCTATCCCTTGCTACCTCCTTGCAAAGGGGTATCCGCTTCATTGCCTTCCACTTGCGCATGTTTGTTGGCGCGGAGGCATCGTTTGATCGTAGAATAGGAGACGACCTTACCTGTAGCGTTCACGAGCGCCTTTTTAGCGAGAGTTCGATTCCGTTTGACAAGCAATATTGTATACCGCTTTTCCTTTCAGGTGAGCGCCTGGGGCCGGCCTTTGCGAGGCTTGGATTCGAAGGTGTGGTTCTTGTTCCAGTGTTCAATGGCGTAGTGTACCGTGGACGGAGAGACGCGAAACAAGCCCGCGACGAACCGCTCGCTTTTTCCAGCTGCCACCAGCGTGCACATTGCGGCATGAATCCCGAGCGATAACTCCTGGTTCCGGCTGCGGTTTGCTGTCAGCTGGCCCGCAAAATCTTTTAAATTGAGCTTCATTTGGTCGAGTTGTGGAAGGTTGAAGAAACCGTACTGGTCGCGACGCGCTGAGTTCGCGTTTAATTGAGGTGGGGTGCTCGGATACTTTTGGCCCCCCACTGTACCATGTAATCTTGGTGACCCTCGTCTTCAGATCCGGGGTGCCCGTCTTGAGGTTCCGCGACCCCAGCTGGATGACAGCCGATCGCTCGCGCAAGTCGAACTCGACTGCCCTGACCATGACCCGCTTCTCCTCGGGTATTGGTATCGCCTTGCGCTGCTGCTGCTGATGATGATAATGCTGTTGTTGGTGTGGCGGTGAGCGAGGCGAGGGAAATGCGGTATGACTTGAGCTCGCACTTGGAGTGGGGGATGCTTCCCACCGTGTGTTTCCGATTCCTGAGTAAGACTGGAATTGAGGGCTGCTGCCGCCTGTCGGAGGGTGAGAGTGCGTCTGGACGGGGCTGGAGGCCGGGGTGGGAAGCGTTTTGCCGTATCCAGACCCGTCGAAGAAATTGATGTCCTCTTCTTCGATTTCGGCAATCCACATGCCGATTCGGGCCGTCAGCTCGCTGTCCCACATGCCCTCTCGCCTGGCGCTGCTGCGCAGCAGCTGGATAGCCTGCCTCCGAATGTGCGGCTCGCGGCACTTGGTGGCGACCACGTACAATGGTGGGACAATTCCCAGGTCGGCGCTGAAGCTGGGTTTGATGTGTCGTGCGGCGTATTCGTGACCGCCGAAGATGTCGGGCTCGCAGCGGTCCTGGTGGCGGCAGAAAGCTGGGTCCGGACACCGCTTCGCTGCTGCTCTGCGTTCCTCGTCGCCGACCACCTCAAGCGCGAGATCGACGATGCCCTTGAAGTAGGGGGTGAAGTTGTCAAAGTGCATTTCGCTGTCGCTGAAGGTCATGAGGAAGAGAACTTTGCCCATGATCTGGAACATCTTGAGCACGGCAATGGCAGCCTTTTCCTGGCTGCTCACACCCGGCGCTGTCCTGGAGGCAAGGATGTGATCGAACGCCTGGGACCAAGCCTCGATGTCCTTCTTGAAGGAAATGCCGTAGTGCTGCAGCGACGTGGGCAGCACACCCATGACGCCGTTTTGTGCGTGAGCAAACATGGTCTCGGTGAAGCGGAAGATGCGCTCGCAGAGCTTGTCCCACGCCATCCGCGCTTCCATAACCGATGAAAAGCGGTCCGGGATGGGATCCTGGTTGATGCTCGGCGGGGACGAGGCATCGGAAGAAGGTGAAGTAGGGTCCTGCCCGGGACTCGAGGTCAGGCGCACGACCCAGGGCTGCGGGAAATGGAAGGCCATGTCGTAGGATTTCGCTTGGATGGCAAGACGCGTGAACATCTGCGTCAGCTCCTCCTCGACGGGTTCCTCGGATGAAGAGAGGAAGGCCCGCTTCCTCTCAGCACGCAGCTGCTCCAGCAGCCCCAGTCCGGTCTGAATTTGGACGATGGCCTGCCTATGGTCGCCAACAAATGAGTCGAAACACGCCAACAGCACACTTGCCATTAGCCTCGTCCTGTGCGAAGTGATCTCAGCCGAGTCCGCTTTCACCAGAGCATTACAGGCATGCGAATACTGCCTGAAAGCCATCTCCCAGTGCCGCCGCGCGTTGTCGGCAGGATCACTGTCTGGGTATGGCGACGCTGGCGGTGACTCATTAGATTTCTCAAGCGTCTTATACAAGGCGCCCAGTGCGACAACGGCATGGCGGATAGCGGTTGCGGAGTGGCACTCCTGAAGGACGCTGCGAGTCCAAAAAGCCGAGTCGAAGAAACCAGAAAGCTCGCTTGCGGTGTGTTCACGAAACAGCTGGAAGTACTGGCCTTCTTGATCGCTAAAAAGGGTCATCGAGGGGTGGTATAACAGCATCATAGCACTTGGAGTACTTGGCGTCAGAGGGGGGGTGGTCCGTCGCTGGTTCTTCAAAGCCCGTCGGGGGGGCAGCTGGATAGGCTCGCGGTTTGGTGGTGGCGCACTTGCCGTCACAGCTCCGATAGGCTTTGGGGCGATCTTGATCTCCTCGAACGGGCGCGAGCTCCGCGGTGGTGGCGGATACCCGGGGCATATCTTCTTGGATCGGATGCAGTTTGCACAGGCGGGCCGCCTTTCGTCGCACTTGATTCTCCTCTGCCTGTACGCCCCAGATGTCAGCGCCGCCAAACAGGTGCACCCTAAAGCAGAAATCTCTCTTACTTGCAGTTATTACACCCGGTCTTGACTTTCGGCTTGCTCGTCCTGGCGCGTTTTGACTTCTGCTCAGCATCGCCGAAGGAATCGCTGACGGGCGGCGCCTGTCGGGGTATAGCACCCGAGATGGATGCCATCACACCGAGCTTCTCCTTGGCTGTTCCACGTCGACTGCTCGACTCGACCTTGAGGCAATGGGACTGGCGGAGCCGTCCCGTCGCTTGGTCGACAGGAACGCGCGGAGCTCGTTGGAAATGTGGGACAATGAGCAGCAGGAGTCCAGGTTGCGCAGACTTTGGATATTTGGACGATGGGCGGCTGTCGCGTTCGGATATAGAACGGTAGAACGGCGTGGGTGAAGGAAGGTGACCAGCAGCCTACAATCGGCGTCAAAGAGGACTGAGGTGTCGGGACCCCGAGTTGAAAAGATATGGAGGGGAAAGACTCGAAACAAAGCGACAAGGCCTCGTGAACTGGAAGTCCAGATCCGGGGGCGAGAGTCGGAGGACTTAAGAGTTCGATTCTGTTTGGTCCCTTGGTCATCAGCTACGGCCCGTGTGCCCCATCTGCAGGCCGCCCTCCAGCCCACTTTTCTCTGCCGCAGAGCTCCGGTAGCTTGCAGTTCGTGGGGCCTAGGCAGCGCAGGGTGCTCATGCTCTGCGGTTCGCCGAATACCCCTGAACATGGCCAGATCTGGCTTCATGAGTTGGGTCGTGGAGTTCAGGTTGATTTTCGGCGAAGTCCTGGGGTTGAAGATGCGCGTTTTGTCGACTTCAGCACCATCAACTAGACCAAGCAAGATGGCACCGCACATTGTACAGTGTGCCGGCGACGCTTCCGAGGTTGCTCATTGTACTCTCTCGGCGGCCAAGGTTCCATCACACCAACTTGGCTGCGAAGTCTCTGGGGGTCTCATTTGGTGGCTGTCGGTGGGCTGGCGGATCGGCCGATGGGGTGTTGGTATGATTGCCGAGACTCGCGCTGACGGTGCAAATTGCACAAGTGGGCGGTACGGAGTACACGTGTAAGTAGCGTTGTTCCATGAAGTTATGGACAAACGATTTGATTCCCCGGCCATCCGTGGATGATCTGCATTCTGGTCGCTTGATCACGTCTGGGAAGGTGCTCTGAGTTTCTCAATTGTCGGGATGTGGCAGACCGCGCAAAGCCACAATCACCAGGACCCTTGGCCCACCTCGGACTAGCGAGCACCGCCTTGCAACTTGCATCATCTTACATCTTAAACAACTTCCTAATCGCCTTTCACAAACACACTGGAATATCACAAACCTTCCCATGTCCTAGTCTAATGAAGCAAGCTTCTCGTATACGAAGCGCTGCGGAAGCTGTTGGAGCCACCTGCACTGCGTAGATGGATCGTCCGCATCAACAGCGTCACCTTCGGCGTCTCCTGTGGGCGGCAACAGCCATGACGCAGCCGTCACGAGTTTTGTGCGACTCGCATCCCATGCCGGCCTCTGTCATGGTTGTCCACTTTCAACTATGCTGCAATTCGCGAAGTCGCCGAATGGGCTCTTCAATCGCCCGTGTGCGGGAGTGCCGCCCTTGTTGTACCCGCTCCCACCAAGCTCGACCCGTCAACTCCCTCATACATCGACCACCGTTTTTACACCTATATTGGTAAGGGCTGTAATTGTGTCGCTTCCTCGCCTGTCAGCTTGACCTCTTTCCAAGTCCTTTACTAGCGGAATGCACCTGGCTGAGACCAAAATGAGGCCGCACTCAACGGCCATCGTCGGGTTGGCTGTTTTTGACCTGCGGCCGGGTAAACATCAGGGAGGCGAGCAGAGGTGTTGATGATCAGGTGTCGTCCCTGACTCTGGGCCCGTGGGGTCCGACCGCCCTCCATTTCAGCCCTACGAGATGCCCACAGGTTGGGGTGGCCATCTGCATGCCCCCCGTAAGGTATGTTGCCTTGCCAATTGGTCATGGGCAGCCGATCCGGCACCGCGCGCAGGCGATCGAGCTGCGGGATCCTAGAATCGGCATTGAAAGATCATTACCTGCACCAGTGAAGGATTCTCGCAATCGCGAACTCAGCCCTACGGACTCCCGCCAAGCACGCAGGCACTGGCCTCGGCTACGGAGGTACCCGATTCCGTGGCTCTCGCCGTCGTTTTGTCTCTTGCTAATGATCCTGAGCACCATTCTTCACCGGCGACGGAGTACCTCAGTTCTACTGTGGTAGTAGAACGGGCTGCGCCACTGATTTGCTGGGTGTTGGATGCCAGAAGCTGTCTGGAAGCACACCAACTAGAGGCGGTGAGCCTCGGCGGGACGGGTGGGGAGCCAAGGCCGTTCGCTTGTGGGAGAGCTAGAAACGACTGCCAAAGAGCTTCCCGCACCAACTACCTTAGCGTTCGAGAGCGTGTCGACAACAACGACTGATGGGCCGAGGAACGTTACGACAACTTTCAAGGAAGAGCTCGGACTATGAGAGCACTCGTTCCGCCGCCAGAGAAATGGGGACGCCAAGCCTGCAGGAGCATTCCATTCGGCCCATCTGTGCATGACCACTTTGATTTGCCGCGCTGTGTCCGGTGTCAGGGCAGGTGTGGGGGTGGGCTGTGCTTGCGAGCTACAGTCAGTTCTGTACCATCAGCAAGTTCAGTACGCTGGTGGTCAGCGGGGCCATCTGGATTCAAGGCACAATGAGAACCATCTTTGTTCCGAATATGGTCTTTACGTGCCTTTCCCCCATTGCAACACCGCTCGCAATCACAGTCACTGTCCATTGCCAGCGACTCGGTTCAAAGGATGCAGTAGTGAGTGCATACTTCGGTTGGGTCGTAGTCAAGGTCACATAATATGCGATTTGGTTGCAGTGATCTGGGTGCATGGATTCACCTTCGGCTGCCTCCAACCGTTGCGGGGGTGGCTGAATCCTGCCAGCACAGCCGGTAGCCAGATCACATTGCCAGCTTTATCAGGCCGGTAGTGAGATGCTTGGCATAACCGGGAGGAAGGCGACGAAGAAGGCGACTGAGTCCTTGCCGGTTCAACCAAGGCCGCTTGGTGTAACAAAGCGCTTGCACATCATCAGATGGTTCAGGCGGCGTGAAATTGGTTCCTGTATGCAACGCAACAGTGCCTCATATCAACCTGCACTCATCCCCGCTTACCTAACCGATAGGAGAGTCCCCAAACCCTTGACCGAGACCCCGCTTGAATATGGCGCTGGCAAAGTTGGAGGCCAAAGACCGTCCGACATGAGCTCCTCTGCGTGTCAGATTGGCTAGGCCCATGTGCCACGTTCCAAGCTCAGGGACCGGACTGCAATTGAATGTGTCGAATCCCGGACCTCGACAACTGGCCATGCGCGTGATTCAGCCCTATGAGCTTTCTCCGCTAAATCCGCCCGTTAGTCCCGACCAGCAGCCCAGTCGCTGCACGTTTCAAGCTAAGCCCCAACCCTGGAAAAGTCCACTTTCCAATCTCGTCAGGCACCTGATGGGCGAGGTCGTGGTCTCGCTCACAGACCCCTGAATGAATGAGCGACACTACGATGGCGTTGCCGACTCTGGACCAGGTCATTTTCCCCGAACAGGCCAACCACAACTTCTCGCGCATTTTGGGCGACCTCAAGCGGGCCAACCTGTCCATCACCAACCGGCTCAACAGCATTTGCCACGATGCGGCCTTTGTCGCCGAGGTCGCCGACGCGCTGAAGCTGCCGCTCGTAGCTAATGAGCGGTGCGGGAGCTGGTATATCGATTCCTCGCGGAAGGTCGCGTCGGCGTACTTTAAAAGCACCGATGGGCATACCGGGCAGTGGAAGTTTAGTACGAGGAGGTTGAATCTACATTTGTTAGGTCTGATTGGGAAGCACGATGGGTGGGTGCTCTGTTTTCTCAAACCGAATCTCATTGTCTTCGTCTCTTACACAACACTATCTCATTTCTACTCCTTTGGTTCCCCCCTCCCCCCCCCTTTCTTTTTCTTTTTCTTCTTTTTGGCTTGGTTTTGTTGATCATTCTTCTCTTTTCACTCTCCCTTCCAATTCAACCATAACAAGTATTCTCTCAAACACCCACTAACAATCCACTCCACAGCTGCATTATAGTCGACTCAACACGCCGTGGCAAGCGTATGTTCCAGCTCTCTCCCCGCTCCGCTTCCAATCATTAACACCCGTCCAGGCATGCCCGACGCGCTAAGCAAGACGGTCCCAACCTGGTGCGCCGTCCTCAACCGCGCCCTCTTCCCCTCCCACCCATACCCGTCGTCAGCACACGCCCTCTTCACGCCGCCGGACACTGTCTCTCCCTCGGAAGCGAGCCAGATCACTGCCCTCCTGCCCTCGTTCGTCTCATCTTTCCTGGCGCTCAACCTCGACCTCGCGCCACTGCGCGCAAGCCTGCAAAAACCGATCCGGCCGGTGTGGATTACGCCCGACGACGGCGATCCTCGCCTGCTCGCTGCTGATGAGCGCATGTTGGCAAGGGTGAGGGAGGAGGGGTTCCACCCTGTGCTGTGCTGCACTGCTTCAAGGAAGGTGGTTGGGGCTGAGATGGCCGAGGGCGGGTATATCCAGGGGGCCGGGGACGATACCGAAAACTGGGCGCGGGGGCTCACGGCGGAGGTGTTCTGGCGGTGGAGGGAGGAATTGCTTGCTACGCCCGAGGGCGACTTGCCTGAGTTGATTGCTGAATTGTTGAAGAGGGAGGAGACGGAAAGGAAGGGGAAGGACGAAGGTTTGAAGGAGGTGGTGGAGAGGATCTTTGTGGGGAGGCTTGGGGCGCGGGTGGATGAGGGTGCCTGCGTGGTAAGGCTGGTGCCCGAAATGACCGACAGGAAGGGGTGGGTCAAGGGAAAGAGGTGTTTGGAGGTGGGAATTGGGAAGGGAAAGGGCGCGAGCCGAGTCTTGAGGGACGCACTGCCAAAAATCTGTGAATTTGTGTTGGCTTACTTGAGGAGGCCTGAGACCGGGGAGGACGAGGCTCCGAGGAAGGTGGTGGTGCTGTGCGAATCTGGAAAAGACTTGTCTGTTGGCGTCGCCCTCACGGTGTACTGCTGGTGCTTTGACGACGACGGAAAGGTGCGGCCGGATGATAGCGAGGTGTCATTCAACAAAGCTGCGATTCGGGTCAGGCTGGGGCACATAGTGACCGCACACCCCGAGGCCAACCCTAACAGAGCAACACTGCAGAGTGTAAACAGCTTCTTGATGGACTGGCGGAAATAAGAAAAGCAAAAACACAAATATTCGCTGCGTCTATCATGCGTATCCAATGTCTGACCAATGTTTCTATAAAAATTGCATCACCAACCGCGACCCTTTAAATCTCACCGCGCTCGACTTTGGCCAAGCACTCGCCGAATTGGCTCCAATCGTCCATTATCACGACGGCACCTGCCTCCTTCAAGACCTTGATCATCTTCTCCTTCTCGGCTTCCGCATACGGCCCAACATAGCCGATGACCTTGATACCGGCACGGGTACCGCTCAAGGTCCCGCTCTTGCTGTCCTCGACAGCCACACACTCGTCCGCCTTCTTGCCGAGCTTCTCCATGGCGTACAGATAGATTGCCGGGTCGGGCTTGCTCGTGGGCTTGGGCAAGCTCGTCGCGGCCGAGTATACGTCGTCTCCGAAGTACTTGGCCTGCCCGACTTTCTCGATGCTGGCCCTGACGCGCCTGAGCGCGGAGCTGCTGACGACGGCCAGCTTATACTTGCCCGAGGCGGCGAGCTTGGCGAGCACGTCGTCGACGCCGGGGCAAGAGACGAGCTTCTCCAGCAACTTGGCGATGACGACATCCTCCTCGCGGCGCACGTAGTCGTCGAGCTCGGCGTCAGTCATGTCGAAGTCGAAGCGCTGCTGCAGCGACTTCATCATGCCGCGGAAGTTTTGGCCGACGAACTCGATGATGAGCGACTCGCCCGTAAATGGCTTGTCGAGCGGGATATTCTTGGTCGTGGCAATCTCGTTAATCAGGTCCGCGCAGCCTTCGAAGGCGAGTTCTTCGGACAGGACGAGGGTGTTGTCGCAGTCGAGGAGGATGGTGTTGATCTGGCGGAAGGGTGATTGTTAGGCGGTGTCGGACGGACGGGGATGGGCAGAAGTACCTTTGCCATTGTGATTTATGGGAGGCCGTCCGCCTGTTTGATCGAGGAATTTTTTGTTGTGTTGTGATATGCGCAAGATGGAGGATCGTCTCCAGTAACTGCTATGTCGGGAAGTCTCGCAGCGGTGGCTCCACGATGGCTTTGTCCTCGGATTGGACTCGAGGACAGGAGAAAGTGAAAAAATACTAATTTATGCCTGCAATCTGAAATAACCCCGTTCCCCGGCCACAACCCCTTCTTAAAGTCAGGAACAATCGACTGGTGCCTGAGAGGGAACCGCAAATGCGGAACCAACATTTACGACCCCGCTGCGGACAGGCCTGTCCAGCCGTTGATCATGACGTAAGGTGGGGGGCTCCTAGGGGCCGGTCCCTGAGACCCTGAAACGGCCCTGATGAAGGCAGCCAATCAAGGCGGCTGCAACGCGCCCAGATTTGGTCTTTCAAGCATGGACTTTCGGTCGTCGGCACTGCGCGGACCCTTCCTACAACATCTCGCCTACCGACCAGTACTGCGATCGCTGACTCTCGCTCAATCTTTTGCCAGACGCGATCCACAGTCGCATTCACGGACTATAGTCGGCTCTGGAATGTCTATCCACGGCTCTGGCGACGGAGTTCAAGAAGACGTCGCCCATTTCACTCTATTCACGCCTATCGAGTTCACGATATTTGACCTCGTGAGAGATAAAATCTATTTTGTGCACTAGAACGTCAAAGATCAGCCACAAAGTCAAGGCATACGTGGTAAAGTGTAGCGCTGCCGAGTGGGATGCAGCCGAGACGCGATAGCTGATGCTTGTGTTGCAGACGATCGAGTCGCATTGGTGGGGCCCTCTCACCAGGACGTATTGTGGTCCTGTACAGATCATAATGTCTATTCCACTACCATGGGGGCGTGTCTCGATCAGCATGTTAAGGCATGGGCTCAACATGCCGACGCTGAAATGAGCTCCGAGACAGAAAAACCAGTTAGCCAGTCATCAGTCAGCCTTTCTTTTCTGCATGCGACATGGCTCTTCATGTTCCATGTTCAACACGTGCACTGCACTCCCAACCTGCCAACCCCATCCTCCACACCCTAACGTGCTCTCCAGCCAATACCGTCGCTTCGGGTTCCGTGGTGCATATACGGAGCGGGTCCTCCCACCACTGTCGTCCCGCTGCGTATTTCGCGTCTGCGGCTTCTTTTCGACAAACAATCCCTTTTTGTTCTGGGCTTCGTGCGGCTGAATGCTGGCTTGGCGTCCATGCGTCTGCTTCCCCATCCTCAAATGCACCGGGTAGGACCAATGTTCCAAAGAAGGGCCTTCTCCAGACATCGATGGATCATATATATATGGCTACACATAGCTAGCTCGCTGGACCCCAGAGGCTTCGCATCTGCGTATGTCGTGCTGTCCTTTCTGTTTTAGTCCCTCTTCCTCCAAGATGGCCGTCACAATCAACAGCACCACAGAATACAATGACTCGGAGAAGCCGTCTCAGTCTCTACAGCAGGACAATGTCGAACCCGAAGAGGATCCGATGATCGTCAATGGAGTGGCGCCGGCCTGGACCCGCAATCTGTACCGGCGCATGGCGTTCGGCCGCAAGCACTTCTTCGGCCAGGACGACGCGTCCCAGGCCGCCGATTACTACGTCATGAACCCGGTGCCGCAGAAGCACGCGAGCCAGTGGCGGCCCATCTTCTACCGCGGCGACCATCCCAAGTACACGGGCACGAGTGTCACCGTGGGGCGGGCCTTCCGCACCGGCTTCTGGAACTCGTTTCAGCTGCAGATGGGCGACGGCGTGCACGAGATCTGCGCTAACCAGAAGCGCGCGTACAAGCGGAAGAGCCACGCCCGTAAACAGAAGTGGCGTAAGTTCTGGGGCAGGCCAGAGAAACCACCCGAGCAGCCCCTCGAGGAGGACGTCCCAGTCGAAGGCTTCGTCACTCTCTTCATGGCCTGGCGGCCCAGGTTCTTCACCCGCACCGTGAAGTGGCAGCTTGGCGGCCATGAGTACCGGTGGACCGGCACCAGGCGGTTCATGACGGGGCCTTTCAAAAAGTGGAAGGGAGTATCACACGATTTCAAGGTACACGGCCATCTCTTTCTCTGATTTCCATCCTTCTCTCCCTGGGGTATCATGTAACTAACATCCAAGAAAACAAAAAGCTTGTTGACGAACACAACAACATCATCGCCACCTTCCAAAAGGACCGCTGGGTCTCATACAAGAGCTCCGAGAAGGTCGGCTCCCCACCCAACAAGACACGGTCTCTACTGGGCAAGCTGCGCAGGTACCCTGCCCCGGGCGCTCCTCCAGCCGACGAGATCATCGACAGCATCAGGTCGTTGCCGCCCGACGAGTCCAAGTTCGACAAGAAGCTGGTCAAGCAGCTCAACCTCCAGGGTCCGCACTCGGGCGATCTTACCGAGGAGGCCATCGCCTTCACGTGCTGGATCGTCGTCGAGGGCGAGCACAGGCTCCGGTACAAGATATTTGATCTGCTTGAAGAAGTTGCCGAGACGATCGGAGGCTAATTCTTCTCTCATCTTCCCCATTATCCTCTTCTCTTGAAACCACAGCCTGGGCAACCCGTCCTTACATTCGCTGTGCTCCCTTCGCTTTCTTGTCTTTGTGTCCTTTGCAGAGATACCTGGGTACTTTAATACCTCCACATCGCCTCTCCCTTCTGTCTCGGAGTCTCGACAACAATTTCCGTGTTGAGTCGCATAGTATCGATACCATTTGTTTAGTGCCCTCAATACCTTGTGGTTAATCATCAGTACGTTCAATGACATTAGTCCTTCCACTGCTCGAGTCTCTCGCGAGGCAACAGCAAGCTAACTTGACCCGGGTAGCAGCATGTCGCCCATCACAGCAAGGGTTTCTCCGCGATACACGACCAGTACATAATCAGCTGATAGGGAAGTGGCACTGTCACCCCGCTCTTGTCGGAGACATAGTACATTACACTTGTGAGGGACATTGGTGGCATGCTGCTTACTTAGACTCCTGTCTCAAGTCAGAGAACATCGCACAATGATACCAACGGGCAGCAGGTAAAATCTAGTCTAGCTTGAATGGCCGCCCACCTCAAGTTCGTCGTGTTAAAACCCCTTGCTGGTCCAAATCTCGGGCAAGTTCCCCACCACCATCGCAAGAGACCTGAGACAGCCTCAAGTACTTCAAGTAATGCTTCTGCATGAGAGATAAACCTTTGGACTACTACACTACGATCTGTAACCTGTAACCTGGCTCTCCTTTGAGAGGCAGTGGTAGTGTTGAGAAAGGGGTACCGAGAGTGTGTTTGCTTTCCAGCTCAAAGCTCATCCCCTTCGGGAAATGGGTCCCCCTAAAGACTAAGTCTCGAACCACAACATATTCCATATCACATGACCCTATGGTTTCTATGCCAGACTCGGCATGTTCTCAGGTTCTTGGCGGAGTTCACGCATCACCCAAGTCTGACTTACCGCATGGTAACGACGAACTTCCATCCGAATGCGTACTCCTGATCGCACTAGACAACACCTTGCAGCACCGCCAATCTATAAACAGAACTTTCCATGCGCCACTTTCCAGTAGCCCACCACTGAGCTATGCTCAGTGGTGGACTGGCAGGTTGGCAGGTGCCTTACCTTCGGGGAGGCACCTGTTCGACTCCGAGTAAAATCCCCGGGGGACGCCCGTTGGGGTTTTCGTAGCCGACCACCTCGCCCGCCGGTGACGACTGGCCGGGGGAGGTGGGAGGTGAGCTTTCTGATGATTTGATTTAAGAGATTTTCATATCCTTTTCTTTCCGTTCTTCTTGTTTCCCAACACAAGATAAACCAATGCGGACTGTTGGTGTGTCATTAAGATGTCGGTGTCAAATTTGTTAAGCTGCATGAAACTAACTGCATCCCCAACTCACAGAGGCGGCAACTCCTCCCGACAAATCGGACACTGCAGCTTGTACCTGAACCAGCCCTCCAAGCACTTGGTATGAAAGATATGCCGGCACGGGGTAACCATGTACGCCCGTCTCGCAAACACACCCACTAACCCGCCCGCGGCAGCCGCATCCTTCGCATCGGCCCTCACAACCGGCACCTCCAGAACCTCGGTACATATCGCACAATCAATCTCCCTCAACACCATCCTATGCCGCCTGAGCTCCTTCTCCCGCTCCCTCCTCTTTCCCCCATCCTCACCGCCGCCCTCCCCGGCAGACCAGCTCCTCCTCCTCGCCGTAACAGGCGAACTCTCCCGACTACCCTGCATACCACTAGACGAGACCAGCCCAATCGGCAACCCCACCCCGCCGCTGCCACCCTCCATATCGCCAGCACCCTCCTCCCGCAACAAAGGATGATACTCCCACACGTCAGGCATCCAAGCAGCCGGCACCCCGACCCGGGGGCCCAGCACGTCCTGCACGGCCAGCACGACAAGCTGGCACCACACCCACCCGACCAGCGCGGCAAACACGATCCCGTCGGGCTCCACAAACAGGATATTGTCCCCCCGCAGATAAAAATACGCAAACGGCGCCAGCCTCAAAACAGACTGCCCGATCATGAACCGCCAGGCAAACGCCCGGCGGCTGTTCCGCCAGACGTTGCGCTGGATCTGCGGCGTCCAGAGGGAGAGGTAGGCGAAGGAGAGTAAGTGGAAGAGAGCCGAGCGGAAGCGTGGCGGCCAGGTCGACGAGATGCCTAGCAGGATGAAGATTGCTACGCCCACGAGCAGGAGGGTGCCGGTTATGGAGGCGAAGGGGCTGGCTTGCGGCGTGGTTGGGTTGGTGGCGGTGGTGATGGTGGTGGTGCCGGTAGGGAGCGGGAGCGTTGAGGCGCCGGAGGAGGTGTTAGCGGCAATTTCGGCGTCGATGTCTTGGTCTGAGGGAATTATGATTGGTGGGGAGGAGGTGCGGGCTGGGCCGGCGGTGACTGGGAGCGGGAGGGTGCCGGGCGGTGGTGGTGGTGGTGGTTGCGACGGTGTAGTGGCAGCAGGGGCGGATGATGTTCGTGATGTGCCGGCGTTGTTGGCTCTGGCCTGCGCGCGGCGTCTTTCTGGTTCTTGGTGTGTGTATATCTCGGAGAGGAACCATGCGCCGATCGACATGGACATAAATGCAGCAAAGGTAAGGATAAGAGACGGGAGGAAGTTGTTGGTTGCTGACAAACCCCAGGCCGACGAGACTCCAAACACCATGCCGTCCGCCAGAACCATGATTGCTGCTGTATGGAAGCTGATGCGCCCGAGAGTGGAGGGCGTATTCGATTCCTTGATCTGCATCTTCAGGAGCCACAGCTGCGCCATAAGCACAGCGGCAAACCCAAACACGCAAGTCCTTGTCCGCGAAAGCAACACCTCCGACTTCACGCCGACGAGATGCTGTCCCTCAATTGACGGGAATAGAGGCGGACCTTTGGACTCAAGATAGTAGGAGCAATCTGGAGACCAGGCGACGAGCGACATGCGGAGATCTGGCTTGCCATTCGAAGGTGCTCCCGTGGGAAATCGAAGCTCTGTCTCCAGCTGATCGACGAGGGGCATGAGTCGATCATCAAGACCGTCCTTCCCAATGTATTCGGGTTCCAAAGCATGTAGTTGCAAATAGACGACGTACTCGCAGCGCGGCAAGGGTAGTGAGATCTCCTCCCCGACAACCGGCGTCCACGGGTTGCTGGAGCCGCCGAACGTGCTGCCCTCTTTCTTGCTGATGACCTTGCCCAATGTCTGGTTTAGAAGGCCTTGGCCTGTATGATAAAACTCTGGGCCGGGAACAAGATGCGGCAGGCCAAAGACGCCCAAAAACTTCTCGGTCGTTGTGGTCAGCAGCATTGAACCCTGCCTCGGCCAGTGCACGCCGTGGAGCCGGATGGCAAAGCTGCCAGCCGAGTGATCCTCGTCCTGGATGTCAGCCACGGCGACGATCTCCCTCGCCAAACCCCACGATGATGGTGGCTTGCCATCCTCCTTGTCCTCCTCATATGCCGCGTCACTCTCATCCTCCAACAGCGACAGTACTATGGTGCCATGAGAACCGGTAACATTCCAGCCCCATTCGCCGTGGCTGTGCATCCAATTTGTCCCCGGCGCGATCGCGCTCAAGTTGTAGTTGCGCGCCTGCCTCACGACCGAGCCCGGCCGCCGCACCCACCTGCCATGCACTGTGCCCGTGGCGTTCTGCCACGTCTTGGGCACCGGTCCATGGTCCCACTCGTCGGCGCCTTTCAGCGGCGGATAGGCGTGGCGGCTCCACTGGCGGCAGCGGTCCTTGAAGTAGGCCAGATCGTCCCAAGCGTAGTCATCGGCCCCCCGGAAGCCCGTCAGGTTGAGATATCGCGGCGCCTGCCACGGAGGCGCGCCGTCCACGACTGCATGGGGCGAGAAGTCGCCCCATTTCGTGCTGTTCAAAACCTGATGGGCATCCCTCAGGCGGCCGAGGCGGGAAGTGCCAAAGAAGGGCGCAGCGATTATGCCAGGGGCGTCATTCTGCGAGAGGAGGGCCACGGTGACGATGAGGAGGAGGAGCCATAGCCTGGCATTTTCCTGAGACATCTGGGGCATTTTGAAGAGTCAGATTGAGTCCTCACTTGAGCATGCCGAGTTCGTGATGTCATGGCCAACGCGAGATAGCCATGTCGTGATATGTGGCGGGCAGAGACCAGGTGGACTGAGGTTGAGTTGAGCCTGGAAATCGGGACCTGGTCAATGTTCTATCTCATGGGGCAGTTTAGCTGGATAACCTCATCAATCGTGTCAGAAAGTGACTTGCATGTCGCAGTGATGCCGAGTTTCGATGAGTGTTGCAATCTGAAAATGTATTTCACAGTTGACACTTGTTCAGGTTGATGTTGAATCCGACAGAGGGAGTGATCCGGATGAGGCACTCGTCACAGTGCCGCAAGCGCTTTGCACAGTAAGGTACGCAACTGCGCACACCATGGCCCCACATCTTCATTGCTTCAACCCTTTTAGGCCATGAAGCACTAGGTATCGTTCTCCGTGGTCTTGGGATCGTATATATTAGACTTGTAAGTCGAGACTTGCACTGCACAGTTGCCAAACAAGATCACCTACCTTACCTTATCCCTGCACAGTGTTGTACCTCGGACGGCGATTCACTCTCTGAAGGTTCCGCATAATGTCGTCTAAGAACGACTCAGTCAGCGCCCAAACAGCAAGCGTAATAGGAAGCCCCAGACTTGACTAGTTCTGAGCTCCTCCCCACTGACCGTTGGAGCAGAACAGTGAAGACGCCCGCGGCGAGCTGACCGCCCAGCTTGAGGATCTGCTTAACACGCTCTCCAACAAGTTTGCCGGTGTGTCGAGCGAGATATTTGCCAAAAGTAGCCCTTCCCTTCTGGACCAGTTCACCGCACGTTAAGCTGACAACCACAGTGGATGAGATGTCGCGCCGTCTAGATAACCTTGAGGCGCAGTTGATGGCCAACAAGGACAAGAACTCGAGGTCTGAGTGATTGGCCGCCTGATGATCGTGTTTTGTCCCGCGTCATGAGGGGCTTTTTAAGGAGTTGGCAGGATACTGTTGCACGGGAGGGCTAGCTTGGACCTCACGACGGGGTAACGAGCGAGGTAGCGGCTTTGGTTTTAAGTCCAGGCATTGAGAAAATCGGCAGACTCTTAAAATGGGACCGACATTATATTTGCAGGCTCTAACAGCGTTACAGTCACGTAACCTACGCAAACCAAATTCAATATTTAGAGCTCCTCTTTTTCCTCCCCACCGCCCGTCGCTTTCTCGATGAACTTGCGGAGAACATTGGTCCTGCTCGTCAGCTCGTCCAGCTTGGTGGGCGCCAACCCGCCCTTCTTGATGATGCCCTCCAGACGGGCAAGCTCCTTAGCCGCGTAGTCCTCGCTCTTGCTGAGCTTGTCGAACACCCGGAGGTAATACTCGGCGAACTTGGCCTGAGCCTTGTCCGTGAGGCTTTCGGCAGCCTTTTTTGCCTCGGCGGCCGCCTCCGCCAGGGCAGTCCCGCCGGTCAGCTTGGCCACAATGGTATCGAGCGCCTCAACCGTACCAGCGGTGGCGTCGACACCGCCGCCTGGAGCACGGTGGGTGCCAGCCTTCTTGTTCAGGAAGGTGACGAAGGCCTCCTCAGATCGGCCGCCGTCGTAATCTTCGGGGTTGGTGCTGCCCGCGGGGAAGAACTTGATGGTCGGGTATCCGGACACACCGTACTCGGCCGCGGTGGCCTTGCCGTTCGGGGCATCAGCGTCAACCTTGGCGATTACGACCTTATCTTCGCTGGCGAAATTCTCGGCGAGAGCCTCCCAGGTAGGCGCAAGGTTCTTGCAGTCTGCAAAGCGTCAGCGCTGCGTCTCTTAACAACCAACCAGAAGTGTACCTACGTCCACACCACGGGGCGGTAAACGCCACCAGTACATTCTTGTCGCCACCAATATGTTGCTTGAAAGTGGAATCTGTGAGCATCACCACACTGCTCGGCTTCGCCGACTTCTTCCTCGGCTTCACTCCCGTCTTCTCGGTGATAAAGTTAGAAAGCGCTTCGAGATCCCGCCCGCCATTGTACTCGGTCGGCTTGTCGCTCTTGCCGTCGAAGAATTTCAGTGTCGGAAAACCCTGCACTCCAAACCGCTTGCCCAGATCCCGCTCGGCATCGGCGTCGACCTTGGCGACCTGGACCTTGTCCTTGGCATGCTCAAAGGCCAGGGCGAGCTCCTCGTAGACGGGAGCGAGATTCTTGCAGTGGCCGCACCACGGGGCGAAGAACTCGACGAGGGTCGGCTTGCCGGACTTCAGAACCACCTTGTCGAAATTGTTGGGGACGAGATCGAGGACAGCCGACTTGGCCGCAACTGCCGCCGTGAGGCCAACGAAGACGAAGCTCTTGATAAGCACCATGGTGAGCGAACCACGGTTGGTGCTGTGGGGAACGGTGAAGAGGCTCCTCTCAGGAAACGTCAATGCAACTCTCATGGGAAGATGCAAAAAACGGGAAGACCACCACGAAGAGAAGACGGTGAATCCAAAGCAACAGAAGGTGTGGCAACCAGCAAGATGTTGGCTTTGAAATCACACCGAAAGATGCCACTTTGCTTTGCCCCAGGAAACTGCCCTGACAAGGGGCTTTACCCCTGTCGACGCCCCGGTTGCGCCTGCAGCCCCGCCGGCGAGCCACTGTGCAGCAACCGGCTTATACACCGTTATCCCGATAAGATAATAAGCCACACTCCACATGCCACACGCCACACCTCACCAGCCATCATCCGCAAGCCCTTCCGCACAAAAAAGTCTCCGCCAAATTTGGCAAGCTCGCCTGCACGGATTGAAATCTCGGCCGACCGTTCGCGACAACCGACCAGACGACGACATCAAATCCCGCCGCAACCCAGCCTCCGCCGGATATCTCGACTTCTCAAGCAACAAACGTCAAAATGGCTCACGAATCCGTTTGGAACTCGCGCCCGCGCAACTATGGCAAGGGCTCCCGCGCTTGGTACGGAACCCCGTCACTTTATCCATTCCGATCGACTGCACGAATTCAGAGCGAGGGGGAGGAGGGACAGTAAAGAGAGAGAAATAATACGGGGCAAAGCACAAGAGAAGTAGGGAATTGTGCTGACGATGAAACCAACAGCCGCGTCTGCACCCACACTGCCGGTCTGATCCGCAAGTACGGCCTCAACATCTGCCGTCAATGCTTCCGCGAGAAGGCCAACGACATTGGCTTCGTCAAGGTATGCAATACCCCGAGTCTTGAGACTCTTCTCTACCTGACCGTCTCAACCATGTGTATTCTAACCGCCAATGCCTCCGACAGTACCGGTAAACGACGAACCATGACAGCCAGAGATGGTCAATCAGGGTTGAGGGGATGAAGGAGCGGGAAGATGGATTGGAGCATGAGGGACGAGGAGGTCTGTGGTTGAACGACGAAACCGGATCCTCACGAAACGAATCCACGGCGTTTTCCTGCTCGGTATCGCATGGGAAGGGCACTGAGCTGGGAGGAATACGCCAGTCTTTCTCCCAAGAATAGCCGGCTTTTTACAGCGAGGTGGGAGTTCACACGGGTCATTTCTTATTTGCGCGGTTTCGGCCAAAGGGACGATGCAAAAGAGAACGAGTTCATAATCCGTCCATCCATCCATCCACACCGCCATTGTACCCTTCCCGGCACCTTCGGACTGCGTAATCACCTCAACTAATGTGTTCAAGATGCTATGGATAGACATCCGGAGCGTCCCTACAGGTAGGGTTGTGACAAACCGGCAGGAGCGGGATGTGCTCTGCTTCAGTGATGCTGTTTTGTTTGGGTGCCCATATCCACTTCATCAACCATTATATTGGCCTGTGTTATCTTTAAAATACAGGATTAAGACAACCGCTAGGACGGGAGGGGAGATCAGGCGGACCCCAGGGTCTTTGCACATGGGCGGTTTCCAGAATGCCGCCCCGAATATATCATCACAACAAAATGTACAGCAGTGTTTCTCGACTCCGCAGCGCCTGCCCGCCTACCCATGGACCAAGTCGACCCAAGCCTTGTGTCTTCTCGCCCGACATGTCTACCCTGCCCCAAGACTCCCTAACATCGTACATTCGTGCCCCACGCTGGCTGGCTGGCTTACTCGATGATACGAGTCACGAGACCAGTGGCGACGGTACGCCCGCCCTCGCGAATGGTGACGCGCATACCGGCCTCGAGGGCGATAGGGTTGTGGAGCTGGGCCACCATCTCGACGTTGTCGCCGGGCATGACCATCTTGGAGTGCGGGTCCTCGGTGCCCTCGGGGAACATGAGCGTGACAGCCTCGTCGGCGGAGCGGATGAACATTTGCGGGCGATAGTTCTGGTGGAAACCGGTGTGCCGGCCGCCCTCCTCCTTGGTGAGCGCGTAGAGGGAAATGAGGAACTTCTTGTGCGCCTTAACGGTGCCGGGCTTGGCGACGACCATACCACGGCGGATGTCCTCGCGGCGGACGCCGCGGAGCAGCAGACCCGAGTTGTCGCCGGCGACGGACTCCTCGCAAGACTTCTTGAAGGTCTCAATATCGGTGACCTTGGTCTTGATAATCTCGGTGCCCTTGCCGATGATCTCAACGTCTTGGTCCCTCTTCAGGGTGCCGCGCTCGACACGGCCAGAGACGACGGTGCCACGGCCGCCAATGGAGAAGACATCCTCGATGGGCATGAGGAATGGCTTGTCGGTGTCGCGCTGGGGAGTCGGAATCCACTCATCGACAGCCTTCATGAGCTCGTCGATCTTGGACTCGCCGATTTCAGGGCGCTTGCCTTCAAGGGCGCAGAGGGCGGAGCCGAGAACAACGGGGGTGTTCTCGCCGTCAAAGCCGTAGGAAGAGAGTAGCTCGCGCATCTCCATCTCGACAAGTTCCAACATCTCTGGGTCCTCGAGGGCATCGACCTTGTTCACGAAGACTACGATCCTCTGGACGCCGACCTGGCGGGCCAGGAGCAAGTGCTCACGGGTCTGGGGCATCTGGCCGTCCGAGGCGGCGACGACAATTATAGCACCGTCCATGGAGGCGGCGCCGGTAATCATGTTCTTGATGTAATCGGCATGGCCCGGGCAGTCGACGTGCGAGTAGTGCCTGTTCTCGGTCGAGTACTCGATGTGGGCGGTCGAGATAGTGATACCACGCTTCCGCTCCTCAGGGGCCTTGTCGATGGAGCCATAGTCGAGGAAGTTGGCCATGCCCTTCTCGGCTTGCCTCTTGGTTATGGCGGCGGAGAGAGTTGTCTGCACGGTTGGTTAGCGAGAGCGGTTGGTTAGTTGGAATCAGTTCGTGCGACTCCGGACCTTTCCGTGGTCGACGTGACCAATTGTACCTGAGACCCCAATGTTAGTCCTTGGATATCGATGCAGGGCGACATGGAGCGCGTACCAATATTGACGTGGGGCTTGCTGCGCTCGTAGACGGCATACGTCCGGGCAAAGTTGAGGACTGGTGTCCTGGTGTCGCGCTGCAGCGCAACCAAAGGGTTCTGTGTCTGTCTAAGGGAAAGGCGCGCCGTCCGCAGGAGCGGGGCAAAGGTCCGTAGTGAGGCAGGCATCTTGAGTCTCGCTCGCGAAAACACCGGAAGAGTGAAAAGGAGCGGAGTGTGGAATCAACAGTTATTCAAGCTGTTGAAGACCTCGGATGTCCAAACTTTGAGCGGAAAATTTGGCGCTCCAAAAACTCGGCACCGAGCACCGGGCCGGGGTCGGCACGGACCGCTTCGCGTCTTGTGCTGCGCTAGCAATAACTTGAAGTCACTTCTTCAACAAATGTGCGTCTGAGGAATCGCAGCCAACGAAACGCATCCGTCCCACAACAACCTGGACACAGAGCAGTACGGTTCTGGTGCTGATTTTTTTCTTTCATATTCTCTCACTTGGCTAAATGCTTGCTTCTTGATTGATAGCTCGTTAATCTTCGATTGCTTTCAGAACAACCTGGTTCCCAAACCAAGAACCTCTCTCCTCCAAGATAATGATTGGCCAATCCAGATGCTGATTTTGATGTCAAGGTCTTCTCGACCACTTCAGCCCAGGGCCTGGCGTCCATGAGCTACGAAAACCTCTTCTCCAGGTCTGGCCCATCGCCAACATCATCGAGTTCTCCTCGTCAACTCGGTCTGAATTCAGACTTGTCACTTCCATTCCCTGACGTGGCCGGCCAGCTAAAAGTCATCTCGCATGCCGTTGAGGTTCGAGCGGACAGACGCCGGAGAGAATTGAGCGGCCTCCTGGTTCCTTAGCTGCTCACCATATCACCCGTCGAAGAATGCATTGAAGAGTCATTTACCAAGAGTTGGGGTCGACACTGCAGCTGCCTGTTCAGAAGTATCCAACTCTGACTCAGACTTAGCTCGGTTGATATCACTTACAGTCCAGCTCAGGTTTGTTTGTTAACGTGGAACTTAAGAAGGTGGGCTTTAGCCTTTATTTTTCTTTTCGGTGTCCGTTTTTCTTCCTCTAGCTTTCATTATATCTTCTTCCTCTTCATTCTCCTACTTCTTATCCTGCTTGACGATATCTTTCCTCTTTCTTTCCTTCTCCTTGTTTTCTTACTTACTTCCTTATATCCCATTTCTCCTACTTCTATCTAGCAATCGACATGTGCCATGCTAACAAACAAACCAGGGTTGGATTGTATGGATGCATCAAGGTCATGAACCGCAAGGGAAAGGGCGGTCCAAGCGAGGGCGATCCCATGACCATCACGGAACCCGCGGGGCCGCCTTTTATGCCATCGTCTGTACGACGGTGGAAATTGACAGTGAGCGCTGGATAGCGGCGATTTCGAAGTCAGCATCTGAGACATCGATAACGCCGCGCCCCCAATGCACCCTAGCAGGAGGGGCACTGATGGCCATGGCAAGTCAGGCAGTTTGGCAGGCTTGTAAGCTTCTTTGCAAGCTGGAATACCGTCCGCCCATATCCCGAGGGATACGCGGTCGACGGATGCTGAGACAGACATCGGAAGGTTGGTGCAGAAGCTCATGGGCTTCCACTTTTGCTATCCTCCGTATACGCAAGCCAGGGGCCGTACGGTTGCGTTGAAGAGGGCTGGGACAACCAATTCGCGAACTTGAGACGCCCAACCCTCGGCTTCCAACTCGGTAGTCTTCCAGCCTGTTCCGAACACCAGGGGTATGGAACGCTGCGAAGCGATGCTTTTTCCTCATTGTGTTTCCAGGCTGGGAGCACAGTCGCTGTGGGCAGGGACACTTCAGAGTGGCGATGCGAGGAGGGTTGAGAAGCCTTGCTCGGTCATCAATGCAGCAAACGTTCAGCGGAAGGTGCAGCGTGTCCAGAGTTGCGGACAAGACCATCCGGGTGGGTTTGCAAGCTACAGCTTCGCCCTGAACCCCTCCGTCGTTCCGACTCGAAACTCCAAAGAGCCTCGTTCCCTTCTTTTATATGGGCTGCCAGCCACCGTGTCGTCGAGCCAGTGACAGGGCAAACAGGGGATATCTACCCAGATCTGCGGCCCGTTCTGAGACGGCGTCCGTGGACGATACAGTTGTGCTCTGCATTCCAGACTATAGGACTCTCTCGTGCTCTCCCGAGCACGCGAGCATCGCCACGGGAGCTTGTTCAGGAGATCTGGAAAGTCAGCCGGGAGGCCCGAGCGCTGCCCAGAAACGGGAAGCGGAAAGCTTTTCTCGGCATAGCTTGTATGGGCTTGGCCACTTGGAACACTCGAAGCGCTTGGCAAAGTCTCATGTGCGATTGAGCTGTGATCGACCATCTTCAACGCATTCCAGGCAAAGACAGGGCATGTTTACGCGGGAACCATCCTTGCGAAATGTTACCTCTGCAGTACTTGCGCCTGGAGTTTCCCTTCTTGGCTCCATCTTCAACCTAGCATCGGCACCTAGCCTGCCAGGAGTCCAGGACCAACCCCCAACATGGGACGCGAAAGACACAAATGCTTGGTCTCCATCATCAACGGCTCTTATTCTCATCTGCTCGACGAGTGTCACCTTTGTTTCGAGCGCCATTGCTCTTCTCCTGCCAAGCCATCCCCGACTTCCTATGCGACGAGCATGTTCGAGTTCATCTCTGGCGAGACGATGGATTCTCGTTACGAGGAGAGTTGCAACTCATCTAGACACTCTATATAGGATGTCCGTCTGCAATGTCTCTCATACCTTCATTCACCTTTCTTAGCTCATGAGCTGTGCTCGTCTGGCCGTCGTCAAAACTCTCTCAGTCTCGTTTTTGTTTCATTCTTTCACTTCGTCCGCTGGTCGTCGTCGCTGGTCGCATATTTTATCCTATATACACCTATACCTTCTTCCACTGTGTGCAAAATGGTCAAGCATGCCTTTGTAGCCTATGCCGGACTGGCCGCGGCGCTGCCGCTGAATATCAACCTTGGGGCCTACTCACCGGCCCTGGTTGTTGGTATGTTCCCACTCCTCGCTCCCCTGGTCGTGTGCAGAGGTAAGCGTGCTTACCAAGTCAACAGGTGATGGCGAAATCAGCTTCGGAGGTAGGCAGGACGTGTCGAATTTGATCACTGCGCTCGAAGGCGCTGCAGTTAACGCTGCCGCAGGCGCCGCCAATGCAGCTGAAGGCGCCGGTAACGCGGCAGCTGCTGCCCCCACTACCGTTCCGAACCCTCTGCCCAATACCGTTGCGAGCGCATCTACAGACCCGGCGCTCGCCGAGCAGGTTAGTACCTTAGTCCCGGCGTCTCGAGGTCAACCCCTGTTCACTAACAACCCGTTCCGTAGGCCCAGCAAATAGCCGCTATTCAAGGCCTGGGCAAAGCCATCAAACACCGTGTTGACAGCGCCGAGACTGAGAAGTTCGGCAAGCGGAACCTCGCCGGTTTTGATCGGGCGCTCACATATGCTGAGGCCGCCCTGACCAAGGGCCCGAAGGTCCAGCTCGGCACGGGCGAAGAGGGTTCCGGCATCGGCATTATCGTCGAGCACACCCCGGCTGGTACGTCGTCTCACGGCACGGTTGCCTAGCCGTCCATTGGCAGCAGAGCCCTTCATAATTCAACCTCACCCCCATCAGGCCCCATTGTCAGGACGCAGACTAGCGGGTGTTAATGCCTCCAATGCAGCAGCGGAAGGCGGCGCCGCTGAGAAGCGCGACCTCAGCGAAGTCTCGACCCCCAGACGGCGGGCGGCCAAGGTGACGACCATGTTTGTCCGCCGCGGTGTTCCTGTTGGTAAGCAACCGCGTTCCCTCGCTCACAACCCTGACACATACCCTCCCTACGCAAGCCTCCCCCCCACCCCTTTTTTTTCCCTTGTTTCGGTAAAAAGTGACTAACCACAAAACCGCCCAGCTCTCCAATCCCGCTCAGGAGACGAGGACCTCGCCGGCCGCGCCCCGACAACCTTACCAGCCCAAGCCGCCACTGCCCCACCCGCTCCCCTAGCTGTCTCCAAGCGCGACAGAGCTTTGGACGCAGTCAACCTGAATGTCGATGGCGATGCGGGCGTCACCATGACGTTTGTGGAGGCGTTTGACGATGAGAAAGATGATGAGAGATCGTTCTGACTCTCAGTTCCTCGAGCTTCGTGCTCGTGAGGCTTGTCGTTTTCGGAGCCAGAGCCCGGTTGGTTTTGGTTTGGTTTTGGTTTTGTTTGGTATCAGTTAAATTTTGTTTTGCTGCCTGGTATGGACTGGAATGATCGGTCTGATAGTACACAGCGAACAGACTGATGTGAAGGAATACGGGAGGAGACGATAGAAGATGATCCCAACGGAAGGTGATCGCTGAGAAGAAGCTTCCGGTTGTGTTCTGCTCTTGTGTTCTGCTCTTGTTAGATCACCGATCCGCATTGGACAAGAAAGACCCTCTTTTGCCCAATATCGTGAGAAATTGTGGAATTGGGACCTCGTCGACCTGCTAGGCCAAGGACTTGCCTTCTACTCCAGGTCCGTCAGGGGATGAATGGACCAAAGAAAGGGTCGGCGGTATCATACTGCTCCCTACACATAGACGTACTCGTCCCTGATGATGCCGATCAAAGACCTAGCAAGTGTACATGTGCTGTGTATAATCTAACGGTGTGCTGTGCCACCCAGGACCAGCACCTGTCTACTCGCTCGCTCCAGTCCCCAAGCCAAGAGCGCCCAACATTTCCGTCAACGCCCCCATGTCTACCTGACGCCCACAGACCGATAATGCATCATTATGGTTCCCGGCTGATGAAGCAATTCTCTCGGGTCGTTGCCCCTCCTCACCACCACCACGCAGCGACACCTCACAGGCCTGTTGGATGGGTAAGTCCTACTTATTATCCCACTCCTTGAGAGGCTTCTGGCGCTGCCTCGTATTCCACCCGAGCTTCGCGCTGATACTATTGATCCAATCCTCACTCCGCCTACCATGCGGCTGCACGCAGGCAAAGGGGTACCTGCTCGCGCTGACGGTGACGTAGTCGCCCGGGGTGAGCTCGACGCGCTCGCGGCCGTCGAAGCTGGCCCACGAGCTGGTGCGCGCGTCGTAGGGCACGCCGATGCGCAGGACGATGGTGTCCGGTAGGATGACGGGGCGGAAGGAAAGGGTGTGCGCGCAGATGGCGGTCACGAGCATGACTGGGTTTTCGGGGTGGCACAGCGAACCGCCGGCTGCGAGATTGTAGGCGGTCGAACCGGTGGGTGTGCCGACGCAGATGCCGTCGGCGGAGACAGACGTGAAGTGCTCGTCGTCGCCGAAGATTTCGATGTTGGACATTGCTAGGGTGGTCAGGTTAGTAAAAGCATATGGGAGACAGCGGGGTTGACGTTAATGAAAGTGCGTACTTGGGTTCGGGCCGCGGTCCACCACGACTTCGTTCAGCACCTCGTACGTTCCGTCTGGTCGATGGGTATGCTCGTCGTCCTTCTCCTCGCCTATCAGCTCCTCAACCAGATCTCTCGGCGGCCTCGAACCGTCACCGTCTGGGCTATGCTCCGCGTGCTCGCCGTCCTCCGTCAGCCTCGACCCCGTCTTCCGGCTGCGCATTATCGTCGCCTCAAACCTCAACCTCAAACTAACCGTCACCCCCGCGTTAAACGCGCTCGTCAACGTCTTTCGATAGTCCTCAAAATCGAACTTTGTCAGAAACCCCAGACTGCCCAGCGCAAAGCTCAGCACAGGCGGCACAATCCGCTGGAACAGCCAGCTGGCATACAGCACCGTACCGTCCCCGCCGAGGGTAATCACAAAGTCGAACGTATGCGGCCGCGTTTTGCACAGCTCCTCATCCCAATACCTCAACCGCTTCCCCACGTCCCAGCTTGCCTCCTCGGTGACCTCACCCGACGCGACATAATCCCTCCTGACCTCCTCCACCAGCCCTGCCACATCAAACTTCTTATTCTCGCGGAACTCCTTGTCCACATACACGGTATACCTCACCTCCCTCTCCCGATCCAGCAGCCAGCGGCACAGCTCCCTCGTCTTGGCGATCAGCTCAGTATCATAGATCTTGGTCAGCAACATGATGCTCTTGACCCGGAACTTGAGCCGCATGCTACCCAGCCGGCGGCTCAGTTCGCGCACGCCCCAGGCCATTTCGCTCAGCTGCTTCTTGGTGAGCAGGCGCGAGTTGAGCGTGTCAGAAGACGCGAAGTGCCGGTCGAGCTGCGACGGCGTGCGCGGCACCGTGCCGTCAGCGACCATCTCGCGCCGCCATTGCTTCTCGTCGGACTGTCCGCCGTCGGTAGTTGTGCTGCTTGCGCTGCTGTCGGCGGCTTCATCGTCCGTTCCTGCTTCGGGTTGCTGTTGTTGGGGCTGTGCTTGTTTCTTGGCGGAGGTCGCGGTGCGAGGGTGGCGGAGAAAGGTGGCGCTCGGGTGAGCGAGTTCGTCGTGCTCTACCTGTTCCTGTCCCTCCTCGTGGCCTTTGCTGCCCCGTCGAGCAGTCTCCGGCTTGGACTGAGCTTGGGCGCCGTGGCCGTGCTTGCCCTTAGGATCGAGAGGGCGGTCCAGGCCGTTCTCGGACGAGACGTCCTCTGCTTCGCAGCTTGCTATCCCGGCGTGGCGGTGGTGGACATGGCTGATACCGGGATGGTCACGGGTGCGATGGTTGGTCGCGAGGGCATGTTTCTCCTTTTTCTGGCTGGCCAGGAACTGGTGGACAAGGCATTCTGTCTTGCTATGGAGCGGCGGGGGTGCTCGGTGCAAATCAGGGAGCACCACGTCGTTGGTAACGAGGGAGCTCTTCCGGCGGTAGGGATTGGATGAATCGAAGACGACCTGTCTAGGGGTGAGTGGAAAATCACGGCAGTGCAGAAGAAGTGGGATGTGTCTGCTGGAGGCTTACCTCGACCGGATTCCGGTCCTCGTCGCTCGCTGACGATGGGGGCTCTTCAAACGAGACTTGCTTCGAGGGGTTTGAGTCTGCCATTGTCGCCCTCTTTCTCAAAGGATATCGTCAACGTCTTTCGACAGCCTCTTAGAAGAATAATTGATGGGTTTGCAGGAACCGCGGGGGTCAGCAAGGCCTTGTCCTGATTGAAGCTGCCGTCAACCAACTCCTCGATTCAAAGTTGCGGCCTTGCTGATTCCGCATGCGGTGGGCTGACTCATTACTGTGGTATAGAGTGGTGTTTGTTGCGGCGACCTCGCAGGTGCAGGACCGAGACCCTCGGAGTCGCTTTGCACTGCGTCATAGCGGGGGTAGTTACCGGGCTCGAAGGGCTTGGGAGCAACAACTTCCATCGCTGCCCCGCCTTCCTCTTCCCTTGGAAACAACACTTGCAGCTACTTAGCTAAGGTATACTTAGACTTGATACCTTAGCTGGAATTGGGTGGTGAAGACAGAGAATCTGAACGTACACTGCAACTCACCGCCCGAAGCACCAGCTTCCAGTTGAGTTCCGAGTAGACAGACGTTTCCCGTCTTCCAATGGAGACCTCAACATCAATTAAGGCTACATAACATTCTTTGGCCGAGGCGCAGATCACGCCGTGAATAGCCGGATGCAGTAAAAGTTCCAACTGGAAAGAAATGCCCGGCCAGACGGAACTCGATTGTGGCTTCCGTCAACCTGCATCTGCAGTTGCAGAGACGCTCCGTCTCTTGAGTGGGCTGTGGTCACGCTAAGAAACTGCATCACACGCCTCCCAAGCTTTGAGCCCCGGCTGTCATGTGCTGGCGCGAACGCCGCTTAGAAGGCACACGAGGCTATTCCAGCATCAAGCCAGACCTACTCCTACCTTGACGGAGACCACCAGGAAGGAGTGGCACAATGAAGCATCTCATCTTCGTAGGCGCATGCTACCTCGACACAATCCTCACGTAAGTCAGCACATCTGGCCACGCCTCTACATCCGCACGATGGCAGGAAGGGAAGGTCGAGAATAGCAAAGTGATGAGCACAAGGTCTCACGAATAACATGCACACAGGGTCCCACACTTCCCCAAAGAAGACTCCAAGCTCCGGGCGACAACAGCACAGGTGCGCCGCGGAGGCAACTGTCCCAACACACTTGAGGTCATCGCCCAGCTCCTGCGTGCCGGGCCGAGGCGCCTGCCCCCGATCAAGCTGCACCTGGTATCATGCCTGCCCGACGCCCAGGCAACCGCCACGAGCAAGATCCTTGCTTCGTTTGGAGGCGACGTCGAGGAGGCCGAAGAAAACGGAATCGACTTCAGCCACTGCTTGTACCGGCAGGGTCACGACGAGCCGGCGAGCAGTTACATCATACGCGGTGCCCAGACCGGCAGCCGGACGATTGTCAACTTCAATGACCTCCCAGAGATGACGGCGGGCGAGTTTGAAAGAATCGCCGATGCCTTTGCTAGGCAAGGGGATGAGTGTTGGTGGCATTTCGAGGTGTGCCTGCGTTACCAGGAGCGATGCTTGCATTTGGGTGTTTCTAAGGCGTTTGGGTGTTTCTAAGGCGTGTAATGGTTGACTGAAAGACCGTGCAAGGGCCGAATTCCAGAGACAACGCTCCGATGCATCCGCTACCTTCGACGGTCTTTGCCGGGTAACACCATCAGCGTCGAGGTTGAGAAGCCTAACCGGGAAGGACTGGTCGAACTAGCAGCCGAAGCCGACGTTGTCTTTTACTCGAGGAGTTGGGCTGAAGTGAGTCAAAGACTTCTTGGTAAGGTGCGCGAACCTGCAGCGCTAAACCACCGAACCAGAGCCGAGGGTACACCAATTCGGAGGCGTGTTTGAAGGGAGAAGCAGCTTCATCAAAAGCGTGAGTTGCGCCCTGCCTCTTCTGCCCTTTGGGGCCTGCTGCAGGCTGCTGACAGGTCGGGGAAACCCCCCTGGACTGGTACAGTAATCTCATGTCGTGTACGTGGGGGGAGGAAGGCGCCGGCGCTCTGGAGGTTTCCAGTGGCGAGTACACCCATCATCCTGCAACTCCGTCAGGACAGAGGGTGCCAGTGGTCGAGTAAGTAACCATCCATCTCATTCTCGCAGTTGGTAGTTTGAGGTGATGGGAACCCGAGTGTTCCTGTGTTGCTGCAGATGAGAACAGCTGGTTGCGGAGAGCCGGGCCCAACAGCGCCGGCGGGGCTTGCGGTTGTCACATGAGTCTATCAGTCGGGGTGTGGCATCGTGTCCTATGTTGCGTCGCTGCCGAGACAACAAAGATCTGCCGTGCTAACGCTACGTGCTGCTTGGTCCCAGTACTATCGGCGCGGGTGATACATTCATCGCCGGGATGCTGTATGGGCTGAACGCTCCCGGCTGGAGCTCTCGGGAAAAGCTAGCATTTGCAGTAAGACTGGCCACCAAGAAGGTCCAAAGGGAGGGTTTTTGTGGGCTGGTACCCTAGCATCAAGCTGCAGCTGTCTTTGGTTACCGTTCGGAGCGTGTGTCGGTGCCCTCGTGACGACGTCCAGAAACCCAGTTCCGCAACGCGAGCGAGTCGACGCCCACACTGCCCAGAGGCGAGATATGGGAATCGGGTAGGTGGCAGGGTGGATACACGGTGCGTCCGAGCATGGGCGGCGGTGATGGAAAAGGGGCCACCAGGCAAGCTGAATCGTGATCAGCCGGCCGAAAGAAACCCCCGCCCGGGGTTCCAGCGCTGGAGCACAAAATCCATGGGAGGGCCCAGAACCCGGCGCTCTCACCAGGGGAGGAAGGCAATGGGCCGAGAATAACCCGCCGGGAAGAAACCTTCCATTGACGAATGCAGATATTTGCGTGCGTGTGTTTCGAGTGAGCTGGTCCCACCTGTCGTTTCTCCTGGGCGGAAAAGGAGCGGTGAATACAGGTGCTGCCTTGGCGGGGTCAAATACCTTACCACAGTAGGTACTTTCAGTTTCCAATAATGGAATGGCCCAAGGGTGTGATAGGTACCTTAGCTTTTAGCGGATGGGTCGACAGGTGCCTGTCCGAGCCACTGACCCGATGCAGTCGCCCTGCATCAGGAATTGATCGCGGCCAGCCATTCACAATTCCCTTGCTTGGCCAAGAGGACAGGTTGATCGACCAGCCCGAAGTCGCCGGACTCTGAGAAAAGGGGGGAGGGATTGCAGGGCAGGAACTTCTCCGTATGTTTATGCCTCATCGCTCGGGTGCTGCCGATGCGACTTTTCGCTTCTCACAGCACAAGCGGTACACGGAGTACCTGCTTGGGTGTGATCACAAGTCGGGTGGCTGGTAATTAGCAGATGGCTTGCGATGTTTCCTGAACCCAAATCAAACCTCGCGTGGCCGTGCGGGTGGATTGTCTTTAGCCACTAAACGAAGAGAGCTTGGGAGAGCCCAGATCAGCACGCAGGCTGACGCGGGCTGTTAGGTTGTGTACTCCGTACTGCGGGAGGACAACATGACGAAGGCAGGGCACCAGGCTGGCGTGGGTGAGAACCACCACTGGAGCAAAGGAGGTGCAACCGGACTGAAGGGAGATGATGAGGCTAGTGAGGGCGCGGGCAAGAGAGACAAGGCGTTGCCAGATCGACGGAGTTCAGGCATCTCGGTGAAATGTACGGCGTAGTTAATGGAGCCTGGGCAGGCCGGCATGCACAACCTTCATCAGCTGGCATTTGTGCTCCCCGTTCGGAGTAGGGCCCACGCCTTTCAAGCGCTGTGGAGGTGTGATGGGTGCTTGACGGGAACGGGCGAGCGGCCGGAGGGAATGTTTGGGAGTTGGGGGGGAGGCAGTGGTGATGGACGACGCTTCTCTTGGTGCCGCGGTGAAAATTTCAGGTAAGACCGCCGACAGTTGTGTTGCTGCAGTCGTGGTCGGGTTTGTGTGTGTGGGCAACCGGATGAGCTGGATCTCATCCTTCCGGACGAGACGACAGTGACCGAGGTACCTGGTCGCCTAGTGTATCCGTAAACGAGGCGGTAACACCACAATACGACATGCGTCCTCGTTCACACCACTGTATCCGTACGTGGGTCTCGAGTAACTGCTCCAGTTTGGATCGCATCCGCTGGTGAGTGCGGTCGGAAATGCAGGTTGAGATGCATGAAACCAACATCCTTGCTCCGCGTTGGCCCTGGCGCGGGCCTGTGTCACATTGGCGTCGTTACCACACTTGCAGTGAGGAATCACAACCAATACCTATCACGGTGTAATATGGAAACCAAACGAACCCCCTCCCAGCCGCCGAGCTTCCGAGTTGGTTGAATCGTAACGTTATCATCTCGGTTGACGACGGTACAGTACTGTATCCGTACGTGTAACAGTCAAGCCAACTGAGACGGCCGGGGCTGGCTTGCGGGCTCGGTTCGGCCTCCACGTTCGAAGTTCGAGCGTCACAATCCATGCGCATGTGGAGGCCCACCGTCAGACAACTCTGTGCCGCCGAGTCCGAACCTTGGGATCGGCCAACATTGCTTTTGCAGATGGACACCGCGCGTCGAGAGCACGAGAGCCGAGACGGGTCAGGCAGGGCAACCTGCAGGCACACGGAAACCAAGTGATGGGAACGCAAAACTGAAAATCGAAATGGTACAAGTGGCGGGGACGGCGGGGAAGTTCCAACCGAACTCGGTTCGTGGGTTTGTGGTGCCGGCAGTCTCGGTCACCATGCCAGATGGACAGTCGCCGTGTGGAACTCTTGAAAAGAAGAAAGGAAAGAGGTGGATATGATTTGGGCGCTCTCTCACGACGGGTTCCATCCGCTTCGATGTTCAGTGACAAGCACCAGCACGGCGCAATAGAAGGCTGGGTCGACAGGGTTTCTACGCGTGTACCTGTAGTCGGGTACTTAGCAGGTACCTTTTCCATCGGGACCCTGCCCACGCTCTTCATTTCCACTACGCCGCGCCCGTGGCGCCCCACCGGCAGCCGACATCCACTGATGGGATTGCACACTTCCCCACGTCAGTCTGTGCCTTCGAAAGTCGGGTCCTCATCATGAGAAACCATTGGCTAAGTGTCCACTACCAATGCGCCCAGACCCTCGTTTCTGCTGCATAAAATATTTTGCCCAAGCATTTGGGACTCGTTATGTTCGTTGTTGCAGGATGCTTCATGCCTTGGCCTTGAAAACCGTTTTCTTTGCCTCGTCACTGGCTTGCAGGTCCTGTCGCAGTGCCTTGGAGAGATCAGACAACAAAATCCAGCTGAGCACGGCAGGAACAGCATGGAGTACGTACCTCAAAGTTGGCCAATTCTGGCCAGCCGTGTGAACAGAGCACGCCAAGCGTGACATTGCTGCAGGTCTTGCCAAGTATTCCACCACACGTAACCGTAGGTGGGGACGCTGGAACTATTTTCATATTTTGCTCTTCCGTTGCAAATGCAGCAGTGATGCACCCGCTGCCTGGCATCAGCCTCCATTTCAATGCGCGGCCAGATACCAACCCGATACCTACCGCACCGGTAATGCCCTATCCAGCCTCTGCTTTGGCGACCCTCAAGCGGAATGAAAGAGAGATGCGGGAACGCCAAGTTCGAAATGAAGGCACCTCTTTTTGTTGCCCTTGTTCGCGTGCCGATAGTCCGCGATGGAGTCGCCGGCCGAACATCCGTTTGGCAAAGGTTCCCCCAACAAACAAGGACCGGCGTCGAGTACCTCCGCACAGATATCACCCTATTAACACAGTCGGCTGACAGGAGCGAACAACAAGCGAGCCACAACGGCCGCCGGTGCCAACTCCACTGCGACCAGACGGACCCAAGGGTTGTCCGAGTCATGATGACTGGGCTGAATTCTTGGCCGGTCGTTGTCGTGAGGTTCTCAAATCTCCCATGTTCTCGCTCATCAGCATTGTAGCAACTGAGAAAATCAAGGCCCCGAAACAACCCCTTGGACCAGGGTAGACCCAAATCGCCAAGATGTCCTAAACGGGCGCACAACGTACAAGGATCGCGGATATCGCAGAAACATGGTCTGTGGAGCAGAGCCGGACGGACAACCTGCACAAGAGGCGGCTGGTTCCATGTGACAGGAGAAGCCAATGGACCTATCTCCGCAACATCGGTTCCGCCACTGGTGCTAACACACTGCGACTGTCCCGGAACCAAAACTCTTTACAGTGTACACTGTATTCTCGCGATGTGACACCTGATGCTGGTAGACCCCGATATGTACTTGTACAAACATTGCATGGTTCAAGTATTTCACTTTTTAACTTAACTAAGCGCCAAGCTTGACGACTGGATAACCAACGGCATCCCTCTCGCGCGGCTCCGCAACTTGACAGTACCTACTCCGTACTCGGTACCTCCGCTCAACACCAACCCTTGTTTCTCATCCCGTTAGTCCGGCTAGAGGATTTCATTGAGAGACGTTAGTGGGAGAGCTCCGTACCCAGGTACCTGCTTTCCCCACTGATGCAGCCAGCCTTCCAAGACTGATGTTCACTTTGGCATCCACAGACAGCGGCTTGGCTTCACACCCAAACTACCAAACTACCTTTTTCCATTCCCAGCTATCCACTTTCCTCCGACACCCCGGATCGTTCATGGCACTGGGCTGTTCGCGATCAGCCACAGTCAGACAGCCGACTAAGTGTACACTAATCCCTTTAAAGTAGATTACTCCGGTTCGATTCGTTCACCATAGCCCCGGCCAGGCCCCTATTCCAGCGTTGCTGCTCCGCCCATCCTGCAGCGAGACCGCTTGTACCCTTATGTACCGCAGCTCAAGGTCGGGTGGGCTAAAGAAACCCTGCAAGACCATATGACGCGGGCCTCAAGAGCCCCAAAGTCATGGAACACGCTCCGTTGACACGCCATGACCGCTCCTCCTGGCATGCCAAAGCGGCAACAATCACTCGGGCCTGTCGCTCCACGCCCGGCGCGGGCCAGGGAGAAGGCTTTCTCTCCCAGACAAGGTTTGATTCCACTCTTCTTATTGACTCGACGAAGCCTCAAATGACCTGTGTACGGAAGTACATTACCCATATTGCCATCACCGCCTCGCCTTGTCTCAACTCCGGGCCAGTTTGATCTTTGATATACCGCCCAACCTCAAGCAAAAGAAGTCTTTGCCTTTTGTTTCTGCACTACTACTCTCTCTCTCTCTCTTTCTCAACCTCACGTTTCATGTATGGGTAATACCGCATTGAACTGCCATCACGATGATACCTTCTCTCCTGGGCACCAACATGGTTGGTGTACCTCAGCACCAGGTCTCGGGCGGGGCGTACACCTTCGACACGATGCTCAGCGAGCTCTCAAGGCAGCTCGCTGGGAACACGAGACGGTATTCAAGATCGTCGAACGGACAGCAACGGGTGATGGGAAATGCCATGAGGATTGCGAAGCCTGGCAGTGCTAGCAATAGCCCAAGGTCATCGACGCTGCAGTCACGGAGGAGGACACTGGTCGGGGATGGCTTTCAGGGTGGGCTTCACACACCGTCTCCGGCAGCGGACAACTACCTCCCAACTCCGTCTTCAGAGGCTGCGAGCGACGTCTTCTTCGAGCGTGGCACCGCTACCCGACCGGCACGCCCCCTTAGCTGGCACCCGTCGTCCCAGGGCGCTCCGTCCTCTCAGCACCTGAACAGCAACGACTGCGCCATGCTCCACCCTTACCCGCCCCACGGCGACATCGACATGCTGGCAAGCCTCCAGCACCTTCCACCAACACCCGTAGGGGTCTACTCGGGGTACACGTCGCCCGCGGAGTCCTTCTCGCCGCTCTCGCTGCCTTACTCGAGCTTTAGCTCCTCCTCTCGACCATTCTGCTCGCCTGTGAGCCAGCCTGTACCGATTCCTCAGCAGCAGCAGCAACCGACTCCAGCATTTCATCCCGCAAATCCGTGCGCCGACTACCCCCCTTCTACCGCCTCTCTCGCCGAGATCCCCTATCTACCTCCTTTGTACGGCGCAGGCGAGAACGGCCCCCTTGCCTGGGAGGCGTATCAGCCCTACCCAGCCAACACCGCACCTCCCACGCCAGAGGACCTGGCCTGCGGCGCCCTTCCCATCACCCGCCCAATGGTGGACACGATATTCCACCAACAGCAGCAACAACAGCAACAGCCACCCGCCGAGCAGGAGCCCTTGACTCAACAGACAACATATCGCCAACCGCTTATCATCCATGACGACGACAACATCAACAATTCTGACGGAGAAGGCGAGATTCTCTACGGCATGGGCCTCTACGACGCCCCGGACCACGGCAAGGAGCCTTCGTCCAAGACGCTGCACCGGTCTGTCGTGCTCTCCCTGCTGGGGGGCACCAGGGATCCCGAGGATGATGGTGAGGAGAATGAGGAGGAGGATAACAGCGGTAAGGGGCTTGGGCTCAAGCTTGAGGATGCTTGGGAACCGCCTGCCAGTGAAGATGAGGGTGAGGATGAGGAGCGAGGGGGACAGGGTGAGGATGAGGAGTGAGATCCCGCGCTGGGTAACAAGTGTGAGCGGATGGTTGATCTTCTCTTTAGTTTGGTTCGCTTTGATCCACTTTGGATTGTCCGTGTTGATCGTGTACTTGCATTGGTAGCGAGGCGTTGTGTCGGGCTCAGGTTGAGGGGGTTGGTTAATGGGCGCGGGGATACAGCAACCGTGGGTTGGGACATGGACACGGGCACGGGTACAGGTACGAGCAATCGACTGGCGGAATAAATGGATGGCAGGTCGGCGTCTCTCGGACTAGATTCAGGTAGTGAGGCGAAGCCAATAAATGTTTGCGGATGTGGGTTTCACAACCCAGAGATGACAGGGTCGAAGAGGGGGACAATCCTATTCCGTAGGGCAGAGCAGGCTGCTGGATGTAACCAGCCGTTTCGCAAGCACTTACCTTGGTACTAAACAAATCAACATCCGCTGTGTCACTCATTTCCGTAACAGTGACTTGGCCGCATGCATGCATCTATAGGTGTTGGCCGCCCGAAGCGGGTTTAATTCCGCTTGGGTGCGAACCGGTCATCAAATGTTGAAGGATATTGGGCACCTTACAGAGAGATCACCGCGTTTGCTCTTGAGGGCGGCTGTGTCCCTGTGTGTATCCGTAAGGTATGAACCTGACAAATTGTATGAGCACGGGCACACCCGAACCGTGCCATGCCCCTACCCCGCCATACCCGCCGTTACCCCTCCTTGTTGATATCGGTTGCCATTCTGCCAACAGGAAAAAGTTTGGCCCCGTTATCGGACGAGCAAGACTGAAGAAGCAGCAGCTTGAGTCAAACAACGGGCAAAACAACCAGGCACACACAAGTTGTCGCTGTTTAGTTGTACTCTGCCAGACAAGAGCAGCAAATTCCCGGCACCGTCTCGAATTACTCCTGTGTCATACGCCGCAAAGAAGTGTGCCGAGATGGCTTCACAACAGTAAACAGCCCCCCACCTTCCACCCTTCACACCTGCCTGCTGAGCCCATCATGCCGTGTCCACAACCACCAAAGCCATGGCGCGCCTGGACATGTATTCCGTGGTGTCTTTCAGGCGGCTGACGTGGACTTTCCCCATTTAGTAAGGTGCTCATGCTCGGCGCGGGCTTCGTGACGAGGCCGACTCTCGACATTCTCAGCGATGCTGGCATCCCCGTAACAGTCGGTACGTGCATTGCCTACATTTCCTGACCTTGGTTCGGCCACGAAGTGAAGAGGACCCCCTGTTGACTGTGTAACCAAACAGCCTGCCGCACCCTGGCTTCCGCTCAGCAGCTCTCCGAGGGTGTCAAGAACGCCCACCCCATCTCGCTCGACGTCAACGACGACAAGGCGCTGGACGCCGAGGTGGCCAAGCACGACCTCGTCATCAGCCTGATCCCGTACACCTTCCATGCCACCGTCATCAAGTCGGCCATTCGCAACAAGAAGAATGTCGTCACCACGAGCTATGTGTCGCCCGCCATGCTCGAGCTGGACGCCGACGCCAAGGCCGCCGGCATTACCGTCATGAACGAGATCGGCCTAGACCCGGGAATTGACCACCTCTACGCCGTCAAGACCATCGACGAGGTCCACCAGGCCGGCGGCAAGATTCTCAGCTTTCTGTCGTACTGCGGCGGCCTGCCGGCCCCGGAGGACTCGGACAACCCGCTCGGCTACAAGTTCTCGTGGTCGTCGCGCGGCGTGTTGCTGGCCCTGCGCAACGCTGGCAAGTGGTGGCAGGATGGCAAGGTCGTCGAGGTTGCCGGCAAGGACCTGATGAAGATGGCGAAGCCCTACTATATCTACCCGGGCTTCGCCTTCGTCGCCTACCCCAACCGCGACTCGACCCCGTACAAGGAGCGCTACAACATCCCCGAGGCGCAGACCATCATCCGAGGCACCCTGCGCTACCAAGGCTTCCCTCAGTTCATCAAGGTGCTCGTCGACATTGGCTTCCTGGAGGACGCACCGCTCGACATCCTGTCACGGCCCGTGGCCTGGAAGGAGGCCACGCAGGCCGTCATCGGCGCGCCCTCCTCCTCGGCGGCCGACCTCGAGGCCACCATCCTCTCCAAGGCGACATTCGAGTCGGAAGACGACAAGCAGCGCATCCTGTCGGGCCTCCGCTGGATCGGCCTGTTTTCGGACGAAGCCATCGCGCCCAAGGGCAACCCGCTCGACACGCTGTGCGCGACGCTCGAGCGCAAGATGCAGTACGAGGAGGGCGAGCGTGACCTGGTCATGCTGCAGCACAAGTTTGAGATTGAGCACGCCGACGGCAGCCGCGAGACGCGCACCTCGACGCTGTGCGAGTACGGCGACCCGAAGGGCTACTCGGCCATGGCCAAGCTCGTCGGCGTGCCGTGCGCCGTGGCCGTCAAGCAGGTGCTGAGCGGGCAGATCCAGGAGAAGGGCATCCTGGCGCCCATGAATGCGAAGATCAATACCCCGCTGATGGAGGAGCTGAAGGAGAAGTATGGCATTACCATGGTCGAGAAGACTGTCTCGTAAGCCGTTGTGGTTGGCGGGGGTGTGGACTAAAATAGATGAGGATAGAAAAAATGGTCCTTGTGCTCCTTGTTCCCGCTCTCATGGTCTTAGGGGAGGAAAAGTGATTCACTTGACTGAAAGGATGAGCGAACTGGAAGGGTCTGTGTGTCCTATAATAAGAGATTGGAGGGATGTTCGGACGAAATCAGAAATCAACCGTGGTTATCGGGGAACTGGGAGCCGGAAAATGAAAACGAGAGCATGGCAGATGTGAGACGCCACTCGCTTCTGCAGTCAGATCCCTCAAATCCGATGAACATTCTGAACATGTGGATGACAATGAGAAGTGATCAGAAGACAATTGCTGCGTCAATATATTTACAGTTAGGTCCTTAATAGGACTTTGTGAAGATGGGATGCACAGACCACTTGTTGATAGCTTGCTATCGCGATCATCGTTGTTGAAGTGGTAATCGCCATACCCTCAAATCGCATTTCTTACAGCACCACAAACTCAGAGCTATACATCACCACTTCACTCCCACCAGGCACGTTGACGCCGGGTCCCGAGCGTCGGCAAAGCCGTCAACGTATAACTTATGGTACAATACGTCTTCACGCCCTGGCGCGACCGGGGAGAGCTTCTCGTCGTCCGGAGGCAGTTTTACCCGGAGCATCATCAACACCGTCAGCACCAGGGCGGCCAAAGTCAGACCCGGTCCTACATCAACAGCAAAGCTCGTAATCTGCCCTTCTTTCGGAGCGACGACGATGATAGAAAGCAAGGTGAAAAGCAAAAGGCGGTCGCCCGCGTATCCATGTGGATGCAGCGCGGCGGGTGTCCGCACATGGTTGAGTCGACGGCGCTGCTGACGGCAGCGATTCTGAGTGATGACGGGAATTGGGGGAGGGAAGACGGTGGGGAAAGGGATGGGTCAGCCAGGGCTTCGAGGGGGTATGCGGTGCGGGCGGCCTACTCGGCGGCGTTTAGTCGGTGAGTCCGGGTTCTGTTGGCCCCTGAAATCTCATCCCGCGCCACATAATCGCTGACATAAGATACTAATAAACCACGAAAGCTTCGTAACTGGCCTCCTCGACTCGCACCAAGACAAGCAACGCAAGATGTCCATGTACGACGTCGCAAAGTCGGTCGGCCTCCCCGCGACCTTTGTCGAGCTCCGCCACCAAGCCACCCACGAGCAACTACCCTCGCTCACGCGGCTGCGGTCCGCCGCGCGCAAGGCGCTGGATTGGATCTGGGGGTACTACTGGGCCCATTTGGAAACAGAGCACGGGTCTGGTTCTGGATCTGGTTCTGGGTCCTTGGCCAAGTCCTTGACTGGGCAGGGGGTGGGGCTGGGGCAGTGTGGCTTGGAGGAGAATGGCTCTGGGGCGGGCGGTACTATTGACAAAAGGGGCGAGAGTGGGAGTAATGAAGAGGAGAGGGAGGTACGCTTGTTGCTTGGGAGATATCTTGACGGGGAAGACGAGGTGAAGGGGGAGATAGGGAGGTATGAGGAGGGGCTGGTGCTGATGGTGCTGGATTCTGTATCTGGGAGTACGAGGGATAGCTGGGCGCTGCGGCGTGCCGTGGCGCTTACGAGGGAGATTTTGGAGCTTGGAGGACAGCCGCATCGGATAGAGGAGGGTGAGTGGCCTGAGGAAGGGGCGGCCATGGATGTTGAAAGCGTTCGAGCTGAGCTGGGCAGAGCGTGGCAACAGGTGAAAGAGGTGGAACAGGAGGAAGAGGAGGATGTAGTAGAGAATGAGGAGGCGGTCGATGTCGAAACTGCCGAGGACAGGCCTGCTTGGACGCTGTATGAGGAGGAGGATTGGGTGCCGAAGCCGATCGGCGTAGTGTAGGGTACATTAAAGGGATATCCTCGTTGTCATGAAGTCGTGAAGTCCCTGTGCTCCACGTAAATCAAGGGACTCAAAGGTAAACAACAGTGAAAAGGGGTTCGAATAGCGGAGGTCATGTGACTGTGGAGCTTGATGCCAACAATGGAGTGGCAGTGGCCGCAGTGCCCTGTTGAAGCGAAGCTGTCCAATGATAACGTCATGTCTTCCGGCTGCTTTGCATCGCCGTCCGTTCCGCGGTTACCTTGACCCGAATTCGCAAATCCATAGTTTTCCGGACCATTTTGCAATACTGAGCTTCGAGCTTGCTTCGGTGAATTTGTAAGCTGTACATATTGCATTAATGTACGCCTTGACTGTTGCAAGGCGTCTGTTCCAACCGAGATTCTCCTCATTGACTGCCACTGTAAGTCGCATCTGCCCTGAGTTCTCAGCTCGTCCTGGTGTTGAGTGTAGTAATAGCCGGCCATCACCCGCAAAATGCATATCCAGTCAATTCCCATGTGTATGTCGGCTGAACCCCAGCGTACCCTCGACTCAAACTCACAAGACGATGAAGGGACGGGAACAGGCGACAACTACGCCTACCTCGTGGTCGACGATAAGTCCAAGGAAGCCGTCATCATTGATCCGGCACACCCGGCTAAGTGAGTAAATCGCCGGACAGCATTCCGAGGCTGAAGCTCACTCCTTCAGGGTCGCCCCTGTGCTGAAGAAGGCTATTAAGGACGATTCAATCAAGCTCACGGCCATCATCAACACCCATCAGTGAGTTCCTGTGGACACTTGAGGTTGTGCATCTTATAGGCTAATAATCTTACAGCCACTGGGACCATGCCGGCGGAAACGAGGAAATGGTGAGTAAGCGCCACAGAGCTCAACGGACTGTGTCTGACCGTGACAGTTGTCGCAACTCGGCCAGCCCCTCGAGATTATCGGGGGCAAGGACTGCAAGAAGGTGACGAGGACGCCAAAGCATGGCGAGACTTTCAACATTGGTAGCATCGCCGTCAAGGCTCTGCACACGCCGTGCCACACCCAGGATAGCATTTGCTTCTTCATGCAGGACGGTGACGACAAAGTCGTGTTTACCGGAGATACGCTGTTCCACGGAGGTGAGTTTGCCGTATCCTTAACAATTTGGCGCTTGCTGAACCGACGACAGGCTGCGGCAGGTTTTTCGAGGGCACCGGCGAGGAGATGCACAAGGCCCTGAACGTCACGCTGGGCTCGCTTCCCGACGACACTCGGGTATTTGTAAGTTGTCAGACTGGGTTTGGGAGGCTGATGATGCTGACGATAATCTTTCTCCCAAGCCTGGCCACGAATACACCAAGGCCAACGCCGAGTTTGGGATGTCGGTCCTCCCAAGTGACGCCGTTAAAGCCCTCGAGACATACGCCAAAAACAACCAAGAAACGCAGGGCAAGTTTACCATTGGCGACGAGAAGCGGCACAATGTCTTCATGAGGCCTCATGTAACGAGTTCACGGATAACGATGATTACCACTCCTAGCTGACGCTCGTGACAGGACCCCGAGATCCAAAAGGCCACAGGTGAGACCGACCCCATCACCATCATGACCAAACTGCGCGAGATGAAGAACAACTTCAAGTGAGTCGGTCGCCCTGGGTGGTCAGGAAGCACACAAGTTGTTGGGCAAGAGGTTGATGGGGCGTTGCGGTGATCAGAGAGCCCGTCTCGGAAAAATCCAACTTGTAGCACGACTGAATGGCAAGCATCCAGGGCCGCTTACAGCTTCGATAGCAGTCTATTGACCACGAATACTTCCCCTGAACTTGCATCATGAAATGTCTCCGCCAGCCCATGCCATCAAGATCTGACAGGATCCAGATGCTGTGGACTCGTGGACGCGTCATACGGTGACGACACGAGGTTTCTACTATTGCTTCACTGTCCACACTTGCACGCCCTGGGGTTGTATGGAGGCGGCAAGCTCTAGCAAAATTTGAAGCGTCGAGGCTCGATGACAGCTCAATGGCCATGCAAATTCCTATGGAGAGCCAGCCAGCCGTGACCTACCTTGGACACTCCGTTATCCTTTGAAACCTTCTGCCTGTTTGACACAGATTGATAGAGCGAGGAGGGATGTAAATGGCTGGCTGTTTGGTTGCAAGCAGGGCGATCCGTTGGAATCGACTGGAGTCATCGAGAAGCAGGTGAAGGTGAAGAGGAAAATTCAGTGCAGCCCGATTCACAGATAAAGAGTTACCGAGCACAGTGGACTAGTGGCAGGATCACGTGGCTAGGCGCTCACTTGGTGATAAGCCCCACCCTAGATCAATTCGCCCAGGAAACTTATCGCTGTTCCATGAGTTCACATGGAACGAGTGCAGTCGCGAGTCGTCGCATCGCATCGCAAGACACTAACGCATTTATTAGCCTAGAATAGTGCCGTCAATGAGAATGGTATACTGACCACACTCAATTCAATGATGACAATGTGCTGACCTCTTAATCGCTCCAGCCTCCTCGACGTCGCCCCCCAGCCGCCGGCGCATCCTCCACCGCAGCCTCCACCTCCAAGCCCACCGGCGCACGCCCATCCAAGCTCGCCAAAGAACACAGCCTCACGGCGCAGGAAGAATCCGAAATCCGCGAAGCCTTTTCCCTATTTTCCGAGCCAATGGAAGGCGAAAAACAAGGCGTCATGCCCATTGGCGACGTGCGCCGCGCACTCATGTTCGTTGCCAACGCGCTTCCCGTTCCCCCCAGATTATTGCCCTTAGAACTAACTATATCATTATACAGAGCCCTAGGAGTCCCACCCTCTTCCCCGGCCCAACTAGCAACCTTCACGGCTGCGCTCGACCCCTCCGACGAGGGCTTCACAACCTACCCGGCGTTCCTGTCCGTCTGCGCATTACAACTCCACGCCCGCCGCCAGGACGAGTCCCTCGAGGCACACCAGGCGGAGCTCGACGAGGCGTACGCGCTGTTTGCGGGCGGCGACCCGGACGCGCCGGCCATCACGCTGGCCTGCCTCAAGCGCGTCGCGGCGCTGTTGAGGTTGGATCAGCCTTCCGTCGCTGGGACGGCGGCAGGCAAGGGTGATAAGGATGGGGACCGGGTGGTGGTGACGGAGGAGGTGCTGCGGGATATGATACTTGAGGCGAATGGCGGGGCCGGGGTGGGTAGGGGGGTGAGGAAGGAGGAATTTGATGGGGTGATGAGGCGGGCCGGGGTTTGGCGGTGAGTTCGAACGAGGAAACGAAGAGATAAAACAATAGGGTGGGTTAGGGATGTTAATGGGATGGAGGAGCGGAGGGTGGCGTGCAGAAGCATGAGGGGAGTAGGGCATGACGAAGGGAGGACAGACAACTGGGCCTACAAGGAAACCGGACGCATGCCCCTGTGCGAAACGACGGTCGGCCGACATAATGCAGTCACTCACGGTTGGACACTGCAACGCGGAAGACATAACGCCGATTCGCGGTTGAGAGTTAGGGTGAGAGATGGCGCCGCCCAAAGACGCGACGGCGGCTCGACGGTGAAAGCCGGAGGCAAACCGTGTCGAATTGAAGAAACGTCGATGATTATGAGGGAGCTGCTATCTACGAAATCGGCTTGATAAGCATTCGGGCATAGGCTGACTTCCCACGTCACATGCGAGAGCTAACATGAGAGAACTGGGTCGTTCCTAGGTTACTCTAGATAACTGCTCTCTGAAAACTGGTGGGCATGCCCACCACGGCCGTTGGCTATTGACAAATCAACGCCGCGAATATGCCAAACCAAAGGATGTTTATATCCCAAAAACGGCTTGACCTGGTGCGAGTAGGGAAGCCCACTTTTCCCAGGGTCCCCGTACTTCTTTCATACCATCACAACCTCATAACGTTAGCACACTACGCTCATTCCGCCCCCGAAGGCGGCACCTCGACAACATTTGACGCCTGCCCCCCGGAAGCAGCAGCAGCGGCCTGCTCTTGTGCCGCCTTGGCCGCTGCCTCCCTCACGCGCTGCGAGTCCACGACGGCTTGGAGCTCGGGAGGGACCTTGAACCCGGCGTGGTCCGAGTGCTTTTTGTAAAAGTAGTTGTCGGGCTTGGGGCGCAGCTCGGCGGGTAGCTCGTCGAGCACGCACTGCAGCATGTTGTCGATGGACTGCTGGCGAGAGGCATCGCGGTGCCAGATGGAGATGAGGTGCGAGTTGAAGCGGACTGAAAGGCCCACGCCGCAGATTTGGTCGCCTGAGCAGGGGGGCCCATTAGAACCTATGACCAAGGTGGGGGGAATGGGAGCCGGAGACGGATAGAAGGCAAAAGATAGGACATACCCTCCTCCAACACGCTCTGCAGCTTCTCTCCAATTGCCAACAACTGCACCCTCGTCCACACGTCCGGGCCGATACTCTTGGGCACGCGAAACGTCCAGCTCCCGCCCAGCACGTTCCGTCGGTCCTCCCAGATGGGCTTGAACCCGACCTTGAACAGGTATAAACTCTCGCGCATCTTGATCTGGTCGACGGGCGTGTTGTTGTTGTACCGCCAAAAGTCCTGCACGCTCTCGATGCGCGTGCCCAGCTGCTCCAGCTGCGCCTGGTATTCCCCGCCACTGCTGCTCGTGTTCTGCTGCTGCTGCTGCCGGTCAAACCACACGTGCCAGTAGTGCTGGGTGGGCAGCGGGCGCATGGCCTTGAGGAAGTTGCGCTTGGCGTCGTCGCGCTGCTCGGCCGGCGACGACACGCTGCTCATGGGCGAGTTGGGGTCGGAGGATTGCGACAGCCCGGAAAGGCCGCGCGTAAAGAGCGAGGGGCGCATGGACATGGTGGGCGCTGGGATATGCCGGGGGGTGATGCGCGGCTCTCTCGCCTCTCCCGTGGAAAAGGAGGGGATGGAGGGTAGAGAAGGCGGCCAACGGACAGATGCGAAGGAATATTTTCTTGATTTGAGCCTCTCGCGACTGCGGCAGAGGTGGGAGGCTCGCGGCAGATGGAAGTCACGGTAGGTGTTCGGCGGCCGGAGAGCAACGTTGGGCCGGTGAGGCTGCGGCGCAGGCTGTGGCAGGGTGCTTGCTGCCGGTTTGTTTCAATCTAACGCCGAAAGATGGGATGACGCGGAGCCGCGGACGTGGAGAGGTGAAGCAGTCAGGCACAGGCGTAGGCGTAGGCGTAGTGCGTAGTACACTGAAGGTTCGCGTTTTGGGCAGTAGGGGCTGTGACGCTGCGATGGAACATCGGCCGTCGGGCAGGTGAGGCAAGCGAAACGAGGGCTGGGACCGGGGGAGACCGCATGAATGTTGGCTAGGTGACGGTCAACGTCTATAGGTAGGCTGTAAGCGCTTCAAGGGTCAGCACAAAGCGAGACAATAATACCAAGAACACCAATAGTGAACGACTTCGGAGTACACGGCCTGGAAGGTGGACAATGTGGTGGACACTGCGAATGAAATCCATGGGAGACGGGAGACGTGGAGCAGTTCCCTGCCTGCCGCCAGGGCAATGGACCCTTGCCAGGGGACTGGGCTGAAACGAACATGGTGGGGCACCATCTCTGTTTCAACCTGGACGTGGGAGAGGCGCCAAGCAACCTCAGCGTCCTTCCTCCCATTCTCAGCCACTTCCATTTTCGAGATTTCCTTCCTCAGCATCACCAGCATGTGGCATCCATAGTGCTGGGTAGTCACCTGAGGTACGCGGTAACCTACTTTCATTTAGGCTTGGGTCACCAGCAGCCCGCCTGCCGTGACATTTATAAGGTAGCTTCCCCATATGCCGACGACTCCCGGCTCCGGAGTATTTACGTGTACGTTACCTACACGGCGAGATGGTCCTGGCTCGACCTGAGAAACTGAGTGGAGGTTTGCATGTCGATGCCCTGCGACGTGGTTTGGCTGACATGAATTTTTACCAACATTGCCTCCTTGTGGCAACAAACCGACTTACTTAAGGTATTTGTATCCTGGCCTGAGTTACCAGGTCGATACTGAGCGAATGCTGCTGGCCTTGGGCGCGCGGTCGGTCAAGCTGTGGTCTTCCCACCAGACGGGGCGTCCATCCGGTTTCGTGTCAGCATTTGTTGGCCATTTGCGACGACTCGCATTGTTGGACTTTGTTTTCCCGCGCGTTCGATACCCGCCTCTCTGTTCATTTGGCAGTTGCCTTCCATTTCTTTGAACCAAAACTGGTTTTGTATCCGCACGGGGCGATGACATTCCCATCAAAGCAGCCGGAATAGAACCGGTTCTCGGCGCCGGAAGCTTGCCGAGTGGGGCTTAAGTTAGCCGACCACATTCGAGTCTCGCGCTGAATCAATCATGACACCAGGGGAGCCTACTTGGTCGACCACAGCGAATTTCTTGAAAAAACAGGACGTTTGTTGATCAAGTGCAAGACCTCTAGGCACGCCTGACCTGATTTGATTGTGGGTCCGAATTTTGCCCAGTTGGCCAGCTGCTGGGCCTGCGCGGTCTCAAGTCTCTTCAAGCTCGTTTGGGACCCGTGTGACCACACAGTGCTTTCATCACTTCGCCAGTACTTACTTACCATCTTGATCTTCTCCTGCAAGCATCTGTGTCCCTGGCTGATACCAGTACAGTCCAGGCTGCTTCAGCCGTCGTCCATTCCAGAATTGGTCTCGATCCGTCTGGTACTTTTCCTTTCAGCTTTGTCCGACTGTCCAGACTCAGTCTGCAGCTCTTAATCAACCTCCAACTTGGGCCACACAGGAGCACCACGTCGCTTCTCTCCGCCTTACCTCACCTTGCAACCTCCTTTCCCGGCCACCAGATCACCTGCCAGCTGGCATTGGCACCATAACAGGTGTTCCGCCTCCCATTGAGCGCTTTTCCCAAGTTACGACCAAAGCTTCGATCTATACTGTTCCTGTGTGAACAATAGCCACTCCGTTAGGTATGCCCTGCCCTGCTCAGCCCTTCTTCCATATATCACACTTCGTCTCTTCAACTACATTGGACGCTGTTTTCCGTCTGCCCAGTTCCCATCGATTATAATCTCGGGTCCTGTTCTGCCGGGGCCTTCACCAATTCCCGTCTTTCTTACCCTCGACCACTTTGCTCTTTGCGCCATGAGTCCCCACATCAGGATCGTGGTGAGGGACAGAGAGTTGCTCGCCTCGGCGATGCCTGTCAAGCCCGTTGCGACCGCCAAGGCGGCTCTGTCGCCGCAGCCACCTCGTTCAAAACGGGGCGACCTGGCTATGCTCCGGCAGGGTGTTGACATCGCCTTGGAATACTTCAATAGCGATGACAGCGTGCCTATCTCAGAGCTGACGCCCAAAGCCAGAGACTGGGCGGACCGCTACGTCAACGGTGATCCCTACGCAGCAAAGCGGCCGACCGCCCTTCTGCGAACATTTCCCAACCTTTTCAACTTCGAAGTTGAAGGCAAGTTCAAATCTGGCACGCGAGTCGAGGGCCATCCATGACTAACACCCCCAGCCCACCTTCGATTGAGACCTGCGGTGATGTCTCCGCCGTCTTCACCCGAACCTGAGAGCGCCAGCCCTCGCGGTCTCCGCCGTGCTGAGCGCAGATTCATGAACTCGGGGACTTTTCCCGAGTTTGCGGAGCCAACCCTCGCTTCGGATTCTGAGATGGACCAGATTGTCGATCTTCGGTGCCGCCGCCCTGAGCCCGCGGCCAAGCCGACCATGCGGGTTGACGCCGCTATGCTTCGTGGCTCGGGCCTGATGAGCACGCTCCCCGAGTTCCTCGGTCAGTTGGCGCGCGCCAATCTTGAGACAGAGACGATGCTGGCTAACAACCCAGACGCCGTCCGCCTCGAGCTCGACGACGATCAGGCCGCCTCCCAGCAGCACATCGAGATGAATCTGTTTTCGGGTCTGGTCGAGGCGCAGCGGCGTCGGCGTCAGCCGCGTGTCCTTCTCCCCAACGATCTCGCCGTCAAGCTCCCCGATACTACCGGAAATAGTAGTGAGCACGAGAACAGTGAAGAAGAGGACAGCACTGAAGTCGAGGAGAGCGCCGGCGGCAAGCGCATCCCCAGTCCCAAGAGTTTCAACGAAGACAGTGGGGACGAATCCGATGCCTCGACTTCCACAACCGCCAGCCTACAAACCCACCTCAGAAAGCGCAAGGCAGCCGAGAGCGAGGACGACGGAGGCCCTGAGACCGCCAGCCCGCCCAACAAAACCCGCCTCCATTACCACTATCCACCGTCCGAACTCCGCCACTACGACACGAAACGGCGCAAGCTTGTCACCTGTTCCAACCCGGCCGCGGTCCCGGACGACCCGTCCGCCACCCCGATTGAGGAGCTACCATCCGACCCCGCCGCAACCAACAAGAACAATAACGACAACCGCCACAACCACGAGTCCGACAATTCCATCACCGTCGCCTCGCGCCCCACCAGCAGCGGAAGCAGCACCAGCAATAACAGTTCAAGCGCTGCTAGCCGCCGCCCAGTCCCTGTAACTAAGATCCGACTCCCCAGCCGCAGCCCAGGCGGCTCGCGATCTGCGTCGCCCGACAGGATCATTGTGCTCCGCCACCCGGTCGTGTCGTCGTCCTCGCGGGAGAGTAGCGTCGAGCCGGCGGGGCCGTCGGGTTCGGGCTCGCCTGCTCGAAGGTCCAAGATCAGGGTGGTGCAGAAGGAGGGGCTGGGTGAGGGGACTCAGGGGAAGAGGAGGCAGTTGATCGAGGAGGTCGAGTAACGTCTTTTTTTCTTTTTTTCTGGGTAAATCGGGCCAATCTAAGGATGGATCTGGCGGTGGGTTCGAGTTCCCATCGCCTTGGTTGACCTGCAGTTATAACGGCGTCTGGGGGTACATTCAGCATCGAGCATGCCTCTCCATGGCTGAAGTGGGATAGATGGTTAGATCAGCCTCAGCTGTAACATGGGACTGGCGTTGCACGGCATCTGTCCAACGTAGATAGATGGATCTGCATTGGCATTGTCATTGGCGTTCGGTTGGGCCAGATACTGATATCATCAGACAATGTCGACCTCGTTTCTTTCTTAATCTTGCCGTTCCGATTTCGGTATGTGGTTAGTGGGCGGCTGGTAGACACTGTTGTACATCACAAGGACATTGGGTACTGGCGACAGAAATGAATCAGGGAATGAACCAGAACAGTCACTGTGAGCAAACCAGGCCATGCCAGCAGTGCTGTATAGTTTATCCATCCACGGCCCTCGCCGTATTCCTAACCATATCCTATTCTTCTCATGACATACCCCATAACGCAACCTCAACTCCATGCAAACTACAATACAACTGAACCCGCTCGCTATTCTATCCGCCAGGCACACCATTGGACATAAGCCCTACCAAACTACCCAAACACAGGAAAGTCATCGTCGTCTGTTGTCGTAAAAGTGCACACCCCTCCTGTTACCCCCACAACCTGCTCAGCATCTCCAGCCCCTTAGATAATGTTGGTCCGGTTCCCTAGCGGCCGCCGCCGACTCAACTCGTCCAAAAATCTCGTCTTGTCGTCGCCAATCTTGCGCCGGAACAAGTCCAGATCCCGCAGCAGCCCGCTCATGTGCTCATGCATGTCGTCGGCATGCCGCTCATACCCTGTTCCTCCCGAAGCATACCCATCGTCGTCGTAGTCATCATCACCGTGCTCATTCTCCTTATTCTCGCCCTCCTCAAGATAACCGCCCTCATCAACAACTTCTTTCTCTTCCTTTTTGGCTGCACCAAAAGCAGGGACAGCGGGAATCGGATTCCTCAAACTCTCCAGCGCCAGCTTCAGATGCAGCCTCAGCGCCTCATTCTCCGTCTGCAAACTCCGAATCTTGCCCTCGGCCACGAGACTCCGCTCCTCCATAGCCTGCTGCAGACCTCTGACCCGCGCCTGGTACTCTTCGAGCTTCTCCTCGGCCTCGCGCGCGTCCTTTTCCCTTCGCCGGCTGTCGCCCACCACGAGCTGCAGCGCGCGGATCTCGGCCGCCATGGCCGAGATCTGGGCGTCTCGCTCTGCTTGGCTGATCGAGTCGACCTGGTTCACCACGGCGCGCGTGCGGATCCGCTTGGCCTGGTCCGCATACCGGAGGGTTGAGAGGGTTTCTTCGTAGTCGGAGGGGGCGATGCAGGCAATCATGGCGGTCTTGGAGTTGCCGCCCAGAGAATCTTTGAGGAGCCAGGTGAGGATGCTGTCGCGGTAGGGGACGACGGATTCTTTGCGGGAAGAGCCCGGGCGAGGGCGCTGTTGTTTGGGGTCGGCCAAGGCGGCGATGACGCGGCCCAGGGTTGTCAAGGATTTGTTGATGTTGCTTCCTTCGCGCAAGCGCTGGCCTGTAGCTTCGGTGGATTTGGCGCGTTCGCTGCCGGCCAGATCCACCAGGCGTATGCGGCTGGAGCGCTCGGTAGTCTCGTCCGTTTCGAGATCGTGGTGGATTTGCTTGAGCATGATGGTGAAGACGGCGTGGCTGCGCGAGCTGGTGTCGTTCATCTTGGTGCTGGCCGTCGTGCGGTTTTTGTCGCCAATGCGCATGTACCGGAGGATCTCATGCAGGCTGCGGACGGGGACCTCGGTGAGGTCCTTGACGTAGGGGCCTTCGGTGGGCGACTCCCGGATCTTGAGGTAGTAGGGCGGCTGGTGCGGGACGACGGGGACGAGGAGGTCGCGGACATGCTCGTTGTAGACTTCAAAGTAGGAAACGCGCACGTTGTAGCTGATGTTGGGTGTTTCGTCCTGGGCCGCGGTGATGCGCTCAAACAGGTCCTCGCATGTCCGCGGTATCAAGCCAGGCTGTTCGGGTGTTCCCATCATCGTGTACGACTTGCCAGAGCCCGTCTGGCCGTATGCAAAGATGCAAGTGTGATACCCTTCGAAGTTGTGATCGAGGAACTCCTCTCCTAAGCTATCGTAGACATCCTCTTGCGTGGCGTAATGCTCGTCTTCCGGGTCGTGACTCCAGAAGCTGTTGTCGAATGTGAAAGTCTTTTCCTCGACGACCTTGCGGGAGCGCGCCCGCGCGTTGGCCGGGTCGGTGTCGTTGGGGACCAGGAGGGTGGTCTGTTGGGTGAGGGGATCCATGCGGATGAGGCATTCTGCACTCCTTTCGATCTCTGGAATGACTGTCAGCGGTGGCCTGACCGATGAATATGGGGAGACACGATGACGATACTTACCCCTTGGGAGAAACGCCCTCACCCGCACGACAACTCGCACATTTCCTCCTGGATCCACCCTCGCATGAGGTGGGACAGTGCCATCGCGAGAGCGCAGCGACGGGGTACTCGCGCACGAGCGGACGGACCGCTGGGCGACGTCGAGGTGGCCTGCAGAGTTCGGCATCAGGCGCGGGTCGAGAGAAATGCCAATCAAGGTCTCATGGATGTCGGCGATGACGTCTCGAAAGCGCGCCTCGAGGTTGCTGAACATTTAAGAGAGACGGGTCTTCTTGGTCGCAGCTGGCGCTGACGGTGAGCTGCGCCTGCGATTGTTTACTCGACCCGGGGGTGCAGTTGCCGGGGTGAGCGATGCAGCCCTAATGCAGCTGGAGCTTGGCGGGCAGCGGTTTAAACAGCGGAAGTGGGTCTTATCTTAGTCGTCGTGTCACGCTGTGGTTGAACCAAATTGTCTTACGGGTTTCGTGAGGATCGCATTTGTTGATGGCACAGCACTGGGAGGTGGTGGAGCTATTCAATGACATGAACTCAAGTGACTTCAAAGGTCAATCCTGCGCATCGGGTGGTAGGTACGTATGTAGGGATGAAATTGCGTTGGGGCTTTCTGAAACATCCGAGATTCCAAACCTGAGAGCATGTTGATTGTGCATGATGTTGTTGACTGTACAAAATTCTTGAAGATAGCTCGCACGAGATGTCTTCGTCGTCTCACGCACGGTTCTATACTCTAATAATGCTTCCTGTCGCCCTGCTGAAAGCAAGCCATTGCCAACCAGTCAATGCCATCTTTTCCAAAGCTTAACCCAACACCTTCGACACCTCTCAAGCCCCTCTCAATTTATACGCCCGAGATAAGCCTTTCCCCAGCAACTCCCCGCCAACTTCCATCACCAACTTTCCCACCACCCCATCCTTGAACCCCTCCGCCTTCTTCAACACCACCTCTCCCGCCTCCATAGTCCTCAGCAATTCCGCCAGCTCCCCCTCCACCGGCAGACAATACACCAACCACCCGAGCGCACGCACCATCCCCTCCAACGCCTCAGCCGACCCTTCCTCCTGTGTAATCGCCTCGAGCACGGCTGCGGCCAGCTCGACCTGCTCCGCCTCAGGCAGCTCGTCGCCAGGCCCGCCGTCCCGCCTCACCTTGCTGTTCGCCAGCGCGACGTTGAATAACAAACTCGCGGCTGCCACGCGCACGTTGCTGTGCGATTCGTCCAGGAAGCTGGACGATATAAGCTTCGTAACCAAGCTGCGGAGGACAGGGTGCGTGAGAATCTGCGGAAGGTAAAGGGGGGAAGTGAAAAGATTGCAGGTCATTTGAAGTGTTACGAGGCGCAGGGCGTAGGGGCAGGTGGCGGGCGGGAGAGTGGTGGTGACGTGAGTGAGGACGGCGTTGAGGGTTTGGTGTGGGGGTGATTCCTCTGCGAGAAAACCGCTTACGCGCGGGTCAATTAGGCTGCAGCGGAGGAGGTCGATGAGGGGGAAGAAGTTGGAGGTTGAGAGGGTGGTGAGAGAGGTGCGGAGGAGGGAAGTGAAAGCGGCAAGGTCCGGGAGGGTCGCTTCTGCTGGTCCTTCGGAGACGCGCGTGTCGAGGAAGGTCGCGATGCTCTGGATTGCTGGGTCGGTTGATATGGACCCCAGTTTGGCGATGAGTTTAGGCAGTGGGGGGATCTTGGTGAAAGTGACAAATTCCGTGTTGGGGTTTGAGAAGCTGGGAAGATGGAGGGCCAAGTGTGGGTGAGGCGGCCAAGCCATCTGGACGAGGAGCTGAACGTTGCCTCGCAGTGCACTTGGATCCGCGCCCGTCCATCGGTTTTCCTGTTGACCTCTCAGGAAGGTTATGAACGTTGGCGTTGCCGAGACGGAGTACCGTCTGCCTACATCGAGGGCTTGCGAAATATCAACTTTGAACAGGGCCCCCTTCTCCCCAACCTCGGCTGCCAGGTCGTCATAGAGCGGATAGAGTGTATTGCAGGGGGGACAGGTCGAGGAGGTGAAAAAGACGACCGCGCACGACTTTCGAAATCTTTCCAACAACTCGTCGAGCTGTCCAAGGGTCGAAACGACATGGACCTTGCCGAGGGGATGGTGGAGCTGCGATTTGGGCTTGACCGAGCTGCCAGGAGTTCGTTGCTCGATGCCTAGAACGCCGCCGCGCCGTTTGTTGGCGTTGATTTGCTGGGTGAGCGCGGGCATGAGCATCTGCCCAAACGGCGAGTCTCTGTGAGGGGTCAGTATCGGCCTGGAGTCTATGATATTTTACAAGGGCCGAATCCCGGATACGTACAGCACCGCTTGAGGCATATTGGTGATGTGGCTGGGTATGCCTTTCCCCAGGAGGAATGTGACAAAATCGTTCGAGAAATTGTTGCAATTGTGTCTCCACAAGTCGTATGCCTGCGCCTGTCAGTGCTGACTCCGGTAGGTCAGGGCCATATCGACTCACCTCGACTGTGTAGATCTCGCGCAGAGAGTCGAGGTACTCTTCGATGACGTCCATGGGTACTTGAAAACGCCCATCTGTCAGAGATAAGCCGTAGTTGACAGATGAGACGCTTACATTCGGTTTTTCCCAAATGCAACTTCTGCATGGGCTGGCCCAGGTGCGAAGACCCTGGCTCGATTGCCACAACATTCCCGTCGTAGACGTATTCTCGCCCATTCAGCTGAACGGAGGTGTGGTACACGGCATCTAGCTGGAACCCGAGCAACCCCATAGACATTTGGCGCGCCAGACCGCGAGAAAGGTCATATACGAGGAGGTAAACGTCCATCACGGAAAACGAAGACAGTGACGGTACGATCAAGATGAGGATGAGCTGAGGGACTGTAAGATGACTTAACGGGGCTCTTGCAACGAAAGTTGGAGCGGATGAACGAGCAATTTGAGTTCAAGTGAGTATCGGGTCAAAGACTTGAGAAGAGCGGTTAGCGTTGTGCGTGCTACCTGTGGCCTGCTGTCTAAGAGGCAACAGCCGGTTACGAACCAGAAACTGCCGCTTCTGGAAGGCGAAAGAAGCCGAAACCTCGCCGCCGGTACGTTACGGTATGATACGACCGAGATGTAATGAACCTTACAACAGCTCCCTCTGATACTAGAGTCACCAAACGAAAGGGCAGAGAGGGTGAAGCAAGCAGATCGAGACAAATGAGAGAATCGATAGGGGGCCAGCGAGTAACGGAAAGGAGATGGCACTGGACGTATGCCAACATCGTCCCCTGCATCTTTAGCCTCCCCTGGAATAGGGCCACCGTGATCGAGGACAACAGGGAGGGACGGTGGGTTGGATGACTGAAGGCCCCAGACGGCGAATCATGGGATGCGCGTTGCCTCTCAACTCGAATCACAAGCCGGGCAGCTTCAGACAGCCAGGCGCAGCGGTGCTCGGCATCCGTGCCCGGACAATTGAGGCATGTTAGCTTGGGTCCGCCTCACCATCTCCGGGGCGGCATGAGACACAAACCACCATGTCCGAATTGAGAACATGTCTTCCCAGATGAGGAGCGAAGGTCCGGTGGGGGACAGGCTAAGTATACTTACGTCGATATCCGGTTGACAGGTCGATATCGATGCTCCTTGGGGCTCAGGCTCCGGGCTGTCTAGCAATACCAATAACCAGCTCCAATGCGTACTTGTGAAGACTTTTCAAACAACACAGCCCCTTTCAACCTCTTGGAATTAATGTTCGGTGCCGATTCGATTGACCCGTACAAGCCTGCCTCATGAGATCCCAAGTCAATGGTAGGATTTCGAGAGTCTGTTGTTGTCGCCTGTCGGGACGAGATGAGCGTGCAGAGAAGAAGTGGAGCGATTTGCCAAGCCCCTGAGGCCTGCCCTCTCGGAAGACTGAGCCGGCCAGGGTGTACTTGGCAGCTCCACACCCGGAGGGGCGTGACAGGGGCTGACAATGGCTCGCACCGCCATCCTTGCCCGAGTTTCACTGCCAGAAAATCGAGACCCATCTGTCCAAACGACCAAATCTTAGAACCTGCCCCTATTCGGCGTTTTGCTCATAACTTACTTTCTGGAAAGCAGCCGCCGACAGCAATCCGTTGCCGTCCAGTGCCTGCCTTTGCGACAGCTCCTTTCATGTCTCTCGTTTAGTCTCCGGTTCTTTCACTCAATCAATCGCCACTGGGCGGTTACCTATGTCTGACGTTTCCTGATCACCGCCTTGAATCTTAACGTTTCGACCCCTCTGCGACTTGGGACTCGTCCCTATGCGGCGCACGTCGGTTTCGCTGCCGACCAAGCACATCGCGCACGATCCGCACGAAAAACCCGATCGCTACGGTAAAAACAACCGAGACGAGAGCCTGATCATGAAAATGCAGTCGGCCTGGATGTCGCAATCACAGCGGGCCCGCTACATCAAGACGGGTGCCATCGTTTTTGCCGTGTTTCTGCTGTTCTACTTCTTCTCACCGGCAGGGGTTGATCTCTACCAAGGAGGTACGTCATGAGAGAATAAATCGGAGAAGAGTCTATATTGCGCCTAGTTGCTCACAAGTTGTTCCATCTGTCAGATGCCCTCGCGAATCAAGGCCAAAAACCGTCCGATTCGTCATACGGCACCGACAAATGCGCGAGGTCATTTTCCAAGGACAAGCCCATCGTGCAGTACGTCTCGATGATTGACGCCGGCAGCACCGGCTCGCGCATCCATGTCTACAAGTTCAACAACTGCGGGCCCGCTCCCGAGCTCGAAGGCGAGGTCTTGTTCAAGCAGACCGAGGTGAGAGAGGGCGGCAGCGGGCTGAGCGCGTACAAGGACGACCCGGAGGCGGCCGCCAAGAGCTTGGACCCGCTTCTTGATGCTGCCCTCAACGTCATCCCCGACAAGCTCAAGGCTTGCAGCCCCATCGCTGTGAAGGCGACGGCCGGATTGCGCTTAATCGGTCCTGAGAGGAGCGAGAAGATCCTGAAAGCCGTCCGACACCACCTCGAGCACGATTACCCCCTTCCCGTCGTCTCCGAGGCCGAGAACGGCGTCTCGATGATGGACGGCGCCGACGAGGGCGTCTACGCCTGGGTCACGGTCAACTACCTCCTCGGTAAAATCGGCGGGCCCGACCGGAGCGAGACGGCCGCCGTGTTCGACCTCGGCGGGGGCTCCACCCAGATTGTCTTCCAGCCGACATTCACGGGTCTCACCTCGGGCGGCATGCCTCAAAAGCTCGCTGAGGGTGACCACAAGTACGAGCTCGACTTTGGCGGCCGCAAGTTCAGCCTCTACCAGCACTCCCACCTCGGCTACGGCCTCATGTCAGCGCGCGAAGCCATTCACGCCACACTTGTCAATGACCTTTACGAGGACAACAAGGCCGACCAAGCCGACCCCGCCTGGACCCATTCCCCGGTCGTCAACCCGTGCTTCTCAGCGGGCATGACCAAGACGGTCAAAGTCAAGCTGCCGGAATCCCACCCGCTTGGCGCAACCCTCGAACTCAACATGACAGGCCCGGCCACCGCCGCCCCGGCGCAGTGCCGCAATCTGGCGGAGCGCATCCTCAAGAAGCAAGCCGAGTGCAAGCTCTCGCCCTGCTCCTTCAACGGCGTGCACCAGCCGTCCATCGCCAAGACGTTCGCCCGCGAGGATATCTACTTGCTCTCCTACTTCGCCGACCGCACCCAGCCGCTCGGCATGCCCGAGTCGTTCACGCTGCGCGAACTCTCCGACTTGGCCCGCCGCGTGTGCGGCGGCGAGCAGGCGTGGGACGTCTTTAAGAGCGTGCCCGGCGCGCTGGCCGAACTGAGGGACCGCCCGGAGCACTGCATGGATCTGAACTTTATGCTGGCGCTGACCCATACGGGCTATGAGATGCCGCTGGATCGGGAGGTGAGGATCGCCAAGAAGATCAAGGATAAGGAGTTGGGGTGGTGCTTGGGAGCGAGGTAAATTTCCTTCCTTTTAACTGGTTTATTCCATTAGGTTGGATGAGTGCTGACTTGACATGCGTAATAGCTTGCCGTTGCTATCTAAGGGATCGGGTTGGCAATGCAAGGTTACCGAGGTGCATTAAAGGAGGGCATGAGTTGGTTTGAATGAGCAAAACATGTTTGACTGTTCGCATAAGATATATCCAGGCCGGCCGGGTTGGCTCTGAGCGTGATCGGCGTTATGAGGTTGGAGGGTTTGATTCCGGGACTATCGAGGACCGCCTGCACGAGAACAGGCTACGGGGGAAAAGCACGTAACTCATAATTCAGAGGATTGGGATTGATTGACGGTTTGGTTGGAGACTCTAATGGCTTGTGATCGACTAGAAGTATCATTAACTGATCTACGGTCCCTGTCCAAAGCCAAAAACACTCTAACCTATTCCCAAAACTTCTGCTCCAGATTCTAGATTCCCTCTAATCACGCTTTCATCCGTGATACAATCCAACTTTCTCTGCCATGCTTCTCCCTAGCTATGTATATAGTTATACAAGAGTCGATTTCCATTACAGCTACACAGGAACTTTTACCAACTCCAAGGTATCCTCAACAACGTCCTCCGCCCCAACGCCCTCCAACATCGCCCTCACCGTCTCGACCTCGCTGCCCCACTGCACGCTCCTCTCCCTCTGCGGGTCCCGCACCACCTCGATCCGGTGCAGGTATACCTTGCGCAGGGCCAGCGCCACGAGCGACGGCGTGACGTAGCCGATGCCGTGCAGCGGCGCGAGCGACTTGGCGAGCTGGTCGAGGTGCCGTGTGGCGGTCGGGGTGATGCCGCCCGCCACGGCGCGGTGGGTGCGCAGGAAGGCGACGAGGTTGGCCTGGTAGCGGGTTATGGAGATGGGTGTGTGGGATGTGCGGGCCAGCTGGGAGAGGTGGGATATCTCGGTTTCGGTGAAGAGGGGGTCTTTATCATCTTCTGCTTCCTCATCTTCGGGGGGAGGAAGTTTTTGGGGCCTGTCAGTGTTGTTGTTGCTGCTAATGCTGGTGGTGCTGTTGTTGGGGGCGAGCCATTTCGGGTCGAGGCCTAACCCGGCGGCGTTGGAATGAGGATGCAGGCTTAGTTTCACAACGCTGCTGCTGGAGACTGTCGAGGCGGTGTCGTCGAGGTCGTCTTTGTTGTTGTTGTTGGGGATGTGACGATTAAAACGTGAGTCTAAGTAGGGGAAGCCGTCTTCCTCTGGGTCGTGCCAATGCCCTATGTAAAAGAAGTCATTTAGGTGGGGCGTGACGCGCGCCTGACCGCCGCTGCTGGCACCAACTAGGCCGATGAAGAGGAACTGCTTAGGGGCCGTCTGTACGCTGGTTCGCGTGAAGATGCGCCGCGTGCGGAGGAGCTCAAGAGCTTGAATCTGAACAGCTCGGGGAGCACGGTTGAGGTCCTTGGCCAGGACGACGTTGGCGATTCGAGGTTGTACCACCTGGGAGCTGCTTAGACCTCCAATGGACGGTGAAGCTGGACTGATCGGGCCCCCTATGCGCGGGGATGGGTTGATGGAAAAATACGAGCCGGAGGTAGAGGCTGGGACTCCCGAAGAGAGGTGCGGTTGCTCATGGCGCGGGCGGTATGGGGAGACGGAGCGTGTATTTGAGGGCGACGGGGGTGAGCCGAAAGGATGGACTAACAGGCCGGTCGCGAACTCGTCAAGGGTTATGCGGGCGTGGCAGCTGACTATGGCCGAGTCGAGGTTGAAGGTCTTGGAGGCCACCAAGCGTAACTCCTCGGCAAGCTCATCGACGCTGTCTGGCTCGGTGCTGATGAGGCAGTGCTCTCGGGAGATGAGACAGAGGAGAGCAGCAAGCTCGAGATCACTGAGACTGTGGATTTTGTTGAGGAGCTGTTCATCCGCCATTGCCTAGGGTTCCGCCGGCTCGCGATGCATAGCACAGTCCATGCAGAGTCGCAGCAACTGCAGCTCGCAGGGTGAAGATAGCTTCGAGCTCCGACCCACTGTGAAGTTGTTAAAGGTTGCCGTATAAAATACCGCCCTTCTTTCCTTGTCGCTGAAGTCACACCATATCGTTCATCTTATCGGCTCTTGGTTTGGAAATCGTCTTGCCATCTCTAGTTCATGTTCGTTATGCGACGATTGTAGCCCTTGTCAAGAGTGTTGCCTCTGCTCGCGTGCCTCGGTCAGCAGCGGTGCCTTGTTCGATGACGACGAAGCTCGGTGAGCACCACCCGAGGAGCTTGGGCCGAATCTGACGGACACGGGGGGGAGTTGTCAAGGCCCGCTAAGCTGAAAACCGCTTGGCTTCATCAGTGGGCCAACATCGACAAAACATCTGATTTGTCCAGTGGCTATCAGGTGCCTGCTTTGGCCGTGCAGCCAACGATCAGTGGCTCCGCCTTCGTCACTCCTCCGACGCTGCATCCCAATATCCTGCCCGTCCTTTATAGGTGTTGCAGCCTATACTGTTGATTCTCGCCAACGATACCATCCCGCATACCGGCGCGTCCTTTGGCCTGATTCCTCATTCCTTTTTGTTTTACCTTGCCTTACCTGAAGGATCGCTTATTCGCACTGACGGGTGTTTCCCAAGGCATCTGACCACCGCTGCTAGCGTGATTGGCCGCTTTCCCCGCCCATCAACAATTCACACAGCGCCGCCATGGCTTCTCGAAAGAAGGTCCTTCTGAAGGTGGGACGCGACGCCTTGGACACCAAGACGTCCATCGCTAATCAATGGTGTGGATCCAGATCATCATCTTGGGCGATAGCGGTGTCGGCAAGACAAGCTTGATGAACCAATATGTACGCAGCCGCTGCTGCTGGCGAACTCGTTATTCGATAACCTCCCATGCATGCCTCTGACTTGTCTCGAATTGCAGGTCAACAAGAAGTTCAGCGCCAGCTACAAGGCCACGATCGGAGCCGATTTCCTGACGCGGGAGGTGATGGTGGACGATAGGCAGGTGACCATGCAGGTACGCAGGCGGACCATGATCCAAGAACTCGGCTATCTAGCGGGAAGAATCGCGCGCTGACATGTGTGATATGGGTGACAGCTCTGGGACACAGCAGGACAGGAACGCTTCCAATCTCTAGGCGTGGCCTTCTACCGGGGAGCCGACTGCTGCGTGCTGGTGTTCGACGTCAACAATTCGAAGAGCTTCGACGCGCTCGATAGCTGGCGGGACGAATTCTTAATTCAGGCGTCGCCACGAGACCCGGATAACTTCCCATTCGTCGTGCTGGGGAACAAGATTGACGTGGAGGAGAGCAAGAGAGTGGTGAGTGGGCGCCTGTGCTTTCAAATTGTGCGCGATGTTACGTGTGGGAACGGGCGGCTGAACAAGCTTAGATTTCGACTAAGCGAGCAATGACTTTCTGCCAGTCCAAGGGAGGTATCCCCTACTTTGAGACGAGTGCGAAGGAGGCTATCAACGTGGAGCAGGCGTTCGAGGGTAGGGCACCAAGCAGCCGCCAGAGACGTTGAAAGTGGCGTACTGACATTTGCCAGTCATTGCGCGGAACGCGCTGCTTCAGGAGGAATCAGAAGAGTTCAGCGGCGACTTCCAGGACCCTATCAACCTCCACCTCGAGAGCGAGCGGGAGGGATGCGCGTGCTGAATGCAGCGGTTGAATTGATCCGGATTTTTTGAGGGTTTGTTTGTAGGATACCAGGCTTCGTGCGTTGGTCGTGTTGGTCGTGTATCGCAACAGAGCTGGGGCTGGCATTTGAACGAGGAACTGACAGAGGGTTCCCCAGGATGCTCGATAGAGGTTGCATGGGTGTACGTAGGAATAGGGCGAAGGGATTCAGGATGATGATGCTGTGTTCACTGCTCTAGACTGTGGTAAGTATTGGCACTCCCTGAATGGATGCTCACAATGAGGATTCAGGACTTGCGAAAGCAACCTTGAACCTTGTCTTGATACCTTGATGAGCCCATGATGGTTTGACGAAAGAGCCACCACCTATCGATGTGCTTTGTTCAACCCTAAACCGCTGCATTTCATGTTATTGCAGTATGAGGCAGGGGCCGGCTTGGCAACCGTCTGCTCGCGTGCGTTTGGTGCTTCAATCACTGGAAGTCTCCGACAGAGACGTTATCCTTCGACCTCCAACTCCCGTTTTTTGAGATCTTGCTGCTGGATTCCCACAGCGCTTTTCGCAGCGATTCTTTCTCGCTCTATTCCATCCTTTCTTTTCCATTTATCTCTTCTCTTTTAATTCCCTCTTGACTTACCATTCGTTCCCCGACCCGGCCTCGACTTGCCCGTGCTGACCCAGTGTTCTCGGTGCGATTCCGCCTGGATAATTCGGCACACATTCAAGCGACCATCGTTTGCCAGGTCGCCTCCGCTCGGTCCCCCTTGGGGCTGATATATTAAAACAGCAATACATCGAACACACGAACGTACAATATCTCACCCGGCTTCCTAATCCCTGGCTTGAACGGCACCCATCGGGGCCGACGAGCCATGATGGCTCCCATCGAGCCGCTCCTACCTGGCGCGCTCGCGGAAGACGATAAACATACGGAGCACACGAGACATGCCGGTGATCATAGCGCTTGCGCGCGCATCACGACTCCCTCGTCCTCTTCCTCCTCCAGGCGCAGGTCGCACTCAGTCACAGCAGCCATACTTTTATCAACAACAGACCAGCTCGACGAACCCCCACTTTCTCGCTCCGCATCTTCAGCAATAACATCTAATTCGACCACCACGACCGCCGGCATCCGGGACAAGCTCGGACTTGGCGGGGTCGCGCGACGAACCCTAGGCATTGCGCTGCTGCTTGTGGTGGTATTCCTCTGGACTGTGTCCAACTTCATGGCGAGCGTGAGGGCTCAAATCTTAACGAGGAGTGAAGCACACGCCGCTGACCACAGTCTTTGCAGTACATCTTCTCTGATGGGACATACAGCAAACCCTTTTTCCTGGTCTATGTTAACACATCCTGCTTCGCCATCTCCCTCGTCCCGCTCACGATACGCTACGTCATGCAGAACGGTATAGACTCACTGATGGCTGTGGCGCTCCAGATGTGGCGGGAGCGGAAACTGGGTTTCACGCCACTGAAGACGGTGGACGATGGCCAGGAAGAGAGACGTGCCAGGGACAGGGGTGACGATTCAGGGGTGCGGCTGCTGGTTGACGACGAGGGGAGTCTGGACATGCCAGGCCGCAAGGACGACGAGAAGCTCAGTGTGGGTGAGACGGCGCGGCTGAGTCTGGAGTTCTCGATGCTGTGGTTCGCGGCCAACTACTTTGCCTCGGCGTGCCTCGAGTACACGAGCGTCGGCAGCGTGACCATCCTGACCTCGACGAGCAGCATCTGGACGCTGATCTTCTGCGCCATTACCAAGGTCGAGGGGTTCACGCTGCGCAAGCTGGTCGGCGTCCTGGCGTCGCTGGCCGGCGTCGTGCTCATCTCGTCGGTGGACTTGTCCGGGGCCAATGACGATAATCGGGGAAGCTTCCCCCACAAGTCGACGGCGCAGATTGCGATCGGGGATGCCATGGCCTTCTTCAGCGCTATCGTCTACGGCATCTACGTCACTGTCATGAAGAGGCGGGTCGGGAATGAGGACAGGGTCAACATGCCGCTGTTCTTTGGGCTGGTGGGCTTGTTCAACGTGATGTTACTCTGGCCGGGGTTCTTCATCCTGCACTACACCAGCATTGAGCCAGTGGGTCCTCCTTGTCCTTTCTGGGGCTCGAGTTACGTGCTTACTTGGACTAGTTCGAGCTCCCTCCGACGGGCAGTGTTTGGGCCATTATTGCGGTAAGTCATACCCCGTAACATATCAGAAGACAGTGTGCTGACACGTGCTTAGGTCAATTCTGCCGCCTCCTTTTTCAGCGACATCCTCTGGGCGTATGCCATGCTGCTTACAACGCCGCTCGTAGTGACGGTCGGGCTCTCGCTGAACATCCCCCTATCGCTTATTGGCGAAATGATTCAGTACTCGCAATATTCGAGTTGGCTATACTGGGTAGGAGCTGGGATCGTATTCATATCCTTTTTGTTCATCAACAATGAGAGTCAGGAGGACACAGGGGTTAAGGAGGAAGTGGCAGAAGATGTGGGGAGGTCAGCGGTATAGCATTTGAATTATGATTTACAGGTAGAATTACGATGATTGGAACGCTCATGGGTTTCCTGCTGAGGGTATAGACGGTAACAGTTGGATAACCAGTGCAGTTCTCATGGATTGACAGGTCACCTTTGGGAGTGGGCTTTGACTGGGCAGCCTTAAAGCTCCTAACACCACATATTCAGGGGTTCCGGAAGAGTCGTTCCAAAAGGTAACTTGGGCTTCTCGGGCAACCCTCAATGCTACTATTCCTTTGGCCCTGGCAAATAAAGTATCATGGTTGATGCTTTCCGATTCCTTTCACTGTTTCTACAAGACTGAACAGCGCTGGCTGCTCCTTGAAGCCCAAGCAGCTAGCTCTAACAAGCAGGATGCTATTCTGCTGAACACCACCCCAAACGCCTGCGCCATAACTGTTCCCATGGTATGCGTGCCTGCTGTACACAAAAACCAACAACGCGCCGCTGCCATGCCTTCCAAACAGCCATGCCCCTATAAACAATCATCCAGACAAACCGTCGATAAACCACCAGGCGGGACATCACCAATCATCCCGATCCCCTTCCCACTCATCACCAACATCCGCCCACCCACATCCCCACCTCCTTCCCTCCGTCTCGCCACCAAGCCTCAAATCCGCCGCGCGCTCCCTGTCCTCACTCCAACACCTCACTATGAAGTCATCCCCCACGGTGACCAGCTTCCCCTCGCTCGTCCACGCCACCGCCCCAACTTCCTTCCCATGGCCCCTCACAAGCGGCGTGCCGCCCCTCACCATCGGGGTCCTCGCCCCATCCGCCCCCTGCCTGCCGGCAAACAGACTGCTCATACTATTGGACCGCGTCAGCGCGGGGTGGGCGGCGGCAGACCTCAGCCCCGGTCTAGGGAGCGGCGCGGAATCGGTCGGATGGCCGACGTAGTAATTTTCCTGCTGCTCTGTATCCGAGGACGACGACGACGACCAGACGTCGCGGAGGTAGCGCTCGTCGGTGGGGAAGAGGACGGCTGCGCCGTCCGAACTTCCGACGGCCAGAAGCTCGCCCCGGCCGTCGGCTGCGGAGCGGATGGCCGCCTTGACGTAGAAGCTCGTCGCGTGGAAGAGCGGGTGGCGGAAGCCGTAGAGCGGACCGAGGCCTTGGTGGGCGGTGCCGTGCGGGTGGTGGCGCCGGACCCGCGGGGGCTCAACCCCCGGGCGGGCGGGGTTCAGTTCCGGGGCGTGGCCGAGGACGAGGTGAGCGGTGCTGTAAGCGTAAACCGTGTTGTCTTTGCAGAGCGCGTACAAGCGCGTGCCGTCGCCGCCGAGGGTCATGGAGCAGATGCCGAAGGGGCGGAAGGCGGCGTGGCCTCCGGGCGGGGTGGTGAAGGAGACGGGAGTGCTGGCTTTCTGGTGCCGGCTTGTGTGGACCGCGCGAATATCCCAGAGCTTGATACTTGCGTCGGCTTCGCAGGCGGTGAGGAGGAGGTGCTCGCGGCCGGGTGGGAGGAATTGGAGTGCTGTGACAGAAACCTCGCCAAAGCGGCCGGGGACCTCGCCGAGGCGGGCAACATCACCGGAGATAGAGGCGGCCGGCTGACCTTTGGTTTGCCGCGTTGCGCGCGCGTGGGCGTCGTAGATGCTGTTGACAACGCAGCCTGGGTTGAGCGGCTTTGGCAGACGGTAGCGGAGCTCGGCCTCGGAAACGATAGGCACGTCCTGAACCGGTCCGCCCCGGCAGCGAAGGTCCCAGATCTGGACGCTCCCATCACGGCCCGACGTCGCGAGGACACAACCCGAGCCACGGCCGGGTTGGAAACGCACTTGCTTCAGGGAAGCGGTGTGGTGGCCGAGGATCGAGACGGGCCGCTGAGTCATCATGTCGATTACTCTACCCGTCTGGTCTCCCGATGCGGTGGCTAACAGGTGGTCATCCTCGGAGAAGGCCAAGTCGATGATGGCATTGCCGTGGGCCTGAAACGACAGGTGTATCTTGGAAAACTCCCTGTTCGAGTCCAGGAGTCGTATATAGCCCTCCTCATCGCCCACCGCAACGAGGCTGTTTTCTGGAACTTGTCAGGGAATAGACGACAAACATGGTTGGGCCCATGATACTTACTATGACATGTCGCGGTGCAGAACGGGATGGATCTGGGAGCTCCCTCATGGCTAGACGAAAAATGAACATCTTCCGGGCGGCTTTGGAAATTTGCCGTCTCGGTTCTCCAGTCTACCACATGGTTAGTCGGACCAAGAGTAAAAATGACGGGCTGCATACCAGCAACAGGGCATTCAAGTGCCCGCTCACTGGCAAAGCGCATAGCACCCGTCATCCTCTGCACCAGCTGAGCTCCCAACCCTCGCCGATGAAGCGGCACTGGCTTCTTCGGCTCGGCAACTGTGGGCTCCAGCTCCTCTTGGTCGTCCTCGGGCACGTCGTCATCCCTATAGACGCCATCCTGCAGGGCCTGTCGAGACCTAAGGCTCCGGAAAGGACTCCTCAAGGCTGGCCTTAGATCCGCGGTTGGGAGGAGTGGCGATGACTTCAACGGCGAGGGCAGATGGTTAAGCTGCTTCTCGGGCGTCGAGTGATTGATTTTGCGGCGCTTCCCCCGGTGCGAATCCTGGTGATGGGGCATGCCGAGTTCCTCCGAGATGGGCTTGAGCGGACTTGACGGGGTTTGGCAGCGGTTGAGAGCCGGGGCGGTAAGATCACAGAGGGCTTTCCGGGCAGCGCTGGGCTTGGACGAGACGCGAGATCGAGGAGTGAAGAAGCGTTGAAACTTCCTAGGTGTAATTGACGGATTTCTTCGCTCCTTGCCGCGACTGGTCGAGGCTCCGGGAGGTGACGAGAGCAGGCTTGCGTTCGAGGCAGCCGACCTCTCCACCGGTGAGGATGGGACGCCGCCTGCCATAGTCAATGACTACAGTGACCCTTAAAGATTGTTACTCAGTGCTATGCCTGCCCAATGGCCGGGGAAGAACTGGATCTTGGAATAGGAATTAGAAGTTATCGAATATCGAACCACGCGGCGCGTTAATGGATTCCTCGACAACAATGACCCTCGTATAGCTTGACGGCAACGGTCAGGTCTGTGAAGGTCCGACTGCTGCAGAATCGGACGGATGAACATGCAAGAAGATCCAATGTCTGCGGGGGTTGATACATATGGCGGCCGAACTTCGCGCCTCCCAGACGCGGTCCGCGATGGACGCGGTTTAAGTGGTCTTGGAAAATTCGAGCCAACCAGAGCATTCAACTGGACACCCCGCTAACCCGACGCCAAGGCTTACACCTACCTTATCTTATCGCACTGCATCTCCATTCTCGGCCAAAAATTTCGGCCATACTTCCGCAGCTTTCGCAGCATTGTCCTTGGTCGGCAAGCCCATCGTCGTCTCTTCCCAGCCGGCATCTCAAGGGTCGCATATGCTCGTGCCAGTCAGCCAACACCATGGCGATTCAAAAGAAGCACGGCAAAGGCCGTCTCGATAAGTGGTACAAGCTCGCCAAGGAGAAGGGCTATCGTGCCCGTGCCGCCTTCAAGTTGATCCAGCTCAACAAGAAATATGGCTTCCTCGAGAAGAGCAAGGTTGTGCTCGATCTCTGCGCGGCGCCAGGCGTAAGTCTAGATTGATTTGTATCGTAATGCTCATCTGGATGCTGACAGAACCAGTCGTGGTGTCAAGTATGCGCCGAGACCATGCCCAAGGACAGCATCATTATCGGTGTCGATCTCGCCCCGATTAAGCCTATTCCCAAGGTTATCACCTTCCAGAGCGATATCACCACCGAAAAATGCCGCGCAACTATCCGAACACACTTGAAGACTTGGAAGGCCGACTGCGTGCTCCACGACGGTGCCCCGAATGTCGGTACCGCCTGGGTCCAGGACTCCTACAACCAGGCCGAGCTAGCCCTCCATTCGCTTAAGCTTGCGACTGAATTTCTGGTTGAGGGAGGAACTTTCGTGGTACGTGACGGAAAAGTGGTCATGTGGGTTGAGCAATGCTGATTCCGGGGCAGACCAAGGTTTTCAGGTCCAAGGACTACAACTCCCTCCTGTGGGTTCTTAACCAGCTGTTCACAAAGGTGGACGCAACGAAGCCCCCATCATCCCGTAACGTCTCGGCCGAAATCTTCGTCGTATGCCGCGGTTTCAAGGCCCCGAAGCGCATCGACCCACGGCTCCTCGACCCCCGATCCGTCTTCGAAGACTTAAAAGACCCAGCGCCGAACAACGAGGCCAAGGTTTACAACCCGGAGGTGAAGAAGCGCAAGAGAGAGGGTTACGAGGAGGGAGACTGTACGGACCTCGGTTTATCCCTGGCTTGACATCGCTAACCCTGTGTACAGACACGCAATTCAAAGAGATTGCCGCGAGTGAATTTATCCAGACGACAGACCCAATCGCGATCCTGGGCCAATACAACCGGCTGACCTTCGAGCAAGCCAAGAATGGCGATGTGGCGCTGGCCGCCCTCGAAAAACTTCCCGAGACAACCGACGAAATCCGCCAATGCTGCGCCGACCTGAAGGTGCTCGGAAGAAAAGAATTCAAGCTTTTGCTCAAATGGCGTCTTAGGGTACGGGAAATCTTTGGGTTTCCTACCAAAAAGACCACAAAGACGCCACTTGCGGAAGAGGTGGCCGAGGTGGAGAACATGGACGAGGAGCTCAGGATCCAGGAGGAGTTGCAGAGGATAAAGGACAAGGAGTCCCACAAGAAGAAGCGGGAGCGGCGGAAAGAAAATGAGAGGAAGCAAAAAGAGATTGTGCGCATGCAGATGAATATGACGGCGCCAATGGATATTGGTATGGAGCAGGAGGGTCCCCGGGGCGAAGGTGCCATGTTCCGCCTCAAGGTCATCGACCAGACCGACGTTCTGCGCAGGATAGCCAAGGGAAAGATGGTCAAGGTCACCGAGGCAGAAGCCAAGAAAGACCGTGACTCAGGTATCGGCTCCTCAGGCGAGACGGACGACGAGAGTGACGACGAAGCGGACCTCCTGGAACGGGAGCTAGATAACATGTACGACCAGTACAGAGAGAGGAAGGCGGCCGCTGACGCCAAGTACCGTGCCAAGAAGGCCAGGCAAGAGCACGGCGACGACGAGTGGGAGGGCGTGTCAGGAAGTGAGAAGGAGGGAAGCGACGACGACGACGACGACGTGCTCGAGGAAGACAGCAGTGATGATTCGGATGCGGAGGAGCGGGGTGACACTAGCAAGCCGCTTATCCGAGACCTCGACAGCACACCACAGGACGAGGCTGGTCTGTCAAAGCGAGCCCGGGGATTCTTCAGCCAGGATATTTTCCAGAGTATTCCCGGGTTGCTGGACGTCCCGGAAGAAAATGAAAGCGAGAACGAGGCGATGAAGATCGATGCCAAAGAAGAATCTGAGGATGAAATACCGACCATCCAGGAGCAAAAGAAGATGCGCAAGGAGAGATCTGCCCGCAAAGAGGAGAGTGGAGGGTTTGAAGTAGTCAAAGAGCGTGACGACGACGATGACTGGGAAGAGAAGGAGAAGAAGTCGAAGGACGGCAGGCCCAGTAGGCCCATCTCTCGTTTTCAAACGCATCAAGGCGGAGGCTAACAGTTCCAGATATCGACATCATCACGGCCGAAGCTATGACGCTAGCCCACCAGCTGGCCCGCGGCGAGAAGACGGCCCACGACATCGTCGACGAGGGTTACAACAAGTATGCCTTCAAAGACCGGGATGGGCTGCCAGACTGGTTCCTCGACGATGAATCCAAGCACGACAAGCCGCACAAGCCAATCACCAAGGAGGCTGCACAAGCCATCAAGGACAAGCTGCGGGCCTACAATGCCAGGCCCATCAAGAAGGTCGCCGAGGCGCGGGCCAGGAAGAAGCTCAAGCAGGCGCAGAAACTCGAGAAGCTCAAAAAGAAGGCCGATTTGCTAGCCGGCGATGAGGTTTGTCGCGCTGCGTATCTTTGTTTGTGGTCGATCTGGATGCTGACTCGCGTTGCTGTAGGGTATGTCTGAAAAGGAAAAGGCCACCAGCATCGCCAAGCTCATGTCAGCCGCGGCGCGCAAGAAGCGGAAGCAGCCTGTCAAGGTGGTTAAGGCTGCCGGCATGAACCGCGGCATCTCCGGCAGGCCGAAGGGCGTCAAGGGACGGTACAAGATGGTGGATCCACGCATGAAGAAGGAGATGCGGGCGCTGAAGAGGATTGCGAAGCGGAAATAGGATGGTCAAAGTGATGCAACGTGTTCATAGTTGGTGGTCATGCTGAGGTTAGCATGCTGAGGCATGGAACATCAAAGATACAGGGCGTCATTCTGCCCTTTGCAGTGCTTTACTGGAGATTGACCGTACGAAGGTGCTCAACGGATACAGAGGCCCAGTGAAGTCCATATCATACCTACTCCAGTCAGCATCGGGGGAAAAGGAGGGTAAGAAACCAAGGCCGGGACTCACCGATAGTTGACGGCGATACAAACTCCTTCAGGTGAGCAGCTTTGCGAAACCTTGTGATACCTAACCGGGTGTCAGCCTCTATCCGTTTTCCAACCCGCGACATTAAACGACGCACCACATGCAAGGAAGATATAACATATCCCCGGGATCCAGTGTCACCAGCATCGGCTGCACCAGCGCCGAGTACCTCGTCGCGTTCTCGCCTGGCCGGTCCGGATCCCAAATCGCAAAGGGAACTTCTTCCCCTTCCCCTTCCTCAAGCACCAACTCCAGCCCTTCTTCTTCCCCTCCTCCCTCCCCACCACCAGACACTTCCATGCGCCGGCGGCGGTACACAGCAGGCCTTAGCCTCGTCTCGTTGACGGCAGCATGGCACACGGGCGGGAGCAGGACGAAGTGTTTCTGGCCTGCAATCTGCACGTAGATGTTCTCGTAGTTGTCCTTGTGAAGCGCGGTCACGGAGCGGGAGTTGCCGATCCACAGGTTGATGGCGTCGGGGTCGCGGGCGAGGGCGATGCGGGCCCAGGGGATGGTTGCGGGCACGTGGGCGAAGAGCGGGAGGTACTCGTGCCGAAGGTTATCATTTTGGGTTTGGGCGTAGCGGATTTCTCCTGTTGCGGTTGTTGTAATGCTGGTGGTGGCTTGGGAGGGGGTTTGGGGGCTCTGTTGGCGGTGTTCTTGCGAGATGAGGTAGGAGAGAAAAGTCATGAAGGGCTGGTCTTCCTCATGCGGTTTGGCGAAGACTAGGGTGGTGGTGCCGTCGTCAGGGGAAGTGTACGGCGTGGGGGCGTCGGCGTTGCTTGGAGGCGTGGTCAGTTAAGGAGTGGTGGTGAGTAGGTAGAGTGCGACGATGAGAGTTGAAATTACCCTGCTGGAGTAACAGCGACATTGACGGATTCATCACGGAGCAATTCCCTCAGGTAATTGACCGTCCATGTCCGAGTCGCCTGCCAGTTGGCAGCGCCGCTCCTCACGACAAAGGGGGTGTTTCGGGCGACAAATCTCATAAATTCAAGGGCGCTCGGCTCCTCGTCGAGTTCCTCGATGACGGAGCTGTTGAGCTCATTGTAGTTTATAATGAGATCTTCAAGCGGATCTTCATTCTCGGAGTTACCCATCATGAGATCATGAGATTCATGAGATTGTGACGGTATTGTGATGAGAGTTGTGAAGTATTGTGTAATGTCAGAGCAAATGCCCACTCAGTTTCCTACTCGATCTGCCCATATTAGCCTCCTGTCTCCTGTCAGAGAAAGGTATCCATCTAGACAAGCGATAGCGATTGATGGAATAATAATATATCAAAGACAGGAATGAAGTCATCAATTCCCTCCCGCACTTTTTTCTAACTTCCTTCCCTCCCCATAGGTTTGGACTGTGCATGATGAATGTTCGTAGAGACAGCCCGAGGGAGAAACCAACTTACCAGCAGGCTTCAATGTTGAATCACAGACCCTTCAGTGAAGCATCAATCTGGATTTCTTGTTCCGCCTCTCCTTCGCTAACATTCATCGGCTTTCACTATTTATCGTTGTAAGAATCACAAAAGACCAAGGGCACATCAGTAGAGAACACTCTTCAGTAAAATGCTTTTCAAGATGCTATCGCAATCGCGGGGGTGTCTATCTGCCGGAAAACCCCTGGTTTCTTGGCCTTGAAAAGGGAGAAATAGGAGCCCCATGCGTACAGAAAGGTGATGTAAGATACGTAAGGTAAGATACGTATACCTCACCCGCAAAGCTCACTGCCCTGGTTTGGTTTCTATCGGATTCTGCACTTTCCCATTGTGGGATTTGTGCTCAGTTGAAACTGGGATGCGACCCACCCGAATACGGTACTGTTGTGGTAAGTGTATGGAGTGCGGTCCGTACCTCCCGTTCCATTGAACTCTCTGTTCACATGTCTCTGCCATCACCTGGAAACCAACAATCCGACATTTTAGTCTGGTAACTCAAGCGAGTATAGCTGACAGACCTGTTTTTCCAGCTGCGTTTTGTGTGATTCCCTGCAAAGACTGCAGAACCACTCTTGTCTCCTTGGGACGCTGGCCATTCAATTACTACCCCGTTGATCCCTCACAACGTCCCTCCGGTTGTCACCCGAGCCATCTTCATGCCAACAACAGGAATGAGGATGTTGCGCAGTTCCTAGCGCAATGCCCCTTCTACCACAAGGGGCTCACCTCATATCGCAGTCTTGGCTACTATTACTTGCCCCAAAGCTTGGTCACCGATCACTGCGGGCCATTGCTTTGACACGAGCACACGGTGACCCCAAACCTCTTCGGTCAAGTGATTATGTTGTGGTATCTCCTCTATCCGCTGAGAGGGTAGGCCGCCACTCTTCTTGTCTACATTCTTCCATAGTGCATGCTGAGACTGACTTTGCAGCAGCACGACCGAAGTCCCAGTGTTGGCTCCTGACCATCCCCTGCGCCTACTGTTTACGCGATACGGAACTTGGACCGCTCGCCATGTCAAGACCGTCTTGCCGCTCTCCGGGGCAGTTATTTTCATCTTTCTATACCTGTTCCCCTTTCTTTATACCACCGATGCCTCCACTATCACGAGCGGCGTCTCGCATCTTCCCCACCACGTCTGGACCGATGCTCGGCCCCTGAGTGATGGCAGCGTTCTTGAGCCAGACGTTGTTATGCGCTCCATCTGGGTTCATGGCAGCTACATGCGGGCTCTTGAGCCAACTGTCTTGCTGGGAGCTCTCGAGCTGCAGGACGAAATTCTCGGCCCGACGACCGACTTCAACCCGCGCCAACCACCAGGCGCCCAACGAGTGATGCTTGACCCAGGAGATGCCGATTTGGACCGCCAGCAACGGGACGCCTTCCACATCGCAAACGGCCTGACCGATCAATCGTGGTTCTTTCATTCGCCGTTGCAGTACTGGGGCGGCGCTGCCGCGAACATCGCTGCTGACAGCGACATCATTTCCACCGTCAACGCACGGAAGACGCAGTCGACCACGGTCAACACCACCCTACGCCACTCCATCGTTTTCAGCGGCAAGCGCTTTGAGGAACGCCGGCTGGTGGCGGCTGATGCACTCGTCATCACCCTGATCCACCTGCGCGACTCTCCTGTGGGGAGACAATGGGTGAGGAGGGCCGAGGCCTTGGCCCAAGCCGGCAAGCAAGACGGCAAGTGGCAGATTATCCCTCCTGACGGCAAAAGCACCTCGAGTCAGCTCTACAAATTTCAGTTCCAACCGATGTCCTGGTCCGACTGGGCCATCCTCACGCTCGCTTACTCCCTGACCATAGCCAACCTGCTGCTTCGCATGTCCAGGTTGCGTGCCGTCAAGTCCCGCCTCGGCCTCATGGTCACCATCTTCACCCAGATCGCTGCTTCCATGGTCTCCAGCTTCACCGTATGTGCCATATTCAAGATCGACCTTTCGCGCGTCCCGCACTATGCGTATCCACTCGTCATTCTCGCCATCAGCATGGAGAACACGTTCCGCTTGATAAACGCCGTCATCATGACTTCCTCGACGATAAGCGTCAGCGACAGGATAGGCGAGGCGTTTGGCGTAACAGCTCACATCGCCATCGTCAATCGCGTCCAGAACTCTCTCATTCTCTACGGACTGTCCAAGGTCACCTCGGCCGGTGTCTCGGCCTTCTGCACCTTCGCTGCCATCGCAACCCTGTTCGACTTCTTCTACCTTGCCACATTCTTCCTCTCGGTCCTCAGCGTTGACGTACGGCAAAGGGAGCTCTGGGAGCTGGAAAAAGCCTCATTGAAACGGGCCAAGTCCTCCAACAGTGAGCTGACCAGGCAACCTTGGATTGATGGCATCTACCCACTCCGCCTGGGCGAAACTGCCATGTCGACAAGAATCGCCGGGACCATTGTGCTTATTGGTTTCGTTCTCATCGCTCAAGCTCATTTCACCTCTGAGGGGCGCCGACAGTGGTTGGACCAGCTCTTCAACTTATCGTGGAGGGCCTCTACGAGCACGCCCAAGTCGTCCCTCTTGATCGACATTAACCAGGCCAGGAACCCAACCTCTTGGCTTCGCCTGCAAGACCACGAGACGGCACGCGAAGTCATCAAGGTCATCAAGCCATGGGCACACAGCTACATAGCACGCGTCTACGATCCCATCATTTTCGTCCTCAAGGGAAGCAACCGCACCCCGGACACAAAGGAACCGCGGTTGCTACCCGCTGTGTACGATTTCCTCCACCATCAGATTCCGCGCTTCATCGTCTGGCTGTTGACAATGCTGGCTGCCCTGCGCCTGTTCACAAACCATCTTATCAAGGACCAACTAAAGGACGGTTCACGGCCCGACAATCCTCACGACGAACCCTTGCTGTCAATCCGTTCTCTGAGTGGAGGGCATAGGTTAGACGTTGCCATGCTGCGTGCTTCACCTGCTGGGCAGCTCGTCTCGGTTGGCCTTGACCGGGCCATCCAGGTTTGGGATGTACTGTCGGGCTCAAGGAGTCGCGTTTCATCCAACCCAGACGTGCCTTTCAAGAATCCCTTCCCGGTCCTGGGAATGGCGCTCGACGACAAGTCTAAATGGCTCGCATTGGTCTCGTGGCAGAGAGTGTTTCTGTGGGACATCGAGGAGCAGCAGTGGGCCGGGCTCTGGGATGTCGACCTGGGCGGACACAGACCCGAGGCCGTCTTCTTCGTTACGAAGGCTCCGGCCATGGCCCCAACGCTGGTGCTGGTGAGGAGGAATGGCGTGGGCCTCGAGATTCAAATCGCGAACGGGGAACCGAGGGACTTCTTGATCTGCAAGACGCCACTTGTTTGGGCAGTTTCATTTACCGAGAAGTGTATGTATTCGGCGTGTCGAAGATAGCCCTGGTACCTCTGGTTATTGACGTCTAAGCAGGCAACGCCCAACAAACAACCCCCCTTGTCATCCTCACCGCCTCTCGTAAGAGCTGCATCCATCTCGTCCGGCAGCAAGGCAAGGAATGGGTGTCAGATGAAGTGAAGCTCGAGGGAGGCCCTGGGGCAAGAGATATCCATTGCCTGCTCCCTATTCCAGCCGTATCAATGTACCTGATCGGCCGGTCACAGTCGGTTGATCTCGTCGACCTTGACTCATCAACGGTCGTCCACACCTTCCACACAGAGATGATGCGGCCACGAACGTTGAAGCAAATCTCCCTAACCCGGCCGCAGCAACCCGGCCTTGCATCGTTGACGCTAGCTTACACCAGCGCCGAGACGGGCGACCTGGTTATTCACACATACCTACCCGAAGCCGATAAAGCCACGATTCGCACCTCCAGCCCAGCCGAACGAAGGCTTCACAGTCCATGGAGCCATACCCGGGAAACAATCGAACACATGGCTAACCCAGGCTCATGGGAAACCCTGCCCACGGGAAGCTTAGTGGGCGTTCGCAGGGTCCAGCCCCCGCCATCACCCTCATCGCCATCCTCATCATCAACATCCCATACACCCGGCACAGGCCTACTTCGCAAACGAACATCCACTTCCCCTCCTACCACCCCCGACACCAATAACACCTCAGAAACAGGCGCACAGTACAGGCAAGGATGGGAAGCATGGGTCCTCAACCTCGACCTGAACCTCAACCTGCGAACAAACCCCATCCGAAAAACACCGCTCTTCGAAACCCGCCCTCTTGACGAGACTGACCGTGACTTTGAGGAAGCCGACAGCCGTGGGCTCATGATGATGACAAGGCAGCACCTGATGATCTCTGAGCTGGGGCCGATGACGCGGCTGGGGACGATGAGCGTGGCGGTGGGGATGGGCGATGTCATCAAGGTGGTGAGTGTCGGGCACGAGTACTTTGACGACCGGGGGAGCGGCCCTGGGTCGTTGGGGTTGGGGGATGGGCTGGTGCAGGTGGTGCCTATGGGGCTGGGGAATCGGAGGAAGAAGGTTGGTGGTGCGTCCGGGAGGGCCGGGAGTGGTGGTGGTGGGAGAGGCCTTAGTATTCCGTGAATGGAAAGAAGGGGTGAGGAGTTGAGGTTCCATTACCCATGATGAGGTGGTCGTTGAGGTTGGCTCTGTTTCTTTTTGGTAGGAAATCTCTCAAGAACTTCATGGAGGGGGTGGATTCTGTGCTTGACAGGAGTGGTGGAATTGTCTATACCCTTGTATAACTACTAGGAAAAATAACAATCAATTCGTTAGAGGAGAACTGAGCTTGGCGTGGACGAGCTGGGGTGGGATGGGCGGGAGGAGAGCAAGACTGCATAAGCTGCACGGGAGATGTTCATTGGTAAACTTTGGGGTCGTAACTATGGTCCGGTATTCCTCTTGAGATCTGTGGATGGCGAATCTGTACCATATAAACCCTACCGTTACATGGTACTTGGCGGAGATGGCAAACAAAAACCGATGACTTGTGGAGTACGCTGCGTTGAAGGCAACAAATCTTCGACCTGGAGAATCAGTAGACTCTACAACGGCATGCATGGTACAGCGAATAGCCCACTCGAATGAAGCCGCTGCCTCGTAGAATCAACGCTAATAACGTCACAATAACTTGAACTCAAAGCAGAATGTGGTCGTGAGACCCTCGTCACCACCATGTTCTCCTATCATCACTGTTCTACTTGATTCTTATGACTTTGTAACCAAAAGGGCCTCCCGGTATCCGATGTAAAACAAATAAACCTAAAGCAAAGATAAGGAAATAAACAGAGTGCCTTATAAGATTCTAGTTCACAACAAAAGGGGAAGAAAGGAAAAGATAGTGTAAAAAGAAACAAACCAAGAATGAAAAGCCCCATCATCCCCTTCTCACACCCCCTTTCCCCTGACCATGCCCATACCCACCACCCCTGTAGTACTCATTCTGCTGCTGCCCCTGGCTATGGTCACGGGCCTGGTACAGACCGCGACAATCCTCGCACGGCTCCTCGACGGCAATAGTTTGCCAAATGTGCTGCTCGCCGCACGGGTTCTGGATCAGCGAGGCCGGGCCGCAGAAGGCGGCGAAGGAGAGCGAGATGTGGGTGCACCTATGCCGGTGGGCGTAGTAGCGGCACATGGCTTTCTTTCTCTTTCCTTTCTGTTTGTGCTCTTTTCTCTCCTTGATGTTCGGGAGCGGGTTGGGGGGGAAGGGGGGTTATTCCGTTTCCTTCTCTCTTCGGAGAGGTGTGCTCTGTCTAGAAAGAGGTTCGAGGCAGCGTGGTGAGCTGTTTGGTCGATTGAGCAATGGGAACTCTCGGTTTGCGTGGAGTTGACTCTGGGGGACGAATGAAGGGTGAGGAGGGTCGAGAGGTGAAAGGAAAGATGGGTCCCAGATGTTTTGGGTATTGAGTTGTGTAGAGTGAAGTGAGAATTGGAGACAGCCGTCGAGGACAACTGGAAAAAGCCGGCGAGATATTGGCTTTGAGAGACAAGATAGGTCTCGAGGCTCCGTTGAGTCAATCATCTGTGGCAAGCCCAAGGGCTGACGGGCGAGGCTGACTTTAATATACGAAGCTCTGTTGCCGGCTTTGGTTGTCAGGCGCTGGCAAATAGATGATTGATCATAAAACGAGCGATACAGAGCAAGCTTGGATCATACAGCTGAAATCGGACCGCAGTTGATCTCGCCTCACTTGCGCGGCACAGATCCGTATTCCTGCCAGACGGTGATTGTCGACGTCCGGAGCTGACCGGCGTTTTTCACGGATACTTCACTGCTGAACTTAGCTCTCAGCTGCATCGCGCATGTCCCGTGCAGCCTCACGCCTACTACCCTCCATCTCGGGCGACACGCGGACCTAACGGGCCAAGCTGACTGCCGAGTGAAGCATCTCGTGACACAGGGCGCGAGGTTACAAGTGGCAGCCCAGAACCTTGGTGAGGCTATTCACGAGAGCTTCCGTGTGCTACGGTCCACTTACCGCGCAATCTGAGAGCTCGCCAAGTTGCAGCACCGTGCGGCCGCTTTTCGAAGCATGCAAACGTATATACGCATGAAATGCACGAGACAAGTGAGGTACCACAGTGATCGCCTAGTCTCGTCGGCTTTCGACATGAACTAAGAACTCCAGATCTGTATGGGCCCCAACTCGACACGCACTTGCAGAGCATGAACCTCAGAATAGTGAGCCATAGAACTGCTATTGTAGGGCTGCAGGGTGAGGGCAGATGACGCAGTGTAACGATCACGGCGACCATCTTGTGATACAGCCGCGTGTGCGAAGGTAGGGTAGTGTACGGATCCGTACGGTGCTCGCTAACCATCGATATAATGCAATTGGGGCTCTTTGCGCCACTGCAAGTGCATATGCAGGCTGAAAAGCAAGGATGGCCTAAAGTCCGTCAAAATCTCAAGCGACTCTCTGAGGCTTCTGGACGGCTGATGATGATGTGAACTATATCAAGTCTTTTCCCATATCGATCGGCCTTGGACCAAGTCCGGGGGAAGAAAGCTCGGACTGCTGCTCACCGCCAGTTTTTTTCCGTTTATTTTTATTTCGAGGCCGAGCGGCAACCTGCGCGGAGCGATCATGGATAAGAGACTCCGCCATGCTGTGTACGTACAATCGAAGCGCTGCTCAGCGTGTCATGGTACTCCGTAGGGTGGTCGCATACTCGAGGCCAGGCGCGCTGATGGTGCGGGCTCGACCATCGTTGCAGAAACTCGATGGCTGGGAAACAATGGCAAGGGTCGGTTTAGTGATGCGACTCGTGGCACCGGCCTGGGAGGCTTGAAACCCTGGAAAATGGGCAGGCTCCGGCGAGCGAAACTTGGCGCCACGGTGGCACTCGGGCCCGCCTTGGTGCTGGCCAAGGCCCGTGCACCTGGTCCTTAGGTAAGCAGCAGTTTGAGACATCCAAGGAAACTCGGCTTGATGTTTGCCCATCTCGGTCTCGGTACCAAAACCATGATGGCATCTTCCATCCATTTTACTTTCACCACGTCCGCTCTCACATGGTAGTCACTCACTTTTCCGTCTCCTTGATACCTCCATACCATACAGAACCGGCGCTTGGCTGCCGGTGTACGGAGTACGTCTCCCCCGGACTCCTGCTAACGCCACGCAATCGCACCCGATGCGTCTCGCGCGTCTCTATTGTCGGTCTTTCAATCGCTGCATGGGCGCCGCTGTCCCCGCTTGAATGGAGCCGTGGGGCATGCTGCAGATACATCTCAGAGATTGAGGGCGTGGACAACTCACCTTGCAGCGCACCATCTGCAAGCCCTCCAACGGCCTGCCCTTCATTCGTTTTTCGAAACCAGTACAGACAGGACCCGTCGTTTCTCGTTGTCCAATAACACTGTCGCTCGTTCCTTTCATTATTCAGTCTCGAGATCTTCCTGCTGTTGCGAGCTGCGCTTCTTTCTCGCCTTGCATCGTGCGTCTGCGTCATCCGGTGCGCTAGACTGGCCGCCGAGTCGGGTCGTTGTTGATTTGCTCACTCTCGCCGAGGACATCCACAGCCCACTTCACCCCCAGGCCCGGCCAGCGGGTCCAGCTGTCCTGCTTGTCCATTCCATGAGACCCTCGCCAAGCCCCGCTGCTGCAACTGCACTTCGGCTTCCTTAAGACGCCTCCGGACCCCCGATTCGGCGCAGGGTGCTGCCGCCGCATGCACTCTCTTGACCTTGTCTACCTTCCTTTCACCCCTCTGACCGATATCACGGCTATCTGGGATCCAAACCTCGCTCCGAGCCCGGTTCCGGGCATGACCCACGCCGCCAATTGACCCACCGCGGTTTTCGGATCAAGTCCAGGCTGGGTGCTGTTCCAGCTCCACGGCTCCACCGCCACGCTCATCCTCAGCCCCAGAGCAGCATAGCTTGACTTCACCGAGTCCTCCGTCAGATCGCCTTCCCTCTTTTTGCGCTTCTCAGAAAACGTTACAGAACGTCAGGTCGAAGATTCACTGGGTGGTTTTGCCGGCTCGGGTTGCCGGCGCTTTTCCAGAGCGGCTCGTGTCTTGTGCCGCTGAAAATCTGGGAAGACGGACTCAGTTTCATCTCAACTGGACAACACCACACACATCGCCTGCTCGCTCGCTCACAACCACGAAGTCGTCGCCATGCCCTGCGTCATTATTCGCGTCCCCACCAGCTTCAAATTCGAGCTTCGACTTTCCTTTGGATCACCCTTCTGTTGATGCCTGTCCGCTGCAGTTGCTCATTCGCTGTCCATTCGGGCCTGCCCTGTACAAAATCACCTTGTTTCAAGCGTACTTCCGCTGTATCATATTGGTCAGTACTTCTCCAATGGCTCAAGTTACCCGCCCGCCTCAGAAATCCTGATCCCGGCCGCAGCCTTGCGTAATCAAAGGACGAAACGTGCCCATCGACGAGCTCATTCCGGGCGCTGTCGAAGCCAAGCATACCCACTCCTACCACATCACAAGCTCTTCATGCGTGACTGATGCAGAAGTCGAGCAAACCGACCGCCATTCACTCGTTTAAGGCGCTGCTGTTGGGACGGGGTTGCGCTCATCGCACAGGCTGAAATTGGCCGATTCGCGGCACAATCCTCGCTTAGTTCCTCCTCCCAATCGACGCCGACACCGTCGACGGCCCGTCTGGCCCGAACTCTTTCATGGCTTCCTCGGAGGTGGACCAGAAGTTTCTCGGCAAACTTGCCAAGGCAGTTGAGCACGACAACCCTCTCCTTGCGTCGGTCTTGTTTAGGATCCTTGGGCTTTCCATCAACCTCTCGGCACAGCTGATCAAGGCACGCAAGCAACGTCGACAGGATGCTGCTCAGGAAGCCGCCGCCTTGGATCTAACCTGCCACATCGTCTGGTTGTCGCGCGAGGGACTAGTTCTACTGCAACAATACGTCCTTCCCATGGTCGGAAACTATGTCGAGCTCAAGGTACTGGCGTACAAGCTACGCGCCTCCTTTTACCACATATTTGTCCTCTTTCACAACACCCCGCCCGTCTCCACCATGGGTGTCAACACCCCTGAAGGCCAGTCAACAACAACAGTACCGGGTTTACCGGCCCGTGTCGACAAGGGGAAAGGACTTGCGACGGACGACCAAGACGGGAACCCATCCAAGGGTGGTCCCGTCGGTCCTCCGCCGGGCTTCGGCCCAACGCCACCAACAGCGTTCCTCATGAAACCGGGCGACTATCTCCCGGAAGCGCACCGGTATTTTCGTGAGGCCGTCCAGCTGGCCGACGAGTTATTATGGGGGTCGCACTCGCTCCGCCTGTCTGTCAAGACCGAGTACGCCGCGTTTCTGTACGAATGCGTGCATGACGCTGAGGGCAGCCGGAAGTTGGCCAAGGATACCATTGCGGAGGTCTACGAGGCCACCGAGGGCATTGACAACGATATGTTCAACGACGCCTGCGAGCTGGTCACTGTCCTCGGCAAGATGATGAAGCGCGGGCTTGGGTCGAATACCACACTGCGCAGCAAGGTGCACGGGTCGGGCTTGGAGACTCAAGGGACGCCGCGGGGTGAACAGAGCGAAGGGAGTGCGCCCCCGGGCATGATATAGCGCACACCGCGCAGCTCAGATTTCCATCCCGGCCGGCTGTGCGCTCAATTATCGAAAGCCGTATATAACCAACGTCACACCCACAATTTTCGGCTGGCCATAATCCACAGTCTTGATGGCCATCTGCCTCTCTCCCCAAGCATATATCAATGCATGGCGGGCAATGTCTGTCATTTCGCGGCCACTTCTTGATCATGGCCGGCATCATGTATGTGTATACCAGATCATGTGTGGGACAGAGTCTTGGCGTTTGAAGGCCTAAATTGTCATTTCTAATGTTTGCATTTTCTTCCGTTTGGGGAATCATTCTGTTTTTTTCTTTTTCTTCGTGATACCCGGAGCGTCAACAGCAGGCGACGGTGTCTTTTATGGCTTTGAGATGTCCTTTTGGTTCACACTATATTCTTGACCTTTAAAAGGAAGGGACAGAGAGGATGTGTGTAAATGTTGGTTGCATGTTGGGCTTAATATACGGCATTTGGCAGTGCGAGCCCAGTAACTCAGCGTGATGTCGGGTAGAGACTTTGATACTGATTGCGTTCTTCTCGCTTCAACCAGCAACCCCTTCTCCAACGCATTACCGCGTCGACTTGAGACGTTGTTGCCCAAGTAGTGTACAAGTCATCCCAAGGGCGCGGCGAAAGCTATCATCATCCTTTCATCTACCTTCAAGCGTTATGTCACGCTAGTGTAAATGCCATATCACCGTGGCTAATTCAAGCGCACGTCTCGTACCCCGGACGCAGAACTGGCATGAGCTCGGTTTCCCAGTTTAAAACAGATTCCTCAGTAATGATGCGTCGGCCACGGAAAGAGCTGTCATGCGAAGGGAAGTTCAACAGAACGAGGGCGTCAGCAGGGCCGAGAAGGTAATCTCAACGTCACCCTCCCTCTTATATAACCAGAAAACACCCAGAGCCTCAGATTATCCTACCAAGACCTCTCGAGCAGCAGCATAAAAAACATTAGTCCCCCAAGCCCGCTGGCACTCCTTGAAAGTCTCTACTGCACTCGAGACAACCTCCTTCCAGCAATGAGCCGAAGATCCACAACGACACCCAACGGCTCAGTCTCCGCCGGCTCCGCCACGACGTCCACCCCCTCCACCGCCACGGACAACCAACTTCTTTTCCCGCCCACCCTCCCGCCGCTCCGACAAGTCCTCGTCCTCCTGTCGGCAGGAGCCCCAGAAGCCCTCCTCTCCGTCCCCATAGACGCGCCCCCGACGCTTGCCTTGTGGCCGCCGCTTTGGATCCCTCCTCCCGGCGTGCCCGTCCCCGACCCGCCGCTGTTGTCCCACTGGCAGCCCCCCGTCCCCCCGGCAAACACAGTCGTCAACCGCCTCCCGCGGGCACTAGAGCCCTCGGCAACGGTCTACGAGGACCTCCACTCTGGGCAGGGGCCGGATGCGCGGCGGCGACGGCTCCCGCCCTGGGCGGCGGGTGGGCCCCTCCCGCAGCCGGTCGACCAGAACCGCCGCGATGTCCTCCGTCAGCCGGGGCCCACCGCCCCAAGTGTTAGCAATATCGACAACCATCCGCTGGGGAAGAAGCAGGGAGTAAAGGACGGGAAGCGGCACGATGTGGTGAGACAGAAAGGAGAGGAGCGGGAGGAGAGAGGGGGCGGAGAAGGAGAGGAGGAAACGAGGGAAGTTGAAAGAGAAAGCGAAGAAGGGAAAGGAGGTAGACACCAGTGGCCAATAACGCCGCTGAATTAAATCAAGCCTTGCCTGACAAGTTCATGCAATGCTTGGGGCTAGAAGAGGAAAGATGGGTTGGTGGAGGAGGAAACTGGGAAAATCAGTTTAGAAGCATCCAGCAGTGAATACTTCAACACTCTTACAAGCAGTCCTGCTTACTCCATATAAGATCTGAGCTCAATTCAACCATGATACTGTTCCACGATATCCACAGCTCTATGCTGTCGTGCTTCCTGAACAGTTGACACATCTCAATCATAAAGGTAATGTCAGTGGTCGAGCACTGGGGGCAGTGACTTGGTAATGATTCAGACCTTTATTTTCGCTTTCAGAAACTTCCACCACTACAATCCAAGCAGATTCTTGAAGATATACTCCGATACCAATGCCAGTAAGGTACTTTTCCCAAGGCCCAGAAAATGGGGGCCACTCGCATTTCCCTACACTAACCCTAACCCTTCCTTTGCTTGAGCCCCTGAACCAAGTCAACAAACAATCAGGATTCCATCAGCCAAGTCTAGTCTCTTGCCTGACTCGCGCCCAGAAAGCAGCGCAGAGACACATATTTGCTTTCGACGGACTGTTCGTCGGGCATAGTTCCAAATGACGCGTGTTCTGATCAAGGAAGGCCCGCGAGTTGATAGGTTTGAGTAGCGCCCAGGGAGCTGGCGCTGACTCGGTCCGGTGAGACAAGTCATTGCCTGCGTTGTCCCGTATCTGCTGATCAGTTTCCAATACCAGGTCAGAAAGCCGCTGCCAGAGTCGGGCGCGGAACGTGGTGGCGGTAGGGGAAACTCGCCGTGGATTGGGGCGCCTTTACCCTTACCCTTGTGAGAGCTGGAGAAATTGTTCCCATTCGCGTTTCACTTCCTCATCCATTTTCAGCCCTGTGTCGCGGCCACTGTTGAGAGAAGACGGAGGAGAGATTGGTGGCGGAAGCGGATACATGCCGTAGATTGGACCGACCGGGCGCCCGGGCGGGTCGTTTGGAGTGTTGCCGCTCTTATGGCCATTGTCCTCGGTGCTCGAATCAATATTGGGGGTAATGATGTGCGTAGCGAGCGAAGAGGCAGGCGCTGGCAACTTTAAGGGAGACAGACTGCCTGCGGGGTCCACGTTCAGCTCCGGTCCGGCGGTTCTGGTGTCCCTATGGGTTTCGGATGCCGAAATGGTAGACTGCGAGTGCGACTGCGTGCGTCCTTTTGTCTTTGTCAATCGAACTGACACTGTACTTTGCTCAGGCGGCGTGGGAGGTTTGGGGAGTACTGTAGAGTAACACCCGAACGGCATGGTCAGAGACATTTTGTCTTGGGTGAGCGGGAGGGTGCGACACGTACTGCGCCATTTGAACTTGCATTCGTCGCACCTGTTGTGGCAGCAGTCGAATCCGACGCCAAACACGATGTGGTTGGCAAGCTCGTCTCCGCAACGATCTGCCGAGGGCGAGTAGATGTTTCTCCTCCCGCAGTGGCAGCACCTCTAGAGCTTGTTTTTCCTCCTGCTTTCAGGGGACGCTGGCAGAATTGATACTGTCATGTTCCGTATATTGAAAAGTGTTGTTTGGAGGAAGGAGTTGCGAGGATGTTGAGGCCAAGCTGCCAAGGCGAGGAGGATGTTGAGTCGAAGGTGTCTTAGGTGGAGCGCTCAGAGATCTGTTGCGAATGTACACGTGCAAAGAAAAACTCTGAAATCTGGACTTTCGTCCTGAGTATGTGAACTTCAGGGCGGAGAGAAGTCATTGCCGCTCTTGACGGCCGTGCTCCATACCGGCAATGGCTATCAGCAACTGCTAACACGGCAGGACCATCGCCAACACGGGATGCTAACCTAGTTGGAAGCTCCCTTTCCCTCTTCCGCAATCCCACTCTCGCTGCGGCGGATTTTGTTGGAAGCAACATGTCCGCCCGCACAGGCATGAAATAATACAAAACTTCGAACCATCATTCTCACGCCCTGAGAATTTCAGCGTGCAAAGATTAGGATATTTTAGAAAGAACAAGCCAAATTACTTGTTAACTATGCATTTCACGGCGTAAATATAGCAAACAGTTACACAGCAGAGAACCCTAGACCTCACATACCTCTCGAGACCCCACACACAATATCAACAGGCTCGCTTCACCTCTCGTCCATTGCATCTCCATCCAAACGGTCTTGGCCCATAACTGAGCCCCATTCCCTCCTCATCCGACCCGTCCTCCACACGAGTAGGTTGATATTCAACCGGACGCCGAGACGTAGTCCAAGCACAACCCACCGTCGCCGTCACCTCATTCCATCTTTCACTCCCAATCTGCCTTTCCTTCCCGTTCCCCATGTCCCTCCGCTTGTTGCCATTCTCCTCTACCCTCCCCCTCTCCCTCTCCGCTTTCCTCTTCCTCGCCTCCCTGCTACCTTCACCACACCACCCGTTACCACCACCTTCTCCGACCATCCGACTGCCCTCACCCCGGCCCATTTCGTCTTGACGCAGGCCATGACGATGATGAGTCGCTCTCATCCGCGGCTTTTCCCCTTCTTGATGGTGCTCGTGTCCGTGAGGGGTACGAGTAACCATCATATCGTCATCATCATGCTCATGCTCATCGTCATTATCACACGCAACAGAGTCGCTCCTGCCGCTACCACCGGCAGAGTAGTCCAGCCGGAGATTGGCCAGGGCCAGGAGCTGATCAGGACAGGTGTCTGCTACTGATGACAGGCGGGAGGGCAGGTGGAAGGCTTCGGCAAAGGTGATGGTGTTGCCGCGCTGGGCAGCGGATTGGAGGTAGGTTGTTGTGTAGGGGAACCGGGTGTTGTTGTTTCTGGTTGAGAAGGAAGTGTGCGAAGGGCAATAGTCGGGGTAGCAGCGCTGAAAGGGGCTGAAGGGGTTGTCTTCATGCTGCGGTGGTGGGGGAATGAGGTGGACATCTGGGCCGTGGCAAGGTTTTGCTGAGGGCCTTGGGTTGGGTGTGGTTGGGGAATAATAGTAGCCTCCGGTGAGTGGTAGTGGTGTTGGTGGGATGTTGCCGTCGAGATCGTGGGTGAAGTCGTCTGATATATTGTCAGTTTACATGGTTTATCAATGGTGTTGAGTTGGTTTGGAAGACGAGAACGCGTACCGTCACCCTTCACGTAGCATATGGGACAGCGCCGGTGATCGCAAGTCTCGCCGTAGCCGTCCGAGTATGGGGAAACTCCATCGCGGACATGGTGGCCGCCAGAGTTGAGGTTGGAGCACTTGCAGCAGGTCCACGCTCTGGAGGACATGCTGGACTTGGCGCTTGGGGTGCGATTTTTGGGGGGCATGATTTGCGACGCTCAGGGGAAAAGATGTGGAAGGTCGAATAGGAGACTCGAGTGTTAGTGACTATGTACCTAAGGTGTACAAGGGGAGCAAGTACCTAAGAGACTTGGAAGCGCAAAACAGGTTTTATAGGTCCCTATGGAAAACAATTATAAGGTATACAAAGTACTGTATCTTCCCGAGTCACCGAAGTCTGTTTTGTGTTACCTCAGCCATACGATGCATAATATTGTCTGTATGTCGCAGACGACCCTTGTAAAGAGTCAAGGTTCCCTGCTTTCAATGTCGCGGGCGGGACGGGATGAGGCAGCATCACAGTGCGCTGAAGACCTTTGAAGACTTGACGCATGTCTTGACAACCTGTGGAACGTTCTCGGGAACCAACATAGCTCAAGTCCATGAACACTTTCCTCGGCGTCTGTGCCAGGAGGACAGATCTAGGGATATCGAACTTATGAATCTCAGTTTGAGTGGTAACTCCAGCACAAAGCATAACAGATAGGGTGGACGTCGAAGGAACAATAAAGTTAGACCAGCCCATGTTGCCGTCCTCAACAAGTAGAAGATGCCCACTACTTCGCGATTCACGTAAAGCTAGTCTAGCACTAGGTGTTTGCCCTTACAGTAACTTTTCATAATATGCTACCATTCAAGTCATCTGCTGATCATACTGGTCCCTTCGTTAGCGTGTCTTGCCAGACATATAGTTTCACCATATATATCATTAGCAATAAAGCAATGTATAAGGTAGGTTTAAAAGATGATTCATTGTTCCTTTTCGGTCCAAGTGAGACGGACCAGATGTCACCAAACGAGTGGACATCTGTACTGTAGCAGCCAGAGCCTGGGCCAGCTAACTGGAACATACAAAGAGTTTATGACAGAACTCCAGCTGTGATCCCCGCCAGACCTCGCAGCCTCTGAGCCATCCGAGTCTCCCACCTTGCATTATCCTAACACATGATCACCAGCTGTCTCCGCACCCCACGCAACTTGTCTTCAGTCAACAGCAGAGTTAAGGAGATGACAATAGTCTGGCTTGTACTTAAAGAACTACGGTCCTACGAACTACAAACAAATACTGCAAAGGAACGCTAAGTTTCATGTTCCTCGCGTATATCGCCGTCATCACCACACCACCTTTTCTGTTGTCATTGCTCTTGGTGCCCAATTACCAAAAATTGTTGGATGTAGTCAATCGCCTTAAACTGCCAAGTAACAGTGAATAGAATTTGATCAGCGCTCAAAACTCACTTCATCTGCAAAAATAGCAACGGGAATGGAAGCAGTTCGCGCCAGCCGAGTCCTTCTGCCGACGAGTACTGGGGCGGGAGTCCCTCTGCCCTCACTTACAGCACGTCCAAGAGAGGCCGTCGTAGTAGCAGAAGAGTACGGAACAACGGTGATAACCTCCTCGACGTGTTCGGAACCTGATATCACTGCACAGTAGTTTGACTCCCGTATACTTTTTTGTAGAAGCATCTGGGCAGTATTCGTATGTGAGGTCTGTGTTACCGCAAGGGAGGTTCCAGAAGTTTTGAGTGCACATTTTGAAAGGTAGTAGTACTGTGAACGTTGATGTATTCGTGGTCCAGCTGTTTGGCGAGCCTTTGCAGCCTCCTCTGATTGTGGAAACAGGTTGTATAGAGCCAACGTGTGTGGCCAGTCTGTCAAGACACCTTACCTTAGTTGTCTGATACTGAAGCCAGAGTACTACGGCCTGCTGGCCGTGGTCCATTTCCCTCGCTTGAAACGTTTGGTTGGATTCCGGGATACACGTATTCGTTCGAGCTTCAATGAGCACGAGGATCCATTATCTTTGGCTGGCCATAAGCAAGACAAACCAGGCATTAGCAGCATGTCTTTATCAAGCTGGAGCATGCCACCTCAGCTCGTTGAACATACAATGAAGCTGTCGCACATGACCAACCAGGGTATAGGGATAACATCATCTTCAAGACTTGGTAACAGGTCGCGGGTGAAACGGTTGTGCTCAGGAGGAGTGGCAACTAAGTGGCTAGGTATATGGAACTAGAGGCCCCCCTGTATCGTCTCATCGTCGTAGGGTTAAAGGCACATCAAGCAAGGCCAACTCAGCAGTCTGAGCCAAGCTATATTCTGTAAGGCAAAGGGGGTAAACGGGATCGAGTGGAAAACGAGGAGAACTACTTACAGTCAGGTCCCAAGAACAGCCAGTGTAGGGTCCAGCTTAGAAGATGTTCGCCAGCAACGCTGACCATACAGGTAAACAAGATAGCTACTCATAAAATGCTGCAGCCCTCCGGGCGATGCGGCGGGAGATGGCCACACGCCGACAGAACAGTGCATTCCTGGAAAATGTGTCGCCCTTCTTCTCTATCAATTCCTCAGGTCACGGTGCCTGCCGGCAAGGCTTCAATTTGCTGTTTTTATGCCCGCAACGACGACAACGGTAGATCTTCCTGGTACAGATGTTGGGCAACGGCTTGATGAAAATGGCGTCGTTGGATCGGTGCAGTCAGTTATCTTGGTCAGAGTCGTAGTAAGTAGTATGATGCTGTTGAGCGGTGACAGTATCAGGGAACTGACGTGAACTATATAGAGCTGGAGGCCACCTACTATACCGTACGGTCTTAACATGGTCATTGGATGGCTAATGAACCAAGGCTAGCTGGCCGCAATATATCGGCGTTTCCTTGGTGAGTTGTCGCTTTAGCTCCACGTACTTACGCTCACTTCCAAAGATGGTCAAGGCCGAATGATAAGGAGAAGGAAGTGGATGGGCCATTAGAGACTTACTGCAGTTGCTTGCTGGTGCCACCAATCCCATGACGGGGAGCTCGCAGGCTCCTTGAGCTTCAGTGAGTTCAATCAGCGGCTGCTGTTGTTGTATCTGGCCAGTACACGGGCCCAGCTGTGTCTGCGCCTAGGACCTTCAGGTAGTGTCCATATATTCCTTCGTCCTTTTTCGTTGTTCTGTGTACCATAAAGGGCATCCTGAAGGGCCCATCATGAGAATGCTTATGTCGAAGAAGCCAGGGAACCGGGGGGGAGGAGGTGTGGGGGAGGGGCGGGGAAGGGTTTCAAACGTTGGTGGCGGCAAGGGAGACAGTTGGCTGACCCCTATTAGTGTACGTCTCACTGTCATGGGGCTTTCTCGTTGGGATAGACCCAGCGCTTGAGCATTCTCCATAGGTAATCTCCGTGCTCGAACGCCCTCGTCGAAGTGGCAGCCCCTGAGGTGAAGTTGGTCTGTTCAAGCCTGCTGACTCAGCAGTCTTGCATCTCTCCCTTATCTCAGATCCCCAGCTATCACTCACCTTCACTTTTGTTCACCACCACGGCAGCAACATGGAGTCCTTTGAGTCCCTCGGGGCAAACTACGCCACAGCCATCAGGCTCATTGACGATGCTCATTCGCAGGACCCCAACACCATCCCTGGCGATAGTGGCCCTATACCGTACGAGCTGCACTACGCCCGGAAAATGACTCGCTGGCTAGCCTCCCGCAAGCCCGACGCATCGCCGGCGCTGCAACTCGCCTGCCGGGCCCAGCACTTTCGCCGGTGCGTTTTCTAAAAACCCGGATTCCATCCTCAATCATCAACAAGACTCCGACTTCACTTAGCAGGTTCTAACTTTACATACATAGCTGGGAACTCCCGCGCTCGAGCTACCCCATGACGCGCGCGGGCTACCTGACGTGGCGCGCCAAGCAAAAGTCGCAGGCCGCGGCGCAGGTGGCGGAGCTGCTGGCGTCGAGCGAGATCCAGCCGGCGCTGGCGCGAGACGAGATTGAGCGGGTGGCGGCGCTGGTGCGGAAAGAGGGTCTCACCAAGGGCGACGTAGAGACGCAGGTGCTCGAGGACGTGGCGTGTCTGGTGTTTTTGGACGACCAGTTTGACGGGTTCGAGAAAAAGAGCGAGATTGACGAAGAGAAGGTGGTGGGCATCTTGAGGAAGACGTGGGCGAAGATGAGCGAGGCGGGGAGAAAGCTGGCGTTGGGGATGCAGTTGAGTGAGAGGGCGACGGGGTTGATCCAGAAGGCGTTATCGCACAATTGAGGAGAAGGCAAAATTGGATTGGAGGATTTGAGCCTGCTTTGTGAGTTTCAAGTTTTCTAAGGTATGAGAGCTTCTTTCCCCTGTGCCTGCTCCTTCCCTTTCCAGCCATCCGCACCCCCGGAGGCCGATTTCCGGCATTTCGGGCCCGGCTTTGACGGAATGCCCCACTTCTCGGTGTAATCTCCGCCGAATGCCCCGTTCTCGCCACTTCCGATTGGGACACCGGTGGCCGATAAGAAGACGGCCTGTCTCGGAGCAGGCCCATGAACATAGTTGTGTTTTGTTTGTTATTGATTATTTTCCTGTTGCTTTCCTCGTCAGCATGTCGCGTACAATATCGGCGTCGGAGCTTTCGGCGCACAACACCGTCTCCTCCCTCTGGATTGCAATTGAAGGGATTGTCTACGACTTCACTGAGTTTGCCCCCACCCATCCCGGCGGTTTAGCTATCCTCCTCGAAAACGCCGGCAGGGACGGTACCCCGGCCTACAATGCCGTGCACTCGCCCTCCCTGCTCAAGTCCATCTTGCCCCTATCCAAACATGTCGGCCGTCTGTCGTCACCCCTGCCTTCGGCCTCTCCGTCCTCGTCAACGAAGACCCCCTCAAAGCCGAGCCTGTCTACGCTGATCTCGGTCAACGATTTCCGCTTGGCCGCCCACACCTTCCTCCCACCCAAGACGCTGGCATTCATCTCGTCGGCCGCCACCGACTGCCACACGCACCGCCGCAACAACACGACCTACGCTGACATCACTCTGCGACCGCGCGTGCTCGTCGACGTCTCTGCCCCAGTCTCGCTGGCAACTACCATCCTCGGCCAGCCAGTGGCCTCCCCGATCTTTGTCTCGCCCACCTCGCTGGGCAAGACGGTGCATCCAGAAGGCGAGCTCGAGATAGTCCGCGCCTGCAAAGAGCTCGGCGGCATCGCCCAGATTGTCAGCACCAGCGCGAGCTTCTCTGTCGCAGACGTCGTCCAGGCAGCGCTAGACCATCCTTTTCCCGCCGGAGACGACACCACCGTGCCGGTCTTCCTCCAGCTCTATGTCGACAAGCACGCCCCTAACACCGAAGCCCTGCTCAAGTCCCTGACCACTCCCAACGCCAACAGCGACACCCCCAGGATCAAAGGCGTCTTCCTCACCGTCGACGCCCCCGTACCAGGGAAGCGCGAAGCCGACGAGCGCGTGCCCCCTCCTCCTCCTCCACCTCCACCACCTCCTCCTCCTCCTCCTCCCTCCACCACCTCAACCCCAAACCCGACAACAACAACAACAGAAGCAATGATTGTGACAACACCCATGGCAACCCAATTAACTCCCACCACCGACACGCGCGGCTCGGCCCTCGGCAGGCTCATGGCAAGTTACATCTCCCCCTCCCTAACCTGGCACGTCACCCTCCCCTGGCTGCGCTCGCTGCTGCCGCCGTCGGTGCCCATCGTCGTCAAGGGGATCCAGACGGCCGCCGACGCGGTGCGCGCCATGCGGGCCGGGGCCGACGGGATCCTCGTCTCGAACCACGGCGGGCGCAGCCTCGACACGGCGCCGGCGACCATTCTGGTTTTGTTGGAACTGCAGCGGTCTTGTCCCGAGGTGTTTGCGAAGCTGGAGGTGTTTATCGAGGGCGGGGTCATGAGGGGGACGGATGTGTTTAAGGCGTTGTGTTTGGGGGCGAGCGGGGTTGGGGTCGGGAGGGGGGTTTTGTATGGTGAGTTTGATTTGATATATCACTTCAATGTTGATCGGGAATCGCAAGGCGTTCATCTGAAAGGGGGGAAGCTGCTGACCGGGGTTGTTCATATCAGGTTTGGGGTATGGCAGGGAGGGGGTAAAGCGGGTGTTGGAGAGTAAGTTCAATCCCAACGATTCGTACAGAGACCGGATGGTGTGAGCTGACGAGATAAAGTACTGAACGACGAGCTGGTGACGACCATGAAGATGTGTGGTGTTACCCGCCTGGATGAGCTGCACCCGGGCTTGTTGAATACGCGCGCCATTGACCATCTCGTACCCGACAGTATCAGCGAGGAGCACCCGTACGCCAAGTGGAGGAGAAGCAAGCTCTGAGCGAGGCCAGCGATACACTTGTCGAGTTAAACTTCTTGTTGGTTGGCACCCGCGCGAGAGAGCACCGCCACCATGACGCATCGACCGAACGAATACAGACTCTGAGTTCGCAAAACCCCTTCTGACGCATTATAGGAGCAATGTCATATCCATCATCAATCCTTCGACTTAAGTATTCACCACTATCTGTTTCCAATATCATTACCACTCCCGTTCAATCTCCCCCTCCCCGACAATCGCCAACACATTTACACTCAACCCTGCAACTCCCTCAACTCCCCATCCCCCCTGTGCACAGGCAACTCATGCACATTCGCGGGATACCCTTGCTGCTGCCCAGGATGCTGCTGCTGAGCACCCGGATGATAGGGCTGATAGCCCATGTTACCGGAGATCGTCGTCCCGCTAGGCGAGACATTTCCATACTGCTGCTGCTGCTCGCCCGGATTACTCGGGTTTACGTTCCCATACGCAGCATACCCCTGCTGCTGCTGCTGCTGCTGCGCGAATCCTTGCTGGTTAGGTGGAGGCGGCGACGGCGTGCTGTGGTGCGGCGGCGGTGGGCTCTGTGGCGGTGGGCTCTGCGGTGGCGAAATAGTAGTCGGAGCGATGCTCGCGCGCGGGTCGAAGCCCCCTACAACGGAGGGGTTGTAGTAACCGCCGTGCTGGTTGGGGTCGATCTTTGTCATGCCCGGGTCGGGGGGCGGCGGCTGGGCATAGGCCATGTTGGGAGGGCCCGGAGGGCCTGGAGGCGGGTGTTGTTGTTGTTGGTGGGCAGCTCCTACAGCGGCAGCGGCAGCTGCGTCGGCTTCGGCGGCCTTCTTTTTCTGCTTATCGTTCTGGCGCATCAAGGCCCAGATGCCGAGGATGATCAGAGCGACTGCTCCCACACCGCCAACCACGCCGCCCACAATTGGACCGGTGGGAGTCGACGAGGCGGGGGCCGGGTCGGGGATGGGGGTGGCTGTTGAGGTGCTGGTAGTGCTGCTGGCGCTCGTTCTGTCGCTGCTGCCGGTACTGCTGCCGCTCCTGCCGGTGCTGCTGCCGGCTCCTCCGCGGGTGCTGCTCGTGGGGTCGTCAGTGATTCTAGGGGGAGTGGAGGTGGAGGACCGCCGTCCTCCTGTGGTGGTCGGGCCGTCGAAGGCTTCGTAGTAGATCGGAGATGTGCCGGCGGCCACGGCACACCCGTACAAGGTATAGCCAGTAAAAACGGCGTCTTCGTAGGTGTACTTTTTGCAGTGAGGGTACTCCTCGTTGCCGCTATCGAGAGGTTAAGCTGTGTCTGTCTGTCAGGCAGGGTAGAAGCCGGCATACCACCAGAGAGTGAAACCGTTGTCTGTGCTGTAACTGGCGCTCTCGGTCGAGTCGTAGCATGTCGTCGGGACGAAGCAGGAACTCGTCGTCTTGTCATTGCAGCATCCAAGATGGGAGTGCCTCGAGTTGTACACGCAGTGAGAAGTCGTGGCGCCGCACCAAAGCGACCGTGCTGCGTGGTGTTAGCCGGGCTTCAACAACGAGTAGAGATAAACGAGGCCTACGTACTGAATTCGCCCTCTACATATCCGCACGTATTGTCTGTCGAGTCACGAACCTCCAACACTCCTCTGGCCTTGGAAGGTTTCGGCGCAGGTGTTGGAGCTGGCGTTCCCATGGCCGATACCCGGCCCAGCTCGGGCAAGTAGTCAAGCTGAGTCTGCGCGGGTGGTTCCCATCTCGGATTGTTGTCTAGCCACTTCACGGCTTTGGCACCAGCGAGACTTAGCGCGCAGCTCAAGGCTGCGCAGCCGACGGTCTTTCTCATGCTTTTGCTGCGGAGAAAGGATGCTGAGGAGGTTCGCCGTAGGGATCAACAGGCAAGCAAACAAATGAGCTTCTGTCGATCTCACCAGCGCACGTTTTCCCTCTCCAGCAGCAGCAGGGGAAGGATGCATGGGGAAGCTGGGGAACTGGGCGAGCAGCAACGGCTGCGTTCCGCTTTTGAGCACCCGCTGCGTGAGGCTCTGTGACACCCCGGTCACGCCAGGCCTTCAGCTGAAGGCCGGTGCCAAATATTGGATGCAGCCAACGTCGGTATCATTGGTGGGCGGTGACTTGTGTGGATGTCCCGGTAAGGTTAGCTACTCTAAGTTAGCTTGGGCTCATAGCAGCCCAGGCCCCCAGGGTGCAATGATGAGAGGAGCCATTGTTTATTGTTGAGCTTACTTGTCCCAGACAAGGAAAAGTCGTCTTGTCCGCCCCCCCCGAGGCTGTTGATGTTTGGTTGCATCAACCTGACTTCTTCAATCCAGGGTCCATCCCGTTGTCTCATAAAGAACTTCATCTCATCAGCCCAGTTGCTGCCGATCAGCCGTAAGCCAGGGGTCGGAGGCTCGGCTCAACAGTGTTGAAACGCGTGGATGATTGGGCATGGGACCAGTGGCGCCAACTTGGGCACCGTTGGCGTCTTGGCGCCATACAAGCTGTCTGTCACGGTGGCATCGGAGTTTAGGAAGGCTGAGCATCCTTTGCTGCGGGCGGTGCTGTCTTTGGCAAGCGAGTCCTTTTTGTGCGGGGACATGAGAAGAGGCTGCTGCAGGGTATTTGAATTGAGCGTTGAGCCAATTAATTGCAATTGAGAAACGGCAATTGCAATCCTGACGGATCATGGTCGCGACTCGCGAGGCATTGGAACCTTGCCGATACCGAGACAGCATGTGGGGAATTTAATTGGCTCAGTCTCCAAGTCCGCAGGCTGGCACGTTGTCGGCATGTGTTGTCCCGTCTGCTGGCGACGAGCATGCACTCTCTGTGTACGGATACTCCGTAACAATACTTCATGCAGAACTAGACTTTGATTGTCGAACTGTCCTGGCCCCTTGTGAGACCACCAGCCTCTATAAGATACCACGTGAACCAAGACCTCATTCCCGGCACTCCTGACTCTGGAATCAAGCCCAAATTGCGCCCAACACACCAAAAAAAGAAAGAAAAAACATCCGTGGTAGTGTCGCTGCAGCCCATCCATTGACAAATTTTACGCCGTGGATTAAAACAAAACACCTCGCCATCCGCAACTCTAGCGCATCGAACTAAGTCTCTTCCTCATCCCGCAATCCAATTCCATCGCTTCAATCTCTCCGCAATATAGCCTCACCCACTACCCACGACATATAGAGCTTCTAGCCCTCAGTATCCATATCAAAAGCCCCAAAATCCATCTCTCTCACCCCCGCCAACCTCCCAAAGAATCCATCACCCCCCAAATCCAACCCCCCCGTGCCGCCAGCCGCCCCGTCCCCAGCCAAGTCACCACCCCCTCCCAACGACCCCAGATCCGGCACACCACCATGGCCCGCACCATCCAACCCGCTCGTGTCCATCACCATGCCATCATGCACACCGGCAGCAGCAGCCGCAGCAAGGGCATCCTCCAGCACGACATCGCTCCCCAACCCGCCCAGCTCAGGCTGCGTCGATAGCATGGCCGCTGTCGCAGCGGCGACCACAGCCTCGTCCTCTGCCGACGGCGCGGGCGGCGGCAGCGCCATCTGCGCCTCGACGCGTCGGTAGAGCCGGACGACCGTATCCGACAGTGCCGGGTCGGTCTTGCGGATCCGTTTCCAGTATTCCGCTTCGGCTTTGAGGGCTTGGCGGAGGGAAATGCGGTGGTCTGTGACATTGGGTTGTGAGGCTACGGCGGCGGTTGTTGTGGCGGACGGAGAGTGGGAGGAAGACGACGACGAAGACGCCAGGGAGGTGTCGTTGGTAACGTCGGGTGCGCAGATGACTGCCGTGACGACGTCGTAGGCGGCGCTTGCCTGCGGGCTGTCGGTGAGGGACTTGAGTTCATCGAGGAGGATGGATAGGATGCGTTTCGCGCCGCACATTTTGACGGCCGCCAGGGTCTGGCGGTGTGTGTATGTCGCCGGCATGCCGTTGAGTGGCGGGTGTTGGGCCCACTGGACCAGGCTCTGCACTGTGTGCCGGACGGCGGCGGGGAGGCCGCTGTGGGCAGCGGCGCCGTTGGTGCCGTTGTTAAGGTGGGTGCCGCACCAGGACTCGAGCTCGTTATGGTCAGCACCGCCGGTGCGACGGGATAGCTCAAGGTTCTCCTTGATGGCCCGCAGGAGCGGCTCGACCTCTTGACATTTCGGGTCCTGTCGCTGGTACGAGCGGAGGGCGTGTTCGAGCGGTTTGGCGACGATGTTGAGGACTGACGAGAGCATGTGGGATGCCTCGTCTGAAATGGAACTTGGCCGAACAATGACCTGGAGAATCTTAATGATGGCGGGTTGGATCTGCGGCCCGCTCACCCAAAGCTGGTTGGAGAGATAAAGGAGCGCGGGTACCAGAGACGGTAACAAGAGGACATCGACAAGATCTGTACTATATCAGCACCGTCGATCCACCATTCCACGACCAAAAACTTACATTCGAGACCGCCTTTAAGCATGTCGTCCGTGAGATATCCCGCGCTGAGCCCCATGGCGATCTGGTGAAAGAGCGTGGGCATGAGCAGGTAAAAGTCCTGTGGTGGGCATGAAGCCATGAGATCATCGCCGAGACCGCCGGCCTCAGTGTCGAAGAGCCCGTGAATCCAGCCGTTCAGGTGAGACTTTTCCTGCTCATTGAGCTCCTCAAGCGGGCGGTAGAGATTACCTCCGCTCAACAGCTTGCCCACGAAGGAGTCTGGCGAGCGAATGCCCAAATCCGCAGGTGAGAGGCTATACCGGTAGACGAAGGCCAGCAGCAAGAGGAGGATGGACCCAAACTCCTCATAGACGGGCTGGTACTCGCCCTGGTCCTCTTCGTAGCCTGCCCAGTTGTCGAGCAACTCGCACAGTGGGTGGAGAATCTTCTGTGGCCTGTCGAACAGAAGAAGCACGTCCAGAGAGAGCGGCTTGGCGGCAAGCTGACCGCACAAGTGCTTGAGTGTCATTGTCTCTCTGTTTCGGCAGAGGCTGCCAATGACCTGTGGGAGTTAACACCCTCATCAAAGAAACGAGCTAGTCAAAGGTACAACGTACCTCGATGATGGCCTGAGCAGCGGCACCCACGTTGCCATTCATATTATCCAACTCAGCGATAAGCTTCAGTGTTCTGTCAACTTCTTGGAGACACGACTGGACCAGGGTCTCCTTCACATAGCGGCCCTCGTCAGGCAAGGATTGGTATGTGATGTCACCCAGAAGACTCTCTATGGCCGCCGGGGAGAGGAGCCCATGGAGCTGACAAGAGAAGCAGAAGTCCTGGCGGACCGAGTCGTGAAACGAAGAATTTGTGTTGGACATCTCGAACATGCCGGATAGCGTGGGGAAGACATTGGTGTCCACCTGCCGGAGGGCCTCGGTGATGCACATCTCCGGGTTGAAGGGATACATGGACGACGTGGAGGCCAACGAGACGAGGATCAGGGGGACTTTGTTTACGACAAACGACTTGAGCAGGTGGCCAGTCTTGACGCCCTCGTTGCGAAATACGGCGTTGGCGAGAAGGTCAAAAGATGCCAGGATAAGCTGTACTGCTGTGGATTGTAGGTCTCCCTGGGTATTCTGTTAGTAATGATCTAAGACTCATCCACAGTGTCGAATGCGAACCTGATATCTGTTGTGTAAGTATGTGAACAGAGCGCTATCATCAACCATGGGGCGTCCAACGAGCTGCAGTCGTGTCAGCGTGAATAGGTGGTGCTCCATAACAACAACGGCTTACTGCAGCGCTGAGGTAGATGTAGAGGCCGGCTCTGGAGTTGACGACGGGTACCTCGGGAACCGGAACGTTGTCAAGGTTAATGAGGCCATCCATGTAGCTAAGCGCCTCGTCGGCCTCCTTTTTGTCGGCGGGCAGATGCTTGCATAGGGTTTCGGTGCGGAACAGGTCCAATCGCGTGACAAGATCGGGCGACACTTGCATGACCCATGGCATGAAGCGCCGCAAGGCGTCCGAGAGCAATTTGCAAGTGCCTTTGCAGAGCGGCTTCTCCAACGTGTAGCGAACCAACGAGTTGTCGCTGAAGGCGGCAAGAAACAGGATGAAGGCCTTCCTGGAGCGTTCTGTTTCGTCATTCACGCGCAAACCTTGAAGCGCGCGGTATGTCTCCCTCCCCTGCAAGCCATTGAGAGTGCCCCATGGGTCCCTCGAGAAGTCGTCCGCGGCCTCGGCGAGGAGAGGCATCCATTTCGCCAGGACTCTGGCGACCTCGACGACACTCCTGCACCTCTTGATGGCGGTGCCCTCTTTCACGGCGTTGGCAAGACGCGAGAAAATGAGCTGCTCCTCGTGGTACGATTTCTTCCATCTCAGAATCTGGCGCTTCTTCTGCGCCCCGTCACCGTCGCTCGTCGTCTCCCCCTCCTTGTTACTTCCATGGCCAGCCAAAGCGTTGGTGCCCTGGATCCCCTGCACCCTAACGTGTATGGTCGAGTATTTGAACAGGGCCCTCAAGATGGAGGCCGCGTCGACGCGCTGCTGCTCGAGCAGATGTGTCAGGTAGGCCACGGCAAGGGGGTCGAGTCTGTAGTTGCAGTCCTCGGTCGGACGCAGCAAGATGTCGGCGGCGACGACAGCGGGAAGCGGATACCGATGGTTGGCGAAGTGGACCGGGGCGAGGGCGGCGAACTTGTCCGGGCTGATTCTGTCGCGAAAGCAGCACTTGAGGAACCAGGACCACGCCGCTATGGCGGCCGGCAAGTCTTCGTGGGCGTCTCGGTCCATGGTTGGCGCATTGACGGTCGCGTAGGGATGAATATGGTGTGGGAAGGGGAGGAAGATAATAGGCAAGCGATTCAGCGCGCGTTACATGTTTATGTATTGAAGCGTGATGTAAGATGGCTAGCCAGATGCTGCGTACGATCCGTATACTGTCCAGATGCAAGGTCGACTATCCTGCAGGTGCACATGCAGAGATACCCTGAGCTTGGCTCGGGAGGAGCCGATCATCTGCTTGTAACAAAGAGTGGGACCCAGAGTGAGATCTGGCCCACCCCAGCGTAGGTACAGTATATATAACATCTTTGTAGCACATGTAACGTATGTATTAGAGAGTGACCCATATCATTGAGTGACCTAGCTTTAACAGTTTTAGCAGGGCTGCATCTCAATGTACGATGAGAAATTGATATCACTCCTAACAACTTCTTATCAAGTTTTGGCCTGCAGCCCTGCTAAAACTGCTAAGCTGGGTCACTCGATGATATCGGTCACTCGCTGATAATACACATCAAATAACATTTCTGCTTTCATTTTTGACGTTTTGAGGGACCATCGCATCTCCCACTGTCAGCTGCACCACCGGCACACGAGATGGAATCCGACCGATCTTCACCGAATCAACACAGCCGAAGCATCATGTTACGGAACTGGCGTGTTGGCACCACCAGACAAGCCAAACCACGCTGTATTTCCAAGGGCAGGTTGCCTAGCCTACCAAGTAAGTGTTCAAGTTGATAACCAAGAATTGTGTACCCACACTGGCAGTAGGCAACCACTCTGAAGGCTTGACTCAAGACGAGACTTATCTTCCACTCTCTCCCTTCACAGTATATACCACCTTGAACCATACAACGCCCCCCACGCTTGACTCCAGTCCATGCAAGACGGTACAGTGCTTTCCCAAACACCCTAACATGTCCCACCAGCTCCAGCGGTATCACAGCACCAGGTATCCAACCGTGGCACCTTGACTCGCATACTTAACACTCTTCAGTCCTCCTCCTGCTTAACAATCACCCCGCCATCCGCCCGCCCCACTCCTCCCCGCCGCCGCAGCTCCTGGGGAGCCCCGGCCATTCCTTTGACCTCGACCGTTCTCGGTCCCAGCATACTGTTCGAGTACAAACGTCAATAATGGCCAAGAAGTGAACCCTTCTCCCCTGATCCGTCCGCTTCCCATAACTTCCGACAACAGAGATCTTCAAGAAACAGCACAGACAAGAGGGCATTAATGAACACTGTATGCAAACCGACGAAAATAAGTTAACCTACCAGTTCTGCATAGCAAGCCACTCGTGCCAACCCCGCTTCGCCCTGACAATCTCCTCCTCCGACACGTTCCGCAGCGGCCGGAGGAACGGCATCGTCTCGTCGTCGCCCGGCACGTCGTAGGCGCCCTTGACCTCGAGCCAGCTGCCGCGCTTGGCTGCAGACAGGTAGTTGCGCCGCTCGTACGCGTGCAGCGGCCGCACGCCCCGCTCCCAGTCATCGCCAAATAGCCGTGCAGCACCGGGGGAAGTCGAACCCAATCGCCACCAGCCGGCGTATGTACGGCTGCGGCGCGGTGTGGTGGTGGTAGGAGGCTTGGTGCTGCTGTTGGTAAGGGTGCGGGTGGGGTGGTGGCGGACCGAAGGGGTTTGCGGTCGCGGCGGCTGGTGAGAGGCAATGTGGCCCCCCTGGGACGGTTGGCACGAGTCGGAGGGGTTGGGCCGTGTGATGGGCTCGTTGGAAGGGGAGTTGGATGTTGATGTACGCGGCTAGGGCTTGGATGGCACCGTTGTACTGGGCGTGGTCGAGGAAATAGCGAACGCAGGATTGGAAGTAGGGGTTCCACTCAAATATGTCGAACGAATCGTCGAGGAAGAGCTGGACAGAGTAAGGGACAGGGTTAATTTTTGGCTGTGCTTTTGTCGGGTGAGAGGGGAGTACCTGTTGTTCCTGAAATGGATGGTCAACCAGGTCCGTCCGCTGCCATGATTGCGAGATTGAAATAGGGATTGCTGGCCGCAGGCAGAGGCTCGTTGTTCCTACTACGGTTCTGGAGACGTTGCACCGAGGAGAACAGACAACTTGAATCGCAGGTCCAACACCTCAGCTTAAACGCGCTCGATGGCACAGTTAAGAGCGGGCAGTCTTCAACCGTGCGTCTTCGTCGTGGTGGATGAATCAGAACCTGCTTGTTCCCAACAATGGAAGGCACCTATTGAAAGTGTTCATGTGACGGTGGGCAAGATCAAGCCGTTCGGTATGGCTTCCTACCTAGGTGCAAGTACACTTAATCACTGCCTGTGAAAGGATGACGCTCGGTTGAAGGCTAAATTTGAAAAGAAGTGGACTTCGACAAAGGTTGAAGGACAACGAGCTCTTTCTGGGACCGTCCTTTGTTGACGACTTGACGAAGGTTCGGTTCGTAGACATGCGCTGGGCGAAAGGCTCGGAATATATGTCAGTCAAGACAAGCTGTGCAGTCCAGTCAGTTAGACGGCAAGGTGAGGATGACGGCTGCATTGTGCAGCTGAACTCCATCTGACAGGCACGGGTCCCATTGCTCCGTGGACGGCGATCAGCAAGGCTGGCGTGTGGTTCTTATGATGCACACACAATTCCAGATCAGGAGGAAGGGAGTGAGCACAGTCAGGACCATGACCCAGGGTCCTTTTCCGAGACCTGATGTCAACAGCAAACAGAGGGTTGTGGCCGTCGTTCACTTACCATTTCCAAGCACCAAGGGCCCTCATTGGGAGGCCAGTAACCAACCCATATGTTGAGGCTTTGCCCCCACCAGGCGGGAAAAAGGGTATGTGGGAGCAGGTAGGGCGGAATATCATGGTGACACCGCGCTGGCTCCCTCACCAACGGATCTTGGACTAACTTTCATCATGGGATGGACCGGATGGTTCCCACAGCGCCGTGAGAGGGAGTGGACTTGGCGTTCTGGTGGATCCCTAATGTCTCAATATGGCACACAGGCACGGACAGGCAGGGGGTTTGATCTGGGCTCTAACCAGGTACGGTGTAACTGCGAATCACGATCCAGCGTGGCACTTTTGCAGATCTTCCTCAGGCAGAGCTGAACCAGCTGGGACGGATCTGTTCAGCTTGACAGGGCTGTTTGACCTGCTAACCTGGAAAGCTTGCAAAGTTACAGTTCACCACCGCTTGTAGGAGGTACCAAACGCGACTTTGTCCCGAAAAACTTTCCATGCCAAACCGGATTGCAACCTGGAGCTCTTTCCTTCGACTCGGTCGACACAACGGGTGTACCGAGTAGTTTGGAGGCAAGACAAGACCATCGAACTCGTCCAGATGGGCATCGGTGTGCCATGTTGCTTCCATGGGGGTCTGCTGACCGTACCGTGGGGATGATCTCTGTTCTGGCTGGGCTGGAATCGCCCGAGATCTAAATCACAGATGTTGAGGTTACAGCCGCTTAGGCCCAGATGCAACAAGATGTCCATCCTGCCCAGGCGTGTGTGGAAGAGCTGGACCTTTGATAGCACGTTATATAGATGCTCATTGATCTGTAGATATAGGTAGGTAAGGCGCATATTAACAGCTTTCGCTGCAACGGTACTAAGGTAGATCACGGAGCCTAAAGCCGGTTTGTTCGGCCACTTTCTCTCAATAGTGAGGTGGTGTTGGTCAAAGACCGGATTGCTAATGTTAGGTCAAGTATTTGTCTCAATTGTCAGGTATCACAACTCAACAGTGCGGGTGGAGGCTAAATTGTCCATGACGCTCACTTTTTTCAGCCCATTGTTTTAAGATTCTTTCACTGACCATCGGGTTCTTAGCAGTATCTCATGCGGATGATGTCCGTTAATAAAGTGCCTGAAGTACCTTAGTACCTTAGCGGAGGACTGGGCGATAAGCCTATGCCAAAACACATCTCGACCCGATATATGGATTACGGTACACAGTAAGGTAGTTATCCGAACCTGAGATCTCGGCCATCTCGTTATAAGCATATTTGGGGTACATTATGAACGAGCTAGCGCCAGTTGCCAGATTGCACACACGACGAATTTACGACATCGATTTTCCAAGCTCCAGTTCGGACTTGGACCTCCTCCGATCTCCTAACCCCTCTCTCTCTCTTCTTTCACCATCTCCTCTCCCTTCTTCTTCAATCCTGCACAATGGTGAACTTCAAGTGGTCTTCTCTTGCCCTGCTCGCCCTGCGCGTTGCTACCGTTTTCGCGGCCGAAGATGTAAGTTGAACGCATCGTCGCGCGACTAGCCCCTATTCCGCTTCTCGGCGCATCCATACTTCAATTGTTCACACCCTTACCCAGGTCGATGCCGAGCCCGTCACGGCGGTGCCCGTTGAGCAGCCCGAGGTCAAGGCTGAGTTCGAGACCATCTTCCCGGATGCCGACATCTTTGGCGTTAAGATCGTCAACGGCCGTGTCACCAAGGCGCTGATCGAGGTCACCAATCGTGAGGAGACGCCTATTGAGGTCGCCTTTGTCGCCGGTCATCTCCGGAGCATGAAGCCTCTCCCTGACGGTGCGCCGGAGTCGGCTGCCGTCCTGCGCAACCTGACGGCGGTCCGGTACGACGTCTCGATTCCCGCCGGCGAGAAGCACCAGCTTCCCTTCCAATTCGTCCTCGACATGATGCCCCAGGACGTTATTCTTGAACTCGTGGCTATCGTCAGCAACTCCGCCACCAAGCAGACCTCCTTCCTTCTGGCCCACAAAGGTCCCGCGAGCATTGTCGATCCTCCGACCAGCATCTTCGACCCTCAGATGTAAGCATCACCCGCTCCGTATCCCTTGCGCAAGCCCCCGCACAGCAACTAATCCCCGCTTCCACCCAACACAGCATCTTCCTCTACCTCTTCCTGACCGGCGTCTTCGGCGCAACGCTCTACTTCGTCTACAAGACCTGGATTGAGGCGCTCTTCCCGCAGGCGCGACCGGCCAAGAGTTCCGGAGGTGGCAAGAAGAGGCGCGCCGTCGTCGAGACAGAGCCGCTCTCAGGCTCCGAGTCGGCCGGCGCCACGAGCGGCGGCGACGGCAAGAGCTACGACGAGAGCTGGATTCCAAACCACCACATCAACCGCCCCGTGGCGAGGCGCGTCAAGAGCGGTGCTAGCGGCAAGGCGAAATAAATTATTCAAAAACGTCTATCCGAATCCCAGCGGCATTAGCGATGGGTGCGCGCTTTGGATGGAGTGAAAGTTGGTTGAGTGGAAAGAGAGGTGGGAGTGCATGGAGTGTGTGTGTGACGATACTCAGACGAGAAGGATAACTGGCTAACAGTCGAATGTGGTGGCGATCTTTCCCCAGTTGTGTTAGATCATCTGCAAAACTTGGTGTCATTTGTCTGATTGAATGGGTTGGGCAGAGGATCAAAAGGCCGGAACTGGAGGGGTACCATGCAACAATAAGAAATTGGCGTCTTTTTGCGCATGGTGTTCACCGGGTACTTTGGATCATTGTTCCTCCAGGGCTGTTGGCAGAACGAAGTGGGAAATCTGGCTTGGTTGTCTCCGTGATGGGACATCCTTGCATTGTATGTACTGTATAGGGCCATATAAACAGAACTGACTCAAATCTCACGATCGCAACGGCTACAATACGGCAGTGGATCTCATGTTTCTGTGTTTAAGGCTCGAGAGGGGTATGCGAGCTACTTAGTGTACACGACATTTATTTACCATGCCCATCCACTCTAACAGCTGGCCCAGCACGATACACATCATGGATGACAGGGAGAAAAGAAGAAGGGGAAAAAACAGTGTTGTCAAAACAACAACCGCTACCACCCGATACCGATTTCACCCACCTGAACGCCATACGTGTCACAACCCTTGAAAGCAAACAACTATGCAAACCCTCCCTCCCGCCAATCCCCCACTCCTCAAGCCTTCTAAGAAGCCAACCTTAGAAAAACCTCCTCCCGCTCCTCTTCCCGACCTCCCCCGACTCCCTCACACCTACTCGAAGGCCCATCCCGGCAGCGGCAGCACCCGAACCCCCACCAAACCGATGCAGGTCCTCAATCTTGGCCAGTACCAGCTCCAGCAGCTCCTTGCGATGAATCAGATCGAGATGCCTCCTGATCTTGGGATCTTCCCTCGCGAACCGCTCCAGCCCGCCGGCGGCCATGTGCTCGCGTAGCTTGGACTCGACCTCGCGGGGGAAGCGCACGTAAAAGTCGTTGAGCATCTCGACATTCAGGAACAGCACGGCCGTCTGGGCGAGCTTGGTGGCGACGGCGTCGAGGAAGACCTCCGGGCAGTAGTACTTGTTCTCGAGGATCTTGCATTTTCGGGATTTGGCGGCCTGGATGCGCATGTTGATGATATCGGCGCGGTCGCGAAGGAAGACGGCTTCTCGGCCTGTTTGGGGACACGGAGGTTAGCGTTTTGCAGGAGAAAAAGGAATGGGGGGAAACAATACCTCGTGCGAGGAGCGCGGAGCTGAAGCCGCCTGCTCCGCTAGGGTGGTCGCCCTCAACAATAACTTCGCCTTTGCGCGCCTTGTCGACAAACGACATGACTTCTTTGAGCTTCTTTCTCCCGCCAACCGAATTCTCGAGGCTCTTCATGGCGGCTTGGCACTGGTCGAGCTCGGTTTGCAGGAGGCCAACGACATGTTCGCGCGCCTGAGCCCACTCATTGGGCTGAACATCGGGGTCGAACTTGTATGGCTTGATAGAAATCTCGATGCCGTCGCTTGTCGCGTACGAGCGGTCTGCCAAGACGGTAGAGGCGGCCTCGCTGATGACCTTGCGGGCTGAGGGGTGCTTCGAGAAGGATGACTTGTCGAGAAGCTTGTCGATGTTGGACTGAACTGCGCTCGCGGCCACAGCAGCTGCGAGACGGCCCACGCCGAGCCTGGTGAGGCCGGAGGCGGCTGTGTCGAGTTGCCGGTGCCAGTACGGAGAGTTCGGGTCGGCCTTTGGTAGATCGGCGATGGTGTCTGGCTCGTGGGGCGCAACAGAAAGATCTTCGACTGGCCGGTTCCAGTACCTGGCCGCAAGCTGGTCGAGCACCTTTTGATCAAGAGCAGACTTGAGCAACCCTTGCAGCTGGGCTCGGCCAAAGGAAGTGGTGAATTCGTGGAATTGATGCTTGAAGTCATCCAGGCTCGCCGCCAAGTAAGCCTCTGCGCTCATGGGTTGCTCGTTGTATTGGACTTTGAACTGATACGTTGTCTCCTCGAGCTCTCGCTGGATCGACTCGGTTGTCTCGTGCAACTTGGAGGACATCTGCTGCTCCAAAACCTGCATGAGTTTCTTCCGAAGCGTCATGGTGCCAGTACTGACCCCAGACTCGGGTCCGAACTGGGATGGATACGAGTTGAAGAAAGCCTTCTCATTCCTGCTGATACCGACCAAGAGATTGCTGGTCTCTCTCCTGAAGAGACCTGTTTGCGGAGGGAGCTTGGAGATGACCCCAATGTAGCCCAGCCGGAGGGGATACTGCCTGTCAGTTAGAATGGCAACCCCTTTCTCGGGTTCTACCAGGTCCATCTTGGTAATAACACCAATCGTCCGTTCTCCTCTGGGGTCCACTCTACGGCTTGCTTGTAGCGCAGTCGAGTTTGCCAAGTCTGTGTCGGCGGCGGAAATCGCTAGAATGATATTGGGCCCCCTGATATACTTGTCGCAGAGCTCCGAGATTTTGCGCTTCAGCTCTCGCGGTTGGTTTTCTCCAGCCACTTGGATGTATCCAGGGAGGTCGATGAGCGACAGATCTGGTATCCTCGGCGAGTGGATAATGAGCCTGATGGGATCATCTGTGACACACAAAGACTCGGGGACGGATTGGTTGAGCTCCGTCAGAGTTTTTTGTATCAGGGTAAAATCAGTGACTTTGCTAAGACCGAGATCCGGGAATTCACCGTAGTCGGTCCGCGCTTCGGGGTTGTTCACAAGAGTGAGCTCTATGGGCCGCCGGGTGATCATGTTGCTGCCCTTGGGCAGAAATTCATGACCGACGATAGCCTCCAGCACAGAGCTCTTGCCTGACGACTGCGACCCAATCACCACGATGGACGGTAGCGTGACCGTGTTCGACTGGCCGACCTTCTGAAGAAGGTTTCGGATCTCGATCATCCTCTTCGTGATGTACATCATGTGGTCGTCCTTCAAGACTTCTTCAGGTGTCCGTTCATCGTTCTCGTCTGGCTGATCATAGCCGTATGCAGCGGCCGAGGCTCCTGCCACGGCGGCGGCACCGGCCCTGCTCTGCTTGGGCGGTTCCGGCCCGCCTTGTCCGCCCGAGCTACTCTTGCCGTAGCCAGCTTCCCCTTCTCCGCGCATGATCTTGTCGAGCCACTCTGGCATCTCAAACTGATCCTTAGTGTTGTCCCACCCCTTTTTCGTTTGTTCAGCAATATCCTTGGCGCTTCCCCATAAGCTCGAAGCGGTGGACGTGACAGTGTTCTTCATGTTGCCATACATCTCCTGGGCGGAATTGCTGACCTCTACGTCGAATCAGCAAATGACAGTATTAGCACAGCGGTCAGAGGGGTCCTTACGGATGGCTTGATACTGGATCCATCCCACGGTTCCAATCACTAAGCCGCCGAAGAGGGCGGGAATCCTGATGAACTTGATGGCCAGCTTCGGGAGCAACCGGGCAAACGAGGCATTGCGCACAATGACTGCATTGTGGTAGGCGTTAGATGGAAACTGCAGGGATCGTCTAAAGCTGCGGGCAGCTAGCTCGGCGCGCTGGATGCCGCCGGTAGGGAGCTGGTGGAAGTGTCGGACTGCGCGGACAGTGACGTGACGGGCGAGGGGGCTCATGGCCCCTACTGCACGGAGCTGCGCGCTCATCGAGGTGGACCGAGTAGCAGAGGTCTGTACGTCATACGGCAGGATCGCAGCTGGCGGTTGTCGAAGCAGCAGCAGTATGGGAATGTGCGCCGGGCATGCGGTTATGAGTTGATGCTTACTCGTATGCTTTGTGGATTGAACAGTGACTTCCTTCGTTCCCCAATTGGAATCTGGAACATCGAGCCCCACATTACGATGTAACGCTAGCTTCGAGGTGTCCTACGGTGTAATTGCAAGTGTCGGGGCTTGATGCCACTGCCTCGCAAGGCAAGAGACCAACAACAATGAAATAATAGAAGCAGGAGATAATTTGTGTCCAGGCGCTGTAACCTTTCGTGACTTGGTTTGACTCTCAATGTGTATATGGCGGTGGAAAGACATCAAATGGTAGGTAACTTGACAAGTAGAGGACCTGGCGGTATCACTCGATTGACAAGCGCAAGCCCCTACCTACGGTACCTTACCTTTCCTCAGAAGAAGTTGGGGGTTCCAGTTCGCATACCGTCGGAGCTACCTCCTGTACACGTGTACAACACGTATCAATGCTGTCGTTTCATCGAGAAATCCGCATGTCCAAGTTCGGTTACTTGAAGACCGGCAGTGTTACGGATACGGTTACAGGCTGTCTGAAACATTCGAATGACGGGGGCTCTGGGAAATCTCCACAAATCCCGTGGATGCAGTTGACCCCTGACGCAGATGCTTCGCTTGGCAGCGAGTTACCTCAACAGACATCATGACAGCTGCGCTCTTTGTGCTTGAAAAGACAATCTTGAGTTTTAGCCTTGAAGGATAACGAGGTAATATATTTCTTGACTTACGGGCATCTTGATAACCGCACTACTTTGAGATGTTTGTGTTTTCCTCATTCATCATGACCTCTCTACCTGACTGAGTGCAAGTACAGCACTATCATTGCCAAACAGCGCCTTCCGCCATTTGACTGGCCGATTTCGTCAGCCTTGCCGCAAGGAGCTTTCTCGAGCCATGTCCATGTCCGCTGCCCACTCCCCTTCCCATAACTGGACGAACAACGGCCAAACCGCTTCGCTGCAGTCGTGTCCTACTCGTCCCTGTCACACGATCGCACGTTTTGGGAGCAGAACCTTGACCTATTTGGGCATTGTTCAGAGGCTACCGTTGATTCTCCTCTCACGCAAATCTGGGTTCGATTCATCCGACCAACATCCATCCGACTTGCATTTGATCCTCAGACCTCAGCCGCCCCGTCTTGGGCGCCATCGTCACCGCCATGTGCCGGTTTCTGGTAAGACGTTGCGCCTGCGCCTGCGTTCAGGGAGCCCAAGTTTTGACAATACTCAACCGTTTTAGGTTTACAAAGGCAGCGACGAGATCCTCCTTTCCAAGCTCGTCCTCGACCCCGCGCATTCCATCCTCAAGCAGTCGTTTGACTCACGTCTCCGACTCGTGAGCTAGCCACAGCGAGTCGCCCTGCAAACCATAGCTAACCGGATTATTTGCGTTCTTAGGACACCCGCCGCGGACAGAACAATGCAGATGGGTTTGGCATTGGCTTCTACACTGACTCGAAACTCGGCGCCGCTCCGTGCCTCTTTACCTCGACGACGCCCGCCTGGAACTGTGTGAACTTACAACGCCTCGCCTCCAAGACAGCGTCACGACTGGTCTTTGCTCATGTCCGCGCAACTACCGAAGGCACTCTCAGCGAAGACAACTGCCACCCTTTCTGCCACGGCAGCTTGATGTGGATGCACAATGGCGGCCTGGGCGGTTGGAAGCAGATCAAGAGGAGGCTTGGTGAGCGGTTGGCGGATAAGTGGTATTTGGGCGTGGTAGGCGGCACTGATAGCGAGTGGGCGTTCGCCTTGTTCCTCGACACGCTGGAGCGTATGGGCCACGACCCCAGCTCACAGCCTGAGAAGGGTTTTGGGCCGACAGTCCTCAGGAAGGCGATGCTCAGGACGATTGCCCGCATCAACGAGCTGATCGATAACATACCCGAAAGCGTTGTCCACGCCGAGAATGTCGACACGAGGAGTCTCTTGAACTTCGCTGTCTCAGACGGTCACAGCATCATCTGCACCCGATACATTAGCAGCTCGTCGGATGAGGCTGCCAGTTTGTACTATTCGTCCGGCACGCTGTGGGAGACGAGGGCGCCGATGCCCGGTAGTCGGGACTATCAGATGGAGCGAAGCGACAAGGGAGCAGATGTGGTTCTGGTGGCCAGTGAGCCTCTCACGTTCGAAAGAGGTACGGACGAGAGCTCGCATTTGATCAAACTATGAGGAATACTGACCATGTCTAGAAAACTGGGTCAACGTCCCGACCAACTCCATCCTCACGATCCACAACCAGACAGTCATGGTGCATCCGATCATGGACCAGTACTACGACCGCAACCCGCACCATCGCCGCTCAGCTGCCTTTGTCCGCACAAAGGGCCTGTCCGCCAACGAGAAGGGCACCTCCAGATCCGGTACCCCTTTCGACCTCCCGACAGGGATCCCATTAATCCCTTCCCTCCCACAAATTTCGGACCACCCGGAACCTCACAAACCACGCTTCCACGGGCCAACCATCCCAATTCTACCCAGCAGCCTCTCGCGCTCGCGCACCCCAGACCCCTCATCCTCGGGCTCTACCCTGCCACGCTCCCGAACTCCCCTCTCCCACGCCGAGACGCTCGTTCCAGACCCGCCAGCCACCCTGCAGGCGCCACCGATGGACGTCAGGGCGCTCACCGAGCCCCCTGTCTTGCGCGTCGTCTCACAGCCGCCGCCAGCGCAGGGCAACATTAAGAAGAAGCGGGCTTCGCTGAGCGCGGTGGAGGCAACGGCGGGTGCCCACGGCGGGGGTGGTGTCGGCATGCTGGCGCAGTACGCTGTTGATATGAGCCCCATCACGCCGGAGCCGGTGCGGACCGAGTTTGGGAACTCGAACAAGATTGCGCGGATGTTTCCAGAGTTGGCTTTGCAGTAAGGCTTGCTTCGGAGTTGGATTGGAGTTTGCCCTGAGGTGGGATCAGCCGAGTTCATGGCGTTTGGCGTCTGGGTAAAACATGGGAAACCTGGAATAGCAGGCGTGTCGATACCTACCCTGCCGTTTGTTTGCGTGAGTGTAGTACGGGCAACAGGGATTCGCTTCTTCTAAGGATAGTATGGAACGTAGATATGAGGCAGGTTTCGATACGATTACATATGGCATTGAGCTGGACAACGTCAAGTCACCCGCACTATTCGTTGTCAAGTCGCATCAGCGCCTCGGCTACTCAGGCTTAACATGGAAACCCAATCCAGACATGGAATGTGTCACCAAAACGAAGATGAATATTCAAACTTTTCCAATATATACTATCCCAAATCCACCAGAAACGCGCTACTCACCGCTAGATGACGGCATAAAATAGCCCTACTCTACCCGTCGCTACAAGTCTGCACCGTAACCTCCCACCTCAAGCTCCCGCCCCGCCCGTACCCTTCCCCGAGCCGGTTCTGCACCACGCGGGCCAGCCGCGCGCGCAGCTGGCTCAGCGTCCCGTCGTCATTGCCACCGCACCCCTTCGCCAGCCGCACCTTGAGGTTTGCGATGGCTAGCCCGTAGTGCACCTGCCAGAACTGTGCCTCCTCGACCTTGGCGACGTGCGGTTCGGACTCGATCTCCCGCAGGACAGATGATACCGTGCTGCTCCTGCTGGCGGTGTCGACGGATGTGGTGGCTGTCTTCTTGTTGGTGTTGTTGTTTGTGGTTGAGGAGGACGACGGCGGCGGTGGTGGTAAGCCGCTGTCGTTGTAGCTCATGAGCAGCATCAGCCCCTGCGCGACGGCCAGGCGGGTGCCGAGCACGAACATGCTGGCGGCGATGGCGAAGCAGATCAGGCGGTCGAGCCAGACAAAGTGGGGGATGCTGACGAGCGGGAGGAGCAGCATCAGGAAGGAGAAGCAGAGCGTCAGGAAGTGGAACGGGTTGGCGAGCAGTCCCGCGCCGGGCAGCAAGCTGGCCAGATAGGAGAAGGGCACTCGCATCATGCGCCGAATGCGCCCGTGGTTGCGCAACCCGTAGGCGCTTACCACCGTGCTGACCGCTGCGGCGAGACTGGCGAGGTCGACGGTGCCGGGGGAGATGTAGCGCGGCGCGCCGTGGCTGTGACCTGTGTGGCTGGACGTTTCGTCGGGGATGCTTGTGGGATGATGCGCAGCGTGGTCGCCGACGGTTTCGAGAACGTGCTTGAGGTTATGCGAGATGAGGTCGAAGCCGCCGAAGACGAGGAAGACGGACATGGCGAAGCCCGCGAGCACCTCGGCGCGCTGCAGGCCGAATGGGTGCCGGATGCTGGAGCGCCGCCAGACCTCGAAGTTACCCAGCACGTCGACGGTCACGCACACGGCGGCCGAGCCTACGTCGAAGAAGACGAGGTGTGAGAGGGCCGTCATGGCGAGCGAGCCTTCTGCGCTGAAGAAGACGTACATGGCAACGGCTGCGTGGCAGCAGCACCACCAGAGGCGGGCGCGTTGGTCGCGCTGCATGCTGGCCCATGCTTCTTTGAGGGTCGGTATGGGGAGAGAGGCCGGCAGGACGGGTGGCGGCCGTGGCGGCGGTTCTTGGAAGATCTGGTGCTGTGCGCTTATGGAGCTGTGTTTGTAGCGGTGACCTCGCCTTTGGCCAATGTTCTGGTTGGGAAGGTCATTAGCCGGCTGTACTCAAGTCCACAATCTCGATGGTGACAGGTATTCGATGTCCTCAAAGGAACTGACGTACAGACTTGACCGGGCCCGCGGAGATGAACTGAGTCTGGAAGTTGAAGGGGTTCTTTGGCGGAGATGTGCCAAGGCCCCCATTCGCGGGCCCATCTTCGGTCGCCATGGTGAAGCTAGAATCGGGGGTCGGTGGGCGCAGCGATACGGGGTGCTGAGGATGTAGAAAATTACCGGGAGTGCTTCCCAGAGCGGTGACGAGGTGATCGTGGTCTGGAAAGCCGACGGCGGGAAGTTCAAGGCCGACGCGCCCGTCTCGATCTCGATCGTGGTCGTCGCAGTGAAATTCAAACGAGGGCGAGCCGTGATTGGTATCGGTATCGGTAACAACGAAGACGGGAGTTTTCGGCGCGGCTGAAGGTTCAATCGAAGGCAGGCAGGGAGCCATGTGCTTTGCTTTGTTTTTCTGGCACTCTGGACACTCATCAATGGTTGTGATGTCCACCCCTGCCCGGGCCGCGGTGTCAGCGATCGTCAAGCGGAGTCGAACGTGGGCCTTGAAGACTGAAGAGCAGGGACCCGTTCCTTTCCCTACGAACTACCGATACTGCGTATTCTGAGCCCTACTGTGGGGTGCAGTGGCAGACACAGGCAACGTCGAGGTCCGGATGCCTATTCTCAATCCAATTGTGCTCACAGTCGCTGCATGTATCGTGAAACAGCAGAATGTTCGGCCTGATGTCCATGTCTCCCGTTACTGCAAAAAGTCTGGCTGTCTCCGGAAAAAGTGCCTTACACGTTTTGTACAATACATACCTTGGACAGAGCAGTCAAAGGGACCGAATCTGTGGAACGGGGATACGGACCAGGGTCCTGGACGGTCGAAGACAAGGGCCCACTTTACGAATCCCACGCTGCAGCAGCCGATAAGCTCACGCCAATCTGCAAGGCACTGAACTAGCATGTGGCGTACGTCACGTCTTCAGGTCTCGCTTCATTGCTTCAGCGATCGATCAACAGCTGGGTGATTGAGACCACGTACGGATACTCAGTTCGGGTATCACAGAGTCGAGGACACGGCACCAGGTGCATTGAACATGGCGGTTTTATGAGTGGCTTCCGGGTTATCCTTGTGGTTGCGGGTTCAGGGGCTTTCGAGCTCCGTGGCCGACGTCTTGATCTGACCGTGACTGCCGCGAGCAGGAGCTGCGTCCACGGCCCGCGCCTTCTGTCAGTACTAGGGCTACGGAGAGTGCGCTGATAGACCTGCCCTCATGGACCAGCCTACGTCACAGGCTGGCATCGATTCAGATGCGACCTCTGCCTCAAGCCGCCCGCCTGCGCCAGCGCGGAAGCGGAGCACGTCTGGGGCTGGTGGGTTGTTGTCCAAGCTTCCCTTCATACGATTCTCCGGAGAACATCGCCCACGATCCCGTCGCAATACCAACGAGTCGGAATTGGCTGGACAGGCGCCGACACTGCCTGTTCCCTCCTTCACTACGATTTCTGCCGACGCACCTCAGCGCCAATTCCCTGCATCCGCCGCCGCCGCGCAGCCGCCGCCGCCTCACATCGTCCAGCACCAGGCATTGCAGCCAACCCAACAGCAAAAGACACGGCGACGGAGGGGTTCGTTGAGGAAGGTTGCGTTGCTTGGACGGGGAGCTCAGCGCGAGCGTCGTGAGGGCCGGGGTTTGACCATCGATACAAAACTCGAGGTAACCGAGCTCCAAGGGGCACTGAAGGGCACCATAGCAGCAGAAACAGAGATCGCATCAAGCCCGGTATCGCTCGACGGGCACAACAAGGCATTCCCAGTTCTGGGAAACGGCAAGGGAGACTTCCCACGTTACGGCCTCGGCATCCCAGACCGAACACCCCGTCCCAGCATAGACAGGTGCACCATTCGGTCCGATACCTCCGACCCCGACGCAACCCCAACAACAGCCCTAACGCCCAGGGCCATGACCTCGGCAACCAGCCCACCCACACCCGCCGTCGACACGAGTCCCAGCAGAAGCTACAGCACCACCGACGACGAAGACGCCCTGCACATGGCCCGCCCCGCCACCGCCTCGCTCCCCATTCCCCGGACCACCACCGCCTCCCTTTCCTCATCCTCAGCAGCCAGCCTCCTCCGCCCCGAGCGGGCATCCCTCTCCTCAGGCTCCGAGTCCTACTTTCTCGCCTCTCGCCAACCAAGTACCGGCACCAGCGTCAGCGGCGGGGCCCTCCCCTCGATCCAGCGACGCCGCAACACCATCCAGCGCGCCAAATCGCCCCTCGCCCTGACCTCGCTGGCGACGCCGCTGCCGCAACCCGATGCGGATTGGGACTATGCCGAGACGGAGTGGTGGGGTTGGATCATACTGCTCGTGACGTGGACCGTTTTCGTCGTCGGCATGGGCTCGTGCCTCGGGGTTTGGAGCTGGGCGTGGGATGTCGGGAAGACGCCGTACGCGCCGCCTGAGCTCGAGGACGACCCGACGCTGCCCATCGTTGGGTACTACCCCGCGCTGATGATCTTGACGGGGGTAATGGCGTGGGTGTGGGTTGTCGTGGCGTGGGTAGGGATGAAGTACTTCAGGCATGCGCAGGTCAGCGGGGATTGAGGCGGTTTGCATGGCGCTATACGCTGATTTTTTAGGCATCTTTCTTGACTATGTCTTGGCGTTTCCATGTTGCTGTTTGCTGCTGTTACGACTAGATATACCCACGGGCTATGTTGCTGCAAGATATATATAATCACACCGGATTACCACTGCGCCCTTCTTGGGCCGGTGTTGCACCGTCGGGGACGCAATCACGGAGAAGGAAAGCTTAGAATTAGGGAGCCATAGCGTGATTTCAGGGTGGAGGATCATGGTCTTTGGCTAAGTTATCCATGGAGACCAGAGGGACAACAAAGGATAACTCGACGCTTGAGTCTGACAACCAAAGTTATAGAACCACGTCGACGATGGTTGCCAGTCCACCGACCACCGCTGTCCTTTCCCTCTTAATGTTTGAGCTCCCCGAATCGATTGCATTGCCGTTGATGACAACAATCCATGTTGACTGTCTGGCAGTCTGATCTCGTCGTGCACTCCTTCGCAGACACTGCCAACTCGAATCACCGCCGGAATGTAAACTGCATTTCCGCCCACTGGTCCCATCAACGTCCCGGCAGGCTCCCTCGGCGTTGAATCGTCTCTCAATACTACAGTCAATTCACCCACAGCCACCGACATGCAAGCCCTGCACTGAAGCCAATGCGCTGTCCAACAACAAAGCTCGCACAAGCGCGCGTGTTTCAAAAGCCGCCAGGAAGCGAAGGAAAAGATAATCGGCCAGTCATCTCGGACAATGTCGACCCAAGGCTGCGGTACACCCCCTTGGTTGTGCATCTCACGATGGCAGCCAGTCTGTGATTGGATCGCGACGCGCTGCATGGCCATCATGCAGTGCCGTAGCCTAACGCATCCCTGAGTTGCGTACAGTATGTACCTCCTCGAGACTGGGTTGCATCTCAAACTTTGCGATTTCTGTAAACCGCCCCTGACTCATTTCAAAACCAGCTGCCGTGCGATTCCGAGTCGCTTTTGGCTTTGCTTCGTGCTGGTTCAATTGCGCCGGTCACAAAACCGCGCCACATTCACAGACAAAGAAGAAACCAAGGCCAGGCGGGATCGCGGATGTAGGCAGCCTCGGAACAAACAAGACTCGCGTGCTTTTGCTGGTGAGTAGACTCGGTTTATGCGACGCACGTTCAGATCGCGACCAGCCACAACAGGATTCATTATCGAGCCGCGACCAGAGTCTGCAAATACAACCCCCTTCGCCAATGATCGCTACTGCAGATTCGATGTTGAACGACAAGCAAGTGTGTCCTCGCGAACCTGAAACAGACCGCCCATTGGCCCGCAGTCAGGCAGTTTAAGCGCTGCACTGCGGGCGTGCAGGGGTGCTGTGCACACAGCCAGCGAGCCAGCGAGTCGAAGCGGTCGGTTCGCTAATTTAGCCGCAGCTGTCGACAGGAAAGCTGGAACAAACAGTCTTTCAGGTTGCAGTTCCTCTTGTCAAGATGACCTTGCCTTGAGATTACGTTGGTGAGGCAAAGGATGGCTTAAGGACTGAGCCGCGGCAACTGCAGCGGGTATGTACCTACCGATTCAAGGTCAAGCCGTACGTCATAGCTCCGCTCTGGGACGAGGAAGGTCTGGTGCCCTGGGCAGTTATCGTCGCTCGAGTTGAAATTGACCGCCGCGACTCGCAAACGAGTTTCGAATAAATGCATGGTAGATGTAAATGTATGTGGTGAGGGAAGTGGCCTTAACGTTCAGCTGGATGATCTGCATCGGAGTGGCCGAGGCATTCATCAGTTATGTAGTTGCTTCGAGAATGCTGGGCTGACACAGAGGGTTGTAGTCCTTCGTATACGGTACGGAATAGGTAGTCAGTAGCGTACACGTGTACTGTGTATAGCATCTCGCCGCCCATTTACTAAGCCGTTTTCGTCTAATTTGTCTGGCGACGTTGGTGACATGTGCAACGGCCTAGAACTGATCCGCTATCAGATACCCAACCCGATCGAGCTGATATCCGGGATTTACTTGCGGCAGCCAGGGGCAGTATGGGTAGGCAAGATTAGGCTTTAGCGGTGATGGCGATTCCGGAACATCCATCTCAAGACCCGTAGCCCGTAACTAGACCCGTAGACATGACCGTCGGTGGGGTGCGTTATGAGTCTTGGCTTGAATTTGATGCCAGGCATGATGGACCCGGGACCAGACACTCCACGTTGAAAAGAACAACCTTGAGAGCTAGAGGATCGGGAAAGACTCTGGAGGAGCCGTGCGAGCCATCAAGTTTCCAGACGTTTATTGAGCTACCTAGTTGCTCAGCCAAGACAGAAATTCGACCAGTCACACACAGCTGGGAGGCGTGACATGGTCCTTGTGGCCAGTGGCCACCACCGACGAGGTGCCCCACCCGCGAAAGATGCTTGCACAAGGGTCACAGCCGAGACCCTCGCCCGTCCTAGATTTGTCATAGGCCAGAACACCTGCCATGCCCTGCCTGTCAACGTTTCAAGCAACATAATAGTTGAATAATGTTCTGTGCGTAAAGCAGCGCAATAACTGGCGGCATGGCGGTCTTTGTGAGCTTGGCTCAGCCCTCACAGTCTCTAAACATCACGGAACATGGAGACACCGGAAGGCTGGGTGCAAGGCAGGCTTGCAAACGAGATGGTAATGGCCGCAAAGAAATATGTAGACATGGTGATTGCCCACTTTACAGATTCCATCAGAAGTTGGAGGACCTCGCCTCGACTGACTAATACCAGATGCCTTCTACATGGCTCTCTTCCCCTGCCCGTCGAGAACCTGCGATGTTGCAATTGGCATTGCATACTGTAAATAAGTTCTTCTGTCCCATGCATTCTGGTCACACCCCCGCATCAAGATTTGCCCTTCTACGTCGGATTTCTGGATAGTTGAGCCGAACCCCAAATTCCCGTCGAGGCCTCGTCTCCGCACCTGATTCCGGGACAATCCCGTAATCAAACTCGGAGATGGGCGAAGCATCAGGAACCCACCACGATGAGCTGTTCAGGTTGTCATATGACTGGCCTCTGAACAGAGGACCGTCAAGTTTATGAAAGAAGCGAAACAATACATTAAGACCAGGGACGTGCCAGGGTTCAAAGCTTTGTCAGTACAGATACCCTGTTTCAGCCTCAGGCAGCGATCTGAGGGACCAGACCCACTCGGAAGGTGGAAGGCGTTGAAGAGGGTCTGGCCGAGACAAGCAAAAAACCAGTGCTCTCTGCCTGCTCTCAGATTCCCATTCACCCAGCCTTTCACACTACAGAGCCACGGCGAGCACCGGTCACCACCTCATTTCCATCCCGTTATCTTCCCGCCACAGCCGGCTTCTGCATCCCCATCTGCCTTCTCAGAAATACCATATCAAACCTGTACCGCATTGCAATTACCGCGCACTCCACGCTTCCTCCAACTCGCACCGCCGCTGAGGCATTTGGCCAGGATCGACTCGATCGCCGCCCATCAACTCGAGGCGACCCCGACCTGAGCCAGACTAACCCAACACCAGGATTTTCGCTCCTGTCGACGCTTTGCCTCAACGATTCTATATATCTTTCTTTCCTCGCCTGTTGCTCGATCGGTCATCGCTGCCAATTTCCTAGTCACCGTTTTCGGCGTCGACATTCTCCAACGAGTTTCAAACCTCACAGGGTTAACAGAGCTGGAATTCGGTATGATAGCCCATCAATCTCTAATTGGCACATAGACCTTTGAGAAATGCGTTTTCGTCTGACCGTTCTTCAGGAATAGACACGGCAACTAATCTCTGCCGCCCCGATCGCGCCGCGACACGCCGATCGGATTACCTCGACGCCTTTCTCTTTGCTCCCCGACCCCTCTCCTGTCTTGTGCCTACCCTATTTCTTGTTGGGGCAAGCCGAGATGAGGGAAGCCAACTTCAGCATACCCAATGTCAACAAGGCGTCGGTGGGCATCACCACGGCCTTGTATGACCGACGCGCCCTCGACTGCACCTCGACTCTTCCATTGATTAATTCCCTAAACCACCTCGCCTATCTCACCACCTCTTCGGCTAGAATCCGCGACATCCTTACCGTCGATGGCGGCATCGAAAGACTGGTCTGCATTTTAAAGGAGGGACGGAGCAAGGATATGATGGACATGTGGAAGTGGAACCTGGCCTTTCAATGCGTGGTCAACATAGGGGTTAGGGGCACGGAGGCTGTCCGGACTCGGGTCGTCGAGGCCGATATGGTTCCCGTCATTGCGACCATCCTCGACAACTACATCAAAGTCATTGAGCGGGTCCGGGAAAAGGCAGAGGAGGCCAAGCAAAAGGATCATTACCGGCACCGGATTGGCGGGAGCAGCCGCGCGCACAAGTCGTCGAGTTTCTCATCTAGGTCGGGGACCTTGGATGTTGACCAACGAACTTTCCGCAGGCAAGCTCCACCCCCTTCGATTGATGTGTCCGCGGCGCTGGCCGGGCCATCCACAGCATTGGTCCATTCCGGTGCTGACCCAACGCCAACTGCTCCGCAATTCCAAGTGACGCCTCCAGCCGAGAGAACTCCCCTGACCGCCCACCGTCACCATCATCATTCCATCCCCTCCCCTGGCCCTCAGACAGCCCAGCCGCTCGCACCCATCGTGCCGTCAATGGAAGCTGCCGATGGCTTCGTCAGACCCATCCGAGACACCGATCGTCTCGGTGGCATACTGCCATTCTCCCGCTCCGCCATTACCTCGCAGCCAGCTTCTCCCACGACGCCTTTACCGCCTCCGCAACTTCGGTCTCCGACTGTACGACCCACATCAATGCTGGCCGGGACATCCCGGCCGCGGAGGCGGCCTTCAATCCGCCATCAACACTCCACTGCTGCCGAGCCAGATGACATGAACACGGATAGTATCACCTCGGAAGACTCACCTGACGCCGAGATGTCAGGGACGGGCGACCTGCAACCCGAGGTCGGGGGTCCGGATATCACGGTGGAAGATAGCGATAGCATCATGGCAGGTGGCGCGATCGACCTAACGACTCCAACTGCCTCCGAGACCCAGGACGCGGGGACCTTCAACATTACTCACCAAGGCCCAGTGGATGGCAGCGTCGACACCAACAACACGCCGACGCCCGTGCCAGCCATGGGCTTGTCTCCAAACAGGCCAACTTTAGTGAGCCCGCCGCAGCCAGCGCTACCTAACGCCAGCGTCCCACGTTATCTGCTCGACCGTCAATTCAACCCGAACCCACAATTGCTCGCCGCGATGCCGAGGGAAGAAGACGTCTTGATGTCGCTGCAGCTTCTTGCGTACGTTTCCAAGTACTGCAACCTGAGGAAATATTTTCAGAGGACCCACCTCGTTCCCAAGCTCAAGATTGGCAAGGAGATTCAGCTTCTCGACGGCGCCGACCCAACTGCCCTCGAGGCCGAGCTGGAGCAGGAGGAGGAGGCGGCTGAGGAGGAGTACTGCCTGCCCAACGACCTGAACATTTTCCCACTTGTGGAGAAGTTCACGGTTAGGTACCATAGCACCGATATGCAATATTGGGCCGGCGTGGTCATGAGGAACCTGTGCCGCAAGGATGACACGCGGGGCGGGATCCGACAGTGCGCCTACTACCAGTGCGGCAAGTGGGAAGAGTTCACGAGGCAGTTTGCGAAGTGCCGCCGCTGCCGACGGACCAAGTACTGCAGCAAGGAGTGCCAGAAGAGCGCCTGGGCTTTCCACCGTCACTGGTGCATTGCTGCGCAGCAATAATGTTCTTTTCCTCTTGGGGGCGGCGCTTGACTGCAGTAAGGGGAATGATGACATGGTCACTTTATTGATACCCCTTTCTGGTTTTCATCTGAACCTCCTGCTGCACCTCCTGGGACACATACAACACAGTCTCCTCCAGTCTTTCCATAATATCGACCTAGGTGCTACTGGCCGAACCAAAACGCCGTTTCCTCTCAGTGGACGCTTCGGCACAGTTGAGCGGCGGCAGCATGGCCAAGTACAGCACAGCATGACGAAGCACAGCACAGCATATCATCTTTCTCCCGTCCCTCTCTGTCTCTCAGATACGGCACCTCTGCGAGCATGGCATGGTTGGCGTTGCACGATACCACGAGGATTCTCCTTTCCTCTGATTAGTCCTTTTTTGGTTGGGTGCCTGTGTCTGTGGTTTACTGCATTTGGCGATGGGGATTTCCCGCGAACCTAGGGCGGGACAGGCAGACAGGCAGAGATGCCCCTTTTTGTTTATAGTGGTGTTTACTTCTGCTTTGGACGATTTTCTTTTTGCTCCTTTCTGCCTCGTTTTTAGCAAGCAAGCCGAGGCGAACACACAGGTCATGGAAGTGGAATGGAATCATATCAGGTACTCCCGTTTTGGTAGCAAGGGATGGAATAACGAGACGAACCATGGATGAAATCTTTATTTACTTTGCGACTTAGTCTTGTGGCATGTTTATCCACATGTGTGCCCTGAAGTGAAAAGGGCGAAGGAAGGCTTTTTGTCGAAGCATCGAACTGAGCTCCTTTCCCCATGCATCTTTCTGTCTCATCTCTCTTTCTGACCATGGCTGATGTAGAAAGAGGGGTGGTATTGTGAGGGCATCTTTGGGGGCTTGCCCGTTGAGTGGACGGATGGATCCAGTCAGGCTTGTGACCGGAGCTATGTTCGCGACGGTGGGTTTGGCCGAGGAAGTGACATAGCATGGTTTGGCAACGTGTGTCAATTTTGGCTGGGTTGTGGCTTATGTTTGCAGCACATGCAATCCAGGGCTGCGTTCTCTGTTTGGGCACACTTCGGTCCCTTTGATGCTGTAGCAGACGATGCCGTTCATGTGGGATGGGGTACTATCGAAGATGCCGTCATTGTTGAGTTTAGATGGGTGTTCACTGCTCACAACTTATAAGGCAGTGTATGTGCCATTTTGTGATTCTTGTTCCTCGACTCTCTTTCGTGCTCGGTTCTGCAGATGATGGGATCAAAGGCAACGAAAGCGAATGGCCAATTAGTTGCCCTGCCGCAGTGATAGGCGCAGGCATGAGGCAGTCCACTTATGCTTTGGCGGGCCAAACGAGTGCTAAGTGGAATGAACCGCTGGTGAGGTGCCGGAGAGGACAGGAAGGTTGTTGCCGACTGAGGACTGAGAACGATGGCGATGCGGTGCTCTCAAAGCGTCAGGACCACTGGGCTGGTGACAGATGACCTTGGGCCGCTCCGATGTATGGAGCTGGGCCGCCGAGCTAGAAACATTACATGGTTCACAGCTGTCTGAGGCAGAATGCTGGGTCCCTGAGGACTTGCGCTACAAGCAAAGGGCTACTTCTGGAGAGGTGAGCTAATGTCGAGTGTCCAGTGTCTCTCAGCATTACGATATCACTGTGCGCTTGACTAAGGTACGGATGGCACTGAATTGTCAGATTGGCTTGTCCCTGCTGGATTCGTAGCATAATATTTGCCGCTGTAAGCTACTGTTCGAGTTCCGCCAAGGAAGTCCTCGGCGGCTTGCTTTGTCGTCGACACGTATGGTGAGTCCCATTTCACAGGCGATTTGTCACACCAATTCTTGTCTTGTCAAGGCCGGGCCAATTCCGGCGCGGCAACCTCCAGACACCGCATTCCGCAGCGTAAGTACCCTTGAATGAATAAGACAACGACTCCTACACACCCACAACCGTGCCGAGCTACCTCTTCCCAGCCATGGCCTTTCTCCGTGACTTTCCTGGCCTAGGCGCCTTGCCCCCTTTCTTCGGCCCCCCACCCGCGGCTCCGCCGCTCTTCATTCTCTTCGCACTGAAGCCGCTCAAGTCGCCAGACGACATGGCGTCGCCCGACTTGGAGAAGCGCTTTTTGCCGCCGAAGCCGTACTTGGCGTCCTTCTTTTGCCGCTTGGCGTTTGGCGCACCGCGGCTGTCCCCTGTTGCCGCGCGCTTCTTGCTGTTGCCGGCCGACCGGAGCTCGTTGTCCACAGCCACGTCGAAGAGGTCGTCTGCTTCGGTTGCGCCGAGGGCCGACGAGCCGCCTTCTTGTCGTTCTGTTTTGGGACCAAGGGTTAGTATGGCGGAGAAAGGGAAAGGAAGAGGTAAGGAGGAAACGTACTCCGCTTGAGCAGGTTGATCTTCTCGAGCGTCTCGCGCTTCTGCTTTTGGCGCTCGAGCTGCTTCTGCACCTGGACCTGCTTGCCGAACTTCTTGAGGTCGCGCTGCTTGCGGGCCTCGGCGGCCGCCTTCTTGGCTGTCGCATCCTCGACCAGCTTCGCCTTGACCTTCTGCATAGTCTCGTCGCTGCGGACTGTCTCGGCAAAGTAATCTGTCGGCCGGGTGAAGGGGACGCCCTCCTTGCGCAGCAGGGCGCGCCCTTGCCGGGCGGCTTCAAGGGCTTGGTTCATGAAGGCCAGCTCACGCTGCAGGTCGTCATCGATGGAGGGTATAGAGTCTTCAGTCTTTTTAGAGGAGACGACTGACTGGTGGAAGGCGAACGGGACGGTCTTGGGGTTTGTGTCGAGGGCGAAGCGTCGGAGGGCGGCGAGGAGACCCTCCTTGTTGTTGATGGTTTGGCGAACGCGAGTGCCGGCGGCGATCTGCTCTTCGTCTTCCTCGTCCTCCGCTGACAGCTCGTCGACGTCAATTTCTTCTTCATCATCATCCTCCTCCTCTTTGTCGTCGTCCTTTTCGGCATCGCCGTCTGAGTCAAGCTCTGATTCCGAGTCGGAGTCGTCTATCCCCTCGAGATCGATGCCGCCGTGCTCATGGTCGCTATCCTCGGAATCGCTCTCTTCCTCGCTCGGCTCGTCATCCCGGGCTTTCCTCTTGTTTCCTTTGCTGCCATTGGTCTCGGGCGCCTCTTCGTCGCTCTCGTCTTCCCACTCCTCCCCGTACGCCTCCACCATCTTCTCAACAACCGGCTCAAATGACTTTCTCCTGTCGCTTTTCTTTTCAACTGACTTGCCGTCTCTAACTGGTGACTTGGTCTTGGGACCTGCCTTGGGAGACTGTGTTACGCCTTTCTTCGCCATATTGCCGCTGATGAATATTTGTTTGTGGTGGGACGATGAATTGATGGACTGCTTGCAGCTTTGAAGACTTCCAAAACTTTTTTTGGCTGTCCGGATGACGATAAGATAAGATACTGTGTGTAGGTGGGTCCAGCGGACACCGAAGTCGTCCTGCTCATTCCCTCACCCAGCTGCTCCTTCCCTCTCGAGGACGGATTCTCTAAAGCATCGCAGAGAGGCAAAATCCTCTTCACCGACATCGTGATTGTGTGTGTGTCTGAGAAAAATTAAATTATAAAAAAGAGATGGTAACACTCAAACTGGGTGTTATATGCCCATTGCCAGAGTCGAACTGACGACCTTGTCATTACCCAGTAGAGACAATTATCCTGTCAGTACTAGTGACACGCTCTACCGCTGAGCCAAACGGGCTTGTTAAACAAATCAAATCAATTACTTTTTTATAAACCTAAGCCGCAATTTCGCGATGTTTCTGTATTCTCCGCCTGCCCGATGGACCCTCGAATGGATTGGGAATCTTTGTGGGCATGTTTGGTGGGACTCGCCGGGTGGTACAGGTGGACGGCGATGGATATGCCGCATACCCACGGACGGTAATCACGGTGATGTATATGGTGATGCTAAGGATTCCTTGGGCACGATCAGGTGACAATTTCTCTCGGGGGATATCACTGATCACAGTGCTACATGGCGATTGACGTCTCGGGGAACTCAAGAACATGAGACCTCTGGTATCGGCTGAGCTTGAGGCTCTCCAGGCCTGGTGGAGTTGGGCGAACTACTATCGTCAAGCCTGCAGGGCTCCTCGCCTTTTAGTTTGGATGTTACTCACTGGTAGGGGAGACAGACATGTGCGGAATGCCATGTGGAACACGGGTCGATCAGCATCCGTACCACGATCACGACTCCCAAACCTTACCTCCGTACCTCGAGCCACTACCCCGAACCGCTGAGCCCAGACGCAGACCCACTCACTCACAACGCCCGCATGGCTCAGTGGTAGAGCGTGTCACTAGCACGATAAGGTTTCTAACGACAAGGTCGTCACAGTTCACCAAAGTCACAATCACAAATCACAAGCAAAAGCACCAGCAAAGTGTGTCAAACCGGCCTCGTTTTCTACCTGGTTATGTATCATCCTCCTCCGAATACCAGAAAGCAGCAACCAAAGCCGTGATCGCAACACCCTCCTTCAGCTCCACTGCATACAAAAAACAGCCCCCCATCCATCCCCCTTTCTTGAAAAAACAAGGAGGTCGCGAATCTCCTCATCGCCATCTCCCGTCACCAAGCAAGGGCGACATCGCGAAATAGCCCCTGCTGACGATGGGTCGGAAAATGGACTGTTAGCGGTTTCTGTACTTGTGCCGAGTGAGGTTGGCTGTTGTTGAGAGAGCGAACGAGCGGAAGAGACTGCCGAGTTTTGGCCGCCGTGATGTTGTCAAGTTTGGGCTGAAGAAACGAATCAAGGAAACGGTCGGTGGTGGTGTAGGGGCGAGGCGGGATGAGGCCGGCCGACGAGGTTTGGTGAAGCGTGACGAGCGCATCTTGCCACCATTACGAATCTCTCAGGGGGCAGGAGGGTCCTGGTGGACGACTGGAGGACACATCCTGGGATGATTGATACTGAGAGGCCGTGCGATTGTCAAAGAGGTCAGAGAGGACCCGCTTGTGATGATGGGATGCAGGAGAGTCGCTCGTGCGGCCGCTTGCACCGGGATTTCCCGGTTGTCATTTACATGACAACGCAGTAGGAGTTGAAGTTGGTCTGGGGAACCTGAGTTTGAGTGGAAGGCATGTTGATGAATTCTGGGTTTTGCTTTGGAAAAGCTGAAGTTGTTCTGTGAGGCTGCGTTGGAGTGCTGGTGTGGAGAGGGAAGAGACCGACTCTGGCTCGAAGGAGATGAGGTTTCTTATACTTTTCCTCGAGGGTATTGAGGGCATCCTTGGATGGTGCTTCGACGAGGACTCACTGCTGCCCTCGCCAGTTTCACCAGGCCGAGGATAATCGGAAGCGTTCTCGACGCCGTCGTATTCTTTGACGGCCGTCGCCTTGGAGGTTTGACAAACAAACACGCCAAAGGACCTGTGAGGGCATTGATGGGGCAGGTGAAGCTTAGTATTGTTTTCTTAGTATTGTCGTCTGTGGTGGACAATGGCGTCTTTGGTCTCGGTCCAGGAAGTGAAGGCTTCTGACCGCCATCAGAGAAGAGGGGCAACGAGGAAACATGATCCGCCAAGGCTTCACATTCCTCGTTACCTCTTTGATTGCAGATCAAGATGAACTAAGAACGTGGAGTTTGCCGCAAGGGCGGACTAACCGTTGAGATAAGAACGCGATGGCGTTGGCTTAGTATTGTTACCCCTGAACCCCTTAGTATTGTTGCTCCCGAACCTGTTCTTGTCATGTGCCGCATGCTTAGTATTGTTATCCCTGAACCCCTTAGTATTGTTGCTCTCGAGCCTGTTTTTGTCATGTGCCGCCCAGCTCCAGCCTAAAGGATATTAATTCCACACAGCCAAATCGAGGCTTCTAGCCCCTTGAAATTTAAAGAAAGGAACGACTGATGTTTGCCATCTGGGCATCACTGCACTGGAACCTCTCCGCCCACCCCTTTCGGTCCCGTCGCTGAGCCCGATCAAAGGATGTAAACAACGCCGTGGCCCAATCCGAGATGAGCACACTACATCAATTGGAAGTCTAGAACCGAGAGAAAGGCAACCTGATCGTTCAGCAATCAGCAAAGGCGTCCAACTGGGTCAACCGAGGATCACTGAGAGACGCACGCCGAAACTGGCAACACAGAGACGGTGATCGGTGAAGGAGCCCAATTAGACATTTGGAAGGGAAGGAGATGTGACAGAGGACAGAGAACACCTGGCCGTACCGCGGGAAGGACAGCATCATACTCGCACGGCAGAACGGCATAGGTAGCACTGCGGACTGAAAAGTGAACTTACCACTTCCCTTTCAGTGTGATGACCACCCACGGCGCGCCAGTCTCGTCCTGCCCACAACATCAGCAATCTGTCCTTCCTGTTCAGGGGCCAGGGCAGATGGCAGGAGGGGTATTGCTCAACCCGAAGCAAGTCGGGCCGCCTCCTTGCCCCGGCACTCCTCCTCCTCTCATAGTTGCATAAGGTAACACCTACTACTTCCTTCTCGACGGTGCTCTTGAAGCAAATAGCACTCATGATCCCATCACCAAACTTCTCATTCATGACCGCCTTGAACGCATACCCGTAGTTCTGCACAATCTCGTACAGCCGGTAGATGAGGGGCTCAACGGGCGGCATGGGTCCTGCGCGGCCGCGGTCGGGGAACCCGACCATTTGCGAGGCGATGGGGGACTCGGCGGACAGGCCCAGGAGCTGCGCCAGCTTGGTGGCGTCCTCGGGGGTCGCGCGCGCCTGCCCGTAGAAGAGCGCCGCCACGGCCACCTCGCTTCGGCCCAAGTGCTGCGCGATCTGCTCAAATGTGAGGCGCCGCTGGGTCTTGGCTTCGAACAGCGTCGCTGAGTAGGATGGCAGGCGGTCGAGCATGGACGACTGGGGTCGGTTAGAAGGATGGGTGGTGTCTGGGTGATGGTGGCTTGAGGGGTGTTGTGTGTGAGGCCTACATCAATGGAAGCGAGGTTTGGGCGTTCCGCTGCAATTGCGGCAATGGATGAGCGGCGGTGGTGTCGACTTTCCATTGTGATGCTATTTGGGTGAATATCTATCCAGTGTCTTGTTGCTGTGAATGTCCTTGTGTAGGTTGTTGAGCTCGTCGGCCCGAATGAGATGAATCTCGCTCAATCAGCGAGCAACTCTGACCCATTTAGTACCCCCCTTACCCCCCTCTTCTATGTCACCACATATTGCTGTTCCGCGCGGAGATGTATGAGCTCACAACCCCACACCTGGTGGGCGACTGCATACTCCAGTGTTTGAGTGTTCCGAGCGGTAACGCGCATCCCCGCAGGAGATAAACCGGACTCTCGGGGAGGTGGGGTTGAGCAACAAAATCGGGCGAGACACCCGCAGCAGATATCGACACCTCACCCAATGTCCATCTCCGTGTTGTCGCACTCTTTGCAATGATAAATGCTGTCTTCTGTGATGCTGCCTTTTGTATCATGTTGCCGGCCATGATCCGGCCAGTCACCTGGTCCTCTAACCGTATAGTTTCTTGATGTCTCAGCACAATCAGACACTAGTTCGTTTGTTAGCGCGGAACTTGGAAGGGAAATAATACTACAGTAGTACTCCATAGGGGATGTATTTACCTTCCTTCTCTCGTCTTTACTTTTTCTTTTCTTTAGTTATTCCTTTCTATTCTCTTCTTCTCTTTTCTTCTATATTTCTTTTTTACTCTCTTTTTTACTCTAACGTACTTGCATAACGAGTGGCGCAGCATAACGAGTGGCGCAGCATAACGAGTGGCGCACTTTCTTCCTCCAACAACCACCTAACTTCATCACGAAATTTCTTCCACAACACAACATGGAATCTCTTCCAAAAGAAAGTCGTATGATCCTTGCGCTTGAAGCTCTTAAAAATGACCCTAATCTTTCCGTACGAAAAGCTGCTACAATCTACGAGATCCCCGAAACCTCGCTCCGTCACCGACGCGCCGGAAAGCAACCACGACGCGAATTACCTGCCAACCTTCGGAAATTGACCGACTTGGAAGAAAAAGTCCTTCTTGAGAGGGTACTCGACCTTGATGCGCGAGGATTCCAGCCCCGGCTCTCCGACATTCGAGAAATGGCTAATCGCCTTCGTACGGATCGCGACGCGTCAGAGGTTGGAGTTCGATGGGCGAACGGGTTTGTTAAACGACATCCCGAGCTTACGACGCGTTTCCGACGCCGAGTCGATTACCAGAGGGCCCAATGCGAAGACCCTGACGTGGTGAAGGCGTGGTTTCGGCTCGTACGGAACATGATGGACAAATACGGGATCCAAGAGGAGGACATCTACAACTTCGACGAGACTGGGTTTCTGATGGGCATACTCTCGAGCGCAAAGGTCGTGACAAGCTCCGAACGCCGTGGCCGGCCTCGTACGAAGCAGCCTGGCAATCGGGAATGGGTTACTGTGATCCAGGCTGTGTGTGCGGATGGCTGGATCGTGCCGCCGTACTTCGTAGTCAAGGGAAAAAACCACCTTCTCCCCTGGTACCAGAACAGCCGATTCCAGCCCGAATGGAGAGTCCATACAAGCGAAAATGGCTGGACAACAAATGAGATTGGTCTTGATTGGTTAAAACATTTCGACCAATCTACCAAACATCGTACGAAGGGAGTCTATCGACTGCTCATCCTCGACGGTCACGAAAGCCACCACTCGATCGACTTCGAAGATTACTGCAAGGCCAACAACATTGTTCCGCTCTGCCTGCCTTCCCATTCATCTCACTTCCTCCAACCTCTCGATGTTGGGTGTTTCAGCCCACTCAAGCGTTCGTACGGCAAGCAAATCGAGCAGATGATGCGAATGCAAATCACCCACATCACCAAGGAGGACTTCTTCGACGCGTTTGTAGAGGCATTCCACGCGTCTATCACAGCGAGCAACGTACGAGCAGGCTTTAGAGCAACTGGCCTTGTCCCTTTCGACCCCGAATCGGTGATCTCTCGCCTCGACCCTAAGCCAATCACCCCGTCTCCTCCGAGCTCGCGTCCTGGAACAGCCTCGTCTTGGGTCCCAAAGACCCCGTCCACTGCGTACGATGCGACCCGGAGCTCCAGCACTCTCAAACGGAAGATCGAAAACCATCAAGGCAGCTCTCCCACCCACATTTTCGACATTATCGACTTGCAGGCAAAGAGCATCTCGAAACTGGCGCATGAGATGGTGTTGCTCCGAGCAGAGAACAAGGAGCTTCGTGCGGCAAATGAGCGGCAAAGCAAGCGACGCAGGACCAAAAAAAACACGTTTGCAGGATGGAGGATCACTTAGTTTACAAGAGGCGATGGTTTTGATGGCAGACCGGGGACTTGGTGGTCAGGATTGCGAGGAAACGTCTGGGAGTGGTGCTCGTACGAATGCAGGCGAGCCGCACGTTCGGCTCTGCAGCAACTGCAAGAAGCCCGGCCATAACGTACGAACTTGTCAAGTAGGTTGCGAGACGCCTGAGGAAAGCGATTCCGAGTAGTTTCAATTGATTTGAGGTGTTGTGGTTGAATTGACTTACAAGGTGACTGAAGTCTAAGAAAAAGTGCGCCACTCGTTATGCTGCGCCACTCGTTATGCAAGTACGTTTTTAATTTCTCTTTTTCTTCATTGTATTTTTTCTCTTCTATTCTTCTTTCTATAACTAACTAACTTCTTCTCTTTTCCACCCTCTTTACACTTCTTTATCATTCTTAATTTCCTATCTTTCTTTCCGTTATCTTCTTAATTTCCTACTTCCTCTCCTTCTTTCTTACACTCCCGTTTTCTCTATCCTTAATTCGGCCTGCCATGTACTACGCTAATAAGTAAACAAAGGCTGGTCCTTTAACTATGGATATTCTCGATGTCTCTTAGTATCGTGACGATCTCTCGTAGTATCGCGACCGTGGACCTCTCTCTCGCAACCATGGACCTTCTCAATGTCTCGCTCTCAATCATAATCGATAACAGACACATCAACACAGTCAGACTCGCCATTCCGTCCCTCTAGAACGTCCCGGGCTTCGTCCAATCCTGCTTCGTCGCCGCATCCAAGTCATCGACATTCAGCATCCCGATTCCTTCCTCCACCAGGACCTGCCAAACCCGATTCCTCACATGGATCGGCCAGGCCGGCAACCCCCAGTACCGCGACACCAGACCCCTACTCCGCGCCTCGCGCAGATGGCCCCGGATCTTCCCCAGCTGCGCCTGGCTCGGCTCGCCCTTCCACCACACCTGCCCGATGGCGTCCCAGAAGTCGACGCTCGCGTAATACGAGTTGGTCGAGTTGAAGCCCGACTCCTCGAGCTTGTCCAAGGGTGCGTCAAAGAAGGCGACGCGGGGAGAAGTCGTCGAGTTGCCGAGGATCAGGTCAAACGGCGTGTTGCCCGTCCCGACAACTGTGACAGGGCCTTGGTGGAACTGCCCGTTCTCCGAGTAGCTGAGCCAACCCCGCTCGCGCAGCGGTTCCAGCTGCTTCATAATCCACGGCCAGGTCTCCGGTCCGTTAGTTTTGAGATCGATGAGGAGGACGAGGGTTTGCCTGGGGTCCGTGTCGAAGACGCCGTTCTGGGTGCCGTTGTAGAAGTCGGTCGACGGGTTCTGCCGAGTGAGAATGTCGACTAGCGGATTGACGTACAGGCTCTGGAAGGTCCGGTTCGGCTGCAGGCTGGCAGTGTCGTGCCCGACAAGGAGGTCGCCGTTGCGCAGCCACACGTCGGCCTCAACCCCCGTGCAGCCCGCGTAGAGCGCGGTAAAGAGCGGCACCTTGCGCCAGTAGTCGTTGTGTGAGTGACAAGGGAGGGGGACAACATCTCGGAGAAAGTCGGTCGGGTACCAGGCGAGCTCCTCGGTGGCCGTGCCCGGCTTGCCCCAGTTCCCGAATGGGTCGTCTCCGGTGTTGCGTGGCCCCAAGAAGTGCTGCGCTACCGTCTCGCTGATGCTCACGACGAGGAATATTAATGTGCTGGTCGGGGTGGTGAGCGGATGAGCACAACTCGAGATCGGCTCACTTACACCACTGCTAGACACATCAACCATGTCCGCCATGTCCACTTTATCCTGGGCGGATGCTGAGCCTCCGGGGGACCGTCGCTGGTGGGGAGATATTCGACGACCACTGTCGACGTTGACTTTTCTGACGTCCATGAAGCCATGGTCGATCTAATAGCGAACAACATGTTGGATATCCTGCTTTGGCGGCGTGAAGTCGGTGCTGAGGAAGGTTGGCTCTCCTCGATCCCCGCTATGTATACCTCGTCTTGTGCAACATCCGTATCCGGGCTCCTGATCCTGACTTCCAACAGACCCACCGACTCCGGCTGCATGACTGACTCGAAAAGTCCGAGGCTAGTGGCTAATAGTAGAGTCACACTATCAGGTTAAACTGGGTTGATGGCACCGTGTGTCTGAGAGTCAAATTCTATCTGCTCGCAGACAACGATTGACCCAAGCAGTCATGACCTGGAGTGCGACTGATAATAACTTCTTGGCAGCGACCACGTCAACATCAAGGGCAGGTCCGATGCTGAAACCAGCTAGCGAAGGGTGTGGTGGGAGGAATGCGAGAGAGATGAGGCGCATTCTGTTTGTAGACCGAGACCGTTGGCGAGCTGAGGCCTGGCTCGCCTGGATATCCTGTACGGTTGTACTCCGTAATTCCGGCATCCATGGACCCACTTGGCGAGCAGCGTGAAGGAAACCCACGTGGAGGAGAGACGGGGTTGCATTGTGGTCGGCCATGGCGATCCAGACTTTGCTCAGCCACACCCACTCCAAGCTTTGACCAGTTTGTGGCTACAATCCAGCCTTGGTATGTTCCGTTAGCGTGGCATCTGGCGACATGACGAGATAAATGAAATCGATATAACTAGTGATTAACACTGATAGCTAAATACACTCTTTACCGGGGTTATTGTCCAACTATCTCTTTATAGTATGACTATAGTTAACTCTATTAGATAGTAAGAGCAGCTAACGTTAAGTTAATGTATATGATAAGCGAGCGGCGCACTGGCAAGAGCTGCATTTACATTTAGCTGCAGCACTAACATGTCATTTCCAGCTTATTTTCTTGTTAACGTTAGTGCTACAGCTAAAATGTCCATACAGCCCTTATCAGTTACCGCTCGCTTGTCTGTGCCGCACGCTTATCATATTCGTTAATTATATTACTAACGTTAACCAGTTAACGTTGTATAGTTAATAAGTCCTCTAACCTAACAATAACTTGAAAGAAATATAAGAAAATAAGGAAGAGAGAGAAAAATAATAGAATATAAAGACAAAAGGTAAAGAGAAGAGGAAATAGAATGAAAAAGACAAGATAAAGGGGAAGGGAAAGAGAAAGAGAAAAGAAACAAAAAAACATTCAAAGGAAAGAAGATGAGGTGTAATACCACCTGAAATTTCCCACATTCCGCGCTAACAAATCAGTCTTGACCTGTACGACAGCAGCGCGTCACGCGATAAATTGGTCAATGTGATTTCCCATTCAATTCTTTCCCATGGCCTGACTTTATTATTCAGTTCACCGCATTCATACACGGCCTCCATGAACTAGGCTCATTCCGAATCAGTCACGATGCCGGCCCAACACAATCAACCGGGTGCTGCTTCAGGCAAGCCCCTGAGCAAGGCAGATATGCGAAGGTTCATAGAATCGGGGCCAAAGATTGAGGAAATCTTCCCCAAGATGTTCCCTAAGGAATGTGAGGTGTGCAAACGCAAGGATAACCTCTTGCGCTGCGGAGGATGCAGCGTCTACTGGTACTGTGGTCGCGAGCACCAGGTTTCCGACCGGTCAACCCACAAAGGAACATGCAACCAAATCAAGGTGTGTAATACCAATTCTCCTTTGTTTGTGGATTGTTTATGCCCCTTCTGACTGTCTGGGGAGCGAGATGACCGCCGTCTGAGCATTTGCTCATCGCCGAAGTCATCCATACTCTATAGGAATCTCACAGCTGACATTGTTGGTCCAAGGGCGCCAGGACAAAGGTGGAGACTCTTGAGTCAAAACTGCGAGCCGACGCACCAGAATACCTCGAAGCCTACGCCGGCAGACTGTGGATGTTCCAGCCCGCTCGGGACTACTTGACCGCAGTCGCCAATTACGGCGAGCTTTTGGTCAGATCGTGGCGGCGACAAGGCATCGAGGACGCGTTGGAGGTCTACCTTAAAATACTGCAGTTGAACCGGGGCGATAATCAAGGTGTGCGAGACCTGATTCCGGCACTGTATATCCGACTCGGGCGCGACCAAGAAGCCTACGACTTCCTCAAGTACTGGGGCCTTCAATTCAACAATAAGCTTGATAAGGAGCAGCCCTTCCTGGGCGTCAAAAGGGCTGATGCATTCGAGGACGTTGAGCTCTGGACGGGCAAATCCCTCTACCTCACGCACGCCGTCAGCGTCCTCTTGATCAAAATTCGGCTCCTGATAGGCATCCAATCTGTGCAGCGCATGAAGGCCTGGAAAGCGAGCAAGGGCGAGGACGTCGCCGCCATGTCGGGCGCTGAGGTCCTCGACTGGCTCCGTGATGACCTTCGTCCATTCTGCGGAGACATCTTTGAGCGTGCGCCAGAAGTTCTTGGCGATGATGCTCTACTGGAACAGACGTTGTCTGAGGTGGTCGACCGGATTTCGGCGCTATTCCAAGCCATCAACCGTTACAACAAGTACTACCTGGCCACCCTGCTAAACCCGGAAGAATCGGATTTCGAGTCCGAAGTGGTGGGCTACACGTTGGGATCCGAAGAAGAGGCGAAGTTGGCCTTTAAGCGGACCTATTCGGCGTGGTGCGAGACAGAAGGGGCAATTAAGGGGTTGCGGAACATGATATCCAACGGGCTTGCAGAATAATGCGTTTGTTGGGTTTCCATTTGGTGGACTGTACCTTTATGGGGCGCCCAGCGAGCGTCGTTGAGGTAAACCTCTAGGAGTCCCAGAGCATTCCCTGGATTTCATAGTTTGGTTCGGAGGATTGCCACTCTTTGTACCTTCTCCATCCAATGAATGTGAGCATGGTGAAGATGGCGAGGAGCCCAATCACCAGGTATCTTACTCGCAATCTCTCTCCAGTGTCTTGCATCGACAGAGCTCGAGGACATAGGGCCACGGACCTCGACAGTATCACCAATACCTCACATCAGCAGACAACAGCTCAACCGCCATATTCCAGTAAGGACTAACAGAATGGTCGGTAGGGAGGAGGAGCTATCCTAGGTAGCCTGTAAGTTATATGATGGGAAACAATGAGATGCAGTCTGCGAGTTTCTTGACTTCAGGATTCAGAGGGCCAGGGTGCTCAACAATTTACAATCCAGCCCTGATTTGTTTATTAGAGTGGTACATGGCAGGCCGAGTTAGAAAATGGAGAAAGGGGGAGTGTGAGAAAGAAGGAGCGAAGGTAGGAAAATAAGAAGATAAAGGAGAGAAGGTAAGAAAAGTAAAAAGGAATGAAAGGTAGAAAAATAAGAAGATAAAGAGGAGTATAGAGAGGAAAAGAAAGAAAGAAGGATAAGAAAATGAAGAGAATAATGAAGAAAGAAAAGAGATAGAGAAGAACGAAAGAAAGGAAGAAGAGAAAGAAAGGGAAAGAAAGAAATAACAATCCCTTTCTTGGTTTGATCGTTAGCGCGTGACTTTGGTGGGCCATGCGGCGGCTGAAGAAGCCAATAGATAACAGGCTGCAGGGCAAAAAGAATGGCTTGACGCTGACTCAGCCGCAGCTCGCACAAGTCAATAGCTCGTGCGTCAGAACACTCTAGAGGCTTTGGTTGGTTGGTCACTGTGAGAGACAAGTTGGCATCAAGGCGAGGCGTTGGGCACTGCGAATGCCGACTCAATTCTGCTAATCGAAAGCTTAGGAAAGGAAGAGGGAGAGTATAATCCGTACAGGAGGCGCGTCTGCGACGCGTGATAAGATAAGTGAGCGCACAGGCACCCACCGATGACCCACCGAAGAGGCATCAGTTCAGGGTGCGCTTTCCGTCACAGTCACCCCCAGTTCATCTCTGCCAAAGAAGGAAAGGCGAGGTCCCGCGCTAACATACAAACAAGGTTGAATTGTAAAAAAGAAAGAAAAGGAAGGAAAAGTAAGAAAACGAAAAGAAAAAAGTGATACCTTATACCCGTGGGCCAATGCGTTTTTCGGCTTGTCCCACGTTTTCGGCTCGTCCATTGGTCCACCGGTAGTTTCCCTTCCCAGTCAGCCAGGTCTGGTTGTAAGCTCCTCTCATCTTTATCGCTTTGTGGGAAATTTTCCAGCAGACAATCCCCCTGCTTCCAATTTTTTGCCTTCAATCGAGAAACAGCATCGAGCCACACGAAAACATTCTACACGTGTGCTGCCCACGATGCCGCACAAACATACCCGGCGAGAGCAGGACGAGTCAACGTAAGGACACGTCTTCTCCGTTGTCATGCCCTTTGATATCTGACCGCAAACAGCTTCGACCTCGCTCCGACCCAAATCGCAAAGCCGCTCCCACCAACAACCATCTCAAAGAAAAAGGCAGCGGAAAAAAAAGCCGATGACGCGCAGAAGAAGAGCGGCACGAAAAGGAAACGGGGTGTTAAAGATGTCAACGATGCGCCGCGCGCATTCAAGCGGCTAATGGCGTTTGCCAGCGGCAACGCGCCGCGAAGTGGTCTTGACAATGGCGACTCTGCAGTGAAGGGCAAGGGCAAGGGCAAGAATAAGAAGAACAAGACGGCGAAAAGCCCAGCGAACAGCACAACTCCGGAGGCCACCACGCCAACGGCCCGGGACCTCAAGATCCGCCCCGGCGAGCGCCTTTCCGAGTTCAGCCACCGCGTCGACGCGGCCCTGCCCATCAGCGGCCTGGTTAACAAGGTGCCTGTCAAGAACGGCCGGGACCCGCTAGGGATCAAAGTGCGGCGGACAAAGAAGGAGCACAAGATGCAGAACATGTACGCGGAGTGGCGCGAGATAGATCGCAAGGTCCGGGAGCGACGTGAGGAGGAGCTCGAGGAGGCCGAGGAGCGCGAGATGGAGAACGAGGCGCTGGGTGTGTCGTGGAAGCTCGAGCTCGAGGCGGCGGTGGCGCGGGGCAAGAAGAAGGCCAAGAAGGGTAAGAGGGGGAGATACCTGGGCGAGGCAGGCGACCCAGAGGGGGATCCGTGGGAAGAAATCAAGATGAAGAGGGGAGAAGGCAAGGTCGGCATCAACGAGGTCGCGCAGGCGCCGCCCGAGTTGAAGCTGCCGAAAAAGAACCTGCTGGTTCGCGGCGCGACGGTGGCGGTCGAAGACATTCCCAAGGCGGCGGGCAGTCTGCGGCAGAGAGAGGAGCTGCAGGGCATCCGGCAGGAGGTCGTGGCCTCATACAGGATGATGATGAGCAAGAGGAGGCCGGCACTTGGGACGTGAGTTGAGGCGTCTGCGTACTGTTGGGATGACAATTGATCTATGGGAAGCATGGGGACTTCAACTGGCTATCCAAGACGCCTACCAGACCTGAGCTGTACGCTGAATAGCCTGCCGTAACTGTGAGGTAAGCTACGCTCGTTTGTGAACCTGCAAGCCATATCCGTCAATGATAAGAACAGAGCAAACACTTGAGCCCAAATTTTCATCCCATATTTCTCAGTCGAACGTGACTCATAACTTGTATTTTAGTGGGGCTGTGATACTTTTCAGTTTCCCTTCCCGTTGTTCTATTAAGTGCATCAATCTCAATGGTGACAGTTCGGTGGTACGTACTACAACCACCCCCTTACCCACCCCCTCCCCCACCTTGGCTTTTCTTTGCTCATCTCTGCCCCTCCAAAAATCCTCCCACATCCGAGCCATCGTTACCTTCCTCAATCCGCCACCAACCAATCGTGAGCATCAGTGTTCAATTCCCAATACCGACTCATCATCGTAAAATTTTCGGTAGCTCAGAATGAGAGAAGTTGCATCGCCATCATGAGTGGACAAGGTCTTGAGGTCCTGCTGGAGGGCCTGATACCAGAGATTGCATATTCTGGGGAAGAAGGTGAGTCGCATGCTCTGGACGCTTTTATATCAACGACGATGACGACAACACGACTCGATCACTGAGCAAGTTCTCCGATGTGCTGCTTTTCATACATCATGGATAATTCAGGCGTGGTCGCTGGAGCTGCCTTGCCAGTTCGGTGTTGGGTCTCTACAACGGCACATCAAATCAATTTCATCAGTTAAGGGTAGTGCTAACTTGATGACAGGAATGTCGATCAACGACTTTCTGAGAATTGTGCGGCGATATCATCTGAGTCTTGGCGGGCAAGATGCGTCAACCCAGGGCGACGCAGCGACGGGGCTGCAAGGGCAGGTCGACGATGCGAACCTGGAGAAATCGCTTACAAAGGCCGAGATGGCATCAGCACGCTGGGCATGGGACTGGCTGCGCTCCCGCCCGCAGATTCTCATCAACGGCAACAAGCGATGGAATCGACTCGAGCTGAGCGAAGCACTTGGGCTCCCAGAGTCCGAGTCGATAGACCCAGCAATTGCCTCGGCGGCAGGGGATGCCAATGAAACCGAGGAAAACAAGGGCAAAAAAACCAAGAAGACGCTCACCACCCGGCCAAGGATACATCCTTCCAAGGATCTGGTCTGGCAGACATTGACTCGTCATGGAGTCGACTACAAGCGGGTACCCGCCCTCGAATGGGCTTGCTTGCAGGGCATCGCATCAACCAGGTCAGAGGGCATCCTCCAGAGCGACCTCCGACGCCTGGTCAATCAAGACAAGCGGTCCCTGCCGAAGCGGACCGATTCGCTCGCCCGGAAAGGCTACATCGCCAAGCGGACAGTCGTTGTGCAAAAGATGAAAACCAGCAGGCTGTGGCTGATCGACTTCGCCCCTCCGCTCGTCGAGGAGGAAACATGTGGCATGGACCTGACACCCGAGACTCTGAGCAAAGACCTGGAACCCGTGCCGTGGCATCAGCGCTGGACCGGCAACAACATTGACATGGACGCGCTTGGTAGGACTGTCGTCGGTGTCGTCAAGGCATTCAACGTGATCCGCTACGCCGACTTGAGATCCAAGATGGGCGTCTCGGGCAAGCGGTGGCAGATGAAGACGCTCGCCAAGAACTGTCAGCGTTTGGTTGACGTCGGTGTGCTGAAATACACCGCTGCTTCATTCCCAGGCATGCGAAAAGTCTTCAAGGACTGTCTCAAGTTTGTGCGGGATCCCAATGCAGAAGAGTGGGAGAAGTTCCTCGCCACCGGCAAGAAGACATCTCTGTATTCGGACCCAACCAGGCACAGGGAGCCGAAACCCAACGCCCTGGCCCTGTACGGGAAGTCTGGAGGAGATGGCACGGCGGGTGGAGATGCACGCTCCAAAGTGAGGCGCATCTTCAGCGGCTGGACACCCGAAAAGCCTCTCGCCCAAACGGTCTTTGAGGTCATCCGGCGCGCCGGCACCGAAGGGGCATCTAACCCTCAGGTAAGCGTGGCTACGATTGGCTACCAGCATCGACGGTACCTCTCGAGTTACCTGATGAAGGTCGCCGAGACCCAGCAACCGCCGCACCTCAAGAAGTTCGAAATTGTGAGCAAGCTTGTTCGCACAGGAAAGACATCCGCCTACATGTACTCAGCACCCGGCAAAGCCGCTCTCTCGCAGATTGACGAAGAAGGCCCACGGATGGACGAGCAGACCGCAGCTGAGAGCTCATCGAGCTCAGCACCCGCGGATTTATTCGGCTTCGGTGCAGTACGACCCAAAGCTTTCAGTGCAGGTCCAGATATCTCGCTCTCTGAAATGTCGCGGGTCGCCAGGAAATGGAAGCCTTCAGGCAAGCGGAAGCTGTTGCCTCGTCTCAGACCAGAACACGTAGTTGTGGCAGAGGTCGTTTCTGAGGCAACAGCCCAGCAGGATGCCGTGATGATAGATCAACAAGAGGAACCTGCGAAGCCTGGAAACAGCGGAACTGGAAAGCGCTTTTGTGAGGAGATGGCAAAAGAAGTTCCCGAGGGGCTTGGCAACGGCGCAGTTCAGTCACTTGATCAACAAGCGCAGGCCCCATCGTCCAACATCGCCGTTACCAATGGGGTCGCCAAAGTTCCAACCGATGAGGACCTCGTCATGAACGTCCAATATAATGGCATTGTTGGCAAACTCCGGGTTCACCGCTCGGAGGGCAATCTCTCGTTTCTGAGAACTGGCAGGGGTCTTAAGAAGCCTTTACTCATCCCCATCGACGACAATCTCGATGACCCTGCCATACGGAACGTTCCAGGAAGCGAGGAGAAGAGCTTGGTTCTCGCCTCGGGTGATAGAAACGGGGCGTCGGCCTGGACTTACGTCTTCATATTTGACGATGAGAGTCAAGAGAACGCTGGCTGGATTCAGCAAGAAGTCATCAAGATGAAATCACCTACCTACAGAGAGCCTACTCTTATCTCAGAGGAGGTTGCAGCGGCTCCCGAGGAGATAACAGTTCAAGTTGCCCCACCTGAACCTACTCGTGGCCAAGCACGAGGCCGTGGAGGGGCTCGCGGCAAAGGCAAGGGCAAGAAAGGACAGGCCACATCCGCAGGCGCAAAGCCCTACGTCTGCTCAATCTGTGGCGGCGCCTGGAAAAACGACATTGGGCTCAAATACCACCTCGAAAAGGCTCAAGTCCCCTGTAACCCCAACTTTGATCCCGCCATTCTGCTCGAGAGGACTCGAAAGCGTCGCAAGCCATCACCGGTTCCCCCTTCCGTGGCAAACTCTGAAGCTGGGGATGACGAGACTGTGGGCCGCACCGGCAAAGCCAGAAGTGCAAAGAAAAGCCAGAAGACTCGCTTTTTGAGACTAAGAGTTCGCTCCGCTCTGCGCTCTGTGCAAGGCCCAGCCCACACTTTCCGTGGTATCAGAGCTGCAGATGCTGGAGATACGGAGGCGGCAGCGAGCTGGGTCCCAGAACGCCCGAAAGATGCGTTCAGGGGTCTCCTTTCACAACAAGCCAGGGGTCAAGAGCCTGGGTCAGCAGCAGCTGGTTCAACTAAGAACAACCTTCTGCCCACGGCCCCTTCAAGCAGCTTCGGGGCAGGGACACTCTTTGGCATGAAGTTCCGCCCTTCGACACCTGCTGGAACTGTGCGATACCCTGCATCCATCGCCAGCGTCAAACACGACGCACCAAGGAACGTCCCGACCGTCATTGATGAGCATGCCCCGGACGTGGTTGCGAGCCGCCAGCGATCGGGGGACCTGCCTTTTTTGCAAACCGCGTCCGCAACACACTCGCCGTCTCGAGGCCCTGAGGGCCCTGTGATGACAGGTGATGCATTTGGCCACAAATCATCATGTTATACTGCTTCCGAGGAGGTAATCCTGCTTCCTCCGGACGGAACACCTCGGCCCAATCGATACGATGACCCTTCCGTTTCGAGGGGTTCCCTTAGGACCGGCCGCTCAGAGTCGCGTCACAGCGAGTACCCCGATCCCATACCTCAACATGCTGACGACCAGACGGGACAAGTGTTCAACACTCATTCATCCACGTCGCAGAACGGGCAGGGACTTTACAAGGCGTTTATCCCGAGTATGAACTACAACCGCATGACCAGCGAGGCGAAAAGGCGAGCCTCCCAGGCCTTTGACATCATAATATATCTGCTGGACAACAACCTCGGCGTGTTCCCTGGCGATCAGGCCCTGTTCTACGCACTGACCAAGGTCTTTTTGAAGGAGTTTCCCAACCAGACACCGCCCAACTGGAAGAACTTCACCAACGCGGTCAAGGCCATCGAGACTCGCAAGATCGCCGTCCTTCACACTCACATGCTCAAGACAGACCGGGCAAAATTGCAAACGTGTACACTGCTTGTTAAAGCCGGCGTCGACCCTAACGGGATAATTGCATCCACCATGAAGCAAAAGATGCGGGAGAAGTACCCTGGCATATTCATTCCGCCTGCCTTCTCACCGACACAGGAAGAGCTGGCTTTATTGCAGGATCTCGACAGAAAGACGCCGGGCAAGGATGAAGCCAAGCCGAACGCCAATGGCCAGAAGTTCCGCAGCAGGCGCAAGATCGAGGAGATCGAAGTCTTCAATGCGCCTTACTACACCAACACTGCCCCCACTGCTGGGTCCATAGGTGATCTCGTTTGGAATCGGGGATATTCTGGCGGAGGAACGGGTGGTCGAAAGCGGTCGGCTTACGACAATTCATCCGCTGGACCCCCCCAAAAGAGGGCGAAAGCGAGTCTGCAGCACGACGAATACGGAGACGTTCCGGTGGATCCTAGCATCATGGGGGTTTCGACATTGTCACAGTTTGGTCAGCAGGATGGCCCGTCTGTGCTCGAGGCGATCAAGGCGTATAGCCTGTTGCCGGCGAAACCGGGACCGCGCGGCCGGCGAAGGCTGTCTTATTCATACAAGCCGTTGGACAAACTTCCGCCCGAGCTTGGTAGAGTCAAGAACCCTGGGTTGGGCAGTTTGCCTGACAGCTTCTTCGCGAACGCGCCTGGGGCAACCCCATTTCAGTTCGTCACACCCGATGTCTTGTTTCTGGAACCCAACACCAACCTCGAGGAAGGACCCGAAGAGGCAGATGAGGATGGCCAGAGCCAGAGCCCGGCTTCAAGTCGGGAGAGCACCGAAGATATCTTGGAGGAGCCTGAGATAGACGAGGGCACCGATGCAGCAATCGAAAACCCTAAAGGGTTCAGATTCGTTACTCCAAATCCCCTGAAGCCCTGGACGAAAGGCGTTTGGCCCGCCCACACTCTCTGGTATTTCGAGCGTTACGTGGGCGGCAGCGTCACTCTCGAGGGGTGGATGCCCGGTCGGAAATGGCTTCTGGCGCAAAACCTGCCGTGCAGCGCGGAGGATATGGCAGCGAAACAGAAGGCTGAGAAAATAAAATTGCGCGACTGGGTCGATAGGGACTATGCCAGGTTTTGCTCCCTCATCAACCGATGCGCATCATGGGAGCAGTCGCAGGCCGGCACGGCAGTCATGTTGGGCAGTGATGTGGCGCCTGGCCACATCTTCATCAACGTCTCAGCTCCGCCGTCCAGAACCAACATGAGGCCGATCAATTTGGGATGGTCAGAGGATACACATTACAACCTCGAGACTCTGCCGTACGAAGATTTGGAAGATGATGACTACGGCGATGTCATGTACTACGAGGACGGAGAGAGAGTTGGGAGAGCGGGTGAGCTGTCGCCCAAGAAGCGCCGCGTTCAGAGACCGCCTGGGGCGAAGCGAATGCAGGGGAGGCCCCCCAAGCTTAGGCTTGCGGCCATCAAGACGATGCGTGAGCATACGGCATTCCCGAGAGCGCCGGAAGACCTGCTGCGGGACGAGCAGGATGATCTCGACTGGTCGAGCGAGAACGTCCGATTGGCGGCCTTCATCGTCGTTACGACCTTGCTCGGTGGTGTGGACAGGGTTGTGGATTGGGGGTTGATGTTGAGGCTCGTGCCAGACCAGACGTGAGTGAAGCGTGTTGTGCCTGGTTGATCGATGGCTACTGACAGCAAGCAGGATTAGCCAACTCCGGCACTACTGGTGTGCCTTGAAGAAGGATCGACTGTCGACCATTGTCAGCCTGACCGAGAAGTTCCGCCGGGCATTCCTCAAGGCGTACGAAAAGAATGAAGTTCCGCCTATCGACTATGACAATGTTCTGGCATATGACTGGAAGTTCCTTATCAAGTGGACCACGCAGCTGGACATGGCTGAAAGACGGACACTGCCATCGACTCGGAAGGCGCTGGACGAGACGGTAACGGTATCCAACGTTAAGCACGGAAACCGGCATTGGATGGAAGCCTACTATCATCCCCAGCGATCCATGTTCAACAAGTTCCAGGACGCGACATCCGAGGCGCTTGCTCTTTCGGTGGACGACATTCCCGAGCCAAAGCCAAGCCTCGAGATGATCCTGGCGATGTCTTGGACGAGGTCGCTTTGCGTGACACCGGTCGAGGCCTACACGGCCGAAGCCGTTCTCCACAAGCGCAACAGCCTGTTCCCAACCCACACCAAGACCGAGATCACCGAGTTGATCATGAAGGGCGTCGACCAACTCCAGCGCAAGGGCGTCATTTCCAAGTCGTCGTCCAAGTGGACAAACGGGCGCTCATGGCGCTTCAACACGCGGGTGCTCGACTGCCTCGAGAAATTCGCGCAGCAAGACAAGTTCGTCAAGGCCGTGCAGTTCAAGCAGGAGCTCGACCGGGCCTTCCGCGCGGACGAAAAGAAGCGCGTGACGTACCTCACCAACGATGGCATGATCATGGCCCTGCTCAACCTGCAGGCCAACGGCCGCGTGCGCGTCGAGACCACGGGCCAGCCCAACGTGCCCTTGGGCCACGAACCGGGCAACTACGAGACACGCAAATACACAAAGAAATACATGCACTTCCGCCTCGACATAGTCCCGACCGGGTCGTACCTCTACGATGATGCTGAAGAAAACGAGGATGCCACCCTTGCAGACCTGCGCCACCGCGTCAAGACCGCCCTGCCACCTACGCAGGGCCCCGGCGGCGCGGTCCCCGTTTGGTGCGACGTGTTTGGCAACGTCGACGCCGACCGCTGGCTGAGGTACCTTAGTGCGGTGCTGGTCACGCTTGCGTCGCGTGGGTCGATGGGCGCCGAGGACCTGGTGCGGACGCTTAAGCCGATCATCATGATATTTGAGGCCGAATTGATCATTGAGTGGGCCGGCAGGCTGGGGCTGGTGAAAGCGCAGCTGGAGGGCTCCGCGCCGGCTGTGATGGAGTGGTGGTGGATTGCAGTCGAGATGCAGCGAGTTGGGCTGGAGGCGGCTGAGACGGGGACCATTGGGAAGCCGAATAGGAACGTGAATTGGACAGGGACGGGGAGTGTTGGGGTTGCAGGGAGGAAGAGGAAGGCTTTGCCTTCGGGGCGGCCGGTCAAACCCGGTGAGGGGGTAATTCGCTTGAGTCAAGGACGGGGTAATACTTGAGTTCTTGACAATAAAGGTTGCGCGTGTAAGTGTGGGAAGGCGCTGGTTGTTCGTGGTGGAGTGTCTGCTTTGGCGTTGGGTGGTACAACGATCTCCTGGCATGGTGAGCATGGAGAAAATGCGGCTGGAAAATGGGTACCGGAGTTTGGCGATACCCCTTTTACAGCTATCTTCTGCGTTACTGGAAGCCATGGATATATGGCTGGGGAAAAAGTATGTTTTGTCTGGCACAGTTGTGAACTCGTAGTGGGAGCAGTAGATCAAGTCAGGATTGTTCGCTTACCCCTGAATCATTCCACGCAAATCTGTAGATGGATAGCACCAAACGTTTCGATTTTCTCAAATATATAAATTTATTTTCACTGTTGTCATTCTATCTCTGTCTCTTACTCTTTCTCTCTTTTACTCTCTCTCTCCTTACTCTCTCTCTGTCTTACTCTCTCTCTGTCTTACTCTCTCTCTGTCTTACTCTCTCTCTGTCTTACTCTCTCTCTCTCTTACTCTCTCTCTCTCTTTATTTTGTTCTCACCCTCTCTGTTTCTTTCTTATACTGTGAAATTCTTTTTATATATATACTCCTCTCTCTTCTTCCCTTTCATATTTACCTCTGTCTTTCTCTTTCTCTCTCTCTCTCTCTCTCTCTCTTTTTCTTTCCCTCTCTCTCGCTTTCTTTCCCTCTCTCCTTGTTTTTTTCCTTTCCTTTTTTTTCTGGCCTGAGCTCTACACCTTGGCATTCAAAGGAGTCTCCCGCCTACAGACAAAGCAACCGTTCTCTCGGATCACACATCCTGATTCGTCACGATTGGATGACCATCCTATAGCAGCGACCATCAAGCTGTGTGGCATCCACATACACGACGCGAATCGACCTCTTCATGTCATACGATGCCGCGCTACAGCTTTTCGTATGTCTCTGTTTTCGCCCAAATTGAGTAGAACCTGCAGACAGCATGTCTGATTGACTGCGCAGGCTGGGGTCACGGTATGTCAACCCATCATCTAATTATCCTCCGGTGGCCGATTCTTTCGACCAAACCGGATTTTGGTCTCGACCGACAGTACCGAGTATGCAATCCTGCAGTAATACCTGTTTCGCGTCAGTCTCTCTACTCCTACCACTGCTGCTGCTTCTGCGGCAATGAGACCTGCATGTTTCCCTGGTCTCAACTTTTGACCTGTCTGAAGGCAAGGCAACCCAGCTCGTTGGAGTGCACAGCTTCAGTTTGGAATGGAATCGTGAACTGTAAACTGGTCCGTACCCAAACTTCTTTCACCGGTCTCATCTACTTTCGGTATGTGTGCATGGGGTGGCTTGCAGAGGCGACCTTCTCCCAGTCGGGAATGATGCTGGAAGTCGGACAGTCTTGCATAAACTTAGTTCATAACATTGATTCCCGGAAGGATGTAAAGGGCAAGCCAGAGTTGAGGCTTGCTTCTTAGCACATCTTGGAGATGCCTGGCAAGGCAAGGTACTTTTGGTGATCTGTGCCGGGAGGCTGACGAAAGTGTTCACTTGCTGTACTTGGGATTGGACGATGGGGTGATACACAGCAGCCTGAGGCGAAGCCTGGCTTGGTGTGTTGGTCGGTTAATGAGGAGGGCTGTCTGGAATGATGAAGAACGGGTAAGGGGTCGGCCTATGTTTGCTCTGTGGAAGATTTTTAGTCTCCCGCTCGGACATTCTATACAGTGCCCGTCTGTATACCAACCTTTCGGGTCAAACAACACGTGGCGCAGGGGAACCGGACTGTTGATGGCTGAATGTGACTGGACACGGCCCGTTGTCTTTACTCAACAACAACAACGACCAAGATGGTCCTCGTGTGTTTCTCTGATAGTGAATCACCACCAGTGTTCAAATTCGGGTCACAAACGGACAAGGACCGAGTTTTCGACAAGAAAGGGCCGGCCCTCTGTCTCTTGATTAGGCCAACGGACTCATCCTCAAGCTTTACCGAATTGGATCGTCAGCCACATACACTCAGCAGATAGGCAGGTCTCAGCCCAGCCAAGCCTTGTACTGCCCGAAACGACGACACAACATGGATTCGTTGAAACAGAGAGAGGCCGCGGAAAAGATCAAACAGCTCGAGACACGCCATGGGAGTGTTGACCACGACGGAACTGCAACCGGAAGACCTTCTTTATCGTGAGGTGACCTTCCAAAACGCTGCAGTAGTGCATTGTAGAGTACTTGAGGTAGACATGGTCAGTGGAGTCTAACTCGGGCTTACACCATCTAAGTCAGTGTCACTCGGCTTTCGCAACAGGGCAGCTTGGTGTCGTGTGAGACAGCACTGTCTCAGTTTAGCGTCCCACCTAGCTGCTTGCCCTGACTGGAGTAAGGAAAATGAATGCATTCGCCATGCCGGCGTCCTCCTGTTGTTTTCCACAAGCCCTGTCCTTGCTTGCCGTCACCATTGTGGTTCCTCGACAGGCTTGCTAATGGCGTCACGCATGTCAGGTCTCCTGTATTTCATCTCCTCAAATACCTGCTCATGATACACTGAGTGCCTGCACTTGGGATAAGGGGCATCTCATCTCACATCACCTTCGTCCTCACCGGTCTCCCCTCGCCAGATATTACATGTACGCAACAAGACCACAGCTCCTTGCTGCCGACTTGCACCGATATTGGGAAAATTACCTGTCTGCTGCCTGTCAGGTGCTGGCCGGTGAGACATCTGTCTGCGGACTGGACAGGCAGCGTCCCGTTAGCTGGAGATCTAAACTAAACATAGTACGACCCTTTCGGCAACAATACCGATCTCAAATGCGGTAACTGTCACTACGCCGTAACACGTTGTGCATCTGATCCTCCTAAATCCCGCAACTCCCGGTATTGACATTCAGAGGACCTTGTGCTCACCACCAAGCTGCGTTCAGGAGAGAAGGCCTTTACGATGGCATCTGGGGTAGTTGTCGTTTCAACAACAGTCAGCAACCTTCCATGTCAAACCAGTCCATGCAATGCTGTCCATATACTTTGTACAGGAAGCTCGAGATCGCCTCTCATGGCCAAAACGAGAGCTCAGGGGCAACACAAGCCCAGATGGAGCATCAAGGTACGCAACAAGCCCAATGAACGAGATAAGGCAGGAAGAACGGAACGAGGCAACCAAATTCCGAAACGCAGCTGAAGACTGCATGGCAGCTGCGCCCGAGCCAACGGTGATTGGCCACCCCCTGTCGAAAGAAGCCACAAGAAGCCCTGGGGAGGCAACAACAACCTTCGCCCATGTCCTGTCTCCCCTCCCCTCTCTCTCTTGATGCTTTCCCCCTCTCTCACACACCCACGAGTAACAGTAAAGGTACAATACGGTATGGAGACACAGACCAGCACCAGCTGATCCCTTCTCGTTTCCCCCGATTCTCAGTCATTGCCCAACGACAGATCTGCCGGAGTACACGAATGAGCGTCAGAGGACTGGACAAAACGGGTTAGGCGCAGCTTGGCGCGTCCAGACGGCAGGAGTTGACCATGCCGTGGGACACGACGCCTTTTGCACACCTCATGCCAGACCGCCATGGACCATCGACAAAACGGGCTCATCGGAGTCAGCGAGTGGGATGACAAGGACCTGGAATGGCTGCGTTGTGTTGATGACAGTTCAGTCCGGTGCATGGTCAAACAGGGCGAGGATCAACAGGTGGAGGTATATCGAAGTACAAGTCCAGTCAAGATACTCGCCAGTTTTCAGGAGAGGTACTCAGCACACCGTGGTAAGCATCATCACCGGGAGATGATGAGATATCATGCAGTCTGGTGCACTACGGACTGGAGACTCAGAGAGAGTACTACCTCCCCTCAACTTCGCGAGACTCGTTCTGCAGTGACTCTGCATATCGTCACATTTCCATATCCCATAACGAGAATCCCGGCGTTATAACATGATGGATGGCCTCGTCAGATGGGTCGTCCGGTGACCTAATGGTACACGCATCCCAAAGAGGGGAAAGGAGGCCAATCCTTTCCTCTTTGAATAAAACCGTTACGGAAGTGATGAAATGATGCTATCCCCATCTTTCCCTCCTTGCACCCCTCGGTGTCACCACGACCAGCCGGCAATGGATGGGAGCGGACGGGTTCCTGGGCCTTGTGGTCCACTCCTTAGCAGTGTGCGGTACCGAACAAGGTAAAGACACATACGATCCAGTATCGGACTATTGCTGGATGGCCAGAGGCCAAGGCGGCCAGTACCTCGGTCCAAGGCGCACAAAGAGGCTCACTGTCTCGGAAACAGCCGAGCGTGGCAGGGCATGGAACGAAAGACAGGGGCAGGCTTTTGAAGAGTCCAAGGCTGAATTCGATATCTGCATTGGCAGTTCCTCACCCTTGTGGAATTGCGAACCATATTCCTGACCGTGGCTTAAACAAATGAGACAGACAGAGAACCGAGATACCACAAACGGATAGGAACAATACTACTTGACAGATGACCAGTTGCAGCAACGTACCTAAGGTATGCTCTCATATAGCACGAATCCTACGCCCGCCCAACGCTCCGCAGTCGACATGCCATGTAAGGTCAACAACAGCAGCAAATCTTAGACCGTTCCCGACCAGGGCTGGAGGCCAAGCAGCCCAGCCCAGGGTGAGGTACCCGTACCAGTCTTGTGTGTACAATACCACCCCGGGTCCTCTACCTAGATAGCAAGGTGACATTTTAGGCAGAGAGTATAGCTTGAGCTCCTCCTTGCAGTGCGCCCTTCTGCAGGCTGACAGTTACAACCTCGCAGGGCACCCGTCAGATTCCTCCTTCGTGATTCGATTGACAGTCCTCGGCTGGCGCCAGACAAAGCAAGAAAAAAATCTCACCGCCGTACATCTGCGTTTGCTTTGTGCCGAAGGATGTCCGATTTCCGAGTCCACGAATCTGAAAGGGTGAAGGGACCGAGTGACATGGACGGATGGATGGACGGGATGAGATGGGATGGGATGGGAGGACACCTCGTCGACATCCGCAATCAGCATCACAGCATCAGGAGCAACTCATGTGATCTCCACTCACGCACGCACCCGTGATCCCAAAGGTATCAAGGTACATCTTCTCTAACCAGTCAAGTCTCCATGCGGGTACTGTTATTGCGCCCGGCTGATAATCCCAAGGTAACTTGCTGCTCTGTTTGCGGTTGGGAGGTCCGAGTGACCTGAAGCTGACATTTCCCAATGAGACCCTTGCACTTGCTGTCTCTCAGGTTACACAGGACCAGGCCCTGGGGCCTGAGGCTGATTGGGTACCGGTCCCTGGGTTTTTCGGTGTGAGTGTGAAACGGGGGAAGCTAAAATAAGGGAGTTGCGGTGAGGAGAACATGACTTCGCTCACCGACGGGCTTGGGTCGGCCTCCGCCTCCCCTGACCTCCGCGTCGGTATTGAGAACGAGAGGGAAAGATTTGCAGGTGGATATTCTTGAGAAACATAGGGAGGCACTCACTGGATTAGGCATGACGGCGCAGGCTTCCAGCTCTTGCTTTGAGCAGCGGCGGACAATAATGCAATATTGCGGCGATTGAGAGCGAGGCTGCATCTCCCCAGTCCACAGACGCCGCAGGTTGTGCCAGCCCAAGTACAACAACAGACTCCAGACACAGAGAGGACTTCCCCGTCTCCTCCCCAGTCCAGCTCAGCCGCAATCAGTCAGTCATAGACACCCATGCAAGAACAAACCAACGACGAGGCAACAAGGCCCAACTGCAAGAACCGCACAGCACCACCTATCGCTTGCCTATCGTACCTACCATGCTCGGCTCCAGGCCAAGAAAGCGCCATTACTTCCGCAAGGACCTCACCCCCAATTCCCCCTTTTCGCGGGCCGAGCGACCCTGCTCCATGTCTCGACAATTGAGCGCTCGTAAGTTTTAAGGTAGCCGAGGGACCCTCCTGTGCAATGCGCTGCTGCGTCAAGCCCGAAATGGAAACGGCATTTATCATACATACGTGTCCGTCCTCATTCCCAGCATCGGATGTTCTGCAGGTGTTGATGGCTGACTTAGGTTGCCTCCAACTTGCTTTAAGCGACATAGTATACCCTGGCTAAGGCAGGTTAGTTGTGACTTGTGATCGCGAAGCGCCATACGTTACGTACTGTACTTGCACCTACCTCGCTTAGGTAGAGAATGGACTGCACAAGTTCAAGCCGACGATGGCTGGCGGTGGTAAGTATAGCAAAGACCGGGTTGAGTAGGTAGTGGCGGTCTGCCGAGGATTGTTGAAGAATCGGGTCTTTGCTATGGGTGTGTCCATTGCGCCGGGAACTCGGTAATCTGCTACTCGCGCAAGATAAGTCCGGGACAGCACTGGAGCTGCAGGTTTTGCAAACGACAAGCCGTGTGTTGTCACCCCTTTTTCTCGGTATTAACAACCAGGTGAATTGGGCGCGCCTCGGTGTTCTTGCCTTGCTAGGGTACGGAGTTCGATGTCCGTGTCTTGGTCCAAAGTTGATAGCCTGACGGCCGATATTGAGTCTGATCCCAGGGGTCGATGCATGACGATAACCCAGCGATGCCGTGCAAGATGGATGTTGATTACCCATCCACAGGGCCCAAAGGTGAGCAACAGGGACGCCAAGGTGTGGGGAAGGTGAGGGTTGGTGTTACTGTGTTACGGAACGTCGCGGCGGGGTCAGAAAGGACTTGCAAACGAAGGGACCGCGCTGCAAGAAGTGAAGCAACGGGATAGATGAGGTGACAATGATCCTCTGGTCGAGTCATGCAAGTCAGCACATGACCTCTGTCCGCCTTGGAAAAGATAGGTGGACCTTGATGGCGGCTTTGTGGCCGGGCACGCGGGGAACTCAATGAGGTGGCTTATTGCGGGTTGGTGGAAAGGAATGGAGTGGTGAGTTGGGAGGGATACACGTACTCGCAGAAGCAAAGGACAGACAAGCACAACCAACAGAATCTGAAAACGACGAGTGTTGATCACCGTTGTTGCCTTACCCCTTGAGATTCGATGCCTGAAGCCTCCTTCCTAGGACCAAAGGCAGAACTTGCTTCCACGTGCAGTGACATACGTCATAGCTTCAGCCCCACACTCGATCCCAGGCGAAACAGAGCGCTGGACGTTCCGACACAGCCGAACAGGCCGATCGTGTGTTTTAACAGGGATGCAAGTTGCGGAAGCGGAGTCCTGCCGGGGGGTCATGAAGATTTCCAGAAACAGAATGTACTGTCAATCTCCCAGATCTTGCTTGGCCAGCGAGATGGTGCCTGGTTCTCGGTTTGGTATTGCATGCTTTTACCCCAATTACACTGGCCTGTCTCGACACTTGAGTGCAGTGTGCGGAGTGACTCGCTGCATGGACAGGCCCTATCAAAGACAGGTACGGAGTAGGCACAAATTGTGCGAATGCGTAATTATGCCCTGAAACTTGGCGTCTTGATTCCCCTAAGCTGTGGACACCATGTGCCTGGCGAAGCCCAGGTCAATCCCGGCTGGTTCACTGGGAAATGGGATGGCCAGTCCCCCTTCGCCTGATGAATCCTGAATGCGCATCTTGTTTTCCGCATGACGCTTTGGAGATTTGAATTGTCGTCAGCGTGCCTTCAGTGGGAGATTATGGTTCGATTTTCGAATCGCGCCGTCACACCAGCTGCTGAAACGCCGCCATCTCGGACCCCGGCCGGCGATCCGTGTCCATCCTTGCGTCCTGCAACATGGGGAATGATGTGCAGCATGGCAAACAAAGGGTGGCGGGGATAGTAGTGTGGCAGTCGTGTAGTGAGCGCAAGGGTTTCATTGGCCATTTCTTGTTTGTCCATGCGAGATGGGCAGCCGAGGACATGGCTTCCCTTTGTCTTTTGTTCAGGCAGGTTCTTGAAGTCGTCAGAATAGCCCTCTGTGCCTGCCAATACGAGCTGCTGCATCTGCCAGCGGGAGTGCTGCATAATCAACAGGATCTCGCTCGAGGACACCGTTTGCTGGCCACGTAGGCAGATTCCTGACACCAGCGCCATCAGAGGCAGCTCGTGACCTGTCTCCCCTTGCCCGATCGAGCTCTTTGCAGCCAAAAGGCGGCCGGCCTGCGGGGGAGAGACTCAAATTGAAGAGTGCCGATGCAACCCATCGCGATGCTCCCTCAACGTGCCGGAAACCCTCTTCGGCCTGGCGCATTCTCCTGGCCAGTTTGCAGGCCCGGCGTACGGTATCTCGACAACGTCATAACGAGGGTGACATCTCGTGGGGCGTTCGGGCTTGCAGACCATCCCATGCGGTTAAGCAAAGGCCATCGGGCAGGGGAATAAACAACTCGGTTTCGATCTTGACTGTTTCCAGCGAATTTGCGTCGGGCTTCTCAAGGATGTCCTTCAAGCATCGGCCCATGAGTCCGCTGACCGCGCTGTTTCGCAATTGAGCAGCTGTAACGCCTGTTGAGGTCACCAGGAGAAGACCCGTACGGTGTACTTGGCCCGGCGTGGCTGGCTCCCGGATACGCAAAGTTGCTTTGCATACTCCGCGCGTGGCGGGCACGGGGGGAAGGGAAGCTGGATAAGCCCCCCAAAGCTGCAAGATATCACGGCTTAGCCAGCTTGCTTCCTATCTTGGCCGGTGTTGGAGCGGTCAGGAAAAACTGCAACCTGCAGATGTCGCCATAGCGCACCTCACGCACATAGCGGCCCCTCCCGTCGAGGTTGCCGTGTGGCGACGGCTGCGGCCAGTACTCTTTTGTATCTACCTTGGGGTAGCCTATGGCCGGCATCGTGCCGTTCGCCCCGGATCTGCTGAGACGGCATCGTGACGCACTGGCCGAGCCGTACGACGCGAGACTCAAGTTCGAGCAATCGGGCGAGATCACTCCCAGCGGCCGGGCTAATCGACAAGCAGACTGTTTTCCCCCGTCCAGTCGCCTAAAAGTGACAACTTCGCGCTGCGAGAATTTTGGAGGGGTGTTTCCGTGTGGGGGTCTCCATCGTTACATCGAGTGACCGAGTTACCGCTGAATAAGAACTATGGGCCTGGAGCGAGGGCGAGTCCTCAATTCCTCATCCCATTCCGGATAGGAGGATTCACACATTTAGTAGTGTAGGAAGTTGTTGTAAGGAAAGTTTGTCGTTGTCTGTGGAGGTGACGAAGGGAAACAGCAAAGGGCCATGGCAAGCCTGGACGGCGCTGGTTTGCCTGACATGAACTCCTGGCTAGTTGCGCTAATCCCCACGGGCGTCGTTATCAAGACGGGGGAACCTGGAACTGCCAAACGTGAAACCGGCCATGCCGGCGCGGCGACTAACACGCAAGTCTCGCCGATCGGTGGTGGGGCTCCGGGTTTTGACGGCCATTCAGGACCCGGCCATATGGGTCAGATGTCGGCGGCGTTTGGTACTCACAGGCATGGCCGAAAGCAGATCAGGGTCCAAGAGAGCGTTGCGAGTTGAAATTGAATGTCCGCAATTCGCGCTTTGTTTTCCGATCAAGGACCAGCTAGCGAAGGAGCAACATCGTCGCCAACTATGGAGAGGTAGACCGGGCCCGGGACTTAGGAATGAGATTGCAGCCTTGGCCCCCCATTCCATTTCTTGCCGAGCTGCCGAGTACTCGTACTATGTTATATTGCTGTTTACTTGGCGTCGTCGTGCTTGTGGGAGGCGGTGTTGCACCGCCTTTGTGACGGCCAGAGCACTCCCCCTCAGGGTGTCGCGATCGAAGCCGCGATGTGAGGGTGGAACAAACGGCACTCGGCTTGCTCGATATAGCTCTGCCGAGACGGATGTCGCGTCAGCATGATTTGGGTGGGGTGGGATAAGGTGCAGCCTCCTGCTGGCGACCAAGAAGCAGGGGCTTTATCGTGTCACGCAAGAGAGTTGGGCGCCAAAGAGTCAGAATTTTGTCCTCGTGAGGAAATTTTGGAGGACCCTGGCTCTATGCCCAAGACCGAAGATCCAAGGCGTCCAATCAAGGCGTGTCTTTGGTGCAGATGGTGCCCACATTCCCGCGGTGTCCTGCTTCCATTGCTCCCGCCGCTCGTGGCTCGAAGAGGGAAAAATGGCGAAAAGAACAAAGTGCGAAAAGCATGCGAAAAAGGGGATGTGGGAAGAACGGGGCGGTGCTTTGTCATCCCAGCAAAGACGAGAACAACGGTGATGCCCAACGCCCATGGGAGTCTGAGAGAACGCGATCTTCAACTTCAGAGGCAAATTGCAGAACCTGCCACGTCCCGGTTGGAAGTCAGGACGAGATCGCTGTTGGCATTGGCAGCGCACGCCCAGGCAGACAGTTGATGCCGTGCATGTCGATCGGATTGTGTGCGTCCCGTTGCTACCTCTGTACAGTAGGGCGATTGGCCTGCTTGGCAGAGAGGTGCTGAAACGAGGCGTTTCTGCGCAATCTCGTATGTGCGTGTTGGGCAATCCCGTCTCGATCCACGGGTGCGGCCGGCTACGGAGTGGGCTGAAGAGAAATGTCGGTGAATGGGGTTGTGTGAGGGTCAATGAGGCCGATTGATTTCTTTAGTGGGTTGGCAAAGTAGGTTTGTCGAGAACAACACTGAGGTAGGTACTAGTATGGTAAGGACTTGATATCCTGAAGAGAAACTGACTTGTGAAATCTTCGGTCCGCAACTCTCGGAGCCTGGCCTGTATGGTAGGTAGTTGTGGGTGGCTCCTGAACGGAGGAGCGGAAATGGAGTTGAGTCCAAGAATTAACAGTACACGTACTTTACGCTAGGTATTTACAGCTGTACTGGCCATTACAAGTAGAGTACATGATAGCATACAAATTGACCCTTTTTGTGACCCATATTGCCGGGTTTCCGCGTTTCTTTTGTTAGCCATGCTTAAGGCACCTCACGTACGCAAGGCAAAATTCTGCCAAGTGGGCTGCCCTGCTCGTGCACACAGCAGGGAGAGAGGTATTCGGGTCTCTCAGCCTGAAGACACCTGTATCTGTGTTCTACCTTACCAACACGACAACCGCCCAGCACTGGAGTGCTGGTACCCAGGGGTCTGCTACTGATGGAAGAGGAGGTGGACAGGGAGAGAGTCCCAACCTGTGCCATGTGCGTAACGGTCTCGGCATTGTGGAGAGAATTGGCGGTTAAGGCTGCATCACCGGAAAGCCACCCAACAGCTCGGAGCAGCTCGGTTCCTTGTCACTGGCGACGGCATGCTCTGGCAGTGAGATCGCGGACTCCCCCCCTTTTTCACGCGAAACAACCATAGTCAGGTATTAGACGGCATCGGTCTCGGGGTGGTTAAGTCGATTACCTTACCGGCCAGCTGTTTCCTTCAAGTTCACCGAACAATTTCCCCTCTTTGACACCGCTTGACCCGGCAGCTAACCTCATCCTGGCGTCATAACATCCGCTTCGTAGAGCGGGGTTCAACCTCTTTTGTTTGCTTGCTAGGGAGGTAAAGTAGTCTTTTAAATAAGGACTCGGCTCCCTGGCTTTTATTTTTTCCTACGGAAAGTTCAGGCTTGGCTCCATTACTTAAAGCTCCTGTGATAAGCATGACATTTTTCCAACCTTAGAGCCTAGAGCCATGGAAAGTTTGACTCCTGGCAATTGTTGTTCGGATCAGGCAGGCTCCCAATGAATAGGTACAATTCCGGCACAGGATGACTCGAAGCCGACGACCCACAAAAGAATACTGAGTCGTCGCCTGTTGAGGGGTCAGGAGCTTCTCTGCTATGATCTCATCCTGCCGCGTTCCCCCATCCTTTCATCAAACCGTTGGCGAGAGAAAACCAGCGAATGGGCGAGAAGCCCGAGCGGAAGATGGCTCGTCAGGTGGTCGAATTGATACGAGTATTTCCGGTATGTTTCGAGACGTACAGCACACGCCACTACAAGCAGGGCAGTTACACGATATTGGGGGTCCGATTGATTGGCGTCTTCCAATTGTTACGGTGTTGCTTCTCCGGTCCTCTGTGCGTCCCGATTGAACTTAGGTATCTCGCCAAAGAAACGTCATTGAGAGATTTATACGCCCGAACGTGAAGAAACAACCTGGACGTGCTTGGCTGGGCGGCGCAGGACATACGTATTGGTATTCGATGATGATACTATACCGCAGAGGTGGGTACCAGTAAGGGTTTAACACCTGGTAAGGAAAGCTAAAGTGCCCTCAAGGTTCCTAAGGTGTAAGTTACTTAACTGGTTTGGCAGTTGAACTTCCAGGTTGGGAGGTGAATCTCATGAACGTCCAATGTTGGGTCCAAAGAGCTTGTCCAGCGGAGCTGACGCAGCACCAGCTCTGACCCTCTTCGCCAATGGGACCCGTGGACTCTGGGAAGACACCCAACGCCCAACCTCGGCCTATTTCCCTCCAATTACGGATACCAGAGTAACGTAACTTTGCCTCCTGCCAAGAATGGCCAGCACCAGCTTTTGACTTGCTCCCGTCGTTCAGCTCTGACGGTTTTTGCGCGTGTATCTGAGTGGGTAAGGTATAATACACATATAATAAGTGGACGATGACACCAAAGTTTTGTCATGTCCCTGACATTTGTTTCCACGTTCTGTCAATGATCATCACCCAACGCCAATTGAACCACCTCCCGCCGCTACCGCCCTTGTCCTGGCCATGACTCCCGCACCGCCCACACACATCCTCCGCCCTAATAATAATCTCCGGGCATTGGGTACCTTCTGGAACACGGCGAGACAAAAGGACCATCTGCCCTCCACTGCAGCCTGAAATAAAGTTTGCAAGCAGACGCACCCATCATCATCACCCACCCCTTTGGATCGAGCTCCCCTTTTTGGGCCCACGGATGTCTCGCTTTTCGCATTGCACAACACCTTCGCCATTCCCCCAGGGGCACATGCATACACCACAGCGACATTGAGAGAAAAGACTTGTGTGGCATTGGTCATCCACCATCGATCCACGCCGCCATAGCAGTCCATACTGTGCCCGCCCACTTGGTCCCGGTCAATACAGGGGCGACTAAGCAGTCAATCGTCAACCGGCAGCACTTGTCGTCGACCTCGGTGAATTTGCGCCGAGCTGCAAAGCTTTGCATCCACTCCTTTCTGTCTGCGGAATACCTGCCCGTGGCACTCAACATCCCATACTAAAGGACCATCGGGTTGTTGTTCGGCTGTCTTGCCAAGAAAGCATCTACCCGGAGACAGCTGCAATTCGAGGCGTCCCCTTCAGGATCCCGGAAACGGCACGCTGCGAAGCTTTGCGCCCGCGCCCATCACTACCGCCGAGGGTCGCCGCCGGGATACAGGGGCCGCTGCTCTCCTGCTCGATCCGGACGACTGCGCTGGCGACACGACGACTGATCCTGTTATCCTGTTTCGACTTTCCAATTTTCACGACCTCCTTTTTTTCTTGTCAACAATCTTCAGGGCTGGTTACTCTGCGCCTTGGGTTTTTTTGTGGACCTGCTCCGAGGCTTTTCTGTCCCGCACTCGAGAACCGGCATCCTGGGAATGCAAGTGCCCTAAACAGACACTTGCATACGGCCTGCCACCTCATCTTCTGCCGTGGGCGACCCAGGCCATCACCACACGGGCCATTCGCGGCCCATCTTTGCCCAGATAGTCGACGCTGCAAGTCGCACATGTCGGTACCTGGGTTGCCTTTCGTACCTGTACCCGCAGATACACCTGCTGCACGACGACACGCCGGCTGGCTCGGTTGCGCCTTGTTGCTTGCTGATCTCGCGTCGGCTCGTCCTGGTCATTCATCGCCTTGCATCCACGGCCCTGGCCGGCCGCTTGTCTCTGCCTTCAAGAAAGACCCCTTGGAGGACCTGCCTCTGCCGGTCTCACTCGGCTCGTCCATAGCTTCCCCGCATTTTTCATCATCCACCAGGGAGGCCGGAATATCAGTTCGTTCTAAGTAAAATGCGGTCCAAGGCGCTTCGTCCCATCTAGGCCTCGACAACTCTCCTTTCAGACTGACCGCGGCACTCCGCCCTCACGTCTTGGGACGTTTCTTGCTCCTCCCACCGACAACATGATCCCCACAACCGATCCCAACCTCCCATTACCCCCTGTCATCTCAACCATGACGCCCAAGTCGCTTGAGACGCGGCGGGCCCGTCCTCCCAGCCGAGTCAGAACCGATATGGACTTCCAGACTCAGCTCGTCGTCATCCCGTCCTCGGCCATCAGCACTTCATCCATCTCGCCCAGCTCGCAGCATGGCTCACCCACCCAGTCGTTCGGCACTGTTGGGACTGGCATGACGACGGGCAGCTCACTCCAAGAGTCCCCGGAGCCAGTAGAGGACTGCCACGAGGGCCATCTTGACGACATTGACGCGCTTGGTACTCCTTTCCACCTCCCAGAGCCCATCAGCGTGAAGCCGCGGCCCGAACAGACGGTTAGCCGGCTGTCTAGGAAGGCCAGTACCGCCTCGCTCAGCCAAAGTTCCGCTGTCAGGGCCTCCGGCACGACGGCCATGGGCGAAGCCGTCAAGATGAGCATTGTCCGCCGCGCCTCGAATACGGTTCGCAACGCTGCCGCCTTTATCAATAGGCGGCCCTCATCGACGCACCCGAGAAGCCGGGATGGAAGCGTTGGCCCTGGCGTCATTCGCCGGAGAGGAAGCATGAGCAACCCTGTAACGCCATACGAGAGCATCAGCCCCTTTGATAGCGACTCAGATATCGAGGCCGCTGTCGCACCCGACGATCGGATTGGTGACGACGCATCTCTGCTCGAGACTAGTTCACTGAACTCGACTTCCGCCGACGGCTTCGGATCAATTCCCTTGGCCCTTCGCCAAGGCGTGACCTTGACCAAAGTTTCCAAGAAGAAAAGCACCAAGACCATCACGCTGTACCTCGATCCCGACACAGCCAAGATCTGGTGGGACAGGAACAAATATCTCTACATAGACGACATCAAGGAGATACGCTCAGCCGAGGACATCCGGCAATATCGGCTCGATGCGGGGCTGCCTGAAAGCGTAGAGTCGCGCTTTTTCTCGCTCATCTACACACTTCCCGGCAAGACCAACACCAAGCTGCTGCACCTCATCGCCGAGAGTGACGAGTCGTTCCGGCAGTGGATTGACGCGCTGGAGACCATCTTCAAGCATCGCCAAGACTTCGCTCTGAGCCTGATGTCGTTCAACGACAAGGCCGTCCGCGCATATTGGGGGATGGAGATGGAGAGGCAGCTAGGAAAAGTGCGCTCGGCCGAAGCAGAGCAGATTGACTTTGCCGGCGTTGAACGCGTATGCCGCAGCCTACACATACATGTGTCGAGCGAGGAGCTGCGCAGGAGGTTCGACATGGCCAAAGGGAGACGAGTCAGCGCAGGCGATCCGCCGTCCGGCCCCAGCAGCAGCGCCCGTCTCAACTTCGACGAGTTTCTCGAATTTGTGCGGCTCATGAAGACACGTGGCGACATCCGGGGCATCTACCAGACGCATGCAAATGACATCGAGGGTGGAATGACCAAGGACGAGTTCCTTCAGTTCCTGCGCGACATGCAGCGCGAAAATGTCGACGAGGACTTGGGCTCCTGGGAGGCTGTCTTCGCGCGGTTTGCGCGCAAGGGCAAGCTCAGGGATGCTGAAAAGCAGGGAGACGTTGGCGACGAGGGCTTGACCATGTCGGAAACGGCTTTTGCCAGCTTTCTTACATCCACCTCGAACGACGTCATTCCCAAGGAGCCCCAGAATTACGTGCTGGACCGACCGATGAACGAGTATTACATTTCGAGCTCGCACAACACGTACCTGATCGGCCGCCAGGTCGCTAGCGTGTCGAGCCACGAGGGCTACATCTCGGCTCTGCTGCGCGGCTGCCGCTGTGTCGAAATTGACTGCTGGGAGGGCGAGAACAATCAGCCGGTGGTGACGCACGGCCACACACTCACCACAAGCATCTCGTTCCTCGAGGTGGTCAAGACCATCAACAAGTACGCTTTCGTCAAGTCGCACTTCCCCCTCTGGATCTCGCTCGAGGTGCGCTGTCCCCCTGCGGTGCAGATCAACATGGCCAAGATCATGATTGAGGTCTTTGGCGACAAGCTTGTGCGAGCCCCGCTTGACCCAGCCTCGGACCGGCTGCCATCGCCGTCTGAACTGATGGACCGCATCCTCATCAAGGTCAAGAAGTCGGATGAGTCTCTCCGGCACATTGACCGGCCCGGACGGAAGCGCGGCAACAGCATGCCATCGCCGTACATGCGAGCGCTCGCGATGGAGAATGTCCCCGTGCCGGCAAGTCCGCTCTTGAGCCCGTCGCCGGCATCAAGGTCCAATCGGCACATCAACACCATCACCGAGGGCATGGTCCACGAGCCCGTCAGCAGTAGCCCTAGTGAGTGCGACAGCGAAGGTGAAATGGGCCCGGCGAAGAAGGTCAACAGCAAGATCCATCCCGTCTTAGGGGAGCTCGGCGTGTACTGCATGGGTATCCACTTTGACGGTTTTGACACTCCCGATGCCAAAAAGTTCAACCACATCTTCTCGTTCAAAGAGAAGACGTTCGCCGAAAAGAACCAGCCGGGCGCGAGCAAGAGAGCCTTATATCGCCACAACATGCGCTACCTGATGCGGGTGTACCCCAACGGCTCCCGCATTTCATCCAGCAATTTCGATCCTCTCGTCTACTGGAAGCGCGGAGTGCAGATGGCGGCTCTCAACTGGCAGACATTTGACACGGGCATGCAACTGAACCAAGCCATGTTTGACGGGGGCACGGCTCACTCGGGTTACGTGCTCAAGCCGCTTGAGGGACGGCAGATTCAAGTGATGCCCAATTTGTCCCCCGACGAGTATGCGGGCAAGCGTCCGCGAAAGAAGGTCACCTTTGAGATTGAGGTCATCTCTGCCCAGCAGCTGATGCGGCCTTGGAACTTTGGCGAGAAGCGCTCGCTGGATCCTTACGTCGAGGTTGAGGTGCTGATGGCAGACGACAAGCGAAACAAGGCAGACGCGGCCGCATACGCTGCGGCTCAGCAGATGCAGCTCAAGCAGCGCACCAAGATAGTCCGCGACAACGGCTTCAATCCCGAGTTCAATCAAACGTGTTTGTTCGACGTCACCACCAAGTACCCGGACCTGATCTTCGTGCGGTTCAGTGTCAAGCTTGCCGATAAGGGCTACAACGACAAGGCACCCTTTGCCACCTTTACCGCCAAGCTCAGCAATCTCAAGCAGGGCTACCGCACGATCCCGCTGCTCAATGGCAAGGGCGAGCGCTTTCTGTTCTCCACCCTCTTCTGCAAGATCAAGAAAGGGCCCATCACCGACATCATGGTGTCCTACCAGGAGGATGTCCCCAAGAACGGCAACAAACTCAAGAACATTGGCAGGAACGTCTTTACCAACACGAGCCCTAAATCTAGCATGGACAGCGGCCGGACGTGATCGTCCCTCTTGAGACCCGTCGTTCTTGCCCTGGCTTTGGCAATCTCCAGACAGCTACCAGCTGAAGAGTTTGCGAAATTGTACCAAAAGATCAAGTGCTACAAGCATCTGTTTCACTTTTTCTCTTCCTTCTTTTTTCCTATGTCGTGTTTTCCTCCGTTGGTCTGTCACAATCGGAGGCGTTGTTTTTCTTTTTTATGCGGAAACAGGGGGCGCATCTATGCATCCACGAGAGGGGTGGCGAGGAAAGGGATTTGAGGCATTTGCATGCGCCGTCGACACGTCCTGGCGACCCGAACGGACTCTTCTGATACCACCACATGATACCAGCATTGCGAGGCATTTTTGCTCATTTTAACGAACTGGCGCGAGGGCTTATAGACGGGAAAGAAGCAAGAAAAATGGAGGGTTATCATTGCTTTGCTGTTTTATCTGTTTGGTCTTGTCGTCTCATTTTTGAGACAAAGTCCCTTTTCCCCCTATTGCTTATGAAAGGGAAGTCTTCTTACTGTTGTGTGTTGTCTAGATGGTGCGGTGTGGTCCATCATCTGGTTGCGCTGGTTGGGTGTTAGCAGGGCTCATTTTCACATGACAAAATAGGGACGGATAGGAAGCATAAACATGGGAACAAGCATCTGGATCGGGACAGCATAGTGTATACCTCACCCTCTGGGAGCACGGTGGTGGACGGGCGGGATCTGGGCATGTGCATTATTTGGTAGTTCGTTCAGGTTTTGGGATTTGATGGCGCCATGCATCCATTTGTTTGGGCAGGGCAGGTACGCTGCCGGATATAGCACTCTTCGCTTCTCTCCGCTGCTAGTCAGCGGCCTGGGTTGCATGAACGATTTTTGTCTTTTCTTCCCCCTTGTTGCCTTGTTGGCTTTGGCGGTTCATGCATCGCTTTTGCGTTCTGGGCGGGCGGCACAAACCCAAAGTCGGCGTCTCTGTCATGGCAACCCTCTCTGTCTCGTTTGATGATGATGGTCCATCAGCCTCATCCTCTTCAAGCTCTCGGAGGCATTCATGGAGATTGCATTCGCAGGTCTGCGGGGCCCAGGAACTAGGTCCTGAAGAGGAAGGGACCAGTTCATCGCAGCATATCATATGATACCAACATGCTTGGCTTGGCTGGCACCACTGTGTAGAATTATATTGTTCTCGGTTCGGTGGTGGTGGGACGACTCGGGATTTGTGTGACCGGCCTTCTTGAGATTGCATTCATCCTCGCTTACATCCTATGGCCACACTTTGAGTGGCCTGGGATCAGTACACTGATTCTTAGCGGCTCACGCTGCGAATTGAGAGTGCCTGTCTGAACCCGGGAAGCCAGTTTTCTTGGCTGAGCTTATCCATCAACTTGGAGGTTCTCAATATCGTATCTGCTCCCATTGAACCGCCGATATCCCCTCCGCAACCAATATAGCAAAGAATACAGGAGTGAATGTCTCACCACCATCTTCAGCAAAACATCGCGTAACCTCCTGCTGCTATCACCACCCACCGAGTCAGGGAGCAACAGGGCGGGAGGAGAGAATGGGGTGGACAGATGATGATAAGGGACTCGATAAAGACGAGGGCGATAGTTGACGACCTTTATGACACCGCACCAAGGGGGTTAGACAAAACAAGCAGCCTCGGTACAGTATGTTACCCGACGTGGCACATGGTTTAGAGATTTCGGGCGATGCTGAGATGACTCGGAGAGATGCTCGCTGCACTAGGCAACGCACAACTGCTCATGCCGAATATATCCAACTGACTCATCTATTCAGCATCCGATTATTCCTACAAATATGCAAAACACATACACCGCCAGATTGCTTCTAGGAACTCTTGCCAAAGAGAAAGCCACAAAAATCCAAGACGCTAAATAGACTATTACAACATCCTATATCTAGTCAACCCCATCATTATCACTACCATTATCACTCCCAAAGGAGCCACTACCCGCACCGCTCCCAACGCCAGTCGACCCAGACCCAGCGCCAGGGGAAACAGCCCCCCTCAACAATCCACGCACTCCGCCTGGATGATTCCCCCTCCCCCAGCGCCCGTTGGTAACCACATCCAGCGGTCTCCTTTCCACCTCAGCCCGCTGCTGTGGCAGCTCTTGCCGCTGCTTACCCCCCGTCTCATCCGCCCCATCCTCCTCCTCCTCCTCCTCCTCTTCGTCGTAATCGTCGCGGTCAATGGCGTCCAGTTCGTCCTCGATCGTCCGCCCCGACGGGCTGAGCCTCCTCAGAGAGACCGCGTCGGAGGCGTCGTCACCGTAGAGATTCGGATCGCGGCCCAGAATGCGGTCTGCTTTGCTTGGTGTTCTGCGGCCTGGGAGGTTCGGTGACGGAAGGGGTGAAAGGGTATTCGTCTTGTTATTGGTGGTGAGGTATGTGCTTGGAGTGTATCGCCCAATGTATTGCGGCTGTCGTGACTGTTGTTGTTGTTGTTGTTGTTGTTGTGGAGGGTAGAGGTAATGCCTCCCGGCTCCTCCCTGCGCACCATGACCCGCAACCTCCTCCACGCCATCCTCCTCCTCCTCCTCCTGCCCACCCCACCCCGCCGCCCTCTCCCGCTCTGCCTGCTGCCACCGCTCCTTCGCCAGCCGCTCCCTCGCATCCAGCCACTTGGGATTCGGTTCCCAGCTCCATCCATCGCCCGTGGTATTGCACACGGGCACGGCCCACAGCCACGGGTTGGGACCAAACAGATGCAGCAGATTCCGCCTGGGTCCCAAGTCGAACGCATTAGGCAGCTTGGTCGAGTCTTGCTCGTCGAGGTACTCCTCGTAGCGCTTGCGGGCGCGGTAGCGTTCCATCTCGTCATACGTAAAACGGCGCGAGCCGGCCTGCAGCTGCGGACCGACAGCGGGGTCGTGGTGCGGCAAGTGCGGCAGCGGCTCCGGGCGTAGTTCCTCGCCTTCCTCCGGGCGCGTGACGCCTGGGATGGCGTTCTGCGCCATGTCGAGCAGCTGCTGGCCGTAGCGAGGCAGCGGCACGCCCTGGCCCGGCGTGTGCTGGTTGATGTAGGTCTGGTGCATGCTGCGGCGGAGCGGCGAGAGGTAGCGTGTCTTTTCGAGGCACTCGATGGTCGTCTGCCCTCGCGCGGCCAGGTAGATGTGCCAGCCGCAAAAGGCGCCGATGACCAGGCCGATAATCCCGGAGATGACGCACAGCATAATGTAATTTACGGGCATGAGGTCCTCTACGTAGGTGCTGTTGGCGACGAAGAGCTCCTCCCAGACCCAGGAGCCCGACGCGGCGAAGCAGTACAGGCAGAAGAGGGTGGTGTAGATGAGGAAGAGCAGAAAGGCCTTGTGGTTGCGCAGGCCTACGCAAGTGGCCAGCCAGGGGCAGTGGTGGTCCATCTTGAGCACGCAGCGGCGGCACGTGGAGCAGTGGTGGGCGCGGTCGGGCTTGCGGGCCTGGCACTTCTTGCAGAAGCGCATCTCACCGTTGGACTTGACGGTGAAGGATGTGGCCGTCGGCGCGGCGTGGGTCGGGAGCGTGCTGTAGCCATTATCGTTGGTCGTACTGCCGGGAGGGGTGAAGACGGCCGTGGTGTAACACCAGTTGAGCAGGAGATAGAAGGTGATGCCGGCCGCGGCAGCAGGCTTGCCTATCAAGGGATAACGTTAGCCGAGTGGAAAGAAAACAAGGAGTAGGCGTACGATCCATACCATGCCACGGCACCTTCGAGGGGCTGGAGCAGAGCGTCGCCAGCACAAAGACGGCCCAGGTGGTCAGGCCGTAGACGAAGGCGAGGGGGAAGTACTTGGCGCAGGCCCAGCACGAGCGCTCGAGCTTTCGGGCCCAGCGGCGGGCGGACGGCATGTTGGAAGGGCCGGAGGGATCGGAGGAGAAATCGGAAGAAGCAGCATCCATCTGTCGGCTGCAGGCAGCACTCCGTGTTTGGATAGTGGCTGGTTATCGATCCATCGTCGGGGGAGTCGAATACAGGGTGTTGGAGTGTTGGGTTCAGGAAGCGGACGAGGTTTCAACAGAAATACCGACCAGTCGGGTCTCGACAGGGATGCTGCGCCTCGCCCGCAGTCAGCCTCAACTTTGGCCAATGGCAGCAGCACGGTAGAAATTGTCCCTGCTTCCGCGACCCACTCGCCGATCCCTTTGCACACGAAACCCCTGAAAGCGCGTGTCACATTCGCCAAGGACACAGACAAGGCCGAGCACAAGTTCCAGAGGAAGGAAGGTATTCTACACTATGGTTTTCTAGCGACGGTTTCGCTTCAGGAAGATAGCCATTCCTTTCACCGACCTCAGGACGCGAAGGCTCTGTTTGCTCTACCAGTCATACTCCCCCGGGTCCGGTCAGTCTCACCGTCCTCCCGGCCCCAGCCCTGGCCCTGCTCCTCCCTGACTCCCTCTTGCGCTGCTCCATGGCCCACCTGCCCTGCTCCGTGCCGAACCACTCGCGAGACTGGTTGGGCTCTTCGTACTTCTCAATGCCGTCGTCGTTCTTCTCGGTCGTGTCCACAAGGCCCGCCGTCAGCTGGTCGAGGAACTGGCGGTAGCCGTTGGTCTCGCTTAGGTTGCAGCGCACGCCCTACGACTTGGCGTGAGCCGTGCTGGCCGCCGTGCTGTCGAACCACTTGCAGCAGCGTGGGCACTTCACCCTGACCAGCCCGGCATGCTGCGCCGAGAGAAGGTGGGCGCGGATGCCTGCTACGCTCGGGAACGACTTGCTGTCGCGCTGTCAGTATGTGTATGTGCATGCTAGGGGGGAAGGAAAGCGGAATACTCACGGGTAGCGGTTGTGACGGCACTTGTACTTCTTGATATACGCGACAAAGTACTCTGCCGGATCCCATCGCGGGTTTTGAGGGTTGTGTGGCGGCCACGCAGTGTCTTTCGTCTGGGCCGGCCGCTGGAGGGCCTCTTGCGTCTCGCGGCTGGGGCGCAGTGCGGGAGGGGCATCTGGGAAGAGGTTTATGTTCTGACTCCAGGGAGAAGCAGCCGCCTTTCCTCTGCTGTCATTAGGCCCGCCGATAGAAAGCTCGGCTAGCCTGCTTCCGAGCTCCAGGAACTCGTTCTCTTTTAATGGCAAAAGTGACCGGATTCGGGCGCACAGTGTTCTCGGCTTTCGGGCGGAGAGATGAGAGGCTGCGAGTACCGCTCGCTACATTCCTGACGTGGGAGAGAAACGGCGTGAAGTTCTACGGCCCTTGTCGGGTGGGCGCCGTTTCTGCCAGGCTGAGGGTGGCGACTGAGCTGTCGTCGGGTAGGTTCGGATGGAGACGCTGCAACTCCCTCGCAAACGCGAGCTTCTCCTCGCGACGGGCGACATAGTCGTCGTTCTTGATCCGCTTGCAGCGGTTTGCTCTTGATGTGGGCGGTCAAGCCCTGGGCGGTGACAGACCGCTCATTGCATCCTGGACAGTCAAGGTTCTGCTTGGCTGCGTGGATCTTGAGTAAAGGTCAGTCTCCGTTGCTGACCCAAAAGTCAATGGGCAGGCCTACCTCTTTGTGATGACGATGTTCGGCCTCTGGAGTGCGGAAGGGCTCCATGCAGAGGGAGCAGTGGTAGTGGCGCTTGCCTTCATTTCGCTGTTTCTGCCAATGCGCCGCGAGGGCATCCCTACTGCCCATCTCAAGCTTGCATTCTCTGCAGGTAAGGGCTACCATCTTTATCAGTAGCGTGTGTCAGAATCCAACTGGGAGTGCTGAACGGTTGGTAGAGGTGATGAGGTGGTAGGCAGGACCTCGACTCCTCGAATTTGCGGGATGCTCGGAAAGGAAGAGGAATTGGAATCGTTTTGACTTCCGATTACCATTTTGCAGTCACATTAGATTTGAAGATTCAAACCAACTTCAATTCATAATCCAAGTTTATGTCTTGGCGAGTACCTAGCTCAGTTACCTGGTATCTTATAAGGCAGGAGAGAGCGGCCTCGGTCACGTTGTGAACCCATCAAGGTAGGTACAGATACGGTAGCTGTCGGCAAGAGCCGGTCCCATGACCTGGACAGCTTGAGGTTAACTTTGATTACCATGCACCACTGAAGGGACGGCGTGAGAACGAAACTAATAAGGTGCCTTAGAGACAAGACGCAAAGATTGTGACGGGCACCACCCAACGTCTGGTCAGCTCGCACATACAAGATCGATATTGCTACAACGAGATCAAGAGCTAGATGACAGGAATGGGCGTGCAACCAGACCTTAAGTACTGGAGCAGAGGCCTATGCGTAAGCATGACCATAGACGTATGATCAGACCCCATGACATATGCATGACCGCAAGCATATGACATAACCATGAGAACAGGAACGGGGAATCCCGTGACAAAGATCGTGTTATGAAGGATACCAGTATAAGGTGGGAAGTTATAAAGATTCTCCTGGTATTCCGATCAAATAAACCATGCCTGATTGACAGGATATAATATACGCTTACCAATACTGCGAGTTCGTCGGTCATGATGATCTTCTATATGCCGTATGCGACTTGAACTTTGGTTATTGCCTTACTCCTGAGATTCTGAAATGAAGGCTAAACATGGCTGAGTCAGGAGAGTTTTTAAATCCGAAGAATGCGGCTATCTAGTTCATTCTCTCCCCCGACTTCCACGGTCAGCAAGAACGGAGAACGTTGAGGGCCCTAGTAGTGCGTAAGGTTGCTACAGGGAAGCTATGCCAAGTTAAGCAGTATAAGATACCTACCACCTACTTAGTAAGTGGATAACGACAGTATATAGAAGCTAGTATTAGACTGCGCTGTGTAGTAGTAACTTGTCTAGGCCGCTCACCTTTGAAGTTGGGAACCTTGATGGCTCCTGTGGTGGATCCCTGAGCTGCTGCCGCTCTTCGACGCCAGACTCCACTTCGCCTCCACGTCGGACCCGCCCGGAACAAGTACTGTAAGTTACAATTTCTTGAAAGAGCCCTTCATCTATTCATCCGTGCTCTAGAGCGCAGCTCACCAAGTAGGGATGGATTTGTTGGCTCGCAAATCTCACAGACTCCCATGACTATATTAGAGAATGAAACGGATATTTGTCATTGATTGGTCAGTACTGTTGTGGCACGGGCGATATCCTGATGCGATATGGGAAGTTGCTGAAGTGGCATCAGCAGCATCGGATCTTGTTGCAACTTGTCCGTATGCTCCAACCAATAAGGTACCTTTCAATCCGTCATCACGCCGCGCTCCCAAACCATCCTAGTTCTCAACAGCTTAGCATGGCAACTAACGACTTCGTCTAGCTTCTTAAAAATAGCTCCCAGTTTACAATATACTCTCAGCGCCCAACAGAGCTACCTTACCAACGTCGTCGCAAAAGTTACCACCCTCGCCGCAATGGCAGCAGCCAGCCCTCCCAAATTCAACTCCAAATCCCCCACCCTCCGCCGCATCCGTAAGCCTTCGTCTCCCTCCTGTTCCAAACCACATCACCACATCACCCCCAGCCAAACAAGTCTGACCGACCATTCTCCCTGTCTTTAGTCCGCGAAGCCCACGAACTAACCACCTCCCCCTCCCCGGATTATCATGCGGTCCCGCTCGAAACAGACCTCTTCGAATGGCACTTCACCCTGCGCGGCCCGCCCAAATCCGCCTTCGAGTCGGGCATCTACCACGGCCGCATCGTTCTGCCGCCCAGCTACCCGCTTCGTCCGCCATCCTTCCGCTTCACGACGCCCTCGGGCCGCTTCGAGACCAACCGCGAGATCTGCCTCAGCATCTCCGGCCACCACGAGGAGACCTGGCAGCCCGCCTGGGGCATCCGCACGGCGCTGGTGGCGTTGCGGACCTTCATGGAGACGGACGTCAAGGGTCAACTGGGCGGGCTGGAGGCGCCAGAAGAGGTGAGGCGGAGGTTGGCTGGGGAGAGTCGGGGGTGGAGGTGTGGGGTCTGTTGTGGCGGGAAGACCAACGCCGAGATTCTGAGGGAGTGTGAGGAACGGGCAAGGGAAATGGGTGGTGAAGGCGCGGCCGGAGAGGAGGTCAAGGTGCCCGAGGAGTTGAAGATGGGGTGGAGGGATGAGATGGAAGGGAAAAAGAAGGAGGAGGAGGCAGCAGATGGGGAGAGTGATCGGTTGGCGGAGGGGTTTGTGCAGACTGCGCCGTTGGCAGCATCGTCGTCAAGTGGGACAGGCCAGCAGACGGCGGGAGGGAGCATAGTGCCGCCACTCCCGCCGAGCCAGCTTCCGGTAACAGCTGGTCCCGCGCTGCAGCACGCCCAGCGGAGGGCAGACGAGGTGTCGGTGTGGCTAGACAGGTTGATTGTTGCCGTGGCTGTCTTGCTAGCCGCCGTAGTTGCCAAAGTCATGCTGGCATGAGTGTTCTCCCCGGGTGGTATATTCAACCAAGGCAGGTTTCGTTCGGGCATAGCGGTACTATTTGGACGGAGTTGAGGCGTTGCATAGACCATTGGATGCCTACCGGAGCTACTTGTAACATTCCGCTATCAAGTAACCTCACAGCAACACCTGTTGGCATAGATGGTACATTGTATTATACAAGTACATGAGCATCGGCCTACAAGGCAATACAGAATTCGAGAGCAGACCCAGAGAGCTCAATAAAGGGATATTTCCAAGCCGCTCGACGACATAACCGGCGCGACTCCAAGCATGACTTTTAGAGAACACGTACTTGGACTCTATACGCATCAGCTGACTCGGTGGCAGATACCCCAGGTAAATAACCGACCAGCACTGGAACGTGAGCGAGCTTGATGCTCATGGACACAATCACAACAACAACACCACAATTTGCCAGAAGACAATGTGGTAGCGACGAAATCGACTGTGAAACCCTCTAACTTCCCCAACGCTACTCAACCCCCGATCGCCCAGCCCTACCAGCTCATGTCCCTTCCTCCCCGCGGGGCACCGGATACGCCCTAATCTCCCTAATCACCTCCCTAGTCCTGACATTATCCTCAAAGCTAGCCCTGACCAGATCCACCACCTCCTCGGCCGTAAAGTACAGACTCAGCTCCCCCTCGAGCCACAAGAACCTCACATCCCTCAAGTTACTCTGCAGGACCTCACTAAGGTACTTCAACCGTAACCAGTTCCCCGCGAACTGCGCCGTCAGGGGGACCTCGCCCTCTTCACTTCCTTCCCGCTGCTGCTGCTGCTGCTGCGGAAACAACCTGCTCGGTAGGAACAACTCGTCCAGCTGCTCTTCGACCGACGCGATCAGTTCGGCAATGTGGTACGCCTCGTCCTGGCCAATGGACGGCAGGTCCATGACGTCGCTGATCATCTTGGCCGCAACGGCGTCGACGAGGGAACCGACGGCCTGTTGCCAGACAGAGCGGGCAAGGATACTCTCCCAGGCGGTGGCGAGCGAGCGCACGTGAGATGTGGCCGCCGAGACGGATGACGTCGTGTCAGACTGGTGTATGAGGTTTTGTGAACCTGCATGAAGTATGGTTAGGAAGGGTGTGTTTAAGGGGTTACATTGGGGGCGGGGGAGCTTACCACCGAGGAGGTCACGCAGGACGGTCTTTTGGATGGCTAGCTCGTTGGTGTAGGCGCGGTTGGCGAAGCTTTGGAGGCATTTGATGTCGTTGTCAAGGCGGAGCATGGCTTGGGCTCGCGTACTGATGTCGTCGCGGGTTTTCCAAGCAGCGGAGAAGTCTGCTAGCCGCTCGGCGAGGTAGCAAGAGTCGTTGTAGAGGTACCTGGCTGCTTAGTGTGGGTTTAGCGTGTGGATGGGACTCGACATACATGTTGCCGCCGATTCCGGGAGAGTAGTAATGGGGTGAAACGGCCCTAAACATGGCCAAGGCAAGCGTGGGAAGACTGAACAATCCCGCTGCCTGGGCTGCGACTGGGCTGTTCGCGTAGGCGTCCCGAGTTAACGCCGCGCCATCCTCGACGACGGCGAAGATCAATTCCAGAATTGGCTCCGGCAAAGTAGATATGCTGTATGACTCTTTCAGAACCAGCTCCCTAGTTTCTGGCTCGGATCGTGTCGCCGTGTGGTGCCTTCCAGGGGCTTCAATTTCACCAGTGTTGCCGTCTTCACCCCAGCCCCATGCTTCCGTTGGGTCATCTTCATCCTCAGGTTTGCTCTTTTGAGGCTGCTCCTTCGGCTCGTCCTTGTGCTCCTCCGCAGTGGCTTCCTCCTCACCCCAGCCCCACGCATCGGTGCCGTCATCGTCGTCCTGTGATGCTTGTTCTGCGGCACCATTCGTTGCCTCTTCAGGGCCCGTCTGCTCCCCATCATCCCACGCGTCCCAGCCACCATCGTCGGCAGAAGTCATGGCACCGGTGGCAACCAGCTGTTTGCCCTCCGACTTTGAGACCATCTGCTTTTCGACCTTCTCTACCCGCTTTGGTGCGCCAAGGCCTTGTGAGAGCTTGGTCCGTACGGAATCCAGCGCTGCTTCCCTACATTTCGAAAGCCAGATTTTCGGAGCGTTCACCGTCCATTCTTGGAAACTGCCAAGATTAGTGAAGCCAAGGTCCTTTAACCTGGCGCAGAAGTATCTGGCAGCCTTGACGACATCTTGAAACTCGTCCATATCTTGAAGTGACGATGGGACGGCTGAATCAAGCCAGACACTTGTGACAATATGTATCGTCTGGGGTAGAAGGGTGGTGGAAATGGTTTCGACGAGATCCGGAGGCAGCCGTTGAACCAAGAAAGCAAAGGTCTGCTCGAGATCTCTAAATAGAACGTGGACTGACTTGTCTGCCGAACCCCGAAGTTCTAGAGTGCTCTGGCCCCAGAGTTAAAAATGGTCGCTTAGGCAAAGATGGTGTACTCACATCTTCAATGTGAATCCCTGGTATAATCTCCTTGGTGATGTCAATCCTGGGGAGAATGATGGCTTGGTTGATGTCTTGCCAGAGTTGGGTTGTCCGCTGGTCGACCTCTTTGAATGCCTTCAAGCCCACCACTGCATCCCTGAGGCTCATAGGCTCGTCTAAAAACGTCAGAGAGTGTCTACAAGCAATTAGGGTCGTCATACCCACCTTTCTGATCGCTACTTATGGATAACCTCTGGTTATCAATGTCGATTTTGATGAGCGAATTCCACACATGGTCAAAGACATCATGCACATCCGACTTGAGCTCGAATGCCCTTATGTCGAGTAGCTTGATAGCACGACAGGATCGGTTCACTCCAATGGCATCGATTTGCTTCCATGATTCTGAGACGTTAGCAGCACCAGTCAGGGCCATGGGCGCATTTGCTCACTTTCAAGCAGATGGAGGGCATCTAAGATGCGGCGTTCATCGCGGGCCTGCTCAACTTCGTCCAGTGTACGGTTCACTTTCCTAATACCCTTGAGCGCCTCCTGGACTTGGGCGTTGTAGTTCAGCTCGCGGATGAGAAAGTCGGCCTTGGCTTCGATCTCTCCTATTGTGCGCCCTGGCACGGCAGGAGCCTCGGACGCCTTTACAATCTCAGCCGCAAGTGCTTTGGAGCGGAGAATGTCGTCCTGGACTGACTGCGCATTCGCTTGCCATGTTCGCACGTCGTCGGCCGTCTCCTCGTTGATCGCGTGTATCTCGGCCTGTGCAGGACATGGATCAGCTGAGGCCGAACCCCGATGGACATGGGCTTATACATGAAGCTTCGCCTTGGCGTCCGCGAGTGCCTTGATTGCTGTCGGTAGGGATTCGGCGTCGAGTGGGAGTGACGAAACATTCTCTTCCGGGAACGAGCCCTGGATTGTGAAATCAACAAGCGCTTGCGCCATCTGCGCCGTTGGTAAATCTGTACTGGACATGGCGAGTGTGGTGGGCGACTCGTTCGCGATTGGGCTCAAATACGGTGAATTGCAAGCAATGCGCCGAGTCGAGGCCACTTGGCGCTCCTCAAGTTTGTTGTTCGTGTTCGAACTGCTGTTGCTCGGCTGTTGCCAGATAGTGCTGCCCAAAAATCCTGCAACTGATAGCGGCGTTCAAAAGATTGCCGTGGGTAAGATGACCGTTTGGTACGCGATTGCACGAGGATCACTCGGTCAGTTTGTCCGCTCTCCAGGCTGTTACGGTACGAAGCTGTCTCCAATTGGATGTTCATGGTGATATCAAAGCTCCTCGCCTGGCTTCACATGGCCTTGAACCCTGTCCTGACTCCCGATTCCCGAACTGCTTTAGAGACCCACAGCAAGTCAGCTGCTCGCAGCTGGCGAAGTGCCCCACTGTTTGCGAACTTTTGCCCTGCCCACAAAATCGAAGCCCCAATTTCTTCCTGTTTCCGCTCAACGTCAACAACGAGAACCAGCACGGCATCACCAGTCACAATGGCCGCCTCCAAGAACGAGACTCCCCGCAGCGGGCTGGCTACCGTATGTCTTCACCGATTCCCTCGCCAAGCGCCTGAAACTACGCGATGATTGCGGGCTGGCAATTGCGCTGCCCGGAGCGTTGCATGGTTCGATAATCGGAAAAATGCTAACTCGTGTCTTCGCAGGGTCTCAACAAGGGCCACGTAAGATAAGCCTTTTTGTCTCACCTCGTGGAGGATCTCCGCACTTGCTTCATCCTCTCGGGGATATATCGAAGCATATCCGCGGATGATGGACTCTGGCTGACTTACGTCTGCTCTTTTCCCAATACAGAAAACCACTGCCCGTGTTAGCAAGCCGCGCGTGAGCCGCACCAAGGGCCACCTCAGCAAGCGCACCGCTTTCGTCCGCGAACTTGTCAAGGAGGTTGCCGGGTACGTTTTCCCCTACTTACAGCTGCCCGTTGGGTGGATCGGACGGGCTCTGACAGATACTACCAGCCTTGCTCCCTATGAGCGCCGCATCATCGAACTGCTCCGCAACAGCAAGGACAAGCGCGCGCGCAAGCTCGCCAAGAAGAAGGTGAGAAGGACCGATTGTGCTTTTCTGAAGGTCTGTCTAACAAAATCGCAGCTGGGCACCTTTGGCCGTGCCAAGGCCAAGGTCGAGGACATGAACCGTGTCATCGCCGAGTCTCGCCGTGCCCACTAAGCGCCCTTTCGCTTCTTGGTGACTGCATAAGGTAGACGTCGAGGGCCCTGATGACGGATTCTGAGGAGGATGAACAGTACCGAAGCGCACTGCTCTCCCGAGTATAGTCTCCAGCTTTGGCCCGTGAAGGGCCAGCTATTCTAGCCAGAATCGACCTCGCGTTGCCTTGTGATGAATTCATGGTCTGTTACCCATGTTTGACCCATACAACGTGTGCCCTCGTCCGTTATGAAGCCAAGATGAATCAGGGTGAGAACCCCGTCGCGATCCGGAATCTGTCCCGTTGATGAACTGTAGGGTCCCTGCTGGTGTGGCCGCTTGCTTGGCGCGTATGGAGTTTGCCCCACCATTTGAAGGTATCACAATGTCTCGTGCTCTATAAACGGTCCGAGAAGTCAAAAAGGGAGCAGTTTGTTGTGGCAGAAGTGACCCGTTAGTTTGCGTTTAACTGCCAGTACTACAATCTTGCCCGAAGATCTGTAGCAAATTTGAGCCGAGGACATTCATCAATCTCATCACCACGTTCCATCGTCCCTCTCAAATCCACAGCCCCGCAACATCGCCGAACCCAACACGTCCTCTGTCCGCCTCCCAGACAAATCAGCTGGGAGCAATCAATCAGTTATACCGCCATTGTTGGGTGTCAGCCCTGTAGCCAAGCAGCTACACGGTAGGCGACTGTTTGCTGGCAGCCTGCATTTGCCAATCCGGTGAGTATGTCAGCATCACCGTCTGCAGTTAGCTCGACGTGCCCCGCCCCTTCCACTCCGACCATCACCACGTCAATTCGGTGGGACAAGGAGCTTGCGCTTGGAGCACAACTCAGGTTCCAGCTTTGCTGTCTCAGCGTTCAAGTCGTGGAAGTCACAACCGCCCCTTTGACTGTCTGGCGTATTTTCATATCCTCCCTTCTACCTTGCCTTTTCCCAATGAACATCGCACCTTGCACCTCCCTAGCTCCCAGGGCAAGATGCCTTCCTCCAGCCGGGCATCACGGATGATGCTGCTGTTCTGCGTCACTGCAGCACTCGTAGCTGTTGCCGCAGCACAGCGCACTTGGCAACAGACGTGGGAGTGTAGGTATGCCGCCTACATATAAGAGAGACCTACTCTCACTCTTGTCTCGTATTGTCCGTCACAGGCAGATAGACCCCTTCACTGTTGAGCATCTCGCTAACCCCCAACAACCAACGCTAACAATACTCCAGTCACTTCCACCTCCTCTTGCAAACGGAGATCAGCCACAACATGACCGCCCACCAGAAACCGCGGTTCCGCAAGGTCCAGAGCTTCCGCACCGACTATGCCCCAACCACCATCACCCAGTACGAGTCGGAGAGAAGCGGCATGCAGGTCATCGTGGCCGACCGCAAGGGTCCCAAGGTCTACGGTTACTTCACCCTAGCCACCGAGATCTTCGACGACTCCGGTGCTCCTCACACCCTGGAGCATCTGGTTTTCATGGGTTCCAAAAGCTACCGGTACAAGGGGCTTCTCGACAAGCTGGCCGGCCGGGCGTATTCAAACACCAACGCGTGGACTGCCGTCGATCACACTGCCTACACGCTGGAGACCGCCGGCTGGGATGGCTTCGCCCAGATCCTGCCCGTCTATCTCGAGCACGTTGTCCTCCCCATCCTCACTGACGATGCCTGTCTGACCGAGGTCCACCACATCGACGGCGAGGGCAACGATGCCGGCGTCGTCTACTCTGAGATGCAGGCCCTTCAGTATAGCAGCAATGAGCTCATGGACCTCCGCGCTCGCCGACTGCTCTATCCGGAGAACGTTGGCTTCCGATATGAGACTGGTGGTATGATGGAAGCACTCCGAGTCTTGACCCCGCAGAAGATTAGAGAGTTTCACAAGGCCATGTATCAGCCCCAGAACTTGGCCATCATCATCATTGGCGAGGCCGAACACGAGGGCCTTCTGAGACTCCTCGATAACTTCGAAGAGAGCATCAAGGACGATGTTCCGCCCCCCAACCCCAACTTCAAACGCCCATTCGTCGACTCCGCCCAGCCGCCGCCCCTGGAGAAGACCATCGTCGAGACGGTCGAGTTTCCCGAAGAAGACGAGTCAACGGGCGAAATCGTGGTGGCCTTCTTTGGCCCCAGCTGCATCGACCAAATCCAAGCGACCGCTGTGAATATCATCATGACATACCTTTGCGGATCATCTGTCTCAGTCATTGAAAATGTCATGGTCGAGAAGGAGCAGCTGGCGAGCTCTGTCTCGTACTGGTGGGACAGCAGGCCCAACTCGGTCATCTGGTTTCAGCCCACGGGTGTTGCCACCGAGAAGCTGGCATTCGTTGAACAGCGTCTCATATCTCTTCTCAAGGAGGTCGCGTCGAAGCCTCTCGACATGGATTACGTGAAGGAGTGTATACAACGAGAGAGGCGCCAAGTGAAGCTCCAATCCGAAAGCTCTGAGGGGTTCTATGCCAACAACATTATCACCGACTATCTCTTTGGGAAGCGAGACGGCACTACGCTGAGAGACCTTGAGACACTGCAGGAGTACGACGTCCTGGAGGGCTGGAACGAAGAGCAGTGGAGGGAATTTCTGAAGAAATGGATCTCGGATGCCCACCACATATCCATTCTGGGAAAGCCATCAATGGAACTTGCTAACACCCTCAAGGCGAATGAGGAGGCGCGTGTGGCCAAGCGGAGGGAGGAACTTGGAAAGGAAGGCCTTGAGCGACTGAGGGAGAGGCTGGAGAATGCGAAGAAGAACAATGACAAGCCGATTCCGCCCGAAGTGCTGGATCAGTGGCCCGTCCCTGGCACGTCTTCTATTCACTTCATCGAGTCGGCCACCGCAAGGTCTGGCAAGGCACGGAGCCTGGGCGTCCAGGACAACTCCGCACAGAAAATCATCGACGCCGCACCCAAGGGTATGCCCCTTTTTCTGCAGTTCGAGGATGTCCCCACCGGTTTCGTCCATCTCACTGTTCACGTGGGCATGTCGCAGACTCCCGTGAAGTACAAGCCGCTGTTACCCATCTTCGCCGAAATCTTCTTCAACTCCCCGGTGACGAGGGACGGCCAACGCCTTGAGTTTGAGGAGGTGGTCAAGCAGCTCGAAAAGGACACCATCAGCTATCACATCAGCTCTTCATCTCGGCTGGGAGATTATGAAGGCGTGGCCATCCAGTTCCAGGTTGACCGCGACAAGTACTCCACTATCGTCAGCTGGCTGCGTACTCTGATGTTCGACATCATCTTCGATCCCGTCCGGATCAAGGCTGCCACCGTCAAGGCGCTTGCAGATATCCCCGAGGCGAAGCGGGATGGACGTGCCATGGCGCAAGAGGTCGACATGGCTATACATTTCAAACCTGAATCTTACCTCGCGGCTAAGCGGACCCTGGTCAAGGCCGTCTATCTGCGCCGTCTCAAGAAGCTTTTGGAGAAGGATCCTGATACCGTGCTCTCATGGTTCGAGGAACTCAGCAAGAGCCTCTTCACATTTGACAACATGCGTGTGCTTGTGACGGCAGATGTTGGCAAGCTTGACAACCCCGTGGCCGCGTGGGATACCCTCACCAAGACCCCAGGCCTCGACCCATCCAAGGACGTCCTGCCCATCACCAAGCTTTCCTCGATGCTGAATCCCGAGGGCCAGTCTCCCGGCTCTTTCGGCAGCGTCGTCATTCCCATGACAACCCTCGACAGCTCCTATAGCGTGAGCACCGCCGCCGGTCTCAAATCCTACTCGGACCCACGCCTGCCGGCATACCTGGTTGCACTCGGCTACCTCGAGGCGGTCGAGGGCCCCCTCTGGAACGCCGTCCGTGGCAACGGCCTCGCCTACGGCGTGTCCTTCTCGCGCGAAGTCGACGGCGGTTACATCCAATTTCGGGTCTACCGCTCGCCCGACGCCAGCAAGGCCATCGAGGCCAGCCGCGCCACGGTCGCTAAGCTCGCCTCGGGTGAGGTGCCCCTGGACAGGCACCTGGTCGAGGTCGCTGTCAGCGGCGTCGTGTTTGCTGCCGCCGACGAGCAGGCGACCATGTCGGCGGCGGCGCAGCAGAACTATGTCATTGGCGTGGTGCGCGGATTGGAGCCCGGGTGGAATCGCAAGATACTCGCGCGCGTCAGGGAGGTGACTGAGGATGAGGTTCGCGCCGTCATGAGCGAGGTCATCTTGCCTGTGTTTGAGCCGGGGAAGAGCAATGTGGTTGTGACGTGCGCGCCGATTATGGAGGAGGTGAGTTAGCTCTTGTGCGGGAGTGCTAGGTGTAGGGAACAGAAGGCTGACAATTTGGTTGTTGCAGAACATTGTCAAGACACTTGCTGCTGCGGGATACAAGACCCAGGTCCAGACGCTGTCGCATTTCTCGGACGACTATGGGTTGAAGGCGGACGAGGAGGACGGTGAAGAAGAGGAGGACGATGACGAGGAAGATGATGAGGAGGAGGAGGAGGATGATGAGTCGGGCATGCATGACTCTGATGAGGATATGGACTGAAGATGAATAGACCTGGTCGGCCGAATGCGTGCGCCGATAGAGATAGCATAAGATCTTGTGATGAGTTGCCACGGCGGCCTCAATATGACAGGAATTCGCTGAGCCTCAGTTTACCCGTAGTTGGCCCCTTCTTCTGCCTTTAATTGTGCGCGTGTTGGACAGACGGGAGGTGAGAATCAACCGGCTGATAGCAAGTGACTGTCTACGACTTCAACAATGGCTAGTTCCGTACCATATGCAGTCTCATTCCTCATCTATCTTCAAAAAGAGCGCCGTGATGCTCGATGCAAGGTTCGAGTGCCGCAGCTCTATGCCAGTCAACCAACAAATCGACATTACCTCGTCCCGGTTGATATAACGGTCACTGCTAGTATCCGTCCCATGACAAGCCCATCCAACCCTTTCAACGCCACCAGTGGTATAGTCTATATCACGCCAGCATCCACCGCCGCACCTACGGTATATGCACCCATCCATCAAGAAATGACACCTAGCAAAAGAGAGCACCCGTCTGCCTCACCACCACCTCGAAACGACTCCTTCACCACGTCTACCCCCCAAGCAACCCTACACCCCGCCATCTCCAGCCTTTGCCACAGCAGGCAAGTACACGCGCTACGCCTGGGCCGACTCGGCCCCGGAAAGTTGGACCAACCTCTCGCGCCACCCTTCGCATACCTTCTCAAACCCGCCCACGACCTCGCCGCACACGTGCGCGCACTCACGCCGGCGGAGCCGCTCGCCCCAGTTGCCCCTTGCCAGCCATCTCTCCCCTTCCTCGCGCAGCTCCTCGTCGCGGCGGAGCTCGGCCACGAGATCGCGCGCCGATTTCAGGCGCCGCGTCGCGGTCGTGGTGGTCTGGCGTGACATGTGCAGCGTGTCCGAGAGGTAGTTTAGGGTGTTGATCAGCTCGGTTGTGGAGGAGTGCAGGCTTGCGAGGGCTTGAAGGGACGGTGTTGATGGACGGGGCATCAGCTCTGCTAGGGAGAGGAGCATGGGTAGGAGAGCGGTGATTGTTTCTTCGGAGGGTGGGGGTACTAGCGGGGAGAGGAGGGGGAAGGTGAGATTGTGCAGTTGGCGGGTTTGGTGGGTTAGGTGGGTTGTTAGGGCCGTGTGGGCGGTTATGAGACTGAGAGGGGGTTAGTCACGGGGGAAAGGGCATTTAGGGGTTGGGGAAGAGAATGAGGATGGGGTAACTGACCGTGTTGCGCCACCTTCAATGCTGGCTTGAGAGCCTAGGTCGCGCAGCCATTCGGTGACGCGCTTGAAGACGCCGTCATTCGGTGAGCCGTTGTTTTCTGTGCCTCGGCGGGCGAGGGATTCGACCTCATCCATTTTCTCGACCAGCTTGGGCGGCATGCCGGGTGATTCTAGGTCTGATTCGCTGCCGTACTCGCTCCCGTCATATTCGCTGCCCTTTCGGCGATGGCTCCGTCCGTTTGGTTTTGGCAAGCCCAGACTCCCCTTGCTGTTATGGCCCTTGGCGGAGCCCGACGGACTCTCCAGGTCCACGCCGCTATCGGGCAGTCCCTCATCGCTCCTCCCTCCACCTCTGACATGACCGTCCTCGGTGGTGTCCTCGAGGTTTATCCCCGGCGTTCTCACCTCTCGGTCTTGTTCGTCCGCGGCGGCCTCATCATAGTCGCCCTCCTCATACCCGTCGTAGTCATCCTCGGCGTCAGAGAATGCACCCGCCAGTTCGTCGGCAAGGTTTCCCAGCCCTCCACCACCTCCTCCGCCTCCGCCAACGCCGGGTATGCCTAGATCCATGGATGAGTCGTTAAGCGAGGAGGCTTTGGACTGGCGGCGGTCTTGTTGCGGCGAGTAGGAGCCGAAGGATGCGGCGGAATTGAAGTCGAGGGAGTGGTGAGGGGAGTGGAGCGGTGTCCGTGGGGAGGACATTGTGATGGCTTGTTTGCCTCTTCGAGGTCGGTGACTTGTTTTCTGTTGGTACTGGTGATGTACCGGCCGTCAAGGTGTTGCGTCAGGTCGTGCCTCTGTCGTCCGGTCGTCTGAATGTAGGTTCCAGTGAAAAACGTCGTGACTTTATCGTGCGTTGCCACGGCTATGCACGCGGTATTGTGCAATGAGTGGTTCGTTGTCGTGGCCCGGAAACAGAGTCGCAAACAAAATGCGAGGGTATATCAGACGCGGTCGTCTATAGTTGGGTGCCTCAACCCAATGGGACTGGATCAGGCGGGCCCGGACAATGCCCAGGGCGGGAAAACTGATGTTAAGGTGACCAGGTGGCAGGTGTCAGAGAACGCTTGTTCCAACGATTTGACCGCGTCTAGCAAAGCACCACTGTCACTAGCGCTGAACGAGTGTTATGTCTGGGGGTTTGTTCGGTCGTCAGGCGGCACTTACTTTCAGAGTCTCTAACCAGTGGTCGCGGGTGCATACAAGCCCAGAGTTCAACCCATTTTCGGGCCCGGCAGTTTGGCCGACAGGAGACGACCAGGGGGATTGAAGGACCGTGCCAAGACAGGGGCCACTCGGACGTTGCACGAAAAGACGTGATGAGGCAGCGGCGGGGCAGAGCGAGCCAATTGTATCAATGCACATAGAAGCTGGCAGCTTAACCCCCAACCCTGACGACACCCTGCCCCGCATCAACCTCAGCGACCGAGAACTGAAGACGAATCTTTCGACAACCCGGACTGCGATGGCCAACTTCCGCCGGTTCAGGCCCGACGACTTGAACAAGTTGTCCAAATGCAACCTCGACCCATTCACCGAAACATATGACCTCGGCTTCTACCTGCAGTACTACGCGAAATGGCCGTCGCTGTTTCAGGTTGCTGAGGACCAGCACGGCAACATCATCGGCTACAGTAGGGCTGACCCGTCGTCTATCATCCGATTCCCGACCGTCTGTGGCTGACCGTGGCTCCCCGCAGTCATGGGAAAGCTCGAGTCGTCGCCCGACGTCTACCGCTTCTCGGAGCACTACCTGCCCTGGCACGCCCATATCACGGCCGTCACCGTGGCCCCCGAAGCCCGCCGCCTCGGCATCGGCAAGCTGCTGACCGAGCAGCTCGAGGTGGCCGCTGACGCCGCTGATGCTTGGTTTGTCGACCTGTTTGTGCGCGTCAGCAACCACAAGGCCATTGCCTTCTACAAGAGCATGGGCTACAGCGTCTTCCGTGTGGTTAAGGACTACTATGGCGAGCATTCGACCGACCCCACCCTTTCGAGCGAGGACGCCTACGACATGCGCAAGCCCATGAAAAGGGACGTCAAGGGGGAACATGTAAGGGAGGATGGCGAGAAGCACGAGGTCGATCCGAGCGATGTGTGGTGAAGAGCATCCAAAAGAACTGCGTCATTGGGACACGGTGAGGGCGAAACATAATTCGCCATACAACGCTTCCTTTTTTCAAACCGCTTTAGGGATTCGCGAACATCTGCACGCCCATGGCGGTTGTGAAGCCCACCAACTCGACGACCGTCTGCCAAGGGCAGTGCCATTTGCTACGTTTTCAAGCGGCACCCGCGCAACATAGCCTAGCATATCGCCCTTAGAGACCTATGCGGTGTGGTTTTTGGGTTGATCACAGTCAAGGCTTAGGTTTTGCCTTGCTCACAGCCAAAGGGGCAAGCCTTGAGCGGCAGCACAGCGATGTTTTGTTTCATACAGGAGGTGTCGTGTGTACACATCTCTCTCAAATATCATTTTGTGCCGGCTGTGGGTCGAACGCCTCTTGTGGGCTCACATCCACACATCGTCGAATGTCCCTAACAAGTGTTGACCGCGACCTTTCCAAGTGGAACAGGGTGACTGAGGACCAGACAGGTACTTTTCTCCGCTTCCGGACTTCCAACTTCCGATCCCTATATCCCATTTGAACCCCTAGTACGGATCGATTGCAAGAGTCCAACTAATGGAGCCATGGAAATCAACACCACCCTCGATTCATTGCCTTAGGAGAGACTCCCTGAATCGGGTTAAGCTACCTATTCAGGTTATGCTTAGGGACATGCTGCTCTCGAGCTGTTGGATAGACTGTATGGGGAAACCCGCGTTGCGTAGGCGACTAGCAGATCCAAGGAGAGCGGGTTAATGATTGGGAAAGATGGCCGAAATCGAAATCAAGAAGCCAGATGGTATCCAAGAATATATTCTTGCTTTACAGCTTGCTTGCCTTGCTGCCACCCAAATATACGTTCGCCAGCTTCAGCATCTCGACAGCCTCGTCCACCATCTCGTCCACAATCTCCCTTGCCGGCTGCACCTTTGTGATGGCCCCTGCCACCTGACCCATGAGATACGGCAAATCAACCTCGTTCCCCTGATCCAAGTCATGCTCAAGCGGAACCACCCCCTTACTACACAGCTCCTGAATCTTGTCGGGCTGCGCATGCCACTTGCGGATATACTCATTCGTTTTCATCCTCAGCGGTCGTCCGCTGATTACCAGCGTCCTTTCGGTGTCATCAAACCGGCAGCTCACCACGGCTTCCTTATGCTCCTCGCTACACCCCGCCTCGACACTGGCCACGAACCTCGTGCCCACCCACACCCCAGCAGCTCCCTGCATCAGCGAGCTCGCCAGGCCCCGCCCATTCGAGATGCCCCCCGCAGCCACCACGATTGCCGTTCGCTCCCCGCCCAACATCTTGGGCCTGTACCTCCTCGCAACATCCACCACTGCCGGAATCAACACACTGTTGGCCACATTTCCCGTGTGGCCTCCGCCCTCACCCCCTTGTGCACACACCATATCCACCCCGAGATCAAGCGCCTTGACAGCATGTCTCGGATGCCCCACCATGTTCATCACGAGCAGTCCGGCATCATGCAACCGCTCAATGACCCTCTTGGGCGGCACGCCCACAGCGCTGACAAACTACCAACGATGTCAGCTGTGAATACTTCCTATTCCGGAAATGTCTAGAAGGGTTTCAGGAGCAAAATGCGTTGTCTCAGGAGCAGGACAGCTCCTGAGACAGCCAAAAAGGGCTAAAAACAGTCCACCAACAAAGGAAATTGTTGCCTACCAACCGCGCACCGGACTCGATGGTGATGTCGATCAACTCGTCGAGCTTGCCGGCCGTGTAGTCGTGGTTGGTCTTGCGGGCGCTGCCGCCGACCTGCGGCAGGGCCAGGTCGATGCCGAATGGCATGTCCGGCGAGAGCAGGTGCGCCTTGAGCTCGGCGATGACTTCACGCAGTTGGGACGGGGTGTACATGAAGCCACCGATCACGCCGAGGCCGCCTGCGTTGGATACCGCGGCGGCAAGGCGACCGGTCGAGGTGCGTGCCATGCCGGCTAGGAGGATGGGGTGGCGGATGTTGAGGAGGGTGGTTAGAGGGGTGGTGATGGGGCCTGTGGGAGACATGGTACTGGCGCTGGTAGGTGCAAGAGGTGACATGATGAAAAGAAAAGCTAAGGACGTGTATGGAGATGATGCGTTGAGGTGCAAGGAGACAAAGACCCGATCGGGATGGTTGGCATCGAGTGACAGAGCGAGCGGGTAGGATTAGCTCAGGAGCTTTATTGCTGGCAATTTCACTATTAGCATGATCACAAGCAGTCCCAAAACATTTCAAAAACCAACAAGTTCCCTTCTGGACCTCGGATTACAGCTCTCACACTTCCCAAGGAGGAAGTCAATCGACAGAACAGTTACCCCGGCCCGCTGAGCTATCCCCGAACCCTGGCACTCGACTGTCCAGAATGCGGGGAAGACAAGGCGCTGGAGAGAGGAGCCGAGGCATCTGCACGTCAACTCGATTTAGCAGTGAGTTTGACACCATATGATCAGAATGCTCTCCTCCTTGGGGCTCGAGCCTATGGCGACTACATGAGTTGAATGGGCGCTTTCAGCGCCCCAACGAGTAGATACGTAGCCATCTTCGATGCTTCAATGATAAAGTAGCCAGAAGAGAATACATTCAATGTCTGACACCCACGTTCTTCCCCTATCCAACACAACCAAACCAGGCATATAATATTCATACAACGTCTGCATGACCACCGGATAACAAAGGGGTGAATCGAACACATAATCGAACGTAATACGTGTTGATTTGCCTTCTCTTTTGCCTCCCCCCCTCATGTTTCCGGGATTGGTGATTCTTCGTAAGAGTCGTCATCATTATCATATCAAGCCATGAGGTTCGTTTCGAGCTGCCAGCTTTCGTGTCTGTATACGGAAATTGGTATCAACTAAAGTGAGGCAACCGCGCAGGCACAAAGGTGCTCTCGCGGGGAGCTGCGTCGGGTTTAATCGGTGGTGACGGTGTCGGTTTTGGCGTTGTTGCAGGAGGGGGCTTCGGTTCCTCCACGTCTTCTAATTCCCCGTCGCTGGGAGCTCGGGGAATCGGCCTCTCCGTGGAGATATCCTCAGGTATACCTTCACCGTAGCCATCATTTGCCTCATCACGCGTCCCAGACGCGGGGGGTTCGTTCTTGCTCAGCCCTCGCTCCATCGCCAACTGCGACGCAGCCTTCCGCCTCCGCTCAATTTCTTCGCGTTCTTCTTTCTCCGCTTGCTCCTCTTCCCGCCGGAGATCATCCAACGAAGGAACGGGTACCAAATCGCCCTCTTCCCGGAAGGATACCGGATAGCTGCCGCTATTATACTCGTCCGGCGTGTCCGTAGACGATATAGTAGTTTGTGACACCGTCCTTGACAAGCCTTTGCCGCTGTCAGCCGGCCGCTTGCCCTTGCTGCTTCGTGTTCTGGTGCTGCCCCGGTCGTCAACTCGTTCCAAGGCCACCGCAAACTCGTCGCCCAGCGGCACGGCGTCCTCGTCCCCTTCTTCATCACTCGGGAACAGATCACCCCTGGATCGGTACGAGCTCGAAGTGTCTCCCGAATGCCCCGAATGCGTTGTATCACTCCTCGGCCTCTGCCCCTGACGCCTCCGGTCGCCTTCACCATTGATGCCCAACAACGGCTCGTTCTCATGCTCTTCTCCAGTACCGCCTTCACCATGATGGCCCATTCCCACTCCGCCTCCAGCGCCCGGATGTTCCTTCAAATTCGCTGCAGACGGCTTATACCTCAGACTCCCCACAATCTTGAACGGCAACCTCCCTAGAAACCCCAGCGGCGCCGTCCTCGGAATGACATTCGGATCCTCCTCTCCCGACACCTTCCTCCTCCCCCCGACGCCTCTCGTTCCATAACTCATCCCCCTCTTCCTCCTGGGCTGATCCACCAACACATCACCGGTCCCGCTGGCCCCAACCCCTCCGTACCTCCTCCCTCCGGGCCCAGTCCCAGCAAGCAACCGATCCCAATCCTCCGCCCTCGCCCCCCACCCGCCCAGCAAACCCCTCCTCCCACTACCACTACCACCAAGACCCTCCCCATCCGCCTCATCATCCCCATTCCCCGCCGCGCCAAATTCCTCAGCAGCAAAATCGTCCTCCCAATCATCATAAAAGTCGAAGTTGTACTCCACCCTGCTGGCACGCACCCTCCTTCCGCGCGCGCCGCGCTCCCGCTCCCTCGCCCGCCGCGCCCGCTCGTCGCGGTTGCCTAGGCACACGGCCGTGCACGAGTCGACGGCAGACGAGACACCAGACAAGCAAGGGGTGATGTAGCTGTGGCCAAACGCCCAGATGCCGGCGGCCGCGTCCGAGGTGACGGCCTCGGTGGTGTGCGAGAGTTGGTTCCATGTTTGGCGGAGGCGGGGGTCTTGTATGAAAGCCATGTCTTCCTCTTCTTTCCCTTCTCTTTTGTTATGGTTGGCTGAGGTTGTGTTTAGGTCCGGTCGGGTCGGGTGCGTTGGGCGCGTGGTTTGATTTGGTTGCTGGGATGTAGCAGACGGTCAAGAGGACCGCAAAGAAATGAGGGTTGCAGTGGTTGACGGAGGGGTGACGGCGTTCAATGCCGACGGGCCTTCGTGCGCAAGAATGGACGAAGGTCGGCAGGTGGTTGTAAGTCAGGGACTGTAGTCTCGGCGTACAATGGGTTTCAGCATTGGCCGAAGACAAGGGCGACGAGTGCCCGCTCAATGGATTGGAATGCAGCGAGTAATGACAGTTGCGTTTTCGGCGGATGGATGATGTCGACGTAGTAATATTTGGGAAGCGGGCATTGACTTTCTGTGGCACGAAAATCGCGGGGTATTATGAGAAGCAATCCACGCGCAGATTCGGCCGTCAGATGCTGCGTTGCCAGCGATTTTGTTTCAGGGCGGTCGCATTCTTGGATGTGGACGGCAAGGCTGGGTCATGGGCTGCGCCGTTTGGAGTACGACAACGGTCCGCGGTCAAGTGGTGGAAGCATGGATTTGGCACAATACCTACAGTACCAGTACCTTGCATGTCTTCTGTACGGATACGGATAGAAGGTACTCAATCGCTTGGAGAGGGTGTTCCGAACATCCGGGTGATAAACCTCGATAACTACGTAACTCCACTGCTCCGGCTTGACTCGTAAAAGCGAGCAGGTTTGCTTGAACTGATGAACGCCAATTAGCACCGCCAATTGCATACCTCGCGGAGATGGAATAGTCCAGACGCAACGGTTACTTTCATAAAATCAGCCCAACAACAAAGGTCAAGAACCGTACGCCAGAGAACGAGGGAGATGCAGGGTGTACATTGTACTGAATCACGCTATGTAGCGGGGATACCCAATCCTTTCAACAGAGCGTTGTCGACCCGGCGGATAGTAGCGTCACGGGCCTGGGCGAGTACCATGCGCGTCCACGTCTAACGGTGGCCATTAGTAGTTGCGGCCGCAGGCGCGGGAGGCGGTCGTTCGGGCCCGTACGGCTGAGGCTGCTGCGGGTGGTGGAGCTCGTCCTCGGTCTCGTCGTCGTACTCATCGCCATCTTCACTACCCTCCTCATCCTCGCCTTCGTCGTACTCATCGTCCTCGTACTCGCTCTCGTCCCCGTCCAGGTCTCCCTCCGTGTACCCGCTCTCAACTTGGCCCGTCAGTCCCTGCGGGATACCCCGGCCCTGCTGCTGCATTTGCTTGATGATGCCGTTGAGCTTCTCCAGCTTCTTCTTCAGCTCGTCGATTTCGGCCAAGTTTTTGTTCCTCTCCTCTGCCATTTTGAGGATGTTCCCGTTCACCTGGTCGTGCTTTCGCTTAAGGTTCTCGTTCTCTCGTTCCAGGCGCTTCGTCTTCTTTGACATGTCCTCCATCTCCTTCCGAAAAGTCATGAACAGGTCGTTGCTGTTATTTAGCGTGTCCTCGACCTGTGCCCGCGCGTCAGTCTTCACGCTGGACCCAGGAGCTGCCAAGGAACAGACCTGTTTGAACTTGTCTACGTAGACGTTGAGTTGTTGCCTCAATTCCGTCTCCGTCTTGGAAAAGGTCTGCACCTGCGCATTGAGTTGCCTCGAGCGCGCGGTTTCCGCTTCGTAGTTTTTCTTCTCACGCTCGTACCGCGCCAGGTTGTACTGCACCTCGAGTTCCTTGGTCCGCATCTGTGAGTGAAAGTGCAGCTCCCGCAACTCGTACTGGTCGATGAAGGATTTGAACCGCTGGCGGAACCTGGAAAACAGTGAGCCCAATAGCCAAGCAGTATGCAGGCTAAACGTACAATTCCTCCACCTTCATGTCGACCACCTGTTTCCGAGGATTGTCCTTTTCCTCCTGGTAGTCGTCCATTCTCCGAAGAAGACCCGAGTATCTCTCGTCCCAGGTATTTTGGCTTCTAACCTGCGTATCGGAAAGGGTCTTGTTTTCGTTCTGCCCGAGCAGGTCCATCAGCACACGCCGTCCCCAAACCCAGCTACTTTTAGCAAAAAAAGGCACACCTTCAACTTGTTGTTTTCCTTCTGCAGCTCCCGGCAGAGCTTCTCCAACTTCTCCTTAAGAGAGACCGTCTTGTTGAGCTCATTCCTGCTGTTGTCCTTGTCCTTTTGCAGTTGATCCCCCCGTTTCTTGTTCTTGATGCTTTCGCGCTCATGCCGCTTCATCTCGGACAATAGATCGGAACATCGTTTCGTGAGGTGTTCGATCTTTTGAATATCGCTCATTTTGGACGTCTGCGAATGCAGCTCCCGGTTTGCCTTCCTGACTTCCCGCTCTGCAACCCAATCAGCCGTCACGGTCACAATGGACACTCAGGTCGCCACTGGAGTCCCTCCGGGTCGGATCGATGACATTCAGCAACGGCAATATACCGGGCGTTTGCCAGAATTTATCGCCGTGATTGACGTGCTCTGTCCATCTGCACAGGATTGGGGCGCAGGTACGCACCAATTTCAGCCTCCTGGTCCTTCTCCCCGGCTGCATCCAACTCCAGCTGCGAGATCCGTTGCGCTATTAACTTGGACGCTTCGGTCGGCTCTGGCGCCTTCTTCTGCTTCCCCTTCTTTCCGGAAACGGCGGCCGCCGGCGGCGCCGGGTTCTGTCGGCTGTCATGATTGGCAGCGGGATTCCCGGGCGCTTGAGCTGCGTCAGACGTCGGCTGGTTCAAGGCCACGGGTGTGGCGGGTCGGGGGGCTGCAGCTGGAGAAGCCATCGTGGGGTTGGCATCTGACATGAAGGGATGCGGTCAACGCAGCCGTGAGCAATATCCCGGGCCGATACGAGATTCACAGCCCCAGGGCTCCGAGCCGTGGCAACGTTCGGTCGCCTCGGGCAGGATTCGCTTGCTTCGAGCTCGAAGATTGGGGTCGGCAGGCCGGGTAATCAATCAGAGCGAGCAGGGAAACAACTTGTGTCCGGATGAACAAGAGGGACCGCAATGCACGTGTACACTGCACTGATGTTCTGGAGAGAATAAGAGCGTCTAGACGATAAAATCTGGTTACATCCGTGGAGCGTGCACTGCTGTGCCGTTCGCGGCCGAGCAGAGGCCCGAGAATAATGCGGAGGGTGCCGGAGGGATGTTCGGATGCTGGCGGTTGAGCAGACGAGCAACTGCAGAGATTGCTCCTCGTCTCCAGAATGTCGTCGCAAAACGCATTAGCCTCGCCCACTCCTCAGCCCCGGGAAGCATGGAACTGCTACTAAAACTCGATTGTGGAGCACCAATTCGCCTGAATGACAAGCTATCGGGCGTTAACCCGCTCCCGGCTCAATGGGTGCCCACTGACTACCCGGCAGGCAATTGGCGGTCAGGGACAATATGGAGTACCTCGGAATCACTGCGATTTCCATCTGGATGCTTGTATTCCTTAACGTGCCTGCCCACTTTTCCGTTCCTGGGACCCATACGGATGTCTCTATCAAAAGTTGTACCACACCGCCTATTTAGTTTACTGGCCATAGGAGAGTTCTCTGCCAAGCAGAACCACTGTGATTTAAGGCGGTGAAGCAAGACTTTTGGTAGGGACCTCCGTACTTCGGTCTCTTTCGATCCCGTCTCCACTGCCTTTCGTCGGTGGGATGCAAGTTTTCTACTTGACGAGCGCCATCCTCAACAAGGCAAGAACGCCACAGCTCCATGCCAACGCAGCTCAAGCCGCATCGACTCGGCTTCGTGACGGGTTCTTAGCTTTCCCTTCGCCGCGTTACTGCCACCAGAACAATGCTCCGTGGCACGGCCAAACGGGCCGCGAGAGCTGCGACCGACCTGTCGCAGTTGCCCAAGGTCGGCGAGAAGCTCCATGGCTTCACCCTCCTGCGAACAAAGCATGTCCCAGAGCTCGAGTTGACGGCGCTGCATCTGCGGCACGACAAAACGGGCGCCGAGCACCTCCATATTGCGCGCGATGACAGCAACAATGTCTTCTCAATCGGCTTCAAGACGAATCCCCCAGACGACACGGGTGTCCCACACATCTTGGAGCATACTACGCTCTGTGGCAGTGAGAAGTGTGTTGACCGTCCACTATCCCTCGTTCTGGGCTATGCTAATTAGCTTAGGTATCCGATCCGTGATCCATTCTTCAAGATGTTGCCGCGCACCCTGTCCAACTTCATGAATGCATTTACCGCCTCAGATCACACCTTCTATCCATTCGCCACCACCAACGCCCGGGATTTCAAAAACCTCATGTCCGTGTACCTCGACGCGACGCTCCGCCCGTTGCTCAAACAATCCGACTTTACCCAGGAGGGATGGCGCATTGGCCCGGAGAACCCCCAAGCTCTTGCCGCCGGGGCTGAGGTCAAACCCGAGGACCGGAAGCTCGTCTTCAAGGGCGTCGTCTACAACGAAATGAAGGGCCAAATGTCGGACGCCGGCTACCTGTTCTACATCCGATTTCAGGACCACATCTTCCCAGACATCAACAACTCGGGCGGCGATCCCCAGAAGATCACGGACCTGACGTACGAGCAGCTCAAGAAATTTCATGCCGAGCACTACCACCCGAGCAACGCCAAGGTTTTCACTTATGGTGACATGCCGCTGGCAGATCATCTACGGGAAATTGACGCTCAGCTTGGCGCCTTTGAGAGAATTAAGAGTGGCATGACCATCCATCGTCCTATCGATCTCAGCAGCGGCCCAAGGGAGGTCCGACTGCAAGGGCCCGTTGACCCCATGGTGGATTTGAATAAGCAGTTCAAGACCTCGGTATCGTGGGTTCTTGGGGATACGTCAAATGTTGTCGAATCATTCTCCTTGGCCTTAATCTCCGCCCTTCTGATGGATGGCTACGGTTCACCCCTGTACAAAGGGCTCATCGAGACTGGTCTTGGGACAGACTGGAGTCCCAACTCAGGTTATGACAGTTCAGGAAGGGTTGGGATATTCTCGATTGGCCTGACAGGCGTGCAAGAGGCGGACGTGATCAAGTTGAAACCCACCCTTCAAGACATCCTTCGCAGTGTGCGGGAGAAGGGGTTTGAGCGATCCAAGATCGATGGTTATCTGCATCAGCTCGAGCTGAGCCTCAAGCACAAGACTGCCAATTTTGGTATGTCTCTGCTGCACCGGCTGAAGCCGAAATGGTTCACGGGCGTCGATCCGTTTGACTCGCTTGCGTGGAACGACACGCTCGCTGCTTTCGAGGCGGAATATGTCAAGGGAGGCTATCTCGAGGGATTGATTGATAAGTACCTGTTGAACGACAACACACTGACGTTTACCATGGCTCCGTCTGCCGAGTTCGTGCAGGACCTTGCGAAGGAGGAGGAGGCCCGCCTCGAATCCAAGATATCTAAGGCCGTCGAGATTGCAGGCGGGGAGGAGAAGGCCCGTGCCGTGCTTGAGGCGCAGGAGTTGGCGCTGTTGGCGGAACAGGCCAAGTCTAACACGGAAGACTTGAGTTGCCTACCCAGCGTTCATGTCCAAGACATTCCGCGCCAGAAGGAGCCGGTGGCTTTGCAGATCGAGACTGTGGGCGGAGTAAAGCTCCAGCTGCGCGAAGCGCCAACCAACGGCTTGACTTACTTCCGGGCTATCAACACGTTGGAGAACCTGCCGGACGAACTACGATCCCTAATCCCCCTATTCACCGATTCCATCATGCGCCTTGGCACCAAGGACATGACCATGGAGCAACTTGAAGATCTCATCAAGCTCAAAACTGGCGGCGTGTCCGTCAGCTACCACTCGGCATCTCAGCCGACAGACTTTACGCAGGCGAAGGAAAGTCTCGTCTTTTCTGGGATGGCCCTAGACCGCAACGTGCCGGTCATGTTTGACCTTCTGCGCAAGCTGATCGTCGACACAAACTTTGACAGTCCAGATGCTGCTCAGCAAATCCGCCAGCTTTTGCAGGCCGCAGCAGACGGTGTTGTCAACGATATCGCCTCATCGGGACACGCCTATGCTCGGAGGGCTGCGGAAGCCGGCCTGACATGGGACGCGTTTCTGAGAGAGCAAGTTAGCGGCCTGTCTCAGGTGAAGCTGGTGACTAGTCTGGCGAGCCGCCAAGAATCCGACCGGCTGGAGGATGTCATCGCCAAGCTCAAACTCATTCAGCAGTTTGCTTTCGCGGGTACTATTCGCGCCGCCATCACATGCGACAGCGAGAGCGTTGCCAGCAATACGGGCGCCGTGACCAGATTCTTGGACTCGCTTCCCTCCCACAAGGTCAATTTCCCGGCGCGCCAGAACCGGGAGTTTGGGAGGAACATCAAGTCCTTCTACCCCCTGCCGTACCAAGTATATTATGGTGCCCTTGCTCTGCCGACCGTATCTTACACCTCACCTGACGGTGCCCCTCTTCAAATTCTCGCCTCTCTTCTGACCCACAAGCACCTGCACCACGAGATCCGCGAGAAGGGCGGTGCCTATGGAGGTGGTGCATACTCTCGCGCCGTCGACGGCATCTTTGGCTTCTACTCGTACCGCGACCCTAACCCGCTTAACACGATCAAGATTATGCGGAGCGCCGGCCAGTGGGCTGTTGACAAGAAGTGGTCCGATAGGGACCTCGAAGACGCCAAGATTTCTGTATTCCAAGGCCTCGATGCCCCTCGGGCGGTCAACGAAGAGGGCATGAGTAACTTCGTTTACGGAATTACAGAAGAGATGAAGCAGAGACGCCGAGAACAACTGCTCGATGTCACCAAGGATCAGGTCCGGGAAGTTGCGCAAAAGTACATCGTCAACGCACTGAAGAAAGAGGCTGAACGCCTGGTTTTCCTGGGCGAGAAGCGCGACTTCGTTGACAGGTCTTGGACCGTCAAAGAAATGGACATCAACGGGTCTTCTTAACCTCACGCTTGGACCCGAAGGCAACCTAGACGGCCAGCGGCGATGTATTCTTAAGAATTTGTACAACATATCGCTGATACCCTTCTCTAATACGCAGGCACGCCATCTGCTCGAATTTTGCAGCACTGCCACAATAGCGAGAGCATTTGCCTTCAAGAGTGACTCATCGAGATCATCGAGCCCTTCCTACCCAGCATCTTCACCCCGTTCTCTTTCCTCTCCATACCAGCGTTTGGATACGATACGTCTCAATGCTCGACGCTATAGCTTTGAGACCACTGCGCGACGCGAGATCAAGACACCAGGTGCCAAACTTTCGAACTGGTTCTGGGCTCGTTCTCTCAGAGCCGCCTTCCACAGCTTTGGACTTGCGGACTAAAGAACAGAGTACATGCTTGCTTGTTGTTACCTGATATATTGAGTTGACATGCGTACTCATCTAGGTACTGTACATGCACTGCTCGCGGATCCGCGGTTTAAGTTTGAGGAGCTGCTGATCGAGCTGCCGCGACGAGGAAACTTGGTGGCCTTGGCTCTCACGGATGCCGATATGGCGCAGGGACATCCAAGATCAAAGTTCCCTCGCAAGGTCTGGTGGCAGCCAGATACGGCAGACGAGCTGCATGTGCGTGCCGTTTAAACTAGGCGTTTACGCGGTTTTGGTGAGCGATTTGCGCAGGTCACGTAGCCCTGCATCTCACGGCAACGAGCCGCGGCGTGCATCAGACCCGTACGGAAACGAATGAACACAAGCGCGCATCAATACAGCTAACTGGAGGAGTTGACGATCCCTCTTTCAATGGTTAATGCCGCTGCGCACGCCTACACCGTTACGAGTCAACCTGGACAAGGACTCAGGTTGATGTCGAGCCTTTGTTGTTGGTGCGCGATTTTTATCATTGACGCATAAGCCGTCGACCTCTCGAAACCGTCGGCTACATGGTATTGTGACGGACCTGGACCGGCAACCAAACGACCCCTCACCCTCGGGCGAAATCGATATGTCGTTACCGGTGTTTGATGGGGGGATGGTCGGATGAATCCTGCATTCCGCTTTTAGGCCCGCTGGCGCTGACCACAAGTTGCGGTGTGAAACGGCTGACCATATCCGTTGGCCGGTCTTAGCAACCACGACTCGAGAGCGGAGGAGCCGGCGGCCTCATTAGCGAGCAAGAGGGTCGTTGGTCGTTCGTCAAACCCGTATCCGGCCGAATATCCCAGCAAATAAAAGCTCGCTGCCGGCAGGCAGTCCCTGGATTGAGGTTAAGTTCGGCTTCGATCTCAGGTCTCCCGAATCCCATGCACATGTGCTGTGTAAAGGTACCTTGTAGTTTGGTACGTCACCAGTAAGAAATCAGAACTTAGGTACCTTCGACAAGCATCTCCTTCTGAATCGCTTCCACCGATGGTTAGCTGGCCACTCCTTCATCGTTATTGCACGTTGATCATGGGTCACGACGGATGCCTCTATGAGATTGTGAATGGCCCGCCGTATCCTTCCGGGCCCTTGGGGTTTTGGTGGTTGTGCACAGGCCATGGATTGAAATCAGGGAAAAAATCGAGCAGAACCCTCCCTGATCCCCACATTTGAATGCACAACCCACTTCCAAACCCCTCCATTAAAAACGAGCTCCAGCCCAGCTTCCAAAACTTCCATCTTTTTCACTCAACGGCTCCTTCCCAACACTTGTCTCACCTCGTCTCACTGTCGGCCCTCGTTCATCCGTGTAACAGCCACTCCATTTGCTGCGCACCAAACTGTAAGTTCTTTTCAATCAAATCACCGGTGTTTTCCTGTTGAGGCTCGTGCAACGTCACTCAAGGCACGACCCGGACTGGCGGAATGGGGGTGCAGCGTGGCGTCGCGTGCAGCTGCTCAACGCAAATGGCGCTGAGGCAGAGACGGCAACAAGCAGCAAGTTGGACCCGGATATGTTAACAATGCTCACATTGCGCTTCAAAGACCGATTTATACCCCCTCGCACCGAGACTGCCTTTGGTCTTTTCAAAGGCACCCCCTCGACAACGGCTTTCTCGGCCGTGACCCTTGTCTCAGACGAAGATTTCAGCCTCCGAAAAACCTTCCATATCATCAACGTCCTCCCGCCACCTGCTGAGGTCGCCTAAGGAAGCCGACATTTCCTTGCTCGACGTCTCCCGCCACCAGAACCCCGAGTTCGACTCCCACAACCAGCTGCCGCATAGGACGAGTTGTGCGGTTCTTCCTCTAACCGAGGAAGAGTCGACGAAGTCTCGTCAGACCGTTCAGGGATCCGTCTGCTTCCGCCATCGACCTCCCTAACACCCGCCCGAGCACCCGTGCTGTATATTCTTACACTCTTGTCTACCGACAAGTCCGATCTCGCGCGTCTCGCCACAACAGCCGACCGCGCCTGTTAACCGGTCCTCACCGTTGAGTTTCCCACACACGTTCATTCGACATATCCCCCTCGCTAAATCTTGGGATATGGTTATGCCAACGGTTGTCACCGATCGATTCACGTCACTTGATTATACCGACTTTACGAATAATCATGTCTTTTTGAAGGGCTGCAACAATGGGTTCTTCGACTACAATCGCCTTGGCAACCATGCCCATCATGAGGGACACAAGATCAGCTCGCCCAAGCAGCTGATTGGCGACGCTCTTCGTGAGCGCGTTGAGGGCATTGACCCTGAGCTTTGCGAGCCCGGCGCGGAGGACACCTTCTTCGTGGCCGATCTCGGCGAGGTTTACCGCCAGCACCTGCGCTGGAAGTTGAATCTGCCGCGCGTCAAGCCGTTCTATGGTAAGGCCTATGCTGATTCTCTGAATCCACGCTAGACAACAGAACTGACATGATTTTCAGCTGTCAAGTGCAATCCGGACACAAAGCTCTTGGGGCTGCTGTCCGCCCTCGGCACCGGTTTCGACTGCGCCTCCAAGGCTGAAATCGAGCAGGTTCTGGGACTAGGAGTGGAACCCTCGCGCATCATCTACGCGCAGCCCTGTAAGACCAATTCGTATGTGCGCTATGTCGCCAGCAAGGGCGTGCGCCAGATGACTTTCGACAACGCCGACGAGCTCCGCAAAATTGCGCGCCTCTACCCGGAGGCCGAGCTCTTCCTGCGGATCCTGACCGACGACTCATCTTCCCTTTGCCGTCTCAGCCTGAAGTTTGGCGCTTCGCTCGACTCGACTGACAGCCTCCTGGCTCTGGCGCGCGATTTGGGTCTCAATGTTGTGGGCGTCAGCTTCCACGTTGGCTCGGGCGCGTCGGACCCCCGCGCGTTCCTGAAGGCGGTCCAAGATGCCCATGTTGTGTTTGGCCAGGCAGCCGTTCACGGGTTCTCGCTCAAGACGCTGGACGTTGGTGGTGGTTTCTGCAGCGACAACACGTTCGAGCAGATGGCCGGCGTGCTTCGTGCCGCGCTCGACGACTACTTCCCGGCCCACTCCGGCGTCAATATCATTGCGGAACCCGGCCGGTACTACGCTTCATCGGCCTTCACCTTGGCCTGCAATGTCATTGCCCGCCGCACCATCGAGGACGTGACGGCTTCCAGTTACATGTTGTACGTCAACGACGGCCTGTACGGCAACTTCAGCAGCATCATGTTCGACCACCAGCACCCCGTGGCCAAGGTGTTGCGCTGCGGCGGCCGCGTCTTGTACAACACGCCGGCTGCCGAGGCGACTGAGGCCGCCGACGGCATTGAGTACAGCATCTGGGGCCCGACGTGTGACGGCATCGACCGCATCACGGAGAGCATCCGGTTCCCGCAGCTGCTGGATGTCGGCGACTGGCTCTATTTTGAGGACATGGGCGCCTACACCATGTGCTCGGCAACCACCTTCAATGGCTTCTCTAACGACCACGATGTCATTTATGTCTGCAGCGAGGAGGGTGCGAAGGCTCTGCTGGGCCTGCACTGAGTCATTGAGGGTTGGAGAGCTTCAGGCTGTTGCGGGGGAGGACTGATAATGCGCCTGGTCTGACTTGACCTTGTCATGACGCCAGGGGTATTTACTTCGCTTCTTTCAGTTGTTTTTAGAGAACAAAATTGGGTTGAGATGGACTTGGTTCCCAGTCGAGAGTCGTTTCAAGGATCAACCATAGAAACGTTTCGTCCGTTCTTGCTCCGTTTTATGGCGATTGCGACTTGCTCGTTTCCATGGCCTGTTTTGTCGAGGATCGTGACTTCCAGCCTGGAGACGCGGCTGGAGTTTGGTAGTTCATGAGATGCACCCAGGCCGCAGTTAATGTAAGTGTGGTCATGGTGTGCAAACAAATCCGATACTGACACAGCACGGGTCAGGGCCAGGCATAATAAGTACACAGCCGGGAGGCCGCCAAAAGGACAATCCCACGGTATGACAAGCCGTGAATGGTCGCCTTGTGTTTCCATTTGTGAAATTTGATGGATTCCCGCGCCGAGCATCTCGGCGAGTCCCGCGCCATTCAACGCCTCACCGGACCATTTACGGATCCTCTCCTTCCATTTCCGGCACCGAGAGACATCGCTCTCCCTGAGCTGCCTTAGCGCCTTCTGCTCATCCATGCGAGCTCGTCGACGCCCATCCTTCTCTGATGAGTGGGTTGCTGCCTTTTCCCTCGTGTGTTTTGATGTCAGTCCCGTATAGGGGGGGTTTTGTGCTTCCTTGCCTTATGGTCCCTTTGTTTGCAGACAATAGAAGAGGACAAAACCTGCCTAGCTGAGACGTTCTTGTGCCTCCCGACTGCTCTTCTTTTCTTTGTACTACCGGCCCGGCACCATCGGGGATTGGGATGCGAACGCCGTGCCACACTACAACTGGCCCATCACTGGCACATTTGTCGTCGTGTGCGCCCCCTCCTTCTTCTCTGCGTCTTGTTTGGCCTGTTTCGGGGTGAAAAGTGTCTTGGTGCCTGATTGGTTTTGATGCTTGGGCCTGGGCCTGGCTTCTGTTCACTCTTGATCTTCCTCGGGGTTTGTTTCGTTCATCACGCTCCTTCGAAACTATCTGAGGTGCCTGGGTCGATTTTAAACGTTTACAAGAACCGCCTAAATTGATCGGGTTGGGCCAAATACTACTTCAATTGTTGCGGCATACCGAATAGCATCCAACGACACACTCAACCACAGCTACGATTGCAGTGCGTCCATGGACGCGGTACCATCCATCCATCCATCCATGCAACCAGCCAGGCATCCTACTACTCCATACCAACCCACCGATCGCACTTGAATTACCATCGACGACAACACCCATCAACCAACCAAAAAACTTATCCTACCCGACCAACGGCCACCCGACGACCAAAGGTTTACATCAGGGTACCTCGATGTCAAGATGGTCCGCAACATCGTCATCCTCTCGGGAACCTCCCACCCGGCCTTCGTCGAATCCATCGCCTCCATTCTCGGCGTCCCGCCGTCGAGCAGAGTGCTGGCCAAGTTCTCGAGCGGGGAGACGCGGTGCGAAATTCGGGACTCGGTGCGTGGCAAGGACGTGTATATTGTGCAGAGCTTCGGGGTCGGACCCTCACCCTCCTCCAGATGCCGCCGCCGTGGTCAGCTCCGGATAGGGGCCGGAAGGGAAGCTGAGGCTCTGACGGGGGATGGTGTTGGTGGTGGTGGTGGTGGCGGTGATGGGGAGGTCGACACTGAAATTGGGGAGGAGGTGAAGGACGCTGAGGTGGCGAAGGAGGAAGGGGTGGAGGAGACGCACACGGTCAACGACTACTTTATCGAGCTGTGCATCATGATCTCGGCCTGCAAGACGGGCAGCGCAAAGAGGGTTACGGCGGTGCTGCCGCTGTTTCCTTACTCGCGTCAGCCGGATTTGCCGTTCTCCCACGTCGGTGCGCCAAGGGTTGGGTTGTGGCATCAGCAGGAGAATGGGAACCGGTGTGGGAAGGTGGATTACATGTTTGAGAGCGTCCCTGTCACGCCGGGGCCGAATATCCCCATGACGGCTGGGCTCGTAAATGCGGGGGTTGACGTGACTGACATGATGGGAGGTGTGGCGTTGGGAAAGGAGACGCAAAGTGCGTCGAAGGAGACAGGGGAGAACGGACGGGCTTCTCCGGTTGCGGGCCACCGCCGGCAGCTGACGGGGAGCTATACCACGCATGACTACGAGAACCCATCGTTGGTTATGGCGCTGCAGGGGCAAAAGCAGTTCATGGCGCAGGCTGGCTCGCTGGTGGCGGATTTGCTGACCTGCGCCGGGGCTGACCGGATCCTCACCTGTGATTTGCACGAGAGTTCCTACCAAGGTTTCTTTGACATTCCAGGTATGCTACCCTCCCCTCAAATGTGTTGCGTAGATCGGCTGCTAATCTCAATGGCCCAGTTGACAACCTCTATGCTCGCCCGCTCCTGCAGCGCTACATCCAGCGAAAGATCCCCAACTACCGCGAGGCAGTCATCGTCAGCCCCGATGCAGGCGGCGCCAAACGCGCCACTGCCATAGCCGACAACCTCGGGCTTGCCTTTGCGCTCATCCACAAAGGTATCCCTGTTTCCTCACTTCGGCTCCCATAACCCTCACTAAGCAACCTCCCCTCCAGAACGCCGCCCGCCCAAAATCTCCGAGACACCTAAAGCAACCATGATGCTCGTCGGTGACGTGGCGTCGCGCGTCTGCATCCTGATCGACGACCTGGTCGACACAGCAAAGACCATCACGAGAGCGGCCAATCTGCTGAAGCGCGAGGGCGCCTTGCAGGTGATTGCGCTGCTGACGCACGGCGTGATGAGCGGCGAAGCGCTCGCGCGCATCAACGCCTCGGCGCTCGAAAGAATCGTCGTGACGAATACCGTTCCGCAGGAGAAGCATCGGGGGTTGTGCCCCAAGTTGGAGGTGCTGGATGTCAGTGGCACATTTGCCGAGGCGATTCGGCGCGTGCATCATGGCGAGAGCGTCAGTATGTTGTTTCAGTATGACTGATCCAACTTGATGATGGAGGCAACTGGGTTGGAGAGAGGTCGGCCTGCGGTATGGGCCAGATATGGAAGAAGAGTGCTCTTTGTAGCCTGTCGGCTTGAGGCTTACCGGGATAGCGAATACGGATGGGACAGAGATGTCGGATGTTGCCGTGTTCTTTGTTACCCGGGATATCGGGGAAGGAGATTGTCTGGTCTGGAATACGATAATACGGAGAGGTATTCCGGCCAGAGTTTATAATACCCCCGCTTCAAAAAGACATCCCGAAGCCCTCAAGGTCAGATCGAGCACGTCGCTTGAGCAGCTCCTAGTCTCTGGCTTCATGACATGCCCTCATTTACTGCCTATGAGACATATGCATTGGCTCCCACTAGAGAGACGGACCCGTCTCTCTAGTGGGAGCCGTATGCATTGGATGGATGTGTCAGCAGCGCCTGTGGCTGTGTTTCTGTAGTGGAAATGACCCAGGCGGCTTCAGAAACTTGGCGAATAAATGGCCGCTAGAAGCGTGAGGCAGAGATCATGATGCTGAAAAAGGATCTGCTAGGAGCAGAGATGGGACCAGGCCATGACGTTGCGCAAGTAAATGGTGAATGGATCAAGTTTGCCAAGGCCGGGTGACAGATGAACTGCCGCCGACTCCTGCGCTTCATCAATGCAGCCATGTATGTACCGATATAGAGTGCCTAGAATGGAGCGATGTGTTCTGCATGGTGAGATGATCAAACACAAGGATCGATCCTGCGTCGCTATAGAGGCACTGAAGCACAATGAGGATTGAGTCTCGCAACTCGGCTTCTCTGCTGCGAATGGTCTGCCCTCCAAAATGTCGTAGCTCAGGTTGGCTGAGAACAGGAAGAGATGCAGGGCTCTCATTCAACGCGAAACGACGCGGGACAAGTACGACAGAGCGTGTTGATTGGTCAAGTTCTTGCTGCAGGTAGTGCAGCCTGCCAAGCATTTATTTTCAGCCATTCAAACGGATCCCCCACACGCCCCCCACCGTGACTCTCATGCATACAAGCCATCAAAACAACAACAAAAGTTAAAGAGAGACGAACCAGAAAGGGGGGGTTGTATGCGCGACGATGACCAGGTTGTGTGGCGTCAAATTCATCTCGTACATCAATCGCTCATCATGCTAGAGGAAGATTTAATGAAGATATGCCCATCTTTCTTAAACGCGCCTACACGGTAGACCAAGTTGTCCGTCTCGTTGTTCTGCAAGTCGGCAAAGCGAAGCCAAGTTGGGGTGGATGTCCCACAACCCAACCTCTGAGGCCAGGAGGTTGGGCAACGGCACCGTTGTGCTTGGAGTCGGGAGTTACCACTTATCGGCTAGCTACTATGTATATTGACTTGCTGCTGCAAAGCGATATCTTTGCTATTAGCGATTCAGACGATCCGGCTCAAGAACACTCTAACCGGCACTGTCCTGGAGGTACAGTACTATGTAGAGAGATGAAAACACCACGCATAGCATCTTGAACGCGGCTGGAATTGACATGACAGTTACCCGCCCACCGCGGCTGCAACGCCAAGCGGCTAGTGGATGTTTTGATGGACCGTGCATCCTGGGATGGGCGAATGACGGCGGAGCGCGTCTGCGTGCCAATGTAATCTTGAAATTACCGTTGGGACGTTGAAATGACTCCTCAGGATGGTAGAATTTATGGCACAATAGGATTCACACGGCGGTAATTACTGTCAGATAATAGGAACAAACAACAGCAGTCGCGGTAGGACTGGACCACGCTAGCCAAGCCTACCAATACGCAGGGGTGGTAGTACCCTCCATGACCCTTCCAACCTCATTCCTTCTCTCAACCACACCTTTCTTCGCCTTGCCACACCATCACCACCATCATCGTCGATATCTCGCATTCCCCGCTCTCCAGGTTTCCGACCCAACATACTCGAGATACGGCACTCCTGAGATGGATTCCTGACCTCCGGAGCCTCCTATCGACCTAACCGCTTGGGCCACTGCCCGGTGCTCTGTTGCCCCGCCATCGACCCAACGACGTTAACGAGCCCAACCGGTTGTGCGCGCCATTCTTCACCTGCGTCGCGTCGCTGCGCCGACCAGTTTACCCGCTTTACAAACGGCAACGCAAGCTCAGGAGGCGCCATTGTCCAATTTATCCTGCGACGACATCAAGCCAGCAGCACACTCCTTTTGGAGGATCGAGTCTCGCATTTGAGCTATTCGGAACAGAACAGAGGTCATATTGCTTGAGAGTTCACGATCATTAAAGCGCTCTACGTGTTTCAATAATTAGCGCACAACCTCCTGCCGTCCACACGATACCGGAAAACAGCACGCGACCTCCGCGGCACAACATTTTGTCGCATGGTCGCTCGCCTTGCAAACATCGACCTCTAAATATCCTGTCTTCATTTTCTCTAGAATGGCCTTCAACATTGCGACGGACGGCGATCCCTCCAAAGCTATGGCAGCGGCGGGGCCATCCAGCACAAGATTCAGCCATCCTTCTGCATCAAGACCCCCTTCTGGCCTGTTGCCTTACGATGCACCTTCTTCCAGAGGCTGCACAACCATTGGCCAGCTTCGCCCGACAGCGGCCGAGCACGCCTACGATGCTTCTACCAGCGCCTCGCGAGATAGCCTTCAGGGGACCCCGCGTAGGAAACGGCAGAGGATAGATGCTGACCGGTATGTCAAGCGCTTCTCTTCTGCACCAAGTTTGCTAACTCGTACTCAGATTCATTCCGGCCCGGTCCGGCCGGGATCTGCAGTCTGAATTTCACTTGATCCCACCGCCACCGCGACCGACGCCCGAAAGAGGGAGACCGAGGAGTCCGCCAAGGGGCTATCGCTCCCAGAGGAGTAAGCCTGTCTTTAACCAAGTCGCTTTGCCAAGACGTCCCTGACACCCTTGATAGGTGAAGAAGCGGATGAGACCTTCCAGGAACTTCTACGAGCAGAGATTTTTGGGGATGATAGTGTGCCTCAAGCCTCGCCAAGGTGGACGTCAGATGACCACATGCGCACACCTCCAAGGAATACACCTTCTCTTCCTGCAACACCGCAAAAGAACCTCTTCTCATACGTCTCTCCTCGCCATCAGCATCTTATCGGTCTTTCCACCCCAAAAAAGACACCACAAAGAGGCCACAGCCTGGTCCCGGACCCTCGCTTAGAAGCCTACAGCACGACTCCGATCTCTTATACGAGTCAGCAGATGCTGCTTGCCCCGCGCCGTCAACATAGAACTGTCGCCAAGGTACCAATCAAGGTCCTGGATGCACCGAATCTGGCCGAGGATTTCTATCTTAACTTGATGGACTGGGGCAGCTCGGATGTGCTGGCCGTTGGCCTTGGCGCCGGCGTCTTCATGTACAATGCGCAAAACGGCAAAGTAGCAAAACTGTGCACACTCGACGACGACAAGGTCACCAGCGTATCCTGGATCCAGAAGGGAACCCACATTGCCGTTGGAACCAAGAAGGGGCTGGTGCAGATATGGGATGCTCAAAAGTTCAAGCGACTCCGGACTATGACGGGCCACACTGCCCGTGTCGGCTCGCTAGCCTGGAACGCCCACATCCTTTCCACCGGTTCGCGGGACCGATCCATATTACACCGCGACGTCCGGGCGCCGGACCAGTGGGTGAAGCAGCTCCTCGGACACAAGCAGGAAGTCTGCGGCCTGAAGTGGAACTGCCAGGACGGCCAACTAGCCAGCGGGTCAAACGACAACACCGTCCTCGTCTGGGACAAGGTTATGGACCAGAAACCTCTCTGGACCTTCAATGAGCACATCGCTGCCGTTAAGGCGCTTGCCTGGTCGCCCCACCAGCGCGGCCTCCTCGCCTCGGGCGGCGGCACAGCCGACCGCCGCATCATCTTCCACGACACAGTGCGGGGGTCGGTTCGCAACGACATCGACACGGGCAGCCAGGTCTGCAACCTCATGTGGTCCAAGAACTCGAACGAGCTTGTCTCCACGCACGGGTACATACAGAATAACCTGGTCATCTGGAAGTACCCCTCCATGACCCGCGTTGCCAGCCTCACGGGACACACGTATCGCGTACTGTACCTGGCCATGTCGCCGGATGGGACGCAGGTGGTGACCGGCGCGGGGGACGAGACGCTGAGGTTCTGGGAGGTGTTTAAACCCAAGCAGCCAGTTAGGTTGCTGGGTGGGAACGTTGATTTGCCGGTTATTCGGTGATTATGGGAGGGGAGAAGGTGGGTTTAACTTGCATTTACGGGTAGGACTAGGGAAGGGGACACATTTGGCAGTGGCATTCGTGCATGGGATGGGATGGGAAGGAGTTGAGAAGTCGGAAGCGTTCATCGAATTCATCGTCAGCGGACTGAGAGGGGTGCTTAGCGGGAATGCTGGGTTTTGACAATGGGTAGAATAGTGGTTGGGATGGAATCTGGACAGCGAAAGAAATTGGATTCGGGGACAAAATGAAATGGGATGGGATATTTCAGCGGCCTCAATCAGGACATTGTGCTTGTGTGATTGGGACTGATTTGGTATTACGGGTTAAGCGATTGCCGAGCGATGCGCACGGGATGGGCATGACATTGGGCAGCGGGGTTGGTTTGGCATTGCAAGTGTGTTCAGGCTGGTGGTGGTCAGAGGTGTTGGGCGTTGGGGGTCAAGCAACGGATGGTTATGATACGGGCGGTTTGTGTTTATGGCAGCTATTGTCTGAGCTGAGCCTTTGCAATGCCGACTTCTTGACAATCATACATCTTCGATATCTCAAGTTCATTGTTTGGTATCCTCCTTGTTGCAGGTAAGCATCAGGCTCCATACCGCTTGATGCGACTGCGACCTGTTTCCTCAGGAGAGATCCAGCCATCTCTCTGATCATTGGTCTGTTTCGACCTTCCTAAGGACAAAAGTAATTGACTACCCTGGCCAAAGGGGCAGGCGCTGAAAGACATAATTGTGACTGATGCCTGGACACAGTATATCGTTCAGAACGCATAAGTGATGGTGGCCTCGGTGAGGCGGTCAGATGCTCGAATGACGGGAAATATTGCGGTGGTCGGCGTTGGGGCCGACAACATGAAGGCGAGGTGGGTGAATCTGAAACCCAGATCGAGAGACAAGTTGATGGGCACGGGAAGGGTTCTTCCGGTCTGATCCTTCTAGAAACGGCGAGCAAGTCTACGCTGAGAATCCATCTCTGTTCGACGTAGCTCCGTGGCCGACTATCCGCAAGCTTGAGCATAGCCAGGTACACCATTGATCTTAGTAGCCGGGTTGACGGTCGTCGTATAACCCTTAGCCCTTGAAATATCGGCGCCGGTAAGGAAAAGGAAGTAGAGTAGAAGTAAGGGAGAGGAGAGGACCGTAGAAGAAGACTAACACAAGCTTAGACATGACTCTTCGTACCGGGTAGTCTGTCTTGTTTCCTTTCTAAATGCTAGGCTACCTAGGCAACAAACAAACTAGGGTTACACTATACACCCATACTTGGCCAGGGACCGTCTCCGAAACGAATCCGCCACGGTGAAGTTTGTGGGATGAGAGGTGAACATTACCGTGTCGGATTCCCGTCTGACGGGCTGCTCCCCCTTGAGACGACGCTCATTACCAACGGGGTGCTGCTCCCCGACATTGGAGAGGGTTCAGGAGAGGCGGCTGTCAGGGCCGTTGACGACCACCCGAACAAGGACCAAGACACAAGAGCACTGCCATTCAAGAACCTTTCTTATTCAAGGACGGGAGCACAGTCCAGACCAAAGAAAACAAGCCAAGCTGGCTAGAGACAGTACACGCAGGGTATCATAGATAGGTAAATGTGTAAAATCCAGTCATGCCTCAACCAGTTCCCCATTCAGCCTTCACCCTCCCCTCTCCAACACTCTACCAACCTACTCAACCTGGGCCCTCGAATCATGGCATGTAAGGTGTAAAGTAAGAAAACGAGTAGAGGGGCGAAACACACCCCCTGATCATGGCCTCTAGCATCCAGCGCCGCCAAACCAGGAATATCAAGTTGTCCCAGAATCACTCATTATACCCAACATGACCAGAGCAGGAAACTCAGGATATCACTCCCCCAGCAGACAACAGCAACAATCACATTATAGACTCCCCGCTTCCAGCCTTCCTCTCCCTAGCCACATCCCTCGCGCCCCCATCCATATCTGCGCCTGTTGTAATGACCGCCGCCGGCCGCTCATCATTCAACAGCGGGATATTATCCACGCCGCCCCGGGCGCCACCAGCAAAAAACCCATCATCCGACGGTTTCCCCGAGATGGCATCCCCGACTCCCGGCGTCGTCCCGGCGGAGACATCCGCCACGCCGGGCGTCATGGCGCCCTCCTGCGGCCACACATCCGGGCTGTGCTGCCACTTGGCGACCTCGGCCTTCATGGCCTCGAGCTCCTTCTGGAACCGCTTCCCAAACACGTCGATGTAGTAGGTGCTCCCGTTGTACACAGACCACCCGAACACGACAAGCATGAAGAGGGCCGAAGCCCAGCGGCTGTAGAACCATAGCGGGCAGGGCAGCATGGTGAGTACGGCGTACGCGTACTGGATCATCATGAAGGCGGGCTCCTGCAGCGGCTCCGGCAGGGAGAGCACAAACTTGCCGATCCAGACCTTGCTGTACGACCGGCGCAGCCAGGTGAAAGACGTCGGGCGGCCCGCGGCGATCTTCTCGCGGCGGCGGACTGTAATGAAGAAGTAGTAGCTGAGCTGCCAGATGGCGTAGGGGATGGTGGACCAGGCGAGCATGGAGAGGACGTTGGCGTAGGCGGTTGCGGAGCCCGGGGATGACGTCTTGATGGTCCAGATAGCGGGGAAGCGGGCGGCCTGGTAGTCCGGGTCGAGGAGGTGGACGATGCAGTGCAGCGTCGCGCACGGCATGATGTGGATGAATAGAGAGGTGACCTTGTCGAAAGAGTGGAAGACGAGTGAGTTGCGCCACATGATGATGGCGACGGCGTTGTTGCCAAAGGCGAGGCAGTAGACGGCGGTGAAGAGGCGCTTGGACGAGGGGAAGACCCAGATGCTGAGCATGAGGAGGAAGTTGACAAAGTAGCAGAGGTCGGCAAGGAAGTAGTGGTAGCCGCGGCGGTGGTAGGTGTAGAAGCGGATGGGCATGAAGTAGAGAACCTGCATCGTGTACCATAGGTGGAACCACTCCGGGTAGCCGCCGATCAGGTAGCCGCTCACAAAGATATTCATGACGCCGCAGATGAAGGAGATCTTCTCGCGCAACGTGATGACCTTGGTGTCGTTCCAGCGGGCGCCCAACTTCTCGACGCTGGTGCGCATTCGCTTGCGGTAGCGGTCCAGCTGCTCCTCGGCCGACGGCACGCGGCGGCGCCACTCGTCCACCATGCGCTCGCGAGCAATGCGGCTCTTGTTGCCGAGGGCCTCGCGCGACTTGCGCACCTTCTCCGTCTGGGCCGAGATTCCCTTCTGCAGCTTCTCGAGCTGAGTCGACAGAGCGAAATTATCCAGTATGTCGAGCACCGTCAACCGGTCCAGGGGCGGGAACGGGTCCCAGTCCTCCTGATATGAGCTGCTCCCTGAAAACGACGGGTTGCGCGAGTGGCGGAAGCTCTTCGGCCCGGGCGAACCCGGCGTCGTTGGGCCCAGAGTAGGCGTGTCGAGGACATGTTCGTGCAGCGGGTGGTCATCGAGAAGTGTGCTACTCATTTCCGGTGTCAGGATGGCCTCGCTGTCGGTGGAAGTGCCTTCCCACTTGTTGTTCTTGTATGGGATTGATATAGGGTTACTCGTCTTCTCTGGTTCCGTCATTTCGAACGGCCGGGTGTGGCTTGAAACAAGTCCTGGTTGAGCTGGCAAGACTCCTGTTTGGATAATTGAAGCTCGAGAAAGCTGGAAAACGAAGGCGTCAGTAAACCATGGCTGAGATGAAGTCTACGTTCATCAACAACGATAAGGGCAAGCAGGGTGGATAATCATCGTCATTGATGGACAAAGGGCGGTATGGTAACCAGCTGTGGATCTCGACTTACACGGGTCTCCAACACCAGCGACTGAAATGCAGCGTAAGTGCACCGCCAGCCGCGGGGACTTTGAACGACCTTCGGCTATCTTCCGGGTCGAGGTATTCAAGTGTGGTGTTGCAAGGCGGTTGATGTGCTTGTGATGCCTTTTCTCTGGTCTGATAGTGGGTTGTCAAGCAACCTTGGATCTCAAGCTTCGATGGATTATTTGTGTTCTGTGTGCGAAATTCGCGGTCCGAGGTCGATCGAAGGATAAATGCGAAGAAGCTTCAGGTAAGCTGTAGGGGTTGACGCGACGGTGTCACGCTACGTATCAGGATGTTGACATGTGCTTGTGATGCAAGGTAGGGAATCCAGCTGACCGTGAACTGGGACAAAAGGGTGTTGAAGGCTGCAGCTTGAACTGCTCAGTGGCGCCTCAGCAGACCCATGCTACTGGCTGAATGCTTGACGTGTTTGAATCCTGGGTTGTGATTGGACAGAGATATTTCGGCAGCTCTTGAGGGAGTCCGATATTCGTACTGTCCCCCTCCTGATGCTCGCACGTATTCAACCGCTTACGGCCGTACGAAGACTTCGCAGCCCAGCAATACCGTTAGTTCATCCGTACATCACAAGCGCAGTCTAGACTCAATTGCAGGCAGGAAAGCGAAGTAATTACTACTCTTACAATGTGTGATCTTCCGAGCCCTAATGCTGTAGTGCCTTACATTCAGCTTCGAAGACTTGGTTTACCAAGCCCGGAGTTGGGTGCAAGACCCGGGTCCGCCAGCTCTGCCCAGTTTCGAGCCTAGGCCGCACTCTCAAAGGTAGCAGCGTAACTATAACTAACCTCCAAATGCAACTATATTGTTAAGGGAATGAGCCAGCTTCATTATGCAGTGTAGATAATCCTTATTTTACGTCTTGGTGTCCTCTGATATAAAGAGACGGTTATAGCTATACTATATAATCCTGATGTAGCTGGTGCGGTCCGGCGCTCTACGTGAAGCAGTTAAATATTTGCGAAAATCCATTGGAAAACAGTACGAATATCGGGCTCGCTCTTAAGGCGAACCTGGCGACCTGGGTAGCCAACCCTCACAGCCTGTACTGAATCGAGGTATTGAATGACTCTCGGGTTTTCATGTGCTGGTTTGCCGCCCAGAAACGGGTGTCTCGAGTCTCATCTGTTTCTCTCTTCTTGATGGACCACACAGGACCGTGTTACTTTGTCCATGCATCAAATTCATTCAACCGTTGAGCTTCACGGAGATGGGTTCGATAATTCGGATGTCACAGTAACCCGTAACAAAGGGTGTCAGTATCAGCTCAAATCCACCGTACTACCTAAGTTAACCCTGGGTTGTTGGTTAGCGCGGTACTCATGTAGTCCAGGTGTTACACGTCGTGCATCTTCTTCACTTTGACCTACTCTTATCTTTTCGTTTCTTTGCTCTTCCAGATCCTATCTATCTTTGTCTTTGTCTTTCTCTTTCCCCTTCCCTTACTTTCTGTCTTTACATTCATTAATTTTTCCGTCTCCTTTTCATTTTCTTACGCTCCTTGATTTCACTTATTCATGTCTTCAGATAGTGTGACCCGCCATGTGCCACGCTTACGAAGAATCAGGGGCTGGATTGTACAGAATGCAGGCCAACAATCTAGAAGCATTCAGCTTAAACATTAGTGAAATAGCTACATCTTGAAGAAAATAAATGTTCTTCTCAGCATCTACCTAGAGGAGCGGTAAGTTGCGTACGAGGGTCTCTTACCATCTTTCTACCTACCTAGGTGGCAGACGGCTGCTCCTAACCATAAGACCCGGTGTCTCTGTTATGTGGTTCGTATGTACATACGTGATACTTACAATACCTACCTACCTTACCTAGCGAACCCCGCCAAACAGGATCGCGATTGGAAATTTACGGCTTGTTGCGATCACTGACATCGGGACCCGGCGCGACTTGTGAGCGGAAGCAGGCCAACATTGAATCGGTATCTCGATTTCACGCGCGTTTTCATGCGCTCAACTGCGCGATCTACTCGGAACTACTATTCAACGCGGTAATACGCTTCTATCTCCGAGAGCCGGACGCGACGAGAACCAAGGGCAATCAGATCCGCGCGACGGAGCAGCCGTAACCATGGGCAAGCTCATCCGTCTTGAGCTATTCAGTGCGTGCCGCCGCTATCCTGTTCTTTTGAGCAGTGAAGCTTACCTCGACCCTTAGATTTCAAATCCTACAAGGGTCACCATACCCTGCTGTTTGGGGACTCCTATTTCACATCCATCATCGGCCCAAATGGCTCCGGAAAATCGAATTCGTGAGTCGCGTACCTAATACATACTCCATGTCAAATCGCGCTGACACAGCTGCCTCGTGTTCAGCATGGACGCCATCTCCTTCGTCCTGGGTATCAAGTCGTCCCACCTCCGATCGTCCCACCTCCGCGACCTAGTCTACCGCGGCCGGGTAATGAAGACGTCCAAGATACAAGACGACGGGACCGCTGCGCCTGCGGCGAACGGGAATATCAACGGCCACGAGAATGGCGACGACGAAGATGCGTCACAACGGGCCTCCCGGAACGATCCGAAGACGGCATGGGTCATGGCAGTCTACGAGGACGATGCGGGCGACGAGCAGCGGTGGAAACGGAGCATTACGAGCAACGGCACAAGCGAATACCGCATCAACGATCGTGTGGTTACTGCCCAACAATACAACGAAGCGCTCGAGGAGGAGAACATCTTGATCAAGGCCCGGAACTTCCTCGTCTTTCAAGGAGACGTCGAGGCCATTGCCTCCCAGTCGCCACAGGACCTGACCCGCCTGATTGAGCAAATTTCGGGGAGTCTGGAGTACAAGGCCGAGTACGAGAGGCTCCAGGCAGAGGCAGAGCAGGCAGCAGAGAACCAAAACTTCCAGCTCCACCGGAGGCGAGGCATCAACTCGGAAATCAAGCAGTACCAGGAGCAAAAGAAGGAGGCCGAGAACTTCCAAAGGAAGACCGAGGAGCGGGACGAGGCCGTCGTCACGCATATCTTGTGGAAGCTGTACCATTTCCAGCGGGTCATGGACGAGTCCAGCGCCCAGATCCAGGAGCACCACGAGAACCTAAAGGAGTTCCGCCGTAATGTGGAGACCTTCGAGAAGAAGCTCGAGGCTGCTCGCAAGGAGCAAGCCACTGTGACTCGCGAAGTCAGCAAGATTGAAAAGAGCATTAAGAGCAAGGAGAAGAGCATCGAAGAGAGAGACAACAGCCTCGTCCCAATTGATGAGAAGATCACGCAGAGCTCACAGGATATGGCGACCCTTCGAAAGCGCATCACGGATGTCAAAAAGGACCGTGATGAGAAGACGGCCAATATCCAAAAACTCAAAAAAGATCTCGCGACGGTTGAGAAAGCACACCAGCAGTTTGAGAAGCAATGGGCCGAGACGCTGAAGAAGCAGGGCAAAGAGCTGAGCGACGCAGACCGCAAAGAGTACACCACCCTGCAGGCCGAGGCCATGAGGAAGACGTCAAATAACCGCGCAAAGCTGGCCAATTTGCAGCGTCAACTGAGGGGCGACGAAGTCACAGTGAACAGCTTGAAGGGCAAAATTGACAACTTTGAGGCGGCCGTCGAGAAACTGCAGAGCGAAGTCCAGGCGATTAAGGACCGCCGGAATGCCAGCCAGGACTCCGTCCGCCAAATAACCAGTGAGATCGATGCCAAGAAAAAGGAGTTCAACAGCGTGCAGTCTGAGCGGATTAGAATCAACAACACTCATACCGAGCTGGAGGAGAAACTCCGTGAAGCGCTGAGGAAGCTGGACGACGCCAACATGGGCCGAAGACAGAACGAAAAGGAGGCCAAGATGAGGAGCATGATCAGCGATCTCAAGCGCATATACCCCGGCGTCCGCGGCCGAGTGGGCGAGCTCTGCAAGCCCAAACAAAAGAAGTTCGACGAAGCTGTAGCGACCGCCCTAGGCCGAGAACTCGATGCGGTCGTGGTCGACACCGAGAAGACTGCCGTAGACTGTGTCCAATACCTCAAAGACCAACGATTTCCTCCCCTGATTTTCATCCCGCTCGACAACATCAAAGTCAACACCTCGAATCCCGCAGTCAAGGGTGTTTCCGGTGCGCGCCTGACCATCGACACCATCGACTTCGACTCTTCCCTGGAGCGAGCCATTGCCTACGCCTGCGGTGGCTCCGTGGTTTGCGACAGTCTGGATGTCGCCAAGGACATCGTGTACAAGAAGAAAATCCAGGTTAAGGCGGTAACTCTGCAGGGGTACGTGATTCACAAGGCTGGCACCATGTCTGGCGGTCGGTTACCCGAAGACAAGGGCGGGAAACGTGGCTTCGAGGAGCATGACGTCCAGAATCTGCAGCGACTGGTCGAGAAGTTCCGGAATGATATTGCCAACCTGCCTAGGCCAGGGAGGCGAGGTTCTGCCGAAGAATCTCTGCAGAACGAGATTGGCGCGCTCGAACAGCGTCTCCGACTCCAGCAGAGCGAGCTGGCTGCCTTTGAAAAGAACCTCAAAAGCAAGCAGAAGGAGCTTGACCACGTGAAGCGGGAACTCAGGGACTACGAGCCCAAGTATGCCGAAAAGGAGGAGGAGTTGCAGCGCACTCGCGCCACTGTCCAAAAGTTCGAGAAGGCCATCTTTGACGTCGAGGATAAGATCTTCGCCAATTTCTGCAAGAGACTCGGGTACGAGAACATCCGTGCTTACGAGGCTCAGCAGGGCAGTCTTGAGCAGGAAGCGGCCCAGAAGCGGCAGGACTTTGACGTGCAGAAAAAGCGCATCCAGAACAACCTGGCCTGGGAGACTTCGCAGCAGAACGCGGCCAATGACCGGGTGAGCGTAATGGAGGCGACATTGCAGCGGCACCAGAAGGATCTGGAAGCTTATCAGCAGGAGAAGGAAGATATTGAGGAAGCAAGGGCGCGAGATCAAAACGAGCTCGGAGCCCTTCAGGGGTCCCTGGACGAGCTAAAGGAGACGCTCGGTGAGAAGTCCAAGAAGCTCGCCGAGGCGAAACAGGATCTGCAGAAGAAAACCAAGGAGATTGACTCGAGGTTAAAAGAAATCAGCAACCTGGAGGCCGCGGTGCAGAAGAACAGTGCTCAGAAGTTTGCCTTGCTCAGGAGGTGCAAGCTGGAGCAGATCCAGCTGCCGATAAGCAAGGGCTCGCTCGACAACATCCCCAACGAGGATGTGCTGCTCCGCAAAAACCAAGATATGATGGATGTCGATGGCGAGGAGGACGAGGAGGAGGTGCTGGAGGCTGCCATGGACGACTACGGCATCGAGATTGATTTTGACGCGTTGGACGAGGAGCTCAAGAACGTATGTCACGTTCCTGTTTTTCGCTTGAAGCCTCCGCCAGTCATAGCTAACAACCGCAGCCTGATGACGATCTCGAAGAGAAGCTCCAGTCAAAGATCAACTCCCTGACCAACGAGCTCGAAAAGCTTAACCCCAACATGCGCGCCATGGAGCGCCTCGAATCCGTCAAATCCCGCCTTGAGTCCACCGAGAAGGACTTTGAAGACTCCCGCGCCGCTCTCCGCGCCGCCCGTGAGGCCTTCACCCAAGTCAAAGAAAAGCGCTTCGAGCTCTTCAACCGCGCCTTCACGCACATCCAGGAGCAGATCACGCACGTATACAAGGACCTGACGCGCTCCGACGCCTATCCGCTCGGCGGCCAAGCCTACCTCGACATCGAGGAAGATACCGACACCCCTTACCTTTCGGGCATCAAATACCACGCCATGCCCCCGCTGAAGCGCTTCCGCGACATGGAGCACCTCTCGGGCGGCGAAAAGACCATGGCCGCCCTCGCGCTGCTGTTTGCCATCCACAGCTACCAGCCGAGTCCATTCTTTGTGCTGGACGAGGTCGACGCGGCGCTGGACAATGCCAACGTGGAGAAGATCAAGAATTATATTCGTGAGCACGCCGGGCCGGGCATGCAGTTCATCGTCATCAGCCTCAAGCCGACGCTGTTCCAGGACAGTGAGAGCTTGGTGGGCGTGTATCGTGATCAGGAAGTCAACAGTTCGCGGACGCTGACGCTGGATGTGAGTTTCCTCTCTCCCCCCCTTCTTTCTGGTCATTAATCGTGCTGCGTTATGACTTACTAACTGATTGCTACAGCTGCGGAAATACGTGTAGCGGCGTCTCGCGGTGACGTGGTTTATGAGGTTCATTTGTATTTGAGCTAGCAAGCAACTTCTTCGCGGTCGGTTTTGAGACAAGGTGAATAGGACTGTTAGGGTCTATTACTCTATCCATCTAGCAAATATATGCCCCCGTACGCGTCGAGTGGTTATGCTTCTGTCCTTGTAAATTTATGATACAGCCGATCCCAAAGCGTATATCTATCCCAAATGCGCTCCATGTCCGGTCGTCCCCCAAACTCCATCCCTTACGACATGCGTGCCCAAATGCCAACAACCGTTTCCCTTCTGTAGGTTACCCTTTCGACTTCCAAACCATGTCGTCCGTTCCTCAAGTCCCTCTTTCTCCGAATGCAGTATCGACGGTCGAGCTTCTCGGGTGTGTCGTGCAGATCAACGCCCATCCATAGCACGCGATCCGAATCTTGAATCCCAGTCCAACTTCAATGCCTCCGATTAACTCCATGCCCCGAGACTCCTGATCGCCACCATATCCATCATCAACATGTCGACTCGCGGTGTGCCGCGGTAGACGCTGGTGAACATGGCGTGCAAATCGACGCAAAGTCCACGGAAATCATCCAAGCCTAAACACGAGTCCCACTCCAACCCAACTCCAAGTCCGCCCCTTGAGCTCCCGGTTCCTCGTCGACCAAAAGTCGATTTGCGGTGAGCGGCGGTAGGCGTGTGGTGCTTATATGCTGGCATGCAAAACGCAGTCGATAGGTCGCTCTCCCACATTTTGGTGGGCTGAGTATTTGCAAAGGACAAGCCAAACCGCAGAACAGCTGAACCGCAAAGATCGTCGACCGCGGAAAATAGAAGCGGCTCTGGGCTGAAGGTGTCACCTTCTTGTGCCAGGCTGCTTACTGCTAGTCGAACGGATGTACTTTCGCCCTGATGAGCTCCAGTTAGTCTCGGCGTCAAAACAATGGGAGGTCAAGCATTGTCCTACAATCATGCGAGCGTTGGTACCAAACGATAAAATCCGCTCAGACGACGTCCTCAAACTCGAACTGTTCGTCGTCCTCCTCATCCTCCATCTTGAAGCTCATGGCGGCGCCCTTTTCGTCCGCCGTCTCGGCTGCGGTGTCCAGCTTGACGCGTTTGGCCGGCAGCATGTCGTCCTCCTCGACGTCGTCGTCCAAGGGGCGGTCCAGTGGTTCTTGGGTTTTCATCATAGCGAGCAGCTCGGATTTTGAACTGGGGACGGTGGTCTCGGTGATCCACGACGGCAGCTCGTTTTCTTTGGCGAGGCGCTCCTTTCGCTTGCGCTGCTCCATCCTCTCCTGCTCCATGTCGTCCGAGATGGTGACCTGCATAGTTTTGGGGCCGACGTTGGCGAGACCCTTGACGGCCGAGGGCTTCATGCCAAACAGGCTGCCGGGTTCAATAGGCACGCTGGCGAGGGCCTCATGGGTGGGCTCGCGCACGATGGGGCGGGCATCCTGGATGGCCTTGTCGAAGGTGCACTCAGGCACCATGATGCGGTCGATTTGCTGCAGCATGTCGGTCATGAAGCGGAACTGGTTGTTCATGCGCGAGAGCTGCTGGTGCCCCGCCGTGTCGTGCTCCCTGAAGAGCTCCAGCACGGTGCCGCAGCGCTGGCAGAGGAAGCCGGCGGACGAGACCTTATCGAGCACCTCGAGCTGGGTCCACTGGGCGCGGCAGCGCGGGCACGAGTACTCCTTGGACTCGTCGGCGGGCTGGACGCTGCCTTGCATATCCTTGTCGGTCTTGTAGACGCGCCACTTGATGGCATCGATAGTCTGGCGGTAGTCGATATAGTAGTAGGTCCGGTTGATGGGGCGCGACTTGCCCTCTTGTATCTCGGGCCGTGTATGGACGACCAGGAAGCGGGCGTCGCGCAGGCCAGCGCACAGGCGGTGGAGGTCTTTGAGGTTCATCTTCATGAGGTAGGCGAGCTCGTCGTCGCGCAAGGCCGAGTGGGTGACCAAGGCATCGACCACGAGTATCTCTTGGGTCGTGTAGAAGGCGCGCATGACGGCGCGAACCAGTGTCTGGACAACCTCCATCGCGACCTGGTTTATACGCTTTGGTAAAGCGGAATAGGTTGTCGGTGTTGAAGGACCAACAGTGTGGTAGTTGTTTGAGAGTTGAGATGTCTTTTTGAGTCGTCGACTTCCAGGTCGAATCTTTCGGTTCACAAAGCGAGCGTCTGGTGATTGTTTGGAATGAGTTCCAGGATTGTGATCCTCTTCGTAGAAGAGTAGCGGGAAGAAACGCGCGGGCAAAAGACCTGTTGACAACGAGTAGTTATGCCTGCTTGCGTCGGTTTCTGTCTGAATGACAAGAGAAGAGAAGACGAGGGAGCCTAGGCTGAGGCTGACGGCTTTTATGAGTGCGCGATACTGTGTTGTGGCGGCACCGCGCCAACAACCTGCAATTTCTTTCGCGGAAACCACGAGGTCAGAACAAACAGCTAGTGTGTCAATTCTACATTAGAGGCATATGTAACTGAATTTTAGTCCGGCTCCTAGCTCGTTATATGCAGTTTCCGGGCTTGGAGTGCAAGTCGAAGGCAGACGTGGAAAGGCAAAATACGTATATAGTGTAATTCTATAAGCTTGCACACAGTGCTCGCCAAGCCCTTGTCTTCGGAACCTCTCAGTCGCAACGTCGTCATCCTGCGAGGGCTCTCAATGTGAGTGGCCATTTCATTCTCTGCATGTTCGGTCGAAACCTTGAAGAGGAGCCCCACGCCGATCCGGCGGCATCAGTTCCGGAATTCTGGAAGGTGCACGTCACTGAAACCGCCGGGATGGGACGCAGTCAAAAGATGCTCACCGCACTCGACCTGGGTCGGCGCGTCCTAGTTGGCAACCGTTTTGCTGAACCCGCAGTTATGCTCTGCTTTGCTTGATTTGACTTACGCCCCCAGAAATCTCTTACGGTATTCATCTTGCTATGGTGCCCGCGGTGCTTTGCTGAGAAGTTCTGCCCGATGCCCCAAGAGGTCCCTCCCACAACCTGTTTCATGAAATTCCGAATGATCAATCGACACGACTTGGGGCGACGCCACCTGGATCTGCGAAGATGGCTTCGAGTAGTCGACTTCGAAAGAGGTCAGCTAGCAACATGACGCTCAGCTTCCCCATCATCTTTCTTCTTGCTACCAATCTTAACTCGAAAGAACTCCAGGATCTCGAGGAACAAATCCCCACGCTCACTTACGATATCAACGAAGCCGAGATCGTACTGGGCAAGGTGTTCCGCAAGGAGCGAGCACTATTTGAGCTCAGGAAACATAGGCTCATCACCGAAGAGGTCGAACCATCAGAAGCTTCCACCTCTGCATCCCATGGCAGAAAACGCGTTAAGCTGGATACGCCTGCCCTGGGCAGCTCTGATTTGGACTCGGACACGGCATCGGACGGCGAGATCCAGCGGCGCCTTATCGGGTCAGCTCCTGTCAGCCCCACCGTCAAGGTGGTGAAGCTGCCCTGGTTCACCGAGTCGGTCAAGGCAGGAGAAGTTCTTCCGATGGACGACTATCTCGTATACGAAGGGCACAAGGTGCCAAAGACCCCGGTGAAGTCCGCACAGCCCCTGCCGGCCGAAATAGCGGCACAGGTCATGAAACGCGCTGCGGCCGATGCAGGCGCTCTCTCCAGAGGCAGCCCACGGGCGACATCATCTCAGGGGAGACGGGGCGAGACTTACACCAGCCATCCCGTCCGGCCCGCCCTACTTAGGCAGACTACGTCAGAGCATGAGATAGACACGCAGTTGCCACCAATACCAGACTACCTCCATACTACGTATTCGTGCCAGCGTCCAACCCCTGTCCATCCTCCAAACGAGGCCTTCATCAAGGAGCTCACCAAAATCAAGACGGCCCGGACATTGGTTGGGGATCATATAGGGGTGAGAGCTTACTCGAGCGCCATCGCCACCATTGCTGCCTATCCGTATAGCATCCAGACGGCACAAGGTAGGAACAGACACCCTGTCGTACCCATGCATTTTCTCCCGGCTAACATGCCCACACAGAAGTGGCAAGGCTCCCAGGCTGCGGCAACAAGATTGCCCTGCTCTTCCAAGAGTTCAAGGACACGGGTCAAATCAGGGAGGCGCGCGAAGACGAATCGGACCCCAAGCTGGCCGTGCTCATGCTCTTTTACAACATCTGGGGCGTGGGCGAAACAACAGCGCGCGACTTTTACAACCGCGGCTGGCGCGATCTTGACGACATTGTCGAGTACGGCTGGGACACGCTAAACCGCGTGCAGCAGATTGGCGTCAAATACTACGACGAGTTCCAGCTCAAAATTTCGCGGGCCGAGGTCGAGTCCATCTCAGCCACCATTCTGGCGCACGCCAACGCGATCCACCCCGGGTTCGAGATGGTCATCGTGGGCGGCTACCGGCGGGGCAAGCTCGAGAGCGGCGACGTCGACGTCGTGCTGAGCCACCGCGACGAGGCCGCCACGCAGGATTTCGTCGGGCGCATCGTCATTAACCTCGAGCGCGCCGGCTACATTACGCACACGCTCTCGCTCACCACGGCCAACTCGGAGCGCGGGCAGGTGCCCGTCAGCTGGAAGGGCGACGACAAGAACAAGAAGGCCGGTGCGGGGTTTGACACGCTTGACAAGGCGCTCGTGGTGTGGCAGGACCCGGTGTGGGACAAGAATGAAGAGGGCGAGCCCAGGAGGAATTCGAACCCACACCGCAGGGTCGACATCATCATCAGCCCCTGGAAGACGGCCGGGTGCGCGGTGCTGGGGTGGACGAGCGGGACTACGTTCCAGCGGGACCTGCGGAGGTACTGCAAGAAGGAGAGGAGCCTCAAGTTTGACAGCAGCGGGATACGGAGCCGCACGGATGGGTCGTGGGTCGATTTTGAGAGCGGACCGGACGGTTCGCCGGCGCCGGATATGCTGACGGCGGAGCGGAGGGTGTTTGCGGGGCTGGGCTTGGTATACCGGCCGCCAGAGGAGCGGTGCACGGGGTGAATGATTTGGATATGGAGTATCTTAGGATATAGGCGTTCCTGGATGTCCCCGGTGCCACGGATCTTGCCGATGATGTGATCGTAGGACGCATCTCGTGATCGGCGAAAAGTGCGAGACAGCCAGTGGGAGGCCAGAACAGCTCACTCTGGCCCCAACTTTAGCGGGAGGGGCCGCCTTCCGGTTACCGAGCTGCACGACATGTTGCATTCCCATAAAAACACCTAAAACTTCAGGTTCGAGCATCACCACCATCAATCAATTGAACTCGTCGTCCGTCTGTCGGATTCGGCGAGAACGAAGCGCGAAGGGACGTCAAGTGCTGAAATGCCGTCGGCATGATTCCGTGCCACGGACACTTTTGGTCGGCGTCGGGCAGTCTTGTGCCCGCCAACCACGACCTCATTGGTCAACTGATGGCCTGGGCTGGAACAAAACGTGTCCGGGATGGGGCATTCCCGCCGACGGACAGTTACGTAGCAAGCAGAAGCCAACAGAAGACCGTGGCATGATCAAGGCGTTCTATTTGAACTTGTTGCCGTCTGTCTACCTTTGGCGTCAATTCATCAACTGGCATCTCACAAAACAACCCTCAGCAGATCTCTTCTCAGTACTTGGAGATTCCAACAGACCCCAATCTAAATCAAACCAAACAGTCGTCAAAATGACCATCATCACTGTTCCCAACGGATACGGGTAAATCGTTCATCGCACCGCGCATTTCCTGAGCCTACGACTTCCAAACTAACCATGTAACCCAGCTACGTCCTCCTAGCCGCCAGCTCGACCGCGTTCCTCAACACCTTCCATGCCATCCTGACGTCCACCCGCCGCAAGGCTGCCGGCGTCAAGTACCCCATCACCTACGTCACCGCCGAACAGGCCGACAAAGATCCCAAGGCGTATGCCTTCAACTGCGGTGCGTCCTCCATTCCCCCTCTTTCCTATCTTAAAACTAGAAGACTGATGGACAACTGTCTAGCCCAACGCGCCCACGCGAACTTCACCGAGAACCTGACCCCGTTCCTCACCGCTTTGCTCATATCCGGGCTCAAGTACCCCGTCTACTCAGCCGTGCTTGGCGGCACCTGGGCCTTTGGCCGCGTCTTGTTTGCGCTGGGCTACACGTCTAAGGGCCCTCAGGGACGGACGACGTATGTGCACTCTCAAGACTTTTTGCCGTTCTTGTGGTGTTGCTTGCTAATCAACCGGGTGATAGGGGTGGGTATCTTGCCTCGCTCAGTAACATTGTTCTGGCTCTTGGGGCTGCTTATACTGCTCTGGGGTTTGCGCTAGGTTGGTAAACTGGGGACTGGAGTGGTGATTGTGAGGTGCACATACTGATTTGTTGCCGTGTATTATAATGGACGGGATGCGTATATGTGTAGGCGAGGAACTTGTCAGTCTTTTAGAAGCTGTTTATATCACTGAAGAGCTGTTTGTGGTCGTATCTGCTCTGTATTGATTATGTGGATCATAGCAGACGATGTCTACGGCCAAAAGGTAAAAACTTTCAGATTCAGCAGTCTTCCAAGCAACTCGTTTGCTTCCCCCATTCCCCACTCCAGCCTATACTCGGGCTCGGGCTCGGGTTCCGCATAGCCCTCCTTCTGCTCCCTTTGCCTCTGCCCCGATCTCGACCGGCCACGCACTGTTCCCTTCCAGCTCGCCCACTCGCCTTTGCCCTTCTCCCATCTCAACAGGCCACGCCCAATCTCCTTCCACCTCAAACACAGGCTCCCGCAGCCAGCAATCTTCCCTGAGCCCGTCCACCGTTGCCCACGGCGAGTACAGCGCCACCGGCCGTCCCGCGCAATCCGTTGCAACCCACCTCTCCTCCCCAGGCAGCTTCTCGCTCAGCAAAGAAACACTCTGCTCGAACCTAACTCCAGCTGGAGCCGGCCCGTCACCTGGCACGCCGCCCCTATGAAGCCCGCCAACACCATCGCTCTCATCATCCTTACCCAACGCCCGGCTCTGCACCCCTTGCTGTTGAATCGGATATCCTTGTAGCTCTTGTTGCTGTGGTGGTTGTTGTTGTTGTTGATGTTGACGATAATGAAGTTGAAGACGACGAAGGGCGTGAAGGTCCCAACTCCTACGCCGCCGCCCCCAACAAACCTTCCTCCTCTTCCACCACACGGCCAAGGCCCAGGAAATAAGCCCGGCCCCGACGACCCCGCCGACTGTGCCGCCGATGATGGCGCCGGTACTGCGGCTACGGTAACTGCTGGCGCCTGAGACGGTGGAGGCCGGGTCGTCGCTTGGGCGGAAGGCGTCGCTCGAGAAGAGGTATTCCAGGGGACGGGATGAGAAGCCTGACGCGGGGGTGCGGCCGCTTATTTTGAGAGAAACGGGTTTAGTTATTGTTTCTGTTCGGTTTTTGTGGTAGTAGAATTGCAATAAGAGGGATAGGAGGCGGGAAAAAGGGGAGGAAGGTGAGGTGGAAAAAGAAAAAAAAAAAAAAAAAAAAGGGGGGGGGGGGGGGGGGGCGAATGCGAAAGCTCACCGGCTAGCCCTCTTTCGCTAGGCGAAAGAGGCCTAGCCGGTACAAAACCTTCGGGAGTGTTTACTTCGCGGGGCTAGGGCGGCGTTGGGCGGCGGTTATCGTCTTTTTGTTGCCATGGGGCTGGCTCGAACTGGCGAACTCAGAGAGCCATACGAACAGGATCCAAGGCCCGGGGCATTGCCCCGACCACCGCTGTCGACCGTTAGGCTACTAGGCGGTGGTTGGTGCAATCTGGGAATACAGACCTTCTACATCAACCACCGGCTGGTTCTCACCGGGCAAAGTCTTTCATCCGAACTGTTGCTGTCTGCCTACCTCGCAGGTGATTCGCGGGAGACTGGCCAGGGGCCTGGGAGATGGAAGGAAATGCGATGGGGAAACAATAAGAGCGGCAATGAAGAGAGGGGGCGGAAAAGACAAGGATAAATCGTTTCGATTCATGAGAGAGAAGAAGGAAAGCGAAAATAAACTCACTGGGCGTTGTAGTACTCCTGGATTCTGGGCGCCGGGGGCTGCGGTGACTGCTTTGCCCGGTACGCCGCACTCCATGTCAGGGTGCTCAAGTCAAAGACGGCCAGTCCCTTGGAAAAAGGATCGCGCGTCTGGAAGCCGGCCCTGTACGAGTCGTTGCCGGCTTCATGCGCGGTGTCGACGCCGCCGATGGTCAGAATCTGGCTGCCCCCAACCGCGTTACAGCTCAGTCCGTGGCGGGGGTGGGCTGCTGGGTAGTCCGCCTTGGCCCAGTGGAACGCCGGGAGGGTCAAGACATAGGCGCTGTCATAGGGCGTTGCGCCCGCGCCGAGCTGGCCGTCCCAGCCGCCGTAGACCAGAATTTCGTGCGTCCGGTTGCTCGATACGGCCCCGGCAATGCAAAAGTCGGTTCTGTATTGGGGGATGTCCCCGGTCGTCTTCTGGTGGTACCACCTTTGGGCCTCGACATCGTAGACATGAACAGTTTCGAATGAACTATTGCGGTTGTCCAATGCCTGGTTCTGAGATCCTCCGACAGCAATCAAAATCCCCCGGTCTCCCCAATTGGGGACGTACACCATCCCGGCAAAAAACGGGATTCCTCCTCGAGGTTCGATGCCGCTCGCATCGAGCATCTGACTGTCCGAGATATCGTATGTATTGAAACTGCTGGGGCGTTGGGCCGCTACATCATTTCCTACAATGTTTGTCAGCCACTGTGTCAACGCTGACTGCCGAGGCATCCTAGTGGGTTAGACGAACCAACCAAAAGAAAACCATAGCCATGCCCGCTGACAACGAGGGCCTTGGAAGGCCTCGGCTGACTCGTGAACCATTCATGAGCGCTTCCGTTGAGGCTCTTCCAGGAGCCACCGGCCGACTCTCCCGGCGTGAAAGACCACAGTCCTTGGGGTGAAAATGCTTGGTCCCCAAAGCGTGGCGTGCTTCCAGCAAAGCCGGTGTACAGTACTCCTTTGCTGCGGTCGACCCATATGCCCCCGTGACTCAGGTTCGGGACCCCGGTGGGCTTAAGGCTGGACAACAAGACGACCGAATCATTATTCCAGTCGTTTGAGAGGTCTATCGACAACAATGTGTTTGCTGTGAATGCGTCAGGCGCCGACTGCCGATGAGCTCAGAATGACAATCCATACAGTACTGGTACGTAATATCCTCGCCCTTTTTGTAGGACACCTCTCCGCCGTCGATGTAGACTCGCCTGTTCAGCACAACAGCTTCGACCGTTAGCAGCAACAGTCAAGAATTTCTGACAGTATGATAGGCTTACAAGAGTGGTATGCCCTTCTCAGGAAGGTTGAGGTGTCAACCACGCCGTCTGCCTGTCTCGAAGACAAGAGGACATGAGACGGATGGACATGCGGTAATGCATGTACAAAGCTTAGAGCAAACAACAGCGACATCGAAGTAGGATCCAATAGTTGGAAACAATACAGAGGTTGCTGCCAAGGACAGAAGAAAGGTGCAGCTTCAGAAAAGAATGAAAAGATGCACAGGCCTTTGAGCCCGAGCACAAAATCTGCAAGACAGGCTTTGGACATTCCGCAGCAGCTTGCGAAGCCTCAAGCCGATGCCCGTGACTGCTAGTGTGCCGTGTAAAGCATGACTGCAACTGAGCGTCATGGCGTGTTCTGACCCAAAACCTACACAGTAGAGCAGATAGACGTGTCAATGCAGTCAATCTTGCACAGACTTGCCATGAACCGCCCGTTCCCATCTCTAGGGCAACAAACCATGCTCCTAAGATATGACCCTGCGGCTTTCATTTGAATATCCGATTTCGAACACAAAAGGCCTACCGTGCGCCGTAATTATTGAGTATCGAAGTCTTCTACGCAGAAGAAAGTTTGACAATACATTCGGGTGCGAGAGAAAAAAGCGGCAAATGCAATAGATTGAACATCTCAGCGTGACATGGTTTACTCAATCGTCCAAATATAACCTGACTGATTGTGACCGCGGTTATCAATAAAGAGCATCTGGCTTCCGTCATCCGGGAATTTCGTGATGTTCACATTGGTGTTGAAGTGAGCTGATAAGGCTTGATTGGGTCTGTGGGTCTAATTCCAACTGGAGAGTGGGAACGTCCATTGCCAAGGCAGGCCCCGGTCGACACAGCCACACAAAATGAGCCACACAGCCATTGCACCTTCGACCTGGAACTTGTCCTTTTCAGGGAGGGGACAACACTCTGGCGCCCGAGAGCTTGTGCAAGCGAAAGCGGGCAACACCTCAACAAGACAACTTGCGATTTGAGCAGCTGTTCCAACAGGCATTGCTCGTCGGAACTGCTCCAGCGCTCGATTGATCCCATTTCTTAGTGTCATTGACACACAGTAGCTCCTGCGCCCGAGTCCAACCGATTTGCTCTGCAAGGTGCGCCCGCCACTTTGACTTCAACAAGGACTCGACGCTGATGACAGCTTGCATGTATATAGCCCAAGGACACGCCTCCGTCTGCAGCCCATTCGAAACCACCAACCCGCTCTTGACAACAATATTCATCATCGCCGTCCAGATTGGGGCGTGTCGACAACACATCCGTTGCCATGGACTACGATGCCCTTAAGGAGCAGTGGGGTGAGGTCGAGGATCGCGATGGAGTCCGCCTGAGCTGGAATGTCTTCCCAAGCACTCGCATGGTTAGCTCGCCGTTCGCCGCCTGACTGCAGGTCTTCGCCTCAGAAGCTGATCCGGGTATTCAGGAAGCGTCGAGATTGGTCGTGCCCATTGGCGCCCTCTACACTCCTCTCAAGGAGAAGCCCGACACGCCCTTGCTGCACTTCGAGCCCGTCACTTGCAAGCAGCCATGCCGCTCAGTTCTGAACCCCTTCTGGTAGGCATTGCTCCCCGCTCACAGCCGGCCCGGGGCATTGATGCTGACGATGCCTCCAGCCAGGTCGATGTGCGCGCTCGTCTCTGGATTTGCCCATTCTGCCTGTCGAGGAACCCGCTCCCGCCGCACTACAAAGATATCACGGCCAATGCTATCCCTCCCGAGCTGCACCCCTCCAACACTACCATTGAGTACAGGCTGTCGCGACCGGCCCCCAGCCCGCCCATTTTCCTCTATGTCGTCGACACATGCCAGGAGGAGGACAGCTTGGCTGCCCTCAAGGACTCGTTGATCATGAGCCTCAGCCTTCTGCCCGAGAATGCCCTGGTCGGTCTGATCACCTACGGAACCATGGCCCAGGTGCACGAGATTGGCTATACAGAGTGCGCCAAGTCGTACGTCTTCCGGGGCAGCAAGGAGTACACCGCCAAGCAGGTCCAGGAAATGCTCGGTCTCATACAGCCCGCCCTGCGCCCGGGTATGCCTGTTCAGCCGGGCCGGCCCCTGCCAATGGGGCCCGCCGCCCGCTTCTTACTCCCAGTTGCGCAGGCTGAGTTTCAGCTCACCAAGGCGCTCGAGCAGCTACAGAGAGACCCTTGGCCCGTTTCTAGCGACCGCAGGAACCTGCGCTGCACCGGTGTTGCCCTCTCGGTTGCTGTCGGTCTGCTCGAGACATCCTTCCAGAACGCCGGTGGGCGCATCATGCTCTTTGCTGGCGGTCCTGCTACCGAGGGACCCGGCATGGTCGTTGGCCCCGAGCTGAGGGAGCCCATCCGGTCGCATCACGACATTGACCGAGACAATGCCAAATACTACAAGAAGGCGCTCAAGGTATGTGCTCGACTGTCACAGAAGGGGGATAAGAAGGCGAGAGCAACTGACATAGACGCCAGTTCTACGACACACTTGCCAAGAGGACCGCCCACAACGGCCACACCATTGACATCTTCGCCGGCTGTCTTGACCAAGTCGGTCTCCTGGAAATGAAGGGTCTCTGCAATTCGACTGGCGGTCACATGATCCTCACGGACAGCTTCACATCGTCCATGTTCAAGCAGTCGTTTATCCGTATCTTTGAAAAGGACGGGGATGACAACCTCTTGATGGGCTTCAACGCAGTTTTGGAGGTCCTGACAACCAAAGAGCTCAAGGTCACTGGCCTCATCGGCCATGCAGTGTCTTTGAACAAGAAGTCGACTTCGGTTGGAGAGACCGAGTGCGGCATTGGCAATACCTGCTCATGGAAGATGTGCGGCATTGACCCCAACGCCAGCTACGGCATTTACTTCGAAATTGCTCAGGGAGGCGCTTCACAGCAACAGCAGAGCCCTGGGAAGGGCATGATACAATTCCTCACCTACTACCAACACTCGTCGGGCCAGTTCCACCTCCGCGTTACCACAATTGCCCGTAATCTTAGCGGGCCAGTTGGGGATCCAGCCATTGCGCAATCGTTCGATCAAGAGGCTGCCGCCGTCTTGATGTCGAGGATTGCCGTCTTCAAGGCCGAGGTTGATGATGGGCCCGATGTGCTTCGCTGGGTGGATAGGATGCTCATCAGGCTATGCTCGAGATTTGCCGACTATCGCAAGGACGATCCGTCATCCTTCCGCCTGGAAAAGAACTTCACCCTCTACCCGCAATTCATGTTCCATCTGCGGAGAAGCCAGTTCCTCCAGGTCTTCAACAACTCTCCGGACGAGACGGCATTCTATAGACATGTGCTCAACCACGAGGATGTCAGCAACTCGCTCATCATGATCCAGCCCACCCTCGATTCGTACACGTTCGATCAGGAGGGCGGGCAGCCGGTGCTCTTGGATTCCACATCTATCCAGCCAACACATATTCTCCTCCTCGACACTTTTTTCCACATCCTCATCTTTCACGGCGAGACCATCGCGGAATGGAGGAAGGCCGGTTACCAAGAACAAGAGGGCTACGAGAACTTTGCAGCCCTTTTGGAGCAGCCCAAGGAGGATGCCAGGGTAAGCTCTCGTTGGTCCCCACATCAAATTCGGAGTTATTCCACTAACAATGCGTCACCCAGGATCTTATCACTGACCGCTTCCCGCTTCCCCGGTTCATTGTCTGCGACCAGGGCGGTTCACAAGCGCGCTTCCTGCTTTCCAAGCTTAACCCCTCAACCACACATACGTCGGGCGCCGGAGCATACGGCGGCGTTGGGGCACAAAGTGCTCAGACAATTTTCACGGATGATGTGTCGCTCCAGACATTTATGGAGCATCTGATGAAGCTGGCGGTTAGTGGCACCAACTAGATGGCTTTGGACCGGATGAGGACTGGGTGGCGGAGGATGAGCCTGACCGGCTGGTTGAGTGACAGGCAGCGTAGGAGGACGGCGTGATGGCGGCTGTAGGCATTTTTAGAGAAGGCTTAGTGTGATTGTCCAGCGTCGGTGTTAAGATCCAAACGGATATGGGCTAGATGCTGCGCCCTTCTTGCGAAACCCCAATTCTCGTTGAAGGATTTGGTGAATCCTTAATTGCACATTTGTGGTTGCATGCCGTCCACATTTAGCTAAGCGGGGCCAAGAATGCTGTGGCTGGAAAGGCCACCCCAGTGTGGCTGCAGCTCCTGCTCCCCGCATCCAAAACTTCTCCAGCCACGCGCCTCGAAATCTTAGGGCAGCCAAGGAAAACCCACAACTGCGATTTTTTCGATTTCGTCGACTTGATACTCGGCACGGCTGCACCCCTTCCAACAACACCACCGAGTCGAACCTCTCATAACCAGCCGTCACCATGCGTAAGTTGTTGCCGGTCGAAAATGTTCTCTGGAATTCTCAGAATTGCTAATTGCGCAATGTGCAGCTCCCAAGTTCGACCCCAATGAGGTTAAGGTCATGTAAGGACACGCTCCTCCAACGCCTCTCCGTTCCCGATCGACCGTTTGCGAATGCGCTCGAGAGGAAACAAGAAGAACAGGTTCACTGACGATGAATGCTCCCTGTAGCCACCTCCGGGCGACCGGTGGTGAGGTCGGTGCCTCTTCGGCTCTTGCCCCCAAGATCGGTCCTCTCGGTCTGTCGCCGAAGAAGGTCGGTGAAGATATCGCCAAGGCGACTGGTGACTGGGTATGAGCAGCCCTCCCGCGAGAAGTGGACAGAGAGGAACGATGGTTTTTTCTGACGATTGCGATTGCGCTTCCCGGTACAACAGAAGGGTCTTCGCGTGACCGTCAAGCTCACGATTCAAAACCGCCAAGCCGCCGTCTCAGTCGTTCCCTCAGCATCCTCGCTCATCATCCGGGCGCTCAAGGAGCCCCCCCGCGACCGGAAGAAGGAGAAGAACATCAAGCACAACAAGTCGGTTTCCCTGGACGAGATCATTGAGATTGCGAGGACGATGCGGTTCAAGTCCTTCTCCAAGGACCTGAAGGGGGGCGTCAAGGAGATTCTGGGCACCGCCTTCAGCGTCGGCTGCCAAGTGGACGGCAAGAGCCCGAAGGCGATTAGCGATGCGATTGAGGCGGGCGAGATCGACAGTAGGTCCCCTCTGAGTCCCTGGCTGAGGAATGTCCTATGTGACTTGGCCTGGCATTGTGGCTATGAGAGCAGATCAATCCGCTGACACACTCTCACAGTTCCTGAGGAGTAAATTCGTCATCAACGAAGGTCGGTTTGGGAATCCTTGGCATGTGATTAGGAGTTCAGGGCTTGCTTTACACCAGGCTTGCCAGACAACGGCAAATCAAATCAAAAGAACGATTTCATGGCCGAGTGTGGGCGTGTCTTGCCAGACGCGGCTTCTGCTGGGAAGGGAAGCTGCCAGCCGTGTCACCAGCCACACGATCTACCAAATTCTCCCTGATGAAACTCGACCGAGTTTGTCCCTGGCTGTTCACTCCGGAACCGACCGCTCCCCCATGGTCCTTTCGGCTCTTTGTGCTCAGGAAGATCGAGTTTGTGACGTCCTATTACTCACCATGGCTTTCGTTGGCGCTTCGGTGCTCTGGAAGTCGAGGTCCATATTTCAGGTCGACATTGCTATCTTTTTGTCCCGTCAGGTTTCGCAGGCCGTTGTATTGTACAACATACAGCAAGACCATGGTTTCCGGTTACGAAACTGGCAAGTCAAGGCTCGGGCGGCTGCTAAACATGGCCCCATTGTTCCAAAGAGATTGCGGCATGCAGATTGATCGGTGTTTTCCGGTTGTTTCTACAGGCGATCTTTGCTTGCCTTCTGTCATAGGTGATGTCCTGGCTGTATCAGATTGACATTGTCTCTGATTCAGACTGCTGAAACAGGTTGTGCCAATCTAGGCTCATGTTCCCTTGGCCATGCTTGCTTAACGCAATCGTGGAATTGGAGCTATTTTGGCTCTGCCCTTCGTGGCTGTCGGTCACACCCCTATACCCGTACGACAAAACCGCAGTCTTGGATCCAATTGGCACAGCCTGCTTTGGGGAGTTTTCTCTCACATGCCTGGATGGTGTCAAATACGAGGCTCTGCGCTTTGTATCTACCATAGATAACCGTGACCTATGCACCGGTAATGTCTGTGAAACAAAAACAACGGTGCGCAGTACCGGTATGCATGTTAACTTGACGTTGAACCTTATGGGAAAGCCAATTGTCCCGTACTATTTCCGTACAGGCCACTCCCAGTTTATTTGTGAGGCTGAACCTAAGGCAACTTGATGGTAGGACATTTAGCCTTGTATTCATCTTCTCAGTGTTGTTTTTCATAATACTAACCTTAACTAGGTTAACGTTACTTCATTTATTATTAACTATTATTTTTTTTCTTCATCTTTCGTTCTTATTACTTTGATCTTTCTCTTTATTCTCCTACTTCCTATCTTGTATATATCCTCCTTTTTCCTTTTCCTTCTCCTTTCTTTTCCTGCTCCTTTCTATCCCAATTCCTCTTTTCTGTCCAGCGCCTGCCATGTGCCAGGCTAACAAACAACCCAAGGTTGGACTTCTACCAAAGTGCTGGCAGGGCTGCTTTCCCCATCCCAGAACATACATCTCATGGTGTTCATTCACGTTTCCGCACGCAAGTTCTCTCTTGTTGGCAAGACACACCTTTGCCAACTGGGACAACTGCAACTTTTCAGTCATGGCATGAGTTTGATGAGACTGGCAGTCGATGGCGTGCCATTCAGACCGCACGAGAGACTGCCTCCTCAGGCGTCACAGACCGACAAAGAGCAACGACTGACTGCTGATATCACCTTGTGACTTTGAATGTCGACTATTCCTCGCCCATTCCCGCCCAACGGCTCTTTGCAATCCTCCCGCATACTCTCTCCCTATCTCCCGCCGTCGACATCATCTTATTTCAAGAGCTCTTCCGCGAGGCATTCCTAGTTCTTGAACGGGCCGGAGGTTCGCCGGGGTTGGTTCCTGAGCGATGCAGATGGCATACTCCCTGCTGGCCAATTTTCACGACCGTTACTCTTCTTTCCAAGGCCCGGTTTCAGAGTTCAAAACCCGGCCCGGTGTAGAGAGTTATATATCCAACCCGCTTCAGAAAGGACTCCCTTTGCTGCGATGTTTTCTCTAACTCGTCGTCGCCCGACGCACCTGGCGCCCGCTTTCGACTCGTCAACGTGATCTAGACTCCCTCCCGATACAGCCATCCCTCCGGGCCCCAACAAGTCTCAATCGTTGCCGCCCTTCTCCGCAAAGAAGGCCGGGGTGCTGTGGCGAGCGATTTCAACCCCGTGCTGCCCTCCGACGAGGCCCTCGTCAAGGACAACGGACTAGTGGACGTGTGGGTTGAGCTGCATCCTGGGGATCCTGGCTTCACCTGGGGGTTTGATGGAAAAGAACCATTTCCGCCAAATCGGATGGATAAGGCTGCCGCTGTCAGGCTGAGGTGGCAAGACGTTGAGATCCTGTCACCTGGCTCCATAAGCAGGGTGGTGCCCGCGGGAAAGGGCTAACTGCGATGACCAAGTTGCCTGGAGCGATCATTCAGGGCTAGAATGCTCATTCAAGTTGGTTGGTCTGTAATTAGCAGCAGAATCTGTTCAAGTCAATCGCATCCACCACAGTACTTCATTCCCTACAAGCAGCTCACCATGTTTGGGGATAACCGCCAATTCCACCTCGTTAATGAGGCAAGCACTAAGGACGCTGCGATTGTTGCGCGCATTCTCACCGACGGCGATGTTCCCAACGCTCTAATGGGTGTCGTGGCCGCCTCCTACTACGGCGGCGGGCTCTGCCCCCTGGTACGTACCGCCATCAGCTTTCGCTTTCACGTCGATACCCGCAATACTGACGCGCAGCTGGCGATAGGATATTGAGCTGGTCATTGGCGATACCGATCAAGAACGGGCATTCGACATTCTACCTTCCCACGGCGTTCGGCCATCCGTCCCTGAAGGCACCGATTCTGAGCGGCCAGCCATTCTCCAGCGATGGCGGGAGCTCGCGCCTTCATACCAGTTCCGCGATCGGCGACGAGTGCGGCTGTGGGTGCCCATTACGAGCTTCCTGTGAGAGGCGACCCTGTCGACGACGCGCTACGTCCCTTCGTCTTACTCTACTCTGCCGAAACCATAGGGCTTCCACGGGTCCCGTTCCCCAGTGAAGTAGAAACGTTCTCCGAATCTGGATACACGCCCCTGCCATTCCTTGTGTCAGTAGTAATGGCTCACAGGGCTGATGGGACTACCCTCGTACCAAGTTTCCCTTTGCTCATTGCATTGAAAATGCCCGGCCCCCTACACCATGCCCATTATCACTCGCCTACATGGGGCCAACACGCTGCGCAACTCTCGGAACTTCTGCGGTCACGCAGCTGCGAGGGAGGCTACAATCGTTTGCCCGAGCTGGTAAATCTGGGGTTCCACGAGTTTGCACAATGGATGAGGTCACATCTGCAGGGTGGTGCAGACAGCGGGAAGCTTGGCCAACTCAAGTAGGCCCACGCCCTTCTTTCCGCACCGAAAGACAGCCGCAGCGGAGGTCAAGTTGTAGAGTCCGAGAGCATCTGCGATTAGGTACGCTCTCACCTGCGTTGTATATTGTTCAGCGTTGAGGAATTCTGGCTGACTGGTGCAGGAACGAACCGGGTAGTTACAGTGCTTGGTCGATCGTCGCTTGTCCCGCTCGTCCCTGTGTGGGTTGGACCATGCAGGTAAGCTTTGGTGTCATCCAGCTCCGTTGTCGATTTGGTTTTGTTTCTGATTATACGCAGTGGCTTTCCAATGATTGTATTGTACGGAGTAACTCAATATCCGAGCGCATGTCCCAATGTCTCGTTGCATTTCCTGCAAGGCTGTTTGAGGCTTCGGGCACAATGCAACATGGGTCGGCGCCTAACGTCCCCTTTTATCGAAGCGGGTTAGGTTTGAGATCGGCGTCGGTTGGAATGCTCGGCACCAACAACTTTGCCAGACGGACGCAGATCTTTGCTGACCACTCACTCGCTCAATGCAAAGAAATGAGGATTTCGAAGCAGGAAACTCGGTTCTACTCCATACTATCAGCAAGATCATCAACCACATTGATGAGATTTCTCCCTCTTTGACGAGATGTTTGGACAGTCTTGGAGGACCGTTGAGCTGTGGTGCTGTGGCCGTTACGGATGCCACCATCCCCGCGACCCCCCTGAACCTCCCTTTCACAACACGCAACATGGGGTTTCTTGCGACGGAATCCCATTCACATGCGTCCCAAATTTGAAGGGGACGAGGATGTCGCAAGTTCCCACCAGTCAGTTCGGTATCTTGAGTGTTTGATTACCTCTTTATCGTAATTTTTGCCTCATCTCCTTACGAGTTTCTTTCATGCCGTGAAAGTGAGAGCGGCGCGGGAAGAGGATGCAAGGGAGGATTGTGATGGGAATTGCGGGCGGGAAGTTTGTTAGCCAGCCAAGCAACCTTGCCCGCGGGAGGCGGGCTCGGCGGCCCATCTAGGACACATCCATGATCCAAGCATCTCATGCCCTCCGGGCCTCATGCAGGCCAGCCGTTCTGGTCAACCTGCCCTGCGGCCAGGGAAGCGGAGGGCCTACTCTACCGGTCGTCACCCCCCATGGAATCCAAACAAAGTGATTGCTCGCTTGTCTTTTTAGGTTTCATTTTTCTGTCTCCATGCGTTGGCCGACTGCATCGCCTGCGTGTCAGGCTTTAGAAAAAGTAGTGTGCCATGTATCTGAGAGGCTTGCAGAGCAAGTGGCTTCAGCCAGTGGGCGTGCTGATCGGCCATTTCGCGGGGCCACTGGTCAAGCTCTGGTGTGAGTGACTGCATGCATGATTGCTGAGATCATTCTGCCGCGGCATTGTAGCCGTGGTTGGTGAGAGCCCGATGGCGAGATGCGGATAGAACACTGGTTTGAGAATAAATACCTACGTTATATTAGTTGGCAGCCGTGTAATCCAGGCCGGGCCAAGGTGGGCAGACAAAGTCCAAGCCAAGGAAGCACGAGATGTGTCTGATCTGTTTGAGCTGCATGTCTGACTGATTTTCTTATTGCGACTGTTGCTGTTCCATATTCCATTGGAATGACCTTTCGTGGTCGGCGGCAGCCCACCCGACGCCACACAGAATGGCGACACACACCACAAAGCATCAAGCCCCAGGATCCATGAACGTCAAGCTATTCTCCATCTCTTTCTCTGCCTCGTCGTGTCATACAGTTGGCGTAGCAGAGAGATCAGACGCCATAACTACACCGCCGTCCAGGGCTCCTGCCTATCACATTCATCTCACAACGGTTCAGTCAGGATTGAACCAAGTTTAAAAAGATGGCTTGGTCGTACAGATATCAATCAAGGAAGCACCCCAGGGCGCAACCCATGTTCGAGAGGGTGACATGGCGTGGTCCAGGTCACTCAAACGAGACATGGTCGTCACACACAAAATTGGCGTTTTGGCGTAAGGCGGGCTGTGATTGTTCGGCCGGTAGCCAGGCGCTGCAGCATGGTGCTGCAGTGAGGGCCTTAGCGCCCGTGAGCCTGGGTACGGTGTGGAGGCGCCCCGCTATAAAACACACCCACGCCCTGTGCCTGCCCTGCATGGGCTTAGCTGGGCCGGGCACGCCCGCAGCCTGTCGTGCACCGCCTGGCTTTAAAACGGCCGTTGTTCCACTCTTAGAACCTTCTTGGGACAGCAACCCTATCTGGAATCGTTCGTTTGTTGAGCCATGTTGCATCTCAAGGACGGAACACACTGAAATAGTACTGGCAAAGTTCAAGCTTCATACCGACCACATTGGCAGCGCGCCTTCCCTACTCTATCCACGCTCGATCGACAGTGCACTTTCGAACTTCCCCGCCAATTCTCATTCCTCCCTCCCCCTCTTTCGTCCTCCTCCGTCCGGTCCCATCGATCAACTCCACATTCGACTCCGCCAGGGACCTGATCGGTTTGAGAACAACAAGAGGGGGATCTGAGGTGCTTTTGTATTGCCGGTGAAGGAGCGGAGGTCTCTTTTGTGCACTTGACCGATCAAGAACCAAGCACGAATCACAGACCCCCGAATCGACACGCACGTTGCATGGTCCGGAGCCCTGGGCGGCATTGGCTGGGTCGGCGCCTTTGCTCAGTCGGTTGCTCCGCCCAGATGAAGCGACGGTACCTCGATGGCTGAGTGTTTGATAAACATCTGATATCAGGACTGCGGCGACGACGACGAAAACCACAGCGAGGACGACTTCCATGATCTGAATCGACTCGTGGCTATGACGGATCCGGCTTGATCGCACACCACGCGGGGCCCCTGTACTTAAGCGTCGTTCATTTGAATCTGATTTCCGTTCTCTCGACCAACTTTCCGTCACTGGGATATATTGTTCTTCAGCCGCCGGTCCGCCAACTTGATGACAAGTCACGATGCTGCCCCTCGTGCAGGCGCACCCGATGGTGCAACCCCCGCTTGACTTTCTCAGCTCTCACGAAGGGCATTTGAAGCCCAACTACTCATCGCATCAACATGGACCCCAACTCTTACAGCCGTCATTGTTTCTCCATGGCACCGAGTCAACACCTCGTGCTTTTGCCATGCGCAGCGCCCAACATCCCCCAGCCCTGCACCGCATCACAGCCTCCTTCACCCGCCTGCACGCGCACGACCAAGCGGAGCACTCCCTTCGGCGAAAGACCCCCAGTGGAACCATCGACAATGGCTATGACGGCTCGTCAACTCACTTGGCTTCAGGTCCCCCAGCGCTGAAGCACATGATTGTGCCTGCTTCGTCCAAGATCTTCCCAACTGCTGTGGCTCATCGAGCGTCCAATCGATCTGCTGGTGGTGTACTGCAACAAACCCCAGCCGGCCCCTGGGTGTACTCAGCGCCAACACCCCAACGCCGGTTCGATATGGCAGATGGTACGGGTGGGCTTCTCGGAACACCGGGGGGATGGGAAACGGGGATGCCAACCGCAACATTGGATCCGGTTGCGGGAGATGGTGCAAACTTTGTTCAACCTGCACCCCCGCACAATTACCGTGGGGGGCCCAGCTTACAACCCGTCTTCGTTCCGGGCCTCCAGCAGCCATTGTCGCAAACTATTTACAGTCCTGGCAGTTACCAGCAGCCGCCGGTTTGGAGGGATGGCAGTCTCGGCTACCAGACCTTGATCCCGCTTGCAAACAATTTCACGCCGCAAACCTCCGTCGATAGTGCTTTCATGGGACCCGAGTCTGCGATACACCCAGGCTTGGTCAATGCTCCGGGACTGGGACAAGCCCACCATTTCGGCTTGCCTCTGCCCGGCCGTCCTGTTGATGACGGCTTCGCTCGGTATGGTCACAACTACGTGGTGCAGCATGCCGCCCATCCCCTACGAAACTCCATGCCAACGACGCCCGGGGTTGGACACATGACACGGCCCGTTCCTGCGAACGAAGCAAGCTCACCAACACGATTCAAGGAACGGGCGCTGCAAAACGCTCACAAGGCCTACAATGATCTGTTACTCCATCTTACCGCGGCCAAAAAGGCATACCAAGGCCGCAGCAGCTCGAGCTCAAGGCCATCTTCCAAGATGATGGTATATCCGAAACCTTCCACCACAACCACCGGCAGCGGAATCAAAGCGCGGCCATTATACGCCCTGGACTCGACGGCAAGTTATGCACAGCAGTTGGCGCAGAAGGAGGCAGCCGCACGAGCATTTGCCCACGACCACCATCAACGGCCATATCACGAGATTGGCTCGCCTGTCCTCAACGCCAGGGCCTCGCTAGAAATGCTCTCTACCCTCTGCGAGCAGAGCGGCTGGAAGTGGTCAGAAGGGATGCTGCTAGGAGGCTGCCTCTATTATGGGCTGGAGCGCTACGAGGAGGCCCTGGAATGGTTCAAGCGAATCGTGAGCTTAGACCCAAGGTGGGTTCCCGTGCACCGCTCGATCCGGTGTTTGATGAATCCAATATGCTAACAGCTGCCAGCCATGTGGAAGCGATCTCCAACATAGCCGCGACACTGTACTGCTTGAACAGGCATGAAGAGGCGGAGCAGCATTGGGTGAAAGCCATCAAGTTGCGCCCGAGCTTCCTGGAAGCCGTCGAGCATCTTGTCAGTCTCTTGTGCTCGTTACACAGGAACGCGGCAGCAGTGAACGCGATCGAATTCATCCAGCGCTCCTTAAAGATACAGAGACCCGATGAACCTCGGGAGCAGGCCAGCGAGACTGCTAGCGAGGCAGATATTTCTTCTCCAATGACAGCTGCCGAGTCGGACCCAGATTTGTACGTGTTGGATTCGGAGACTACCGACAGCCCCGAGCAGCGCTTCGCTTCCACCGCAGAAGACACCAAGGCTCCTGGCTTCGGTTCCAGTGGCTATCGCATTCCGGGTAGCGAGAATGGCCGCATGATTCTTCTTATTCATGCCAAGGGGAATATGCTGTACTCGCTGAAGGACACTGACCGCGCATCCGAGGCCTTTGAAGAGGTGGTAACCATCAGTGCGGGGAAGCATATCCACGGTGTCAAGGCTCTCATTAGGAGGATACAGACAGTTCTGGCGCCCCGGGATCCTCGGTCAGGACAACGTTTAGGCTCGGTCCAGAGGAGTCTATCCGAACCATTGCTATTGCCTCCAGATAAGGCGAAGCTCACGGCCCAGTTTGTGTTTGGTTCCACGGGGGGCCAGCTACCCGGGCTCCAGCACTTGCCTGAGGGCGCTCACAGGAAATCTGTGGTGGCAACGACAAGCAATTCCCTGCTCTCCCTGGCCAAGATATACCAGGACGCCATGTCGAATGGCGGTTCAAACTCCGCCCTTGTTCGCCAACCTGCGGGGGTCGGTGACATCCTGGCCCTGTACTATCTGTCCCTCTCCCTTCAAGAGAGCCCTTCAACCGCCAACAACGTCGGAATTCTCCTTGCCGGCGTACAGCAAACCGCGCCGGTTCAATACATCTCCGTCTCGGACATGGGCCTCGCCGCAAGCGTTCCCGGGATTGTCCCAGGGAGCGGGCTTTCGCTCGCACTCGCCTACTACCAGTACGGTCTCACATTGGATCCTAAGCATGTGCACCTCCACACCAACCTGGGCAGTTTGCTTAAGGATATTGGCCAGCTCGACATGGCCATTTCGATGTACGAGCAAGCTGTGGCTTGTGATGGCACGTTTGACATCGCCCTGACAAACCTTGCCAACGCCGTCAAGGATAGAGGACGGGTCAGCGATGCCATCAAGTATTACCAGCGGGCCGTGGCATCTAACCCTGACTTCGCGGAGGCGGTCTGCGGCCTCTCGACTGCTCTCAATTCGGTGTGCGACTGGAGGGGTCGCGGTGGCGTTCTGCTCGCCGGCGGGAGGTATGACCGCTGGCATGTGGACGAGAACGGCAAGCTCCAAGACGTCAAGAGCCAAGGCCAGGGCAGCGGGTTGATGAAGCGCGTAGTTGACATTGTTAGGCGGCAGTTGAGGGAATCATTGTCGTGGGGCTGTGGACTTCTGCAGGAGCAGTCAATCTTGCAGTTGGCGGCCCAGCTGAGGGACGCAGCGGTGGATATCACAGACGCCTCCCTCGACTTGGAAGCTGAACTTCGAAAATGGGCTGGACGGCCGGGCGAGGGGTATCGGATTCTGCGTCTCATTGAGCGCTCCACCATCACTGCCATGCGATCCTGGTACCAGGACAAGCACATCAAGCGCATCCGATCGCCCGCTTCGTATCGCCGGCCAAAGCCTCCTGCAAGCCTCTCCGTGCCATCGGCGCCGACAGTTCTGCCGTTCCACACCTTCACTTGTCCCTTGCCAGCGAAAGATGTTCGGATGATTTCGCAGAGGAACGCCCTGAGGATATCCTTCACGACGCTTCGGTCGCCCTGGATCCCCGCGACTGTGTACGAGCCTCCGGATCCGCCGAGCCCTCATCTGAACGTGGGATACGTCTCGTCTGACTTCAATAATCATCCTCTGGCGCACCTGATGCAATCAGTCTTTGGCATGCACAATCCGAAACGCGTCAAGGCGTTCTGTTATGCCACGACAGCCAGTGACAGGTCCATACACCGCCAGCAGATTGAGCGCGAGGCTCCGGTCTTTCGAGACGTGAGCACCTGGTCCGCCGACAGGCTAGTGGACCAGATCGTCAAAGACAAAATCCACATACTGGTCAACCTCAACGGCTACACCCGCGGGGCGCGCAACGAGATCTTCGCGGCCCGCCCTGCGCCAATTCAGATGTCGTTTATGGGGTTTGCTGGCACGCTGGGTGCTGAGTGGTGCGACTACTTGTTGGCCGACGCTACTGCAATTCCAAGGTCGACTCTCCGGCCTCATCGCAGGAATCTGACATTGGAAGATGTCTTCCGCGACGAGGCCGACGCCGATGCCGAGGACTGGATCTACTCGGAGAACATCATCTTCTGCCGCGACACGTTCTTCTGCTGCGACCACGCTCAGTCGGCTGATGGCCACAATGAGAAAGACATTACATGGGAAGAGGACCAGCGGAGACGGTGGAGGATGCGCAAGGAGCTGTTCCCAAGCCTCCCAGACGATGCCATCCTCCTTGGGAACTTCAACCAGCTCTACAAGGTATGTCCGCCCGCCGCGCTACTAATGCTTGGGGCGCATGTTGCTAACACTGTTCTCAGATCGACCCGACCACCTTCCGCTCCTGGCTACGCATCCTCGCGGCCGCGCCCAGAGCCTACCTCTGGTTGCTCCGCTTCCCGGAGCTCGGCGAGACCCACCTCCGCCGCACGGCCCGCGACTGGGGCGGCGAGGGTGTCGCCAAGCGCATTATCTTCACCGACGTCGCGCCCAAGCTCCAGCACATCTCGCGCGCCCGCGTCTGCGACCTGTTTCTCGACACGCCCGAGTGCAACGCCCACACCACGGCCGCCGATATCCTCTGGTCGAATACCCCGCTGCTGACGCTGCCGCGGTACGAGTACAAGATGTGCTCGCGCATGGCGGCGTCGATTCTCAAGGGGGCTCTGCCCAAGAGTGCCGAGGGGGAGCAGGCGGCCAGGGAGCTGATTGCGCGGGACGAGGCCGAGTATGAGGAGTTTGCGGTGCACCTGACGAATGGGCTGGCGTATCGTTCCTCGCGCGACGGAGAGTATCGAGAAGGGGTCGGGAGGCTGGCCGAGCTGAGGAAGCTGCTGTTTGAGAGCAAGTGGACCTGTGCGCTGTTTGATACGCGGCGGTGGGTCAGGGATCTGGAGGAGGCGTATGAGGTTGCCTGGGCGAGGTGGGAAAGGGGCGAGGGCGGAGATATATACCTTTGATGATTTGTCGTGACGCCGAGGGCTTTGGGTTTGTGTGGAAGGGGAGCCGGTAGGGTTACGGTTATATCTTCTGGCGACGTGACGGCCTAGATGTATTTTGAAAGGGATGAGGAAACGGGGGATAACATGGCGCTGAGGGGCTGGGAGAAGGGGTTTGAGATTGTGCTGGCATGCTTTAGAGCGGCTGTTGCTCGCTCTCTCTCCCCCTCTCTCTCTCTACCTTCTTCTTTTTTTTTTGTTGTTTTGCGAAGGATACCTACTTAGATTTAGACATGCTTTGCGGTTGTGATGCTGTTGCAGATATCTTGTTTTCTGTCGTATGAAGAACGGCTTTTTTCTCTGAAAGGGGGCGGTGATCAAGGGCGAGCTAGCAATTGGACGTCAACTACCACATTTCACGAGTTTAGTCGACTCCGCTTCCTGCTCGTTCGGTGTGGGTTTCACTCGGTGCTTGCTTGACTTGATGTTGAGCAGGAAGCATGGCATGGGATTGTGGAGGGCCTGCTTAGAGAGGTTCCTTGTTGGGGTGGTAAGAAAGACAGCAACTGTATGTCTTTGCCTCCATGGTTGCTTGGTTTCTGTACGATATTAAACTACCAGTGGCATGGCCTCTGCAAAGTGGTGCCCCTTCTCTGGTAGTTTTTTGTTCGTTTTCCGTGGCCAGATAGTGAGTGGCTTGGGGTTTTTGGTTTGGACGGATTTCTGGGCTTGAAGGAAGATGGCGGGGTATGGAATCGATATCTGTTACTTTGTGTTGATACCTTGCTGGCTGATTGTCTCTCTGAGCTCCTCTGTGTGATCTTGCCTGTGGGTTCATCAGTACCTCCCAGCCTGTGATGGTATGTCCCGGGTGTGCGAGGGAGCGGGCGAGCAGTTCGCTCGTCCCTGGAGACTGCAAATGGATGGATGGATGGATCGAAACGTGCTGGTCAACAGACTATATGTATGTAAACTGTGCGCCTGGTTGCTGGGGTGACATGTCAGCAGAAGCATTTCTGTAAAATGAGGTAAAGGGCACGATGCTGGTGGGAGATGATGTCGCGACTGATGGTGCTGTGACGGCTAAGAGGTGTGCGAGATGAGTCCGAGCCAAGGATAACCGCGCCTCGAAGTTGACGGAATCAAGTAGAGCAGACCAAGTCTCGGGGAATCTAGGCTGGATATACCGTTCGTGAGTGGTTCTCTAGTGCTGCCCGTCTCGTTCCAACGCTGGTCGGCTGGGAGACCGCTGGGTTAGACCGCGGACCTCTGAGGAATTCTGGTACTGGCCATCAATAGTCGCCGCCGGTGACTTCGGGACAGAAGAGATATATCTGCGGGGTTTTCGACGTCGTCTTTCGGTTCTCCGCCTGAAATCTCGAGGTTCTCCTTGGGCAGTGGACGTGGATGTCACTCAGGGGTTAGGTACGACGCTGAGCCACATCTTCATGGGCAAGAGGACGCCGAACTCACCAGGTGTCCCGCCCAGCATTGAAGTTCGTGGGGAATGGGAAGTGCACATTACAAAACTGGCCTACTGAGCCAAACTTGACCAATTCTTACTAGGAAAGCCGTCTATCAGCTCAGTTCCCACAGCTAGTTTCCAAATTGTCTACAAGACAGTGGTCGAGGCCAACCCAAATCCAACAGCAATGTCACAGACCGCTTTAGGCATCTCCTTCTTCACAGCCTGCTCCTACCCAAACGTTTCTCTTGCTGAGGGGAAGACGTGTCCGGAAGCAGGCCGGTGCTGGGGATTTCTTCATCGGCAAGCTCGCACGCTCCCATCACCACCAGACAGAGCATCAACAGCACATAAAAGTGACCAAGTTTAGACAAGGCAGCTTGACTGATCAGCTCCGTATGCAGCACATTCATATCCGATGCCACCACATACTTATGATACGACCCCCGTTCAGCTGCGAGGAAGCAACGGCCCAATTTCCTGTTCGACCCAACCACAACCTGCCAAAGCACTGCCGAGGAAAAGCCCAAGCTTAGCCCGAGTGGTATCACAACGTCGGCCGCTGGAAAAAGATTGATATTCACGGAATTTGTCAGCAGAAGCGCCGGCACCGCAGCTGGAAAACCTGGTCAACATGATCTGGAAGCGGGGAGAGGGAGCAAATGAAGCGAGACCTGCATATACAGAAGCGGCACAACAAGTCAAGACATTTCTCCAGCGAATCGTTTCCGTCTGAGGTGTGATAGTGTAGTGATGGTACGACTGGTGGTTGGCTCAGCCAACCGGTCAGTAAGGCATCATATCCAGGTAGTGATCTCATAGATTTCCCCTCGCTTCCCAAGGAAGCCTCGTCAATGGAGAGGATGATCAGGGAGAGAGGTGAGGGGGCGTGGATGTAAGTGAGACATGCCTTGCCGAGGGCCCAATGCCCACTCCCCGCTCAGCAGCTCGATGAGGACAAGACTGACCGTTTACCACGACCGAGCCCGTTACGGCGTCTGCACCAACCGCTTCTGGGATATGAGATGGGTTGGGACGGGATGGTGGTCGCCGTCCATCTGCTCGCTTCGCAGCAAGCTGGTGCGGTCCTTTCCTGTTGGCCGAACCCCAGCGCGGCAAGGCGGAAGACAAGCGAAGTTGACTGACTAGCAAATGAGCCAGCACACCATGGAGGATGTGAGATTGATACACATATGAGCGGAATGGAAGCAGAGTGAACTTCCTTCAGTGCAAAGCTCTTGCAGACCTGAGTCCCAGTCCCAGCTCATGTATTGTTGTCTCTTCAGCTCAACCCTCAGCTCGCCTTCAGCTCATCCGCATCCAGCAAGCCGCCAAGAAAGACTGGGCAGCTGGAAGCCACTGAACAAAAGCAAGCACCCGTGACGAGGAGACGTTCGAGAGAGGCCATTGCGAGCAACAGGGACTGGGCGTGAGCCTGTCCTTCGTCCATAACACACAAGCAAGCTCAGCCGAAAGCGAGGCAGGCCCGAATCCGTTAGCGTGCCGTCCTTCTCTCTGCCCGGGAGCCCTCCGTTCTTCGGCACCCTCCTTCAAACTCCGCTCGAGACCGCTCCCCATTCACAACGGACCTGCACAGTCCAGCCTCGCCGCAAGCCCGTCCAGCGCAGAATTGCGCCATCTCCAGCAGGACGGCACGAGTCCAGCCCACTAAGGAGTGCAGGAGACGCTCTCCGAAAGCTTCCAAGCGAGTGAAGTCACCGTGAATACGGATATCGCGGGGCGCCACTTGGCAAGGTAAGATGAGAGACATGCAGGAAAGAGATGGCTGGTGAGGAGGGCGCATCCCTGGAAGAGAAAGGTGCTTGAGCATCACCAGTCCGCATCGTTTGCCGGTTGATGGGGCCTGGCAAGCAGGATCGTTCATCCGCCCCTGCTGGGGAAACGACAGATCATGAAATCCCATGGAAATTGGAAAAACGTGGCCGATAAAGACGACTCTTGGCCAGGGAGCGAAAGATGACGGTTTTCGGTGGGCCCCATGTGCCTACAATAAGCTCAACTCGGGTGAGCCACGTCAGTATTCAGCAGGGTCGGCTTTTCCCATGGCCCTGTGTAGTAACCGTACCCACCAAGTCGGACTGGCCAAAGGCAGGGCCATGATAGGACATGACCGGCCAGTTGAGGCCTTTCTGCCCACGGCCTTCCGAAGCTGCGTCCGGACAATCACAATTTGAAAGGGCACAGCCGGCGGCCATCTCAGCTACCCTCAGGCGAGGAGCGTTTTCCTCAACAGGGAAGCCCTTACAGGCCGGGTACCAGGTGGTTAATCAGAACCGAATCTCCAACGCATTCCGAGCCACTCGCGGCGAGATTAGCTCTCCTCGCTTTGTGTTCTTGCGGGTGCACAAAGCCTTGCGTGTGATGGATACACTGACCGTTGAGCACATTTCTGCTAAAGATCCTCATTGTCTCAGAGCCTGGGTGGCCAGCTGGAGGGCAGGGCCCTCCCCTACCAATGAACGAGACGGGGACCGGCCTTATTTTACACGCCCATCAACGGCTACGATCTCGGAGGTTCGTTCTTGCCAGTGGAGAGATCGGCAGATATTTCCCTGGAAGAGAACGGACAGTGTCCAGAGCATGGCAACTATCCGTACATGGCCTTGGATGATCGACGGCTGTCAGTGATAGTCTGATCAATGGGATCTCTGGTAAGCCGCTTCGGGAATACAGTATGTATGGGGAACTCTCCGCTGCAGGTCGCATGGGGATTTTCTCATCAGCAAGGCCGCATTGAGTTTGAGCTGGACAGGGGTCTGGCGCTTTGTTGGTGATCCAATCGAGTGGGCGGATCAGCTGAAGAACGGGCGTGGCGGCGTTGGCGCGCGCATTCGGCCAACCCTTGTGGCCAAAGCGTGATGAGCAAAAGGGCGATCGATGAACACACAGGCTTGCTTCTTTTCCGCTTGATGACGTCGAAACCGGTTCTGGCGCATGCGGACTTCTGCCCGATCGTCCCGTTCATCGACTGCCCGCCAAGGTCGTAGTGTTGAGCGCCAGCCGACGAAATTAGCTTTGTACTATTTTGAGACAAGATCGGGATTAGTAGACGGCCCAGGGCAACGTAGAAGTACGGAGTATTGCGGAAGACTCTCAATTGTACAGTATTATCATGGTATGTGTAGTAATGCAGCTGGGCAAGCATCCCGTTCCCATGCACCTGGAAAGGCGCGGGGTGTCACATCGTCTCCTAAGACGACAGTCAATATTCCGTACACAAACATAGGGTGGAAGCGGGCGGTAGCCGTCTGATGAGTTCGGAACGGCTGTGATTACAGTGGTACTATATTGTATGTAACACAGCTGTAACAGAGCGAGTCAGGAACCGCCGAAGCTGTGTTCACGCCGAAGGTTGAGGAGGGTCTCTCGCTTTGGGATGCCGAGGCGTCCAAGGCTCAGCTGGAAGTTCGCTAGATTTGTCCAGGAACGGTTAACGGCGCAGATACGTACCTGCAGGGAGCCCTGGTGGCGGCCAAGAAGGAGTGCCCCTCTAAAGATCTACATCGCGTGATTGGATGCCCGCGACCCGGCGCTGTGTGACAACGGTTTTTGTGTCAAGGCTACTCCGTAACAAGACGACGGAAACCCTCCCCTTCCCGGTTCCAGGTCGCCGATTCGGGCTTTAGCCACATGAGGAGGGTGGTGCCCGAGCCGCCGGCGTCGTGGCACACGAGGCTTGCCTGTTTCGGCTGATGACCACACGGCGTTCCGTTCCGAGCGGCAGCTTACAGCAGCCCACCTCCAAGGCAGCAGGTTGCCACAACGGTTTTTTGCACCATGGCGGAAACGGTCGGGTTGTGATCCACGGCAAGTACGGAGTACGTACATTGATAACGACCCATTCTCACGATGCCTTTTCTACACAGTACAGTAGATGCGCATCAGGGCGGAGATGTGCATGCCGACAATTCGCAGAATGGTGGATTGTTACTCTAACTAGGCCTTGGGACACGGCTCATGGACTGGGGAAGGCGGGTGACGACGTCGTGGTTGGCAAATAGGAATTGCTCGGTGAGCGGGAAGATGATGGAGGCCAGCAGCCCGCTGGATACGTGACCCTGCCCTGTGTCGAGCGAGCTTGTAACGACAGAATATTTCCGCTGATTCAATCGTCTGGGAAAGATTTAGGAAATCGTGAGAACGTGGCGCGTGAAATGCCTTATCTGTCCTGCCGTTGAAAGTCGAGGCCATTCGAGGTCGCCTGGGCGCTTGTCTCATGACCGTCGAAGCCGCGAGCCACCACTTTGCACACAAACGAAGTTGTTTGTTGAAGACGCCATTACTCCCTACTGTGTATGCGACCGTGAACTCTGTGTGACCTACCTCACTACCTGGACGTTCCAGTGCTTCTGCTAGCAGTCCCCTCCGTTTGAGTGACTTGCCCAGCGTGTCTGCACCGTCGCTCGACAACCTGAACGTCACTAATCCCAGAAAACTTGGAATCGGTCAAGTCCTCGCCGGAAAGGACATCTTCGTAAGTCTGGTGCGAAACGAGAAGCCGCGATGCGATTCTGTCTCAGGTGAACCGACTGTATGAAACTTGCTTTTTGCCCGGTCGCTGCTGGTGATCCATAGGACATGGGGCGCGTTATGTTTAGCGAAGCTAACATTGCAAGTTGTGTATCATACAATACAGTACCTTAAGCACCCGGAACATGCGTTTTAGCCGGCCGGAAACCCAGGTGGATGGGTCGAAGCCACCCGCAGGGGATCAGCACGGTCCGGCTCGCTGGATCCCTTTGATGTGATTGATGAAGGGATTGGAGCCGAAGATATCCCACCCCAGATCGCAAATCATGCGATCGTTTCGAATCGCAATTCACAAACTTCTTCCCGACCGATCGGAATTCCGCATCATGGAAAGAGTTGGCCGCCGTCTACCGGGCCTATGCTCAGTCTCGTACGTACCGCTTTCTCGACTGCGCCCTTTCTTCAAAGAAACCAATTCTGGGACAGAAAATGAAGGGCTGCCGTTACTGATCTTATTGAACCAACTCAACTCGAAAGCTGAACAGCTACGGAGCGCCCAAAATTGGTGCCGATACGAGCCAAGACACGCGGGGCACCGGCCGGTTGGCTGGGTCGGCCCAAACGAGGGGAATGCGACAGGATCGCTTGTCTTGCCTTCTCTGTGCCGCTGTTTCGACTTTTGGAGACGGTTTGGCCCTGCTATAAGATACTTGTTAAGACATGGATAGCGACATCAGCTCGACGTTCGGGACTGCCAGAAACAATTGTTCTGAAAGTGCCGTACAGTAGCGAGGGATCTCCGCATCCCGCTCTCTTATGCCGTCGTCTAGCGTGTCATCGTTGATACCGTTTTCGTTGCTGCAAGTGTTGAATGGACCCTGCCGCCGGGGAAGGCAATTCCAACACTACGGCTGGCAGGCTGCTAGGTCGCCCGTTCAGACGCTTTCGACGGACTCGACGACCATGTGCATGTCACTGGGAACTGACTTGATCAGCGACATGGGAGGCAACTGTCCCACGTCAATGACCGAACTCTTGCCCGGCATTCTATCAAGATGCCTTGACTAAGCGGGGCAGGTTTTGAGATGTACAACATGCCTCCTTTGAGATTTCCATCCAACTCGCCGGTATCCCGGTGATGCCATGATCGGCAACGTCCCTTGAACAGCTGCATCATACAATAACCAAGAGAAGAAGTCTGATTTGACAGGCGATCGAGCATCATCAGCAGGGAAGACGCTCAAGTTAGTCGTTTTTGTACGAACGCGATCGGTAACAATTGATGCCCTCGGCGTATTGTATATAATACCAGTACATCCACTGGAACCCAGGGGCCTGGATGTAACTAACTTGCTAGCCCCCCCTGGCAGCGCCCTGGTATCCATCTCGACAGGCCCACATCTCAGAGACAAGGCCCCGTGTTAGCCTGACACCCTGGGAGCCGCCCCTTGGGCCCGATCCGTCTGGCGGCTGCACCTTGGGTGTGAGCATCATTTGGTCTCCCCACGCACTCGGTTATCTGGACGTATATGACCCCCGGGCCCCCTTCAAGCCCCCGTCTGCCTCCGTCCACTTCCGGACCGCCTGCTTGGAGTCTGGAACTGGTTAAGTTCAACTTCGCAACTCGGTACTCACCCGCACGCCGGTGCCATCATCTCCATCTTCAGCACACGCCACAACTACACTAACAACACTCCGTGTTTGGGAAAGCGTGTGGCGGCATCGCCCGACTGCTGGTCTTAAGTGGTGTTCCTTTGCCCTTGTTGACTCGGCAAAACCTCGCACACAGCACAACACCACGCATAGCAACCATGTTGTCAGAACAGGGACTCAACAAGAGGAACTGGGAGGGGAAAGAGGACCTTCTCCTCCTGGAGCTGCACGCCGCTTATGGACCGAACTGGACTCGCATCGCAGGAGGGATGGGCTTCAGGTCAGCCAAGCAGTGTCGGGAAAGGTACACTCAGCACCTCAAGCCCGGCCTGAACCGGTCACCCATCTCGGACGAGGAAGGGCAGCGGATCATGAGAATGGTCAGCGAGAGCGGGCAAAGATGGGCACAGATCGCCAGAAGCCTGGGCACCAACCGCAGCGACAACCAGATCAAGAACTGGTGGAACGGCGCCAGGCGCAAGGAAACATCCAAGAAACAGGAGACTGGCGAACAAGAGCAACAACAAATCCAGAACCATCCGTACGCCCAAGCCCAGCCGCCGTCACCCGGGCCAGCGCGCGGAAACTTCCCCCCCGTCCCGCTCGACCTACCCTTCAGGCAGGACAACGGCCCCGCCTCATTTGATGCCCCGCGCTTCCGGTCTTCATCGGCTCGCTCCTACGACTCGGAGCGGCCTCCCTCGCTTGTATCAGACAACGGGTCCTCGTGGAGTATCTCGCAGCCGGCATCGGCGTCGTCCTCACCCACAACAATCTCCTTGCCACCGCTCCTCTTCGCTCCGCCCACCCCGCCACCCGGCAGCTGCCTCCCAGCCCCTGCCGTCTACGGCCACGGCTTCGGACCGGTGCGCAGGTCCTCCGACGTCCTGCCACCGAGCAGCTACTCTCCTCAGGCTCGATACACTACCACGGCACCCACAACCCCTGTTGGCCGGACGACGTCGTCGCGCTGGGAACCGTATCCGACCAAGGCGCGGAGGCCCAGTACCGGGTATTACCGGGACATGGCAAGAGAGAATGAGAGGCGAGATAGGGTCTCGTTGTCTTTTCTTCTCAACTGAAAAGAGGACGGGAGCGGCTGCGGCACGGCACGGCAGAACCCTCACCTCCTTACGTTCCGGTTTCCGAATCAGCGTACACTAATTGGCATGGGGCGTTTTGGTGTGCTTGGGAGGAGGACGGTATTCCATGACGCAGTATGGGACAGTGGCGTTTCCGGTTGGGTCGGTCTTCTGTTGCGCTTTGGATACCCATTTTTTTTGTTATTTTTTTTTCCCTCTTTTTTTCGTCGCTTCAAAGTTGGCATATGTCTCGCTATTCCTCGTCAACCATCGCCAAAGGCTTGAAACATCTTTTTCCTTTGTCAGTTATTGGATTCGTGGCTCGGCGGTGATTGCTGGATACAAAAGGGAGAGGTGCGGAAAACAGGGCGACGCAAACGACTCGGAAACACGATTTGTACAGTAGTAGACGGTCTTTACCAGAGACTTCAAGTTAATAACAGTGGTTGGAAACCGCGTATTCATTGTTGCGAGACTTTGACTCTGAATCTCCGGATCCTGAATTCATTCACTGCACAGTGAACTCGCTGCCCTGGCTGAATAGGGACGAGTGTCAGGAACTCAAGCAGGGCGTCCACTAGTGCTGCAGAACCCTTCACAACCTGACTTACCTGCAACTTCCTCACTTGGTTTTGCTTCTCTGGTGCGTTGCTGCCACATGCGTGCAATCCATTCCGGAGGACCCGTGCATCGGAGACACCACGATCTACCGACAAGCGTAACAACTCAATCTTGAAGCTAACACAACGTCGACACCAGCTGGTGTACACAGCCCTCCAAGAACCCGGTGCTGTTTATCCTTGTTACACGTTGGTAGCGTGCCCGTGACACCGCATAACAGCCGTATACGAAGCTCGGGGACTGACTTCTCGACGAGCAAAGCAGTAGTTACTCGGTACGTGCTTGCTATCCCGTCGTCGAAAGATCACTCTGTGAGCAAGGAAGAAGAAAAACCAGCTTCCGCCCCTCCATGCCAGAGTGCTGGGGCGAGCAGGTGGAAGTGGCATTCCAGACTGCTCGTCCGCGCCCCATCAGTGCATCGCGGGATGTAAATGGCTGGAAATTCGACCATGTCCTTGAGGTCTCATCAGCCCCGAGACAGCCACATCCCCGAACTGGGACCGCAGCGGCAGCCATGCCAAGATGATCAAAACGACCGTTTCCCTCCGCCAGCTGCCCACGGTTGTGCCGCCAAAACAGCACCGATCCACCTACTAACGACGCCGCACTAGGGAGTTTAACCGCCAGTTGGTAACATTTCAATGATTACAGTATGTATTGTACTGCAAAATACGAAATACCGAATGATGCTGTGCCTTGGAACAAGAGCTCGCCGTGAATGCAACGCGGGGCGACATTGCGTTTACCAATGCAACGTCGGGAGCGTCAGGTCGGCGACCTCGCGATGCACGGATTCACACCTTTTTTATACCGTCTGTGCAACCCAGGTTGCAGATCCCGCAAACCGCCCTGCTGTTGTGCAACCCGGTCGTAAAAATGACGCTTGGCGATTTCCGGCAGAGCAAATCTGAAGGGGAGCCGGTTGCGGGGACCGTCGACAGCTGGACCAAGGAGGATTGTGGTGTCCCATCCTTCCTGCGCACAATGACTCCAATAGTTGATAAATACACGTTTTTGACTGCCTGTGAGCCATTGCCTTGAGAGTTTTGCCAGGTGTGTACGGAGGTACTGTCTACCTAATGGATAGCGCCTGTCAGAGTCCCGGTAAATACCCTGCGGAGAGCTGAGGTTTTGATTGACTTGTCCGAGCCCCGGCTCGTTTGTGAGAGGAAGAAGCAAAACATGAGCACCAAGACCACGGAGAGCGATTTCCACACAAAGAATAAAAAGGTGAAACAATCCCATCATAGTCGAGCGGAGCAGCATGACGGAATGAATGCCATCTGCAGACTGCTGAGAGGGAGGTCGGCGCCAATCTGCCATTGCGGAAATATCGGCGCATCAGTCGTGGGGCTACCAGAGCCCGACCATCGCGGGCTGTTGAGGAGAATCATCCGCCATGATGGCTGGTTCATTGGGGTGACATGGAGCCCACTTCCAGGGGTCCCAGATCCACCCATCTCACGGCAACCTCCGACCGAATTTCTCACCGCCCCCCTGAAATGCGCCAACTACCTAGTGTACACGTGTAGTGTACATGATATCTGGGATGGTAGTTCACATCGAGTCCTCGACTCCATTGAAACCCAGGAGCCACCTCCTCGCATGTTCCGGCTTGCTTGCCCAAAACGTTGTTACACCGAGCGGTTCATGAATTCGAGCAACGCTCAAACAGTCACTGAGAAACTGGTTACACAACTGCCGGGTCGCGCCCGATTAGCTTCGGGCCACCTAGATAGATACCTGGTAACTTGCCCTTCATCGCATCGACATCAGAATGACGAGACAAAGTCAACGGCCACGCTTTCTCCGAGACAAGGCCAGCAAAAACAGCATAGGCAGTTGAAATTCGACGTGGAAACGCTATCCAACGTTGTCATGCCCTTGGCGTTCATGTTCGAGTCATGAAATCTCCATCGCCATGTGCTCTGGCCGAACCACCAAACTCATTTTCCCCACCTTCTGAAAGCTCAAAGCTACCGTTCTTGCTCAATAGCGCCGCCGATAGCGTTCCGGCCTGGGGACCACCCAATTCGTCGTGGACGGAAGACCGTTGGACGGAGTCACCCTTGTCACCTACCCACCTGACCCACCACACTCCCCTCAACTTCCAAGATCCCCCAGGCTGTCAGGGCAGAAGTTTCCTTGTTAGGCGAGCCCACCCCTGCCAGATCCTCGGCTCAAGCCCCTTTTCAGCAGGGCAGGGGGGCGGGCAGAGTCGGTTGACAGACCGTTTGGACGAAAACCCCACCAAATTTGCGGGTGTGTACACTATTAAATAAACGCAAGGACCCACCAATTGAGTTAGCGCGCAAGTATTCGAACCTCATCCCCTTGATTTATAGGCACTATTTGCTGGCTTGGTGGACTTGGCCATGCCCACGCTGTGGGGGCAATTCTTCCTTCCGCGGCTGCTTTGCGGGGCGAGTGTGCACGGGGCCCATCAAAGTCTCTCTTTTTGGGATGCCATGTCCGCTGGCATCAGGGCGCCGGAGTGTTCTTTGCGAAGCCTGAGAGGAAAGAAGCCGGCCGACGCCGGGAATCATGATCGACTATTACACAAGATATCCTCGGCTGGCCAGGCGAAAAGGGCCGATCAGCTGAATCCTGAAGCGGCGAACTAGGTTGTTCCTACCGGCCGCGCTTTGCGCTTTCGAGAGTCTCGACCGGACGTTGGCCGACAAGAGGTGCTCCAGAACAGTTTGTGAGCGGCCAGACTAGAGGGGGAAGCCGTTCGTCCGAACGATAACTGTGTCCCGAGGGGAAGGTGTCGGTGGAGCGTCGTTGTATTTCGACGGAGATGGGGATTGTATTTCGATGGAGATGGGGATTGGAAATTCCCTTGCCTTCCATTCCGACGGCAGAAGCTTTTCGAGTCCAGGGGGCAGGCTGGTCTTCACAGTCTGTCGGGAGTTACCGCTGGCCAACGAAGCGCACAACGTGTAAAATGTCAGGGACCACAGGTGTGAAGCGGAGTTCAGGAATGCGTGCTTTGGTACTTCGTACCTATACAAGTACCATCTGTTAAGAGGGGTTAGTTGAGAGGATGATTTCTACATACAATATATTGGTCTGCACTAACAGGAGAGAAAACGTCCGAGAGACTGCACCTTCCTCAAGCAAAAGTCCCGTCGCACTATCGTCCGCGGCAGCCTGTGCGATCACAGCGTCAGAGTCTCACTTCCATGTGCAATCGAGATCACACAAGTTCGACACGACGAGTAACTAAGGCATGACCAACAGCCTCAACCGGATGAGAGTTCAAACAGAAACCGAACACCGTTGACCGCAACAAACCAAAGGACTAATCACAATCTATCCAACCTTGTCCATGGCAAGAGAGAAAAAATCTACCTCAACTACATCAGGAGTGCAGTGAACTAAATTCAGAAAGGGATAAGGTGAGGAAAACCAGGAACCTCCCCAAGTTCATTGGATGTGATCAGTCGCCTGTCTTGACGGGCGCCAGATTGAAAAACCAAATGAGCCAATCACGACCATCTTGGCACCTCACAAGCCCTGGAACCTGGAACTGTGACCCGGCGATCTGGGCACCAAAACGGCTAGATATTCGCGTATCGGGCCTACCAGCAGCAAGAGCCTCCTTGTAACGATCAGATTGGAGCGGGTGAATTGGAAATGCCCCTCCCCCCCTTTTTTTTTCTTTTCTTCGCCAACCTTGACATCTTTTCGAGAAAGAAAACGACGAAACAGAGAGAAAAAAAAAAAATTGTGTGTCCAGAAACGGCGGGTTCATCGGAGCACACCTGCGTCTTCATCGCCCCGCCGCTCTACAGAGTGCCACAGCGTGAGTCAGTTGGTTATCGCCGCCATACAATCGACGTGACTGTACGTGTCAACCATTGTATGCATTGTACAATATACGGATCCGTAGATACACACAGACGGGGGAGTACCTACCCTATGCAAGGTCCCGCGATGGCATTTGCGCTTTCGTCGGGTTTGACTTTGTGTTTCACACATGCGGACGTTCTTTTGCACTTGGTGGATATAGATGGCCCGGAACATATGTTAACGGTATCTGAGCATATCTTATACATTTATACGGGCAATTGTATATTCTGTGTACCTTATGTCTTAGATTCGAGCATATAGTCTTGGTCTGCTGCATCTGTTTTCTCTTGGTGGTGTTGGTTGATCACGATATACCGTACTGTGTATGATGTGAAGAGTTGTGATGGGGCATCTGTGTGCTTTGTATTGCGTGTTGGGCCCATGGTTATCGTCACTATGACTAGAGGCAGATCTGTACAAGTAAATTCATACACTCACTGATGGTGGTTGTAGCATGCTGATTCCCACAGAGACCTTGAGGTGCTTTGCATTGTGCCAGTTTGGGTACTTGTACAATACAATACAGTCTAGTCGCGGGATTGTGCAGACTGCAGCTTTTGAATGGGAAGCTGCTTTTCATTCTTTCCCATTTGGAATTGACTGTCTCGGTCCGGGAATGTGCCGCTCGGATGGACTCCGGAGGGCAGACGGGCCAAAAAGAAGCTGGCACTCACTCGCGAGGTGCACGGGTTCCTGGGGGCCGCCGTTGTTGCTTCTTTTCCATGGGACATCATCGGTTGAGGTTGTTTTGTTGCTTTCAAAAGCGGCGGTAACTTCCCAAGCGCAAGCCGAAGCTGGTTGTTTAACGAGGACTACCGGATGAGCAATCCGCGTACAGAGACCTGTGGTAGTTGTCTTCTGTCCTGGCAGCCGCAGCAGAACACTGGGCTGTGGGCACGCAATAAGAATCAATGTTGTTCCTCATGAGGCAGAAGAAGGGCGGTGTAATCGAGGCTGCCCCCAATTCTTCCCAGTTTTGTATGTGTCCGTACTCTTTCTTGCCTTGATCTGGCCGTTGGGTTCATTCACTTGGGGAATGGATCATGTCCATCTCTTGATCCACCATTCCAGTATCGTGTTTCAGGCCGGCCTACATAGCAGCAACCGGTGAGGTGTTTCAGGGGACCCGGCGAGAGGTGGCGCTGCTCTCGATCTATTTGTCTGTGGCATGACTCAAAGAACGTCTTGTTGGGGTTGATGATGAAACAGTGCCAGCAGTGTCGCAGAAAGAAGTACTGCACATCACCAATGCCTCGTCGATGTAGTGGACCATATGGGTAATGGTTTATATGGTTAGAGGATTGTTGTCAACGCCAGAAGAGGGCAACACAACAGCTCAGCGTCCGCCGTCTATAGCAAAAACACGTACCCGTGCTCTCAATAGCTAAGATACCTACGACCTGCCGTGAGTGCGAACCAAAGCTACATCCCTACGCGGAATCTGTCCTCTGGCCTTGCCCTGTATTGACAGTCACACCCCTTCTAACCTTGTCCCGTTCCCCAACCCACTTGACCGTATTGGTGGATGTGGAATGCTTGATCGAAACACAATCAACGTCCGACATTCCCGTCGACACAATGTTTGAGCCTGCCCATAAGGCATCCGATTCCCCTGGAACGACGCTTAGAAACCTGTTGCCTTCAACCTGCACTGCTGCCTCCTCTACTGCTGCCTCCTCTTCCACAGGCGACTGAGGCGGAGAAAAGACCTCGGGTGGCCAGGTAGGCGAGGTAACACTCAAGACCTCGTCGTCGCCTTTCTCGAAGGAATAGCACCGCCTGCGTTGTTTCTTGTCCAGCGGAGCACGCTCTGAAGGCTCCTCCAGCGAGGAAATCCCGCCCTTGGTCCACAGCCGGGGCAGCTTCACTTTGCCAATGCGTTGATAGTCAGCCGCAGCTGAAGATTCGGAGCGTTGGTTGCGGGCCATCTTCGGTTGGCCGTTCGCTTTGCCAGTTGACCTGAGAGCAGATTGACCCGGCTCCGTTTCCGTGCTGGTTGACGAGTATGATGAGACCAATTCGTTGTCTGCCGTGAAGGCGGGCAGCGCCCTTGGCTGCCGTACGTCATTTGTTTGAACGGGAACGTTCAAGGATTGCATCTCGACGGAACCATCTGCGGTCATGGCAGGATCAGGGGACAGTTTGGCCGTGGAGGTCTGCTCGAGGGAATCGTGGGATTCAGGAGCGCCGCGTGACCGGACAAGGACTGGGCCAGCCCTCACTCGGCCCTCTCGGCGTCGCTCCTGGCGAGCCATCCACTCTTCCATCTCGCGCCGCTCCAGGATACGGCTCACCAGAACATCACTGTTGGAGTCGAGAATCTTGGGGATTGTGCCTGGCTCCGTCAGCACTGAGCATGCCCCTCGAGACTTGCCAACCTACCCGGAGTATTCTGACTTGTCGCGGCCTGAGAAGGGAAGGGCGTGCCTGGGATGCTCTGCTCTGCTTTGGTGTCTGCGGCACCTGATCAGCCAACTCTCTTCTCCGCGATTTCTAAGCGAGGGAAACCTTACCTTGATACTGCGAGCTACTCAACCGCTTCACCTTGTCCTGGAACCGTTTGCTCCCGGCGCGATCCACGAGGCTCCCATGCCTGGCCAGGGCGACGCTGGCCAACCCGTCCCTGCTTTCCTTGGCAAGCCTGAGCTCTAGACGCTTGATCTCGGCCTTGTAGGCTTCACGTGTCTCCATCCATTCCTCGGTCATGCCGCGGAACTGCTCCAGCTCCCTCTCGCGCAAGTCCTTGAGCTCGGCCAGCTGTTCCTCGGTTTCGCGCAGCTTGCGGGTGAGGCGGTAGAAGCCCTCGATGAGGGAGAGTACGCACGAGTTGTGACTGCAAACTGTCAGTAGTCCGTACCAGTCTCCCCCATTCCCACACCCCGGCATGCAGATACCACACAGCCAGCACATACTGAGGAATAGAAAGGAGGAGGGAAGAGAAGAACTCACGCAACATCCAGCGCCTTCCCTGCCCCGCTTCCCGCCATAGCCGCGCTCAACATCTCAGCCATCTGCATCAAGTTTGGATTATGCCACGTCCCCTCCCCTCCTCCCCCTCTCACCTCCCTCCCGCCACCCTCACCACCGACAGCAGCAGCAGCAGCAACAACAACAACATCATCACTATAACAATCCACCTCCGTCAAATCAGTAAGCGGCAGCATAGCCACCGGCGCAGGCGCGCGTAAAAGCTCCGACGTGGACCCCGGCGCCGACGCAGATCCAGACCTGGACTCCCGTCCCAACCCCAGCACAAGCCCGACACCGAGCTGCTCCCTGTCAGCCCCCGGGCCGGAGCCAGAGCCAGTAGCAATGCTAGTGCCAGGGCCAGGGCCTGAATGAACCTCCGGTTCAAGCTCAGTCGGTGACATGCAAGTGGCCCCAGCGTTTCCATTTCCACCACTTTTGCCAGTAGACTTGAGGCTCAGAAAACTGGACACGGTGCGGAGGGTGGCACCGGCGGATTTGCGGTGGTGATTGCGGGGTGGTGATGGCTCGGCTGTAGTTGGGGTCTGGGTTGGGTTTGGGGCCCCGTGGAGGATCTGGTGATGGTCGTGGCGGATTTGGAGGGTTAGCGAGTTCGGATGCGGTGTTGCTGTTATTGATGATGTCGATGTTGTCGGGGATGGTTGTTTCGTGTTGTTGTTGCTCGTGGAGCGAGCGAAGGATCGGAACCAGTTTGTGTTTGTGTGGATGTTATCGGCCATGATGAAGGTGGGTTTGTGGGCTAGGGTTGACTTGATGAAATCAGGTATTGAGGCTCTGGGTTGATGAAATGTGATCGCCGAGTTGGCGATTTGGAGGTTGGAAAGTCAACCACGAGTGAGTAGCAGATCCCTGATGCAAGGGCGCTGGGCAATTGCAAGCCAACGCGCCTGGCAGCTGACAAGTTTACCGGTGCAGGGCAGGGAGACTTCGGATTTCGGACGAAATAGTGAACTTCAAAGCAACCGGAGCAAAGAATGGGAAGCTGCAGCTGGTCTTGAGACGGGATTCGAACCTTAGTAGTTGAGGTGGAACTTGAGCACATAAACAGCGAACAGTTGCAGAGACCGTGTTGACGCGTCATCACATCCTGATAGTTGAGATTTGATCTTCTATCTCCTTTGCGGGCGCCGCCATTATGGGAGAGCGGCCATAAGTGCTCCAGTTCGGCAGGACCAGTGAAACCACATGTCCTGAGTTTGTTTCCTGGCCGCTCTGAACCCAGTTAATACCACCGAGCCACATCACGAGGGCGAGTGAACGCTATACCTTGAATGGTGCGAGACCCAAACCACCAATACCCTCCGTTCCGCCTATGCCACATCCAACCTCTCCCTCCTTCCCAGTCCGTCCGAGCAATGGTTCAACTTCGAGTGAGAAAGCCGTGGCGCTATCCCTGGGATTCCCAGACGGAAAGAGATGGTGAGAACGACGTCGGTAAGCCCGGTAGCGTACGCATCTCCGCCAAAATCCTCGAAGAGGCGAGGTCGGGATTTTCAAGTCTGCGCTGCAGCATCTATCCCTTTACAACTAGTAGAACAGGTCTTCCGCCCTCTGTCTTCTCCTGCCCCTGCCCACAAGTTTCTCTGCGAACAGTTCCTTGCCTGCGTTGTTAGCAAACTTCTCGGGAAACAGCTCCCTAACCGTTGGTCCAGTGCCCTTGATGGCGATGCCCTGATCGTTGGCGCGTTTGCTTGCCATGCCGCGAATGTTAAAGCCACCTGAGCCGGGTGTGGTAATTCGATCTGCGAGACTTGCTGATGTGTGTGTCAATGAGTGAATCAGTGCGTGAGGGTCTGATACTGATGCTGATGATGCTGTTGGTGAGGGTCGTTGAAGCTAGAGCACTCGCGCCAGCCCCGTCGCTAGAGAGAGACGTAACATACCGCTTGCCAGGATGGTGGTGTCATCGACCTGGTCCATTTGCGCCTTGCCGCCGGTGGACGAGCTGACCTTGGTTGGAAACAGCTCTTTCGTCTTGTTGCTGTCTTTAGACGGGAGAAGTTCCTTGGAGCTGTTGTCCCGCGTCAGTCGCTCCTTCATGGACCGGCCCTTTTCCCGGCTGCGCATGGCGGCAGCTGCCCGTGCGTCCTCATCCAGGTCCATTTCGGCATCGCCGTCACGGTCCCGTACTGGTGAAGCCGACCGGTCACGCAAGCCGTGCGCAACCCCAGAGCGCCTTGCAGGAAAGAGTTCCTTTTCCCGGTTCCGTTGAGAGCGCCTCGTGTCAGAAGAGCTGGAGGCAGACCGCTGCCGTGTGCGCGAGGGCCTGCGGATTCGTTTTGCTAGGGATGATGGATCGTCATCATAGAGATTGACATCGAAGGTGTTGCGCTCTTCGTCGTCGTGCGAACCCCTTCGCCTGTCATTCCGCCTGTCTCTCCGGTAGCGGTCGTCGCGATCCCGGTATTTGCCTCGGCCAAGCTCGCCCCGCCTGCGGCGCTCCTCTGGGTCGTACTCTGGGTGTAATAGGTAAAATCGACTGCGCTCGGCGGCTCTGGGAACCTTTCTGTCGGCGGCGACGGCGAAGCGCACTCGCAGAACGCAATCGGGCTTCTGCGAAAAGCTCTTGGCGGGAACATCCTCGAGTGGTGGCAGCTGCGTCGGGTCGGCGATCTCCAAAGCGGCAAACGCAACGAGCGCCTCCTGTGCTGTAGACTCGGACTTGAAGATGAGGTTGGCCGACGAGTCGTCGATCCACTCAATTCGGCTGAATTGACCTGTGCTGTAGTGCTCGGCTACATAGCCCTTGACGTCGTCGGGAGTGAACGTGTCCAGGCCTCTGATGTGCACCTTATACGGTACCAACGAGTTATCCGAGGCCTCGCCATCGTCTTGGTCGTTGGTTTGCTCGTCTACTTCCCCGGGTTCCTGCGGCGCGAGGCTTTGTTAGTGGTCGGCAAGGCCAGAGTGAAGGTCATTCGCCAATTCGAACCTGTTCCTCCCCAGTAATGATATCGTGAGTGTATGCTTGAGGAATGGCCGGAACGGGTGCGTCCTGGACGTCATCAACGTCCATTTCAATATCGAGATCCATGGTTCGATGGTTGATGGCGCGCGCCGCAATTCCGGGTCAAGCTCTCCGTGTTGTGCGTCAATTCAGGTTGAGGAGGAAATGGGACGATAAAGCGTGGAACGGCGAGGGCACAGGCGGTCAAGGAGCAGAGAGGCTGTGGGAGTCGGATGCGGGGCTGTTATGATAAGGTCGTGAGAGCTCACGCGGTCGCAGGCGTTGGTCGTCAGGCTGGCGCTGGTTGCAGGTGGCGGCGGCGGGCGATGCTTTCCGGCCGGTGTTTCGGAGACGAGGTGGAGCCTTGAGCGGCCCGTGCCTTGCTTCTTGGACCCACTCCGGTGCCTTTACCAATTGAAATCTTCCAAGGTTTCCAAGTTTGGTCTTTTGTTTGAGAGCACGAGTGCCTCCAGAAACCCCTCTCATCCTCTTTCAGTTCAGTTGACCCGAATTCTCTGTTCGCTATACGCCTCCCTTCTCCTCTTCTCGGCATCTGCAATTGCTCCCGTATCGATCACCAACAGTGCTTGGAACATGACAACTCTTGTGCTTCCCCGACTGACTGCTCCCGAGCTTACCGAGTCGAAACATCGGTGTAGAGAGGTGTGGATGGCTGTCCTTAAGTTTTGAGAAATTACCCTTTTCTAGCCGTCTCTTGCTGGTGTGCCCGTCATCACCTTGATTTACCGTGATGTGAATCCCAGGGTGTGCGAGAAACTCATTATCAGAGAGTCGGTTTAAGTCTAGACCACAAGCACCGACAAATCTGCAATCTGCTTACCTGGTACTCTGTCTCCAGCTGTTGCACTATTCTCGCCGCAGCCTTTGCCGACATGAAGATCATTCTAGGGTGCAGGAAGGCTATAGAAGTTCAAGGGCCATTATCAGGTACGCTACATCACCTACGGACAGCGGCACTTGAAAATCGTTGCGCTTCATTAGGGGCTCGAGAAGCGAAGATTGGCGGATGCTTGTCTCGATCGTGTTAATGACAGAGGCCTGGAAGAAGACAACCCCCTCTAAGTCTAACGTTACAGTACCCGTGGGCGAGATGGACCTACTTCGTTTATAAATCTGCCCACTCTCTGAGTGCAGAGGGTTATAAATGACCCAAACGCAACTTCACCGCCCGGACAAGGTTACTTTAATGGTGCAATTCACCTCTAGTATCTATATTAGCATGTAAAGATAGGTAACGTTAACTATAGTTAACTTGACAACAAAGTATCAATAGCTTATAAACCTTATTTATAGCTTCTTTATAGATACTAAAACACTAACTCTAAAATCCAGAGCATATTACTCAAGTCGTTATTGAGCCTTTCTACTATCTTATAAGAATTGAAGGTTGTTAGAGGAACTTGGTCTTAACTTTTCTCTCTTTCTTAGCTAAAGTATACTACTACCTTATTAAAAGCTCAACAACTATTCAATTAATTCACTTCAAACTTTTAAAACACTATATTTTAATTAAGAGGAGGATATCGGCGAATCTTTAAATAATGTATATCGCTTTTTTTTCCCTGGAATAGTATAGATGTTTGTTCGGAACCAGCACTGATCCTCCATAACCCTGTCCGGGCAGTAAAGTTGCGTCCGGGTCTTTTGTACGGAGTAACCCACTCTCTTCCAGTCAACGAAAGTGGGTCATCTCGCCCGCGGGTATTATTTGCCAGTCAGTTTGGCTAATGCTTATATCAGCGTACATAACAGGACAGCACGTGGGCAGCATTCCCGAAACCAACTCTGCAAACTTGGGGTTGTGTCTGAATTGGAGAGAGCGCCTGGGAAACTGCGAGCAAGAGCGGTATTCGAGAGGATGATTTTTACAGTACATACATTATTTAGGGCTGCACTAACAGTTCGAATGCAGCGGCACTTGGGCGCATGCTAGCTGTAATAAACTTGAAAGGTGTGCGCTGCTCTCCGTCCTCCCAGACACCAATAGCCCCATTATTCACGCATCAGCAACGACACTGAGATGGACTAAATCCCTGCAGAAAACAAGGTGATAAGAGGGATTCTTTCGCTCAGAGCAAAGCTGTCTTATCCCACATCAACCCAGAAACTCCGTTGTTCCTAAAGCTGGCAACTCTGAGTCTGTTTACTAGGAATGTCGCAAGTTTGCTGCTGTGGAAACGGACAGAACAGCGTCGAACGATACGAACATGCTTACTTTTTGTGCTGGAGGCTACTGCTATCATGGCAACGGCACGAAGCTGAAGCATGGGCGAGAAGATGGAAAATAAAAGCAAAACACAGAGGCGTCTTGAGACAGATTCGTGTTAGCCGTCCTCGTTTAAAGCCCAAGTCGCCACTGCATGAGCAGCCTCACTGCTGGACGAATGAATGTGACTTTGTCTACAATATTGCTCCGCCACGTCAAGCCATGAGCGACATGACCGGACCAGCCCAGGTATTGGCCGTTTACGTCCAACCTCCCGTCTCGCGAGAGCTGGTATTGAACCAACAGGAACTGAAGCTCGGGTAAGTTCTGAGTGCTTAGCTGAGAAAACTCACATGTCGAGACAGAAGCGGTCGAAGAAACACAGAAACGCTAGCCCAAGAGAACAGCCACCTGTACGGACCGTATTCGGAGCCAAACGAGGGACCATTCTCGCTCTTGTGACAATGGATCTCCACATCCAAGCTCACACCATCTGAGCCAAGGACCGGACATTCAACAACAATAGATATTTCCCAAGCAGCCAGACCTACAATTAGTACTGTGCGACGGGACGGGAGGAACGCTTATGTGTCGTTGGTATTATTGACTAAATACCCTCAACACACTGGCATCCCCCCGACCATGACCATTCCCAAGGATCAATGAATCAAGAACCAGGTTTTCACTCTTGACCCTTGCCTCTGTTCTTAGCCAGGCCCGTCTAATGTAGCTTAGTCGCTCCAGGAAGATAAAAGACGGATTGACGGGAACGAATCCAGAGCTAAACATAACATGACGGAGCGGAATGAATAAATGAAGAAACAGGTAACGTCGAAGACCCGTCATATCCCAAGAAGCCAAACCCTAGAGAATACTCAAGATCCCGCGCTGTATTGTCCAGACGCCATCCAAGTTTCCGTCAAGAACGCCCGTAATCACCCACCACAGCCCCCAAGTCTATAACATTACCTCGCCCTGCGCGCTGGTTATGAGCACAGTCTATACTCGTGTGTTCGCCTCGCATATCTCAGCCCCGGCTGACCTCCCACGGACCGACTGGTTCAGATCCACCCAAAACAACCGGCTCTCTCACTTTCAGTATGACATGACATGACCAAGCTACCCGCTCCTCACGCAGTCTTTATATCTCTCCTCCGGATCTCGACGATTGCCCCCTGCGGCGGCGCAGGACAGGTCCTCTTGACCCTCGCCTGCTCCTCCGCACCACCGTCCCCGGGTCCTACACCCGCCGCAGAGGCCGCGGCCACCCCGCCGCCCGACGAGCCCGAGCTAAAGCTACTCGACCTCGACATCTCAGCCAGCGGCCTCTTCAGTCCAGCCTGCTGCAGCAGCGGCGGCGGCACGGCCGTCATGATGTCCCCCACGGCGGGACGGTCCTCGTCATCGACCGCCATGTCCCCGTCAAACGGGTCCGTGTCCAACAGCGCATCATACGCCCAGCAACCCTCCAACCCCTCCATAAACACGGGCGAGTGCCTCAGCGTATGCCACGAGAGCGTATGCCGCTTCATGGCGATGTACAGCGAATCAATGACCCCGTGGGCATCCACCACGGCACAGTACCGCCGCAAGAACTCGTGGTCACACCGGTCCATGACGCCCTGCATTAGCGTCTCGTCCAGCAGTCGCAGCATCGGCAGGCCCTGTAGCGTCTCGGCATCGCACAGTTTCGCCTGCAGCGGCATCCACTCGCGCCCGCGCAGGAACCGGCCGAACGCCTTCTCGACGGCCGCCCGGAACGACGCTGCGTCGCGGCCCTGCACCGCTACCATCTGGTGCAAGCCGCGCGACAGGCAGCGCTGGTACGCCGTCGTGTTGCGCTCGAAGGGCATGGGCACATAGGCATGCGGTAGCAGCGAGATGTGCACTGTCCAGGCGCCCGTGTTGGTGGTGGGCCGGGCAGTGGCCGCGAGGAGCCGGCGCGGGGAGGGGTGATGATGGTGGGGAGGATGGTGTTGCGAGGTGGTGATGGCGGTAGTCGAGGCTCTCGCGTCGCGCCCGGTGCCGGCGCCATACCCGTGGTGCTGGTGGGTATAGGAGTTGGTAGTGATGGTGGTGCAGTTGGTGACGGGGCCGCCCGTTGGGGAGGGGTACGGAAGTCGGGGGGCGGCCCCGGCCCCTAAAGGGGCCCCTAAAGGGGTTCCTAAAGGGCCGTTTGGGCGGGAAGACGTGTCGGATGTTGATCGCCTTCGTGGTAGGCGTGTAGCCATGGCGGCCGACAGGCGGATTTCTTCCTCCTCTTCTAGCGTTTCGGTTAGGTTCTCGATGCGCTCTTCCAGGCTGAGATCGGCGTCCCGGAGCTCCAGCTGACCCGCATGCAGCCGGTCGAGCCTTTCGTCGTGGTCACGGAGCTTGTCGTAGATTTGGCGGAGTTGGTCATCGTGCTGCTGGCTCTTTTGCTCGGCCTGTTGGATGGACCGCCAACTCATGCTGATGTTTCGGTAGGCACCCTTAATCTGTTCACTGAATTCTTCCCTGCTCTTTTCCAAGTGCTCCTCCACCTCGTTCAGGCGGCTGACGACGCTGTCGAGAACGTCCTCGTGCCCCCTGGAAAGTTGTTCCTCAAGGTGTTGCAGCCGCTTCTTCAGCAGTTCGAGCTCCTGCTTCTGGTCGGCCGAGGAGTCGGGGCCCTTGTTATGGAAGCATGCCAGATGACCACAATCGCAGGTAGAGCCCGGGATGTCTTTGTTGAGCGAGAAGTTCACGCAAGCACAGCGCTGGCCCCTGATCTCAGGCAGCAGCAGGATGTACCGGCAGTGCCCCTTGGGCATGTCGTCCACCTGGCCGTTTGCCGGCGTCTGCAGTGGCGAGGGAGAAGCTGAATGGGCCGACATCTTCGAGTCAGTGGACTGATAGACCGCCTAGAAGCGCGAGGTATCCCTGCGGAGGCCGCGAATCCGTAGGCTGACGTTTTGGATGAAGCAGGCGATAACTCTATGAATGATCTCGTGGGAAAAGGTGCGTCTCCGAGGGTAGCGAGGAATGAGCGGTGGAGACAGGAGGATGAGCGAGTAAGTAACTACGCAACAGCGGCACCCTATCGGAAATCACACATGACAGTCAGGAGTAGGACTGGCCGGGAGATATCCATGGGGAAGCGCTGCGGTTGGTGCTTGCTTGTCGACAATTCACCCCAACCTCGAAAGGGTCATGACCCGTAAACTCAAGAATCGCGGCTGCGGTGAGGGAGCCCAGGGGGTGTTATGTGAGATCCCTTATGGGGTCAGCCGTTAGGGTCCCTGAGACTGCGAGGCTCTGTGCAAGCAGATATGTGGTGTTACCGAGGGCCGCCGGGCCAGGGGGACGAGCCGGTTATCAGGCGCCAATACGCAGCATGCGATTGCGGTTAGAGACGCCCAACACAAGGCAACAAGGGAGAGAGATCTCAGGATGTGGTCGACTGATAAACGAATCCACGAGGACTGGCCGGGGAACGCGGAGCCTTGGGAATGCCCGGGGATGTCGGGGGGTATCTGAGATTCTGGGGCCGATGGCGAAGATAGGCAGGGAAGCGGTGCAGGAATCCTCCAGGTTTGAGATATGCCACACAGCGGCAGGCCGGATGCTTCCCGTGGCACCCAACTGTAGATAACGTTTAGTGTTTTGTGGAGTGGCGGACCCTTCCCGGGCGATGGGCGATAACGGGCCAGCCGAGTTGCAGCGTCGCAGGCGGATATCTTGATATCTTATTCAATGTATGATGCGTCCGAGGCCGTGGCAAAAACAAACGAGAACAACAGCAACAGGAGGGATGCAGCAGCAAGAAAGCCAGAAAATAGAACCAGCTGGCAGCTTGGCGGAGTTGCGGGCAGGAGCGCCAGAGGTAAAAGAGGGAGGGAAGGTCTCCCGAGACAAGAGATAGCGCAACGAAGGGAGCTGCTAGGATTTGAGCGCGATAAATTGCTTGTCCGGGCGGCCACCAAGGTACCAACCGTTTGCGGCTGGCCTTGACAGCGCGTCCTTACCAATAGCGAGGTACGGAGATGCCGCGGGTCTTGCTCCCGAGTGGGAGGTCCCATCCTATGTGGCACTACGCTGCCCCTCCACAATCCCGGCGTGCTCGAGACCTACACGTGTAGACCCCCCGTCGACTGCAGCGATGGCGACAAGTGACGTGACAATCACTGTATCTTCTGCAAGTCCGGTCCGTACCAAATTTGCTCCCGGCCGCGCCTACAACGACACACTGCAAATCGATTCGCGTACCCGGGCGGCTGCGCAGCTCGCAAAGGGCGGCCTGGCCGACAACAAGCGAAAGGCGGATCTTCGAGCGGTGGTATGTCGTGTGTAATACATTGGGGCCAAAGTGGGAACGGATTTGCCGGCGTGGGCAGTGTGGGACGATGGGCGCCCAGGAGGACGGAGTTTTTGGCATCAAAAACGTCGAAAGAGACGGCGGTTGTCTCTGCACATGGCCGGCTTCTGTGGATGAACAGCCCTGCTCCAGATTATTCAGAATTTCTGTGCCTATTCCCGCAGATGCAACAGGTTCGGTGCCTGGTGGGTTTCGTTTGTCCAGAATCGCGGACCAGCAGGGTCCTCCAGCTTGGTGCTGTCCCCCCTCCGGCGAACTGGTGTGGGCCAGGAATCTCTCGCGGAAGGGCCATTATGACGGGACAAGGACTGTCGAGTGGGGCGAAAGGATGCCACATGGGATGATGGGACAATTAAGACCATCTGTGGGGGTTCAAAGATAAGAGTTTGTTGCCTGATGCCTGAGGATGCAATCATTTTTCGGGCGCATCCAAAATGCACGTCCCGTCGAGCCGACATCCTTGGCTCCACATCGACGCTCAACATCAAATAAGGAAGCAGAAAACAGCACATTCGAGCCAAATGCATAGATTCCAGAAACCCCGGTAGAATCCCAGACCGGGCGACCTGGCATCGATATGTTTCACACCTGGACTTCGGCATGCTGGAGCCCCCCTCTCCGGCCGCTGTTCCGACTTCAAAGGCACAGTGATCGTTCAACGCGATGCACGTGTATTCTACTGCCACCAGGATCGTCAGGAGCCGCTACGAGATAAGGTGGGAGCCAAGAGCAGCCGGGAGACATAGCTCAGGCCGTCGACGCTGTAACACGTCACCGTGCCACCGACCCAGAGAAAAGCCCTGGCGGCCGCGCGGACGAAGGGCATCCGGGCTCTCGACGCCTGTGCACCGGCCATTCGACCTCGTCCCAGCCATCCCCAAACTATCTGACTATCGCGCTCGTCCTCTGCGTCCGATTTGCGTCATGTCGCACCATCCGCTGCCGCAATCACGGTGCAAGGTAAGGTGCTGGCTAATCCGTGGCACAGCATCAGACGGCGCGATATCTCGCGATTGACCCTGTCCCAATCCGCCAGAACATCTGTCGAACTCTGCCGTCCATGTTACACACCCACTCCAAATTCACTATCCCAACTGCCTGTTTGAGCCGACAGTCTCGGACCAGATAAGGAGCCGTCTCACATCAACAGGGCTGCGGCAGACATATCTGCAGAGCCGGCCTCAGTCCCCTGTTGGTGTTCGGGTACCGCAACAACAGGGCAAACCGATAGCTTGAACTAATAACTCATCGCGATAAGAGACCGACCCCTAGTCGGTCCTGCATATGGTATCAGAGTAGCGGTGACCCGGCGTGTTTCGGAATGCTTCGCTCACCAACGCGCACGCGCCTTTGGCCCGACAGATAACGTGCCCTGTAGACGGTTTCGTGCTTGCGAGGCTTTGGTCGCCATTTCACCCAGGCTTATCAGTCGGCGAATCGTAGTGTTATCTGGGGCGGCCTTTGCAAAGCCGAGAAGCTGCGACACGAGACGAGAGGTGAAGCTGCATTGCCCCGGATGATACCCCATCGTGCCATGAGCAGGCAGGGGGCATGGATACGGTACCATGCCAGCATCCCGTTTCCCAGAGGAGCCATGACACGAATGCAGGCCCCATCTCGCAGCGATTGTCCCGATCCTTGGAATTCTCGTCCTCGGCAAAATCTCCCCAAACGACGTGAAAACGGAACATGACAGCTGGCCCCCGCCTGCTGTACCCGACCCATTCGTTGAGCTTATCAGGACCTTGGTTCCGTACATCAACCGACGAGCCGGGTGTTCCAGTCATGGTTGTTCTCGAGTGTGGCGTTCCGTTGATCAAGATCGCGACTTCCTCCGCGAACAAGGGATTCAGCCTCGACGGGTACATCCCGCCGCCTCGTCTTGGCGAGCGTATGCCTGGCAGCCCATTAGGTAATGGGACCACCAACTCCCCTGTCGTGGGGTTGCAGAAGCAGACAAATCGCATCGCGCTGACTTGCCACATGCTCGCCCGATTCGTACCACATAGTTCCGATCCAACGGTTTTTCATGGCCATTTCATGAGACAGCAAAGGCGGCCGTCCCCGAGGCAAACCGGGCCAACAGACGGGGACCCGAAAGCTCATGTCGGCTGCAGATGGATGAGAAATGCCGCGAGTGTCTTCCACCCCTAGCGTTTCTATTCGCTCTCTTGGCCAGCCGCCGCAAGCGCGGTTGGGAAGCACGTTAGCGGCAGAAAGCAAGGACGAAGTGGCTTCGGCTTGTGATGGCCGAGTCGGAATGGTTTCCGGATCGAGAACATGCCAGCCCATAGAGGCCCTGGACATGGTGACAGTCAACTGACAGATAAAAGCCCAGTCATGCTCAGGGCTTCTGGACCTACACGGTAATCTTACTGCTTGACCGGCACGACAACTGTAACAGCTCATCGGCCACCTACCAGTCAGAGCAGCCGTGCAAGGATCTGACTTGTCTTTGCTCGATCCGTCAGCCCTATCAAGAAGCGACATTCCCCTGCCCCTAATCACGTCACCCACCTTTAGCCTGACTCACAAGACTTGCCTTGTCAGGCTCTCAGTGCAAGGAATGAGTCCGATTGGGAGGGCACCGGCTTGGCTGGCACGGGAGCGCCCGTCCCTACTGACGGCAGTCAAGAAAAGCTCTCCCCTTGAAGTTCCCCGACGTGGATTGTGGATTTATCACCCTCATGTGCAGACGTGATTAGAGCTGAGCTCCCTACCCACGGAACACGCGGCCGGGCATGAGGTGTTTTGCCCGCCGTCCGCGAGAGCCATTGGTGCCGACTAAGGTATCGGGGCGTTTGAGCTAACCCCTCCCTCTGCCACAGCTGGGGATACCGCTAGACCCAACCAGTGACCGAGTGCCATCAATTCATCCCGCCAGAGTCCCTTTGGGTTCTCTGTCTATTTAGTGAGTCACGTCCCTAGCCTGTTGTTGACCTTTGGAATGTAGTAGGGTACTGAATGGTACCGTCGTTCAGCCATTTGTGAGTGGCCGATTACAAGCCGCCCAGCTTCTTGAATGGCCCGTGACCATTGGCGAAGTGGGTGGGCGCGCAGATCAGGGGCGGGACTTGATCAGTTTACTCCTTTGAATGGGATGAACATTATCTGACGTGGTCCATCAATAGAAAGGGATGTCAGTGGGCAACCTGGGAAACAATAGGATTTCCGTAGGCCCCATACATCAAGAGCACACGGTGTCAGATTATACGTACGGATGGACTGATGTCAGCAAACCACCTAGATGATAGTGGCTTCTCACGCCTCTGACTTTTTCAGAGTTTATCAGGCAGAGGCTTCCAAGAGTCATCGTGATGATGTGGCCATCCATTTCCCTGGAAGCTGTCTGGCGTAAGATAACCAGCAGTCTGGTACTATGTCAGGTGTGATATGAAAGTCCTGGGAGTGTGTGAGAACATATGTGTGCCTTGGGGCTCGGTCAGTTTGCTGTCATCACCGAGGATCGAACACTGCAGGACTAGGTCTGTCAAGGCGGGTTTTGGGCTTGGGTACAGAGTTCCGCGGCGGACTGGAGGGCTTGTCTATCTAGTGACGCGGTCCAAGCCCAGTGGCCGGGGCCCCGGGAGAGCAGAGTTGGGTTCTGCCTCACAGGAAGAAGGTGGGAGGCCTGTGTTTTATTGTTGGCGGGCTCTCTGATCGTCAAAAAAAGTCTCAGAGGTATATCCTGCTCGTGAAGGACAGGAGAGAAGTTAAGCTGACCGGTTTATCTCGAAAAAAGGGGGACTTTGAGATGACAACCCCTTGAAAGGGCTGAGAGGTGCATATATTATGAAGTTGAGCAACTCAGTCTACTGCTAGCTCTGCAGTATATCTCCCTTCTTGTCGTGGCAAAGCCTTCTTAAAATCAGGTCTTCCTTTCGCTTTGTTCCATCACACGGCGACCGTCTTTTCAGCATCGAAACCCTCGGCCTGGGCGAAGTAATAGCCCCTCTGGTTCGCCATCAGCCTCAATGCGTCGGCGCCGTCCTCTCGCTCGACTACAAAATCGCAGTTGTAGTGAGTGTGACCAAAAGCCCATAGCTTCACTCTACTACTCTTGAAGCACTTCTCATTGGACAAGTCAGTCGAGAATGCGCTCGTGATCCGACTCCCGGCGTGTCTGGGCTCGATGGCCCGAGCATCTAGGGTCGGGCTCCAGTGCGAAAAGATGACTATCTTGACGTCGGAGTCCTCGAGGTCTGCAACCTGTGCATTCAGCCAGGCAAGATCCCGCCCGTGCGCCTCGTTGTGCGCGTTCACGTTCCACTCCTTGGTCTGGAAGAAGTCATTGAGACCGAGGCTGACTGCCGTGTGGCTCTCGGACTGGACGTGGGAGAAGAGACTGCAGCCTAGAATGACGACGTTGGAGCCTGGCATTCTGAAGACGTCGCGGTCGAGCAGCACAAACTCTCCTAGTGACTGGTTCTGGCGAACACCCTTCTGGAAAGAGCGCAGAATGTCGAGGGTCTCGGGCCAGTTGGAATGGTACGCTTCGTGATTTCCAGGGACGAAGAACACTGTCTGAAACTGGGACAACTGTCGAGTCAGGAAGTCGAGAAAATCTCCTTTGTGTGCCGCGACGGTTCCGATGTCACCTAGTAACGCCAGGTGCGGCGACTTGGGAACGATTTCGAAGACGTCGTAGGCTTTTGGGGCTTCTAGGTGCAGGTCTGAAAGAATCTGGACTGCCATATTTGAGTGGATTGCTGAACCAACGGATGCCGGGTGCCGAAACCCTCGCAAAAGACGTTGAGACACGTGGATATTACAATTACCGTGAGCACTGTGGTTCTTGGGATGCTGTATAGGAAATGCGATGCGTCAGGCCAGAAGAGAAGGAACCTTGGTGGTGCCACTGTGTAAATGCATCAATTGAGGCAATTCATACACGAGTATCTCCCACTATCTCAAGATCTCTGAGCTAACAGTGGCTGATTATTCCCGCGTCTCAATTGCTCCACCAATGGTCGTGCGCAAAAGCCGACAAGCAAGTTTGTGCGGGTGTACGGATTATATCCGTATATGAAGTGAATAATGAAACATTGTTCAAGGTCTTGTGATTGCGATACACTTCACACGGTTGGTGGCTCAATTCTGCCCCTAAAAGGAGCCGTGGCTATCGGAACCTTTCTCAACCAAACTGAGCGCCTCCTGAAGCTCCAACATCCACTGACATGTCGGCTTTTTACCTTCCTGGAAGTTCCTGTAAGACGCCTTGAGCGGCTCCGGAAGCAGACTAGCATCCAGCAGCCCGTCTTCATCGACATAGAGACTCATGTACGCAATCATGGATATGTTGAATGAACTGACGAGTTGCTTTGATCCCGTGCGAAGAGACGCATATAAGCTTCCAAGAGAACGTGGGGTCTGAGGGCGATCATATGGTCTGTTCCGGGCTTGAAGACTCCTGATCCTCGACCTGGCCTCCAGGTTGGAAAGACGGTTTTGTCGGATGCATGGGCGAACTGCGGCGGAAGAGTTAGCTTGCTCGGGGACAATAGAGCATGGTTCACTGGTGAGAAACCAGAGCGTTTCTCGCTGAAGATAGTGCCCCACGGTAACTGGCGGCGGCGTCTGCCGTTGCTCCGAGCTTGCGGCGCGATATTTGGTGTCGGGGCACGGCCTAAGGTCGTTGTGCTGAGCGAGGGCTCTGACGTCTATCTCCAAGCAGTCATCTGGAATCATGAAGTCGACGGACTATTCAGGCAGCTAGCTACACACGCATGTTGTGATTTCTCGGCAGAGGGATACCTGCAGCGACAATGGATGGGACCCCATTAAGCGTGAGAAGGCAGTGGCCCCACAAGATTGCGGGAACATGGGCGGAGTTGAGAGTGTGGGCAAGCGATGCCACGAGGATTGCGACTCGAGCGTCAGGTTGGAAACTAAATATACACTTTGGTATCAGGCGTGTATATACGGTCTGTCGATACGGTCTGTCGATATGAATTCTTGTCAGAGTAAGTATGTCGCGGATAAAGGAACTGTTGGATTTGGCAGGTGGTCAGAGAGGGCAGTTCAGGGGTGACTAATGGCTTGGCACCAGGATTCTCAGGATCAGGAACAGGCAGGGAACTTCTGGGAAGAACACAGACAGGAACGATCATCATCATCAATTGAGTGGTTGCCCATTTTTTCGGTACCCAATTACTACGGTGCGGCACATTCGTGGCTGTTGGCTTTCCAACAGGAACACTCGCCGAGTCGAAACCGACCGTGTAGGCTCCCAATAGCCCAATGGCGTTAACATGAGTACTGTGACGATACGTGCACAACTAACCCACTCAGCTATGTCGTATCTCCCTGAAAAAGGGTGTCGAATCGCAATTCGCTCCGGCCTTGCGATTTTGTGGGTTATATGTGGCTCACGACACACCTCTTCGGTGGGTCATCGGCGGGTGGCCTGTGCGCCCACTTATCCTTCACGGGTCGCAGACGCGCATCCTGTATACTCTCCCTCTCCCTTTCCTTAGCTTTCGATTAGCAGAATTGAGTCGGCATTTGCAGTGCCCAGTGCCTCGCCTTGATGCCACTTGTCTCTCATAAGAGGAAGGGATATCTGGAGAGCGGGAGACTCAGCTTGGAACTTGGGGACTGTTTTCTCTTAAGAATTAGTCAATTGGTCAGTGGTGCATATCTAATACAATTATCTTGCCTGCTTCTCGTTATGAATTTAGAGCATCTTCTATAACGTGATCCACCATTGACTCGGACACCCCATTGACTCGGACACATTTTCCCCCACCATAACCACCCAACTTCAACACGCGTTTTCTCTACCACAACAATGTCCGACAGCTTCCCAGAAAACCGAGTTCTTCTCGCGATCAATGCGATTCGATCAACACCGCGCTTGAGTATCCGACGCGCCGCAGAGATATACAATGTCCCCAAGTCGACAATTGCAGATAGAATGAAGGGAAAGATCGCGAAGTCCGACAGCTATCACGGCCGTTCGAATTTGACGAAGATCGAAGAGGAGGCGAT